ACCGGTGGTGGGCATCCTTCGGTAACTATATAGTTAACATAGTTATCTATATAGTAAAACCCCATATGGGAATTAGGGGTTAGGGATTGAGTGATTCATTTCGGACACAGCCCATGTCTCTCACTGCCTCGTTGCCAGTTCATTGAGCTTCACAGTCACTTACCAGCATTCTTGTTTTTTCATAGCCTGCCTGTTATCAACTTTGATTGTTTTTTGACCCTGCCTCTTACCTCATGTTTTCAGCTACCTCTGCCTGTTTGATTGCTCCTTCATGTACCGTACTTGGACTGTGAATAAACCCTGATTTTTGCCACATGGAATTGGTCTCCTGGTTCTGCATTTGGATTTTTTTTTGTAAATCCTGTTCTTGACAAAAACGTGGTATTACAGTTTTATCAGTAGTACTGACCTGACCTCAACAAAGACAGGTAGTTTTATCTAGCTGCAACATGATAACTGACTACTGACTGACTCTGAATAGATCTTTGGTCCAGAAGAAAAATTTAGGGTCTTGTGGCAAGACCAATAGCACTTTTTACAGTGTATTTTAATAACTGATTAACAAATACACTATATGTTTTAGCTGCTATCTGGTGTTAAAAATACCTTTCAGGGTTATACAGTGACATGACCTCATTCATAGAATGGATGTATGACAGACAGGACAATGAGGTATGCACTAAGGTGGAGAAATGAAATTTCGATTTTGACCAGTTGGCACTACCTCTAACAATGCAAGGTGCCAATTACAGGTCAGGGTTTTGTGGTGGCAAGTGGGCCCACTAGATATGTAGGGAGCCATTGCCACTTCTGGTCATCCCAGGGTTGGCCACTGCAGTTTAATGATTTTAGGAGCTATTAAAGACAAAAGTTATTATAACAAAGCCTGAACAGAGAAATGAACTAGATCAGGCACAAGTACTTGTTAAAATGGTGTCAACATGTACTGTATATGCCTGGCACGGTAACTTCTTTGTGGGTTTTTTAATCCTTAATTCTGCTGGTATTATATTTTCAGATTGTGCTGTTAGGAAGGTATCTTGTGGCTTACGATGCATTTTCTTATGTTTAAATACATGAAAACTTCAATTTTTTTAACATAAACTTTATTAACAGATAATCATGAGAAACTGGGGGAGCCCAGGAAAACCCTCTTTCATCAATGGTGTTCAGAGTTGGTAAATGTAGCATTGTAGAAGCAAACCTCTTTTATAACGGAAACAGGACTGAGGAATAAAGCAATAAATGATCAAAGTGGGGTGTATATATCCTATAAAAAACTCAGAAAGAATCAAGACAGAAAAAACATTGAAAGAAACAAAAAAATATATATAAAAATGAAAACACAAACAAGAAAATTAACATATGATAAAAAACAAGGTTACTATGAAAAAAAGAACATCCATGCCACAGAAAGCAGAAAAATAAAAAAACACAAAATACGACAAAACAAACAGACAAACAAACAAACAAATTCAAAGACATAAAAAAAAGACATGATGGTATAAAAAACAAGAACATTAACAAAAAAACAAAACAAAGAACAAACAATAAAGCAAACAAAAACTCAAAAGAATCACGAAACAATCATACAATTATGGATACAAAAAATAACAATAAAAAAGAAATTCGAAACAAGAAAAAAGGACAACAAAATTACGAAAGAAGTGAAAATTTTCAAATGAAAAAAACAAAGACTGAAAGTCATATATAATTATTGAGGAAAATCAACCAAGAGATAAAGATACAAACAAAAATGGAAAAATATGCAAACAAATAAGCTGACAAAGACACAAACAAACGAAGAACAATAAGCAAAGAAAATTTACACAAACTAACAATAGAGTTATCAACAACAAAAAATAATATAAAGAGCTGATCAAGAATCACAAAGAAACAAGCTGAAAATGGAGGAAACAGAAAGGAATACATAAACATGCCAAAAAAAGTTAGAAATATACAAATTTAAAAAAACTAAAAAAAAAAGGAAAGGAATATTCAAGAAAAAAGCGAATGAAGGCAAAAGAAATAAACAAAAACGCACACAAAAAAAACCCTCAAACAAATATACAAACATCCACAGTTAGCAATGAGTTCAATAAGAAAAAATACAAACAACAACCCAAAAAGACACAATCAAACTAAGCAAACAAAGCCAACAAAATAAGTTAAGAAATAAACTCACTCACAGAAATAATTAGGCCTCATTGCATACAAAATTTCCATCCATTTGAATTACCAAGATTTAACAAGGTCAAGGTCAATAAACTTTGTTGCATATTTATCAGTCAAATATAAGTGAAACATTTAAAAATTAGATTTATATAATAATACCAATAAACCCAATGTGTTTACAATAAATAATGAATGTATACAGTATTTATGTTTGATAAAACTATTATTTGTCTCATACATTTTAACTGAATGAAGCTTAGTTGAGCCATAGCTCATCACATTTAAACTTTATACACAAACTGAATAAACTGAATTGTTATCAGAATAAAAGACTTATGCAGATTTTAAGAAACTTGAATAAATAAATTCTTAAAAAAAAATTAATCAAATAGATGTAAAAACATAAACCTAAACTATGCCAGGATTCTTTTTTTTTTTTTTCTTTAAGAAAAAGGAGAAATCCTCCTCTGTCAAAAAATATGAAAGTTCATACATCATCAAGATTATACAGTTACAGTGTTTAAATGCACTTTTGTTCTCTGATATTAGACTGAAACTTAAAGTTAAAAGCTTTTGTTTAATGCCAAAACCCTCTGTCTGAGAAAAAAAAAAGATGAAGTAAATGGGTAAACAATATAATGTTATTCGCATCTGTGCTTTGAATAACCTTTTCTAAGTGCCTTTCACACAAGCATTTCATCAAGTCAAAGAATTTGCTCTATACTTTTCCTTTTTAATGTCCTTTAATGCAGTTGGTCTTTTGTGAGTTTCTGTCTGTTCAAATTATTATAATAATGGAAACACCACCTTTGCTGTCTTTTCAACTTCATAATTAAATGTTCCAAAATAAAGGGCTGCAGGTTTTTAGCACATTAACTCTGGCATGCTTTGGTTACATTTCTTTACCATCCTTTTATGTGCCTTGCATGTGGACAGGAGGCCTATGGATGTTTCGAACCAATCCTATCTTAAGGTTGTATAATAGCACCAAAGTATGCAGTTAAGAGCAAATTTTGAGGCGGTTTCGTTGGAGAAAGAGCTGTGAAGCGGGTATGAAATCCACTTTAGGCAGAAAAAAACAAACAAGGATGAAAATTTTACCTTAAAAAAAGCACATTGTTCTTTGGCCTAAAGCTAAAATAAAGATCATATGTGCACTGTTTATTAAATGTTTCTGTAATGGCCGAAAAACAAGCAGAACTGAAGTATGTACTTATGCATATAAACTTCACACAGACACACATCAATGCATCTTGAAACACATGTTTAATCAGGCAGCTAAGTTAAGAAAATGCTATTAGATTCTGAAGTGGATAATTTCACATCTTACCTTCCATTCATTTCTTCTTTTTTTTCTTTTCAGACTGGCCTTTTATGCTGAGCACATGTGCTTTTATGGAAAATTACAACATTTAAACGAGACTCTTTGGTCAGGGGTAATTGCACAAAGAACCATTTGCAGTCTTCCAAAACCAATGTCCCACAGACATTTTATGTTTTCCTTATAATGCTTCTGTGAATCAGCTACATAATTCTCCCCCACCTCCCTGCTACATGCCTAAAAAATCAATTAAATTAAATAGGCTAAACAAACAGGGGTTGTAAACTGTGTAGATGCAGTTTCAAAACATCACTTGGTTTCTCCACCAATGTCGCTGACATGGTTGTCATCATGTTTGATCTGCAAATTGTCACTACAATGAGAATCAGTAGTCGTGGTTTTAAATCATGACAAGCACTTGTTAAAGGTTAACTCAAACTGCAATCCTCTGCCTTGTAACCTTGTTCAAATCGTGATCAGTGAGGAAATTTCACCTATTAGAAATTTGATGTTACTGATGTCTTGCCACTTTAAATGTAGGCTCCAGTATTGTCTACAGGAATGATGTCAAATTCTGACTATTTGTACTATTTATGTTGTCTACTTTTTGCCACAGCATCAAGGAAATGCAGTTTAAAATAATCAATGGTAACTATCTTTCAGCAACAGTCCTTAAAAAGAGGTTTGGTTTCGAGGTGGAGCCATGTGTTTTCTGCTTGCAAGAAGAGGAAACAATTTAACATCTTTTTTTTTTCTCATGCAGCATAATAAAGAACTGTTGGCATGATTTAGTAAACTGATTGAAATTAAAATGGATAAAGTTGCACACTTGAAATTGGAACAAGTGCTGTATGAAAATTACATCATGCCAAACATTTTTTTCAAAATTTGCAAAATAATAATTATTATGGGTAAATACCACATCCATAAAAGTAAATGGCAAAATAAAAATCCATCCCATGCATTGTTTGAATGAGAACTTAAATCTTATTTTACTTCCTTGTCACTAATTAAAGACCGTAGTCTAGAGATAGAAAACTTATGTGATGATGTCTCTAAATATGTACTGTTGTAACTTAATGAATTATTAATTATCTAATATTTACATTTGCTGTTTGTATAAAATTCCAAAGGCAGACCTTGCTGTAAGTTTTGTGAGTTTTTTTTTCTCTCGACATTATGTTGTTCTCATGTATATTATCACTGTTGTTCTGTTAAAGTAAGATGTACATCTGAATTGTGCTTGTCTCCGATTGAGAGTTTTGTAAATTGTTGAATATGTTAATAAAAAAAATACATTAAAAAAAAAACTCTTTGCCACAGCACACTGCTCAATCATGACTAGTGTCGCATAAAACTGAGCACAGCCTATATCTGGTCTTTGAGTTGCATGCGCCACATAGCCATTTGAAGACTGTACAAATGTTGCAATACCACTTTTTACCTGAAAATTGTATGGCGCTGTTTTGAAAAGCTCTGGGCTTTTTGCTCTTCATAAACGGTCCTCCTACTCTTCTTCTGCGTTTCCTCCACGACAGACATATCAGTGTGTGTGTTAGTACTCTTCCATGCCATTGACAGTCTTGTGTGTGTACAGCTACTATAGCTTACACTTACTTTTACACGAAATTGATGAGGCTGGTTGCCCCCTCTATTCGGACTAAGCTACACGTTAGCGGCCGGTAGCGAACGTTGCCTGTAAGTTGACGACCTCTTTATTCAAACTTGACATGCTTTGCTAACGTGAACTCATCCAGCTGATGAAGGTAGACAGACAAAGCCTCTCCGGGTTAACTTTTACGGACTCCAAGTGAGTCAGCGGTTGCTTTGTCAAATGTTTCGGGATCTGGTGATGGTTTCCCATTATCTGTTTGGCTAAGTGATCGTCGCCCGTCGAGCTGTTAAAGCTGAAGTATTCAAGTGGCCTCAGTCAACCTGGATCAGTCTGGATGAAATGTCCTCTTGTATCAGTCATGCTGTGTTTAGGTGTTTTAGAGCACACAGAGCATCGTAAGAACTTCCAGTTAGTTTGTGTTTTTTTTTTAGTAAAGTCCCCTAGTTTAAAAAGTAAAGTCCCCTCGTCACTAAAATATAATTTGTGGTATTGTACGGTATTGTCTCGGTTCTCTCTCTCTCTCTCTCTCTCTCTCTCTCTCTCTCTCTCTCTCTGTGCCATTGTCAGAGATGAGAAAAGTAAAAGTACTTGTGAAAAAAAACTGTTTGGTAAGTAAAAGTATTCATTTAACTAATTACTCAAGTAAAAAGTACAGGCTCTGAAATGTACTTAAAAGTAAAAAGTACTTTTACCAGATTCTTCTTTCTGTAAACAATAGATGCATTCAGAGCATTCTCTTCTCTTCTTCATTCCTTGTGTTGCCTTCTCCACTTTGTTCTTCACTGTGCCACCAGACATGACAACAACTCCTTGGTTGAAGGTGATGCACAAGAGTTTTAAATCCTGGCTGTTTGACTCCACTCAGAGGTTGCAGACCTTGAATAACAAAGTTGATAATGTGATAATGGCATCATCCACTCTTCTCTGTGACACCCTCTCAGTATCCTTCAGTTTAAGCTGCTTGGCAGAAGGAGCAGAAGGACCTTCCTCTGGCTCCAATGATTGTCTCTTGAGAGTAGTGAGCTTCATGTATTTCTCTAGCTGATGTTAAAGCTTTCTCTAGAAGTGACAAAGAATGGTCACTTCACATGACCACTTGCCAGTTTGTATGGCGAGTAGTCATGTGAAATGCAACGCTTGAAAGATGAGAGTGGTCTTGCTGAAAAAGGAATTTGTTTGGATGGGAGTTTATGATGTTGAAACCTTGACAGATGAAGGTCAGACTTGCCTCACAAGAACTTGTTGTCCTTAAAGATCACTTCACTGATGGGAAGACTGAGCAAGGGAGGGTTTTAACCAGAATATGATGGATAGTTATCACCAACCCTTACTATTTCTACAAACTGTCTCTTTAAATACATGGTACACACTAAGGTGATAGGAGATCTCATAAAAGGTCAGATTTATGTGTTTAAAGTTTGTTTTCTGGAGACCAAGCAGCCAAGTAAGCACAAAAGTACTCAGTGACAGAAAGGCAAGTAAGTCTGTTGTTGGTGAACGATGAACAGCAAATGCTTTGCTCATACATGGTCATGAAATGGTGAATCTCTTTATCAGAATCTGATCAGTCTCTTTCATCACATTTTGTGGTTGGTCAGCTTTTTCTTTGTGAACTAAATGTGCCTCACTTGAAAACTTGCCATCTCCTCTTTTCCCTCAGGTGTCACTCATTGTCTCTAGAAATCACCATACTACAAGCTTGTGATGTAGTTATTGCACTGTAGGACATCATTCCTTAACCACAGCCATGGATGAGGACACTCAAACCTTGAAGCCCAGACAGATCCAGAATCAAAATGTTGTCCATCGTCTCGAGAGGCGAAGGATCTGTTCAGGGCGACCTGGGGCTCACTGGTACAGAGTGCGTTGTTTCCATCAGAACCTTTTCCCCAACTTCACTGTGGTCAATGTGGAAAAGCCCCCCTGCTTCCTGAGAAAATTCTCACCAGATGGACGTTGTTTCATTGCCTTTTCCTCTGATCAGACATCTCTGGAGGTAAGAAGAAAAAAGAGCCTGACTATTTTTATTTCCTCTATCTTTTCTCTTATATTTTTTATCCACCTTCTTCTTAACCTTAGTGATGCTCTGTATGAATTGTGGGTATGTCCTTTGGGCTGTTCTGCGCCTGAACACAAAACTGGTATTTTCCATAGCAACAGGATGCTTATCCTGATTATTTGGGTAATTTGGAAATAAAAAAGGGAGCATCATCTCTTTACACCTCAGGAGGAATAATGTGATCATTCATCTGCCTTCTACTGCCAAGGAGTGAGAGGATAATATGAAGAAATGTCCTTGGACAACTCACATTGGCGTATTTAGCTTCTTTATTTTGTTGCTACAGACAGCGAAGTAATGAGTAACCTAAAAAGCTCTGCTGCATATCAGCACTCAAAGCACTTATAGAAGTCCACCCTATTACATCAATATCACTGGATTGTTTTAATACAGTTCGTAATCAATTTATCATCCTCACAGCCGTAACTTAATTTGTTATAGTGTTGCTTAGGTTCCACACAGATAGTAGCATATATTGCTGACAAATGACAATCTATCCATGAGTAGAACGATTATCCTGACATCCTCCTATCACCTAAAATCACTCTGTTCCTGATACCAGCCATGCTCCTTCTGGTCTCCTCGACTGTAGGAAGGTAATAGAACTTGATCGCTTTTTGTCTTGGGCTCATGTTCAGACCACGGAAACGAGATTTCATCTAGTCTGAGTTTTGTGGACCGGAACAACACAACCATAAATGAAGTGGACTGTGTTATAAAAAAAAAAAGACTATCCAAGGTTACGCACCATTGTAAACCACAGGGAAATCCTTAAAGGGATATTCCGGTGTAAAATTAAGTTGGGGTCAAACACATCGTAACACTGAGTCAGACAACCCGTTGAGAGATGAATGTTGCTGACTGCTTGCTTCTCTACTTATACCAACTTTACTAACGACTGCACAATAGCAAAACACAGTGGTCCCGGGTGCTGTTCTGAGCATTATTAGTGGCTATGGAGTTGTTTTTTGGTTGAGCTTGTGCTTCCTGAGACCGCTGTGTATTGCTATCTGCGGTCGTTACTAAAGTTACACAACATACCTTTTTTTTTTTTTTCCAAATGTTTCAAATCTTCTAATCCCAGGCTTCTTCTTTCTGCAGATATATGAATATCAGGGCTGCCAAGCTGCTCAGGACTTGTTAAGAGGCCAAGAGGGAGAGACTCTGCTGACCGCCAATGACCAGCGCTCACTCAATATCAGGGGCCGCCTCTTTGAGCGCTTTTTCTCCTTACTCCATGTTACCAATGTGGCATCAAATGGAGAACATCTCAACCGGGAGTGCAGCCTTTTCACAGATGACTGCCGCTACGTTATTGTTGGCTCAGCTGTGTATGTCCCAGAAGAGCCGCCGCCTTACTTCTTCGAGGTACTGACAAAGTGGAACTTGCTGTCAATTCGTAATTAAAATCAGATTTATTTTAACTTCCATTTATTATAATTGTACCTCCAGAGTGTTAGGCTGCCCCATATTCCATTTCCCACCAGGTGTATCGGAATAACGAATCTGTCACTCCGAACCCCCGGTCGCCTTTAGAAGACTACTCTCTGCACATCATTGACCTCCACACTGGCAGGCTGTGTGACACCAGGTCTTTTAAGTGTGACAAGATCATCCTGTCCCACAACCAAGGCCTCTACCTGTACAGAAACATCCTGGCTGTGCTGTCAGTCCAGCAACAGACCATACATGTGTTTCAGGTAAAGCTCTTACTGTGAAAATCTGTATCTTTTACAGAACTCAATTCCATTGAAGTTGGGAAATTGTGATAAACGTAAATAACAGAATACAATGATTTGCAAATCCTTTCGACCTATGTTTAACTGAATACACTACAAAGACAAGATATTTAATGTTCAAACTCATAAACTTTATTATTTTTTTTGCAAATAAGAATTTTCTCAGAATTTCATGGCTGCGACACGTGCCAAAGTAGTTTGGACAGGGGCATGTTTACCACTTTGTTACATCACGTTTCCTTTTAACAACACTCAATAAACGTGCTGCTTATGTGCTGTGATTTCTCCAGACTCTCTGAACCTTTTGATGATATTATGGACCATAGATGTTGAAATCCCTAAATTCCTTGCTATTGTACTTTGAGAAACATTCTTAAACTCTTCGACTATTTGCTCACACAGTTGTTCACAAAGTGGTTAAACTCGTCCCATCCTTGCTTGTGAATGACTGAGAATTTTTGGGGAAGCTGCTTTTATACCCAATCATGGCACCCACTTATTCCCAATTAGCCTGCTTACCTATGGGATGTTCCAAATAGGTGTTTGATGAGCATTCCTCAGATTTCTCAGTATTTTTTGCTACCGTTCCTGACTTCTTTGTCACATGTTGCTGCCATGAAATTCTGAGTTAATTATTATTTGCAAAAAAATAAAGTTTATGAGTTTGAACATTAAATATCTTGTCTTTGTCGTGTATTCAATTGAATATAGGTTGAAAATGATTTGCAAACCATGATATTCTGTTTTTATTTATTTTTATCACAATTTCCCAACTTCAATGAAATTGGGTTTTGTAATTAAGGGTTCAGGCTTGGAGTTTTTTAAAGGGATATTTCAGTGTTTTTGATGTAAGGTTGTTTGAGTTATGTATCACAAGTCACAATTAAGGCTGGTCTGCTAGACTTGAGCAAATGATGAGTGCTTTGGTCAGCGTCTCTCAAAATGACCCAAACTTTAGTGGCAGTCCGCCAGAACTGCTGAAAATGTCTGCAACATATCTAGTGTCCTGTTTCTGCAAGCAGTTTCTCAGTAAAGGGGCCGAACTGACCAACATCCATTGTGGCTAGTACACTTTCTTGTGATGTGTAATACAGCCTCATGTCTAGTAACATTATTGAACAAGAACATTGGTTAAAACCATGAATTTTCATAGTTGCTTGTCACTAACAACAGCCCTTTGTGTGCCTGTGCTGTTTCTTAATGTGTGTTCTAAAACTTAGCAGGTCTAAATCAAACATCCGGACAGGATTTGCTTGAACATAATTAGCTTATCGCAAAAAACTAGTAGAGCAATGTTACTGTGGCTGTGTGCAGCAAATGCATCATTATCCTCAGGGTCAATCAATCAAATAAATTTTATTTATATAGCGCCAATTCACAACAGTTGTCATCCCGAGACGCTTGCCTAAGACAGGTCTAGACCACGCTCATTGTTTGATGAGTTATCAAGTCCCAACCTTAAGATGAGACAGATTTGACCCGTCTCATCTAACATGAGTGACAGTGGCAAGGAAAAACTTATTTTTAACAGGCAGAAACCTTGGGAAGGACCAGACTCATGTTAGACAGCCACCAAGCCGCTGCTGGGTTAGGGAGAAATACAGAGAGATAGGGAGGGAGAGAGAGAGAGGAGTAGGAGAGAGGGCAGAGGGAGGGAAAGAGAACAAAGGAGAAGGAGATAGAGAGAACGAGTAAGAGAGAGGGAGGGAGAGAGAAAAGAGAACGAGGGTGAGAGAGAGAGACAAGGGTCAGTAGCAACATTAAAACAACAGCAACAACAACAGCTCATGCAGAGTTGTGGTTGTAGAGCGAGTAATGATGAAACTATGGATTCAAGGTCAAATCGTTGTCTCAGTACCGTGACGCTTTCTTTTTAGCTGTCCCAGCTTAATTAAGACAAAATCATTTTGTGCTCTTCGGAAGTCAGTACCTTTTACCTTTGCTTCGAAACAAAGACGGTTTTCCATGAAAGATCAGAATACCTTCTTAAAGTTGAGCCCATCAAAGGCTGTACTTGGGTTGATTATTAAGTAAAAAGGCCAGGTAGCTTACTAGAGATTTAACAGTGGCCTTTTGAAAACATCCCACAATTCAAAAAGAAGCCTTGAAATCATGCTAGCTTTGCTTAATTTACCTACAGCACATATAACCACACCGTTACATACGATCGAGACCTGCCCTGCTGCTTTTTCTACTTAAACTTGAAACTCCTCATCAACTGAAATAAATGGATGTTGTGCTCACACTAATTCTTGACAAACTAAAACTTACCGACAAACTAAGTCATCCTCAGAAACGGCGAAGGAGGTTGCACTCCCATTAAGATAAGATTACCAACAACTGAGGCAGAGTTAAAGAGTCCTCAAGAAAACTGTTGATGTCAGCAGAGAGACAATCAACAAAAAACTATAAGACAGTTAAGAATAATTGTTTTGGCAAATATTCAATCCTGTTGAATTTGACGCCTTCTTGCTTGTTCACATACTTGCTTGTGAATGGGATTTGATTCACATTCAAGGACGGGGCGAGGTTCACAACTTTGAACAACTGTGCAAGCAAGTAATCCAACAGGTCAAGAAAGAAATGTGCGGCACATTACAAAGCACAAAATAGGACAAAGGGGACCCTAGACTGTCAAGCAACTGAAGTTTCACATGAAGTAAGAATGGAAAAGCTTAATCAATTTATGGAAGATGTTGCAGGCTTTCAATTCAAGATGAGTGAATATTTTCAGAAAACAGTGAAGAATCTTGTCATCATCATGTATTCAAATGAATAACGGTCAAAGATTAGCAAATCGTTGTATTTCACGTTTTATACAGCATCTTCAGTTGGACTGGGCTTCGTAATAACTCAATCTGTGGTGTTATCGTAACCATCAGTGAAAAAGGATTACCAGAGGTGTCATCTTCTCCTTTTCACAGGTCACTGCAGAGGGAACGTTTCTTGATGTAAGAACTATTGGGCGGTTTTGTTATGAGGATGACCTGCTGACTCTCTCAGCAGTTTACACTGAGGCTCAGGCTGAGAGTCAATCAGGCTTCCCTCGCCTGTACACCGACAAAACCATCAACTCCCTCAAGCATAGACTTTTGGTCTACCTCTGGAAGAGGGCTGAACAGGAAGGAGGAGCCACTGCAAAAAGGAGGTACACAGCATCACTGTCAAGCATTCAGTTTGCTCTTTTGTAAATGGGAACATACTTCAGGGCTAAAATTTCTTCTCAGGCTTCTGTGTTTTTTCATTTCGTTATTTGCCCTCCACTCTGCTCCTCTGATAATGCAGTTTTTATACTTACCTTAATGGACATCAACAGAATTTATCACTGATATCACACATTCAGCATTTTCCTTTAATAGGTTCCAGGAGATTGTGTCCAACATATACAGCCACAAAAACAAAGTGTTCTGCAAAACTTACTTTTTGCTTAAGTTTAATTCAAATAGATAACTTTGATATAATCTTTATTCATTGAATTTTGAGAAAATATATCAATATTGATTGGTGTTATTTTGGTGATTCGGTGGTCTTGACAGTGCCCCATAGACTCTCTGTGTGGCTCAGTAAGGCAAACTTCCTGACCAGTCAAATGCAGTCATATGATGGCCAGCAGACCACTTGGTAGTCGTGCTGGCATTGTGAACCAGTACAAATCAGCTGATAAAGGTTTACTGCCCTCAGTGAACAGCCAAACCTTTTAGCAATCACCCTTTGTGGCTCACCCTTCCTGAGGGGGGTTTTGTCAAAGTCAGGAGGAGCAGTCTTTGAACTTTTTTTTAGATGTTCCAACTTGTTGATTCTCTCTTTTAACATTTTGTGCTGCCATTTAGGCTCGTGCACCCTTTTACGGGCAGAGATCCAAATCAAGACCACGAGGTTTACGGGGTTTATCAGGAGCTACTGAAAGCACCTGTGATCTCCCTCAGCTGGTAGCACTTGACTGAGGCTGGAAGGCTATTCAAGTGCATCTCAGTGAATGAGAATATCATCAAAAAGTTGATGTATTTCACTTAAGTTCAAAAAGTGAAACTCGTATATATTATATGAGTTCATCACACTCAGACTGGTAGATTTCAAGTGTTGATTTCTTTTCATTTCAATGATTCTGATCCAGAGCTAATCAAAACCCAACATTCAGTATCTCAGAAATTTACAATAGTACATCAAACCAATTTAAAAAAAGGGATTGAAAACAGAGAAAAGATGGACTACGGAAAAGAATGAACATGTATAGCCGGCAGCAATGTGACATGGCATGGATGCGATCAATCTGTGACACTGCTGAGGTGTAATAAACGCCCGCCCAGGTTGCTCTACGAGCAGCCTTCAGCTCTTCTGTGCTGCTGGGTCTGGTGTTCATGGTAAGAGGATACCTTTTGCAGCATGTGTAAACCAGAGCCCTAAACTTAACCTCTGCTTCACCACAGCAGGATTGCAGAGTCAGTGGAAACCGGGGTTTTGGCTGAGCATACTTTGCTAATCCGTTAATCTGGTGTCTTTGAACACGGCAAAACAGCAACAGGTGCTCATAATGATATTTAAAAAGAGTATTGAGTGATTTAGCAGAATAAGGAACTGATAGTATTATTTCTCAAAGTTCCTGTTGGCTCACTGCTGTAAGGGAAAATTCATCTTCTACTTCAGGCCCTGATTCCGAAGTTATGATTTTCATGAGTTATTCACTCAGTGATCCATTGAATTTACTTAGCTCTCGATTTTTTTTTTCATCAGATTTTTCCAGTTTTTTGATCAACTGAGGAGGTTGAGGATGTGGAAGATGCAGCTTTTGGATGAGCATCACCTTTTTATCAAATACACCAGCGAAGACGTGGTCACACTCAGAGTTACTGACCCATCACAGGTGAAAAACACACTCACACACACACCTAAATGTTCTCCTTAACATACTGGTATGTCTGTGTTAGAGATAAATCAATCAGCTGATTTAGGCTGATGTCACAGTCATCTTTTCAAAATGAGGATGTGATTTTTTTTTTTCTTGTTGTTGATATCAAGTCTGAAACAGTCATTGGCTGGCTTTAAATGTAATTTCTGTGATGATGTTTAGAACAATGCAGTTTAATATTGCATATGTATAATGCCTAATGTGTTTCATTGATTCATTAACCAAAACACGTGACTGGCTAAGACAACCGTGCAACTGAAAAACTGATTGATGCATGAATTTCTTTTGTTTTTTTTCAACCCAAGTATTAAACACCTTCTAATGTTTTACTTTCACTTTGTTCTTTGATTATCAGTCTCGGTTTTTATGGCCATCAGCCACAAAAACAAAAAAATGGTGTTGGACAAGCACAAGTCTGTTCTATGTACAGTCTGTGTTTTATTGGGGGTCAGCAACTCAGTAGCACAGTAATTTTGTTCATTAATATAAACACTTTGTCTGTTTTTGTAAGCCTGTGTTTTATTTTTTCAACCCTTCACCCCCTCTCTTCCTACCACAGCCGTCGTTTTTCGTTGTGTACAACATGGTTTCAACGGAAGTGCTTGCTGTCTTTGAGAACACCTCTGACCAGCTGCTGGAGCTGTTTGAGAATTTCTGCGACTTGTTCAGGAACGCTACGCTGCACAGTCAGGCTGTCCAGTTCCCTTGCTCCGCTTCATCCAACAACTATGCACGGCAGGTTCAGAGAAGGTACAGATAAGAAAAATCTCCTTCGTTCCTCATAAAATGTACAAGGAAACTGTTACAGGTAGTACTGATACAGGTACTGGGTTGGGAAGGAGATTAGCAACAGTTGCCTGGAGGACAAGGAGGGGTGTAGAACTAGATGTGGTTAAAAAAGAGATCCCTTCAGGTACGGTGGCTGTACGAGGTGTACGAGATTTGTTGGTTGTATTTGTCTGTGTGGTTGACAAAATCTTTAAAGGCAGAGAGGGAGGACTAGAGAGAGGTGGGGATTTTGAAGTGGACGATTGAGCATGCAAAAGAGTTGAGAGCTTGATTAAGGAACGGTAAAACTGAATTGCTAAACCTTTTCAAGAATAACTAAGTGTTTTCCTACCGAGTTCAAGCATTTGTGGCACATCATAGGAGTATATACGTTTTCTTGACTAAGTTTTCATGCTGCAACCAGTGGGCTGAAAAGAAGAAGGCAAGTTAGCTTTTGTCAAAAATAGCATTATTTATTTCTTTTTTTTTAAGTTATAATTGGGCTTTTTTATCTTCTTATCAGTAGAACAGCTGAAGAGAGACTGGAAATGTGTGGAGTCACGAGTGAAGGAAGACGTACTGCAACCACTGTGATAAAATCTGAAGTCTGTCTCTGGGCTGCGCATAAACCATGAACTCCCAAAATATTACAATACCTGTGATGGCTTCATGGCCTGATAAACATTTATTTCTCTCAACAGGTCATTTTTCAAAACAGGATTCTGAGTCAATTAAAAAAAAACAGTTTTAGTTTTTCAGATAATGTGAACTCTTTATTGTTGCTGTTCCCATTTTTGCCTGACATGGTTTTCCAAATACTCATTTTCATTTCATAAGGTGCTTAGTGAAAAGGTGACAAGTCAGGGCTGCAGGCAGACTAGTTTAACTCCCAGACTCTTCTACTGCATGCCCATGCTGTTCCAGTCTGTGCAGCATGGGGTTTGTCTTTGTCTTGCTGACATACTGAAGGTCTTTCCTATCAGAGTGGCGGTACATGTTGCTCCAAAACATGTACATACTGTTCAGCAGAAAAGTGCCTTTACACATGTAACATGTGAAAACTAACCATGCCATGAGCACTTAGGCATCCACATATAACATCCTCAATGCTAGCTTTTGATCTGGGGGCCTCTTTTCTTCAGAGCATGGACCTATGGGCCAAAAGGTCACAGTCATCCACTTTAAGATTTTTGGGTGATCCTTTTTGTAAAGAGATTTTGTGAGATTATCTGAATCTTTTCACATTCTTAGTCATTTTAATGTAGAGGAACATGACTTTGGAAGAACTCAATGATTTGTTCGATGGTCATACAGTCTCTCTAAAAGTAAAAGTTACTCCTGAAACACTCGTCGTCAGAATGGCCTTAATACTCACTCATGCTATTAACCAAATTAACCCATTTAGTTGAGAAATATTCCTATATATCATCTATCCTGTATACATTTCTCATGAAACAAAACAATTATCCAGCTTCACTGTTGGAGTCCCTGCTGTAACTTTATTTTCCATTGAATATAAATACAGAATTGAAGAGTTCAAAACCCTCACACTTTGTAGTCAGAGACAATTTTTATAGGAAGTCCTGGAACTGGAGTCCCAGAATTGTAACAAAGTACTTATTCATTGATGAAGACTCAAATGTTTAAGATTTTAGTAAGAAGGACTTTATTGATCCCCAAAGGGAAATTCATCATTTCATATTTTATTCTATTTATATCATAATAACTTTTAGATTTTCAATGTTCATGAAAATGATATCAATCAATATCTGTGCCTCAGGTTCAAGGACACGATTGTTAATGCAAAATATGGTGGACACACCGAGGCAGTGCGACGGCTACTGGGCCAGCTGCCAATAAGTGCCCAGTCCTACAGCAGCAGTCCTTACCTGGATCTCTCCCTCTTCAGTTATGATGACAAGTGGGTGTCGGTGATGGAGAGGCCAAAGACGTGTGGAGACCACCCCATCAGGTACAGACTTGTGTCTTTGTTATAGATGAATCTTTAGCATCTCTATTAATGATGTATCAGAATCACATCGTCAAAAAAACTCCACAAACAAAATCTCTAAACGGGTCAAGTTTTATCCATTGGATCATTTTGGAAGGAAATGGCCCACAGTCAATCTTTCCCTCACATGGATTTGAACTTTTGACAGAGTAGATAAAACAATTAAAGGTAGGGTAGGCAGGATCTGAGGAAGTGCCAGTTTTGTGGCGAAATCTTGAACGTAAACTCTACCCCTCCCAACCAGTTTTCCCCTCAGCTCCTCCTCTCCCCTCCCTCTCTGCTCCAGCAAGCCCCGCCCACAAACAGATGCTCCTGCTCGCTCGTATCGTTCCAATTAAATTCAAGATATAATACAGATAAATACTTAATATGATTACAAATGAGGCCCAGTCAGTGTGAAAGTAAACAGCATTGGGTGCTACTGTAGATGCCGACAGACTACCAGCAAACACAATGTTTGCAGGACTTCTACAACTAGGATAAAGTGACAAACTCTAGGACCCAAGGGAAACAGTGTAGCGACGCTACAACATGCAGCAGGTCCCATTTGACAAGAAACACTTCTGTTACAGACACTTGGCTTACTTTGTGAAAGCGGTTTACCTGTCCAACAGAAAGGTTACAGGGTCCATAAGATCCGGGAGCGTCCCCCATCGTTTATGCTAGCTTCATTGATGTTGACCCAGCTTTTTAGCTCTTGTCCTGTCTACCTCCTTTTTCAGCGCTTGTTATTCCACCAGAGTCTCCGGTTTTTACTCCCTCGTGCCTCACACCATAAGGGAGTTTACAGTCAGCAAGAGCAGAGCGCTCTGAAATTTTAAAATGTTGACTTCTCAGACATAACAAAACACAGCGAAACTGTGATATTCCCAAATGTCATCAATAACTAATAGCTATTGACTGATATTAAAAACTTGTATTAAAAGCACTGTATATACACCAAAAAAAAGATGCTTCTTGAATGGATTCCTGCGTACCCCACCTTTAACATATTGGGCTCTATTTTTATGCCTCGCTGGAAATGTTTCCGCAGGGGCGGAGTAAGTCAGGTCCACCGCGCCGACAAGGCGTTCCCAAGCACAATTCGGTATTTTGGTGAGCGGCACAGCCCGGTGTCAGTATACCCCCTCCCTAACTTAGCTCCTCCCAGCGGCGTAAGTCGTAGCGAGGGAGGAGAGAGGGCGTGGAGTGGGTTTAACACAGCTGAGACCTGTATTGACCAATAACATCAGCTCCTCTCCTCGCCTTTAAATCCGCCACCGGCAAGGCATATTACAATTTTCGTGAAGTAGTCAAAGAGATCAAGAGATGTCTTAAGACAGTAATGCCACACGATGGTGACAGAAGGCAGCTCCTCAACAAGTGTTGCTGTAAACGCTGCAGAGGGCGTCCTCCACACACTCTCATAGAAGCACAGATGGATTTGGTGTGTGTAATGTTGGACCCACTGGTAAGACAAACACCCTTTTCCACAAATAAAGGCACTCACACAAAGTTGCACATATTTAAACCTCACGTGACAAAGGTGGGTTGTGTGTACAGATCACAACATAAATTCCAATAATGGCATTAAAACCGGAACCATCTGTGCGTAAAGGACGCATCGCACTCTGTGGCGTGGCTCTTTCTTTCATAGATGTTGGCATATAAAATAAATTTGGCTCACAAAACTGAATATTATAATATTCGTATGTAGGCTTAAAGTAAATAACTCATCTGAGCACTGAAACAAATCATCTGTTCAGCCGCCACAGCAGCAGCTGCAGCAGGACAGGGAGAGGACACGGAGACATGTCCAGGCCGAGCTGCGCGAAAAATAAAAAGGAGGAAGAAGAAGAAGAAAGAAACGGAGGGAGACGAATTAAATATCTTGTTAACTTCATCATGTGCGTCTATTCACTAGATATTTAATTTAATTTAATTTGATGCGGCTTCAGCTGTGTTGATTCGGTCAGGATGTGTGTGCAAACGCGTGCCAAACTTGCTCATCAGATCAGATATAGATCAGAATATTTCTATATAGATTCTTAATGTATGTGCTGACTCAGATTATTAGTTGTTGATGATTATTTATTGCACTGAAATGTGCCTGACACTGTGGAAACCTGCCGGTGAGGCATCAGTGACGTATGCCGGTATGCCACTGGTCTACCAAAATACTACTAGACCAGCTGCGCTCCGCCTGCGCTGAAAGCTGACCAGGTTTGAATTGGCGAGCTTTCAGCACACTTTATACGCCACCGGCAAGCACGAAAATGTCACTGCGCCAGCTGATTCTTTCGACACCTCCCCCTGCCTCGCCACTACGCCCAGCTTGGCGGATCTCAGTGCGCCTCAGTCTACAAAAATTCCAAACTGGCTGTACGCCGGGCTCCACCAGACGAAAATACCACTGCGCGGGGTCCGCCACCCTCCGCTGCCTCACCGGCGGACACGAAAATAAAGCCCCTTGTGTCAATGATTAGTTAGCGACTGAAAAACTGCACGAAGTTTCGGCTCTGAATGTAGTAGTTTGTCCACAGAAGGACAAATCCTGTATTTCCTGAAGTAGTTATCAGGAAACAACAGACCAGACAAGGCTAACATTTTAAAGATCTCACTTTCTGTCTTTTCTTCTCATCTCAAGGTTTTATGCCCGGGACTCAGGCCTGTTGAAGTTTAAGATCCAGGCAGGCCTATTGGGACGGCCTGTAAATCACGCTGTGCGCCGCCTGGTTGCTTTCACTTTCCACCCTTTTGAACCATTTGCCATCTCTGTACAGCGCACTAATGCAGAGTACGTGGTCAACTTCCATATGAGGCACGTATGTGCCTGAATAGCTTCTACAGTGTGTATGTGCGCAACTGGGACACTTATTGAAGACCACAAGGCTGCTGTTAGCAGCTACCTATGACATATCAACAAACCCTCCTCCTTTGGGAAACACTGAACAGTTTGATCTGATGGTCGCCCTCTCGCCTAATGGGACCACAATTCCTGTCTCTATATTTTACCCCTTGTGGAACCAGTGGACTCTTCTCCCTTTCATACACAGTTGTCAATCTACTCCTACTTCTCTGAGAGAGGACAGTAATTCTGCCTCTTCTCTTCTTTTGCACTGCCTCACCTTTTCTTCCCCTTTCCTCTGCAGAGCAAAGAAGGACCTATGGGGAGGAGAGGCTAGAATAAGTGTGAACAGAGATGTAGACAGTGACTGATTAGCAGAGGTGGTAAAAACCAAAGCTGTTTTTGTTTCTTGCCATGATCTACGCATTCACTCCTGAATATCTTATCAAACATGTTAGATTTGATGTCATATTTTTTTTCCATATGGGGAAGGAGGTAATTTTTATATTTTGTTTTTACCCTTTTTCACATCTGATATTGCTTGTGTATATTTATGCCAATAAAATTGACCAAATTTACATTTGTTATTCTGTTTTTTGTATGTTAAACAACGCCACAAAGAGTTTTTTTTTTCAATTATACATGTATTGTTAGCCGTGCTCTGTTGTGAAAATGTTTCTAGGTCATATGTAAAAATTCTCTTGTGTAATTTTCCTCTGTGGGTAAAAAAAATCCAGATGTAAAGGCTTGGGCAGGAACAGGCATGGCATTTGGTTGTGCTCATAGAATTGTCTATATAAAGGGGTTTTAGTTTTACACACATACACACAAACAAAAGTCCTGATTTGAATGCAAAGTTGTAAAATAGCTGGACATACAGGCAGGAGCACAGGACAAAGCAGCTGCAAGAGGTCATGGTGGTATGGAAAGCAGGTGCTGAAGGATTAAGTGTTCCCTTAGCATATGGTTACACGCTATAGTGTACCTGGGAGATTTGTGTGTCAGACAGACTGACTATCAAAGGTTTTAGACAGAAATGTTCTTCACAGGTCAAAAGATGGACAAATTAGAGATGGGGGTGGATAAAAAAGGACAAAGGGAGGTTGGGATGTGAAGACCTATCCTGTGTTTGTGCAGGAGCTGTATTATGCAGCTGTTTAGTTTTGCATAAGCACCACACTATCTAGTAGATCATGTGTTAAGGAGGCCATGTTATGTCATTGTTATGATCGTGTTTGTGTAAGACTAAGCAGCAACTTGCTGTGATAAACTAATTACAGGAGGTGCACCCAGCAGGCTTTCATATAGCAGACACAGTTACCTGTCCAATGAGAAGAGATGTATATGTCTGACTGCTGATGGAAGTCATTTACTCCATCTTTTTGTACATTCATGGTTCTTTTTCTCCAAATCCATATTTGCCAGGAGTGTTTACTGTGAGAGGAATATAAGCCATACATCTTGTAATTCTTATGTATGCACTTACTGTAAAATAATCAATACAGACTGTCCCTTGGCTGCTGAAAGGCCAATAAGGATGGTGGGCACTTTTGAGTAAAAGTTAATTCAGGAGTCTTCAATGTAGCACTGCATGAACTCTGTCCTCCCAGTACCAAGTCCAATAAATATGTTGTACCAACCTTATTCATGAGAATCAAGTAAACCTACAGCCTTCTCTCTGACCTTGGTTGCTACGGGAACATAACTGCTCTCTGCTTGGTAACCTAATCTTTTCTAATTGCTGTTGTCTTGGCAACAGTGCAACCAGTGTGATTCAGCAAAGGCCACAATCCGAACTGCTTCCTGTCGCACTGCTCGCCTCCTTTAGGAGCAGTCTGTTAACATAGAGACACATTAAATCTATTAGATGGCACTCAAGTATGGTGCTTGGTGTGCTACCTTGGCTGTGTAATTATGTTCTTTTTGAAAACCAAAGGCATGTATGTCTTCAGAATATGCATTGAAAACACTTCTGCATACTCACCCACAATGGCACCTACAGATGATCCATTTTCTACCCCTGCCCCTTCCAAACCCATCCTCAGTGGTTGTTATAGACCCCACTACGACCATTATTTTTAACAGTGTAGCAGTGTCAACATTTCATATCACAGGATTAGCACTTGAGCCATCTGTAGCCAATGCAAGTCTGTCCCTGTAGTGAACACAGTGAAATCACAGAACCACAACTTAATGAAATAGCGAACATGTTGCACACACTGAAAAGGCAAGGGTACAGTTCAAGGATTGTCCCCTTGTGCCTACCCCCTCACACCAGTTTCAGGCATTGAAAATTGCAATATAACAATCATGAATCGTTTTGCTGATGGTCTTGTTTGCTATTAAATATCATAAAAAGGCATCAATGTGAACTTAAGTCTATTTCAGTTATGTCAAAAAACTCCTCACAGCAGCTGTTATGTTTGAATGTGAACTATAGAGCTGCATGCTGATAATTACAATCCAAATATCACATGCAAAAGTTGGCTAAACAAAACTTTGCATGATACTTTCAGGTGGAGATGCAGAGGGAAATTTCTTCCTTTGAAATGAGAGGACAAAGCCCCAGATTCTGGGAATGCAAAAGGGAACGTTATAAAGTTCTTGCAAATTTAAATGTGATTTAGGTGAAGGGGGAAGCTACAAAATTAAATATGCTCAGGTTTAATAAATCAACCAAATAATTATTTCACGATTATGAAAAATTTTATGGGTACATTTCCAAAAAAAACTGCTGTTTTTTTGAGTCAATGAAATAATTATCTAAAGATGTTTTTGTAAATAAGTGTTTTAAAATTTCGGCTGGCATGACACCCCTGCCTGGCTTACATGTACAGTATGTTCAGAAACAGGATACATGCTCTCAGTGACACACACCTGGGCCACAGAGCTCACAGTTTCTTCTGTATTGATCTTTAAGAGAGAGGTGTAGATACTTCATCAATACATGGTCCCTGAAGTCACACATTGGACAAAAACACATCTTGAAATTGAGGTGTGTGTGTGTCTGCACGAGCGTGCATAGATGCAGAAGGAACAGGTTATTATTAACTGACTTTATATCTATTATAACAAAGTTCAAGTGTCATTATGTGCAAAATACTAAAACTGAAAACACAAGACATAACTATACACACTCATGCAGATTCACAGACAGACTCACTTTGCAAAGCATCAGGGTTCACGGGTGGCCTACAGGCAAGAACTTGTACAGCTGACCTATGAACACAAATGACTTTTTTTTCTTTTCTTTTTTTTTTGGTGATCACACACTATGACAATAGATATACTTGCAGAAAAAAACAGTAAATTTTCATGTTTAACGAACAAGTATCACTGTTGCAGAGAAAATGTTATGTGATCATTAGTGAGTGACAATCATGTGCTTGTTCATGCCAGTAAAGTTCAGATTTAACTGTGCATTTCAATTGTCAGCAGTAGAGTGTGTCTGAATGAAGAAGTTTTTATCATTAAGTGAAAGGCAAATGAAACATTACTGTAAGTGTTGTTAGGTACACACTGAGCATACTTGGTCCATGAGCTCCAGTCCCCTGAGACCATAATGTTACTTCAGGTGGAATAGCAGCGATAGCTGATCAGAGTTCTCCACCTGCTGGACAAAAATTGTAAACTCCACTCCACAGGTGTTTACTGGCTGTAGAGGGGGTTTCGATCTATGGAAGTCTATGACCATCTCCTTTGTCTTTGAGGTGTTGAGGAGGAGGCAGTTTTTGTGACTCTAGTCACTGAAGGCTCTTATCAGATCTCTGTATTCAGCTTCTTGTCCATTTCTGATACATGCCATGATAGCAGTGTCATGTGAGTATTTCTGGATGTGGCAGGACTCAGCGTTGTATTTGAAGTCTGACGTGTACATTGTGAACAGGAATGGCGCCAGCACTGTCCCTTGTGGAGCCCCTGTACTGCTCATTAATGTCCCAGAAACACAGTTCCCCAGCCTGACAAACTGTGGCCTTCCTGTCAGGTAAACTGTGATCCAGGAAACACAGGAAGGATCCACTCCCATCTCTGTGAGCTTGTCTTTGAGTATGGTGGGTTGGATGGTGTTGAATGCACTTGAAAAGTTGAAGAACATGATCCTCACATAAACCCCAGGTTCCCTCAGATGAGACAGGGCACAGTGAAGCATGTAGAGGACAGCATCATCCACTCCAATGTGTTCTTTGTATGCAAACTGCAGGGAATCCAGTTTGTCTCTGACCCTAGACAGCATAGGATCAGCCGCTCCAGGGTTTTCAGGATGTGTGAACTGAGGGCCACTGGTCTGTAGTCATTGAGTTCAGCAGGACATTTTGTTTTTGGCACAATGTAGGATGTTTTCCACAGAGCAGGTACCCGCCCCAGCTGTCGACTCGGGTTGAAGATCCTGTGGAGAGGTTGACACAGTTCTGCAGCACAATCTCTAAGCAGCCTTGGACACACACCATCTGGACCAGCTGCCCTTCCAGGACAAAGTCTTCCAAGCTCCATCCTCACCCCTGTTTCGGTGACAGACAAGGACTGGTGTTCTAGGAGGGAGGCAGTTGAAGTGGTTGAGACATTTGAATGAGATGGAGGAGGAAGGGGAGAAGTTGTAGTGGGGATTTAGAGGAAGGTGGAGTAGCAGTGGAAGTGGGAGTGACAGCAGTGTCAAATCTGTTGAAGAACAGGTTGAGTTCATCAGCTCTTTCCAGATCACCCACCACTGGCTGTCTTTTCTTTTTACTGCTGTGTCCAGAGATGGTACTGATTCCTCTCCACACTTCACGGATGTTGCTGTGTTGTAGATTCTTCTCTATCTTCTTTTTGTACTCCAGCTTTGCCATCTCCAGTCTCCTCTTCAACTCTTGTTGCACTTGTTTGAGTCGTTCTTTGTCACCATCTTTAAAAGCTTTCTTTTTCTGGTTAAGGATTGCTTTTATGTCTCTTGTGATCCAGGGTTTGTTGTTGGGGAAACAGCGAACAGTTTTTGTGGGTATAACTGTGTCTCTACAGAAGTTGACATATTCTGTAAAGCAGTCAACCTGTTTATCAATGTTCATACTATCCACATCTGTTTCCAGCAGCACATTCCAGTCTGTTGATTTAAAACAGTCCCTTAGAACCTCACTGGCTTGAGATGGTCCATCTTCTGATTTTGACTTTGGTCACAGGCTGCCTCAGCACACAAGGTCTGTAACAGGTTTGCAGACAGACCAAGTTATGATCTGACTTGCCCAGTGGTGGTAAGGCAGCAGCTCTGTAGGCTTCTTTGACGTTGGCATACAGCAGATCCAGGGTTTTGTTTTCTCTGGTAGGACAGTTCACAAACTGTGTGAATCCAGTCAGGTGAGAGGAGAGGGTGACATGGTTTAAGTCTCCTGATATTATTATTATTATTAGTGCCTCAGGGTGTTGAGTCTGTAGCCTGGCAACACTATTTTGCAAAACATTGCACAGATATGATATAACTAAATTCTCTTGGAACATAATAACAATTAAGTAAATTTACTCTTGTCTTGCATTTTACTGTTACTGTCAAAAAAAAAAAACTTTTCAGAGACATTGGAAAATAAGGGCTTCACTTGAAAATGCATTTGAATTGTATTATCTAGGAAAAGATATTGAATGTTTATTTAGGTTTATCATTATCTTAACCTTTAACAAGCATTTTAGTTATGTAACTTTGATGAACTGCTCATGAATTAATTACAGATATAATTTAAAAGAATCCCATTTACCAGATGTCACTTCAAAGTAAGTGTCACTGCAACAATATATTCCCTTTCATTGTCTGCAGTAAAATCAGTACTCTTACAATGAATGCATATTGCATAAGAAAAAAACTACTCAGACATTACAATAACCTTGCTAATCAATATTATCTATTTTGCTGTGGCTACTTTACATAATTTAGCTACCATTCATGTCTATAAATTTGACAGGTGGCCTTTCAGCTTAGGTTCACCTTTTTTTGTGGAACATGTCCGCAGGTCTTCTTGCCCTCTCAACCAGGAGGCTGTAAAGAAGCTGTACTAAAATGTGCTCTTAAATAAAACTTTCGTTGAGAAGTAAAACAGAAGAGTTTGTGTTGATGCCCCTACACAACATTCAAAGCAAAAATAACTGTCAGCAACAAGAGAATAATTTCTGTTACTGCTGCCACTGGGTAAGTGTCAGACAAGGTCATTTCAGTGTGCTATCAAAACAGACTTTGTTTCACCTGTCTAAGGAAATGCTGATGATTAATTGACAGTTTTTCCTTTTTTTTTTTTGGTCAAAAACTCTGCTTTTTCGAGTGAGGGAGAAATTAAGAAGAGAGACCTTACTCAATTCCATGCAAGCTGAGTCCTACTACTAAACCACTAATATCTGAACAAATATGGATATTTCCAGTGAGATTTGAAATAAAAACAGAAATACTCAAGGACCTGAATAATTGGCTAAATAATTGCAAATTTTTTACACAAAAATGAATGGTGATAAATGCTGTTTTTGCAAAGATATTGAATTTATATTCTAGCAGGTATAGTGAGTAGTTTTACAGGAAAGGAAAGCAAGAGATACTTCATATTTGATCATATTGTGACAGTGCAGAAAATCACCATTTCATCTCCTGAGAGACCTTACAATGACACATAAAAGAGGTAACCAGTCTTATAAAAAATATGGTACAGTTGATGCAGTAACAAATACATACTTTGGGGAATTTTTTTATCTGTTTCTAACTACAATCAGATTTAATCTCCATATATTTCCAACAGTTTACAGAAATCTAGCTGCAGCACTTTCAAAAGGGGCATACAGGTTGTCAAAAAAGTGCAACAGGCTACTCCTCACATTAAGTATGAAAGGCTGTTTAGAGCTTATAACTGACGGTTGTTTGAAATTCTATTTACATCAAAACTCACCAGACAAACTAATCGAGGAACTCTGCCCTATTTCAGACTTGTGTCTATAAAAGCATAAAAAAAAGAAAGAAATAACAATAAAAGTGTCACACAGCACAGCACATGGATCGTATCACCACAGTTCAATCAATTCTTAAAACTAGTCCCACCTGTGCTGCTGTGAGGCCGCAGGGGTCCCACAAGTCTACTGAGGCACAGCACTGAGCAACACAGCAGGACTGTGTAGAAATGAACCTTTTTGTCCACCTGCCTCTCTGGCTGGTATATCCTCCACAGGTAGTTCCTCCTTACAGCCGACATGATTCAGGACGATTTTCATTTTTTACTGTCATCATCAAGCAGGAGCATAAGGCAGAGCATAAAAATCAGCAGGAGAGGGGAAATCAGAGTATGCAGCATAAGGGAAATAAGGAGGAGCAACAGAAAAGAAATGAGGAGGAAAAATTTGAGGGACGGAGAAAAGCATGAAGGGGAGCAGTGGGAGGTGAAGGAGGGCAGTCAGGACGATCAGCAGGAGGAAGAGGGGCACCACTTGAGGGAAGAAAAGTATCATACTGTCAAAATCTGTGCATCCATAAGAGAATTATGAATGGTATTCTGCTGTTGGAGTACAATGACCACATATGAGCGATAATAACTGTTGGAGCCATTATTTAGTTTCTTTTGTTAGTTTCATTTCTTGTTTCTATTCCTTGGTTCTTTGCACCGTAAAAGGGTATTTAAGTAAGCCCAGGTAGTGAGTCAGGTGTGAAGAGTGGAGCTATACAGATTTTTGACCATGTCAGGATGGCAGCAGGTGAACTTTCTTTGTTTTAATGGAAAGAAATGGGTCACCGTACTCAAAGAAAGAATATTGGAATCTTGGTTTTTATTGTCACATCACATGTCAGAACGAGTCGTAACTCTTCACCTATTAGAACTCAGGTGTATAGTCTCAGTGGAAAGACTCTACAATATCTGTAGTTAAGACAACAGTTATTACACTTAGAATAAAAGCAGACAGCAAACAGCAGCTCTGCTGCAGGGAATAGAAACCTCAGGACAGCATCACTGATTTTAGACTTTGGACTCTGACTGCATATCAGCAGCACCATTTGTGAACCATGGAGGCCAGGATCGACAGTTTCAGATCACTGTACAGAATGTCGGTCTTCTGTTTCAATCCAGATCCACATGCCCATAATTCTGACCAGAACTGTACCATGCAAGATTCACTTAAACAGCCCATGCTAATCATCACACCTGCTTTTTGCATCTATCACAGATCTCTTTCATATCCTGTTTTTTAGTGCATCTAATTAATAAGAGCAAGAGTTGAGGAGATGCACACAGTGGCTGCTCCACCAATCCAGATCTCATCTCCTCACTTGACATCAAAACACACTATGAACCAGTAAATCTCCGAAAAACACACTTTTCATTATTTTAAAATTATAATTATATGAATTAAGTTTAACAGCCATGGCAAAATACATCGAACAAACACACAATTAAACACTGTCTCAACGGCAAAATATGGGAATTTATCAAAATCGTGTGCATTTATTATATTTAAACCAGGTTCATAGGGCAGCTTAATAAAGATGTCTGCTTCTTGGAAACAGAGCTTTTCTTCTTTAAACTTCTAATCTATCAGTTAAAAAACAGGCATGAAGGAGAGGAATGCGCACAATGGCTGCATTACAATTCAGTCTCAACACTTTAATACATATCTATTAATTATTTAAACAGACTTCATACCATTAAATAACATAACTATCACAGCCAAGGCATGAATGGCAAGGCATGCATGCGCATTCCACCTACTTGAGGCTCGCTTATCACAGTTCCAACATCTCCAAGTTACAAACAGAATCAAGTTTTGTAAACATTCGAAAAAAGTGGCCCAGGCGCCGTCTTTAATAATTTAATTTCGACAGTAACCTTTGAAAGTTGAAGTCTTTACACCATACCTACATGAACAAATAAAAGGTTTTTCACCTCAGCACATCTCAGTCAATAAAATTGACTGTTTTCTGCATGCAAATTTGAACATTTCTGACATTAAAACATGGCCTTTGGTCAAGAAGATATCATCAAGTGAAATCCATAACTCCATTCTCACAACTGGTTAATTAAACTTCTATTAACTGTTGACCTTAACACTTAAATCCTACTTGATAGACGATAACTTTTCCTAAAAATCATTTAACGAGTAAAACGAGAATTTTAATATGAAATTTCGAAGCTGTCTCACTTGTGACACTGCTGTGCCACCGCCTGACCTGGGTCAGGGGGCACTCCACCGGACGGGATCTGCCAGAAGCCATTTTTCATCAGAGATCTAGGATCAATAGGTGGTCTCAGGTGTTGTTTCCTTCTTGTAAAATCCAGGTGCTTGAAAACCAGGTGAAGTGAAGTCTTTTTCAAAATTATCCACTGCTCAGTCACGATTCAGTAAAAGTCAGTAAAACTTCATGTTTCCATATGAAAATAGACAGAAATCAAAAATGAAATGAACGCTTGATAATTCCTGCCTTCAAGTTTTTGTTGAAAATGCTTCAGGAGCTCGTGATGAAACTGATTCTATGCTTGTTTTGAAGCTTTTCTGTAGTGATTTTTTATTATTATTAAAACCACTTTTGTCAGTAAGTTTGGGCTTTATATCTTTACTATGTGAAAACAAACACAGGCTTCACATGGTTACCTTTGGGGGGGCCCAGCTAGCAAAAGGCTGAGAACCCCTGCTCTAAAACCTTTAACCTTCAGCATTAATTGAGCCCTATGAACTGTGTCATGGGCCTTTAGGCATCCCCACAGGGATGCTGAATTTTAAGGTGTGTGCTGAAAACAAAAAGTATGGAAAGCTTCTTATATTTCATGTCTCTGTGTTTTAATGAGAAGCTCTGCTGAGCACTTCAGCACTTGGTAGCTCCTTATTGCATGTCTGTGTGAGTCTGCTTTGGGATGAAACCAACTGTAAATATCGGTTGGTCTTTTTCAGGCAGGAAGAGAGACATGGTTGACTTAAAGTTTTAAAGCGATGAAATTAGGATAGTTTAAAAAATATATCAGCAAAAGAGTATAAAACCTCTTACCCAATCTTTACAGCTTGACTCATATTGAAGAAAGAAAACACAAAAAAACATTAAAAAACACAGCTTTTCAGTATCCCTTTGACTCTCAGTGTACTGTGGTTCAACTTCGAACCTTAAAACTATAAAAAAGTTTGATCAAACTTAAGGTATTGAACTTTATCAGATACGGGGCCATCTTTTGTGATTGGGAGAGTGGGGTAAGATGAGCCATTTTTCATATCTCAGATCACTATATCAAGGCAATCAGAGTTTGTCTCTCACTTGTGTATCTGCATATATTTCAAGATGTTGTGCATCCCTACCAACAGAATGAGTGTAAATATAACTGTCTTGATATTATAGCATGCCAAAAAAAGTGGTCTCCTATGGTCAAACTTGGGGTAAATTGACCATAGGAGCGGGGTAAGTTGAGCCATATCCCTACTGCCCCCCCCCCCCCCCCCCCACCCCCCACCCCCCAGCCCTCCCTCACCTTCTCTCTCCCTAAATAACAGTCACTTCTTCACATGTGTATTTTTCATGTGTATTTTTATCTATTATACACTATTCAACTGGTACAATAATTCATTTTATTATTACGGTTTCATAAAACTGCTAAAAAGCTGTTTTGTAAAAAGCCATTTTAACATGAGAATACCTTTAAGTGATTCAACATTCACAGCTGTAGTTTTGAAAAGAAAAAGTAACACATTTCAACAATCTGAACTGGAACTCTGATCCTCTCATCAGACTCCTTTACTTTCTCAGTTACCCCAGAACTACTATTATGACTTTATTAGTCCTCTAAACTAAAATGGTGGACTTTTATGCTAGGTTTTTGAGCTCATGTTGTAGCTCATAGATAACACAGTTGATGTATAGAACAAATTTAAAATGATCTTTTTTGGTCTGAACATAATTCTAATAAAACTTATGACAGACTAAATTCACTTTTAAGAGTGAAAAAAGTTTTTCTGGAAATAAATGTCCAACCCCTTCACCCATGTGCTTTTAACCTATACAGACTCCATGAATTGATGCCCGTCTTCTAAATATTTGGTCATATGATCAATTTCTTTTAACATTTCCAAGCAACAGGGGGTGGCTCAGCTTACCCTTTGGCTCAGCTTACCCCACTTTTCCCTACTTCCGGTTGTATAGGCCTATTCCGCTCCGATTAGTTAAGAAGCCCATCTACACACCCTATCGAGGTACCAAAACAAGAGAAAACTAGACACTGGATTCCTTAGTTGATGGTGGAGTGTGTGTTTTTGTACTAACAGGGTGGACACAAGCAGCTGAGAGAGAGGGAGGGAGGAGGCACGTGACGTCAGGGGTCAGCTGACAGGTTTGTTTTGCTTGCTCGATTAGATAAAAATACAGCCAGAGGAAGGAAGCAAGCAGCGACATCAAACCTTTAGTGAACGAGATCTCTTTAGTCAGTATTTAAAACTGTGAGCCAAAAACATCGAGACCTCGGATAGTTTTCGATCATCGGTTCTCCTTGTTTTGATCCTGTCCCTACCTTCTCGTTGCTCTCTTCCTGCTGGTTGACGCAGTATGCCTTCAGAAAAAACCTTCAAACAAAGAAGGACATTCGGTAGGTGAAATAACTGCCTGTTTGATTAACCCAGAGAAGACGTCGACAACTTTACAAGTACTGGACAGCTTTACATACGAGACAGTAGTGAGTGAAATGTTCAGACAGCTGCATTGAAACCAACATGCTCGTTTTTTGGATTTTATGAGGCAGCGAGCATTGGCCCTCCTCGTAATAAGCTTACCAACGCGTATGAAGGTTTTCTTCTGTAAACCACAAGTTTGAGGGGGGAAAAACGACACGGGTCTGTGACAGTCAACTTATTTGTCGTTGAAAAAGAAACGAAACTGATAGCGTAGATAAAAGCTTGTTTAAAGACTAGTTTAGAATCGGGTTGTGCTCTGCGTGGCCGTCGGTGGATGAGCGTCTGCGTATTTTTATTTCTAGCAGTGGGGACAAAACAAAATGATGTCGAAACGCAGAGCAGAGGGTAAAACTGCAGCAGGATCAGGGAACTGGGCAGTTTATGAAAGAGAAAATATGAGTTAAAAGACAGAATCGACCCAATGTATACCTAAGGGAGAAAAATGTGGCCTTTTTCCTTTCCCCAGTTTCTTACCTTTTTTTATTGGTCTCGATCATAGCCTACGAAATAAGCTGTTACACTTACCCAGCTCACATTGTCAAATAACTAATAAGTTTGCCCAACTTTGTCAACCCACTGTGTTTTAAAGGTGACTTCAGAAGTAGTTAAAGGCTTGAAGAAACTGATTTCCACTTCAATGTCACGTTATTGGTCCTAATTTACACACAAGCGCACGTGAGCGGCCAGACAGCAGAAAGGAAACACAGTGTCGCATGGGAAGTTTTTTTCCTTTTTTTTCCGGGTACACATTTGCTGCAAACAGACTGTAGAGGTGTCACATATTGACACACACGGGACCTGAGGCTTTTCTGCACGGTGCATGTTTGCAGTTATTAGTAACCTGTGTTTTTCTTTGTTGTGTCACTGTTACACACATCAGGACCAGAATATTTGGCATTTCACTGTGTCCTTTGTCTTCACTAGGCCTGGTTTAGTTAAGACCAAGTTGAAGTCTTAGGTGCCAAACAGTGAGTCATATCTCTGTAACAGATCCTGGCATGACTTCAGAAACCACATGGAATCTCCCAGTTACATCATCCCAGAAACTCATAGAAAATTTAAAGAGTCATTAGCTTCCTCTTATTATTTGTTCCAGATTTATTTGACCATGACTCACAAACTGAAAGGCCCTCAGCCTGGTCATGTGATACAACTGAGTCAGCCCATCCCAGGAGCAGAGCTCTTTGGGCTGTTTGCCAAAAGACAGAGCTTGCCCCCTGATTGATATGTTGTCAAAGAACAATAGCCTCAGTTGCTTTGGGGATAAAAACAATGACCTCAAAAAGCAAAACATCTTATAGTTGGTAAAATTAAATGGCCCCATTAGCCAGTACAAAATAGTCTTTTTTTGTCAAACATTTTGTGGTGGCATGTCACAAGACTGGATGACAGTATCCTTCAGTGTATATCTGACATCTGACAAGAGCCTGTGAACTCTTTTTCATAATCTATTTGTGGAAAACCAACACTAAGGTTTATTTTCACAGGAAATGTTAAATGTTTTATTTTACTTTTAAGTTGAAAGCCCAAAGAAGATGATAGTGATATTGACTTATTTAAGTTGACTTCATTATTCTGATGAGACCAGCCAACAGCCGAGTACAAAGTGCAGTAAAGCCAAACTGTCATAGTTTTCTCCTGTTACAGATTACTTCAAATAAAATCAGACCTCAGAAAAGGGGGCTTTATTCTTGGTGATTGATTGGTAAGTGATTTACCTGATCAGTGACTGAAGTGCTGTCTTTTGAATGTAAGGGGGAAACCACTTTTGAAAATGTCAATACTTGGCAAAAAGTCTTTAATGTGAGTTTTAGTGTGTGTAAACTCAACACACTGGAGTTATTTCCTAAAACAAAAGTGAACCATAATCGATAATCAGCTATTCACAAATGTGGGTAAAGCATGAATGGATTTTAGAAAAGCCCATTATGATTTCACCAGAGTGCCTGATTGGGCTAATCGGTCAGACAACTGCAGCCTTATCAGAAAGTTTTAATTCTCTTTCATATAAAATTTCAAAACTCAATTTGTGATGTTTTCACCACGTTTGTTATCAACTTGTTTTGAAAAGCTGTGATTAGTCATCCACTCTTAATGGACTAGACATTTTTCTAGATCTAGATTTTGGTGGACTGTATGATAATAGCATTGTTAAAACAGAGCTGTTAAACATGAAAACACGTTGGCTGGTGCTCCTGCTGCTGCAAGCTCACCAAATGTATTTGATTCAAGTTGGAAAAAAAAAACAAATGAAAAAATCCCAGCTTGGTTGGGTCAGCAAAGTTTTTTTTCCAATCTGTGTTTTTTCATTAACTTAAGCCTAATGTTTGTTTGTTTTTTGGCCCACAGATCAGAGAGTAGAAGATGTGAGACTGATTCGAGAACAACACCCTAACAAGATACCTGTGAGTCCCATCACACATTCACATACAACGGTTGCTTAATAACCAAAGCTTGTGTGCAGTTATACACTTTGGTGGAAACTACAAGTGCAAAACTGTATTATCATGATGTGCCGAACAGCAAGCAGGAAGACGAACTGCAGCGGAAACTGTTACCACATGTTTCCTGAATGACTTATGTGAACTCATATTTTTCCTCATGTAATATGTTGACACATTTTTAAACTTTGGACTTTGACTAAGAAAAACTTGGATGCCTTCAAAGCATGGAGAATCCAAACACATTAAACATCACATAAGACAAAGATAACTATCCCAAATAGTAGCTGTCATTAGTATTATATCAAAACCACTTCAGACATAGAAGACAAATATTCACAGAAGTCCAAAGTGATTTTTGTAAATGTCTTCTCAGTCTGATGCATGTGTTAAAACTTATTTAAAGTTGACAATTCACTGAATACAGTCACTACAAAAGTTGTTTCAGTCTTCGAGGTGGGTGTGACTGCATCTCATCTGCTTATCAGTCAGATGTCAGTGAGCCTAAGAAACGACTTAAAAACAAAGCTCAGTGTTTCACCTACTTGTTCCATTAGTTTTAGATACAGTGTCGGCACAGTCCTCCATCTGCTGCCTAGAAAACAAAGCCTCTTCTCAAATTAAAAGCCTTCAAGTGTGTGTGTGTGTGTGTGTGTGTGTGTGTGTGTGTGTGTGTGTGTGTGTGTGTGTGTGTGTGTGTGTGTGTGTGTGTGTGTGTGTGTGTGTGTGCGCACATTTTTTTTGTGTGAGCCACTGGGGTTATTCAATTCACAGCGAGTGTGGAAACCAAAGGCAGATGCGCTGTATCTCTGTAATATAACTCCGTGAGCACAGTCACCCTGGGGTGGAGCCTGTGAAGGAAGGGAAAGCAGAAACTGTCCTGCCTCACAAACATTATTCCTGCTTTTTCACTAAATTTTGCACTAGCTAAACTTAATAATTAAATGGTCATATTATTTAGTTTTATCATTTTAGATTTTAGATTTGACACTTATTCGTTACAAATCTTAAATCTACAAACATTGGCTGAAAAAGCTTTCATTTATTAAGTTTTTCTTTATACAATATATTAATGACCTAACTGATCTATTATCAGTGTTTATTACCTTCACTGGGCACCTGTGGCTCAGTTGGTAGAGTTGGTTGTCTCCTGAATGGAAGGTCTGGGGTTCGATTCCAGAGCTGTCTCTATGCCGATATGTAATTTGGCAAGACACTTGACCCTGTCTACCCCTGCCGGCTGTGCCCAGTGTGTGAAAGAGTGAATGTGACATGTGATGTAAAGCTCTTTGAATGTTCATAAGACTGGAGAAAGTGCTCTGTAAACCTAGTTCATTTACCATTAATGTTTTACTTTTCTTTACTTGAGGGATGTCTTTTCTGAAAACTGTCAAGACAATTAGAAAATCTATCTTTGCAGATCTGCACCCAGGAGAAGGCGAGGTCAAGTGTCATTTATTGAGGGTGTGTATGTGTCTTCTGTAGGTGATCATTGAGAGGTATAAAGGAGAAAAGCAGCTTCCCATACTGGACAAGACCAAATTCCTGGTGCCCGACCACGTCAACATGAGCGAACTCATCAAGATTATCAGGTAGACCTGAGTCTTTCTGCTTCACAGCCTTTTTCTTTAATTTCTTTCTTCCCCCTTCATGCCTATTCTTGTGTCTATTCTGTGTACCCCCTGAGATACTTCATAGTTTTGACCCGCTATCCTTTACTCTTTAATATTTCTTCCTTTTCCTCAAATCATTGTTTTCATTTTTACCTCCACCCCCTCTCCACTTTCTTCTCTATTTCATTTTCACTGTCTATCCTTTCCTTTCTTGTCCAATCTACCTTTTTTCTCCCTTCCTCTAATGGGGCGCTCATACCAAGCACGAGTAAAATCATCTCCTCGCTTAATTTGCGCCAATCTAGACACGTGAATGAATAGTAATTACTTACTTCATTTGTATGTTTATAGCCGTTTATGCTAATTTCAACGGTAATCCCTGCCAATTCAACCGTTGGGATCAAGTGATAGACAAAGGTTTTTTACAATTTACCAGGTAATCCGACCTCCTCACTCACCTGCCTCCAGGTGAGCTCCTTTTTATTCTGGTTACGGTAATTGAAAGAAAAGGTATTGTATAATTTGGGGCACCCACACCCACACACCAACATGATCAGTTTGTCCTCCATTTTAGATACCAGTGAACAACCGTCCATTTTCATACTTCTTGCTAACTGGTTATCGCAACGTGAATGTCCGCCCAAATTGTGACATTTTAAGATCCCACCCAATTCGCGTCATTCATGCTGCCAGATTAATAGGAGCGTCTGATCACGTCTTTGCATTGACTTAACATGTAATTCAGTCACAGGAATGATCTTACCTGTGCTTGGTGTGTGGAGCCAGTTAGTCTCTTCAATATACTGTACAGCTCTCTCCTCACTCCTCTGCCATCTTTCTTCTGTCCACCAGGAGGCGCCTCCAGCTAAACTCCAACCAGGCCTTCTTCCTGCTGGTCAATGGCCATAGTATGGTGTCAGTGTCAGCTGCCATCGCAGAGGTTTATGAACGAGAGCGGGATCAAGATGGCTTCCTTTACATGGTGTACGCCTCCCAGGAGACCTTTGGGGCTATCAGGACCACTCAGTGAACCCCCCGCTCTCTTGAAGGTTGTTGGACTGTTAAAGTTTTTAGCCTCCCAGTGTCTCATGCCACCCATAAATTTAGTCTGAACTGTAAGAACTAAACAACAAACAGTATCATATAAAGTGTTAGATATGTTCTAGTTTTAATAGGTTCCGGTTATGATTTCCATTGTGGGATGAATAAACCGTTTTAAAGGCCACCACTCTCTCTCTCTCTCAGTGTCATCGACCTGACCAGAGTTTGACCAGAGTAGCATAGTTTTAACACAGAAATCCCCAAATTTGGATGATTGTAAGGTCAGGTTGCAGTGATGGTCTCTGCCTGTGTCATTGTCATAGAAACCTACAGCCTGTTGCTGGCAGTTACTCCCATTGTTGTAGTCACAGGTTTCCTGTGCTGTCTATGTTCATGTATCTACACAATTCATTCAGTGACATGACAAGAAGTGGTAATGCATCACTGGTTATTTATATATACATTATCCATTGAATACAGAGAGAATTCAAAATCAAGAAGAGATGGACCATGTCAATAAATGCATCTCTGCTTTGTATTTCATCCCAGTCCCCTAATGTGTCTTTGTTTTTTTAATCCCTCCCTGCTCGTGAGCCTGGAACATCTCGACTGTAACACAGAGATAAAGAGAACTGCTTTTGCTTTTGGAAAAAAAAGATGATTGTGGAAAAAGGTCTCGTTGTACAGATAATATTGACTTCACAGCTTTGAATATAAGAGAGGTTCCAGACAGTATAGTCGAGTTGATTTTGGACACACAAAACTAAAGGAGCATGGTTAGACTGCATGTGTGGGTGGAGGCTGTAAATGTTGATGACTTAAGAGGTTGCCATTTACTTTCAGTTCCCCTTTCAAATGTAATTATTAAGGTTTTTTAAAGGAGCGGAGGAAAAAACAAGGAATGAAACAAGCTGGTTAATCAGCTGACTGTCTGACTGTCTGTGTTTTGCCTTTGCCCAACAGGGTTGATGAGCCAGAGCTGTCACTGTTTTTAAGTGTCACTGCACCAAATTCAACAAGTGCTGTTATTATGGGAAACTTACATCTGTCAGTTGGGATTTTTTCTAGGAAAAAAAACAAAAACATCTTCCATCAGTGGTCTTTTCCACTCTTTTCTGTTGTGTTATCTCTCCGTCATAACCTTTAACTTTACAGATCTTGGCTTAGCTTATTTTAATTGCAGTGTTTTATAATCTTGGTTCTTCTAATTTATAATTTGAGTTTCATTGTATTACTTGTCTTAGCTCTTCTCAGTCTTCTCTGTCTGGTACAAAGGTGACTTTTTTCTGACAAGTGAAAGCCACTGTGTGTCTGTTACAGAGGGGTGGAGCATTTGTTACAGTACTGTTTTTTCTGCCTGCTCCTTTGTTTCACCCACACACACACTCAGCAATATCACTCAAGCCTCCTCTAATGTATTTATGTTGGTATTTTGTAAACAATAAAAGGAGTTAAAATCTGTATGTTTCCTGCTGTCTATCGTAAAGCACTGTTCCATGTTTTAGTGTGTTGGCATTGTGTCTATAGAGTGTCCATAATGTTGCACATAAGAATCAATTGGAATTTTTTTAAAGTACAGTTTTATGGAAAAATGAAAAGTAAAAATAAAAGTGAACTAGACATCCCACATATCGGTGCTGTTGCTGTTACAAATATTGTTTGTACAAAACGTAGACATTTTACAGCAATACACAGTGGTCTACGTCTCCACGCCCAAGCCTCAACCAAAAAGCCACTCTGTAGCAACAAATTATGCTCAGAACAGCACCTAACTTCATCAACAGAACATACAGGGTCCCAGCCATAGTACTAGCCACCAGACATCTTTTTAGCTTTGCCTGGTTTCTTTAGCAAAATACTAATGACACAACTCACCCACTCTCTTCCAGACGCTTGTTTGTGGGGGGAGCCCTGACAAGTCGATCACCGAGTGTAGCGGAGTCTCGCAGCTCAAGGAAGAACATTTATTACTTCATGAAAATACAATCAGAGTTCTTGTGTATCTTGTATCAGCACTGCAGACACAATAGTTCTTCTGCCTTAGCATCTCGGTCTGATTGCGTTTCCATGAAGTAATAAACATAAATTTTCCGCTGCACGTAGTCCTCTGTGTATTGCTATCATGCGGTTGTTACTTAGGATAGTATATCTAGAGAAGCAAGTAGTCAGCAACATTCATCTCACGAGGGGATGTCTAACTCAGTATTGTGGTGTGTTTGACCATAACTTCAATTTACGCTGGAATATCTCTTTAAGGTCCTATTCTACAACTCCACCATGTAAAATATTGTAGCCACTTGCCACAACCCTTGATAGTTGATGCTCTGTGTCCTCTGTAATTCAAACATTTGATCAAATGTATTAAATCAGCAGTCATTTTGCAAACACACAAAGATGAATGAACAACAGTGCCAATTTTAATATCTGTGCAATGCACTTTTTAAATAAATATGGAAAATGGTATAATTATGCCTGTAAGAAGTCATTGACACATCATGCTCAGGGAAAGAATTAGAAAACAGTTTATTGCCCCAACATTTTTCTTTGCCCAAGATAAGATGAAACAAAATGGTAAGCAATACAATATCTGACACCAGACAAACAAAAGCTGTTAAGAAAGGGTGAAAAGTTTGCACAAAAACATTGATGAGCACATTTTATCAAAGATGATGTAACAAGCATGCTGTATCATCAGTTTTTTTTTTTGAATCCCTAAATTCTTTGAAAAACTTCAGCACTGAAAAGATCCAAAAACATGACAAAAGTTTGTCAAAAGAAGGCATTCTTTGGTATGAGCCAGGAGACAGGAGAACTTAGTACCGAGTAACCATTGAATAAAGTATTTCTATGGGCCATAGGCTCCCCTGTCAGAAAAAGTGAAATGAACATTCATCTTAAAAACACAACCCCCCCTGTGTGTTTTATGAAAACTTCAAATCAATCACAGGGGCTGGTTAATTTTAAGTCTGATATTCCTGCAAGACGGTTACATTCCCAAGTCATTTTACACAGAAAAGCACATTGCTGAGTAATTCTTAATTACATTAAGAAATTGTTCCATTTACTGAATGTTCAGTACTTAACAATTTAAATAAACATACCTCTATACAATACCACCAGATAGTTTTTCCTGAAGGACCAGCATTCCTTGTGTCTGTAAACTCTGGGTCCTGCCCAGGTTTTCATTTAGTCAGAAACTTAAATATACTGCAAAACATTCTCTAGCTTACAACTTCACTTACTTAAATTACCAATTATACTGGGTATTTGTAAGTGATCTGGTGCACAATCTGCAGATATGGGACACTTTCTCAACCTGGACAAAACATAAGGCAATTAAAACACCATGTGGGCTCTTGTTTGGGGGACACTAAACTGGACTGGATAGCACCATTTGTTGTAACAATACTAGGATAAGACATGTAAAAGGGGAGACATTTGCTTCCAGAAAATCTTGCCAGACTTCAAGCAGCTCAAAACACATATTTCAAGAAAAGGTGGGGCATGCAGTAAGAAATGAAGACTTCTTTGCCTCTGATGTGAATTAATTGCATAATGTTTCTTTAGAGGTTACATATGTAGAATTTAGTGTCATATAGCAAAACAGACTTGGTAGAAATCAATGTATTTGACAGTATAAATTTGATAAATAAAGGATCAAGCTTATCGTCATCACAGGAGATTTTTTGTCCTTGGAGGACATAGTTGCTTTATGAACAGGAGTGAGAATATATAATGCTTTATTTTCAAATTTTCTACAGACTGTACCTTTACTCACGAGAGGAGTGCTTGAATGACAATGAGTTCTTAAATTATTGTCCAGTCACTTACATCAAAATCATGACATATTGAGGAAAAGAAAATATGGCACATTCTTCCCCAGTGTGGGGAATATTTGTAAGTCTAACCTCAAAACTACCCCTGGTGTTAGTTCCTGCTGATGGATGCTTTACATCGCAGCCTCTGCAATCAATGTATGAATGGGTGAATATGGCATAAAATGCAAAAGCCTGATATAAATACTGTCCATATTTCCATATTTAGAACAGTAGGCCATTTTGCTCTCTCCAGGCAGGGCTGAAGGAGTTTCATTGACATAGAAGTGGAAGTTTTACCTTCTTACTCTAATCGCAAGTTGCTGAATAGTGCCTCTAGATTCAAAGAGTGACCTGTGGGCACAGGGACTGGATATTCTGAGTCGTGTTCCCTCTAATATTGCATATTTTAAGACTCGTAAATATCATTGTCCAGATTTCCTAGCAACGGGTTTCCTATGCGGCTTACTGTTACTGAGAATCTAAGTATCGTTGTCTAATTTATAGATTCCAATTCTTATTTATTTTTATACATTCCTATTTCTATTCTCCTTCTATTAATATTTTTATTTAAAGAGCAAGTGTAATGATATAATGCCCCACCCCACCCCCATAAATAAAATATTCTGAATTTGATTGTAATTATGAGTTTTTCGATTTATGTCAATATGGATCTTTAGCAATACATATAAAAAACCCTGAGCCAAAAGAGCAAAATACAGAGATATAACACTGACATAATTGGATGGAAGTGTGTAAACGTATACTGTTGAACTAACACAGCCACACCGCTGCCTCTAAGTGAAATTCTGCTAAGTGTACTACCCACACTCTTTCCTGACCACCACCGCTATTTTTCCACCAGTGCCAGCCTTATTATGTTCCCTTTGTTGTGCCCTCTCACCCAATCCCTTCCTGCGCCATCTCTGTTCCCGCCATAAAAAGCCCAAACAAGACAACCGTGCTCTCCAGCTGACTGTATTGTTTGGTGGCCCACCTGGATGCACTCTTTTAAAGCTAGTTCAGTCAGGCTGATCTGTCAACTTGTTGTGATTGTACAGATGCAGAAAATAGGCCAAACATGGACCAAGGTTGCTCCATTTGTATCAGCTTAAGCAAAGCCAGATGCATCAATTCCAGTCCCTCATTGCTACCCACTACTGGCTAGAAGCGGGACTCTGAGACAAGTTTTTTCCTGTCTCAGGATGCCACAGTTAATAGTAAGGAACCTCCACTTACCTCCACTAGGATTTCCTGTGTCACTCCCTACACAAATATGTTACAGCCATCACTTCCAATCATCAAATAGAACCAAATAATCCTACTGATCTCTAAATTCCTCCTCTCCCTATGTGGTTCTGAATTTGAACTCCTTTCCCTCCCTTGATCTATGGATCAGTAAGCTATGGGAGGGTGGAGGCTTTTCTTGTTTGTTATCAATTCCTTTTTGTTTCCTGTACATAAAATGCCTAATGCCACGTCAATGCAGGCAGTCTAACATTTTTTTTTGCTAAATCTTGTTGAAAACTTATATGAGCTGATTCGTCCACACCACAATCATTGTTTGCCAATGTCCTTTTTGAGGTTTTCTGCATTAAAACTTGAGTGTGAGAATCTGCAGATTTATCTTTACCTACTCAGACTACCTGGTAATAGAGAATAGTAAAAGAAAAAAAAAAAGAACACAATTTAACTCCCAGTCAAGTTAAGACCCCAGAGGTCTCATTCATAGATATTTTTCCCCCATGCAAACAGTATAGACTGTATATACTATGGACAACTTGGTTCCACCTTCCGACATTATACGGATTTGAAGTTGAATTACTTTCCGTATTTCCATGAATTTCTCCACTTCCTGAAACCACCACCTGCGCAGTAGCGTTGTACTCATCCGGCGAGAAAGTCGCTGTGATGATGCTCGGCTCAAACAGCGTATCCCCCGGGTGAGCATTCTTCGTACAAATATAGGCTGTATCAAGTGTCAGTCATAGAAAACATAAACTCCCTAATAACTTTTGAAAATGGAGCTGCACAGAAAAAAGAGGACTTGAACACAAACCAGTCTTACAGTAACTAAATGTCAACATCACAACCAGGGGGGAGAAAAATTTATATTCTGTGTGATTAATTTCTAAAGTTTGTCCACAGCTCCATAGGGATTGCTGGAGGAGGTGGGATTTATGACCTATACTGCAGCCCGTCACCAGAGGGTGCTGTTCTTGAAGTGGCTTTACCCAGCAAGGTGGCAGACGATGTCCATTTTATATAGTCTATGGGTGGCTCTTGCAGAATAATTCCCTATTGTCTTCCTTTCCATAAAAATGCATCCAATCCAGCAATCAACACCTGCATCCCCCCAAATGCTCAGAGTTTTGGATATGCCTTTTACGTATCAGGGCTTTCAATGGAAGTAAAAGTCCTACACCGGCAGAGCTTGGCAAAGGGTTACTCCTGACTGTGCTTTATTGATTGAACAGGGCATAGGTGAGGTTTAGTCTGTCACAATAAAGTGAACACATAATGTGTCTAGGTTCATCAGCCAGTGAAGAAAACCCTCAAAGTAAGTGTCCAGGTAGCTATAATGACACTTGAGATCTGTGCCTTTGGTCTCTGACCAATAAAATAAAACTCTAAATCCTTTTTTAAACGGTTGGGAATCAGGTACTGAGATCATCCATTCATAACACATCACAAGTAACATGGCTGATTGTTTGCAGTTATTGTTTGGAAGATGAGGCAGAGCTCTCCACCATAAAACCAGACCTCATCTTTCTGTCATACCTGTGTACATTTTTGTTAAAGGATAACATGATTTGAGAGCTCACGACAAAAGTGTTATTTTACTGTACCTAGAAGCGGTCTGTGTCCGATTGTCCCTTCTTAATTCTGCAGTTTCCTGCATGCCAGCTTCAGCAAAAGCATGAGGTACGGTTGTGTCAGGAGTTGAGCAAATATCCACTGGTGTTTCTGCTGGTTAATCCCCTGAGTCCTTACTGTCAGATTGAGTCGTGTACTTCAGTCGAAAAATACCTGCAAGACAAGAGAGAAATGCAGCCACTGCTAAAACTTCGAAGTACCCTCCCAGACAGTACAAAAGCATAAGTAAGTAGAAACTCTTTCATGAATGAAGAAGCCTTGTGTATTTATGGTTAAAAAAAAAAGCCTGTATCTTTATATTTAACATTGGATATCTTTTAATTATTTGATACAGTAATGAAAAAAGTTATCACAAAGTACTGGCATTATTTTTGCATGAAGTAAAACCAAAGTTATATACATTTTATGTATATTTGAAAAAATATACATTCTCAATTTGATAAAATCATCATTTTGTAGTGTAATTGAAAATGATAATTTAAACCAAAAATTAACATTTTATTTCAGATCAGTCAAATATCTGAAAAAAGGCAAAACATCTATATAATTATTCCATCTGTGATATGAGTGTGCTTATTTTGAATTGTTGAAAATGTGATTCTTAGTTACTCAGAATAAACATCTATGATTAAACAGCTGTTCATGTTAGAGTGTAACAGTTTGCACTGAAAATTGTCTGGAATCTTTTTTAAAATCTGTTTAAATTTGCAATTTATGAATACATTTTGAAATAAAGATTTGTTAAGAATAGGAAGAAAAAGTTTCATAGATTTTTTTTCCCCTTCCTTTTTTTTCACTCACTTTGCTGCGTTGACTCCATGGAGGGCTGGTTGCACTCTTCTGCTCTGTGTCCACTCACACCACAGTTATAACAGGATAGGCTCACTTCTGGACGTTGCTGGCTCCCGTGTCCCATGCTATGAGACTTGTAGAAAGCAAAGCTCTGCTGCTGTTCATGTGAAACAGGGCTGTGGTGATGAAGGGGAGGTGGCACTATCATTGGGTATGAGAATGATGTCACTCCAGCGCTGTTAGCACTTGACGAGGCAACCAGGGGGCTGAGATGAAGTAGAGGGCCAATGGTTAAGAGGGAGGGGCAGGCTGAGAAGGACTGCAGGTAGCCAGCTGCTGCATATCCAGGTAACATTCCATAGGAACCACAGTTACCCCGGCAACCGCAAGAGCTGCAGACACACATGGACAGGTTGTGACCTGGATTTTGATCCAGTGAAGATGCAGAGCAGGAGGGAGAGGAGGGGTGAGAGGTAGGCTGTGATGGGTAGTAAGTGTTGCCAGGTACTGCAGCAATAGGAACACTGCTTGCAGTTACCATAGGGATAAAGCCTCCACCACTACCAGGGCTACCAGATAGTGAACTTGACTTTGTGGAAGGACATGATGAAGATAGAAAAGTAGAGAAGGAGGAAGAGGGAGATGAGGTAGGTGGGTCTGAGTAGTACCCGGATGAAGAGAGCGATGAAGAAGAAGAAAGGTGGAAGTGCAGAGGGGGATGGGAGACGTGATGAAGGCTGTTGGAGGTAGAGGTCAGAGCAGAGCTGGTTTCTACCATGAGACCCACAGCACCTCCACCCATTTCACAACAAACCACCGAGTCCTGGAGTGTGGTGCCTTCCATTTTGAGTCCAGGGAACAGGTTCTCCAACTTCACCCCAATCCCTACGTTTAGACCCCTACTCAAACCAGCACTGGTTGCAGAATGAGTAGGACCCAGGGGCTTCGTCCTGTCCTCGGTACACAGAGGAGGGGGTCTTGGTTTACGTGGAGAAGTCAGGATACGTACAGGATTTGAGACTGGGGAGAGCAGCGTCTGGGGGTAACTGGCCTGGGGATGATATGGAGACTGCGGGTGGCTGAAGGAGCAGGGGGGAGGGAGAGAGCTTGCTGAATCAGTTTGGACAGGTAGGACCTGGGCTGTGGGGCGACTGAAGCTAGTGGGACAACTGGAGTTTAGGACAAAGAGCCAAGGTCTGTCCTTCTCTGGACTAACTCCTGCTGCGTCTGGTCCTGAAACACCTGTAACATTAATGTAGTGTTTTGATTCTTTCAGTTCCTCTCCATTTGATTGACTGTTGGTGAGATCAAGGCAGGCATGCTTGTGCACAGTGAGCCAAACGTACAAAGTTGAAATAAAGGCATTTACATTCAAATGATTTGAATTATTTTTTAGTCTAAATATGAGAAGTCAGATTTTTTAACTAAGATATGTCAGACAAGCATCAAGCCCTACTTTAATAACATTCACCCTCTTTTATTGGTTATGAATTTAAAAGGAAAAAAAGGGGCTGAGAGGAGCTTACGCCGGTGATTGTCCCTGGTCCTTTCATAACTGGAGTCACAGCAGATTGGTGTTCGGGGGGAGCAGGAGGAGCTTGAATATCCTGAGGATGAGCTGCTGTCCTTAGAAACAGGGTGATGGTGCAACGCAGTATCCACCTCCACCTGCAGCTCTACTGAAACAAATGTGGTCGATTCCACTTTGAGATTTTGGATGCAAATACTTTGTCTGCTCTCTCATCACCAGGTGACTCACCTAATGTATTAATAATATCAATGTAACAAGCAACCCAAGATAAATCAACTTTATTACCTGCTATGGAGGTAGGATGCGTTGGGTGTCCTGGGTAACTGGAAGGTGTCACCCTGGCAATGCCACTGCAAGACCTCTTCTCCATCTTCAACTCCCTACTGAAAAACAGAAGTACATGCATTTTGTGGTTCATAGAGGGGTTTAAAATGTCAATTGCAGTAGCAAACCTTTTTTTTTATTTTTCACTTTTTAACTTTTTTAAACTTTTTTATTAAATCTTTAACCACAACAATACAGTGTATACATCTCAATACAATACATTTCTTTTCCTTTTTCCAGCTGTATGTGTATTTTTACAAACACACACAGATAATGTAGGATTAAATCAAAGAGAATAATCACAGTACTCATTGCAAATAAACAATGTCTACGCCAAAGTACAGATTTACAGGCACAGCAGGATGACAGTAATTTGATATGGATAGGAAGTACTTACACCATTAAAATAAACTGTTATTGCATCAATAAAGGTACCACAAGTTCCCATCTTTCAATAAAGAACGCCCTCCGATGCCTTAGTGAAAATGTGATCTGCTCCATTTGATAGATATCCCATACTTTTTGAATCCAGATATTGTATAAGAGAGGTTCTGGTTTCAACCATCTGATGCTTATAGACTTCAAGGCTGCAGTCAATAATATGTTTAAGATGTATTTTTCTGACCTCCTGTCCAAACCTTCAGGCATTACTCCCAGTATTGCAACCTTGAAGTCTTGAAAGACTTGAAAGAAACTTTTGGGGTAAAAGAGAAAAACATTTTCATTTTGAACACATGCAGGTTGTTTCATATTTTTGTATATGATGTCTGCTTCAAAACAACTGACCCTCTGGACTGAAATGAAACAAAACAAAGAAATCACTTTGGAGTTTCCAAAGATAATGTTTCATAGAACTAAACCCACAAAATACTTGTCCTCTCATTGAAACTTCAGCAGTACCTTGTGACGACCAGCAGGGGGAGGTACTGTCTCCTGAAAATAATACCTGTGACTCTCAAACTGTCTCATGGAAAACCACTGCTGGAAACTCCATTTAATGCATCTTGTTTAAGCATGCTCACACAGAGAAACACACAGAACTACTCCAAACGGAAAGGGTATCAACAGATAATAGGAGCTGATTAACCACTGATCTAATCTAAAGCCAGGTTGTTTTATGGAGCTGTAAGTTTGTCTGTGACTATGTGGGTGTTTGTGAAAGCAGGAGAGTCAGACGATGTAGGCTTGCAAATAAATCCATGTTTTTGTGTTTCATTGTTGGTGACCTTCTTGTAAGTACATCTTATCTCTGCAGCCCTGCAACAGCTGGTTAACCATTGATAACTTTGGGTCTCTGTTGCTGTTCTTTTTTTACATGCGGAAACAGCTACAGATCCATCTGTCCGCTCGTGGTAAATCCGACAAAGCAGCTGTTTTTGCTATGACTTCATTATATTTGTCTCACGGGTCAGTTATGTAATCATGCTGCAGATACAAAAATAAAAACAATAACTTAAGACATGTTGAGTAAATTCCCCCCCTGGGTGATGCATAGAGGTTTATCTTATCTTATCTGCAGCACATTAATTTCAGCACTTTAATTTATATTAAACCCCTAAATGACAACAATGCTCAAAAAAGTAACAGATTCAAGCTGTAAAGAACTGGAAATGCCAGGAGGAGTTCCTCATGAAACAGATTAAAAGCTAGATGTTTTTCCTGCAGTCACTGGTTGTTCTCATCACATCTTCTCACTAATATCCAATAGCACGACTCCAATCTCTGATTTTTGACACTTCCACTGTTTCCAGTCCCCTCAGAAACGTTCCATTTTCTGCAACGATTTTGCTTATGAAAAATATTTGACAATTAAAATATGTTCAGTGTGACAATGATAAGAGCAGGTAACCTCTTTAAAACCTCTCTTTAGTGAAGTCTGCCAGTCTGCATTTCTTTAAACCATAAAATCATATTCAACATCAGAAGACAGAAAACAGCTTAGATCCCAATGACACAGAGAGGCAAGTCCATCCCTGCGTAAACCTCTGCATCCATCTAGATTCAGTGCAGGTGAAGTCCTGGTCATATAGATCTTTTCTACTAAGCATCTCATTAGGCTGCAGGCATTGAATGGTGGAGGGAACAGCCTTGACTTCACAGTAACACATTCAGAGCTGTGGTTCTTTTGGTTTAATATTCAAAGACTTAAGTGAATACCAGCTGGTCAAAGGTAGTTCCTCCATTTCAAAGAACTCTAATACCCAGGTTTAATTGATCTATCCCTGCTTTAACTCAAAGGCTACTTGTGCCTGATGTTTGTGGTTGTCATATAAGTGGATTTTATTGTCCTTTAACTGTTTCTTCACTGGCCTATTGCCTTCTGGCTTGAGCTTCAACCATTCTCCACTGGACAAGACAGTGGCATCAAAAATGTTATATTCTTGTCTAACGTAAATATTTGAATAAGTAATGCTCATTTAAAGTTGGACATCACGGTAATGGAAAGATACTGGCTTATCAGCCTCAGCACTGTGCATACTTGTTCTTCAGTAAAATGATTTATTGTGGGTTATCCCTTGTTCAGTCTCTCTGAATTACTTCATCACTAACCGAATAACAAAGTAGAGCATCAACAAAGAAAAAATTCAAAACGCTGGATGAGTAATATCTGCAACTTACTCTGCTGACTTCTGTAGCTCGAGCTGGGTCTTGAGTTTCTTCTTTGCTCCTTGGGTAAGGTCATACTTATTAAGGTCCTCCTCTGTTAGAGCTAAAAACTTCAGATGACATGGAAAAACAGAGTATAACTTTAACATGTTACAACTTATCTATTTATACTGCAAGTGCTATGACCACAACTCAAAGGACAAATCTTAGCCTGAAATTTAGCAATCCTTTTGTTACCTTTGGAGATTTTATGTTTTTGAGTTAAGTGTATTATTTAAATTTCCCATTACTGTCGCAGTAAAAGTTCCCATTGAGATAAAACAGTTTAAAATAACGTGAAAAAAAAAAAGTTTAAAAATAAAAAATAATCAAGTTTAAAGTGACTCTGTAGCTCATGCCTAGACACGGGTATGGAAACTGTTCCAAAGAATAATGAAAATTGCTAGAAAACGCAATTTTCAAGAAACTGCTGTGTGAATCTGCAATGCTGTATGTCAAAGAAATTGAATACCATCAAGTGATACATGGAGGATGTCAAATGTGGAGTCAAATCAAGTGACAGACTTACAGCCATTTAAGAAGTTAGGACACAAAGTAGTGGCTCTGTCCGTTTTTACTCTGAGAGTGGTACAGGTTTGCAGTCAGTTGTATTTTTTGGCTGTCCAATGACTTTGTACTCATATAATCTGCCATGTCTCTACTGACAGGACCCACTCAACCGAAGGCTGGTCTGTGTGCATTGTTGTTAAGACACAGAAACACATCGCTATCATGAGTTTAAAGGGTTGTGACCAACTGCAGTTGGGATAGAGTCATAGTCATCCCAATGAAATCATCCAGATTATGACTGAGCAGGTCAGATTCAAAGCAGTGACATCCGATCAAACAACCAAGACTAACCGCTTTTCCATATCATTTGTGCCACAAGATATCTTCTGCCTGTTAAAAGGAAGTGTCACCCTTGTGGTAATTTAAGATGAAATCAGAGCAGACCTAATCTTACAGGGTCTCAATCTTATCACATCTTGATGTTAGATCTTTATATTGAAGAGTATGGTCTGGACCAGCTCTTCCTTTAAAGCATCTTAGCAGATAACATTCATTGTGAAATTGATTTTTATATCAATAAAGACAGATTGAAATGAATTACATTTTCTGTAACAGGCCTTTGCTTTGATATATTACACTTTAAAGGGCTGTTTTGAATAATAAACACACCCAAAAAATGCTGGTTTATTTTTTCAACCCAACCAGTAGGTTGAGCCTGTTGGTCAATTTATTTGGGTTATCGTCATGGAGTTGGGTATTCTGAGTACCCAATTCACAAGGTTATTTATGTTGGGGACAGAGTTATTAGCTGTTGGGTTGTAATTTCTATACAGTTTTGTTGGTTTATTGTGAACTATCCAACACATTGGGTTGATGTTTAGGCATTTGAAACCAAGCACCACCCACTCACCAGATTGATGCCACAATTGCTGAAGCGAAGACATGTACAAAGCAAAGTTTGTTACATTCCCACTATTGCTGTACCATAAAGATGACTTGACATTATTATATAGACCCTAATTTTGTTGTTACATGTACGTTTGTAAAGCACTGTTGTGTACCAGCTTCTGCCTTCAGGAATCAATTGGTAGGTGAGCAAGCTAATGATTGGCCAACGTTAGTAGCATAAAGTACATTGCCTCAAATGTAGCAAGCTAACACATTAGCTGATATGCGGTGTGGTGTGGTCAGAAATGTTGAACTACTGCTTTAAGGGACTCTAAGTCTTGATGTTTCAGGTTGATACGAACAATCAATGGATGACTGTGTGAAGTGAAGTGGAGTGGATGCAAGATACAACCTCCCGTTCTGTATTGTTTATTTTGAAGGGATAAGAAAACCATACAAAAAAACTGCCAAATGTTTACAAACTCTTAAGTTCATTCTCTGTCAGTAAAATGAAAAGGGAGCTGTTAAAGGGCAGCAGTAGCTCAGGAGGTAGAGCGGTCATCCAATAACAGCCCAACATGCTGGGTTTAAAGAAACCAGCAGAGGAATTATTGTGAACCCTTAGTTGGGTTATATGAACAACTCAATTGTTGGGTTAAGTGAACCAACCCAATTTGTTGGGTAAAATTAACCCAGAATGTGTTCTGTCCAATATTTAACCAGCGCTGGGTTGGGAAACTACCCAAACTGGGTTGTTTTTAACCCAACCTTTTTAAGAGTGTAAACACAGTTCAAGTTCTGCTGAGTCCAAAGTTTCTTTTCTTTTAACATATTCATTTCTACCACTGACTGTAACAAATGCATAAGAATAAATGAAGACATCTCAAGCGAACAAGTTATAAGCTGACCCACCTCTTCCATGGTGAGTTGTTTGAAGACTGGGTAATACTTATGGAGCCGAAGCCTGCGAAGCCAGTCTAGGATGCTGTTCTGTTCTGGAGTGTTGGGCTGGGACTGCGATTGTACTTGTGTAGAGGGCTGGGAACGAGACTGGGAATGGGACTGAGGGTATGAAAGGGACTGGGAATGTGAGTGGGACATTGATTGGGAATTGGGCAGGCGGAGGGACTGAGGAAGGGTGCAGGAATGGCCACTAGTTTGTGGAGAGAGATGGTGTTGGGAGTGCTGCTGGGGCTGAGAGTAAGAGTGGGACTGACTATGTACTTGGGAGGAAGGGTGGTCACCTCCACCTGCCAAGGAGCTCTGAGCCGGCAGGGCTGTCACAGGGGGAGGGATGAAGGACAGCTGGGGGGAGTGCTGTGGAGGGGGTATGGAAGGAGGAAGAGGTGAAGAGATGTGAGGGGAAGGGCAAGCTGAGACAGAGCTGTGGTTGCTGATGACCGGTTGGACACTTGCCACTCTGTACATTGCCCTAAGAGATGAAAGACAGCCCAAAAGGGCACAAATGATGATGATGACGATGATAATGATAATGAGGAGGATTTGTGCTGAGAGGACAACGAAATGGAAAAAAAAATCCTACCTATCAGTTTCCCTGAACTGAACTGTGCAGCCAAGATCTGAAGAGAAGAAAAAAAGACAACTATTCATATCACATCCAAACCAACCGCTTCCAAAACTCAAGAGTAAAGAGCCAACACTAGATTACATTCACAATTAAAAACAATTCAACGATTACATGAACTGTTATCTTTGTTTTACCTTTTACAGGAAAATTAAGCTTAGGTGTGCTGTTAAATATTCGTGCAAAACCGTTTTTTTTCTGACGGCAAACTAACAATTCTAAATTCTGGAACTTAATTTACTTTTGAAGCCAAGACATTTTTTCAACAAGATGGCTGAGCTGACCAGCATAATTGTGAGTACTACACTTGAAGGCATGTACCCCATACATCCCAACTCCAAAATATATGAAACACTTTACCTAGACCAGAAATTTTACACCGTTGTTTTAGAATAGAAGTATATTTTAACTAAAACCACTGTGTAATAAAGAGAGCACAAGACACACACACACACAATTCAAAGCATTTAAAGAACGTTATTTTTTCTCTTTTCCTTTTTGTCACAAGTTGATTTAATATTTTTTGTTTCTGCTGTTGAAATTTTATCAGTGAACCTGTACTGATTTTTCCTGGTATTTTGTGATGATTGTACTTTTAGGCCTAAAAAATCTTGGTAATGTTATTCTTCTGTTCCAATATTTTATAATTAAAACAGCTCATTTATTCTCCTTTAAAAGGTTAAATATTCCAGGTGTTATTTCTTTGAGATAAAAAAATCATGTTTCAAGAATTTCCCAAATAAAAACAGATACATGATAAATTAATATACCAACTGTAGAAGTGGCCTTCATTGTATATCTGATCAATTTGAAGTAAAATGATCAAATAGTGATTTCTACTGTATGCAAATTGTTGCATCTTTGTCTGCATAGTTTTACATCAAAATTTTACATAGTGCTTGCTTATATTAGCTATATTCCCCATTTTCCTATAGAGCACACACACACACACACATGCGCGCACACACTCACGCACACACACACACACACACACACACACACACACACACACATACACAAAAGCACAGATAAGGAGGCAAAACAAATGTCAAAAATCCAAGCACATAAACACATTGGGCTCTATTTTCGTGCCTGCTGGCAGCGTGGCACGACAGAATCAGCTGGCGCAGTGACATTTTCGTGCTCGCCAGCAGCTTAGAAAGTGCGCTGAAAACTTGTCGATTCAAACCTGGTCACCTTTCAGCACAGGCAGAGCACAGCTGATCTAGTGGTATATTGGTAGACCGCTGGCATAGTGCGCATACGTCACTGATGCTTCACCGGCAGGTTTCCACAGTGTCAGGCACTTTTTAGTGCAATAAATAATCAACAACTAATATTCGGAGTCAGAAAATACATTTAGATCTATATAGATATTCTGATCTATATCTGATCTGATGAGTGCGCTTAGCACGCGTTTAGACACTCAATCTGACAAATTAACACAGCTGAAACCACATTTCACTAGCAATGACCACGCCGAAACGATATACAGTGCATCCGGAAAGTATTCATACTGCTTCACTTTTTCCACATTTTGTTATGTTACAGCCTTATTCCAAAATGGATTAAATTCCTTTTTTCCCTCAAAAATTCTACACAAAATACCCCATAATGACAAAGCGAAAAACTTTTCTTTAGAACATTTTGCAAATTTATTAAAAATAAGACACTCAAATGTTGCATATACATAAGTATTCACACCCTTTGCTATAAAACTCAAAATTGAGCTCAGGTGCATCCTGTTTCCACTGATCAGCCTTGAAATGTTCCTCCAACTTGATTGCAGTCCACCTCCGAAACAGGGTTGTATCTGCGCACAGATCTGGGGAAGGTTACAGGAAAATATCTGCTGCATTGAAGACCCCAAAAAGCACAGTGGTCTCCATCATTAAGAAATGGAAGATGTTTGGAACCACCAGGACTCTTCCTAGAGCTGGCTGCCCAGCCAAAATGAGCAAGCGGGGTAGAAGGGCCTTGGTCAGGGAGGTGACCAAGAACCCGATGGTCGATCTGACAGAACTCCAGCGTTCCTCTGAGGAGATGGGAGAACCCTACAGAGGGACCACCATCTCTGAAGCACTCCACCAGTCAGGCATTTATGGTAGAGTGGCCAGACAGAAGCCACTCCTCAGTAAAAAACACATGACAGCCCGCTTGGACTTTGCTAGAAGGCACATGAAGGACTCACTGACCAGGAGAAACAAAATTCTCTGGTCTGATGAAACGAAGATCGAACTCTTTGGCCTCAATGCCAAGCATCATGTCTGGAGGAAACCAGGCACCGCTCACCACCTCGCCAATACCATCCCTACAGTGAAGCATGGTGGTGGCAGCATCATGCTGTGGGGATGTTTTTAATCGGCAGGAACAGGGAGACTTGTCAGGATCGAGGGAAAAATGAATGCAGCTAAGTACATCGAAATCCTTGATGATAACCTACTCCAGAGCGCTCGAGACCTTCGACTGGGGCGACGCTTCATCTTCCAGCATGAAAATGACCCTAAGCACACGGCCAAGAAGACAAAGGAGTGGCTTCAGGACAAGTCTCTGAATGTCCTAGAGTGGCCCAGCCAGAGCCCAGACTTGAACCCAATTGAACATCTTTGGAAAGACATGAAAGTAGTTGTGCACCGACGCTGCCCATCCAACCTCACTGAGCTTGAGAGGATGTGCAAGGAAGAATGGGAAAAACTCCCCAAATCCAGGTGTGCCAAGCTTGTTGCATCATACACAAGAAGACTGGAGGCTGTAACCACTGCCAAAGGTGCTTCGACCAAGTATTGAGTAAAGGGTGTGAATACTTATGTAAATGCAACATTTGAGTGTCTTATTTTTAATAAATTTGCAAAATGTTCTAAAAAAGTTTCTCGCTTTGTCATTATGGGGTATTTTGTGTAGAATTTTTGAGAGAAAAAGGGAATTTAATCCATTTTTGAATAAGGCTGTAACATAACAAAATGTGGAAAAAGTGAAGTGGTATGAATACTTTCCGGATGCACTCTAAGTTTGAATATTTTATACAATTTCAGGAGTGTGTATATCTTGTCTGATGCGTGTATGTTGTGATAGATAATGACATTGATGAGGAGTGTTGCATGTCTGGTTGGTCTGGGAGGTTCTGTAGAGGCCCAGCAGTGAGAGACTCAGGATGGGGGTTCCGTCTCAGGCGTAGCTCTGCCCAAGCTTAGTCCGACCCAGACTATATCTGAAATAAGGTGAGATCAGAGAGAGGCGGAGGTAGAGAGGTAGTAGAAGCGTTAATGTTAAAGAGAGAGGGAGGGAGGGTGGGTCAGAGAATTGCAGACAAACGGAGTGTAGTGGGCTGGCTGTGTATAAATACGCTAGTCAGGTGATTGAAGGTGTGGTGAGGCGTGGTCCTGCTCCTGAACCTTATACATTAACTTCATTTTACTAGCAATGACCACACCACAACGATATAAGTTTGGATATTTAATACAATTTCAGGTGTGTGTTTATCTTGTCTAATGCGTGTTTGTTGTGATGGATAATGACATTGATGAGGAGTGTTGCATGTCTGGTTGGTCTGGGAGGTTCTGTAGAGGCCCAGCAGTGAGAGACTCAGGATGAGGGTTCTGTCTCAGGCGTGGCTCTGCCCAAGCTTAGTCTGACCCCCAAAGAGTTATAATGAAAGGGAGCTTAATTGAGTGTGGTTCTGACACGGATCGTGGAGATTATTTCGAATGTAGGAGAGGTATGCCTGAGATGACCATCGTCCAAGGGTTTGAATTGTACGATCTGATATGCCGAGCCTGGCTGCTGTGGATGCTGCACCGCTGCGGAATGAATGGGCTGATGATAGTGCTCTGATGTTATGCCTGACTTGATGCAGGTGTTTATGGAACCAGAATCGTGTAGCCATTTTTCCATTTTCAGTAAGGAAAAGAGGGTCGTGAGGTGATGCTTGAGCTGCATACCTGGAACTGATGTATTTGGTGAGTGGTTCGAATGGACTGAGGTAGGAATTTAAGCGGAAGATGTAAATGGGAAAAGAGATCCCGAGCTGATCTGTTTTGCTATGTTGGAGCGTGAATATGAGAGAATCTGAAGTGTCCACTGCGATGTCTGATCGTCTGGAATGATAGGATGACTGAAGACGGAAGAGTTCGGAGCACATTCGGAGCATCTGAGGAAACCAAAGAAGGCAAGCAGGAACATTGATTCTAGTGTAGAATCAACCGTTGGAGATGCGTAGCCTGAACGTAGGGTACGAATGCAGAGGCTCTGGGGCTCTGGGGCCAGATGTTTGAATTTCTGAGAAGTGAGACAGAGCGTCAGCAATGGTGTTCTAGTATCCGGGAATATGAGCTGCCCTGAGAATGAATTGATGGTGAGCTGAGATTAGTGTGAGTCTGCGCAGAAACTGCATGATTGACGGGGAATGAGATCTGCCTTCGTTCAGGATTGCTACGACTGCTGTGTTATCTGAGTGTATGAGTATAGATTTTCTTGACCATTCTTGCCCCCAAAGTAAGGCTGCAATGATGATGGGGTAGAGTTAATGAAGGGCTGACGAAGGAGACTGGGATTTCGAGTCGAGGTCTTTTAGTTCTGGAGGCCAGGTGGAAGCAAACCATCTCCCCCTGTAGTAGCCTCCGAAACCTATAGAGGAAGCTGCGTCTGTGAACAGTTGAATGTCTTCTGATTTGGTTATGAAATCGTCATAGAAGAAAGAAATGCCGTTCCAAGAGGACAAGAAATGTTGCCACATGTTCATCTCCATTTTGCATGCTTCGTCCAATACCACTCTGTCATGAAAGGAGGGGACTGCTGCAGCTTTTGTTAGGAGATTGGAAAGGAAAGTCGCCCTCTGCAGCGCTTACAGTGGCACTCATTGAGGGGCTGCCTAGTGTCGCCATCATGTGGCATTGCTGTCTTCAGCCATCTCTTGATTTCTCCAACTGCTTCATGAAAATTGTAATACGCCTCGCCGGTGGCGGATTTAAAGGTGAGGAGAGGAGCTGATATGATTGGTGAAAACAGGTCTCGCTGTGTTAAACTCACTCCACGCCTTATTCCCTCCCTCTCTATGACTTACGCCGCTGGGAGGAGCTGAGTTAGGGAGGGGGAATACTTACACTGGGCTGCGCCGCTCACCAAAATACCAAAATGTGCTTGGGCATGCCTTGTCGGCGCGGTGGACATGACTTACGCCGTGCCTGCACCACGCCGCCGGCGAGGCACGAAAATAGAGCCCATAGATGTACTCTACACTAATGGCTATAAATGCTCTGAGATGAAGTCACACTCATGGAATCAAATACAGACAGACAGACACACACACACACACACACACACACACACACACACACACAAACAAATGCACACACACGCTAGGTCATCACTCTCTGGGCTTTCCAACACAAACACGTCACGATAAATTCTCATACCAGACTAAAATAGATCTCTTCAGCTCCCACCAACACTTCCAAAACCCTGAACTGAAAAGCCAAGTGAAGTCACACTTCTCTCACCTTTTCACAACCACAAATCAAGACTTTCATACAGCCTTGTTTTTTCTATTACCTCTTTATCCAATGACTTAATTCAAGACACAAATTCTTTCAACCCACCCTGTCTCTTATTGGCACTCAATCAGATGTAAAAATAGGGACCTCTTGTTTTATTCCCTTGCAATCCTCCAAGAACATTAACTTGTTATATAGACTTTGGTTTTAGCCATGTCTTGCAAGTAGATTGATGTAGCACTCTGTAAAAGACCTGTTCTTTTTTATAATTTGGTGTATAATTTATCAATGAGCTCGTAACAGTTAATGCTACTGCCTGTTTGTCTGTCACAGGTCTCTCTCTCTCTCTCTCTCTCTCTCTTTCTCTCACTCTATCCTACTTTTTAGCTCAGCTGTTGGCAGCAGATTGTTGTCTATCCAGGAGTCCGGCTCAGCTCAGGTTTCCTGCCTACGTAAAGGAAGATTTTCCTTGGTATGGCTGATTAATGAATGTAAAATGCATTTACTCCACTTTGATGAGATTTAACACACACACACACACACACAAATAACCGGTTATTTTTCAAAGATTCAGAATGAATTAAGTAATCAACAAGGATAATATGAGTATCCAAAACTGAGACACAAAACACACCAATGACATGAAATAAATGTATGAAACACTTACTAGAGCAGGAGGTGACTGGGTATATTGAGGCTACAGGAGCCATTGGTAGAGAGGATGGTAGTAGAGGGACACTAGGGGAGGGGAGGGAGGGAGAAGAGTTGTGTGAGGGAGACCTTGTGGAAGCGAAGAAAAGCTGGAAGCTTTGATGCTGGAGGATATGGCAAGGCAGTGCTGTCAGACACCTGGATGAGGTTTTGCAGACAGCAGAAGGACAGACAAAGATCAGGTCAATTAGAAAACTGGAAGACATGCTTTAATTTACATGAAAAAGACTGCACTTGGCATCTAGTTGTTGCATGAATAGATATGCCCATTTATCAACATTTTTCATGAATTTTCATAAACAAAGGAAAATGGAAACTTTATAATCAACAAACTCCGAAAAATTTTAGATACCACTGGCTGAATTAGCAAGAAATCATTACACAACTTCATGCACTAGAAGTTTTAGACTTCTCAAGGTACCTCAGGAGACGACTACAGAGCAAGACTGGTTTTAGCCAGTTTTGTCAGGGTGAGGTAATAAAAGTAAAAGTAATGAGTGCCTAGGCTATGGTTGTCTGGAGGTTTTTTAAAAAAAGGACACTAACAGCTGATATCCCTGTCTAACCTAGTTCAAGGTGTTAGACAGGAAAGTTGACTGTCACAGCCACACCACACCTGACACTTGAACAGCCTCACAACTAAATCACTATCTTTGAGATAGTTCATCTCTCTCAGCCGTTTGACTTCACAGAATAAATGTGTGACAGGCATGCAGACCTTCCATGATAGCTGGGACACATCATGTAATCTAAAATAACTGTACAAGTAGATCAAAAGTATAGTTTGAGAAAGGCAATTCCAATCAGAAGTTACCACTTATTTTAGGCTCATCCACATTTCCCCTCTCTTTCTCTCTACCTTTCTTTGACATCTGTCTGAACTTTGTTAATTTTGTGGAAATCAGTCCAATTCTTTGATGCAGATTTACTTGCTGAAGAATTTCTTACATGTATTTCCTTGGCCATAATAAATCAAAAAAAACACAGAAGTGGATGGGCATTACCTGGGGTCCAGCTCAATGGACTGAGGGATGTATTTCTCCATTCCTTCATCAGGAAATGCTTGTGAGAGCTGAGAGAGAGCAGTTAAACAATGACAGCATGACACACATCGCACAATTTCTTTTTACCAGAATCTTTGTAGGATGATGACTTTAAGTTGTACATCCCTATCAAATATGTCATGTTTTATTCCTCCATTCTTTCTGTGTAAATCAAAGTGATGAAGCCAATTATAAATCAAGACATCCAGCCTTAGACACTAGTCTGGAGTCTGTACACTAGTCAGCTCTGAGCAACTAAGTGTGTTGGTGGTGCTTCTTACCTGAGTAAGCAGCTCTGTAACTTCCTTCCGGGTTCTGACAGTGGAAGACACAAAACCATCTGACCACCTGGCCTAAAAACAGAAAAGTCAGAAAAGGAGAAAAAGAGTAGGAGGGGAAAAACAAATTAATAGACGGGAGCAGAAAAACTCTGGAATAGTGTCTATAAGTGCGTGAATGGCTGTGGACCCACCTCAAACATATACTCACTGGCATCTTCTGACTTCTGTGCTACTCCTCTCAGCATCACACTCTCAATCACCACTGAAAACAGCACATATTAATTACAGGTCAATTACACATCAGGCATTTCAAACTGTTGCAGCGACACATCAGTCATATAGGGGGGTGTAGCCTCTGATAGGCTAATAAACAATAATAAAGCGCTTGGATTCATGCTCAGATCTTTCTAAGTGCTTTGTGAGGAAAGTAAACAATAACAGAGGGGAAGGAGCAGCTTCAGAGGAGAAGCATCCAGCAGTGTGAACGACCTCTTCATATTGAGTGTTTGGCTCACACTATCTGCGTTTTCAGTGAGTGTTGCATGAGTTTGGGTGAGCACAGACATGAACACACTGTCAGCTACCTATTGATTTATTTATTTATTTATTAGTTTTTAGTGCTGCTTTTGTACTGGCACTATACTAAGGCAGCTGTATACCCTTTCAACACTTTATTTTTTATATTTACATTTGTATTGAATGGACACTTTATCATGACTGCCACTTGTTTTACAGAAAGAAATTTATTTGTTACTGTCCAGTACAGAGACTTTACTTTTATTTATACAGCTGCTTTATTTTATTTGAGTTTGTTTGTTCAAGGTTTTCAAAAATTTGATAAAGTTGTCGTCGTCGTCGTCAGTGTCCTCGTCGTTGTCACTTCCACCAGCTCCTCTGGGTGGATTCCCAGGCGCTCCCAGGCCAGGCGAGAGAAATAATCCCTCTACCTGGTCCTGGGCTGGCCATGAGGTCTCCTCCCGGTGTCTGGAACACCTCTAACGGGAGGCATCCAGAAGGCATCCTAACCAGATGCCCGAGCCACCTCAGCTGACTCCTCTCGACGTGGAGGAGCAGCAGTTCTACTCCGAGCGCCTCCCGCTTTGTGTGAACAATGGGGTAGTTCAAATAGTTTCAACGACTCTTCATTGTTTTAATTTTTAATCTTGGAGCCTTTTGCACTAACTTGACATGAGTGCTGACAAGGGACAGGAAATTTCAAGAGAAGAGAGTGGCATACATCAAATGCTGTGGGCAACGAGCCTAGCCTACAAATGCATTCAAGGCAGTAGCCCCTGGAAATGGGATCACTTCTGTTCTAACTGAGCTAAACTGGCTCTCCATGTGAACCAGCTTTGATGGTACTAACATGTGTTTAATATTCAAGAATATCTCTACCCTCACAAACTTTTTTTTTTTTGGTAAACTATAGCACTCCTGCTTAAACATGCACCGATTGATCAGAGCCAATTTCCTTCATTTTGGGGGATCGGCTATCGGCTGATCCTTACATATGAAACCGATCTTGTCCACTGATCTTAACTACCTTCACAAAGGTCTGAAAGTCAGCCATTGTAGCTTATTACTCTGCCAGATTGACAGGCCCGCCCACCAGGTCACGTGTACATGCACACAGCTGCACAGGTAAACAACAGTCACCCAAAGCGTGGTCAACCAAGCATGTTGTCTGTTTGGCACAGTAAAGGAAAAAGAACAAAGGTTTACATTTTGTGATTTATGAAAGGCCGAAATAAGCCAAAACAAGATTAGAACAATAAATGTGTACGCTGTCAGTTATAAAAAAAAATCAGTATCGGCAGGTCAGAATTTTTAAAGATCGGTGATGGCCAGAAAATTGTGATCAGAGCACCCCTACTCCTGCTGTAATTTCATCTACAAGTGAGCCAAAGTGCATCAAACTAAACTGTATTTCAAGTCTATTTGATTTTTTGTATAGCACCTTTCATACTATGCACACTCAGTATGCTTTACTAGAGATAAAGACAAACACAAATTATGAATAAACAATAGACATATTTATAAAATAAATACACACACATAACCAAGGCTCTCCTGGCCCCTGTCTTATCACAGGGCCATGTCTTCTCACACACACACACACACACACACACACACACACACACACACACACACACACACACACACAGGCCTAAAGGCAACATTCTTTAAGCTTAGTTTTAGTGTTCAAAATATGCCAGCGTGCCACATCTTGTTCAACCAGACTGGAGTGAAAAAATAGCTCAGCCTGAGTACCAATATGCACATGAGGAGAGTGCTCATAGAGTGCTAACACACAGTTAAAAACCGCTCCAGCTGCTCACCTTTTCCTCCTTTTCCCATGCAAGTATTATTTAATGCCGTCGAGTCAGGGTCTCCCTCAGCAGGTATTGGAGAGGACAAATGTAGAGGAGGTGGTGGAGGAGGAGGAGGAGGAGGAGGTGGAAGGGAAGGAGAGGGGAGCTCCTGGCTAATTGCTTGATCTTGTTGTCCTGCAATGACCCCAGCACCAAGCCCAGCAACTGTGTTGGCCTCCCTGTTCTGATTCTGGAGAGAGAAAAGAAGAGGAAAAAAATTGATCAGCAAAGGAGAGGAAAAAGTGATCGGAGTAGTTTAAAACTGATGGGCACTACACATGTCAGCCTCTGCCATCAATGTGTGAATGTGGTGTGAGTGGACAAATGGGATATGAGAGCAATGTTATATAAACATAGTTTATATAACATTGTTTACTATTTGTGGAAAACACAATGAAAAGAATTGCCCTGGAAATGTATGGTGGTCTTGCTCCTGAGCTGCAGTTTGCTTAATAGTATAGAGGAATACCATAACTGGGTACGGATAATTACTGTAAATATCAAACCATGATACTGCTCAACCACGCCTAATAATGTAGGCCAAGCCAGACATATAAGAAGTACAAAGAAACTGTAAATTTTATGTCATCATTTTACAGTTTTACATCACTTAGAGCCCCAAACTTCAGCATTGCCTTATTTTGCAAGCCGGCTAGGATCATACTGACACAAGTGGAGCTGTTTTCGTCAAAATGCAGTTCAGAGAGTTACAAATAAAGAACGCTCAAAGTCCTTCTTAAGAAAGTTCATTGACTAATTTATAGCATTGCACTTCCACTGCAGATGGTGGGGGTATGAGTTTACACACAATCACAAAAGCCTCTTGTAACAAATGCATGACATTCCTGGTCATTTCTAGATATTGTCCCTTTTGAGCGCATGTGTAAACGCTAACGCCTGCATATGTTGACCAAGGCTTTACTGAAACCTTACCTGACAACATTAAGCTCAAATGATCTCTAGATGAGTCTGTATGTAAACATAGCTGAAGCATTCACAGTGAGTGTGTAGACCTTCTGATGACTTTGGAGCTGGTACACTGTTTTATACGTTTTATTGCTCCCCCTGAAAAATGTTGTGTGACCCAGACACAGGATTTACTTTTGCTGTTTGTAACTAACTGTTGGAACGTGTTGCTACTGCCTTAGCCAGGACACTCTTGTAAAGGAGATTTTTGATCTCAAAGAGGCTTTCCTGGTTGAATAAAATAAATGAAAATTAAAAAAAATAATAATAAATGCCTGTATGTTGCTCATAGTGATGGATGATTAATCGAATTTTAATTATGATTTCAATTTTGGCTTCTCATGATCTTAAAAACATTATAATCGAAGAAAAAGGATTAATGCTCTTATGGCATGGCATATATGTAAGTTCTTGTGCTGGAAAAACACTTTGAATGCACCCCTGTTCCATGCAGCTGCATCATGCGTGTGACGTGTGTGGATCAATAATATGTTGAACAAGTGATTGAAAACATGGCAGAGAGGCAGCCTTTGGTTAAGAAGAAAGGTAGGACAGCTTCAGTTATCTGGGAGCATTTTGGCTTCAATTTGAAGGACGTCAAACAAAAGGAAACAGTTTGCAAAGTTTGTCCCGCTGTCGTGTCTGTTTCCCGAGGCAACAAGACCAACTTCAGGGTTTCCCCTATATGCAATTGATCATGGCGCACTGCCACAGCTAAATCAAAGACACCGCACCTTAAAAACATTTTTTTTTTTTTTAATTCACGTGGCTCTAATTCGGACTAATATGTATTAGTATATGCGTGCGCACATGGGTGCTGCACTGTGCACTAGCAAGTTATCGTCGACGATCACAGAGCTGATTAATTTTTATATTTTTACTTGTTCCTAATTTATTTCTAATTATATATAGAGTTAAGCTTTGCTGGTTCAATAAATATGCGTTTTGAAATTAAGGAATTATTGTGTTTATTAAATGTGATTTCAATATCAGTCAAAATAATTGTGATTATCATTTTTGCTATAATCGTCCAGCCTTAGTTGCTCAGCTGTTTTCTACTCTTGGGTCTGTATGCAGAAACATCCTCTAATATATTAAAACATTAACCGAGAGAGTCACGATTACAGACAACTCCTTTCTCTTCTTCTCTCTTTGCATCCAGGTGCCTGACAATTTTACTCAACCAATTAACCGACATATTCCAGGTGTATGGCACATGTGTGTAAAGGCCAGTAATCAAAATGCCAGGACCTAGTTGTTCATAAAATTATTTGTTGTTCATGTTTGAAAGGAGCATATTTTGCATTGGAGATTTTTTTGTGCTCATGACATAAATTGGAACTGATAATGACACAGGAGAGACACAGATTGTTGTTTCACATGCTTTTGGATAGACATAGCTCAACGAAGGGCGGCCTTTAATGCCAATCCATAAAATCAAGAACAATGAGACTACATTAAAGTTAGAAATCTGTCTCTTTGTGATTTTTGAGGGAAAAAGTTATCATGTGCTTATGCCGGTATTTATACCCACTGAAACTCACAGCATCTGGCAGTAAATCTGAAAACAATTAAATGTGCTCCTGCCACAACTACATGTAACTTGCCAAGCCTGCCAACTCTCTCCTCTGGGGAAGGAAAATCTGATGTGGCTGCATTGTAGGTATTTAAGCTAAAATAAGAACAATATAATCCAGTGAAAATGTTAATATAGAGAGACAGAAAAACTAGTGGCAGGGAAGATTATTTGTATAAACAGAACAGAGGTGTGCTTTCTATTACTGTATTTCTGCTGTTCATACTACTGGTAAGGGATCCTGCCAGAGAACTCAAAACAACTTAGCAACCAGCTGCTTAATGTTAGAAGAAGGTCATGCAAGTTGACTTAATTCTAAAAAAAGGAGCAGCTAGCTAAGAACAAAAGTCTGCTATTTGCAAGTTTTTTTTTTGTAGCTGTTCTAGTCACTAACTTCCAGAACAGTCCTGAGTTATTTCACTATAGCTATTTTTTGTTTCTCACAAACTAAATGACCAAAACAATCAAGGACAGATACAACCAAACAGCTGAATAAAGGATGCTGTGAGAAACTTCTGTCAAAGATGCCCTTTGCTTATTTGAGAACACTGATTGTTGCAGCCCTTAGAAACAAAGTGAAGGTAATAGACTAATATGCTGTTCTTGCTATGAACTGGCACTTGCAGGAAACAGTTGACTACTGCTTGATTAAAGTTCTAAATTTTTACACTTTCCTTTGGAGATGCAAACAACAAATGTCTTGCAGAGAGCTGTTATGCCAGTGATTTGACATTTAGTGCTGTTGAATCTGTTTAAAACAGCGCTGGTTTACAGTGAAAACTGTGATTTTCTTTTAAAGAGAGCTGGGAAGAAAAAGCTGGAAGGCGTCAGTGCTGGGAAGGGGGGGGGGGGGGTTAAAGAGAGAGAGTGAGTGAGAGAAAGAGAGAAGTAGAGAGAGAGAGGGAGAGAGCATTTATAACTTCCTGGGGATTCACTGGAGACACACACATGCACAGGCACATGTTCCCACACACACACAACACTATACCCCCCCCCCCCCCCCACACACACACACACACACACACACACACACACACACACACACACACACACACACACACACCACAGCGGGTTGATTTCAGCATACAGAAATGTGCTGACCTGCACTAAACAGAAGCCAAGGGCAACAAAACACTAAATACAAACGCTCCTGTCTAGGTACTTTCCCCTGACTGCTACTCACACATACTAAAACTGGTGAGCCTGCCTGTCTTTGAGGGAGCACACAAATGTTTGTTTACATCAGTGTGACAGAATGAGCAAAATAAAGCCAATACAATGCATCTCGAACTTCTCACTGCTCCCAGCTCTCTTTGCTTTGCCCGTGTTTATGGTGAACATCCTCCATATTAATACCATAAAGACTGGCAGTGTCCAATGATATTTCCTATTATAAGATATGGCAGCAATACCCTTGTGAAAATGTACAGTTTAAACAGTCCATCTGTAGTGTAAGATTTCTACAACTCTGCAAAGGATGAGAGTCAAAAAAGAGAAAGAGAGGGGGAAGGACTCAGAGAGGCAGGCAGCGAGGGGGACAGTCCTTCAACTGTATAATCCTCCCCACAAATATAAATCCCTGTTTGTCACTCAGACATACTTTACAATTAAACAGTTAACTTTTGCAGCCACCTAAAAACATCCACATGAGTAGTTTCTGATCATGACATCACAAACAGCTAACTACTGTTTTTTGTGATAATAATGGCATATTTCAGGTATTAAAATAATCATAAGGCAACCTGATTGTCTCCTTTTGCAGAGAGACGGCCTGCTTAAGTGAAAACATGCTGGAAATGAAAGCTATCATAGAGAGATCGAAAACTCCTACATGGTGTTCCTCTGACAGCAACACTGTCGCCAGGAGTAAAATGAAATGATGAGCATGAAAAGCCTTATCTTGAAATAATTTCTGTTTTTTATGGGGTCTTGATAGTTGGAGACTTAGCTGCAAAACTTCTCAGGGTTGGTTTACTTTACTTTTTATTCCTCTGGACAGGTCGAATTTGTAATTCCCAGTTTTCAAATGTGCCTCTTGTGCGTGCTTTCATTGGTGAAAATGTCAACAACAGCTCAAACAGAGCATGAGTTTAGTCCTTATTCTGATTCATTTATGAGCTTATTCTTGTCTAAAGAATTCCTCTGCAGCACTTTGCAGATAGATACCAGATGTGACTGTAGCGCAGGGAAAATGAGCCACTCACTTCCCTGCATCGTTGGGAAATCCCCTCTTCCCCCTCCCACAATGATCTCTTAACTTCATCTTGTCACATCCAAGCAGAAAACTACAGTCTGTTTTTCCTGTCAGCTTTACTGTTGACATTTTGAAATTTTATGGCTGACTTCTAGTTTTGCTTTTTGACACCGATGTTTGTACTAAGTGACTAGGCTCTAGGCTTGTGAGATGAAGCCAGTGTGGAGGTGCAGTTCCTCAAGCGCCTGTTTGAGCCTGGCTCCACTTTGAACTTTGAACCCATTTATTAAGCTTATCTCTACAGCCTGGTTCAAACGTGGTTTTAGTTTATTGCTCATTTCTCTACCTGCACACACTGTATGGTATTTTTTTTTTTTCATAACTCATTAGTTTTGAAGAAATTTAGATTGACCAACAGAAGGGAGTTACACACACATCACATACGCAGGTGCAGGGTGATTGAAAAATTTAGCGCTTACTAAATGCCACAAAGAATTTATTGGGCCACAATATTTCAACCTGTTGGTCTTTTTGCAGGTGACAGCCTATCATACTCCAAACTCCAACAAATGTTTGATGTCACTGAGAGCGTGGACTGTGTATTATGCAGTCTACTCTCAAGACTCTACCACGCAAAGAAGAAACCATTTATAAGTTACAGTCTAAGTTACTCTACACTTTTGCATATCATTGTTCTAGGTTTCTTTTGTGGCTGTGTCTATGCATTCCTGACAATCCAGTTTTTGATCTTGCTCTAAATATCTAAAACGTGTAGTGGTGTCTTTGACACTTCCAGCAGATTCATGGATGTCAAAACAAAGAATCTAATTAAATCGTGCCTCTATCGCAACACTTGTTGTCATTGACTCCACAGTAACAAACAGTAAATTGTTCACATGTTGCAAGACTCTCAGCTGAGAATGGTTGTGTCTAAATAATTTAGATCTTTTTTTCTATTATGGTTACAATGATTCTGAATCATCTTTGCCCTCATTTTCAAAATTCATCAGCCATATCAGTAATGGATTCAAACCATTTTCACAGAGAGTTTCCAGCTTGTAGCAAAGAAGTACACTCTCACTGTTGTCCCTACCTTGCGCCAGTGAGAGCATTGTGCGTTGCAGGCTTGGTTGGCAGGTAAAGGCATGTTGGAAGCACCAGCATCAGGCAGGGAGGTGGCAGTGGGAGACAGTGAGGAAGACAGCTTGTCATGATCATGGTGATGTAGCTGAGTATAGCAGACAGGGGCTTTCTCCTTGCACTGACATTCTGCTAAGGCCTCCATTCCTCTTGCTCCCCCACAGCTTACCTGCAACCATCAAGATGTTTATTAAAACACCAAATCAGAGAGTAAGATGTAATACTTACAGCTTCTCGTGTTTTACTCAAATCTAATTTAGTTTTTGTGTACTGATTAATAAGTAATATTGATTATGCTTTGGCAACATTGTTTTGAATTTCATGCCAAAAAGCTTATCTGAGCTGAACTAAAATGTGCTCCAAACATGGACAGTGAATCAAGGTTTACTTTTGGGCAATATAAAAAAAATAATACTAAAAAAAAAAATACTTTCTAACCTGTTTAGAACAGCTTTTCAACAACAGACAGGAAAAAAACATCATTTCAACAGGAAAAATTCTCATTGAGTATGTCTGTGACATGAGCTTTGTGGACCAGCACTACATCTTTTAGAGTTCAAAGCAGGGCTTGCTCAGCAACTGTACTGAATGCTTACGTAAGCTCAGTTAACATACATGCTTTGTGAGCATAGACCATATGAAATAAGCTCATGATAGGCCAGCTGAAGCTTGCATTTGCACCAGTTGGAGTGCAACTCAGTAGCGGAGTAGTCTTATTAGCATAGACCCATTTACGGTTTACGGTAAGAAGCAACTGCGTAAAGAAACAAAAGTACCGATTTGTACATTGAGGAAAGAGGGATACACAGAAAGAGAAATTGCAAAATGCCTAAAGGTGTTTAACAAAGGAGTCCACTACACTCTGAAGAGACTAGAGGAACCTGGAAGTTATGATGATAGAAAAAGACCTGGACGAAAGAGAGTTACTACAAAAGCAGAAATTTAACATAGCATTGTCACCAGTAAGAGAGATCGGCAAAAGACAGCACATAAAATAAGGGAGGAAAGCAAAATTTAAGCAACAATAACTCAAATACCTAATAATTATAGTCAAAATGTCTCCTGATAAGTTACTCTTTACACAATAGTCACGTTTATTGTGTTGCAAATTATATTAATGAAACTATGATCTTTTTTTGTACAAATCTGATCTTGCTTCCAAACTTTTGGCCTCTAGTGTATATATATATATATATATATATATATATATATATATATTTACATATAAAAAATATACAAACTCTGGAATAACTGTAATGTAAACTCTGGAGAAGTATTGATTTGATCGAGCAGTTAAGAGATCAATACTACAAGTACATTTACCAATATTCACATGTCAGGCGATATGTATTTATGAAGGAGACTAAATTCTATAAGTGGTTCACTCGTGTCAGAATGATTCTTTCTGAATCACATTTTTTTCTCCAGGTTTTATCCCAAGTTTTAGGATTTGAACTTGAACAGTTATGCACCATTTGAGATCTCGATGATTTACACTGCTTCAGGTGACAGTAGATGGAAAAAAGTTGAAATCCTAATGCTGTCCTGCAGGATCTCACTGTGTAATAAATGTAGTGTGTTCAAAACTGGAGCTTCCCCAATGTGTTCCAAATGCAAACAAATAGTGGAACTGGCATTACTGATTTTCTTACTTTCAAAAAGTTAAGGTATTGTATTGGAGTAGAGGCCAATCTTTGAAAGGAAATGTGGGGACCTTCTTCATCTTCTTACTATGAAGTGCAGTCTTACATGGTGCAATCGAATGGCATGTTTCCAAAACAGCAATACTGTAAATTAAATCTGTACTGTACAGATTGGATGCCATATACATCAATATGCATTCATATCCTTTCAACCACAAATTGAATTTCATCCCAAAGAACTGTCAAATTTAATTTTATTATTTTATTATTTTATTTATTCATTTAAACTTCCCAGTGTTATGAAACCAATATTTCCCATGAGTATATTTCTTTAACCATGTGATGTCTTAAAATAATAGCAGTCAGTACTCTTTCTTTCTCTACAAGCTACCACCTTATAAAGGACTTCATATAAGAATGTTCATTGACAAAAAAGTCAAATAACGGTTTGAACTCAACTCTATTATGTATGTATGTATATATATATATATATATATGTGTGTGTGTGTGTGTGTGTGTGTGTGTGTGTGTTTGTGTGGGTCTCTCTCACCTGCAAGATGTCCTGGATTTGGCAGAGCTGCTGCCTGAGCACTTGCTTCTGGTTGAAACTAAATGCTGGGTGATGAGAGGCCATAGTGAATAACAAAAGAAACTGTTCATCGGTCCTCCCGTCATTCAGCGACAGGCCATAATTATTTATCACGATGTCGATGTGAGTCAGGATCCGGTACAGGACCCCCGCAGCTTCTCTATTGTTAGAACCGAGAAGGGCGAGGGACACCAGCAACTTACTACGCACCACCTCGTCCGTAACGTTGGTGAGGCCAGATAGGTCCGCAGGGTTGTTGGCTCTGATCTCTGCATCTCGAAGGGAGTGGTAGTCCTTGCGGGCCAAGTCTTCCAAGCAGGACCCGAGGAAGCGGAGTTCGATAGGAACGCAGAGGTCCAGAAGGCCGCACAGGAACTCTGTCCTTTGGGCTGAAGTGAGAAGGGAAAACCAGCGGTACACCCCCTCCCTCTGGACACAGGTCCGGCTTTCCACCATCCTCACACATTTACTTAAATGCAATATGAGCAATAAAAGGTCAGGTACCTGCAATCAAACTTTATACGTACATATGAATAGAAGTGATCCAATTGTTCGGGGAAGCACCGCTACTTTCAAGGGCCGTAAAGTTCGAGGCACTTCAACAACTTTTAGTTCTGAGGCTTTATGACTGATGCGTTTTCTAACTCCTCTGTTTGTTTTCCAGACTGGACTTTTACAGCAGGCTTAAAAATAAGCAATGGTGAACTGCTGATCGTTTATAATGTTACTCTTGTCAAGTTGCTTTATATGCAGCCAGAACTAAGACGCAGCACAGCAGCTAGGAGTCCCTCCGCCCTGTCCCTCTCCGCCGGTCGGACCGCTACCCCCTGAAGGTACAGAAAAAGCTCTCTCGGGGTGACGGGGACAATCAAAACAATCCTTTCCATTCGCGAGGTCGCTCCTGCAAAGTGAGAGTTTGTGAAATAAACAGCCTCCCCAGTGACAAACAGCATGATAATCCATTTCCGCAGCGTTTTCCGTCCGTCCTCATGGTTTTCCACTGTTTGCACGGAGAGCCGTGGGCGTAAGTCCTTGACGCTAGTGCCTCGGTTGAAGTTTAGAAACAAAATAGAAGTGACCTGAAACTACAGCTGATGCTGCCAATGAAATTAACATAGTTGTATTTCTGAGACTCTACCGAACCAAAAGCCAAAGTCAAACAAAATCTCAGACAAATGGGAAACACTTGCTTACAGCCCATTGCGGATTTTTCCAACGTCTTGTTTGACGATCGCTGTATTCTGCCATAAAAATGAAATCGGGTCAAACAAAGCTCTTCACATTATTATAACTCTGCCAGATCAGCCCAGCTCACAGAAATGACTCTGCTGATTGGCTGCGAGTCCCTTCAATCTTCAAGACTTTAGAGGTGATTGGCCCAGTCAGATCTGCTGCCTTGCACAGTGATTAGTCAGACGAATTACGTGTTTATATGTACTACATATAGTACCTATATCTATCCCTATATCTATATGACCTAGTTTTTCGTTACTAATATATCAACTACTACATGTAAACCTGTTTTTCTTCCCACAAACACATCTTGGCTCTTGATATCTCAAGTAATAACAGTAATGTAGTAATAATAATTACTATTGTTATCATCATTATTGTCGTTGATGTTTTTTATAGGTTATTGTTGTAGCTACTGCAACATCAGCCCACAAGTTGCTGAACGGAACTTTGTGCGTAAATAAACGTGCAGTTGTCCCCTGTCAACAGCAGTTGATACATCTAAATGTCTTATTTAAAACAACGGAATCGTATTTGTCTCCTTGGTGATTTTAGAGGCATGTCATACCGGGGGTATTGGAATTGAAATGCACCACCCCTTGTCCTGTTCAGCATTTCCTGGTGAAGCTGCGTGGGGATGCTGTTTGTTGTCTTTCTTTGACCCGATGATGGCGCCACAAGTCCATGTTGAAACCTCCTGCTGGAGCAGACTCGCGCAGTGATATTACGGTTCACCTTAATATGCCTTTTGGCTGGTGATACAACAACTCAAATATTGCGTAAATGTTGGCCCAGTTACAGATATAACGGGACGTTCATACGCTTTTGGCATTCTTCATCTTTCCCACCTTTGCTTCTCTCGTATTTCCCCTCATCCCGAATGATCTGCCTGCCTACATCCTTCCCCCGAATGAGAACATATGTATTTGAGCCGAAACCTGCCTCATTACACACACCAACCTCATGCTTACGGAGGAAAATTCGGTTAAGGTTGCTATAGAAACCGCAACTCCCCCTTTCTACCAGGCCAGCACCACTCCCTCTCTGCATCCAGCAAGGCAGTGCAAGGAAAAACACAAAAAGTCAAGAGACAAGAACATTTTCTTTCAAACACTTTCATTTTTCTCCACATTACTTAAAAGCCAAAAAACAGAGTAATTCCTAGAAAGAAAGAAAGAAAGAAAGAAAGAAAGAAAGAAAGAAAGAAAGAAAGAAAGACCACAAAAGGAGCTTGGCATACTGTAGCATGCTGCAGACTAACAGGATGGTGCAGGGCATCATCACCAGGCTGATGACATAAAATAGGGCTTCAGTCTGGGACCAAAATAAATGAATGAAAGTATCTTGTTCGGCCTCCTGGGATGCAGGCACATTAAACAGTTCTCTTGTCATAATGGTGGTAAACACCAGCAATAAACATAATACAGAGTTTGAGTTCCAAACAACATTTTAAGAAACCCTATCTGACAGAAAAAGAAAAAAAATGACAGCTAGCCTCACTGTCCCCCGGAAGTTGTTACTGATGAAAACAAGCAAAACCATCCCTCTTAGTCCTGTGGAAATAAGGAATGCACACACTCTCACCCACTCTTATAAGTGTTTATGAGCACACATACACACGCACACACACACACACGTACACACATCTGCTTCACACATCTATAAAAAAAAGAAAAATTGATTGGTACTTCTGGCTGTACTTTTGTCTGTCTGTATATTAGGATCTTTGAATGGTGGAGTGGAGGCCAAGGATTGGTAATCGATACCAAGGATAGGGAACAATCCTTGTGCTTCTTTACTGTACTCAAGAAACACACTTGCACTTTTTCACAAAATCACTTCAACTAATTCTTTCTATTAAACTGCTGGAGTATCACATTCATACAAACACAGGGGTCCAATTGCTTTAGTTTAACTCAGGAAAGATCAATAAAAATCAGTCCATTTAAGCATTTCTGACTTAGCTGTTTTATGTCAACTTTAATACATCAAATACAAGTCCGTCCAAACACTTCCCCCATCAAAACTTAAAATGCACACGTGTCTCTTATGTTTTTTACTTTCAGGTTCAACAAATGATCACAGGGCTAATGCACATAACCTTGGCCTTTTGTATTTCTATCAATTTTATAAAAAAAAAAAAAAACTTTAACTTTTCAAAAATCTTTTTATAGGATATAAAAAACAGTGTCCTCAGGTTAAGTTTTGAAGGATGGTGTAATAGACACTGATTTATCATTATCATGATGTTTGTGAAGCCGAATATTCATATGCAGGTTTTGCTTTAGTAAATGTAGTATGGTCTTTAAATACCTCTGTTGGTAAAAGGGCAAGCACAGACCAAAGACAGTCTGTCTTTTTACTCCACCAAGAAGGAAGATCCTTCCTCTGACGGGCATGTGGGAGGGTGGAACATTAAAGAGTGGACGACAAAGACTAGTGTCTTGAAGTGGACAAGCAGTGGTTGTATCCTAATGAGATCTATGAGATCTATAGTTCATGAACAGTGGGAAAAGCCACTGGGCTACCTGAAAAACAAACAGAAATGCACATACATACACACACTGACATTGCAGCTGGATCAAGTAGCAAAAGACCATTTACACGCTTTAGTAATATGTATGCAAAGGTACATGCGTACAGTATGTACTGTCATTTCTTCACACACACACATTCTGGTTCTCAATTCAAGATGAAAAGTGGGATGAGACAAACATTAGTGGGGCCAGTGTGTGTTTGTGTGTGTGAAAGAGAGAGGGAAAGAAAGAGAGAGACTGAGAGAGAAAGAGAGAGAGAGAGAGGGAGAGAGAGAGAGAGAGAAAGCCCCCAATTCTTTTAAGGACACGCAGACACTCAAATGTACACCTTGAGGTATCAGTAACATTCCCGGGGCAGGAACCAAAAGGCAGGAATTAGAATAGGAGGGGTACAAAATTAAATTAAAAAAACATATCCATCAACATATTGTACATGACAGAAAATGGCAATAAATCAGTAAATTATAAGTTACAAATCTGACAAAACCTGATGGAACATGAAAAAGTCTGTCTTTTCAGTTTTGTCTGCAAAGAAAGGAAGCAGATTTTTTTGTCGTGGTGCCAGCTCTGCTCTTGTGGCCTGGTCGTCAAACTACCTCAGCCCATAAGAGTTTACAGTATGTGAAAAATAGAAACTGATATCAAGTCCAAGCTCAGACCATCTTATCTCCCTCGTAGTCCTGTTAAACTGGACTGCTTTAACCTTTCATATTAATTTCTTTGGACTCTGTACTCAATTCTTCAACAAAGAGAATGAAGTTTAGCAGATGTTAGCCTGGCTTAGTTACCTTTAGCCCACATGATGGCAGAGCCCCAATGGCTCTATTTTTCAATCGGCCCAAAACACAGAGAGGCAGCATATTGGTGTAACTCAGACTTATTCTTCTTGTTGTAGTGTGGATAGGCTGACTCTGAAAAGGGTGCTGTCTTTAAATAAAAAAGTGAATAAATAAAATAGCCACTCCAATGTTGAGCAGAATCACCATGACAACCAGGATTGAGCTGTAGGCCTGCGTAGGAGAGAGAGAGAAGAAGAGAGGAAGAGGAGAGAAGGGGCAGTGTTAATAAAAAAAAAAATGCAGTCACATAAAGCCCACAAACAAGGAGCTTTTTGTACAATTGAAACTAAACATGGTTGAAACTACCATACTGCCAGTACTTAGTAATTTACATTCACCCCTTTACTATTAACGTGATGTAAAATTGCAAACATGTATTCTTAGAGACACAATTTTGTTGATATTTTAAGTCATAACACGCAGTTAAAGTGATTTAAAATCAGGTAAATGTAGTACAATACTTAACATCCACCTGAAGTTATAACGACAGATCAAAAGTGGTTTGTTTCACACAGATTTTACTGCTTTTTCCAACATGAAAGTTGGAAAAACAAAATTCACTTTTATTGGTGGTAGTGCTCAGAAAAACTGTAGTAAGCAATTTTAATATTTTCATTTATTGATTTATTTATTATTTTGTAGCTACAAGGATTTTACACTTTAAACAATAAACTGTCATTTCGGCTATTAGTCATCTTGATGCGCTCATTTTTGAGGTAAGTCATACTTTTACGGAGTCCAGTTCTTTGGCTCCTTAAAGAAATCTCACAGTCTAAAAGTTTATAAAGACTCTGTGACAATATAACCTATTAAACATAGATGTAAAGTTAAACGAATGGCATAGCCAAATCATTAAAAGCCGACAAAAAAATGAAAAAATAACCAATTAAACACATAGATGGAAAGGTGGATTAAATACACTGGAAAATCATTTCAACCATTGATTGTTTAAGGACAAAGACAACATATTAAACTGAAAAAAAAAATCTAAGAAACTGTAGATGTTGTATGTAATAGTATAGTGGAAGCCACGTAAACTGACTGCCAGTTGAAAAGCTCACCTCAGCTATTCCTGATGAGTTGTCAGACACAAATAGCTGTGTGTACATTTACATATGAACCTGCATACAGGTTTATGGACCTGTATCTGGATCTGCACATGTACCTGTAGGTTTATTTATGCATTTGGGGATCTACATGTTTGTGGTGTATTCATGAGTTAGCAAATTGTTTAGCTCCATACTGAAATAAGCATTTTGTTGGATAGAAGGCAAACATTAACAATGATAAAGTTTTGGGATACAATAAGGCTATTGCATCCCTTTTGGTGCTTGGGCCCAAATAATACAGACCAGTGTTGATTGCACAGGGAAGCCAACTGACAAAGTTAGGAAAGAAGAGAGCCCGTGTTTTTTACTCCACCCTGAGACCTTCAGCAATCAATCTTTTCAGCAATGTGATATTTGTGGCCTATCTAAGAAAAGTGTAAAGGACATTTTGTTTGAAGAAAAATAACTCCTTAAAAAATTCTACAAATCACTGTTTTGATTTAGAGACACTGATAAAAGCATCACAAGAAAAGACTATACATTGATACAGGATGTAAAAGCTGCTAGGAATGTTTCTGCCCAACAATCCTCCATAAATAGGCCTCTTCTTTCCCTGTTTATAATCCAGCTGTGTTTAAAACTTGAGTCTGATTGCAAAATCTCTATGTCCTCAGGGATTTGGCAATCAGACCCAGCTGAAGACAAACCAGGGACATTTTCATCCAAGCATTTAACAAATCAGTGGGTTATCATTAAGATGACAATAGATCTTTATTGTTCTTGAGAGGGAGAGGCAAGACTAGTTTCTGTCCTGGGTTGTTTTTGGGCTGTGGGCAATTCTGATTGTTCGCAGGCACAGATTTGAGAGAGGCCTGAAGAGCTTGTGGGCCCAGACCCTCCCTGATAGGTAAAAGTGGAACAAAATCCTATCATGAAATCTAGGTGGTTGCAGCAGAGCTGGTGACTGCTTCCAAAAAAATGCCAACCAATACACAGTTTTTTAAATCATTTGCAGTTGTGATAGTAGTAACAATGTGAAAAGTTGTGATGTGTGTTTAAATGTGTATCATCTAAAAAGCCTCAAAAAGGAGGAGGGTCGAATGAGGACACAAATATCAATATAAGTTCCCCCATACTAAAATGATATGCATATTAAGGTTAATGGGATTTTTTTTCTACAAAATGCAGACTAAGGTCTTCAGATAACTATGACAATAAATTTTTAGATTAATGATTATTTGTCCCACAAGGAGGCTGGTAAGAATCTGTTGTTGTTGAACCATTACAGAAAGCCACCAATTTTTTTTAACCCTCCTTTTATCCTCATATATTACTTGCATATTTTACCCCTGAAGTCAATCTGACCACAGGTATATTTGCCTCCAGAAATTATGCAAGTGTTGACGAAGATTTTGTGTAAGGCCCTCTGTTTATTTGTTGCATACATACATAAACAAACTATAAACATTATTAAAGAAAACCTATCAGTGAGTTGACCTGTTCTCTATCACCACCAATAGGCCAAACTTATAAAGTAGAATTAATGTATCTTGAAAAGTTTACACACAAATCTTTTCAAATTTACTGACAACCTGAATGACCACAAGAGGATATGCCCCACTGGTTTTGGTGATATGACCTTTCTTGTAGCGCCACCATCAGGTCAAACTTTCAGTTTTAGAGTTTGTTTATCTTGAAAATATTTCATCGAAATCTTTCCTAATCTGGGGTGCACAAACATGACTCTCACAGAATGAACTATATTGATTATTTTGCATGAACTACCCATGTTCTTGAGGGAATACAACACCCTCTACAGTCCTACTTCAGTATTTGTGAGTACAGTACATTAGGTCACTCATACACAAACACACACAGACACACACACACACACACACACACACACACACACACACACGCGCGCGCGCGCGCGCACAGCTTCATGTGCCCATGGTACAGGAGAGTTCTTATGAGAATATTGTTTCTTCCTCTACCAAAAATTATGGTCCCTTTACTCACTTCAACGACAAGGTAGACATGCTGCTATGAGTGTGTCCCACCAGACACACTCATAGCAGCATGTTCACTATCTGAGCTCTTTGTATCCCCATCAATTAAAGATATTTTACTTGAGATGACCATTTTAGAGGCATGTGTAGTTGGAAAGACTTGGATGTCATCAACTCACAAGCCTACACTGGCTTTCTTATTTTGGCAGGAGTTCACAAGTCAAGTTGTTTCCCACATGCCCACACCACAAGGAAAAGCAAAGTTCTTAAGAGAATAGTAGTTTTCACCATCTCCCTGTTATGTAACAACTCAAAAGTATCAACTCTGCACCCGCAGGTGTGGGGATGTTAGGTCAAACGCACAGACAAACAAGTTTTACACAGCTGAAACAGCTTGAGGTCAAATTGATCCCAGAGGAACTCTGATACGTTTAATATGTGTTCAGCACATAAAAAAATATCATCATGAGAATTCTATGCTTGATCAGTTGTCCCCATCACATTGGGAAAAGTCAATAAATATGCCCTCTCTCAATTTTGATAACAATTCCTCCTCACAATAAAACAACAATCAGTGTAAAACAAGAAGAAAAAACTACTATGGTGGTATTTTTACATAATTGAAGCTATTTGAAAAACCCAAGGGCTTTCCATGATCTCCTGTGATGACAGCTGACATTGGGTCTGTTAGTGGAACACAAATCAATTCATTGTGTTTCATAAGGATTTCATTATTGTATTAAAGACATTATTATTAAGTATCTGTATTTGTCAAAACACACTGGCCCTCATTTATCAAGTTTGCGTACGGCAGAAAACTTGCGTACACCTTGCGTATGACAATTTTGACGTGAGGATCGGCATTTATCAATCTGCACGTGAGCGTACGCTACGACCAAATCTCACGACAGGTCTGACATCGTGTACGCAAGTTTGAGTCAGTGTGGATTTGCGGTGCAGCAAATGTCTGTCTCAAAATAACTGATACACAAACCTTAAACCTGTCATTTAGCACAATCAGACAGATTTCATTAAAGATTATGACGTAAATAAGATTAAACAAAATAAAATGAAGTTGTTATGTCCTTAGTGAACAGGCCTATTTGATAACTGCTCAGAAACACTGCTACAGAGCAGGAGCGCTGTTTCAACATTACGCACACACGCACCACTGTGGAGCGCTGCATTTGACTCCTAAAAGGCAGGTGTCTCTGTCTTGGCCCAGCAGCGGGGACGTTGTTGTACACTCCTGAAAGAGTGTGGGACATCATTTTAGCCAGTTCAGTTTTGCACAATGTTGCACTGGCGAAAGGAGTGCCGTTGGAGCAATCTACCCTATGTCATGGCAATAAACAAATATGTGGCATGTATGAGATATTAATTCATCATCATGAGCAACTTATTGACTAATGATTTATTCAAACTTCAGCCACTGTTCACTATTCCGCAGCAGCGCTGTTCAGCACCTCCATAATCCTGCTCCAGACGGGAGTTTTCTGAACTGCTTTTATACCACTTTTGATGTTTCCAAAGAGAAAATCCTTGTTAGTTTCCACCACAGATGTGAGGATATCCACTTTCAGCTCGAGAAAGTTTCTAATCTTTCTAATATTTTTCCTCTTTCATGTTTAACCTCAGTGGGCGAGGCTTCTGAACCACGAATATTTAAGGGCGTAAACATGTTAATGACGATCAATTTCAGTTGCCGCATTTATCAAGACCTGATCATACGTACGCTGGGATTGGTCAGATACAAACCCTTTCATAAATCTCACGTGTGTCCTATCGTACGATGAATCCTGCGCTCAGATCTGCGCAAGCTTGATAAATGAGGGCCACTGAGTATAAAACTTGTTGCCACTAATCTGAGCTGTTATTTGAATGGATTGAACAGATTGCTACTGGATGTAGCATTGGCGATGTCACCCATTCATTTTTTACAGCACAGTGGAACTGCTTCCAACTTAAAATGTTTAGTAACAGCTAAAAACTCTTCATTTACACTTCATTTACCTCATTTATCTGCGAACACTCCTCTCTGTCTCTGTTCTGAACCTATTGATACTGTATATGTGTTAATGAATTAATATGCATTCCCTTTTTCAACAGAGATCGTAGAAACAGCGCCTGTATACGGATTTGAAGCCAAAAAGCTCTCGGTATTTCCAGGATTTTTCTTCATTTCCTGAAACCAGCGCTGTGCAGTAGCAATGCACGCATTCGGCCGCGCAGTTGCAGAGAGTCGCTGTGATGACGCTCGGCTCAAACAGCGTATCCCTAGATGAGCTACGCAATCCCTGAGTGCCCATAGGCTGTACCAGGTGTCAATCATCGAAAACATGAACCCGCTAATAACTTTTAAAAACGGAGCTTCACAGAAAAGAAGAAGACTTGAGCACAAACCAGTCTGACAGTAACTACATGTCAACATCACAAGCAGGGGGGAGAAAAATGTATGTTCTTTGTAATAAATTTCTAAAGTTTGTCCACAGCCCCATAAGCTTTGCTGGCGGAGGCGGGATTTATGACCTATACTGCAGCCCATCAACAGAGGGTGCTGTTCTCGGAGTGGCTTCACCCAGCGAGGAGGCAGACTCTGTCCATTCTTTATACAGTCTATGGTCAGAATCTATTGATAAGGTCCTGTCTCCTCTGTACAGCACCTTTGTGGAGTCTCTCCTCGTTATTGTTCTCCGGGCATCACGTCCTCACGTTGGACCGGCACAGCCAACGGCACTCCATTTGCCAGTACAACATTGTGCAAAACTGTACTGGCCCAAATGATGTCCCACACCCTTTCAGGAGCGTACATCAAGGTCCCCGCTGCTGGGCCAAGACAGAGACACCTGCCTTTTAGGAGTCAAACGCAGCGCTCCACAGTGGCGCGTGTGCGGGTGTGCGTAATGTTAAAACGGCGCTCCTGCTCTGTGGCAGTGTTTCTGGGCAGTTATCAAATAGGCCTGTTCACTAAGGACATAACAACTTCATTTTATCTTATTTACGTCTTAACCTTTAATGAAATCTGGCTGATTGTGCTTAATGACAGGTTTGAGGTGTTTTTATCAATGATTTTGAGACAGATATTTGTTGCACCACAGATCAACACTGACTCAAACTTGCATACACAATGTCAGACCTGTCGTGAGATTTGGTCGTAGCGTACGCTCACGTGCAGATTGATAAATGCCGATCCTCACCTCAAAATTGTCGTACGCAAGGTGTACGCAAGTTTTCTGCCGTATGCAAGCTTGATAAATGAGGGCCATAATGAGTTCTCAGGTCATCAGGTCAAGTTTTGGACTTAACAACGGGGTGACAAAAGTATTTTCAGTCATTGTACAAATTGCTCTGTAGGGGTTGCCATATGCTTTCATAGATGTCCAGTCAAAAGCATCTCGGTACTATTTTCTAGACAATAGAAAAAGTAATAGCATACTGATCCCAATCAAAACGCACGTTTTGATATATAACCCGTCATACAACTCTTCAAGCTGTAGGACTAGTAGCGAATTAAAATTTGTCCGTAAAAGAAATAAGAAAAAATCCATAGTATAACAATAGTGCCCCAGTGTGTTGGCCCTTAGAAATCTAAAGATTATTACAGTTTTCTAAAAAAAAAAAAAAAGAAAAATACTGAAATGACATTAGAAAAATACTTTGGAAAACAATGAAACATTTAATAACTCAATACAAGAATAATAAAAAAATCATATTTCTGTTATTTAGAAATAAGCAGACAAGGAAAAAAGAGTCTGATAATAGCTGTCATGGAATTTTACAGCAATATTTACTGATTGTGTTTCTCTGTGAAGAAAATGCTGTAAATTAAAATCATAACAATAACAATGATGATAATAACGATAGAATATTTTTGAAGAAGTGTTAAGATTGAAGAATCAGATTGCTCTGTTAAAAAACAAGCATCTGACTGCCCTCTAGGTCAAGATTGCTCAACAGCTAATGTTGTGTATTTAGTCACTTAATTTGCATGAATTGTCTGCTCAGTTCATGCAACTCACACCACCTAAGTAGAATGCGCGTCTAACGTTAACTTTACATGTAATCCCCTGATGATTTAACTCTTGGTGCTTGGTGTGAACACTACATGAAACTCTCAGCCTTTCATCAAGTCCTTTCACACTGATTACTAAATATAATTTTAGTCCCCAAGATTTACCCATCTGAAATACTAGGGTAATGTTAAGTGGGAGTAAGTCTTCATTCATGGAGTATGAAGAATATGCCGAATTTTACATCTTTTGGATGAAAACTGAAATATGCTTCAACTGGACGGTTTTAATACCAAACATAACCTCAAGATCTCGAAAGTAAATTATATATTATTAGTCACACAGAATATTCCAATGCCTTTCATACAAATGATTAAAAATAATATTGATAATAGGCCAATCCTTTAATTACCAAGTCTTAAAGTTGATGATGCAAATGATGCAATAATACATTTCTTAGACAATTTTTGGTGAAATCTCTCTATCCTGTGTCAAATATTCCTTATAGAGTTCTATGTTGGCAACTTGATAGTAGTCATCTTTTACATCAAACTGTGGTAAAGATATCTCTATTTAATCAAAACTTGCTGGATGAAGCGCTCAAGCCAAATTAAATATTGTCAATACTGGGAATTTCTCAAATTTGACATAGGTAAATACATGAGATCCACTCGCAGCAACCTTGCAAATTTTCCATGACTCAAAGAAGACCAACTTATGTCTGTAATTGCAGTTTCATCCAACAAAATGGTGAAAGCTTTACTTACTTTCACCAGACAATTAAAACTTTGTGAATGCCAGAACAAACAAAACAAGATCTACAGGAGGAACACTCAAGGCAAAGCTGCATTTTGGTACATGTCTACCACCTTCTCCTCAAATCTGATGTATGAGTTCTCCAGACTCATATTCAGACCCTGAGTCCTTCAGCTAACACCAAAGGGGTTCAGTTATATGTTCATCTACGTAGTGAAGAGGAACTTCAAAACAAATTTTAGGCATTCAGTTTTTTAGTGGGAAGTCTAAGTTAGAAACACATTTTCAGCCAAGGTGACCAAATATATTCAGGTATTCTGTCTTCACACTGGAATTTTTACATCGAGGAGAAATAGCTGTCTTTAAAAACGATCATCTGAGAAAGTTTTGTCTGACGAAAATTAGACTAAAATGAAAACCTAGATGCTCTGACAGATTCTTGACTCAATCCTCATCAGATACAAAGATAAAATTATGAATTTTATTACTTTAATTTTATTACTTTAAATTTCTGAAAGCTTTGACAAAAACTGAATTGAACAATGTTTGACAAATTCACACTGATGGAAAGGAGGCCTTTTTTGGCCTAGACAAAATTAGTCTGTGGAGACAGAATAATACTTCAGATATCATTGTTACTGCCTGGTTCACATTGTGGGGTGGTGTCCTATCAATCTGAGTGAATACCAGTCAGGAAATTTTTTCTTAACTCACAAAACAGTAGCCCATTATGGAAAGTGTCCTTTATATATTTCAAATAGGTTATATTCTAAAATCCAACATCCGATCTTCCTAAAATTACCTGAATTAAATTGAGAGAAATTGTTTGATCACTCTGACCCAAAATTTCAGGTCATATTTTCTACTCTGATATAATACAAATCCTTTTTTCCTCCTCCTGATTGAAACATTTATCGCCTGGTCACTCCATAAGAAGTAAATTGTAATAATTCTGATTACAAAAGCAACCACTGAGACTGTGACAGAAATTTTGACAAAAAAAAAAAAAAAAAAAAAAAAAGAACAAAAAACACAGGCTCAGAGTTAAAAATCTTCGTCTTTAGATTATCTTCTAAGGATTAATGCTGACATGAAACTATTACCACTACTGCCTTTTTTATCATCTCAAATACGGCAAAAATACCCAGACAGCAAAATACCCAGAAAGCAAACCAGCCAAAAGCTCCTTCATCTGTGTGACAAGACTTAATGGACATAATGCTTTGCACTGACATTGGCCTAAAGTCTCTTAGATATACTAATTTTTGTTGATTTCAACATACTGTACTTTCCCTATTTTCCTTGTTGTAGTCAAATGTCTTTCTGATAAAGATCCTTTATTAATCAATAATCTCTTACGCAGAGAGAGCAAAGATGACTCATATATTTTTTACTTATAGTTTAGGCTTTATCAGTTTTTTTTATTGGTGTTCAGGCAACGACATTAACCAGCGAGTATCATGGAACAAAATGAATCTCTTCGCCCAAAAGCTTGTGGTTACAGTAAAAACACCTGTTAAACAGGAATCGACTGACAGCAGGAGCCTTCATAGCCCCCATCAACTAAAACTGGAATGACAACAACATGGTATTAGATCAAATAAAAGGTGAAATTCCTAGGTTCAGGTCTATTTTGGTACAGGTGTATATAGAATGCAGTAAAAAAATCACTATAAAAAAGGCAAAAGTAGTAGGTAAAAAGATGACCGTGTGTTTGGCTTAATGTATCTATGTGTTCAGAGCAGCATTGTCTTTGTGTATCCATCTGAGTGTGAGGGTTGGTAGTATCTGTGTATGCTGTGAATACACACCCTGCTTCCAACCACCCTCCACCCCCATGTCACTGACACTTTCCCACTGATCCACTGATTGGCTACCACTGAAGCAAGGCATAAGCTGTTCCCTAGCAACAGAGCTCTGGTTAACCAATAGGGGGCCTTCTGTGAGGTTGAAGCTAGTTTGCAAGTCTGCTGTTACTAAGGTGCAGATAGGACTGCTGGGGTTCTAAATGTGTGCGTTTGTGTGTGCATGTGTGTGTTGTGTGTGTGTGTGTGTGTGTGGGGGGGGGAATTCTTAACGAATAAACAACTGTATTCATTCACTGCACAAGAGTCAACCTACTGCTGGAGACAACAGTGAGACTTCTCTGTAGGGCTCGGCACAACATTGAACAGTTTGTACACAGGTTAAGATACAGAGAGAGACAGGCATTGTGTACGCGCGCGTGTGTGTGCGCACGCGGGGGGTGTGACTAACAGCAAGTAGCAGATTGGAAACAACTTAACAACCATAATCACTTACTGATTACCCAATGCTGCAGATAGAGATAAATTATTGTTGGGACTTGACCTTGCATTTAACAGTTTGCACACAAGTTAAGACTGAGAAAGACAGAGGAAGAAATGTATGTCCGTGTGTGTGTGTGTGTGTGTGTGTGTGTGTGTGTGTGTGTGTGTGTGTGTGTGTGTGTGTGTGTGTGTGTGTGTGTGTGTGGGTGTGCGTGTGTGTGTGTCTGTGCGCGTGTATGATCATGATGTGCTCAGTGCTAGCCTGATGGTTTCATTTCCAACGGCTGGGACCACATTATCATCCAGGATTAGCGTGGTTGGGGCAGTCAACCAGCCTGAGACAAGATGTGGCCAAAAAATGATATTAAAACAGCATAATCCTCCCTGCTTGCTCATAATGCAAAAATATCTTTCTTTATTTCACCAGGTTAACCCTTGTGCCTTTCCCCTGGATTACTTTAATATGTGGAATAACATTGTGTTATGTCACTATCCTCATAAAAGTGAGCAACAAATCCTTTTAGACAAATCAATGTGTAGCTCTGACATAGAAGATATGACAAAGCACCATACAGCTGCTGTCCCATTGATATTAGGACCAACCACCCATGACTACTGGGAACTGGTGAATTATGGAGGACAAAAAGAGACAGAATAAAACATAAAAATACATCTTTAAATAAATACTAAAATATGTCATTAATTAATCAAAATGGGAATCAAACAGATAAATGTGTCATTAAATGTCATTAATTAATTAAAATGGGAATTAAATAAATAAATGTGTCATTAAAGGTGTCATTAATTTATTAAAATACCATTTCAGTCAATGTAAAAAACATATAAAAATATATATAATGATTTCACGATTGAATTAATTATTTCATGGACCTGTGTTGCAGTGCTTAATGATTTTTTTTAATGTCAAACTCACCCATAAAAGTCAGCTGGCGCATCCTAACACCTGACTGGTTACCTGGCACATCAAGTCCAGACAGATCGACTGCAGATACTGGATTGATGCAGCCACTCTACGGTGAATTTCTTGGTCAGAGAGTGCGGGAATAACTCCAAAAATTTCACTTAACTCCGCTGTTTTACACATTACATGTTCTAGGTCAGCATTTCTCTTTTTTTCAGTCACCTTTCAATAGTGCATAAAATCTCATGCCACCCCAGTGTAAAGTAGAACTGTTATCCTTTTGTTTAGGCAGGACAGTATCAATGAACAGAGCATAATACGAACTGAAAATGCTCAAGAGATATGCAGGAATGTTTCTTTCCATCCTAAGTGTTAGTTTCCATCTGTGCCTGCCTGCCTGCCTGACACACACACACACACACACACACACACACACACACACACACACACACACACACTCTGCAATGAGAGAGGAAGAAAGATAGGCCCACATGGGTACAGTGCACAGGCACTCACGAGCATCTACCTTTGCGACCTTTGGTGCAGACTCAGAACTGGTGGACGAAGGCTTCCACATACACTGGAGGATATCCTCTGTAGACGTTATGTTTTGTAAGACTTCAGGCTTCAGACCAAAGTAATGGATCACACCAGCTCAGCATTAGTCCTGCCTACTGACTTTGATGGGTGAGTTTGACAGATAAAATAAATTCATGACACACTGCAACAAAAATCCACGAAATAATTGATTTTATAGTGAAATAATTATATATAGGTTTACATTGAATGAACTGGTATTTTAATTAATTAATGACACATTTTTGAACATTTATTTATCTAATTATCTTTTTAATTAATTTATGACATATTTAAGTATGAATTCAAAGATGTAATTGTATATTTCACTCTGTCTCTTTTTGTCCTCCATAGTGAATTTGAGTTTCAATTTAAAGCTTCTAAAACTCATATCAAATTTTTGAATTAAAATCTACCACATTTGATGAGTACAAGTATCTTGACCATAGAAAAACAGTCTATGATCTTAACCCCCTAAAATCTGTGCTCCTAATCATGGCAAGTAAACCCATCATCATGGCAATGACATTAAGTGCCAACCATCAAGGTACACAAAGTTGATTACCACCAATCTCCTTTCTCAAGATGTGATTTTGATCTACCCTAGCCGTGCTCCGTCAAATTTGAATATTTCTTAACTGTCACGCCTATTTCAGTAAAAAAAAAATTAAGTGATTTGAGCAGGAAGAGTAAACTCATGAAACCTACCAAATTTCATAACTGAAGCTTGAACATGCTGCAGGGGCTGAACTTTTTAAAATGTTGTATGGAACATTATAATTTTAATGTTTTTTTTGTTTTTTTACCACTCCTGATGTGTATTTTTAGTGTTGACACAATGACACGATTCAGACAAATGTACACTTCCCTGCTACTGTGAGTTTTAAAGTTCATAAATATGGCTTCTTAACTTTCAAAAGTTAACCCTAGTAATACAACGATGAAGACTTAGACCTTTGATGTATCAGGTCAGTGCTGAGAGGCTTGCTTGTCTGCTGTTGTTAAAGAGCAGGTTTTGTTGTCATACTCCTAGTTCTAACTAAAGTTGTTCATTTGACTTCCTTTTTTCTGACCAGACAAAGCAAATAAAATTCACTGACAAATCCCTTTGAGGAGAACATCCGCATCATGATATCATGTTAGTGTATTACAGACTTGAAATTGTCAAATTGTCATTATGATTCTTACCGAGTTGCTTTTTCTCTGCAGTAGGCTGAGGTCCTGCTGCTCTGGTGTGATTGGGGAGGACCTCAGAGGAGGGGATAGTGTGAGGTCCCGTCGAAGAGGCCGTGACTCCATCTTTTCCACTGTTCTATCCAGCTTGTGCACTGATTCTTTGCCTGCCTCTCGTCCCTCTCTTCCTTCCCTCCTCTCCTTTCCATCTCGGTTCTTGTGCCTCTGTCGTTGCACAGTGTGCACTCGCCCCTCACCTTGAAAATGACTGTGCCCATGCCTCTCTTCCCCGTGCCCGTGCAGCCTGTGGGTAGTGGAGTCTCTGGGCTGTAAAGGTTTCATCTCCATTTCATAATTGCTAATCTTTTCCTCATCCTGCTCTAGTAGCCGGCCTCCTCTGCCATGCATACTCCTGTGCCCTGACGTCCAAGAGGCAGATGAGGAAGACTCTACCCACTTGTCCCTTCGGGTCTGTCTGTGATTGGATGGTCCATGCTCCCTGGTCTGTCTGTGATTGGAGGAGCTGTGCTTGTGGCCATTGGTCTGGTTTGCTCCTCGGCCACCTGTTTTTGAAAGCATCCCTCTTCTCTTATCCTCATTCCAGGTGTTCACCTGGGGGTACTCCCCCTTTCCTACTCCTTCACCTCCCCCACTTCCTCCCTCCATCATCACCTGGATTTGCCCCACTTCCCCTCTTTTTTCAGCCCTTTCTCCCACATCCTTCCCCTTGTCAGTGTGATCCACAGCACTCTGTCGGTGGAAGCGAGCACTCTTGCTCCGCTGTGTTGGTCGGGCTGGGGGAGTAGGAGTGTGGGGTGGAGAGGAAGAAGGGGGACTGAGGTCCGGTGTGGCAGCATCATAGGAGGGTTCATCAGAGCCTGTGCTTTTTACATAGAGGTCTGGGCTGTCTGCAGTGCCAGCACTACTGGACAAGCCCTCACCTTCCACCTCACTGGACACCTGACATTTTGGACGCTGGACCTCCATACCTACACAAAAGAAACTACATTAGGAAGATCAGATATCAAGGAATGATAAAAGGAGAAGGCTCTAACGGCTCCCTGCATTCTGCTTGAGTCATTGCTTTTTGCTCAGTTGATCTTGTTACATCAAAAAAAGCATGAGACATGGCTTAATATTTACAACTAAAAACAATTATACCAATCAGATCAGTTCATTTTTGAAAAAAAATTATAACACCCTTCAACAATGACTGTCTTTAAACTGACTTTAACATTGATTGTAGAACTCAGTTGTATTTGAATTGTTATTTGTATCATGATTGATTATGCGTAATGTTATGTGTACATTTTTTATCTGCTGTAATTCTTGGCCAGGTCTCTTTTGCAAAAGACATCTTGGCTCTCAATGAGACAAACCAGGTTAAATAAAGGTTGAAATAAAAAATGAATAAAATGCTCAAACTGTTATTACACAGAGAATAAGTGAAGTGTGAATAATCCCCTGCTCTGTGGCTGCTGATACCTTCAAATATTGCAGAACCTTTTTCTTTTTTTCATGCTTTATTTTTTGGATTTTGTTAACTGAATGCAAAATCACAGTGTGGCAGAGAATAAGTACCCTAACAGTATATGCATATTGTATAGTAACACAATGAAAAATAATCATTATAACTCTATCATAATAGAAAGAGGGGGTTATGATGAGAAAAATAAAATAAAAGTATGGAAAAATATAAATAATAAAAAGTAGTAGTTACTAACATATAAGATAACAAAGGGATAAATTTGGGTGATTGTCATCATATATAAAGCCAGGTATCAACAGTAATAACAGTAACAACTTGAGGGGAATACAACTGGATCATCAGACCATAATAATATGCTATAAATCATTGTTTCTGTTTACAGAGGTTTATCCAGTTTATCGGGTTACTACCTTTTTGTATGACATATGTGTCCGATTCTTCCCATAAAGAGTCAAATTTTTCCCTCTGCAGTACTGTAAGACATATTTTCCATACAACTGTGTTAGTCCACTGTTTAATAGTTGGCAGGTCTCTGCAGAGCCATTTGAATTTGTCTTGTCCGTCTAAGTAGAAGGACTAGCAGATAAATTTAATCTAGCACAAATCTTTTCTAACTCTTTTGTGAACACTGCTCCCGGAGGGTTTTTGAACAAGGCAGTCCCAGAACATGTGTGTACGATCCCCATACACTGACCAAATCCTCTGTAACATTTCTGCCATGCTTTGGGCTGTCTAGGCTTTGGTTTTGGAGTTATAAAAAATTGAATGTTTGAAAGTTTTTTTGTTCTCGATGAAAATTCCCTTCATGATTGAGAAGCTGTGGTAGTGATTTGTGTCAAAGTAATATTTGTCCATTCTTCAGGAAAAATAACTGTTCTTTATTTTATTTTTTTTCCATTTTATCTTAATATCATTTGTTGAGTTTCCCTTAATCCAACTATGTTCTTGTGTAATTCACCAGTCATCTTTCTGTACAATTTTGTTTTATAAGGTCTGATAAATATTTGTGTAATGCCTGATAGGTTTGTCATTTACCGTATTTCCTTTAATATTTTATCAAACTACTGTCAGAGTTGGAGATACCATTCAAAAATCCCATTAAGCAAGGCCATACCTTTCTGACATAGTTTTGAACTCTATGAGTTTCAGATTGTTAATCAGCAGACACATTACTGTTACTGCTTTTTTCACCCATTGTTTGAAACCTTCGTCATTAGTAGCTGGCCTGAAGTCTGGGTCATGAATTGGCCACGTTACAATTCCAATTTCCTTCTGAATGTTAAACTGTTTTGCTAAACTGAGCCGACCTTCTATAAAAAACTGACTCTACATATCATGTTATTTAGTTAAAAGTGTGCATCCAAGCTAATTCAGTATAGGATTGTTCAACAATGACAGTTTCGTGACTTCCCATTTGGCTTCATATTCTTGATTGCATCAGAGCATCATTGGTCTTATCTGTTACCGGGGCCATCCAACCACTGTGTTTTGACAATTACAAGTTTTTATATCTCTTTACCATTCCAAATGAATGGAGATATCACCTTGTCCTGTTCTCTAAGTTGGTTATCTGGGATATGAATAGGCATAGACTAAGCAAAGAGTAAAGAGTAAATAACACAGTCTGGGTAAAATACTAGATTTTATCAGCATAATTCTACTGCCAGATACCAAATGCAGAGAATCCCATTTTAGTGAATTTTATTTTAACCAGAAAACCCACAAAACAATCTAGTCATGTCATTACTAATTTGTTACGAGCATGGTACTAATTTTTATTTTTTATCAAATCACTATTAGTGCTTTAATGTAAAGCCGCTTTTTAGAGTCTCTATTTATTATTAACTAGATGCAATTGATATGGGAAAAAAATCAAATTTCTGTTGTTTCAAAAGTTTAAATCTACTGTCTAAAAAGACGGGGGGGGGGGGGGGGTAACCAAGTTTGTGTGTGTGTGTGTGTGTGTGTGTGTGTGTGTGTGTGTGTGTGCAGGTTTAAATGACAGAGCCTGAAATGAAAAGCTAGGAGGTGGTGTACACTGACCTTCATCATCAACCTACACAAATACTCACAGGAGCGTGCATTCACTTGCCCATGCAAGTGGAAGCAAATATGCTGTTGTTATCTGTCCTTGGCTGGATTATGAACATGTGCTTTACATGCATGCCCTTGAATGGTTTTAAATGTGTGCTTACCGTTTCCTGGGTGCTTGAAGGAAGGAGAAAACTGTTTGGCTGTGACCCTTGCAATGCGGCTCTCCTCTTGCGCTTTCTGGGCAGCACCTATTGCTGCCTCTGCTTTACCCTGTGCGTGTGCTGTCCTGTCAAACACAAGGAGGTAAGAAGGATAGGGGTTACCAAACCTCAGATTTACACAACGTACATGTTACAACTGAATTCAGTCTTAATTCTTAATACATGCTGAATATTATTGGACAGGTGAACCAGTGCCCAATTAATTCTTGTAGTTTTTATTTATTTTTTTGTCTTAAATGGACTTATATGAGGTACTTGCTGGTGGTAGCTGTATTACACACAGGATATACAGAATGCAGTATAGTTGGCTCAATCATTTAGAAAACAGCCAAGTAACTGGAACAGAAGATAGCCCATTACCTCTTGAAGACAAAGTTAGTCCTACCACACGGTTGGGCTAATTTTTAGAAACTCCAACCTAAGCACTAAATTTGGTCAGAAACAAACATGTTTAGCAGTTATTTTATGCTCTTCTGTATTTTGCCTTACTTTGAGCAGCCTTCATTACCAAATTATCACTGATTTGTCTGTTAATTTGATCAGATTGTATTGTACACGATTTCAGTTCTGTTTTTATTTATTTATTTATTTTGGATATGGCACATCTGTCTAGTAAGATGTGTTGGAGCTTAATTTGCTTTTCAAGGTGATGGATGTACAGGTCTGACGGTTAAAATATTCAGTGAAGTATTTTTTCTGTCAGTACTGTTAGTCTTCTTCTACTTCTCTTTGCTTTAATCAAAGCACATCTTATATCAGCTACAACTCAAATCTACAACATTTGGATTCAGTTGTCATGGTTACCTGTACCCCTAAATTGCTAACTCATTATGAATAAAGGAAGCCTATAAATCAAATGGTTGTATACTATAAAGTGAATAAACTGTGTATACTGGATCTTTGTTTTTATTTAAAAGACTTCAAAAAATTTGCCTCCATTTACTGTGTATTTATCACACAAGGCATTCTGGGATTCCTCGCAGGCTGACAACAACACATTTTAAAATTTTTCTCCTTCATTAGGACAAAATCATACCTGAAAACTGAATGGTGGTATACTATTAAGTAAATACACATTGTTCTGGTGATCCAAATGAAGACATTTAAATACAAGGAATTTAGTGATGCACTCTTGGTAGCTGGGTGTCTTCTAGTGTTTTTGATGCACTGGGTTTGTCAGCATAGTGAGGGTGAAGAAGACTGAGTCAGCTACTGCCGCCTAGATCAGACACAGCAGTATACACCAGCTTTTACATTAACTTCCACCGATTACTTTTCAGCCTAAATGGAGCGGGGGTTGAAAATATATATTTTCAAGGTGATGGATGTACAGGTCTGACAGTTAAAATATTCAGTGAAGTATTTTTCTGTCAGTACTGTTAGTCTTCTTCTACTTCTCTTTGCTTTAATCAAAGCACATCTTATATCAGCTACAACTCAAATCTACAACATTTGAAAATATATATTTTCAACCATTTACATGTTCAGCCGTCTGGTGTTTTTCTCTCTGCTTGACGTCAACATCTGAATTGCTGTTTTTCCATCTAATGCTTTACTAATACCAACAGGTGGACTTACTGCTGAGCTCAGTTTAGCTGTGTGGCAAAAATGTTCAACAGGCGGAAACAGACTTCTTAATCACAGTCGTAAGGAGAATTTATTAGTTAATATGAAGCTAAACATTTATATGAGTTCATCAATAAGTCGAATATAATTCATAGAGCACAAATCAAATGGAACAAGTGACTACTTTTCATAAAGTGAGGATGATGACATAAAAAAGACCTTTTGCAAGTTACCATAATCATAACACCCTTGTCTACGACTGGCTGGTAAAATAATCAATCATTCCAGGTCAATGACACAATTTTACTCATTCTCCATTATTGACCTATGACATTTTTTATTTTTTTTAACTTATATTTTGTACTCTACAATGACAAATACACATTTGTGGTGATCACACTCTGTGCACATTTTATTTTGTTGGGTTCCATTTCCTGTGTGGGCTGTTATGCTGTTTCCCAGAGGCTGCTCCCTTCCCCCACAGCGCTGAGGCTGATTACTCTCACCTGCAGCTGCTCTGCAATCAAGCTTTAAGACTGCTGCAGACACAGGCCTCAGCACCAAAGTATTGTCACTACATGCAGTGGTACTACAGCCCTCTTCAGAGCTATTGAGTTACTCGAGAGTAAATTTGAAGATTTTTGGTGCCCCTGTTTTTTATTGACCCTTGTTTTCTCCAATTCTTTTCCAGTGCCTCACTCTTCGCCTCACACCAGCCCACTAACCCAGCACTCTCTCCTGGAAATCACCCTCACAGCCTTTCACAGTCCTTGGACCTTGGAAACCTCCTTCCCTTGCGCTGATCCTCAAAATAAAATCTGTTCAAAGCTTCAGCGGTCTGGTTTTGAATTCTGGGTTCTGACTTATCGAATCATCACAACATTTGTCAAAATTGTACTCAATTTATGTCATTAGTGAGTAGATCAACCTGTGGCGACAGAAAAGAACATTAAATAAAGTACATATATTATATGTTAAACAGATCAGACTAATAATATTACTTTCAAGAAGTTATTACTACGTTTGTTTTGATTAGAGAGTTCTTACAGTCATATCCTTATAGACTATGGTTAATTACAATTTGTTTGATTTGCATACACATCGAGAATACTTCATGAAGTTTATTTTATATTGTATTTAGTGCTTGCACACAGAGTTTTCTCTCTATAGGCCCTGAATGTGAGGCGGACCGTCTAACTTACTGATAATTAGACAGAATAATACTGAAGTTATTGTTAAAAAAAAGCCATGTGCAGTGTTAACCAAAAAACTGAACCGATTCACGTATGGTTCAGGGTCAGATGTCTGTGGGTCGAGATCTAGCTTATGTGCAGTGTCTCCTCTCATGGACAGATGAAGGCATACATTAGTTAAAACAATGGAGAGACCCACACCTATGAAGAGAACAAGGTGGACAACATATTTGTCTCCAGCTCCATTATGCATAACTGACATAACAAACGTTCAGTTTAGTTGGTGGGATCTTTAATGGCATTGGTACTTAAACATGATTGCCTCTCCTTTGCTGTGTGTTGTCATGAGATAATGATCCATTGTAAACTATCTGCAGTAGTCTCAGGCCTTGTCCACATGTAGCCGGGTATTTGCTAAAAATAAATATATTTCTATACGTTTTGGCCTGCCATCCACATGAAACCACAGGATTACGTCATTAAAAACTGCTTTTGGAAAACTCCGGCCAAAGTGAAAATTTTGAAAAACTTCAGTCTTGTGTTTTCAAAGCCGGAGTTTAAAACAAAATGCTGAACTTGGCACCACGTTTCGCCAACAGTTCTGCTTAAGTTTCGATTCCACCTTAAATAAATAAAAAGCCACTTTGACCACTGGATGGAATTGTTCATCTTAACAATAGCCTGTATTACAACAAATTCTGCAAATCATATCTGTTTTGAGGTCAATTTTATTCCAAAATTCCAGAGTAGATATTGACCTGTGGAGCATCATTGCAATGCTGGGGTTGTCTACTTTCAGAATCAGTTGACAAATATCAAGTTAATGTCCTTGATATTCGGAAATGAGATGAGGCATGATGGCTTTGTATTGGATAGACAGACCGAAACATTAAATGAGAGGAGAAAATGGTCAGTTATGGGGAGTTCATTAGCTGAACAGTTGAAGGGAATGAGCAGAATCCAAAACTGTCAAGGCATGATGAGAAGTGACTGGTGAGGAGGAAATTCTTATTGTCCATATGTATGTTAAAGTCCCCTAACAGTATAACATTTGGCAAGAGAGTGGAGAGACGGGTGAGGAGTGCAGCAAAGTCATTTAGAAATTCATCGTTTGGCTTTGGGGATCTGTAGCAATAATAGTGGGAGTGGGCCCAGAGAGTTTGAAAGCAACACATTAAAAAGAACTGACGGAAGGCAAAGATACCAGCAAGACTTTCCAATTCTTGTGGTAAATCACCTTCCCCACAACCTGAGCCACAGGGTTGACAGATGTAAACATACCCTGGTGAAGTGGAGTGATTAAGGTGGGAAAAGTCATTGGGCTCTATTTTTGTGTCCGCCGGTGAGGAGGCGGAGGGTGGCGGACCCCGTGCAGTGGTATTTTCGTCTGGCGGAGCCCGGCGTACAGCCAGTTTGGTATTTCCGTGGACTGAGGCGCACCGAGGTCCGCCAAGCTGGGCGTGGCAGAGGGAGGTGTCGACAGAATCAGCTGCCGCAGTAACATTTTTGTACTCACCGGTGGCGTATAAAGTGCGCTGAAAGCTCGCCGCTTCAAACCTGGTCAGCTTTAAGCGCAGGCGGAGTGCAGCTGGTCTAGTGGTATTTTGGTAGACCGGCGGCGTATCGGCATACGTCACTGATGCCTCACCGGCAGGTTTCCACAGTGTCAGGCACATTTCAGTGCAATAAATAATCAACAACAACTATTAATCTGAGTCAGCACATACATTTAGATCTATATAGATATATTCTGCTATATATCTGATCTGATGAGCGCGTTTGGCACGCATTTGGACACACAACCTGACCGAATTAACACAGCTGAAACCACATTAAATAAATTAAATATCTAGTAAATAGACACACATGATGAAGTTAACAAGATATGTAATTTGTCTCCCTTCTTTTCTTTCTTCCTCTTCCTCTTATTTCTCACGCAGGCCACGGAGCGCGATGCGTCGTTACGCACAGGTGGTTCCGATTTTAATGCCATTTTTGGAATTTATGATGTGATCTCTGCGTATAATCCACCTTTGTCACGTGAGGTTTAAATATGTGCAACTTTATGTGAGTGTCTTTATTTGTGGAAAGGGTGTTTGTCTTACCAGTGGCTCCAACATTACACACACCAAATCCGTCTGTGCTCATATGAGAGTGTGAAGGACGCCCTCTGCAGCGTTTACAGCAACACTTGTTGAGGGGCTGCCTTCTGTCGCCATTGTGTGGCATTGCTGTCTTCAGACATCTCTTGATTTCTTTGACTACTTCATGAAAATAGTAATACGCCTCGCCGGTGGCGGATTTAAAGGCGAGGAGAGGAGCTTATGTCATTGGTGAAAACAGGTCTCGGCTGTGTTAAACCCACTACACGCCCTCTCTCCTCCCTTACGCTAAATTAGGGAGGGGGGATACTTACGCCGGGCTGCGCCGCTCACCAAAAAACCAAATTGTGCTTGGGAACGCCTTGTGGGTGCAGCGGACCTGACTTATGTCGTGCATGCGCCGCATCGCCAGCAAGGCACAAAAATAGAGCCCATTGGGTTGTTGCCATGTTTCAGTCAGACAGAGGAAGACAGTCAGTGAGGAGATCCAGGATGAGATGTCTCTTGCTCTTAACTTTGCAAGTCTGCCCTGAGTCTGCCTTGAATAGATGAGGCTGCATTGAGATGGCGTTAGTTTCAGCCTGGACTTGTCAAGATAGCATGGCTTCTTAAGCTACTTTGATGGATTACCCTCCAGGTGAGGATATAAGGACACAAGCCACAACCCACACAACGTTTACCTCCTCAAAAAGGACCATGTGTAAGATGTTACAGAGGATCACTGAGTTAAAATACACTTACACATACAATAGGAGTAAAAGTGAAGTTTGAGTTGAAGGAAGAAAGATGAAAGGAGGAAAGGAAATACTAGAGTGGAGAGCTAAAACTAACGGAAAATGGGAGAATGAACACAAAACAAACTAAAAGACCTCAGACGAGGAGAGAAAAAAGGAAGTGGAACACAGGACTCATGCTCAGCTCTTCTAACGCCTCCGTCATCACAAACCATCTGAGCATGGCGTGGCTGAATCATTCCTGGAAAGCTATAAAGCTACCTAAGCTGATCTACTTGCACACACACTGATGCACATGTTAAGTGACCTGACTCAGTGGGAGTCTATCAGGTACTAGCTAATTATAGGTTGTCACAACAGTGACATCAACACACGTCAACTTCAGTCCCAGCACATCAACCTCGTATCATGTGGAGATCTTGAGATTGTTGTAACAGCTGGCTGGAGGGGAGGTGACTCAAAACTTTTATGCTTTCAGTTGCCGTGATTTTCTGACAAGAAAAAAAGAGGAACTTATTGGGGCTCAGGAAGACTTAGGAAAACCATTGTCAGTTAACACAACTCATCTTTACATCTTCAAGCGCAGGTTCAAACTTTATCATGCAAATCAAACCCAGTTATCAACAACACCCAGAAACACTGCTGGCTGCTCTGGGCCCGAGCTCATCTGAGATGAACTGACACTAAGGGCTTTATTTTTGTGCTTCGCTGGCGATGTGGCGCAGTGTAAGTCAGGTCCGCCGCGCCGACAAGGCGTTCCCAGAGAGGGCGTGGAGTGGGTTTAACACAGCCGAGACCAATAACATCAGCTCCTCTCCTTGCCTTTAAATCCGCCACCGGCGAGGCGTATTACTATTTTCATGAAGTAGTCAAAGAAATCAAGAGATGTCTGAAGACAGTAATGCCACACAATGGCGACAGAAGGCAGCTCCTCAACAAGTGTCACTGTAAACACTGCAGAGGGCGTCCTTCACACTCTCGTATGAGCACAGATGGATTTGATGTGTGTAATGTTGGAGCCACTAGTAAGACAAACACCCTTTCCACAATTAAAGACACTCACATAAAGTTGAACATATTCAAACCTCACGTGACAAAGGTGGGTCGTGCACACAGATCACATCATAAATTCCAATAATGGCATTAAAATTGGAACCACCTGTGCGTAACGACGCAGCGCGCTCCGTGGCCTGGCTCTTTCTTTCATAGATGTTGGCATATAAAATAGAGTTGATTCAGTCAGATTGAGTGTCCAAACGCGTGCCAAACGCGCTCATCAGATCAGATATAGATCAGAATATATCTATATAGATCTAAATGTATGTGCTGAGTCAGATTATTAGTTGTTGTTGATTATTTATTGCACTGAAATGTGCCTGAAACTGTGGAAACCTGCCGGTGAGGCATCAGTGACGTATGCCGATACGCCGTCGGTCTACCAAAATACCACTAGACCAGCTGCACTCCGCCTGCGCTGAAAGCTGACCAGGTTTGAATCGCCGAGCTTTCAGCGCACTTTATACGCCACCGGTGAGCACGAAAATGTCACTGCGGCAGCTGATTCTGTCGACACCTCCCCCTGCCTCGCCACTACGCCCAGCTTGGCGGACCTCGGTACGCCTCGGTCCACAAAAATACCAAACTGGCTGTACGCCGGGCTCCGCCAGACGAAAATACCACTGCACGGGGTCCGCCACCCAATCAAACTCAATATGAGTGAATATTTGCAGTTATTATCAGTTTTAACATTAAATATCTTGTCTGTGTAGTAAATTCAATTGAGTAGAGTTCAAAAAAGATTTGCAAATCATTGTATTCTGTTTTTATTCACATTTTAGACAAAGTTCCAATTTCATTGGAATTGGGGTTTGTAGCTTTAAAATAAATTCATTACACATTTTATATTATATCTCAGCTTCTTTTCTAGGAGCATTTTGGTACAGTTTGAGTTCATCTGTCTACGTACGTCTCAATGGGGCATGTACATAATACACTTCACTGCTCTCACTTGCATCTACCATAAAATCTTTGAAAGCAAAGCAGCGGATTTATTTCAATAGTTCAGGTATGTTAATGAGAGCTCTTGCTGAACAAGACTGCAGACTCAAACAGCTGATCACTGATATGTCACATCTGAGAGTAGGTAAAAAACAAATGGGCTTCCCTTATTGTGAAGCTAAACACTGAAATATTTCCAAACAGCATGTACACTTTCAGCAGCACTCGTTCTGGAGGTTGGAGTTTCTTCATATTAGGTAGTGTACACAGTAGAGCAGACCTGTCTGCAACAGATGATGTCCTAGCTTCTGTTCCAGCTCTCAGCTCTACTTTTACAACCAGGGGGCCAATTTTGACAGGCCTCCCCTGGGTGCAAGAGAATAAAGAAAAAAGAAAAAAATACCTCATATTACCCCATTTCAAAATAACTGACCCATCCAATTCGAAAGTTGTGAGAAATTTGATGGAATAAAAGTGACATAATGATTGATTTTGTTAGTGAACTTACTGATATGTTTGATTCGGACCATTTAAAAAACACCAGCTGCATCGGTTGTATTCAGTTTAGGACTCTACTGACTGCTACATAGGTCATTGTTGATTATTAAGGCAGGAAAATGAAAATTTATCGGAATGTACAACACCCACCTTTTTTTTTCAGAAATGTCTGTATAGCATGCCCAAATGGAAAAGGAAATATCCCCCCTTCTGCATTAATAAATTATCATACACATTGCTGGCAAAGGCTGCTATATGTAGAGCCTATGCATTTTTTGTCCGACACAATTCACACACACCACTGGGTGCAAACCAGTGGGTCGGGTGAGGTTTAGTGCCTTGCCCTAGGACACTTTGACATTTGGGCAATAAAACCTAGGATCAAGAAAACCAACTCCAATAACTGAGCCACAGTAACCCCTTAAACTGGAACATAAGAACATAAAATATCTATTAGTAAAAAAAATATCATATGGTGTTGATGCATTCAGAGTAATGATGACTGTGTGAAAGTTGAATTAATCTGTACAAGACATGGAGTCCCATGTCTCCACTGTGAATAACCATTATTCTGGCTAAAGCTGCGCCTTGAATCTCAGTGTGTGCCGTGCGTTTAACCCATCCTCTTTAACAAACCTTGCCATGTACCGTTGTAACACAGCTTTAAGATCTTTTCATGAGAGGAAGTTCACTAAAAGAAATTAGACCATTTCTATCACGTGAGGTGAAGGGAAAACCACCATGAGTATGACCTTGAGAGATGAGAAAACAGGCAAAACACTGTTGCCAAATTAAGGTGTTATTTTAGAGTACCATAATGTCCTCACCAAATTCGTATAGCATCCTCAAAAAAACTCTATTTCCTAATACTGTGAGAATAATAACTTTGTGTAAAATGTAAAACAGCAAATAGAAATTTAATGGCTTATATTCTATGGTTGGTATAAACCAAATGGATGGTCTCTGCCCCTGTAGCTTTTCCCTTATATGTAAAAGTAAGGGAAGCAGTGTAGTTTTTTTTCTTTTTCTTTTCATTTTTCACTGTCTGAGTGTTGATCTGCACCGTCAGGACTTGATTATTTGGACAGTGCTGCTGATAAATCCAAACAATTCCACTTTGTTTCAAATATGATCCATTTTGCTAAAAACAGCGATATCACCATTTCAAATGAATGTTCATCTTTGTCAAACCAGTGAGCAGGGCTGACAACCAACAAACGAAAACTAGATATTTCTGTAATGTGATGCAAATTAGGTCAATGTCATCTTGATCTTACCCACCTATCCTTTCAAACACTATAAGACGCTATGAGAAAACCCATTTTCAGGGTTTTAACGGCACTAAGGTTAAAATACTGAAGTTTTCTTTTTCTTTCCATTTAATGGCACCCAGGGGGATAGTTTGTGATAAAGTTTTAAGTGAATAGCCGCTATATCGATAAAGATTTGAGGTGGCTTGAAAAGTTGTTCAGTTTTCTTTCACGTAATAAAACCCAACTTACTGTGTTCACATCATAAGATCAAAACAGCAAAATGCTGTTTCATACAAAGGGAGCTAAAAAAAGAAGTTTAGTTCATCAACCACAGCTGGGTACCTGAAATGGCACAAAAAGGACACACTACAGGCTGAAAATGATGTATTTAGCTGAAAAATCTTCAAGGTTATTACTTTAGCAAAGACTTTACCAAGCATGCATACCCAAACAAATGGAGACAATGTTGCCTGTACCTCAGACCAAAAGAGCAGAGCACTTGATTAAAAAAGAAGCATAGATATAAAGGCTTATTCAAAAACAACCTCAAAGCTCCTACCTGGAAAGAGCAATCTCTGCTTTTTGCCGGGCAGTATCAGCTGACTTCTTGGCACCCTCCACAGCTCTGTCAACTTTCTCTCTTATCTTACTGGCCCGGAGGGGGATGAGGTTCTTCCTTTTGCCACTCACTAGGATGTTTTGTTTGTACTTCCCCTCTTCTTTTGTGCCATCAGGAAATGCGGTGCAGCCGTAGCCATGGCGTTTGTTGCTTAGCCACTCCCCTTCGTACTGTAGACCATCAGACCGCTGACTTATACCAAATCCAGTCCGTTTGTCATTCTTCCACTCTCCACTGTAGGTCTCTGTTGCTGTGGCATCCACCTCATCATCCGCAACGGCCAAATCTGTTTCCGCATCTCCAAGGCTGCAAAGGTTAAAGTAAAATTGGTTCAGCGGGTATTTTTGTTCCACTATCCAAAATTTCACTTTGACATGAACAAGAATAGGGTTTGCTGTGAACTATGTGGGCTCTTCTGTTATGACCCAAAAACACTGCAACTGTGAAAATAACACAAAAAACACATTAATTTCAAGCGTATCTGCCTGATTTGATGCCTACAATGTGCTACAAAAGAGTCTAGACAGGGTCATTTCTACCACTCTGTTGCATCAATTGACTGTAAGCCAGGACAGTCACTTTCACAGTAAAGTGTCTTTTTGATGTATTAACAGTTAGGAATCTCCTATGTCATACTTTACATTTCATAATGCACCCAGACTCCTTTACTTCTCTGTCCTACACCTCCACGCCATCACAAATGCTGGATTTTGAACAGAGTATTGTTAACAAGCCAGATGGTTCATTTCCTCTTTAGCCCAGAGGATGAGACATCCATGATTTTTGAACTTTTCTGACCCAATAGACCACAGTTTTCCACTTCACCTCAGACAATCAGGTCAATCCCAGTGAAGCCAGCATTTCATGGTTCCCTGTTTGCATGATATGGTTTTGTCCTGCATTTGAGGGTTTTTGAAGGTGTTCCTGTGCCCATGTAGCATTGCCCAACAAAAAATTGTGTCTGACTGAACGAAGCAGTCCTGAAGTGCCAGAAGATCACAGCCATAAGCTGCAGATCTTTCAGCCTTGTCCCATGAGATGTCTCTAGATTCTCTTTATATTTAAATGTTATATGCTGTAGGTGATAAAAACCTTCTTCATAATTTTACAATGAGAAAATGTGACTTCAAGTTGTGGCACTATCTGTTAGCTAGAGGTAATTTATACGGTGGTGAACCCATCCTCGTCTATACATCTCAAATATTCAACCTTTCTGAGATGTTATTTTTTCTTAAACTGTTAGACTATTTGCTCATGCAGTGTTTCACAAATCTGCCCTATCCTTGTTTGTGAACAATTAACCCTTTAGGGATGCTCCTTTAATACCCAATCATGACCTCACCTGTTTCCAGTGAACCTGTTCACCTGTGGAAGGATCCAAACAAATGTTTTTGAAGCATTCTTCAATTTTCCCAGACTTTTGTTGACCCTGTCCAAACTTTTTTGAAACATCTTCAACAGTTCAATCAAATTCAAAATAAGTGAATATTATAAAATACAATAACAACTAGGTTTATCAGTTTGAACATTAAATATCTTCTCTTTGTAGTGTATTCAATTAAATGTGTATTCACTGTATCCTAAGCCCTCATCAATCTGGATTCAGAGCACCACCTCTGCTGCTACTTTAATAACTAATAATATTGTTTCTGAAATGGATAAGAAGAGGCATTGTGTTGCTGTTTTTATTGATTATCAAAAGCATTTGATACCGTTGATCACACTCTTCTTATCCAAATACTTTTTAATATTGGGCTTGATTTTATTTCTTGTAATTGGTTTTACAGCGATCTTTTTAATAGACGACGGTGTGTAAAGGCTGGAAACATTCAATTGGGGTTTTTATCTTTGTCCCACAAGGATCAGTTATGGGTCCTATTTTATTTACTATTTATATCAAAAATGTTGTTTCCTCTTTGACAGACTGCCATTTTCACCTTTATGCGGATGATATTATTTTGCACTGCTCTGCTGATCCTCCTCACTTAGCTGGGGAGACGCTGCAATTTGCTCTTAATTGTCTTCAAATGCTTTCATTACTCTTAAGATAGTTTTTAACACAAGCTAAACAAAATTCATGATCTACTCCAGAGCTAGAGATGTAGATTATAACAGCTTTTAGCTATCCACAGTCAGTGGTAACGATATTGAAAGAGTTTCAATCTATAAATATCTTGGCATTTGGCCGGATGAATCATTCTCATTTAAGCACCATATTGAGAATCTTGTCAGTAAGCTTAAGCAGAAACTTGTTTTTTTTTATAGACACAAATCAAACTTCCCTCCTGACTGCAGAAAAAGATTCAATTGAAGCCATTTTTTTGTCAGTATTTGATTATGGTGACATCCTCTATAGACACGCTGCTGCTTCCACACTCAAACCTCTAGATTCTGTTTATCACTCTGCTCTGAGGTTCATAACTGGTGATCCTTTCAACACTCATCACTGTACCCTGTATGTCAAAGTCGGTAGGCCTTCTCTGGCACAAAGAGTGTACTTGTATGTTTTTATCTACACCTTCATGTACAGAATCTATATTAAACTGGATCACCGGATATTACAGTACTCGATCCATTGACTGCTTGATGCTGCAGGTCCCAAGAGTTTACTCTGAATTGGGTAAATCTGCGTTCAGTTACTGTGCTCCTATAATGTGGAACAACCTACAACAAAATCTGAGGATGTATACATTAGTTTCTTGTGGCAAATTCAAGATCATGATGCTAAATAATTTCACCACAATATGTGATTGTTTTTATTGATTGTAACCCACTGTCTCGCTTGTGCTTGTTGATTTGTTCAAAATGTGTATCTGTTGTATCTTGACGTCATTGTAAACGAGGGAAACCTCTGCAATCCTCAAGAATTGAATAAAGCTCAATAAATAAATAATATAGTTTAAAAACAGTCTGCAAATCATTGTATTCCGTTATTGTTGTTTTACACAACCTAACTTCGTTGGTATCATGGTTTGGAGTTATGGGTTTAGATATGTGTTTAGCTGCTGTTGCACACCCAAGCAACACCAACATAACAGTACTGAGATTCTGTGATATTTATTGAGGTGCTTTAGATGTCAATAATCACTGCCACATAAACCTGAAAGCCAGTTTTACATCTCAGCTTATGTTAATTAGTAAAGATGGAAACAAAACTAAGTTTCCTTTTCTTTTAAAAAATAGGTGAATTGTAAGCACCAAGAACCATCGTTTACATTATTGTAAAAAAAGAAAAACAGAGCTGAGCTGGATGTCCCAAAGTTTTGATTTTCCCTTCTGATTTCTGTCAGATACATTGCAGTGAAAAGAAAGGAGCTCCTGACATTGGATAAGTAGTAAATGCTCCCTTAAATCAAACACTTCAAACCACCATCGATTTGAATTAGATTGGTTCTGCATATTACAGTCTAAAATGTTGTTTTTGTTGTAACAATAACCGCAGGCTTTCTACCAGGTTTTCACAAGCCTTAGGTCTTTATACTACACAACAGTAAGTTTGTACTAAGACTAAGATGCAAACAACCAACCACAAAACGTTAAAAGAAATAGACAACGACATAGGGTGCAGGCAGACTTAGATGACAGGCTAATGAAAGGAAACAGGATGCACAAATCCGAAACTCTTCATCAGGGACTGGGCCAGCTGACCAGTACTGACCTTTTACCCTACAAGGATCTTAAGACTGCTTGTTAATCCAATCTTAACACAGTTAAGCAGGACAAGTTCTTGTTTTTGCCTGGATGTCCTTCAGGTCAGGACAGTGATCTTTATCAGTACAATTCCGAATAATTCCTAGTCCTCTCAAATTGTCTTTTCACCTTCTTTAAAAAACTTCATCGCATTATGAAGGAGACTATACAACACCATCAGCAAAAACAAATACACCAGTGCAATTAAACGGTTTTCAACTTGTTCGTCCATCAAATTCTGATATTTACAAGCACAGTTTAAAAAGGTGATTGACATTGTATATGGCTTAGATTTTGTTGGTATCCTTGTGACTCCCCATATGACTCACAGTTTGTAAAAAACAAGGACAACTACTGACCCCCCTACACACGCACACACACACACACACACACACACACACACACACACACACACACACACACACACACACACACACACACACACACACACACACACACACACACACACACACACACACACACCTGTTTTCCTCCTGTTATTACCTGATAGTAGAGTTGATGTCTGATGCAGCAGAGGAAACAGTGCTCATCCCGGCCTCACTCCTGAAGGAGCTCTGTTTAGACCTTTGGGAGGCCAGAGAGCTCCTGGACTCGGACTTCCTCAGCTTGAGCCCAGACAGAATAGATCTCCGGAACAGCCCACTTTTTCTCTTCCCTTTTAGAAGCTCAGCCTCGCTGTGTGCTGTCAGCACAAAACCTCCACGAGACACAGCGGGGCTGCTGCCACTGCTGCCTGTACTGCACATGGAGACACTTGTTGTCAGAGTTCCAGGAACAGAAAGAGGACCGGGAACTACTGTCCCAGTCCGGTCCAGTAATGCTGTACCATTGCTGTGCTCTGAACCAGAGCGGAGGGAGTTAATAGAGGTACGGAGTGGAGAGCGGATGACAGCCGCCATGCCATATGGGACACTCTGTCGAACTCCATAGCCATGCCGCATCCCCCCGACCCACTGGCCCTGGAATGTTCCTAGAGAGACCGAGAAGAAAATTAATTCCCAAGCAAAATTTACAAAATATTTTTATTGGTGGTTGATACACAGTATGGCTGAAACAAAGAGCATTGGCTGGACAGATCCCTTAGGTAGCCACTAGTAAATCTGGTAATGGCAAAAGGAGATATTAACTTGACTGACCTTTACAAAGCAATGTGTGCCTTTAGACTGATGAGTCACTCCAATGACATATTTACACAGCACTGTACAAACAAAGAGTTTAATGCAACAACACATCTCATGTAATATTTATTAGAGCTTAGTTACTCAATGGTACAAAAGGGAAATGGTGTCTTTGTTTTCTGTAGAGTTGACGAAATAATATTATGTAGTCATCTAATTAACCTTGTCAATATAAAAAAATATATATTGATTTAGTTATTTCTCAGAAGAGGGCATGATCTTCTGCGTGAAGTATGTGACTGCTTTAGGACCCACTGAGTCCATTTTTTTCCTCTGCTTTAGCCTTGATAACATCATTTTAAGTTTGGGGATACTGTGTTACTTGTATTTTATTGTATGTTCACTTTGAAAAAAGAGATTTCACTTCTGTCAGTCAGCACAACAAACTGTACAGCTGTGTCATCTCAACAATATTACTTCTAGAATAATTATCATTTGGATAGCTCCTTAAGTTCGTCTCACAAAAAAAGCTCATAAAAGCAGTCATAAACTACAAACAAAACAGGGGACAAGATGTACATTTGCTGAAATGACAGGTTGGTCTTTTTCCTTGGTATATTTTCTTTTAGGAGGGTCTGCCATGTAGTCTTACTGTCAAAAAATTTATTTTACAGTGTGCCTCCATGGTCTTGTTTGCTTTGAATATCATGAAAATGCAACAACATGAGCTTCATTCTTTTTCATAAACATCAAATGAAGTCCTCATACATGCTTAATCGAAAATAATAACTTGTAATGTGTCCTAAGCTCTTTATCTGTGAAGGCTTGATTCTTACTGACCAAAGACACAGGTTCTCTCCTGAAAAGTACTTTTTCAGATTCACTCCTTTTGTGAAACATTAAAACAGTCAGATATGTGCAGTACAACTGCCCATAGGAATGAATTCCTAATTTCTATCTAGTACCTCGCATTCACACACAGTCTCAGCTGTACCCCACACATATTGGTGTGAGCAGTCCTTACATCCCATGTTGCCCAAAAGTAGGGCATCTGAGTTTGTGTGTGTGTGTGTGTTTTTTCCGTCACACCTCTCTCCCCCTTTCTCTCTCACTCACACATTCAGGCACACACAAATGGAAGCATGCTCCAATAGGAGTGCAAGAGATCCATCCTGCCTGCCCATACCTCTGATGTAACAGCACTCTGATTCATTCTGTAGCAAACGCACTTCTTTGACCAAACTGCATGACCATATAAGGGCTGCAGCTAAGTTCTCCAGCTCAGTTGCTTAACACATATAAAAACACCTCTCTCTGCAAGGGAACTGGCTGAGGTTAGGAGCCCTGAATAAAGACAATCTTATGAACCATGACATTTGTGTGAGAAAAGGCAGTGTCACTGTTACTGCCCTGTTTATGGTGACATGCTTCCTGTTTTACACACACACACACACACACTTACAGAGTCTGTGTCACAGACAGCTGGCCAGCACATCTGGCATGGCTTCTGTAATCATGTTGGTACCACATGACAGACAGATCAAAGAATCAACATCAGCACACACACACTCATACATCAACTAAAATGATATGATGTGAATGCAATTTTTTAGATGTTTTGACAGAAAGAGTTGTAAAAAAAGTTTTTTTTTCTTTGTCTTGCTCCACAAAGTGTATCTCTGTGTGGTACCACAGCTGCACCACAGCAGATAGAGAGGCTCTCCAGTGGGTTGTCCCCAGTGCACAGATGATCACTGGGAAGACAGGAGAAAGGACCCAACTCACTCATGTCAGTCTATATCTGTTCTTATTCTTTATAAAGAAACTATAAATACCAAATTAATAATAACAATCACAGCTAAAAATGTTTGTCTTTATTATCATCCACTGTAAGCAACACTTCAGAGGAGATTATATGCTGAACTTCAATACACCTTACCAATACTTATTATATTTTAGTTTAACTCTCCACTTCACTATATGTTTCTCAGTCCTGTCTCTGCAATTAAAAGAGATCATTCATCTGAAGTTGCTTTTTAAAATATATGAATTATTCACAGAACGAGAGTTACACTCAGTTCTTCTGGTTTCTCATGATAATGTCTTCCCAGTTATTAAAATTTTAAAATTTACCGTAAGTTTTTTCATTTAAAAACCATCAACAATATAAAACAAATATCTTGATTCAGTTCTTTCAACAAACTATTAAAAACAATTGTTACAGGTGTTATTTTTTGCAGTGTGATTTCAACCCTTTGATGTCACCTACCAAAATAAATATTTTTTTGCATCCATCTGCCCCCAGTAATCTAATTACAACTTGAATCAAATACTTTCAACATACTTTGTACTTACTTTGTATTTTACAGCAAACTGTGTCAGTATACATGTATAAAGACTGAAATTCTAACAAAGCGTCGGTACAAAAGGGTTTAGTGGTATGATGTTCAACAGCAGCACACGGCCCCTACAATGGTCTTTTGGTCAAATCAGTAAATGGAGTAATATGTACCGCTGCACCTGTGCTTCTCCACCAGCCTCTTCAAATAATAGTTGTTTTCAAAAATATATTATATAATTTATAAAAAGATATGTAACTATATCTTTTCTAATGCTTCGGGCTTGCAGCTCAGTATTTCACCTTTTTTAATGGATATTCATAAGATGTTTTTAACCTTCACTTGTTGTTCAAGAGTAACCTTTATATCTTCCAAACAGCAGCAAATATTAGAGGGCTGTTTCATTAATACACAATATAAGGTAGTTTGTGGGTATGCTTTTTTTTTTACATGCCAACCCCAATTCCTTGTACCTGAGTAAAATAGCACATTCAGAATAACAGGCGAGTCTGTGAATAGAAATCTGTCGCTCTCCATGGTGCTGAAAAACATTTTAAGGTGGAGGCTGTTTTGGGTTTATCGGTTTTTATCCAAATCAATAAGCAATTTTTAAAACCATAGTTTAAAATAAAAACCTTATATATAAAAAGGGTGTTTGCTAAGGCAAAGCATGTAATATTTAATATGAGAAATGCAAAGGTCTCTCAAACAAGTCCATGTCCCCACCTCAGACTTCTGTGCACAAAGCAACTTCATGAGTTAACACAAGGGGCTCTATTTTCGTGCCTTCCCGGCAGAGTGGCGCAGAAGCAAGTCAGGTCCGCCGCGCTGAAAAGGAGTGCCCAAGCACATTTTGGTATTTTGGTGAGCAGCGCAGCCCAGCGTAAGTATCCCCCCTCCCTAATTTAGCTCCTCCCAGCGGCGTAAGTCGTAATACCACTCCACAAGGCGTGGAGTAGGTTTAACACAGCCGAGACCTGTTTCTGCCAATCACATCAGCTCGTCTCCTCACCTTTAAATCCGCCACCAGTGAGGTGTATTACAATTTTCGTGCAGTAGTCGGAGAGATCAAGAGATGTCTGAAGACAGTAATGCCACACTATGGCGACAGAAGGCAGCCCCTCAACAAGTGTCGCTGTAAGCGCTGCAGAGGGCGTCCTTCACACTCTCTCTTATGAGCACAGATGGATTTGGTGTGTGTAATGTTGGACCCACTGGTGAGACAAACATCCTTTTCCACAAATAAAGACACTCACATAAAGTTGCATATATTCAAACCTCACGTGACAAAGGTGGGTTGTGCGCACAGATCACAACATAAATTCCAATAACGGCATTAAAATCAGAACCACCTGTGTGTAATGACGCATCGCGCTCCGTGGCCTGGCTCTTTCTTTCATAGATGTTGGCGTATAAAATAAATTTGGCTCACGCAACTAAATTTTATAATATTCGTATGTAGGCTTAAAGTAAATAACTCATCCGATCACTGAAACAAATCATCTGTTCAGCCGCCACAACAGCGAGAGGAGAGGACACGGAGACATGTCCAGGTCGAGCTGCGCAAGAAATAAAAGGAAGAGGAAGATAGAAATGGGGGGAGACGAATTAAATATCTTGTTAACTTCATTGTGTGTGTTTATTTACTAGATATTTAATTTAATTTAATGCGGTTTCAGCTGTGTTAATCTGGTCAGGTTGAGTGTCAGAACTCGTGCCAAACGCGCTCATCAGATCAGATATAGATCAGAATATATCTATATACTGTAGATCTAAATGTATTTGCTGAATCAGAATATTGGCTGTTGTTTATTATATATTGCACTGAAATGTGCCTGACACTGTGGAAACCTGCCGGTGAGGCATCGGTGACATATGCGCACTACGCCGCCGGTCTACCAAAATACCACTAGACCAGCTGCACTCCGCATGCGCTGAAAGCTGACCAGGTTTGAATCTGCGAGCTTTCAGCGCACTTTCCACGCCGCCAGCAGGCACGAAAATGTCACTGCGCCAGCTGATTCTGTCAAAACCTCTCCCTACCGCGCCACCACACCCAGCTTGGCGGACCTAAGTCTACAAAAATACCAAACTGGCTGTGTGCCGGGCTCCGCCAGACAAAAATATCACTGCACGGGGTGCACCACCATCCACCACGCCACCGGCAGGCATGAAAATAGAGCCCAAGGAGTCACAGCTGCAGAAGCAGAAACAGGGCAAATGGGAGTGTTTCACAATACCACTAGCCTCTAGATTACTTTACATGGGACAGTGGCCTTCAACGACAAGAGGCTGCTTGGTTGCACAAAGAAACAAACACTCTCTTCTTTTTTTAAATCTTCTAATCACTGTATATTCAGCAGCCTTCCAAAAAATGATAAAATGCATATGGCCCTTTCAAGTTCAGTAGACCTGTAGAAACATGAGAGACCCACTCCTGTAGATGTCAACACAAGATGATAGTTTATCCTAAATTAAAAGGAGATTAAGTTTTGTTGTCAGGTGATTACACAATGGATAAAAAATATGAATGAAAATCATAATCCATTTCTATCATGCCTGTTCTGCTAAAGTGGCAGCAAAGCAATATGCAAAAGACTCCATGTGTGTCGCTGTATTTCCTTTTTTCAATCAAAATAAGAAATGCTTTGTTAAGCATATATATATATACATACAAATACATGTATATATATATATATATATATATATATATATATATTTGTGTGTGTGTGTGTGTGTGTGATTAATAACTACTGTGTACATTCGCTGCAGATATTAAATAGTAACTCAGTCACAAATGCTTCAAAAAGGATGTAGGCATTGACAAAGAACTCTAAACCTTGGTTGCAATTTATTATAGCCCACCAAATGATATTTAGAGATAGTTAACAGACCAGTTTTTTTAACGACTGACAAAACCTGCTATTTGAAAAATATCAAAGATGCTTCTAAGCATGTTTATCAACCATTTTAAAAGTCATTAGAATCATAAATTGCAGCTGTATTCTATTAGTCATACTTAAGTGGTTAGTTTCAATATACCCTACTGATGAGGACACTGGTGAATCCAGTGCAATGGGTCCTATAAGTTCACTGGATTTAGATTGAATTGGATTTATTTACCACCTGCATTGAAGTGATTAATTCAAATGGATGAGAAACACCAAGGAAGATAGACCCAAGGAAAGAAACGAATACATCAGGATCAGGTAGCCAAGGCACAAAAGCTAGAAAGGAAGGCAGCAATGACAATGGGAAAAGAGGAAGACAGATAGCAACCTAAAATTGGTTGATAAGATTGCAGACAGGCAGGATAAACAACAGGATGAACACATCACTGTAATGTTGGATAGGCTTGCAAGGAGAGAAGTTAGACTGCTAAAATCTCCTACCAATAAAGTAAAGGAAGCACCATTCAGAGCTAGGCCTCTGCCCATGTAAACCACTGTATGGGACTGTTATCCGTTTAAGAGATTTTGCTCGGGCTCTTTTCCTGTCTGAGCCTGTTGGATTTCCACTTAAGGATTATTCATCTTCTGGGAACTTTCTTGAAAGAGACTCATGATATCATGCAGTTAACATGAACATATGAACATGTTTGCTCTTCTTTGTCATCTTTCAACAACACCTTCTGACTTTAGAGCTGTATGATTTGAAAACACAAAGACAACTACATTAAAAATGTCCTGCTTTCGCTTTGCTTTTCTGATACAAAAGATGAATTTGAACTATAACAAAGACACATAGAAAGATGCTTAGGAAAAAACACCACTGTATATTGATAAAATTATGATTTACACTAAAGGAGTATCTACAAGCAGGGATGAGGAGACTCATCATTGTGCTTTACCAGTGGGATTAGTCAGTGAAATCATGGAAATATAAATTGCAGTGGCCCAAAAATTAAACCTTTAAGAGCTACTTTTAAAAACTCTGAGGACTGAGGTTAAGGTTTTCTGCCATCTCCAAGTCTATTCTTGTTGTGCCATTTACAAGGTACTAAAGTAAGGAACTTGAAAAGCAAACTTTCAAAACTGGTGGGAAAGGGTGTCACCATCCTGCAGTATGGCTCTCTCTCTCTCTCTCTCTCTCTCTCTCTCTCTCTCTCTCTCTCTCTCTCTCTCTCTCTCTCTCTCTCTCTCTCTCTCTCACACACACAGACACAGACACACACACACACACACACACACACACAAAGTAAATGTGTTGTCTCAGGTTGTTTTTTTACCAGTAGCTATCATCAAACTTTCACTTTGTGACACACAAAAAGCAGATTTTTCTTTCTTTTGCTAACTGTTATTTTACAGGTGGGCATATACAGTATATTAATGTGCTTGCTTACACATATTCAATTAGATGCAATCAATTCAAATGCTATGTCTGCTTCCAAATAGAGCTGATAAAATGCTTAGTTGTAGTAGCAGCCCTAAGCAAGCTAGCAAGATATGCAACTGTTGGACAGTTGTAGTGTTGTAGTATATTTGCCACAAGCTGGGGGAAGGGGACGGAGGACTGTTTGCCTACAGCCCCTTTTTAATAAAGTCCCTGTCATTGTACTTGTGGTGAAGCCTTCATGTAGGGTGACAAGGTCATATCCAAAGAGATTCTGGACTAACTTTCTAAGAGTCAAAAGGTCTTGTTGTTACCATCATAGATTCAATGATGTTATATTTGCGCCTCCTTTTGTGACTCATTTCATTTCTCACTTCAGTGATTACTAGAGCTGTCTTTTCATTTCTCTAGTCCTCTCTCTCTCTCTCATGCTCAGTGTGTGGCTGGTAATCAGTCAGCTTAGCTCTTCATCTGAGTAAACACCATTAGCCAGGAAGAACGGGAGCCAATCAGAGCTCTGAAGAACCAAATGAGCAGCAAATAGCAGTTGGGAGCACTGAGTCTCTCGCGACACCCAACCTGCAGCACGTCTATGAGTGTTGCTATGGAAACCTGACTGTACAGACCTGTGGAAATGCAGCTGAGCAATGGAGAAAGAAAGATGAGATAAGAGAGAAATGCCTACAAATGTAAGAGAGGGAAAAAAAACCCAAACAGCATTAAGATAAGAGAGAAGTGTTTCTGAGAGACGTAGCATCAGTTATAGTTGGAGGAGAGAGCAGGATTAGCATTGAGTTTTGAATGTGGGGAAGGTTGCTGGATATCTACAGCATAAGAATGATCATCTATGAGGGCATCAGCTCTCAGCTCTTGAGTAAGGACATTTGAGACCCTAGAGGCTGCAACGAGTGACCTGTATTATGTCATACAGGTTTCCCACTTATGGAATTATAATGGTAGCAATAAAAATCCATCTATCCTTTATTTATTCCACTAAAATCACACTAGCTATGGATAAAAGGATTACAGCAAGGCTGGGAATAATAACCAGGAACTAATGTGCTGTGAAGCAACAAGTTTAACCACCACACTGCTATTTAAGCAAACAATAATGGACTGGGAAAATTAATGAATACTCAAAAAACACCTGTATGGATTATTCCACAGGTGGACTGGTTGATTGGCATCTTCACCACCATGTTACATCTCCCTTTTAACAACAGTCAATAAGCAATAACGGAGGACCCCAACCATGCAGATTTGGAGGTGAAATTCTTATTAATGCGAGATGAAGTTGCTCAACTGTTCAGGCTCTCTGACAGGTGTACCATGCCCGTTTGAAAAGCGAATGCAAAGAAAATGTACTCCTTTACAGAAGGAAGTCAGGTATGCATAAGTGAGAAAAATTCAGTTGTTTCAAATTTAAGTCAAAAAAAAAAAAACTAGACTGTATATACTATGGACAACTTAGCTCCACCTTCCGTCATTATACGAATTTGAAGCCGAATTGCTTTCTGTATTTCTGGGATTTTCTTCCTGGAACCTCCACTTGCGCAGTAGCATTGTACTCATTCGGCAGAGAGTCGCTGTGATGACACTCGGCTCAAACGAGTGTGAGCTACTCAATCTCCGTGCGCCCATAGGCTGTATCAAGTGTCAATCATAGAAAACATGAACCCCCTAATAACTTTTAAAAATGGAGCTGTACAGAAAAAAGAGGACTTGAGCACAAGTTATATTCTGTGTAATTAATTTCTAAAGTTCGTCCACAGCTCCATAAAGATTGCTGGAGGAGGCAGGAATTATGACCTATACTGCAGCCTGTCACCAGAGGGTGCTGTTCTTGCGGTGACTTTACCCAAAGAGGAGGCAGACAGCGTCCATTCTATATACAGTCTATTGATGCTTATTAATCTGAATCCACAAAGCAACATTCAGTATTCAGATTAAGTAAGAGTAGCATTACATCTCTGGGTGTAGCGCAGCCACAGAGTGTCGTAAACATTTAAATACGCATGTTCCTCAAAATGTACTTTTTTGCAGTACTGTTTTTATTGCAGGTAGATTTTTTAACGATTCCTTCCCTGTGTAACTGACCAGTTCAGAGTTGTGAGTGGAGGTGTAATGGTGATGTTTATCAGGAAGTTAAAGACACTGAGGAGGTAAAAATAAAAAAGCATTAGAATGACCACAACAAAATGAATATCATAATAGTTCACAACCGTAGTAGTTTTAATTTGAATAATCTGAGATTCAGTAAGTTTGTTTTGACTGTGGAAATGGAACACAAATAATTGATGCAATATAGAAGAGACAAACTTCAGCTATGGTGAAGGCAGGTTTTCAGGCGAACCCTTTGTTTTTTCATACGTATTTAAGAAGACTGACATTTTTCAGTAAAGGACCTCTACGCTCACTGTGACCCCCCTTCCCAAATTTTGGCTTCTATGACACCCCTGGTCTCCACAGATGTACTTTGCACTTCATATTGTGCCACACATTTTTAATGGGAGACAAGTCTGGACTGCAGGCAGGCCAGTCTAGTACCCTAACGCTTACCACAAAGCCACACTGTTGTAACATATGCTGAATGTATCTCAGTGTTGTCAATGTTTTCAGCATTGATGGAGGCTTCACAGATATGACAGTTAGCCATGAACACGAACACACCTCCAGACCATCACAGATGCTGGCTTTGAACTTTGACCTGAGAACAGTCTGGATGGTTCTTTTTCTCTTTACAGAATCCTTTACAGAATGTGGATTTTTACTGCAGTGGTTAAAGGTCATGGGCATTCAGTGTTGTTGTTTTTTGGTAATGCCGCTTATGTGCAGATTTTTTTTTTTTTATTCTCTGAATCTATTGATGATATTATTGACTGTAGATCACTGAGAAACTTTCCTAAACTGTTGGACTATTTGCTTACGTAGTGGTGAACCTCACCCCATTATTGCTTGTGAGGGACTGGGCCTCTCGAGGATGCTCCTTCTACAACCAATCATGACTCTCACCTGTTTCCAGCAACCCTGTTCACCTGTGAAATGTTATCAACAGGTGTTTTTGAGCATTCCTCAATTTTCCCAGACTTTTGTTGACCCTGTCCAAATTTTTTTGGGACGTGCTGCAGGAAGGAAATCAAAATAGAGTGAATATTTACAAAAAAAGAAAAAAAATGAAGTTCATCATTCTGAAGAATAAATAGCTTGTCTTTGTAATGTATTCAATTAAATAAGGGTCAGGAAAAATTTGCAAATCATTGTACTCTGTTTTATGCATGTTTTACACAATGTCCCAACTTCATTGGATTCTGGGGAATCTCAAAGAAGACACTGGATTTGCCGGCCTGATACCATCAGGAAAGGAGTTCCACAGCCATGAAATCCAAATTGCAAATGCTCAGCCACATCTTGTGACCAGTCAGCCAGGGGCAGCTGTGGCTCAGTGGTGCAGTCAGTCAGGGGAAGGTCAGGGGTTTGATTACTTCAGTATGTGAATGTAGTGTTAAAGGGTGAATGTGACATGTACTGTAAAAGCAGAGGAGGAGGTCAGAGGACTGGTGAAAGCGGTATATAAATATAAGGCATTTACCACTTGCTGGTCAGGATTGAGGAACCACAGGTAAGGGCCTGCTAGAGGACCCCTAACAGAGGTGGGGCTCATAGGGCAGCTCATTGCAGTTCACAGATGGACTGGACTGGAGCATAAACAAGCTGTATGGGTGAATACAGTGGTAAAATCTCAAGACTCTCAGGTAGAAAATGAGGAGCAGCAAGGACCACTGTAACGTGACTACTATCATGCTGTGGGTTAGAAGCCAGCAGCAGTGTTTTGAATCAATCCCATCTTTAAATATTGTACTTGCTAGTGCCAGAATGAAGTGCATTGCAATAGTCAAGTCCAGAGGGAAAAAATGCACGAATAACTATTTTTAAGTCAGTTGAGAAAAGGACAGACCTAGTTTAGTTAACTGTCTCAGCTAAGCAGAACAGGACTGCATATCTTTGGTGCACTGGATGTCAGAGGAGATTTTAGAGTCAAAAGATTACTAGTTTACAGGCCTCTTTATATATATTATTAGACGGGGCATCCAGGCTGGAGGACAAATGATTTATGTAGCCAAAGCTGGGGGATTAGGGGATAAAAACCATAACTTTAGATGTGGACCCACTCGGCATGGGAAAATTTTCAGGCCTGCAATCCCTGATTTCAGTCAGACACAACATTAAACCATAATGCAACACATACCAGTAGTTCCAGGCTATTCAGACGTAGAGCTGAGTGTAATCTGCATAGCGATAAAAGTCTTTACTGCTCCTGCGAAAGATTTGCCTCAGGGTAAGCAAGTAGACATTACCCCTCCATCACAGAGTAAATCTTAAGATTCTGAAAAAATGTGGACATATTTGATTTCCTTTTTTCTCTTTCAGTTTATTATGGATATATATACATACACTGTAACAAACAGCAATTAAATATTGTTTATATGATAATTACAATTATACTATAAAACTAAATCCCAGCATTGCTCAATGATGTCACCAACTATGGTGCGAAGATTCCACATTATTACACTACTATTACTATCTCAAAATGTCTCCAAAAGTAATTATATTCACTGAACAGTAAGGGCCTGATCTACAAAAGGTTTGCCTTGATAAAGCTGATCTACTAACCAGGTGCATCGAGGATTGCATTTGTCAAATGACCAAAACAGCACACAACAGATGCACAATTAACACTGCATTTTCCTGCATTTGGATCATTCCAGCGCACCATCACAGCAAGTGCATCTCCCAGAACAGTTTTTCTGGTGTGCTGTCCAAAGTGTTGAATGGTATGTCATGCAGGATGGGCAACTATATTCAGGTCTAATGCAATCGGGATGCAGTAAATGATACAAAACATGGCAGGTCTCGGGGTCGTGTCGAGTCTTGGAGACTGAATGTTGCAGAGCTCCTTATTTATTTTGATTTTCTGGTAAATGGCAGTATTGATGAATAATTAGTTCAAACATAGAACAGCTGAAAAAAATTTATCTTTTTGTCTTATTGATTTTAAATTTTATAAATCTCTTTTTTGATTTCTAATTTATTTTCTTGCATCTATAAAACACTTTGAAGTGCCTTGTGTATAAATGGTGCCATACATTGGGATCTTCGTAGATCAGGACCTGGGTGTTTTAAAACAACAATACCTTTCCAAATTTGGATTAATACACCAATAGAAAGGACTTGTGCCTACATTTTAAAGTTTAAATGGAGTTCAGTTGAAATGGAGGTGACAGTATGCCGAAGTAGTAGATGTAAGAAAAACTCCAATAATTGCTTCTTTTTTTTTTTTGTCCTACAGCTCTTCAAGCTGTTACACATCTGGCCAAAGTTGCACAGCCCCAGTTACTGGCCAAGGTTGATAATCAATCTAGCCCTTGTAGACACCAATCCATTTCCATCTTCCAATATCATAAAAAAAAAAAAAAAAAAAAAAAAACTATATAAATCACCAACAGGTTCTGGCTGAACATACATGACCTACATTATTATTGCAGAAAATAAATATTACAAAATACCAGTTTATAAGGTAACAAGGGACCAGTCCTGTTTCATATCAACTAATATTCATCTTTCTCTTTTCTGCTTCAGTGGAATCTTGTACAAAGATGTAGACACACTCAGAAAATTGACAAAAATGGCAACTTTCACAACCACATCCTCAAAGAGTCCTCCACAGACATGTTTATTTCAACCACATTTTCTGTTCATAGACAAACTGAAATGCATTCAAATGCTTTAATATAAAGTCAAATATAAAGTGAAATGGTTGTATATCAGAAGTCATCAGTCGATCATCAAAAAAGAAAAAAAAAATAGTTCTGTCAGCAGTCACTCATCCCAAGCATCAAGGCCAAGTTTTGCTCATTTAAAGTTAAAAGCAGAGCTGTTAATACAGACTGCATTTAAAGTTAGGGTTAAGAAAGACAAATTAAGACACTTAGATGAAGGGAACACACAGTTAGAACTAGAGGCCAATATTTCTGCTACAAAGGCCAAAATATAAGTCTATGTAGATGGTAATATAGATAAAGGCAATCAAGATGGTAAAAATGAATATATCCGTATGTCAGAAGATGAGGATACAACTGGCTGCAAGGACACGGCTCAAATCAAAGAAGAAGATGAAGCAAGTCAAGTGAAGCAGTCTTCACCTGCAGCTGCGCATTATTCAGTGCAACCTGCAGATGCCAAACACAGAGCTATGTTGCAGAGTGCAGCCCATATAGCAGCAACTCCACATTAGGCACAATAGGCAGACAAGAGGCTGAGCAGAGTTCAGCCTATGACCCACTAGGGTTCTTGGCCCCTTTCAGCTTACCTGCTAAGCCCCTGCTAAGAGACCTTTGCAAAGAAGAAAGAGAATGGAATGAAGAAGTGTCTCAAGAGCAGACATAAAGATGGAAAGTGATTAACTGACCTCAAAAAGTGTCAGCTTTCAGTGTCAACAGGTGCATCAAGCCCCCAAGCTTTGGCATCACTAAGTTGGCACGACTAGACCACCTCTCTGACGCCAGCAATGATGGTTATTATGTTATTATTATTATAAGTTTAGTTAACTGTCTCAGCTAAGCAAAACAGGACTGCATATCTTTGGTGAACTGGATGTCAGAGGAGATTTTAGAGTCAAAAGATTACTAGGTTACAGGCCTCTTTATATATATTATTAGACGGGGCATCCAGGCTGGAGGACAGATGATTTATGTAGCCAAAGCTGGGGGAGTAGGGGATAAAAACCATAACTTGCAATCCCTGATTTCAGTCAGACACAACATTAAACCATAATGCAACACATACCAGTAGTTCCAAGCTATTCAGACGTAGAGCTGAGTGTAATCTGCATAGCGATAAAAGTCTATACTGCTAGAAACTATAGGTCTATAAACCTACACTGTAACAAACAGCAACAAAATATTGTTTATATGATAAATACAATTATACTATATAACTAAATATTTGGCATCACTAAGTTGGCACAACTAGACCACCTCTCTGACGCCAGCAATGATGGTTATTATGGCTCAGCATCCCATCTACTGATGGCCAAAGAAAAAGGAGCAGATCCACTGCTTTCCTAATGGGAAAGTCAAGAGCAGTTCTGCTCAAGCAGATCACACTTCCCACGATGGAACTGACAGCAGCCGTAATAGCTGTGAAGATGGACAAAATGGTTCAATGTGAGCTGCAGATGAAGCTGGATGAAGCAGTGTTTTGGACAGAGCATCACAGTGCTTAAACATATCAAAAAATTTTTGCTTGATGTAAAACATTTGTAGCTAACGGAGTCTCATTCGTTCAAGTAGCCACAAAATCTTCTCAGTAGAAGGATGTGAAAACTGTGGTCAACCCTGCAGACCAAACTACAAGAGGAATGAAAGCAGAAAAAGCTGTTGAGCAAAAGCTGGATACAAGGACCAGAGTTTCTCTAAAGAAAAGAAAGAAAATGTCACCAACAACCTGACCAGCCCGTCTGTTGAACAGAGGATGACTCATAGGTCAAAAGTTCAGTGAAAGGATCTCGTATACAAGCAAACAAGAAACAGGATACAACAACTCAATTTGTAAACCACTACTCAAACTGGTAGAAGCTCAAGATAGCTACAGCTTGGCTCAAGCACCTAAAAGAAAATCTTCTACATTTCATACATTAGAGAAAGCAGTATCAGGAAGTAATCTGTTCATATAAAAGCAACAAATGTAAAGCCAAAACTTAACTACGGCAAAAGACGGTAAAGTATAAACAGAGCTTGAAACAATAAATACTAAAGAAGACCCCAGTGGTCCTTGTGCTATTTTACGTGAGGGCCACCGGAATACCAAACTCATACTCCATTGTATCCATGAAGAAAGAGGATAAACAGATCAGAATTACATTCTCTCAGAACTAGGAACTAGCACGATTAATCAATAATCAATTAATTGATCATTAAGAATTACATTGATCACGCAAAATTTCGATCAATCTAACGTTATTAAAAAGAGGCTGAGGGCGTGCATTCATCCTCTAGCTGCTTTCTAGCAAAGATCAACGTCTGCTGATCGGGAAGGATCAGCATAAACAATGCAGTGACCATCACCGCTTGTGGAGAAGCCCTGACGAGTCGATTACCGAGTGCAGTGGATAATTTCCATGAAGCAATAATCATCAGAAGAATAATTTTGCACTGCAGACCCAGTAGTTCTCCGCCTTAGCGTCTCGGACTGATTGCATTTCCATGAAGTAATAATCATAAATGTTCTTCCTTGAGTTGTGAAACTCTGCTGCACTCGGTGATCGACTCGTCAGGGCTCCCCCACAAACAAGCGGAGAGTGGGTGAGTTGCTAAAGAAACCAGGCAAAGTTAAAAAGATGTTTGGGGGCTAGTACTATGGCTGGGACCCTGTATGTACTGTTGATGAAGTTAGCTGCTGTTCTGAGCATTATTTGTGGCTATAGAGTGGCGTTTTGTTTGAGATTTGCATGTGGAGACATAGACTGCTGTGTATTGCTATTGTGCGGTCATTACGAAAGTTGGTATTACTAAAGAAGCAAGCAGTCGCCAACATTCATCCCTCGAGGGGGTGTCTAACACGGTGGTCTGGTTTGTTTGACCCTAACTTAAATTTACGCCGGAATATCCCTTTAAACAACAAGTACAAGATGACGAAAGACTGCAGACCCTACTATGTGAAGCAGAAAGCAGTGTGAATGGCAGACCCATCACAACAACCTCAAATGACCCAAACAACATAGAAGCCTTGACCCTGCACCATCTACTCGAGATGAAGATACAGCCAAAAATTCTACAAGGTGTTTTCTCAAAGGAGGGCCTATATGTGCGACACTGTTGGAGGTAAATCCAGTATAGGGCGGATCTGTCCTGACGGAGCTGGACTCAAGAGTACCTGCCTCTTCCACAGGCAAAAATAGAACACAACAGGACAGAACTTTAGCCTTGGAGATAGTGTCCTCATTGCAGACTCCACCACACCACAAAATTCCTGGGTAATGGGGAAAAACTTTAAAAAACACACTTAAAGGGAGCGGTCTGCAGTGTTTGAGTCCAGACTAAGGCGAACACCCTTGAATGACCCATAACCAAGACATGCCTTAGAGGCCGTGTTAAGATTGAAAGATACTGAGCAAGAGAATAGTGTTTACTTGAGTCAATAAAAGTATTATGTATCCTAAGAAACTCTTAAAAAGGGGTCATGTATTAGGAGAAAGACATTTGCTTTAAGTTGATTATTACTACACTGTCAGCCTAGTCCGTTCGGGGCAGGCTATGTTAGAGCCACTTATTCATGAAAATAGTTCTGTTGTGTAATCCTTTGTGCTGATGTGATCATGCTAGTACCAAATGAAGGTGTAGTCAATCCTGGCTGCTGATTGGCTGAAGAGTGCAGCATGCTGCCAGTGTGTGCAGGATCATTTTACTGGAAGCTGTGAGGATATTGTAGCGCACTGGTCTTTGACTGAGCTCTAGGCCACATGTTTATCTTCTCAGTAAAAAAAAACAATATCTTTTCTGTTTGTACTGATCAAACAGTACTATTGAAATAAAGACCCTGGACTTATGTATTTTTTGATCGGGCACGCATCAATCACACATTTTCAGCTTCACAGTTCTTTTGTGTCTCTTAGTGAGAAATAAGAGGGAGTCACACTCACACTTTTGTTTCTGCTGCTTAGAAATAAAGACTGATTTCACTCTTTAAAGAATATTTTAGTTCAACAGACAATTAATTTACACTAAAGATTCATAGAAAGACACAACGCATGCTTTCAGGGGCACTGTACAGTTGAAGCAAGATAAATACAACTGGGTCAATCCCTGCTGCTTTTACAGTATATGGGTTTAAACACTTTGCACAGCAAAAATGGATTTACAGTTACTCCCTTTTTCTTTTTCTCTGTTTTCTGTGATGATAGTTCGAACAGAAAGTCTTAACTAGCTAAAGTATCTACCACACTGTAATTACTATCATCATTCATGATTCAGTTCAGCTATCTGTCAATAATCTGTGTATTTATTTACTTATTTGTGCATTTAATCAATCCGATACCTTGAACAGGACTATCTCTCGTTTTATTCTGTCTAAATCTGCCTGGTTAATTTCCAAGCCAACTCTTCTGCCTTGCCCTGAATTAACCCCTTAAACCAGTCTCATCTCAGGGAATTAACGGGCAGCTCGGGATGTTACGTGTGTGCACGCATCTATGTGTGTGGTTTAGAAGCAGCCTTCTAGTCATGGAGTTATGCAACAAAGCTTTAACTATGTGAGAGCTACTGTCATCTCTGTTGGAAACACTAGGCAGTGGGTTTTTTTGCATCTGTTTTTTTTTTTTACAGGAATCCATGTGTCTTCTTGTGTCTCCAAGTGTCCTTAGAGACTCAGGGTCTCGGGTCTGGCGGTGTGATAGATGGTTTTGACTGACACTCCACACAAAAGGGTTTGCAAAACAAAAAGAAAGTCCATGTTTAGGTGCAGGAGCCTAACATTTTAGCTTAAATAATACAGATGTCTTTAATTATTAAAGCTAATAAATTCTTAAGATTTAATTGATGTCAAACAAAAGGGGACAAAGAGAGTCATGCACATGTTTTTACATACAGAAACATGGCATTGACCAGTTTTTATTGTATAATTGTGATAAATACACTGTGGCTGTGTGTGGGTCGGTAATTTAACCTCTCTTGACAAAATGTCCATCAAAGCTACTGGATGTATTTGCATAAAATGATTACAGTATTGGCATACTTACACAATGACCCAGTGTGAAGGATGTGGTGTTTTTTTTCCAAGGAATAAAAAAATTTTACGTGCATTTTCATGACTGGCATGTTTGCCTTACAACGGCACTGAACATAGACCTTGTCTTATAGACAAGGAGTAACTTAAACCACAACTGACACTGTTGTCTTATGACAAATATCTACAAATTGTTGCTCCAATATTAATTTTCAGTGTGAATCTTTTGTTCTGTGGTTAATTCAGAATAATTATAAGAACAAATGACACTTAAAAAAGTAAACAGTTCTGTTGAAACAAAGGAAATGGTATGATACAGTACAGATTTAGTGTTTGTTAAAACATTCTGTTTTCATTCAATAATATGTTGTCATCTATTTTCTCAAGCACTCTTTGTGTTGTGACTTCAATACCTTTGCCCTACTAACCTTTTTCTTATCTGATTCCTTTGCATTAAAACTCCAAAAAAAGTTCTCCTTATGTAGCCAGAATGAGGGGCAATGGATGTTAGGTATGAAGAAAAGCAGGAAAAAACTGGAAAATTACATTCAGAGGTAGAGTCAAAATAATTGTTCAAAGTCTGTCCTTGATCATCCCTTGCCTCTGTACGTGTGTAAAAGAACAACATAATTGATGTATTAAAGGGTGGCCCAGGAGGACCTCTGTACAACTCCAACTATCTGTTCCCTTTAAAGTATCATATGATGTCAAATATTGTTTGGTAGTAGTCATGGCAAGACATCACTCACAGCCCCTCCATTTCTGGTACACACATTTTAAGCTACACAAAAACCAGTCTCCAGTCTCAACAGCATGTATTTGTTTGTGTCTTGACTCCCCCTCTTACCTCCATCTGAGTAGGTCTCTGTTCCATATCCGTCCTGCAAACCGTTGTTCCAAGTCCCTTCGTACTTCCCACTTGTCCCCATACTCTCACGTACACCGTAGCGTCCTTTAAAGCCATGTGTCCACTCGCCCTTGTACACCCAGCGGCCTTTATTCTCGACACCCACACCATGTCTCTTGCCATGAGCCCAGGTACCCTGGTAGGTGTTTCCACTGGGCCATGTGTAGACACCCAACAGCTCGAAGCCGTGTGCCCAGGATCCACAGTACTCGCCCTGGCCCTTGGGTCCTGTGCAGATCCCGTGGCCGTGTGCCTTGCCCTCCTCCCACCCTCCACAGTATGACCCCCCATCGTCAAAGTTGAACCTGCCGCCAGTGGACATGCATGAAATAGGTCTTGGCAATTCTCCTGAAGCCTCGACAAAAAGAAAAAAATAAGAAAAATAAACCAAGGGAGGACAGAAAGAGACAGGTTGACACTAGAACCAATCCATGAATATGGTTTGTGAGGTTGGTTGGGTCAGGAGTACTAAGGAGGCAGGAGGAGAGGGAGAGAACTCCAACTCAAATAAAGTACCACCCCCACTTGTTTTCGGGTGGTCTGGAGAATAAGGAGAAAAATGACGAAGAAAAAATTTGGACCCTGCAGGGATGTTGGGGTCTCCTGGTCTTGAGGAAAATGTTGATACAGTTCACATCATTCATTTGGTCAGCATTCTGGAGGCATCAGCAAGCTTTTCTAGCTTTGGTGTGGCTGATGCAAGACAGAAAGGAGGAGCCTGGGCACTGAGTTCCCATTATCCTTTCTCAGCAGGAGTCTTGACCCTCAGCTACATCAGCCTGCCAGTGGCCTGCCTACACAGTCTATGACACACATGCACAACTCTTCCACCTACTACTTTCCTGTTTTCCACTCAAGCATCTGCGCCCAGTGGCCTCCTACCTGATGATGTCTGCGCTCAGTGGCCTCCTACCTGATGATGCCTCCACCATTCTGGAGAGCTCAGCTGAGAATTCCCTCTGTTGCAGCCTGTCAAACCTCTGAGCCTTGACACATAAGTCACTGTCTGTTCCCCCAATCAAGACCTATGCCAACCTGGACAGATGACATCTTGTGTCCGAGGAAATAAAAAAAAAACTAAAACTAAAAAAACTCTCCTCTCATTTCCTTTATTTAGTTATCTATTTCATTGATTAACTGATTGGTTGAAGCCTGCTCCAGATGCTGAGACAGTTAGGACCCCTTAAAGTCTAATTGTGAATCTGCAGCTTACTTCAGCCTTCGCCATCCTATTTTTATTCTCAGCCTTCACCGCATACATTGTGCCTGTTAACAAAGACAGGCACGGTGAGAAGAAGAGACGGATAAATAAGAAAAATACATCGGGTTATCTGTTCGGCTGCCTTTACTGTTTGTCTGTACTGTCTTGCTGGATAGCAGCAATGCAGTCTCCTGTCTTATACGCCCAAACGCAGGTACACACACTCTGACAGTTAATGCGCATAGACGAAGAAATTAAACATCTAAGTTCATATATCTCCCCTCTACTTCTCCCTCTCCCTCTTTCTTAGTCCGTTCGTAGGTCTTTAATCCACCGCGTCCATAATTGGTTTATCCGCTGCGTGGGTTGTTTTCAGATTGCTTGCTGGATAAAATAACATCCATCTTTATGATCCATTTAAGGTGTGTTCTGTCCTCTTCAGCATCTCTGGCTTTTCCCTACATTCCCCAATGAGGTACCGGCTAACACATAGCTGGCCTTCCGGTCTGCTGTCTTGGTGTACAGTCTCTTCAGCTCCTACACTCTGATCACTGTATCTCTCTCTTGTATGAGTGTGTGTGTGTTTGTGTGTGTCTCCCAGAAAATCTCCTCATTAAAGAGGACCGTTCCATCGCAGCCAACCACCCCCTGCCATCCTTCTTAATAGCGCGCTCCAGCTCTTAAAGGGACATACACACACTGGCTTGTGAATGGAGCGCTTCCCTTTATTTCACTCATTTATCTGTAGTTTTTAATCATTTTCCCTCCCCTTCTGTCTTCCTCTCTGTCTGATTTGACTACTTCCAACTCAGAGTCCAAAGATAAATAAAGGAGTTAATATTTTAGAAAACTTGCAAGTAAAACTTGAGAAGAAAGTTCAGGATTTTGCTATTTTTGCAAAGATATTTTTATCATATGCAAATGAAGAGGCTCAAACCAGCAGGTATCTAGCCTGGCTGGGCCATCCTGTTGCGTGAATCACTTGCCGTTCCTTCCCACAACAGTCTGGACTTCGGCCCATTGGGAGCGTGGATTCCCGATCAGAAAATAACCGGGCCAATCAGTGACTGTGTTTCCACTGTTCCCCAGACAACAGGGAAAGGCAGCCCCTGATTGGTCCATGTGCCAAAGTGCCGTTCATTCAGAACGCCGTTAATTCTGCAGTTGACTTTGCAAAGTCGGCAGAAATCGTTTAGATCCGCAGAAGACGTCGAATATAAATGATTTCTGCCGACTTTGCAAAGTCAACTGCAGAATTTACAGCTTTCTGAATGAACGTCACTTTGAAAAGTCCCGCAGCATGTGTTAGACGTCACCATCTACACATGGACCAATCAGGGGCTGTCTTTCCCTGTTGTCCGGGGAACAGTAGAAACACAGTCACTGATTGGCCCGGTTATTTTCTGATCGCTAATATACGCTCCCAATGGGCTGAAGTCCAGACTGTTGTTGGAAGGAACGACAAGTGATTCACGCAACAGGATGGCCCAGCCAGGCTAGCAGGTATCTACAGAGGCCTGGAGGTGACATTAACTTTTCTTTTTTTAATTCGTACAGACGATTTAGTATCTCAAATGTGCGTTTTATATGTATCTCGTACATGCCTTTTATTTGTATCTTGCGCGTGCTTTTTTGTAAATAATCCTCCACACAGCTCATTTGTGAGAGAAGAAGGACAGTGTTATGGACAGAGAGCATATTATCACCATTTTATTTCATTTAGGTATGACCAAAGACTGTATATAGAATGAACGCCATCTGCCTCCTCGCTGGGTGAAGCCACCCCGAGAACAGCACCCTCTGGTGACGGGCTGCAGTGTAGGTCATAAATCCTGCCTCCTCCAGCAATCTCTATGGAGCTGAGGACAAACTTTAGAAATTTATTACACAGGATATAAATTCCCCACTGCTCTGTTGGGCTGGCCAATCACAGGCTGCACATGCACTCCGCAAGAGAGGAGACAGAAATACACAGATCTACAAATGCTGGTCAACCAACCAATCAATTAATTGCTTTTTGTTTTTAATTTCCCAAAATCATTCCAAAAGAAAACCTACAAGAAGAGCAGCTTGATAAAGTTCTCTCTGTCATATTTGGGAGTTGGTCTTGAAAGGAACCTAACATAATCCACTATGAGGTCACACTTGGCATCAGTGGCAAAGAATGAGTCTTTTTTAGTAGGCAGAAGCTTTAACAGCCCTTTAACAGAGCGGGTTATTAATGAACAGCCACCAACCTGGGCTGGGATTTGGAAAAGGAATTATAACTGCAGGAAGAGAACAACATGAAGACAAATGAAGGGCCCAGAAAGACTGCAGACAAATGCAAGCCAGACATATTTATTTCGGAACCAAGGAGCAGAAAAGTCTGGTCTCTCTCTGAATTTTCTGCGATTTATGCTCTATTTTTCATATTTTCATCCAGTTTTTTTCAGGAGAGGAGTTTAGTCAAAAGAAGAGCTTCTTTCATTGAGATGGAGTAAATTTGGACAACAACATCCAATTCCAGCAGACATCTGGAGGTATTTTTGTGATTGTCATGCTGATGTGGAGGTGAAGGCAAAGCTGAAGTCTTGGAAATGGAGATATAAACTCTTTCTTCCATCGGTCATCATGGGAAACGTCAACTCTCTGCCCAACAAAAGCGATGAGCGGGAGATATTGGTGAAGACTGAGAAAGCAGTCCCTTGTGTTTTACTGACACCTGGTTGAATGAGACAACTCAGACTCCAGAGTGGATCTACCTGGCTTCACTTTCATAAGATCAGACAGAGATGCTCAAGCTAGTGGCAAGAAGAAAGGAGGAGGTCTGGCTTTATTTGTCAACCAGAGATGGTGTAACCCTTCACGCATAACTGTCAAGGAGAAGTTGTGTTGTCAAGATATTGAACTGTTGGCAGTTGTTTTTTGGCCATATTATGTTCCAAGGAAGTGCAGAACAATACTTTTATACATGTATTTTCCATGATACTGTTGCTAGGATACAGACTAAACATCCTCAGACACTTGTCATCATACCAGGAGACTTCAACCATGTCACCCTCTCCTTTACACAGTTTGTTAACTGTCCTACCAGAGAGAATTTTTCATGAGATTCCAGACAAATGAACTTTCCTTTGGGGATAAATAAAGTTCTTATATAGTATTATCGTATTATCACTCATTGATTTGCTATTGAGTTGTTTCATGTGATAATGGACAGCTTTAATGACTGGCTGATCCCCCCACATAAGGATTTAGGTCATAAATATTGAACATGTCTAAGATCAATGATTCAAAAACAGGTCAGCTAGAATCATCTTTTGCACAGATTGGAGGGGGAAAAAAATCACTCTTTACACACCTCACACTACAGGATGAAGTGGAAAGATGCTGTTTAGAGCCATCTTATTATGGGGCCTGAAGCGCTGCTTAAAGAGATGTTCCGGTGTAAATTTAAGTTATGGTTGAACTCACCCACTTGTCGGGGCGCCCGGATGATTGCAGTGGAATTTCGCAGCTCAAGGAAGAACATTTATGATTATTACTTCATGGAAATGCAATCAGAATTCTTGTGTATCTTGTATTTGCACTGCAGACGCGGTCGTTCTTCTGCCTCAGCTTCCCAGTCTGATTGCATTTCCTTGACATAATAATCATAAATGTTCTTCCTTGAGCTGCGAAACTCTGCTGCACTCGGTGATCGACTCGTCAGGGCTCCCCCCCAAACAAACGGCTACTGGAAGAGAGTGGGTGAGTTGTGTTTAGTCTCTTTGCTAGAAGAAACCGGGCAAAGCTAAAAAGATATTTGATGGCTAGTATTATGGCTGGGACCCTATATGTACTGTTGATGAAGTTAGGTGCTGCTCTGAGCATTATTTGTGGCTATAGAGTGGCTTTTTGGTTGAGGTTTACACGTGGAGACGTAGACTGCTGTGTATTGTTATCGTGCGGTTGTTACTAAAGTTGGTATAAGTAGAGAGGCAGGTCGTCGGCAACATTCATTTTTAGAGGGTATGTCTAACTCTGTGTTATGGTGTGTTTGAACATAACTTAAATTTACGCCAGAATATCCCTTTAAGTCAAAGAGAAAGGCTCTGTCTCTGTTTCAGAGGATGGAAAAGCCACATAGTCTTCTGATACAAGATACAGTTTTTTCTGAGTTGAAGTCATGGATCCATTAGGGCAGCTGGTGTGATGTTTTACTGAGTTTTGAGGGAATGTTATCACCCAGACAGATGCTTAAGGTCAATGGTTAAGAGCAGCATAAACCTTTTTTTTAATACTAATCTTTATGGCCATGGAATTAATGCCCAGATTCAGCATGCACTTAGGGATATTACAATTACAAAAATAAAAAAATAAGAACTCCCTCCACTGTGAAAATAAAAACAGTAAAATAAGGATGGCAGCTAAGTGTCCATACAGATACTGTCAGGTGAAAGAAGAGTCAGATACTGTTTGGAGGATTTTTGTCGATAACACCTTATTTTTCCAATAATTTTTCTCTTTTGTTGATTCTTGTTCACTTACATAGAAGTCTTTTTTGACCTCCTAGCAGTCAGTGCCAAATACATTTAAAACATTTTTTCTACATTTTCATATCCTTAATCATAATTCCTACCAACATCTTTTTGTCAGTTGAAATGATAGCTACTTTTCTACAGCGTCACCATCAGAGCCCTACACAGCCTATGGTTGAGAACCGCACTACTCCCACCAGGGGTATGCTGTACACCTTTGCCCATTTCTTCCAGGTCAATGCTAGCACTCTCCACACTGTTGTGGTCCCTGTCCTTCAGAAGCCCTTAGAACTACCTCTTATGTTATAATTATAGATATGGAATAAGATCAATGTATCCAGGTTAGGGATACAGGGATTGTAAAATATACTCAATCCTTAGTTGGATACAAGATGGCTGATATCAATGTTATTCAAAAGTGTGAGGAAGCTGCTCCTTTGCCCCACAAAAATGATTGTTTTCTGTATAATTCAATACTTCCATACTACTACAACTCATTTTTCATAGAACAGCAGCATTGTACATAACTTTTTATTCTAGTAAGTGGTACAGTACACATATTTTTTATACTTGTGAGGAAATCTGAGAACCCTGCATATGAAAATATTTTTTTATTGATCACTGATAAGACTGACACACAAATAGTCTCGCCTGGGTTCCTCAAATTGGCTAAATATTAAAAGGCAAAGTACACAGACTGGCCCAGAATTTGGCAAATTTTGGAATTATGGCAAAGAAAGAAACTCTGGATGTGTCAGTTCAAGCGAAAGCAAAATCTTAGACAGTTTTATAACTCATCCACAGAATTTTTTTTTTTTCAAAGACAACAGCAGCAATACAAATAAAAATGGTTAAATAGGGTAGAAACTGTTGTTTCAATCTAAATTAAAGACACCCCAAAAGGCAAGCTCTGTTATCTAGGTACAATGAGAAAAAGGGGTAGAAGTGGCTCTATATTCAAATTTGCGGAGCCCCAGAAGGGACATGGATTAAAAAAAAAAAGGACTTTCTCGAGATTTTTGCAAAATGTCGCAAATGTTGGTCAGTATATTACTTTCGTGTCAATTCCACAAAATACTGGAATGTACGCAGCTGTGGAAAGGGTTAATTAAATTTTATTTTGAACTCATTTTCTGCCCACCTTGTCCCTTTGCACAATGTCCTCGTTCAGGACGTCCCTTGGCCGTAGGAATTCTTTCAAATCGTCCTCTATGACTCATGTTATAAGAAAACAATGCTTGTGTCGCAGAACTGAATGAATATCTTTTTATCTGAGGCCAATCTCAAAAAGGATGCAATGAACCTCTCCCACAGGTGCGTGCGTTTCATTGTATGGGTTGACTTGACATGGAAGAAATACACTGATCGATATCCTTTTTACTTATAACCCTTTAACAACTTTGCAAGATCTTGCAATACTTTTGCGAGGGCATGTAAAAGATTTAAGAAAATCCTTTTTTATTTTTTTCCTTCATGTCCCTTAAGGGGCTCTGTATAAATTACAGTTTTTAGACGGAAAACGTTTTTTTCCTTGTCAAAGTGAAACTTTCATTCAACTTGTTCTGTGGAATATTTTGCAAGACCATTTATGATACACAATTTATATTCAGAGAAATAAAAATTAAACACGCAAATAGCCGTTGCATACTGATAGTCACTTATAGACGAGGCCATTGCATCACTGGTCCTCAAAGAAGACTTTGGCCATAGCAAGGGCGACTTTGGCGACCTTTTTGTCCTTGGCATCTGGGGCCATGTTGGCACGAGCCAGTCCTATCCAATACTCCACTGTACGATTCTGGTAATCAGTCACTGATTCTCCTTCCTCTACTGCAGGGTGGTCTTCATCTGAAACACACATTTTGTCAGGAAGGTTAGAGCTTGCTGAAACCATTGTTTGAACTTGACTTTTGAATTGACTCAGTTACACGGTGATGTACTTCCAAAACAAATAATGCCCTTAAAAAGGAGGCTATGTACCCTTGATTTTTGGAACAAGCACACCTGCAAGTGAAGTCACTGTGATGATACAGGTAGGGTGAAGGGGAATAGCATTTTCATGGACTAGCCAGCAATAAGGGGTTAAAAGTCATCGCTATGGAAACCCAAAGAAATTCAACTCTGATGATTTTTGGTTTGGACCAGATTTTTGTACTGTCACATTTTAAATTTCTCTCTGTGGGATTTTTAAAAAAATTTAGTCCGACATCACTATCATTACACTGAAATAAAGATAAATATACATACATATATGTTGTTGTTTTTTTTTTTTTTTTTTAAACTTTATTACAGAGTGCCACAGCAGTTTGTAAAGACATTCATGTACCATTCAGGATCAGTTTTTCTTACCTGATTATTAGCTAACTTTACTAACACCACCAATGGGATGACTTACTTAGTGAAACAATCTGGGTCGATTTCTGTGAAATTTCATAATTATTTCAATGTCCTGTAAGTATGAACTTAAAAACACTATAGTGATCCCCTAACCTGTCCTCTTTTGTCATACACAGGGTCAAATATCGAAGGTCAAAGAAAGAAGTTGTGACTAAACGGTCAAGATGTGGTGAGATGCCGCCATCTCCAGTTTTATTGTGGTAGAACTTCCTGTTTTCCTTGTGTTCCTGGTCTAGCTTGACTGTTGTTTTAGTGCACTTTCCCTTCCCTCAGTCGCTGAGGCTGAGAGAGACTCCGCACCTCCGCTGCATTGGCAATCAAGGCCCTTGAAGCAGCCAACAGCCCTCAGTCTCAGTGCCTGAGTATTGTCTTTACTCCTGAGTGGTACAGATGCTTCTCCTGGCCTTCTGCTCGGCTAAGTTCTTGTGACTTTTTGCTCCCTGTGATTCTTTTGTTTTCTCACTTCCATCTCCTCTGTTTTTCCACAGTGTCTCCAGCCCACACAACAGCCAGCCAGCAAACTGGACTTTCTCGTGCATTTTTCCCTGAGTTGGACATTAAAATTACATCTTTAATTTGCTATCTGCCTCTGTGTCTGCTTCTGGGTCCACAAGATATGCCACACAAGACCTCGAAACACTGATGCAGCAGGATCACCACCCGGCGTCACACTCTCAAGTAAAGGTTAACACATAACAACCAAGTGTATCAAAAATTTAGGTGACTTGATGAAATTTTGAGTGGTGAGGAATTAGATACAGAAGTGTCACTTAAAATGAAGTTGCCAACAATTGTGTTATTTAGACTTTTTTTTAATTCTGGAGGAAGGTACATCCATTGCCTCAGAGATCGAGGCAGTGATGCACTGTGTGTGTGCAAACTTAACATTTCTAAGATGAGATAAGAAGCACAACTTTATTGATCCTGAAGGAAAATTCAATATTAATATTATATTTATTCTTCTGTGTACTTCAACAGTCAGGAAACAACTTGAATTGAAAAGAGGCCATTAACCTCATATGCTGAATGGGTGACATCATCAGTGATTGCATGATATTGCCCTAAAAATTTTGTTTTATGAGAACAGTTTCATTGATTGATTAACTGATTGATTGATAAAATTGGAGTCTTTATTTGAGGGTTGAAAAGCACATTTGTTTCCGTACAGCGGTCTATAATCCACCTTAAACTATCTAGCTAACAACTGATATATTAATGTGGCCTGATCTAAAACAACATTTCAGATATTCAGAAGACAGTGTTGGTTTCTAATTAAGTTTGGGGAGTGAAGGATTTCTTATCTAAATTAATTTTTTTCATTTTTGTCTGCAAGTTTTTTTCAAATGTTTCAAGTTTCTTTGGTATTTGAGGTATAATGATCTAGATATTATACCCTGTACCCAGGCTCAGACACACAATAAACAGAGTAAAGACGGACAAACCAAAAACAGCCACTTAAGACACTGAAAACTTCTTGCCTTCTTCATCTTCACTCTCCTCCTCATCTTCACTGTCCTCCACAGACTCTTCTTCCCCTTCTGCTCCCTTTGTCCTTTCCTCTTCATCATCCTCTGACTCAGACTCTTCCAGCCACTCCTGTGTCTCTGTGGGAAAAAGCAGTGACCAAAGTTAAATGTCACACCTCTTCTCTCTCATGTTGCCTTCCAACAGAGATGCATGTTATGCAATTGTTGATCCACATGTTGCTTCACATATGCAGTCCACACTTACTTGGGTCCATTTCCACCAGAATCTCCCACTGATCCATCTTGTGGAGGTCCAGGCAGTAGAAGTCATTCAGTGTGAATTGGCGGTCTCCAACCTCAAACATACCCCCAAAGAGGTACAGCTTACCCTGACTTGTTGTTGCTATGGCATTGGACCTTGGACAAGGCTCCACCAAAGCAGCTGGGGCTGAATCTTCTGAGGAGACAGATAACATGTATAACCACCTCCTGATTTCTCCTGTTTTCATGTTTGAAAGAATTCCACTTCCAAAAATGATGGGATATGGACGATACGCGAAAATGATTTGTCAAATACTGAAACTTCGTATTGAAACGAAAACGGCACAAATCAAACATCGACAGGAAGAAATGTCTTTTTTTTAAGATAAAATGCTCATTTTAAATTTAAGGGCAACAACAGGTTTCAAAAAGGTAAAAAAGAAATGCTTCCCTTATTCTTTTTTTGTGGTGGAACATTTCATCTGCTGAACTGTTTGTTTCCCTTTAGTCAAGTTTTACAGTTCAAAATGTTCCAGGAAATGTTCAATGAGACAAAAACAGGAACTGCAGGCAGGTCAAATGAGTTTTTAGCTTAAATCATCTCTTGATAATGCTGGCCATCTCTGGCAAAATCGCCTGAATCCTTAGTTGAAAGGATCATGGCGATTTTAGCGATTTTACCAGAGATGGCCAGCATTATCAAGAGATGATTTAAGCTAAAAACTCATGTTTGTCACAAAATGACTTATTTTAATAAAGTGACGATGTGTGGGTTTTTTTTTCAGTATCAATGGTAGTCAAATATTTAAAAATACTTCAAAAAAGAAGCTGAGATAAAGTCTGTGTCTCTCTAATCTGTTTCATGTGACTTTACCCCTCAGACATTGGAAAAACCTTCATTCTTTCCCTTCCGCTGGATTGCTCCATGTTGCTCTGATTATACTGTGGCATTTTGACAATGACCTTCTCTTCACCAATAACACTATCAAATACATCTGTTTGCATTTCTTTAATACCCACTTCTCACCAAAATCAAAATTGAAATGTGGTTTAAGCTGATTTTGTGTTTGTTTGTTTGTTTTTTTTAATTACCCTTGCCATTATCATCCCCCGTCTGCTCATCCTCATGCTCCCACTCCTCTTCCTGATCTCCAGCTGGGACCACTTCCTTTATGGTCATCACTGTTCCATCCTCCGACATGATCTCCTTGACAATCTCTGTGGGTGCTTGAGGTCTCGCTGCTGCTGCCTCCTCCTCCTCTGTTCCTTCCACTGCTGCTTCACCTTTCTGCCCCCTACGTCTTTTCTTTATCTCTGACTTGTTTCCCTGGATAGGCAGAAAAGCAGCAATAAACAAACCCACACAGAAGTTATGCAGTTATCATTCCATCATGAGCCAAATACTGGTGTAACACACAAACCCCAATTCAAACTCAGTTGACACACTACAGAAGCGTATTGCATTCACTTACAAAAAAAGGAAACTTTTTTTTGAGTAATATTTTTTTCTGACTAATTTTTCTTCTTTCTGTTTTCCAGACTATTTTTTTTCTTCTGTTTTTAGGACAAATTTTTATTCTGTTTTTCAGATTATTTTTTTTCCCCTGACTAGGCGGGATACTTGAAAATCCTACGAGAATCTCATACAATCAGATAACGTTAACCACCGCGGCTGCTCCAAATCAGCAGATTTTCCAGCTCCTAGGTAACTTCAACTACGGGGTCAATGAGAGTAAAGCATGTTATTTGTTAAACATAGGGTATGTAAATCCTGAGGTGCCTGCATAAAGTAGACAAACTTATGATGATTCCATCTTTCTGACTTATAGAAAGGAGTATCTCCCAGTGTCTCAAACCCAAAAGAAAGTAAAACTTGATTGAACTAAACAAGTGGGCCATGTTTGCCTCCAATAAATCGAGCAGAGGGGAACGAAAGCCTCTGTTTTTAAATGATCATCGTCCCAGAGAATAGGAAAAACAGTTAGTCTGAAAAACAAAACAAAACAAAAAAAAAGTCAGAAAATCAGGAAAGAAAAAAAATTGGTCTGAAAAACAGAAAAAAATTAGTCTGAAAAACAGAACAGAAAAAAATAACTCTCGGAACATTTTTTTTTTTGTGAATGCAATACGCTCCCGTACAACACTGTTTAAAACTAGAATAAAAACAAAATACAACAATTTGGGAATCCTTTTCAGCCTCTACTCTGAATGCACAATGAACTGACTTGTTTAATTTGATTTACTTCATTGTTTTTTTGCAAGTATTCATCCAATTTGAATATAATTCCTGCAACAAGTTCCTAAAAAGCTGAGAGAGGGTTATATTTATCGCTGTGTTATATCACATTTCCTTCAAACACTCATAAGCGTTTGGAAGCTGATGACACTAAGGGCTCTATTTTCGTGTACGCCCGTGAGGCGGCGGAGGGCAGCGAGCCCCGCGCAGTTGTATTTTCGTCTGGCGCAGCCCGGCATACAGCCAGTTTGGTATTTTCGTGGACTGAGGCGCACGGAGGCGAGCCGAGATCCGCCAAGCTGGGCGTGGTGGCATGGCAGGGGGACGTGTCGACAGAATCAGCAGGCGCAGTGACATTTTCGTGCTCGCCACCGGCGTGTAAAGTGCGCTGAAAGCTCGCCGATTCAAACCTGGTCAGCTTTCAGCGCAGGCGCAACGCAGCTGGTCTAGTAGTATTTTGGTAGACCGGCGGCGTATCGGCATACGTCACCGATGCCTCACCGGCAGGTTTCCACAGTGTCAGGCACATTTCAGTGCAAAAAATAATCATCATCAACTAATAATCTGAGTCAGCACATACATTTAGATCTATATAGATATATTCTGATCTATATCTGATCTGATGAGCGCGTTTGGCACGCATTTGGACACACAACCTGACCAAATCAACACAGCTGAAACCGCATTAAATTAAATTAAATATCTAGTAAATAGACACAAATTATGCAGTTAACAAGATATGTAATTCGTCTCCCTCCTTTTCTTTCTTCCTCTTCCTCTTATTTCTCGCACAGCTCCACCTGAACACGTCTCCGTGTCCTCTCTCTGTCCTGCTTCAGCAGCGGCTGAACAGATGATTTGTTTCAGATGCGTTATCTACTTTAAGCCGACATACGGATATTATAATATTCAGTTTTGTAAGCCAAATTTATATTATATGCCAACATCTATGAAAGAAAGAGCCAGGCCACGGAGCGCGATGCATTATTTACGCACAGATGGTTCCGATTTTAATGCCATTATTGGAGTTTAAGTTGTGATCTGAGCGCTCAACCTACCTTTGTCACGTGAGGTTTGAATATGAGCAACTTTATGTGAGTGTCTTTATTTGTGGAAAAGGGTGTTTGTCTTACCAGTGGGTCCAACATTACACACACCAAATCCATCTGTGCTCATGTGAGAGAGTGTGGAGGACGCCCAATGCAGCGCTTACAGTGACACTTGTTGAGGAGCTGCCCTTTGTCGCCATCGTGTGGCATTACTGTCTTCAGACATCTCTTGATCTCTTTGACTACTTCACTAAAATAGTAATACGCCTCGCCGGTGGCGGATTTAAAGGCAAGGAGAGGAGCTTATGTGATTGGTGAAAACAGGTCTCGGCTGTGTTAAACCCACTCTCCGCCCTCTCTCCTCCCTTGCTACGACTTACGCCGCTGGGAGGAGCTGAGTTAGGGAGGGGGGATACTTACGCTGGGCTGCACCGCTCACCAAAATACCAAATTGTGCTTGGGAACGCCTTGTCGGCGCGGCGGACCTCACTTACGCCGCGCATGCGCCGCGTCGCCGGCGAGGCACGAAAATAGAGCCCTAAGTGTTAAAGCTTTGGAGGTGAATTCTTTCACATTCTTGCTGGGTGGACAACTTTAGGCTTCATAATGCTCCACACATTTTCAGTGGGAAACAGGTCTGGACTGCAGGTAAGCTAGTCTAGTACCTGCACTCTTGAACTACAAAGCCCAACTGTTGTAACACATACAGAATGTGTCTTGTTGTTGTCTTGCTGAAATAAAGAGTGATGTCCCTGAAAAAGACGTGGCTTGGATGGCAGCATATGTTTCTCCTAAACCTGTATATACCTTTCAGCATTAATGGAGCCTTTACAGATATGACAGTTAGCCATTGACACTAACACACCTCCAGACCATGACAGATGCTGGCTTTGAACTTAACCTGATAATAATCTGAATGGTCCTTTTCCTCTATAGCCCAGAGGACACCACGTCCATGATTTCTAAAACAATTTTAAATATGTACTTCTCCACTGTGGCGGAGTTGAAAAATTAAAATGCTCCAAGTCACTTCCAGGCTAGCATGATGACCTTGAAAACAGTTCACAGAGAGCCAGCCTTTGCATATTAAACACCCCGAGGGAACTGAGGATGGCAAAGACCCTTTTGACTTCATGTCGGAGGTGTTGATGCAGATGACAGGATCGGATGTCTCCACCCACACAACCTGAGCTAGAGAGGACAGCACACTGGACTCAAAGATCAAGAACCAAGCCAAAGAAAATCCCCACACACGCTCCTGGAGTGTTTCTCCAGATTCCAGCAGAAGAGGGCTCAACTGGGTTATGCTACAAATAAGGAACTGAAGTAGAGTAGGAGCCACAGTAGAGGGTGGACCAAGATCTCAATGCAGCACTTGCTAAAAATCGACAACATTCACAGATATAGAAAACAAGTCCAGACAGTCAGTTTCACCAGCTCTACTCGGATTGGTCCTTTCTCCCTGATATACAGTACAGCTTAAAGGGTCAGAATGTGGCTGAATCCAGATACCGGGATCAGTCAACGCTACACGCACCCTATGTGAATACAGTGGCAGAGCCTTCAATGGGATCTCATTTGTTCAATCAGTGAAGACAAAAAACGAAAAGAAACCCTCATTATGTGAAACTTGAACTGTAGTTTAGGCCCCCAAGAATTCTAGCCAGGTGTCAACCCACTGACTGTTTACAGGATTCACATCTTCTCATGCTAGCTCACTGAGAGATGTGAAGCCCAACAAACCATTAGATAGGTGCTGACATACTGCACTAGTGCAGCCAAGACATGCACAGTAGCAACCTGGCTGCTGGAGCTGCAGGGACTACCAGACCAGCTCCACTATCAGATGAAATGTGCAAGATCCACACGTCTTTAAACCCCTTTACTATTAGACATGTGCCGACACAATCAAACCTCAGCACAGAGTAAGATTTCCGAGTTTCTATTGATCTTTCCAAACCTCGTCTTTTGTGAATTTTTTTTGTCAGTGAGACAAAGGTGGACACATGCGGAACATATATTTGTATGTTGTTTCCTCCTCCTCCATTTTTACCGGCGCACTACCTGCAAACCCCGCCGTAAGTGTGCACCAATGCAGACTTGCTATTTGAGGGCTGAACAGTCCACTCACCCTCTGCGCGCTGTGGTTTGGGACGGCCTTTAATATGGCAGAGCCTCCGCGGGGACGCGCAAACGGAGGGTGAGTGTGTAAGGCGAGTGTCTAGAGGGCGGTTTTGGGATTGGGCTATGGTCTATGGTATGAATCAGCCGATTATTTCTCAGCACCACCACAACCCAGCAACAATGTTTCAGGTAGGAGAATAATCAGATTTACAACTCAGTGACAAGTGACTGACTGATAAAGTAATTGTCTGTTGGCTATCATTAAGGTTAATGACAATAACAGTCAGCAAACACACTGAAAGTAAATAACAGAGACATAAATGGAAGTCCAAGTGGTAAAAATTTAGTCTTAAATCTGACCCAAGATGTAATATTAACAACTATTTACAAATCTGTTCAAGACAGCAAAACTACTCTCAGCCAATTAATCATGTAGTGCTATACAAATATAAATGATGGTTACTAAGTGGGGTGTGTGTATGTGTGTGTGTGTGTGTGTGTTTGTGTTTGTGTGCGCACACGTGAGTATCTGTGTGTGCACCGTTCTGCCATACAGGTCAGCCCCAGATCTTCTACAATCCTAAACCCGCCTCTGTTTGTGACGTTTACTGAAATGACTCGTCCATCTAAGAAAATGTCTATGGTATCTTCAATTTCAACTCTGGTTCCATGGTTTCCTAGCTTACCTTAAGTTGGCATGGTAACCAGCGGTTTTTTCCTTTATCATACAGGTAGAGATCATTGTAGAAATCCCCCTCCAGAGACTCTTCTTCTTCCTCATCACAAACTCCACCAAAGAGCACCGCCCGCCCTGCTGGTCCCACTGCAGAAGAAAAACCAGAGCGTGCAGGTGGCTTGTTGCCAGAAGGGTTCACTCTGGACCACGACCACTTCTCTGGCAGACAAAACCACAGAGAAGACCAAAGTCACGTCTCACAAAATACTTGTTGGATTACTAGAACCAGTGTTTAGCAATGGTCTTGGTTAGACATGCTTCGCGTACCTTGGCCGTCTTTACTCTCTCGCTTCAGAAGAAACATGTCAGAGTGGATGGTCCCCTTCTCCACGTCCTTTTTGACTCTCTGACACAAGACACACACGATTATTTCAAAGGCCACATCATGAACGCTCATCTTAAGAGAGATACACTCACCACTTTAGAATATCCCCCATAGATGATGACACCCATGCCATCAGGTGTGGGAGTCATCTGACAGGCAGATCGTTGAGAGGGGGGGGAACCAGATGGCTTTAAGTGAGACCAGGAGTAAGAGTCCAAGGAAAAGGAGTAAATATCGTTGAAGTAGATAAAATCCCTGCAAGCAGAAGAAGAGGTGAAACTGGTGAAAACTAATGAGAAAAAGCAGCTCTTCACTGGTGGTTTGAAATAACAGTGATTCAACCAGCCTCAGCTTGAACAGCGCTGTACCTACAGTGTACTACCTCTATGGAGACAACACAAAGTACAAACTATGAGGACCTTCAAAGTGTTTGAAATGTGACGGAGAGAGATGAATCTTCCATTGTTTGGATGTGTGCAGGTCTGTGTGTGGGTGGATATATGGATGTATACATGCATATGTCATATCGAATGAGTCGTATTAACCTCGGCTCTGCTGGTACCACTTAAAGAAATAAACGTTGCATATATCACAGTTGGCTGATGGGCGATTTTCATGATCTGGTTTAAAATATTTCCACACTGCTGACATTTCAGCAACATGGCTGCTAGTGCTGAAGTAACAGACAGTCCTGTGCTTCTGCTCATCCCCTTTGAGCCATCCCAGCGGTTTTCTAAAATTACATACATGCATCCCTCACTTGCCTCTTAGTCTCTTCGACCAGAGTCCCGTGGAGAGAGAGAAGAGAGGGAACCAAAAAAGGAGCATCATATTCTCCAGAGGGTCACTTAAAGCTACATCTCTTTGTGATGTTAGCCTCAGCTGATCACCTTTGGATTGACAGTCAGTCAGTCAGTCAGTTTGAGAGCTGTTTGTGTCCACAGACACTGTGAAAGCTTTTATAATAACAGTTTGTATTGTTTTTGGATTTTATCTGTAGAAAAATTAATCCCCCTGCAGTCGGTCTATTCTGTCAACTTGGAGCCATATGGACTCATTGACTATTACAGTCTATGAAACACTAAATCATTCATTACACAACTATTTGTTTTACTATTACGCTGTTCTTATTCCGTCTCCCCTAAAAACATATTTCTCATAAAAACTATATTTTTTTCAACATTTGGCACGTTGTTTTTGCAGTTTTTTCAATGAACATGGAGCTAAAATGCATTGAAACACTGAAATCTCTTTAATCAATGTTTGATTCACCATGTATTGGAAGTGACCGGATATTGGAGAAGCAGACACCCTTTAGCCGATACAGCCTGAACTTGTCACATGAAACTAGACTTGCTGCCCACCAAAGATGTGTTTACCTGGTGCTCTCATGAAATCCTCCAAACACCAGCAGCTGATTCTTGCAAAGGACCATCCTATGGCCACTACGACCTGACGGACCACCAGGTGCCCTAGAACAACAAAGATGTTACTGTCATTGATAATATCCAGATTACAATAATAATAAACCATTCATTAATTGAGATTTTCTGGCTCAATTAAACATCAACTAATCCATTTAAGGTTCAATGATAGAATAAAGGCCTTTAATTTACACTAATAAGGATCTATGGTCACGTGGGGCCTGATTTACTCTGATTTACCTGAAGTTCTCTGTAACCAGTGCAAATTTATGTGTACATCCCCACAATGGTACATTTTGTTGGTGTGCATTTTGAAGGTGATCAACTAAGAACTGCACAAATGATACCAGGTAACAAGTGGAGACATGGTCTTTGCACCTGGCTACAAAGAACGTGGTACTGGAGAGTACAAGTGAGAAAGTCAATGCTTTCAGTAAAAGAAGGAGCAGAAAAGATGAAACCAAGAAAACCCAAGAAAGATCTACTTTCAGTAAAACCCCAGCAAATGAAATAAGGCCTTCCCTGTTCTTTAATACATCCCAAATCAAAGGACACGCCCTGGTGAGCCACAACCAGATGCAAAAAGAATAAACAGTCTGCAGCTTTTGAAACTGCATTTGACATCATTGGCAGGTGGTGAAAGCAGTGACCTCTGTGGCACCGGGGAAGTAGACCTACTGTCTCTCTTATACACACACACACACACACACAAACACACACACACACACACACACACACACACACACACACACACACACACATTTGACAGCTAGTCAGCACTGTCTCACACACACACTCACACACACACACACACACACACACACACACACACACACACACACACACACACACACACACACACACACTTGACAGCTAGTCAGCACTGTATCTAATCTGGAAATGGCCATAAATGCCCAGAAAGAGGCAAAAATGATGTTCAAGCAGTGGTGAGGTCTCTCCACCAAAATCCCACTGTGGAGAAGTTGGGGCACCATAAAGGGGGAAGAGAAGCACACTGGAGGTGACAAGCACACATGGGGGAAAGAGACACATGCATTCTGCCAAAAATCAAAAACCCCAGGAAGAAAAATAATATTGATTAAAAGGAAAGTAAGAAAACAAACATGTCTGAATAATTTTAGTAGATCCATAAATGTAATTAATGGAAAACACATGTTCTCACGCAGCTTTGAGAGACTCAATCCTCACCGTGCTCTGTGAGTGTATTAGCTTGTCCAAATTTTTTACACGTTTTTACACACAAAAACCTTTTAGTAAATCAGGCCCCACGATCGCCATTTTCACACAAAACTTCTGCTATTCAAACCTCCTTTTCCTTATGTCGTTTTTCTAATGATCCAATACTCATACTTGATGTTCTCCCAGGTGTGTGTTGCAAGGTGCAGCACCCATAGGTCCTTGTAATGATAAAACTGTTCCCCATTTGGTGAGGCAAACTCTCCCCCAAACACCCAGAGCTGACCCCCACTCTGGGGTGCTACCACCGCCTAGGGAGACGGAAATGGTCAAAGAAAAGTGAGACAACTTTAATGATAAAGATGATTTGTTACACAGTGAATAAGACCACAGACATGACAGATCTATATTTCAGTATGTGCACTGAAAGTCTTTCTGGAAGTACCTGGTGAGAGCAACGTGGAGGTGGAGGGTTGGGGATTTCTGATTTAATCCAGCTTTTCTTCTTGATGTTGTAAAAAAACAGATCATTGTACATGTACGTCTGCAAAGACAAAGCAATACATGGTTTTTGAAAGAGTGAATTTATTAAGTTGTTGCTGTTGCAACACATTGACAAAAAGAGGAAAAGTAGAGGCAATCAAGCAAATGAGCCACTTTAAGACGTTATTGAAAGTATTTGAAAAACAGGGTGACCTTCTTCCCATTGAAGAATTCTCCTCCAAACAAGATGAGCTCGTCTTTTTCAGGATGTGTAGAGAGAGATGCACTAAGTCTGAAAAACATGAAACAATACCATAGACTGAGAGAGCCAGTAAATTTTGTGTAACAGTTTCAAGATTCAAAGCTATTGTTAATACTAGTATCATATCAAAGTATTAAGTTCTGGCAGGTCTCGTAGCTACCTGGTGTGAAGACAAAGGTGGGCAAGCTTGCAGGTTTTAGTTTAGTTCATGTAGTTTAAGTGTTAACAAGAGCATAGACCTTTATTTTGATTTTTTGTTGTACATTTTTTGAATAAAAACATGTACAACAAAAAGTTTTTTGAATAAAGAATGTGTAATTCAATAAACTGTTGACCAAAATGACATATGAGTGACAAGTAACAGAGTGGTGCTATGTTATTTAAGTGTTTAGTAGAGGATCGACCCTTTTTTCCCCACTAAAAAAAAAAAAAACACAGGTTCAAATCAAATTTCAAGCCCCATACATACTTCAAAACCAATCAGAAAAACTACCAGTTCCCCTTCCACAGGTGGTTGAACCCCCTACTCACTAGCAAATGTTATTTCTCACTTGCTATAATTTAGACTCATTATTACGTGTCATAATGTCTTTGAGCAAGACATGAAGCCCCAACCTGTCCTGGTGACTGTGCGAGCAGTGTGACTGAGAGCTGATACTGGTGGGCTCTTTGCGTAGTGGCCTTTTGCCATCAGTGAATGAATGAATGTGGTGTGAATGAGTGAATCTAAAATGTTAAGTGCTCATGCAAAAGCACTTTATAAATACAAGTCCAATTACCGTTAAATGTCATGCATTGAAATTTTCTTGGTAAAATAGCAAAAGAATATTGGCATCAAAATGGGCCTCAATTATTAATTAAATATCCCTAAATAACTGAGTTATATGTTTTCCTACATACCCTATATTGTCTTAAAATAATAAGGCATTTGTGTTAATCACTTTAGAGTCACAGGTTACAAACTTCAGTTGTTCAAAGCTGCTGGGTAACCTGATAGCTCCTCCACAAGGCTCAATGCACTCTTTACTTTGAAATCTAAATCTTTTTTATTATTTTTTTAATCTAAAATAAAAAACACTAATACTCTTTGCCTCAATGGATTTAAAGTGAAAGCTTCAAAAAACAACAATATTCACAGACTGTCCATCCATACTTTGCAACTTGGCTGATAGTTTCCTTAGATTTTGAGGTTATTTTTTCCCAGAGACTAGACACCTCTTACATAAAAATGAATTAAAGAAACCTTGGTGATGGAGGAGGACATTTAGTCTCCACAACTTGAGTCTTTTTGGCATCAAGACTCTTGAACTCAGCAATGAGGGCCTCTAAATCCTCCTGAAAACAGCAGAAAGGACAGAGGAAATAAAAAAAAGCAGTGTGTCAAAAACCAGTGACTTTAACACTGCTGCAAAATTTAACCAAGACAGTATTGTAAAACAGGTAGCCAATACAGCAACAACTCTTTACTAATAAAGAGCAGTTTATACCGGAGGGTATACGATAAAGCAGAATGTCCTTCTAAAATAGAAAGTATACAGCATTTGGTATTTTCTCAAGTGTTCTTTACCTCTTCTCGTTTGGACCTCTTTGAAAACTTCTTCTCCATTTTGGCAGCTGTCTTCTCTGCTCCCTTTACCTTCGTTTCCTTTTTGCCTTTTTTGGGCATGGCTGCTGTATTGCACTGGCATATATATATTTATTATTGTTGATATCTAGTAATGTTTCTTCAGTTCTGAAGCAAGTTGTTGCCACATGGGTCCCCCACACACCAAACATAAACGCTCTTCTTCGAACGTGCGAGGTTTACTTCCGGTACTACAATCGACTTAGCGAGGACGTGGAAATGAAACAGCGCTCTCTAGAGTGTCGGAGATATCAAGGCTCTATCTCTTCCATCTCTCTCTCTCCTTCTCGGATAAACTGGCAAGCAACTGAAATGGTATTGACAGAGAAAATCTAACTTTATCTAAACTTAATCTAGAAAAATAAATAAACTAAAGTCGGTAACCAAAGGAGAAATAATCAGAGCTGTCCTTGTTAGATTTATTCTCCAACGTTGTTGAGAAGTTTGCATTAGCATTTTTCATTACTTTAATTGTTCAATTTTGTGAGGTGAAGTTTCTACAAGATTTCCTGGGAGATTATATATTTTTGTTTTGGGTTGCTGGAATTTCTCTTATTACTCATTATAAGGAATCAGGAATGGCTTTTGTCATGGTAGTATTCAATATTTATTCCTCAAAACATGTTGAATGTTGAAAAGGAAAATGCTTGTATCTATATTCTTGAATTATTACAATAAGTAGACCGTATGCTCTTAAGTAGACTTTTACTGGGGCAGAGCCCACAAGGAAAGGCCAAAATCTGTGTCTCACAGCCATGTGTCTTTACTGCACCAACAAAAACAGGCTGAGGAATACTAAGGCTTTGGACTATATTCTCAGCTCTGTGTTGCCTTTTCTAAACTGACTGGAAGAGTTACCTTTATATGTAAATGGGATTAAATGTATTGCTTGTTCCACTGCACAGACTTGAGCGCCACTGTTCAGGCTGATGTTCTAGCAGTGCATCCCGCACTTGCAATCCAGGGTGTACACGTGGTTTTGGGAAAAGACCTGGCCTGTAACCAATGCCAATGCTCCACCTCTAGCTGTAACTTTGTCTGTTTTAGAAAAAGTGGGGCTGACTTTGTTGCATCTCTTGTCTGTGCCTCACAGTGAGCTTGCAGAGGTGCAGTGAGCTGTTTGAAAAAAACTGAGTTAGTCAGTCGGTAAAGTGCGTTCAGATCATGAGGGTGAGTGCAGCATGTTGATGAGGACAGGCTTACAAAAAAGAGAAGTTGGTTGGTAACCCTTTGTTGCAGGATAGAGCCAGATACGTGACAATGACCTAAATGTTATTTTAAAAAATGTAATAAACCCCAAAATGTAATAAATGCTCAATAATGTAACAAGGTGCCAGCCCCAAAACGTAATAACTTACATCAGTCATTATATTTCAGGCTTTATTACACTTTTCTTTTTATAACATTTCGGGTTATTGTTAAACATCAGGCTCTAACATACAGTACCTCTTAGTCTGGTTGCTGTGAGCCATCAGGAAGGCATAGGGTCAGGAAAAAGGTTCAATAATGAGTCATCTTCTGGTCGGGTTATTCTACCTTGTTTTGACATATTCATTCACTGGTACATGTCATTTTATAGCCACTGATTAAACATAAATCAATTTAAACTTTGAGTGGAGTAAATTGATTTATGTTTGTTGTTTTCTGGTCCTTGCTCCTCTATCTCTTTCCTCCTCTGAGCTTCTAAGCTGCTTCTCTGGGCACTGGGGTTGCTGGGTTACAGGAGGGAGGTGGGCTGGCAGACTGGGTGGGTTCTCTCAGGTTTGGTGAGCGTCGTGATTAGAGGGTTACAAAAGGTGAAAACAAAATCATTTTAAAAATTAAACAGAGAGTGGAATGAAGTCTGAAAATTAAACTTAATGCTAATGGCTGTCAGGTTGTCTGTTTGTATTCCAAGAGGAAAGTCAGAAATAAAATGAGTTTCAATTAGCAGAAAATGTCTTAAAACATTGGGCCTGTAACTAAAAACCTCAACAGGTCCTACATGGATGGAGCATGGATGGTTTATTTATCCTGATTACTAGTTAGCACAGATAAAATATATCACACCTGGTAGAAAGTTGCTTTAAATTTAGTTGAATTTTTCTTTCATAATAAATTAAAACCACAGAGATGCATAAAATGAAACTGAATTTTGGTGAATATGAATTCAGGTACACACTAAAACCAGAAGGGGGCAGAGGTGTGTTTCTTTGGATCCAGTCATTTAACCGTTGCTCCTCTAGTCTCCTCCATTCATTACTGTTATCACATTCAACAAATCACCATTAGAAAAAACAAATGCAAATGCAAAACAAAATGCTATGATTGAGTGGTAAGGTCTGTTAAGAGATAAGATAAACCTTTATTCATCCCATGGTGAGGAAATGTGCAGCGTCAACAGCAGCAGAGGATCACCAAACAGAAGTAAACTCATCATACTCACAGTGCACAGATATTTATAACAAGTTCAATAAGAGCTATACAGAAAGTGTTATTTCCTGTTGTTTATTAAAGACAAAGAAATATATCAGTGTTTGACTCCCTCTGACTTCATAATTTTCAAATAGAGCTAGGCCCACAGGAGTTATAAGCTTCCATAAGGAAGCTTTCTGTCAAAGGGATATACTGCTGTCTGAAAAAAATAATAATAATATAATGCTTCTTACAGCTTTCACAATTCATCTTTTCTTTCCACTCTTCTGAAAGGGTTAGCTATCATCTCTGCTTCAAATGAAGCCTTTTTTTTGTTATGGCTTTAATAATTTCATATCTGTTCACAGTGATTAAAAATAGAGGACACACGTTAGTAAGTGACCTTTAAATTTATCCAAGCCTGCCTTGGGTATCGGCTCTTTCCAGTCATCTGTCAGCGTACTGTGATATTTATTTTCCTTCCCAGCATTTACAAACACTCACAAAAGCCCATTCACACATGAACACTCACATCAGCTGACTATACACACATTCAGCACATGACACTTTCTTCCCACCTCTCACTCCTGACTGCTGACCTTAAGTGCTGTCTAAGGCATTTGTGCGTGTGCATGTGTGTGTGTGTGTGGACAGAAAAACGGGCACATTAAGTTAAAAAGGGGAGAAATAGCCCATGGGACCACATCTTCATCTAAAGCCCCACCAGGCATGACAAAGTAGTCACACATTTTCTCATGTGTCTCCTCTTGTGCTTGCCCATCCGAGCATTTGTTGCCGTTCACCCCATCACTCTAGTTTTGCTTTCTGTGGAGCATTGTCTTGACATTTGACAAAGAAGTTTTTTAGATGTGTTTCAGAGCCTGTTTAAACACTCTGTCAGTGTTTTATATGACGTTGGCATTAAACAGAAATCGGCGCCTCAGAGATCTGTTCTTGACTGACTTTGACTGATAGCAGGAGAGGTATTTCTTAACTCAGAAACTTGTGTTCATAAAAATAAAGGTTGAAATGAAACAAAAAAAATTCCAAATAGTTGAATAAATGGATCAGTTTTTGAGTCAACAGCAAGTTTGTTAATATAACATGTACTTTGAGGAAAGTAAAAAGTGAGTGGAGGCTGAGGAACTGCTTTTTTATTGCAAATACAAATAAGTATCCTTTACACTTGCATTGTGAATAGGTGCTCCAAATGATCAAACCTCAAATCCTCGTTCCCTGAAACATCTCTCATGAACCAGGTTATTTAATAATAATAATAATAATAATAATTAATTAAGTGGTGAATAAGGCTAGCCCTGTCCTGGGCTGCCCTCTGGACCCCGTAGGGGTGGTGGAGGACAAAAGGATGATGGCTAAGCTGTCGTCTCTTACAGATAATGCTTTCCACCCCCTGCAGAGCAGGGATACCCGAAGTCCTTCCTTCCTGCTGCAGTCAGACTGTTGTACCAGGCCTGCTCCCATAGTCCAGGTTTTTTTTAGCACAAATAACGGACAATAACTCAACGCTACCTCTATGTGCAACATTAACAAAATAGATATTTATTACAACTGCAAATACCTACATTTTCCTCAGGTACAATCACTCAAATGATGTGCAATAAAATGTCCAAATTGTGGGATGAATAAAGGTTTAGAAAATAGGGGTTTTATAAAAAATAGATAGAAATAGGGGTAGAACAAGCAGCAGCAGACATCAATACAATTTCCAAAATAGTCAATCCATAGTCAATTTAAATTTCTATAATATGTCAATTTAAAATTCTATAAGAAAATGAACCTCTAACCATGTTAATACGTTTTTAAAATAGGTCATGAAAAGTTATCATTAAAGTGATTATTATAATAATAATTGAATTAAACAAATATTAAAAAATAGGTTAAAATAAAATGAGTGAATAAAGTCATATCCAGTAAAAGCACACCTATAAAAACTGTTTTTTAAATGAGTTTTAAAAGAGGATGAGGGTCTTGCCAGTCTGATGCCCTCAGGCAGTTTGTTCCAGAGAGCAGGGGCCCTGCAGAAAAAGCCCTGCCCCCCTTGGTCTTATGCCTGAACTGGGGAATAGTCAGCAGACCCTTGGCTGAGGACTTCAGGATACGACCAGGCTCATACAGTGTGAGGAGATCAGTGATGTACTTTCAGGCAAGTCCAGACAGTGCTTTAAAAATTATCATCAAGAATCATCTAAAATGTACTGGGAGCCAGCAGAGGAGGTTAAGATAGGAGGGATATAATAATAATGATAATAATAATAATAATAATAATAATAATAATAATACATTTTATATGAAGCGCCTTTCACGTCACTCAAGGACACTTTACAGAACATATAAAACAATAATAAAACACTATTAACAATTAAAGTAATCAATCATCAAAACAGTTAAAATCAACAAAGCAACATTAAAACATTTGACATAAACAACAGCAAAGGAATAAATAAAGAAATAAATAATACCAATTAAAATTAAATAAAAAGAGTGAGTTAGGGGTGGTGGGATGGATAGGCCAGTTTAAACAGGTGTGTCTTGAGTTTGGACTTGAAGAGGGGGAGGGAGTCTATGTTGCGGATGTGTGATGGAAGAGAGTTCCAGAGTCGGGGGGCAGAGAGACTGAAAGCTCTGCCCCCCATGGTGCTGAGGTGAACAGGGGGCACAGTGAGGTGGAGAGAGGAAGCGGATCGGAGGCGGCGTGATGGAGTGGCGATGTGGAGGAGGTCTCTTTTTTTTTTTCTTTTTTTTTTTTTTTTTGGGATTTCATGAGGTGTCTGGCTGATGCATTTAGGACTAGTTGTAGTTTATTTAAGCTCTACTGTGATAGACAGGAATACAGGGAATAACTGTAGTTCAGGCGAGAGGAGATGAAGGCATGTATGACTGTTTCAAGGTTTTTCTGGGAAGCAGGTGAATGATTTTGGAAAGTTTTCCAAGCTGATAAAAACGAGTGCACCAATGAATCGACTTCTCTAGATTGAAGTTGTTATTAAAATGACTTCAAGATTTTGCATTCATCAAAAATATTTGCTGAGAGAGGCTCTAGATGTTCAGTGATGTAGACATGTGCAGTGTCTGGGCCCATTCTGGTTACCTGTGTCTTGGTCATGTTCAGCTCTAGGAAGTTGTGGGCCATCCAGCTTTAAAGTCAGCTGTATGGTTTGAAAGTGAGGAGATGTGATCTGGTTTGTCACAGCGTCTGCATAAAAGTGTTGTGTCCAAGATAACATGTCCAAGGGGAAACTATAAACTGAAAACAGGAGCGGCCCCAGAACTGATCCCTGGGATACCTCATAAGACAAATTAGCATGACTGTGAGTTTCCAATAGCAAAACTAAAAGACCTCCAGGTTGAATAAGACCTGATCTCGAGACACAACCCAGAGTTTAAGATGTTGAAGTTGAATCAGTATCAAATGCAGCACTTAAGTCTTTAAGAACTAGAATTAAAGATTTCCCACTTCCCGCTAAGTTAACAGCAAACCATTTTCAACCACTGAATTTCCCTACGGCAATGAATAAAGTTATTCTTATTCTTATTCTTAACCATTCATTTCTTTAAGCAAAGTTCCTCCCCCACATGTCTGTATTAAACTAGGTATTTATCTCAGGTTCTTTGCAGGTTCAATGCAGTTCAACAATATCTCACAATGAGATAATAAAAAACTAATACACAGTTACACATCCCAGTGATGATTTAAGTTGATGGAAAAATCACACAGAAAAGTAGTCGCCCAGTTTGCCCCTCAGTGGCTTATTGAGATTAACTTAGTTTTGTAGAAATGACGCCAAAAGCTTAATACCAACATCATCCATGCAGCAGCTACATTTAGGGAAATTGTGCTGAGCAAATAGCATCTGTTTAGGTTTGCCCACATACCCAGCAGTTAGTTTATGGATTGTTGATTGAGATAGCTAAGTCCAACAAACTTGAGGAAATATCAGTTTAACAGCAATATGTGCATGTGGTTGAAATCTTGTCAATGTTAAGTTTTCAAAAACATTAAGAGGACATGAACAGTTCAGTATTTTCTTCATGAAGGGGTTTAGCTTGGCTGTCCTCATACCTCACTTTACCACAAGGTTGTTAAACTGACCTTAGATCAGTCACCCACCTCCACCCCGAATACTCTGAATACTTGAGAGGATTAGCTTGTTTTGTTTTATGAACATTCATCAGCTACGTGTTGTTATTACCTCAGCAACACACCCTGCAGAGCCCTGCTTTAATCTTTCACAGTTTACTGTCATGATGGATTCCTATGACCGAATCATCACAACAGACAGCAGTGTCAAACTTTGTCTATAGCAGCAGTGCAAAAAGAAACACAAAAGAAAAAAAATCTATTTTATAATTCAACTCGTGTGTCGCTGTATCATGCAGCACAGTTGCTGAAGCATTTGAATGAAGTAAGCTCTGTGTTTTGTGCTCTGTTATTCCATCCACAGCCGCATATCAGCCAGAATTCAGTGAAAAAACAAAAAAAAAAACATGCACTTTCTTGATACTTACTCTCATTATAAACTTACAACTCTTTTTTAATGCTTGGGCATTCTCGGTAAAGCACTTCCTTCAAATCTATTTCATTAAACAAAGTTGATTTGATCCTTTTACTAACCCAGCATAACAAAAGTCTAATTTCAATCACTACAACAGTCATACTATCATTGTCATACTCACATGTCACACTTAGGTTTATTAAGAGAGAGTGCCGCAGCTGTTTCCAGTCACTATACATGGGAAAACTCTTTTACACCCAGTCTTTTCACTCTTTTGGACTATTTTTCAGGGTAATTTAATCTTTCTTTGGTGAAAAAAGTTGAGAAAGACGGGAAATATTTGGAGAGAGAGACAGAGAGTGGGAATACTTCTTCTTCTGGGAAAGCTTCTGTTCACAGTGCCTGCTCTAATATCTGACCTAAAGGGTCACCCTTGCATTGGCTAAATTTTGTATCAGTTATGGAGGACAGTCCCAAGTTTCAAATAATACAGATTTGTGGCAACTGAACAAAACTTTTAGATGTGATAGGTTTGATTGCCAAGTTTGATTGAATTAACCAAACAAGAGACATGTCATGAATCAGGCCTGAACAAATAAAGACAGGTTAATGGACTGATCTGGTCACAGGAGACCCCAAATCAAGAGTTTGTCACAGCAGCTTTAAAACTGCCCTGTTCTTGTACAAATGTTTGTACTGAGGTCACATTTGTACAACAATTGAAGAGTTCAATAGCAGTTTCTTGATTATATATCTATTCTGCAACACCCTTTCTACAAACTTTGTAGTTTTTGCACTAAGTGCTCTATATTTAGTGCCTCACTATTGTTTGTATCTCATATGTATTCATAAAATACTTCCCTTTTATGCTACTATTTGTTCTCTTCTTATACCTCTGCTCTACAGCTTTTTAGTTGCCCTTTTGAAGCAAATGCAAGTTTTTGAATTGAATTGACCTGAAGTAAAAACACTGATCAGCTCAGTTACCTAAAAAAAAAAAAAAAACTGCGTCTCCATTGTTAGATAAAACCGATTTGTGCAACTTTTTTCAAGTTTTAAACTCAATGCAGTTGCCGTAGTGCCACCAAGAACATGAGCTCATAAAGTCAGTTTGGCCTTGGGCAGGATCTTTAAGCAAAGTTTGATTTTGACAGACGGGGAAAAAGGTAACCATGTGGACAGACATATGGTTATTTTAATATGCTCATAAAATAAAGGAAGAAAGTCAATGTGCCCTCCCATACTTGATCCAGCTTGATGTTTCACTCTGATAATTAACGTTTAAGAATCATTTAAAATGGTGAGTGTAAACATTTTGTTACTTAAGCTGTATGATTATGATTGTGTGAATTTAGTGTCTTTAATAACATTTTCTTTTTTTGACAAAGTCAAACTTTTTTTAATGACTTTTTTAAGAATAACAGACTGAAAAATCCAATACAATGATAGTGTCAAGATAAGTGTGTATCCACAACTTCTTTTACAGTCATTATTTTGATCCCTTAAAGCTAGGGCAAAAATAATAATAATAATAATAATAATAATAATAATAATAATAATAATAATAATAATAATAATAATAATAATAACTATTTATATAGCACTTTTCAAAACAGAGCTACAAAGTGCAACACAACATAAAAACAGTATAGAAATAGAGGTTTAAAAAAAAGCAGCAGACATCAATACAATTTCAAAAACAGTCAGTCAATAGGAATAATTTTGAATTTATCCATCCATCCATCTATCTTCTGCTGCTTATCTGGAGTCGGGTCGCAGGGGCAGCAGCCGAAGCAAGGAAGCTCAGACTTCCCTCTCCTCAGCAGCTTCTTTCAGCTCTTTCGGGGAACCCAGGTGTTCCCAGGCCAGCTGAGAGACAAAGTCTCTTCAGCATGTTCTGGGTCAACCCTGCGATCTCCTACCAGTGGGACGTGCCCTGAACACCTCACCAGCAAGGAGTCTGGGAAGCATCCTGATTAGATGCCCAAGCCACCTCATCTGACTTCTCTTACCATTTGCTTATTTAGAATTCAATAATTTATATAATCCCAACCATGATAAGTTTTTTTTTTATAAATTAAAAGTAGTTATAATAATAATAAAATAAAATAAAATAAAATAAAATTAAATTAAATTAAATTAAATTAAATTAAATTAAATTAAACGGGTTAAAACAAAACAAAATGAGTTAAAATTTAATTAAAAGTTTGGAGCTGAGTTCTAAGTTAAAAGTCTTTTCTAGTAAAAACACAGACAGGACAGAAATACAGGGAATAACTGTAGTTCAGGCAGGAGGAGATGAAGGCATGTATGACTTTTCCAAGGTATTTCCTGGAAAGAAAATGACTGATTTTGGAAAGTCTTTATTGACATGCTTTTCCAGATTAAGAGAGGCTCTAGATGTTAAGTGATGTGGGCATGTGCAGTGTCTGGGCCAATTCTGATTCTCTGTGTCTTGGTCATGTTCAGCTCTAGAAAGTTGTGGGCCATCCAGTTTTTAAAGTCAGTTATACAGTTAGAAAGATGTGATCCCGGTCGTTACAGTTAAGAGAAAGGTACAGGAGTGTGTCATCTGCATAAAAGTGTTGTGTCTACAGATCACATGTCCAAGGGGCAACTATAAACTGAAAACAGAATGGTCCCAGAACTGACCCCTGAGGCACCCCACAAGAAAAGTTCCCAACAGCAACACTAAGAGATGTGTTTTCTGAGACTTGATTATAGTTAGATTATATGGAATGACAGATCCATATATTTCTTTTAGGAAGTTTGTTGGTAAGATACCAAGTGAACATGAAGACGGTTTCATTTTGCTAATTATCTCAGTGAAAATAAGTAACCGGTTAAAAGTTATTGCTCTATCTGCATGACGATTGTTTTTCTGATAATCCTGATAGTTAAATTTTTTTATAAAGAAAATATCTTGTCTGTTAGCAGCTTATTGCTAAAGTGTGCTTACCATGTTTGCTAACTGTATTTGTCCAGTTGAGAGTTCTCTGTGGGTTTTTTACATACCCTGTGGTTGTTCCTCATACGAATTTAGGATAAGGTAAGGACTTTATCTATCCGCGAGGGGAAATTCAATTATTTAACAAGCATATTAGCAGTATCAATAAACAAATAAAATTCCAGATTACCCTAATTCAAGTTCCTGAATACTGACTACACTTTTTAGCATAAAACATTTACTTTGTAGGGTATTTTAGCTGCTAAGAAAAAAGGGGATGACACACACAATGAAAGAAAAGAAAACACAAACCAAATGCACCAGATGAAAACCTCTAAATTTATTGATTTTGTAAAGCACTTTTCACAAAATGTCCTGTAAACAAAAAAGGAACTACAAAACAACAAAGTTTCCTAAAAATAAAGAAAAAGTAAACTTTCTACAGTCTTATTCAGGGTTAGTTTTCCATCAGCTGATTGATGTCTGGAGTGTTAGTAAAGGTTTACTTCTATAACATACACATTAACCCTTCCTCCATCCCACAAGGAAACAATGTTGCCAGGGTAACGTATACTTTTGGTCCATTGCCAAGTGAAGAGTTATTTATTTTGTTAAAATGTATTTTAATGGTTATGATCAGTTTCGTGAACAGGAAAAGAAAAAACAGAGGACAAAAATGAAAAATAAAAACTATCAGTTCACACTATTATTCGAAAAATGGAACACTTGCTTTACTATTAAAAAAAAAAAACTCTTCATTTCCATTTCTGCTATGGACTGAAAAATGGTTGTCTACCTACTTGTAGATCCTTTTTTGTCCTTTTCACCCAATCAATCCAGATACAGGACTCACATGCATGGTTAACACACATATGTACAAGCACACACACACAAATATTCTCACTCATCCATCCACACACAGCAAGGGCACCTACTGACAAAGAAGTGTGTCGAAGGTACTGCTCTAACCTGACGTTGTAGTGAAGATAGACTGATACATCAGTTGGCTGATTAGTCGTGCAGAGCACGGACATTGTAAAATAATTAGCATCATATTAGCATTAGCATCCATAAGGTCAATAATCTTCTTTAAATTATAACACTTTCCCCCCATTTTAAATGGCAACATTAAGGAAGTTACTGGCTAATGTTCGTAGATTCTGATACAAAGCACAGAAAAATTCAGTTTAGTGTTACTTCTGATATAAATATTAGACATTTTCTGGTATCAGAACTTTAGCATTTTTACTATTTCCTAAACCAGTAAAGAATCCATCTACAACATGTTGCCATAAAAGATAACCTTGTATGTTAGATCACATGAAAGCACTCTTGTAAAAACACAATTCAATTTCAAAAAGTGCTGATGTGGGGGAAACTATCTTCATTACACCGACCCCATAACTGCTGTTTGCCAAACTGTTCTTCCCTGATCAGCTTCAGCTTTTTAAATCTATATCAGTCAACCATCACAAAGTAATATAGTCACATGGCTTTTTTGCTGTTGTCGCTTGTCTCTCAGTGTGATTGACTGTAAACAGCATTTTGCTAAACAGGCTCAGTATGTTGAGATGTTGATCTCACTCCCAGACTGAGAATGAGACCTCTGACCTAAGGAATAATCAGCAGGAGAACAAAATCATATTTTGACTCAACTTTGAAGGGAAAGTTTTTCAAAGGGGGTGTCTGAAGAAGTACTTGTTAGTACTAAGTGTATTTCTCATGAGGAAATAGCAGCTATCGTTTCCCTTATGTTTAATAAACAGGCCACAGAACTAGAACAGAGGCTAGGCTTTAAGAGACTCCAACTCAATCACTGATATAAATGTAAGCGCATGCCCGATTTTGAACATTTTCAGTGCTTTACTCTGCTGTCGAGAGAGAGAGAGAGAGAGAGAGAGAGAGAATGGGGGGGGGACTTTCACATTTTCTTCAATTTTCAGACAAAGTTAATAAAAAAGGAAAGTCATTGTCTGCTGAGTAAGTGGTCTGCTTTCCCTGTTTGTTTTTATTTCATACTAACACAACCCATGGTCCACACAATCTGTTAACATCTTTAGAATAAACTGTTTCCTTAAAACTGTGTAAAACTGAAATACAAAAGTTATATCCACAGAAGTGCTGCAATGGTAAAAGAACATATGTGTCCTGTTGTGCAAAAACAAATAAGGCAACAAACAGCAAAGTGAAGCACTGAAATTTTTCAAAAATAGAGCTTACCAATAGACTGCCATCATGATTTGGGTGCGTGTTTAAAATAAGCTGAATTACAAGGTAGAGTTGGCCCCATCTGTGGAAGTTCAAGACCTCGCTTCCAATCCAGGTCTCTGGCCAGTTTCTCTAAAATGGCACCAAGCCGTATGGGATCCCCTCTGCGGGGAATACACTTAATTCTGAGAAGTACCTCATACAATCGGACAAAAACAAACTTTCTCTTCAATCTAGTCAAAACATAATTTAACATACAGATACAAAACATATTGCCATGATGGATAAAACAAAACCCAACTTAGAAAGGATTTTGACTCAAATACCCATCAACTCTGCAAAGTGAGATCAGTAGAATATACCCAGTGCGCTCACATCTACTAAGACTTCAGCATGTAATAGTTTGAAAGAAAACAAGGTTTTGAACATAAACTTTAGCTTCTGTCCATCTGTCTTAAGTCCTTTTTCAGAAGTCTTCATTTAGCAAGGCAATTGAGAAATATTACCAATTTTTATTTTTCATTTTTAACCAATTTAATGATTTTAAATCTGAAGACAGAGAAAATGGAAAACCCTCTGAACTCGACAAGATCTTTAACCACAAACTAATGGAAAAGTAGAGCTTAAACTCAGCAGATGAACACTGGATGGTAAATGTCATTGCATGACACACATGCAACACTGTCCATCAACAAGCAATTAAACCAGACCACAAAAGGCCTTTAGCTCAGAATGCAAGACAACAGTAATGACTGCAAGACCCAATGTGTCAACGTTTTTTAGCCACAATTTTAAACTGACCATGAAAATAAAATGTGTCAGGAAATGCCAGCTGATGCTTGCAGGACTTTAAGTAGTTGGTTGTCATGGTTTGAGGATCGAGAGAGTTCTGTTTAAAGCATTCTGCAGGTCAGAGTCAAAGCTGCAAGCAGCCTCAGACATCACTGGTACCTGTTGTACACACAGCTGACCTTCATTTGTCAGATAAGGCACGATTGACTTGATGCAGGGTTATGATGAGAGAGGTCATATTACATTAACATCATCCTGAAAGACATGGTGCCAATAAAAACTATCATTTAAATACACAGTAAAAAACTCAACAATTAACGGCCTACAAAGGAAAAGTTAGTCCAAAGTAAAAAGGTCATACTCGAATGAAAAAACCCCAAATGTTCATTTCAAGAAACAGAAAAGGAAACATTTGATCCCACTCGAACGCAGTAGCATCAGACATTTGCATTTTTATCAGGTCCTTATCACCACCCTGCAGACAGGGTGTGCATGTGTGTGTGGGTGTGTGTGTTTGTATTTGAGTGTGTGGGAAGATGGAAAGAGATGTGACATCAGTACCCAGAGGTCACCCCTTGGCAAAACCCGAATTGACTTCAATGAGCCACTGGGTGAAGAGTTGGGCACAGCCTTTTAGGACTCCTGCGGCACCACCTCCATCACTTTCTGACACATGGCTGTTGTTGAGACTGTGAGACACACAAAGAAGTAACAATGACTGATGACGTGTGGCAGATTCATCTCAGGAGCAGGTGAAGGCGTTAGGGTATTATACTCACAGATCCCATTAAGCAGCCACTTGGGCTTGTCCTTCCACCACACACCAAAAAAGTAGACAGGGACTCCAGTGGCAATGATACCAAAACCAATGGCACACTCTTTGGGAGTTTTCCAAATGGAGACAATGATGAGGAAGAGGCAGGCCAGCACAAAGCTCAAAGGCAGTAGGATATTAACCTGCAGGAGGAGAACATCAAGACCATCAGCTACAATCAGGTGCTGAAGTTTGGGGGAAATAATACAAATCAAGCCAACCACACCCAGGGATGGCATGGGGGGGGTTAAGTTACTCACACAGCTCTTTGTGGAGTCTCTGCTGAACTTTTTCTTATAGAAAAAGTCGTCAGAAATCTCCCATATGATTAAAAACTATCCTCAGGTTACTGGTAGGGCTGTAAAGTCCTAGTCCACCAGTCAACTTATTGGTCGATACGTGCCGAGTCGACCAAAATTCTGACTGGTCGATTCCATTTTTTTCAGCGTCAATTTACAGTCTATGGTTAATTTCATCAGGAGGAATGTACCAAGTGCTAATGGGAGTGTTTTCAGAGCACCCCGTTTCACAGGTAACAGCCTGTCTCAGAGCACACTCCTTGTTTTTCACTATTCTGGATACGCCCAACCCACTGGAGACCGGCTGGAGACAGGGAGATTGGAGAGCGTTGACGTTAATCAACGTCCTGTGGTTTGCTGAATATTTGTTTTTATTGTGCAATGCTTATTTCTTTTGTTTTATTGTTTTATTTCATAGTGCAGATATCAGTATATTTTCACACCACCGAGCCACACTCCACCAAGCCACGTCATCCCCCACTCCAGGTTTGCCGTCAGAGTTGGAACCCCCCCAACCCGATTGTCGATTTTTGGGCGAAACTTTCAGGGTTTTAGTCGAATTTCTTTGATTGATTACAGTTCTAGTTACTGGGAATATTTGCTCTTGTACTGTTGGCCTTTGGCACCTCAATCTGTTACACCTTCTGTCTGCTCAGCTGCTGTCTGTATGTAAATTGTACAGTGGTTTATAATGTCAAAAAGACAGTCTAAACCCTTAAACTGTTCAAACAGCCAAAAGCATCCCTGAGATGGGAAGTATGTACATAAATGCTACCAGTACTCCCCATGCAAATAATCAACCTGTTTTGTTTTTTTTTATGTAAATGAGCCTTTCAAAATCCATGGGCCATTAAAAAGTACTACCCTCTGAGCAGGGGCTTTTCAAGGGGTAAATCTACTATCCCAGTACTAAATTTAGACCCTAGTTCCTGCTGTTGAAAAGCACCTTTGGTTCATTAGTCCCTAAGGTTTTCTCTCTCTCTTTTGTACGGTATTGTCGGACCTGACAAATGCCTTTGTGACTGACTGGGAGCAAATCCCCAAAGCCATAAAGAATCTGGTGGACAATGCACTCTGAAGGGTAATAAGTGTTTTAGGAGTCCAATAATGCCCAACAATCATTTATGATCAGTATGTGAAGACGACCACCTACTTTTGGCCAAGTAGAATGAATGCCACACAAAGGTTTCATTGACATACAGTATCTGTCCACCAAAGACATGGTTTACTGTGCAATTCTCCTGCCACTCTGCTCTGAATCTGTTGAACAGCAGGAATGTGACAGACAAAGAAAGGAGAAAGACAGAGTGGGAAAGTGAAAGAGAGAGAGCGAGGGCAGCAGTGAGACAGTGCTACCACTGTCCCCCACCACTCACGCACACAAACACACAAACTCAGACAGACACTCTCTCTCTCACGCACACACAGACACATACACACACACACGCACAAACCGGCAGGTTCTGTTTAAGGGCTGTTAGGCAGATAGGAGTCAGGGCATCTGTCAGAATGTACACATGAAAGCTTACAGACTCACATGCAAGCTAAGTGCAACAATAGCGCCATGGTTTACTCTGTGTCCATAATTTCTGCAGCTGACGCCGGTCTCATTGGGAAGCACATTGTCTGTCTTTTTGTACACACACAGACCACTCAGCAGGTCTCAGCGCCAGCTGACAAGTATCCTGAATTCCCCTTTTAATAGAACTAAGCTTTGCAGTTTGAGTCTTTGTCACACAAAATAAGGTGTTTTTTTTCTTACTACTAAAGCTTTCTTGAGTGGGAGTGGATGGCGATACCCACCAGTGACCTAATGTTTGTGTGTGTTTGACCATGTCTTCTAAGTGCCATATCAAAAGAGCCACAACAGTAGCTCTACCCTCTTTCATGCTTTGCTTAGTTGATTGCATTGAGCAGGCTTACTTTGATTGGTCGCTCCAGCTCTGGCTTCTTATAACGAAGCCACATCATCCCAACAATTGCCATGGCAATGCAGAGCCAGTTGAAGAAGCTGAAGAAGTTTATGACCGAGAAGATGTCATTGGAGAAAGCATACAGGAGTGTCATGAGGCACTAGAGGGAGTGAGAGAGAGGACATTAGACATGCAACACAAGACAAGAAATGATGAAGTCAACACACTTGAAAAATTAAGATTTATACTGCCGTTAAATTTCAACCATGCAACCTGATGCTAGAGCTGTTACAGACACTGACAGTAGTGGCACAAAGAGGCCATTCATCCTATTACTAAGAGTTTGATTAATTTTGGTTTATACTCTATTCCAGGGGTGCCCATTACGGCAATCACAATCGACTGGTCAATCGCAAAGGTAGCGTGAGTAGATCGTATGGCATTAAAAAAAAAAAAAAGTAGACGTCAGCATATCATCTGTCCCCACAATGAAATTTGTCACTTGATTGACACACAGGGCAGCATCCTATCTGACCTTCTCTGACACATGCGGCACTGCGCATGCACAAACAATGGCACTAAGTGCTGCAAAACTCTAGCGAGTAAGAAAGTGAATAAAATTGAGTGGGGGAGCTGGACCAAGTACAAAGCCAAAAACCTACCACTTCCATATGGAGTGGGAGGAGGAATTTTTTTCCCACTATGTCATTTTCAAAGTGTGTTTGCCTCATCTGTCAGTCTACCATCGCTATACCGAAGGGGGGAAATGTGGAGAGGCATTTTCAGACTGTTCATAAAAACTACGGCACTGCATTCCCTCCGAAAAGCATTTTTATAGTGGGTAGATCATTCTCACTTGGTCATTTCAATAGATCTGTCTTTTGAGGACTACTTACAGTGAATATAAGTGAAGGTAGCGGTGTCAGCAGGGTGGGGTGGATCATTGACAGCAGGCTGGGCAGGTGACCTTCTCGAGAACCTACAAAAAATAACCTGAGAGGGAAAGGCAAACTGTAAATGCTAACTAGTAAAGAATAAAGGGTTCTTAAGAATAAACTTTGTAACTCTCCTGATGAAGAGTTGTTATGCTGAGATTTTACAGATAAACAAATATGGTTGGAAAGTCTAAACACACTTTCATTTGTCTAAATGTTCATGTTCGCCGTCTGAGGGTCTGCATGCACTTGTTTTTACCGAGAAGATGTAAACAGAGAACCATTAACTGATCCGAAGCAGGACAGTCCTACAAACACTGGGATAATCCACGCCATTGGACCAAGGTGGTGGTTACCAAAATCCTGCAGAACAGTGAGACATAAAGCACAGACATGAGAAGTCAAAATCAAATTTACAGTATCAGGGTCTAGTTGATTTAAAAAGAGGTGGTGAGCTGATCAAGTGAACATGAAGTGTCATAAGAATGCACATAGTATCTCCCTTAAAACTGGTGTAAATGTACAAAAGGGAAGGACCTCAGGCTCATGCCCCATTTGGAGCCACACTGCTTTGCTATGCTTCTGCTTCAAATGTGTGAGTGGTAATAAATAATCATTTCTTAACTGGTCATAGCAAGAGCACCTGTTCATGGGTGGTCTGACAGCTTGATCATCAAGCATGCTACCACAGTTTCACTTTTGTGCTTTTTAAGACCATGGCAGATTATTACACTGTGAGTTCATAAGTAGTGAGTTAGAGTGCAGTATATTGTTACCAAAGCAGACAGGAGATCCGGGTTTCTCCACAGAAGTTGCTCTAGGCAATTGGTTTAACACTATAAACCTTCCATTCAAATGACCTTTGTTAGTTCTTAAGTTACACTGACATTTAAGGGTTTGGTTGAGTTAAGAAAATAAAGAGGGTTGGAAATTAAACAGACAAATATTCAAGAAGTCCATTGAGTTCACTCACCACAGCCACAGCTTCAGATCCAAGCATTTGCTCAGGTGAGAGAGTGGTGAAGTAGGCCAGGTTGGTCAGGACGTAAACTATGGTTACGATGGGCAACGAGATGATGATGGCTCGAGGAAGGTTTCTGAGGAAGAGGCAACAATCGTCATTGGTTACCACCATAGACTACCACAACAATTCAGTGTTTTTTTGTACAAGCATACGGGTCACTCATTAATACTCACTTGAAAGGATCAATCATCTCTTCAGTAACAAAATTCAAGTAGTTCCTGCATGCAGGGAGGGCAGTGATTAGAGAAAATGGGGATATGGAAAAAATGTGTACTAAACAGTCAATATGGTTGTTAATTAATGTGAGTTTTTGATGATGATTGACAGCATAATATTAACTCAGTAAAAGGTCAGTCAGTCATCAAGGTCGTAGACATTAGTTTCTTATGTTTAAGTCCATCTTTGTCAACATGAGTGGTTATTGACTCAGCAGGACTGATCCCAAATGTTGAGTCAATGTGTCAACTCACCAGCCCCCATAGGCAAAGAGGCCGCTGTAAAGCGCCAAGCCAATGCTCCCAAACTCATATTTGGAACCCTCGAACGAATTCTCTGGAAGGAGGCCATCTGTGCTACCTGGAGAACAACAGTAAAAACAGAAACAACAGTATAAACATATGTCTGTGCCCGCATTACTGCACTGCATTTTAGTTTGTATGTGATACAAACCAGCAACAAAAGAAACAATGACCTTCATGAGCCTGACACTCACAGAGAGAGAGAGAGAGAGAGAGAGAGAGAGGGAGAGAGAGAGAGAGAGAGAGACGGACAAACATTCAAATATTCATTTAAAATCAGTTTTCAGTGCATAGAGGATTGAGCCTGCAGAATGCAGTGGAGTTCAGACAGGCTGAGACAGTCAATAAATGACCCAGACAGTGGCTTGTCTCTGTAGATTAACCTGAGGCATGGTTGGATCAGGCCTCTGATGAAAAAATGGGGGCTGCAAGATGGGAGAGACATGCAAGGAACCATCGGTGGTGTATTGCATTTTTCCCAGAGAGGGCCACAAAAGTTCATTAATGGAGCTAATTTCTATTTCACTTCGTTTGATCAGCCCTTGTTACAATTTGACAAGCTGGTTGCAGCCCTTCACCTCTGATCCCCAGACAGCTGCTTGTTTGAGGGGGCTCTGTGCCACATTCCTGGTGAAGCTGCTCTCCACAACATGCACATACATTCTCAGACACAGTGACGGTTGCTAAACCAACAGCCTGGAGCAGTGTTGGGACTAGGAGGGTTAGACCTAATCCTCTCTCTAATGTGGGGGCCCAATAACTGCACTGTCTATGTGAATAAAGGGCCTGCAAGCTGTTTTTCAACCACAACATCCCAAGACCCCATTATCAGAACCACAGTGGTTTTGGGGGGTCCTTGGTGCCTTGCATGTACAACCTGATTTCCCAAAAAGTTGAGACGCTGTGTAAAATCCAAACAAAAAATAAACTCTCATTTAAACATTGAAAGCCTATAGTCTCTTTATTCTAATTATATTGAATATGAGAAATGACATTATTGCTGGTCATGTGAATCCCAATTGTGAAAATGATGCCAGTGACATAAAAAAAAAAAGATTCAACATTTAGAAACAAATGTATAACTGCTGGATTGTTGTTCTTTCTTTATTCTTACATGTCAGACCTCTGTTTCTCATTTTTTTTCTGATTGTTATAAAAAAAAAAAAGTTTATACTCAAAAAGGCCCAAAATAGCAGCCAGAGTGTGCAGCTGAATCAGGTGGTGGAATTGCTGCAAGGACAGACGCGAGTTAGAAAGAAAAAAAGCAACACGCTCAGTTCCTGTCTCAATCTAGATAAGCTAAAATACCAACGAAAACAGATATTAGAGGATACAAAGCCGTTTTCTATGATTAAATTAGAGCTGTGAGCTTAAATGAAGTTTGAGAGAAAATCCCACTTTCAACAGTACTGACTAAAGAACTTCAAACAAACCAAACAAACAAAGAAGCATTACAGCGGTTACAACCCCAAACAGTTATTATAGGTTTGGCTTTTGTTTGTGTGGATTAAGTTACAGGAAAAATGAAAGGAAAAGGCCATTTTGTCCTCCTCTACAGAGTTAACTGAATTATTTGTAGCCTGCGCCTGCTATTTGGTCTAGATTAACAGCTCTAATTTGATTATCTGGGGCAATAACGGATCAACAGAAAATCTTTTTCAACAAATTAGGCTTGTATGCATTTGTAAAACTAATAACTCTGGTTAGAGACATTCTGGGAGCTACAATACAACAGTTTGGATCCTCACACAGATTTGAGAGTTGGCATTTGAACAACTCATTTAAAGAGTGGAAAAGCTTTCTACAAATTACGACAGAGGGCGAGTCTTCCTGTGAAAGTGTTTCTTCACTTCTTTTTTCTTTTTTGGGCTGGAGTAAAGGTGAGGGGGTATTTTTGTTCATACCAGCTACACAGCTGAAAAGGGAGAAAAAAATGGAATAGTAGAGAGGGCAGAGAGCAACCACTGCAACAAAGATAAAAGCTTATGCACATGTCGAATATGCCAGAATCACTCGGCCAGTGGGGTCCTGTGTTTGTTGTTCACTTCTGATATAATGATACAAAGGAAAAAAATCACAAACACCTCAACATCACAGGTGGATAATTTCACACCCTTAACTAATATTAAACTATTAATATGACAGTATTAGTATTATTGACTGTTGGTATTAAAACCTAATGACTGCTGATGATTACATTGTTAGGGAGGTAATCTGCAGCACAATATTGATATTGTCAACAGTGTTAGATCCTGCCATGACATGGATTTGTGTTCCACTTAACATCAGTGTAAACACACGTGTCTGTCTATAATACTGCAAGTCTCCACTGTGTGATTGAACATTAGCACAAACTGTTGCTCTACTAAATCTCAGTCCATTCAATAACAAACTAACAAACTCCTCAGAATAAACGTCCACATGTATTGTGTAGCAGGAATATCTTTAAGGGCATTTAATCTTTTCCCTCAAAAGTGTTTTTACTTTTATCATAATTATTATCTTTATATTAATACACCATCTAACAAGTAAAGAGTTTGATGTCAAGGTTGTCATGAATTCTGACATCTGTCATTATTTGTTGAATGGCATTTCACTCTTCAAATGAGTTGTGAAATGTTCACAGTGTTCATGGGACAGTGCAAAGCATTGGCACAGACATTATGAAAGTACGGCGTGCAATCGTGTTTGCTTATCACACCTTTGCCAATTTGGACGAAGCCGATGATGATGATGAGTCCAAGTGCCAGGAGCTTGGCTGCTGCAAAGAAGTCCTGTACTCTGGTAGCCGCCTTCACACTGTAGCAGTTAACAAAGGTCAACAAGACTGCAAGGAAGAATGAGAGAAAAAAAAGCACATGGGTTAGTTAGCATGGTCACTGAGCAGCCCTGATGTGCCTCACCTTGTTTCTTTGATCAACCCATTGACTGTACAAATGGATGGATGACACACCTAAAGTGAGACAAAATGCTGCCATCTTGAGGTCACGATGTATTGTGGAGCTCCAGCTGTGAGATCAACATCAAACCTATCCACTAACCAAAACACACTGACTTGCCATTTGGGCTGGGCAATATGGGAAAAAGTTTATCACGATATATGTTTTTTCATATCAGTCGATATCGATATATATATCACAATATAAAAAAAATCACCTGTCAATCTTAAATGTTCCCTGGTACTCTTAAATGAAATTTAAAAGTGCTTATTAGTAGCTTGTCTTTTGCAATACAATAAGCTACAGCATCTGTGAGATCTTTGTGTCATCCATTTATTCATTTCATTCATGTTCATTAGGTATTCCTATAGTCTACCAAAACGTGGCAGAATGCCGACTATTGAAAAGCATATTGACCATGTTTCAAATCGATATCGAGGGACATTAATTTTCAATATATATCCTTATCGTTTTAGCGCCCAGCCCTACTTGCCATTACCACAGAAAACAGTCCTTGAGTCAGTAAATGACCTGTCGGCAGAACGGCATTTTGATCTGTGTATACTCTAATAATTCAGTTTACTTAAAATAAGTGTGTTTTTATATACTCTTTCTCTCTCTCTTCCTGCTCAACTCTGCTTATTGGTTAAAGGAGGGGGCAGATTTGTCAACAACATAATATTATAATCCCTTTATTTGAGTATCAGTCCCTTTATTTCAACCCAGCTGGCTAATAAGGTCTTGGCTGCCTTGCCTAATAGCAAGTTCTGTACACTCTGTTAACAAGGTAACAGACACACCCTGCTCCTCACTGGCCTCTTTTCTTGATCAACTCTGTCCTCTCAGAGGAAAGCCTGGCCGCTAACACCCTCCTAGTCCACGGCTCACTAAGGTAATGAGAGAGAGCCAAGAGCAGGGTTCAGTGTGTCAAAAAGAAGGTGGGGAACATCTGGGCAGTGATATGACTCGGTTGGCGATGTGTTTCCATCCTCTCTCAAATCTGCCATGATGGTAGTCTATCAAGGCAAAACCTGTGTGTTGAACTCTCTCCTCCCACCACCTGCTCCCAATCCCTCCACCTCACTACCTCGAATTTCACTGATGAGGTTTCCACCATCAGCAACCAGTTCTTAACCAGCTCTGCTTGCAGCTTCCAAAAAGAGGTCCCTTGCTGACTGAGGAGGAAGTCACTAGGCTTCTGCTTGACTCAAGGCCCATGACCTGTGTTCACTGGACCCAACCCGAGTGAACCTTTTGCTTACCTCTCAGCTCAATCCTGCAATAACCCAGATTATAAACTCCTCATTGTTATGTGGGGTTGTCCCCACAGCATTAAAAGCAGACTCCCCCTGCACGTGGCTTGAAAAATCCAGTCTCAATCCAGCTCAGGTGGATAATTACAGGCCCGTTTTACTTCTGCCTTTCCTTGCATTTGATCAGGTTTCCCACTTCTTGCACAACAACAACCTGCTTGATCCAAATTAGTCTGGCCGCTGAAACAGCTCATCTGCCTGTAATAGAATCACTGTGTTTGGCTCGAGCTGCTGGTCAGTCCTCAGTTTCATTACTGCTGAATATGTCTGCTACATTTGACACAGTGAACCACCAAATCCGCCTCTCCACACTCATTGAACTTGGTCTCTCTGGGTCTGCCCTCCAGTGGTTCAAGTCCTACCTCAAAGGGAGATCTTTTGGAGTCCCATAGAGAGGAGAAGTACCCAAATCATATTACCTATCTGTGGGGTCAGTGCTTGGCCCCCGTCTTTTCTCAATGTAGACAAAAGATGTAGATATTACTTGGTGCAACCATCTGATCTCATGGATTCTCACATGACTACGGTGCAGATGAGACCCAGCAGCTCCCTCCTGATAACACTGCTGCCTCAGCCTGAATTTTACCATGTTTCAGCAGCATTTCTAAACAGATGTAGGAAGACCTACTACAGCCCAACCTGTTCAAACTGAGCTTCTGTGTTCACTAAATCTGCTCTGCCTGTCATGATTGACGACCAGCTAACCTTTCAGGTTCATGCCGCCTCATGTGCTCAGTCCTGCTGATTCGCCCTCTCTGACATCGAGAGGATTAAACCCTACCTCACAGAGCTCACGGTAAAGCTCCTGGTACAGGCTCTAGTAATATCACACACTGACTACAGCAACTCTTGGTTTTTAACTAACCCAGAGGAGCACATGTCAGTCCGCTGTTCATCTCTCTGCACTGGCGTCTAGTAGCAGCCCTATCAAACATAAAGCCCTACTTTTTCCCTACAATACTGCAACTAAATCAGCTCCTGCCTACCGCCAGTCCCTCATGCAGGTCGACACTCCCTCCTGCCAATATAAGGGTGCCTGGTGCTCCCATCACATCAATAAATTACCAAACTCTGACAGATCTACAGATTTGCAAAGTCCCTCCCTACCTTTTCCATATAATGATAATAACTTTTTTTTGCTCTTATAGCAGTTTTTGGCACTTACTCATGTTGTTTCCTTCTGTCTAGATCTTGCTCTCAAATATATGTTGAATTGGACAAACACATATGCTAAATGATGTTGTAAAATCGTAACACTGTAATATTCACCTTTTCTTCTCAAACATGTACAACAATGGTAACCATCCCCTGCTAAATACACATGTACAAATTCCTGGGTTGTTGGAACAGCCCCTCACCCTGGTTGCCATTAGGAGTGATTAAGTAAGGCAGCAGGTTCTTTTCAAAGCTCCTAAATCAGGTCACGGCCACAACAGAGAGAGGAGACAGAGCACAATGAGACTCTGTGTTTAAGAGACCAAGACAAAGAGAGGGGGCCAAAAGTACAGTGGGAGGCTGGTCCTACATTAATTTACACCTAGACACACAGAGTAATTTGTATTGAAATGTACCCTGATTTGTGAAGACGTGGGTCATTAATGCTTTGGCATACGTGTCCACATCTACACATTTACATAATCTTGACTGTTCATGGTCCAACATAGTATGATCAAATGCTACAATAATTCAAAGAACAAACAGATACCTTTGAATGGCTAGACGTGCGTGTATGTGTGTGTATGTGTGCATGCGTGTGCGTACATTTGGCTCATGGCCCCAAAGTTAGCCCGGACTAACCCTCCACCTAGACTATAGACATGCACTCACACACTGAAGCAAGCAACCCTCATGAAACAAACAGGCAAGCCTCTTGGTGCACGGCTTTGTCATGTGGTCTCAGTGGGGATTTAGCCTTCAATCCATCTGGAGATTAGATACCAGGGTTACTTGCTTCCCTTGTGGTCAAATAAAACATCTTGAACCAGACTGGTGCGAAAATGTTCAAGTGGCAAATAATCCAGAGATAATCTCTGTAAGATTCCATCACTCCAAAACATCACACACTATGTTTGGGAACATGCTTACATATTTGATCATTTTAGGGCTGAATGTAATTGTCAGCAATGTAGCACTCCTCTGCATGGTACCAGGTTACATGAACTTCACACAACACAAATAGTTATGAAAAATGGTAGTTTACAGTACGTGTAAATGGTTCACAAATGAATGTAAACATAGGTGCACATGTATAAATGTAACCAAACATTATAAATTTTAATTATTTTCTGAATATTATTAATTTCACTGGCAGCTATAAACTTCTGCACCAAGCAGGGTTAATTTTCACATTCAAAGTCAAACATAAATGTAGATAAATAATAAATTATCATTTTAATTATCATAATTGTTATTATTATAATTGGGCAAACTGTAAAGGAAATTTTAAAGTGAATGTAGATGAATAATATTTGTTAATGGGGTAATTAGCCAGTGATGAGGGAGTGCATCTTTCACCATCATTAGAGCTGATGTAATATTGCTGGATTTTACGCCACTGTGAGGCTGGGCGCCTTTTACCATCAGACATCACACGTGCTCAGCAAGTATCACCAAGAGGCTTCTCATGTCAACTTTTCTGTCTGTCACACAAGCGTTTTATCACTTCAGAAGAACACAAAAGCACACGACACCAACTTCAACCAATCTAGATCAGGCGCTTTTCAATGACTGAAAACGCATCATCCCTTTAGGCACTGGTCAGCTTCGCTTGGCCCGGATACTCACGGATGCAGAGGCAGGCCACGACCTTGGCCCCGTTCTCTGGCACCGGGCATACGGGGAACAGGGGCTTCAGGAGGTAGGTGGCAAAAACGTAGGCGACGATGTACTGCGAGGACGGTCGGATGATGAGTAACTCGATCCAGAGTTTGAGAAAAGCTACCAATGAGCCGTACACCTCCAGGATGTAGGCATAGTCCCCACCGGACTTGGTGATAGTTGTCCCTAGCTCGGCGTAACAGAGAGCCCCCACGGTGGAGAACACTCCGCACACCGCCCATACAACGAGAGAAAGACCCACCGAGCCTGCCTCCTTCACCACGCCAGTCGGTGTAACAAAGATGCCGGAACCTATAATCGTGCCCACGATGATTGCCACGCCGTTGAATAGAGTAATGTTTCTTTTTAGGACCACAACGCCACCCCCCTCTCCTCCAGTGGCGTTCCCCGGGCTCTTGTCGCCGCTTCCTGGTCCTCCACCTTGGTCTGAGTCCCCCTTTTCCCCGCCGCCTGACGGGGAGAGCATCCTTTCTGTAGCCTGCTTGTCCTCCTCTCTGTCAACAGAAGAATTTGAGTTCCTCTTTTTTAAGCCTGACATCGTTGTGAACTTTCCTTTATCTTCAGCCTCACTCGGGAGACACAAGGTTAGTTAGCCTCTTTGACCACAGTCACCCTGTCTGTGGTCTGCTCGTCCTCTCTGCTGGTCAGGGAAGTTTGTGGTCTGATACCGGCCGGAATCAGCCACGAGGGGTCCGCGTTGTCACAGCGGCGTGGTTTATCGTGCTCTACTGTGTGGATGTACAAAGAAACTGGAAATAAGCACGACGGCCCTCCTCCGTCAAGGCCAGCCCCTGCTCGTAGTCTCACACACGCCAGTATCAGTTGTGTCTTTTTTCGCCATCTAGCGACGGATGACGGTACTCCACACTTTAATCTGACCTGTGTTTCATGGCTCAGCATAAACAAGGCAGTGATACCAAAAAGATGGTGGAGAAGCGAGTCACTCATATATATTTAATTTATTTATAGGCGCATTTTTATCCATTATTTACAGAATGTAAAAAAAAACCCAAAACATTGGTTTTGAAAAATTACCTTTCATTTTGACATTTTAGGCTGTACAGCAGCTCATTAAACAGTCCTATCAGTGCTTCAGTCTTAGCATAAAAACGTATTGTATTCTGCCTCTTGCCTTTTTTTGATTTACCATAAAATACTTGTGTAGATTACTTGGTTGTTGTGTCCTTCTATGTTGTAATGCTGAGTATAACTTAAATACGAGTAAATCAGCAGCAATTGTATATGGCCGACCAAAAACGCACAGCATTCAGTCGCAAAATAAAATACCTTGTGGTGTAATATGATTATTGAACACTGGAAAATGATACCAAAGAGGGATTTAACAGCTGATCATTGATACCATTATCCACACCAGGAGGAACTGAAACTATTTCAACAACTTCACTACATGGAAAAAATTATAACACACTTTTATTTGATACAGTTAAAATGATTGTATTAGATTCACAACACTTAAAAAAGAATAAACTATCTGGAGGACTAGCATTACCAAACTGGCCAAATTACCACATACAGTAGCTGCCCCCCAAAAAAGCCATCCTAGTCTGGATGAATAATGATCTTAAAACAAAATAGATAAAAATGAAAAAATCACAAATGGAAAATCACTGACTGGATACTTATTCACTGAAGTAATTGATGAAACTGCAGAAAAAATAGAAAATATTTGTATGAGCAAAACACTTTTTATGTTTGTGTAAATCTTTTATAATTCTCAGAAACAATTACCACATTTTAAAAAATACTTGATTGACGTCACCTGGACACAGATTAAGTGCACAAGAATGCAAAGGCCCGAGGTCATTGGAATGGATGAGCACTTTGCAACTTCTCCCATAACACTGACAGCACAACATTATGTTGGTTTTCTTAATGGCATTAGGAATAGAAATTTTACACGTTTGACTTTCTCCAACTTCAATAATGTTACACTTTCTAGCTCTTTATTTACCATCTGTTTTGTAATATGTGTTATGCCGTTCATTCCCCCTTCCATTCTTAGAGGCTTCCCTTGGGAATCCTGTGTTTTACATCACAGAGCAATAAACTATCAGTGATTCCCTCACACTGAGTCTGTAGTCTTTCTCACTAACAGAAAGAGTGCATAAAAGGTTAAAAAGTCTGAGATCCTTTGTGCACTTAACCGTGAATGTGTGAGTTTGCATGTTGACACTTTGTGGGACTTGTGTTGGGCTGATTTTGTAGCCTACAGGTAGTTTTTTTTTTCCATTTAATTGTAGATATATTTTTAATTTAGACCTTTTAGTAGTGACTCAAAAGATCTTGTTGGTTTTCAAAGTTGTAGCCTGTACACACAAGAATATAATGTCTGCATGATACTTCAGTGTGAGTGGCAAGGTCTTCATGACCAGACAGAATGGGTGGAGGACCATAATTAATACATGCGCGCAGTAAACTTCCTGCCACCCCAGTGAAAGTTGGTTCTCACAACTCAAGGTATGGAGCCTGTCCAGTTTTTCACCCAAGACTCTGAACCAGCTGGTCTGATTTTATGGTGTTGAATCTCGTGGAGAGACTCTAAAAATAACCTTAGGGCAGTTAATGCTTGTCATGGAGATCCCAAACATCTTGTGTCATTAGTGGAGGCATTTCTCTGCCTATATTAGGTAGGCAAGAGTTAACAAGTTTATGAGATGACTGTGAAATACTGAGTCCCAATTACAGAAAACTCATGTCAAAACCTAAGATTTGTTTGCCATCAGGTGATTTTGTCACCCAAGTCACTGAAATTTCTTCTCAAAACAAATGCTGGTTGTGCTTTTGTCAAAGAAAAACAAGGCACCCATAACATTATTCAGTTGCGTGCACATGTAGTCTTATTGTTTGTATTTCCATTCTCACTCTGTCTTTAGAGGCCCCTAAAACCAGCCCATCAAAGAGTCAGATATATCTCTGTAATCTTAAAAAAAAAATGTAAATTCAAAACACATATTCAAGCTGTAAGCAGCATTGGGTTGGCCCTTGCACCTGTACACACATCCGGTGTAATGCATGTTGAGGTTTGGCAAATGCCATAATGTGTAGCAGCCACAGAGCTTATTGCTGATTTTTTTAGAAAAAGGAAAAATCTAAATGGTCTTGAAGTTGTACTGAAGCCAGCATGAACAGTGAGCACACTTTCCCTGCACTCCTGAGGTCTTAACATAGGACACATAAAATCAGCCTTCATGGAAGTCGTAAGTGACAAACCAGCCCCCATACTGGGTATCACTTACTGACTGGATGCTGCAGTGATTTAAAATTAATTACTAAGTAGTAGTACTAGAGTTCAGTTCAACAGTAAGAAGTAAACACTTTGCACATGATTAACTGGGATAAAGAAAATGTTTGATAAAAAAATTGACAACAAAATATTGCGCACAACTTTGATACCTTCAGTACCAACAAAGTATCACTCTCCAGTTCTATATCATTTTCTTTATGATTCATCATCTAATTGATCATGTAGTCATATAATATCAAAGTAGTAGAAATATATATTTTTGTATTGCCCTTTCTGCATATTTACATTTGCACAGAGCTAGACAGCCATTTAACATCTAAAAGTTTTCCAAGAAACATGCAAGGCATGACTTTTCATGAAGTTTCGGTTTCATCATAGATATCCTAATATCAAGTGTTTGTAATCGTAAACATATGTGATATATGGTTTCCCCAGCGAGAGCGTATCAGTAACAAGTGCCAAGTAACAACATAAATCCTCTCGCCTACTGTGTTACACAGCAGCCTGTGACCAAGAACTTTCCTGACTAAGGCCAACTTTTCAACTTTTTTACTTTAAACTTTTAATACAACATATAATTTTATTTATCAATAATTTAGTTTCCTTATTAATTCATTAATTCATTTATTTATAATTTAAAGTAAGTACAATTTTATTTTCATGATGCTTATTTACAGTTTAATTTTTAGCACTGATGATGTGGGATCCAGGTTGTCACTGTTAAAAAGTGTGCCGTCCACATAAAGTGAAAATCTATGTCGTGTCTAGGGATCACATGTCCACAGGGTTACATCTAAATTGAAAACAGGGGTGGTCCCAGAACTGACCAATGGGGTACCTGACAAGACAAATTAGCACTGGATGAATGTGAGTTTCCAATGGCAATGCTGTAAGACCTCCCAGTTAAATAAGAATAAAACCATTTAAAGCTGAACCAGAGACACCAACCCAGAGTTTAGGAAATGGTCAACAGTATCAAACACAGCACTTACATCTAGAAGAACTAAATCAAAGATTCCCCACCATCCCAAGCCTTTTGCAAATCCTTCATTCCTTTAAGCAGAGCAGTTTCTGTGCTGTGATTAGCTCTAAAACCAAACTGTAAAGAGTCAGAGTTCATTACACCTTGAACGAGTGATAAGCTAATTAGCCACCACTGTTTCCAAAACCTTTGAGAGGAATGACAATTTGGAAATGGGTCTAAAATTTTCTAATATATTTGGGTCAAGAGATGCTTCTTTGAGAAGTTGTTGAATGATTGTAGTTTGGAAGCCACTTGATAAAGATTAATTATTGTGAGAATACATGGATTGAACAACCATATATTTCTAACAGGAAACTTGGTGAAAGGATTTCAAGTAAACATGGACTTGATTTTACCGCTAGAAGTTAGGGGAGGGGTCACCGCAAGACTGAGGCTAATATTCTGGGCAACCTTACATAAGTATAGTGAGGGTTCAAACAGCGCAGACACACCACACAGAAACTCCAATGGCTTTGCCACTTAAATAACTCCCTCCCCCAGCTGTAACAAACACATCAAAACATTAATAACAAACCACAATGGCTTACAAAAAGTGCGGTTGGATCCTCGTGGTGAAATGCATAACAAAAACAGCCACAGGGGAAAAGAATATTTTAGCACTATGGGTGGACTATGGAAACTCCCCTGTGAGGCAAACACACAAACTGTATCAATACCACGAAACCTCACAAGCTCAACCCACTCACATACACATGCACATACATACGTACAAACAAGCCACAGACAGCTGATTTCCTCTGCTGAAACTAGGCCCAGACTAGGTGGACACGGTCATCAAATCCAGCTTAAAAATGCTGTCTGGAGTTGTTTCTGCTCATCTACACAAAGCCTAAAGAATGTCCGACCATGTTTCCTGGGGTTAAGCAACAGTTGAAGGGACACAAACATATCTTAATGCTTTGCTTGAATATTAAATGTAACTTATCCAATTAGGACTCACTGAACAGCTCCTGTAGTACACCAAGAGTCTAAAAAACTGAAGGGGAGCCCTGTTTGTTCACTGTGGGCTGACTTCATGAGAACTGTCTGTGAACCTTAGGACTAACACATTGTCTGCAGACTTTTTCTATCAAAAGAATAAGAATAGGAAGAACGTTTACAATTTTTTTACCTTTCTGCAGATAAAAGAAAAGCAGCCTTATCATAATGAGCGAATCAGATACAGGATATTTGTTCAGTGTGAGCTCCAGAGGCTGACTATCCTTACAAGTCCCAGTGATAACATCCTATTTAACAATCATATCCAAATTAAGTCTTTACATGAAACAGGAAACAGATACACATTATGCTTGATGGTTTCCTGGACACCCATCCTGAAAAACTGAAGGGATTTTTTTTCCCACTAAGAGCACAGAGAGCTGCTTTGACAGGAAAATATTTACGGACAAAGACCTGGCACTGTGAAGTGGGTGTGAGAAAGGTCATTTTATCACAGCAGTTGGAGTAATGTCCATTTTGTAACCAGCTTCTGTACCAGCTAGACCGACCACTCATATAATCCAACATTCCTCTTCTCCTATTCCTGCCACCTGTCGTTTGAAACTATAAAAGGATGCCAATGCCCCAAAGATGTATAACACTTTCCAATTGATTGTTTAAGCACCTCCAGCAAGTGTAGATCCTTCTGTTTTGATTAAGAGTTTAGAGATTATATACCTTTTTGTCAGAAGTACCAATGTAATGAAGAAGAGTGCAGCCTAACATGGTAACATTAGTTTTTCAGCTGAATTCATACAAACCAGTTTAAACAGGGAAAGTTAAATAAAGGACCACACGAATGAAAGTCCATTGTCTAAAACATCTCGAGCATCAAACAAATACATCAGAGGCCAAAGCACACAGAAAAAAAAAGTCAAACAGCAGGAAGATGAAGGACAAGAGTCGCTGGGGTTTGACTTCAGAGAGAGGAGAGGGCCTCTCATTGTATGCTTCTGTTTATCTGGAGAGCACACCAAGTTCGGGGGTTGTTGATCTTAAATTATTCCCCTAAAATAAAGAACAGACAAACAGGAGGGAAACTAACTCTCCAATAACAACTGGGTTTCTGAAGTTCTTTTTACGCCTGTGCTTGAAGGCTAGAAGACAAAGGTGACCACTACACAGACACGAGAGTACAGTAGGGAATCAAACACATTACAACTACAGTACATGCTTGCAAGAAAATACCTGTTACATGCTATTGTTGCAGCTGAGTGTTTCAGTGGTCAGCAATCGAGGCCTACTTTGGAGATCAGAGAGGGAGCAGTTTATTTTAGAGCTCAACCAAGTAAACGAAATGTAACTGATCTGTAGAGTTGTTTAGCAGTGCGTATAGTTTTCCCAGGACTATTCAAGAACATTCCTTCGTACAAACACAGTGGAACTACTTTTAGCCCAAGAGTGTACAAAGATTGAGTCTTTTTTGACGATATCTTCACTCAGAGTTTGGCATCATATTTGCTAATAAGCACAAATATAAAAAGTAAGGTGTATAGTTTAAAAGAAAAGAGAACCACATGTTCAAAGTTTGGAGAGATTAAAACCTCGTGGCTCAACATCATAGCTCACCTGAAACTTACATGTGAGCTGTACTTACTGCTATTCACAAGACAGCAACGTGTGCAGTGGTCCTTTAGAAATTCTTAATATCACATTGAAAGCACCAGTCAGTCCCAGTGTTAATAAGCCCCAAGCATTGTCTAGCTCAAAGCTTTAATGTCTCCAGTCTGTGTGTTGAACAATAGGGGGAAGACATGTAGAGCCTGAATGGTGTGTCCCTGTCCCTCCTGCCCTGCAGCTAAGCACAATAAATACCCCCAGAGGTCAGCTTCAATCACTTCATATGTTGCTCGAACCAGGTGCAGGCCACGATCACGCCCAGTCACAGTAAAAGTCTTTCATAGAGTGTAAACAACCAACCTTCAGGACCCCAGACATCTGGGTGTAGGCACCAAAAACATCTCTTCTCCGCAAAGGGTCTTCAAATGTACAAGGAATGGGTGGGGGCAGTAGCACAGTGTTTATTTTCTAAATCGTTCCTTGCAGCCTTAGAAAGGGAGTAAGCTGAGAAGGGTCAGCAGGAGGAAAGTTCAAATTTCTTGGTTTACATGTCTACACTTTCAAAGGTTGGTGTTTTTAACTGTTTCTGGTTGCATTGAGTTTTAAATAGGACCATAACAGTTTGAATGTATTCCATTGAGCACTTTAAACTCCATATTTACCCCTGCTATGAAGTCACAAACACACACAGACAGAACTTATGATTCCTGTTACAAATGATTTTATTGTGAAAAGTCATCCTTTAAAATGTCAAATTCTTTACAATTATATTCACTTCAATGGATGCTGTTTGATGAATTCAACATTAGTCCCAAGGATCAAACATCTCTAGGAGCAAAATGCTTAGCCATCCAGGTGGAGCTAAACAAGCTCAGTTGGAGGGGAAGCCAATTGGAGCCCCACAGGGCAGGAATGTTGGCTGACCGTAGGAAAAATAAATAGCTGAGATATATACTGCATAGGCAACATACACCTGCTGAAATATCACACTGCGCAACAGAGTTCAAGATGTGCCAAAAATGAAAAACATTGAGAACAAACAGCACGACAGCATTTTGTAACACATTCATGAAAGAGAAAGGCAGACCGTGATAAAAGACAGTAAAACAGGAGACTTGAATCTCCCCAAAGACATGAAATAAAAAGTCAGATCACCTCTAATCGATGTCATGAGACCCTAGTGTCAATCCAAAACTGTGCCATTCTCACTGTCAATCAACATTCATATGGGAATATACTGATATCCACCGCAGTTACAGTTAAAAAGGCAAAAGAACTTGAAGAGAACAATGCCATGAAACATTAAAATGACACAGTTACATTGATAAAATACAGCAGTTGAGGATGTAGGCAGTTCCATATGAACATGATACACTAACATAAAAATCATCATAATGCATCAATGGTAAGAAAAGTTGAAGGAACCATGTAACATTTGCAGAACTGCCACGAATGCCCATCATTCCAGTTTTTCCTATTCCATCTCTGTCTCGTAGTGTTGTCCTCTCTGTTTAATCGTACAGTCATGTTACATTCAGAAGGTTCATCACCAAAGCAGACAGACTGAAGAACTTCTTTGGATGATGTTAAGAGTGCACAGGCTTAGCCTTACTTTCAAATTCCTGATCTGAACAGTGACTAAAAAGGGTGTTGGATTGAAAATGAAGAGGAAGATTAGCTTAGCTCTGTTAAATAACATGGGGAGTGAAGGGTTTGAGTGTGCAGACTCAGAGAAATTGTTAATGAGTCATTGTGTTAGACTGTAGAAGCAGATGAAGCAGAGACTAGCCTCGTAGTGTTAATGTGACTTCAACTCTCCTCAGTACCTTTGGCAGGTGTTCTCCACTGTTCTCGTGATAAGACTGAGTGAAGTGCAGTGATTTGATTGCACAGTGCCCACAGGATGAACTTAGTGCATGACTGCTGTTGGTGGTTCTGATCACTAGCTAGTTTGGGTCGGAGATGTTCTGAGTTTCTACATGGGTGTACATACCCATGAGTGTGCAGGGCCTAAAGGGGCCCATTATGAACTTTTTACATGACTGGAGCTACTCAAGTCACGTGTGGTGGAACCACCAGTGTGCTTTCTTAACTGAGAAAAAAGATTCTAGACCACAATCTCGACCTGAGGTATGATAGACCAGAAACAGAGGGTCTGGGACAAAACTGTTCTTTTCTGAGAAAAATGGACAATCACTGAGCTTTAGGTAGTGAATTAACGTTTTTAACTTTTTTAATTCATGAAAAAAATCACTAACAGAATCTCATGTAGCATAGCCACACATTTACTACAGAGGACTCAGAGAAGTCACAAATTAAAGAAAACTGAAAAGAGTAATTTTAGTAAAGACACAAGGTCAGTCAGGGGAAGATAGGCGAGTTTTTTCTGTGAATGTTCAGATCTTCTACTAGATCTGTACAGCTTTCCTTTCCTGTTAGTCATAAATAAAACCGGATTTCTTAAACAAAGAAAACATGAAAAGGTACCCTTACACTTTTCTGCAACTGTTGATGTTCTGCATAAGTAGGAGGAGTAGAACCGCATTTAATAAAAAAATAAACACTTATTTGATGGTACTACAGGAGGCTTAGGTCTGCCACTTGGACAAATCAGTATCTCCTGCCATTTGTGGGTTCAATCTCACCCATGCTTGTCCAACTTGCATAAATGTCAAACCTCTTGTTCCTTGTGAGTTTTTTTTTTAATGAAAAATGTTAAGGCACTTTTGGTCTGATATATATTCTTTCTGCTTCTGTAGGTCACAAAGAGGCATCAGTATTAGTAGTTGTTGTTGTTTCTCATGCCCAGTAGAACCCCAGCAAATCTCTTCACAGTCAGATTCAAGTCTCACTTTGCTGAATAAGCGGTAAGTTTTGTCAATAACTGAAATGATTTAAAATTATTCAACTGTTTTATCTGAAATAATGTACTGTAATGCTTTGCAGCTGACCTAAAAAAAAACCTCACAGCATCAAGAAGATTATATTTCTACAGACTTTAATTAACAACCTTACTTGTTGACTTGTAGTGTTTTGCTTTTGAAGTACAGACGGCTGACTTTTAAAATCAGAGAACTTGTGTTTCGACTAAAAATCTAAAAACTCATTCTAAAAAAACAACCACCAACACATCAAAACAGTATCAGCTGCAGATAACCTTAGTGTAGTTAATGCCTCCCATTTCCAGGCTCCAGAGCTGTCATTATGCATATTTGTCTGAATAAAATCTCCACTTCCTCTTCATCCTCAACCCTTATCCCAGTACACATTAAAACACAACCATTCTCTCTTTGCTCTTGTTTGTTCAACATTAAAATTTCTAGAGTCCACACAGGTCAGAACTCTAGGTTTGGAGTCAGAAATTAAAATCTTAACATATATTCAAAGATTTAAGGATTCGATTGGTACTTATATCTGGTCATTGTGCGAATCAGTCTGTGAGAGGATGGGTGTACGGAGTCCAGCAGTTAGTGGCTGTGCTTGTCCTCTCCAGTCAATGGCGCCTCCTGTAGGAAAGGAGAGAAGGAGGAGCGAACAGTGCGACCACAGAGAGGTTGTTGCACACGGAAGTTGTTCACCATACTCCTTTGTATTTCCTCCTCGGCTGAGGTGAAAAGAAGGCTCCTGAAGACTGCCAACTAAAGAGGGCAAATGAGATGAGATCATGAAACAGGCTTTTGAATACAAATAATGGGCTCAGCTTCATCTTCAGACTGGTTTGACTTGAAGATCTAGTTAGAAAATATGCGGTCATGACAGTTCAGCATTGAGCAACTTCCAGTATTATAGAAATGGCTGAAACTACTTCGGGTTTGGCTTAGTTTGGGGAGGGGCAGAAAGTGAGGTGAAGATATGCGGCATAGCAGCATTACATTGTGTAAAATAATAACGTGATTTACACACGGGTAAAGCAGTAAAAAAAAGGTCACTTATAACCTCAAGGCATTCTCAGTTCTCTGGCTCATTTTGATCTCAAACAACCCTTTGGCACACCAAAAGTCTCTTAAGTTCACCAGCGAGTTGCTGCCTTTAACTTCACTTTGATGATAGAAAGAAGAGCGTAAGCACCTTCTTATGCCTTTTAGGTGAATAACTGTCTGCACCCAGAAATGATAAATACAGAGGCCATAGATAGTATTTTTCTGGGTATCAATACAAACAATGCCTGCCACATACAGGAGCTTTTCTCAGTCAGTCACTGGTATCAGTGATATTTGAGTTAGGGCTGCATGATTTTGGCCAAAATCATGATTTTAGATTTCGATTTTTTTTCCAGTGACAACTTCACCAAACTTCACTTTAAAATAAAAAGGTTTTGTATCATCTCTCAAACCAAAACCACTGAAACGATGTAGAGCATATGCCAAACCAGTAAGTGGAGCTGTGACGCTGCCGAGGAAATGCACCAAAGACAGACGAAGAGCCCAGAGCATGTGTATATAGGTTGTTTTGGCCAGACAAGTGCAGGCGCCATCAAAGAGTTACACTGTGTGTCACATAATCGTTTCAAGAGACGCAGATAGACATCCACATGGAAATGAAATGGTAGTCATTTATGGATTTATGCACTCTCTGACCCATTTTTATAAAGTACTGTTTACAGTCACCCAAGACACCAATACAACAAAAACTTTTGCGTTTACTCCTAAATTAATTTTTGTGTGGACAGGTTGATACCGCCGTCAGACAGATTTTGCGGCGGGGAGTGGTTTGCTCTTCATCCAAAACTATGAAGCTGTACCAATTCCACACGACGGACTTACTCTTGCCCTATTTAGTCAAGAAATTATTGCCTTCTTTTGCAAACACCATGTTTGTTTACACTGGTGTGTGTGGGAACTGGGGAGCGCTCCTGCAGGAAGGGGGAGCCAACGGTGGCCTGGAGGTGCGAGACATGATAGAGAGGAAAATCTATTTGACGATTAAATTTTTTTTTAACGTCATAATCAAATAATCCCATTGTGATTTAAAATCGATTAATCGTGCAGCCCTTTAGTGAGTATTTCAGGTTAAAATTGAACATCAGCAACAACAAATGCTTTGGCTATAGTAAGGTGTAAACTATGTCTCAAATGTAGAACAGTGTTAAAAACCTTGATAACATCCATGAGAAAAATATTTGACTTCATACACTTCACATACTTGGTCATGGCTGACTTCTATGTGCTGCTTCATGACAATCCAGGTGACAGACTCTGTCAGAGGAGGCGTTGTTAGAGAGCCGTGATATGTCCAGTAGTCATCAGTGTTGGTGGGCAGCAAACAGGCGGGGTCAAATTTGGTAAACTCCACTACACTGCCCTACACACACACACACACACACACACACACACACACACACACACACACACACACACACACACACACACACACACACACACACACACATATATATAAAAACAAGAGTAAGCTGCAGGTTGAATAATAAGTGCAGATACAAAACATCATTCTTATAATAGTCTTACATGCCTACTGTATGTATTCATCCATTACTAGGGATTGTTATTCTGTTATGATAGTCACTAAGAAATCAGGTTTGCTGTGGTCACTGGGAGCTGGGGCAGCACACTTGCTCAATGGTAAATATAAGAAGTCTGTTATCCAGTTATGTGTACTGTAGTAGCCTGGTACTAAAAAATGCACAAAATCCCAAGATGAGATGAAGGAATCCAAAAGCTCGGTGGCAAAAACTGCTGTTGGACACTTGAAGGCTGGAGAAGCTGTGGCAAAAGTCAATCCTTCATTCTTCTGAATGAAGGACAAGAAAAAGCTAAGAAAGTTGACCCCAGAATCACCTCTTGGTGGTACCCTTGTAATTTTGCCCTCCTATTTACTGACAAGAGTGAAGGAATCTGAAACACAGGTGTGATGTGAGTGCTCACTCTGATAATATGTTTGCATGGCTGTATGATCTGCATGTAGGTCTCTTTTACACCATCATGTGATAATCTTGCAGGCTGACCTGTTAATCGTCTCTGATCTCATGATCATCTTGCAGGCTCACATGTGAATTTCAGTTGTTCTCAGAAGTTTTGATGTGATAATACCGCCACATGTTTAGCTAATATAATTCATGACTTTATTTCCCTGTAAAGGGCTTTTGGCTCAATAGAGGGTGGTTAGAGAGTCCTAACATTGATTTCAACTTTTTTTTTGTTTTTTTCTTTTGTTTTTAATCAAAAGGTTACTGACCAGTTGAAGCTAAAGTGTGCAGCTCTATTAACTGCAGCATTTTTACTAATTGCAGAAAAAGAAAAAGAACTTGAGGCATTGAAGGAAAATGGGGATTGAGCTGCCTCTGGAGATAACCTTAAGTGACCACTTTAAGTTGCCGCTTTTGGTGCTTGTGCTTTAGGCTTCATTTTCCAACTCCAGAGGTCGCTGTTTGTTAAAAGCTTTAGGCCCCTGTAACACACTAGACTCACTACACTCTTGGTGTATAGTTGTCATTCATACTATCATCCTTGCCAGTTTTACACACAGCACCCATGTCAAGTACAGAAGGTGAAGCTGTGCCCTCTGTTGGGTCTGTTCAGGCACACAAGCAGCACATTGCTATCTTCAGGAAAAGAAAGGTAACTCTGCCCTCGACCAACAAATCCTAATAAATGGTAAATGAACTGTCTACCCATTTACACCACAGTCATACACTGACAGCACAGACTGCTACATCGAGTGCCCCTCATTGCCATCACACATTGCTGTGTATGGCAAATGAGAGAAAGTTGAAGGTTAAAGGTGGAGTAGGCAGGATCTGAGGAAGTGCCAGTTTTTGGGAGAAATCTTGAATGTAAACACTACCCCTCCCAACCAGTTTTCCCCTCAGCTCCTCCTCTCCCCTCCTTCTTTGCTCCAACAAGACCCGCCCACAAACTGACGCTCCTGCACGCTCGTATCGTTCCAATTTAATTTATATATAACGAGATACAAACTTCAGATAATTACAAATGGGGCCCAGTCAACGTGAAAGTAAAAAGTATTGATGGTACTGTAGATGCCAACAGACTACCAGCAAACATGTTTGCAGGACTTCTAAAAATTGGATTACGTGACATAGTCCAGGACCCGAGGTCAACAGTTCCGTGGCGCTACAACACGCTACAGCAGGTCCGTTTGACATGAAACACTTCTGTTACAGACACTTGGTTTACTTTGTTAAAACGGTTTCCCTGTCCAGCAGAAAGGTTACAGGGTCCGTAAGATCCCCATCGTTTATGCTTCATGGATGTTTACCCGGCTTCTTAGCTCTTGTCCGGTCAACCTCCGTTTCAAGCGCTCGTTATTCCGCCAGAGTCTCTGATATTTAGTTTGTTTTCTTGCTTGTGTTGGCAGTCGTGGCCAAAGGAGGATTCAGACAATTTTCTGTACTTTCTGGTTGGTTTCTACTGTCTGATATTGTAGCACGCTAACTTTGTTTGGGCTCGTGAACGACACAGGGGAGCAGCGTCCGCCTCACAACCAATCAGGATGGGGCAGGCGGGGAATGGCTTTGTTTACAGTAAGAAAGAGCGGACCGCTCTGAAATTTTAAAATGTTGACTACACAGACATAAGAGAACACAATATCGTTATATTACCAAATGTCATCAATGACTGATAGCTATTGACTGATATTAAAAGCTTTTTATATATACACCACAAAAAAAGATACTTCTTTAACGGATTCCTGCCTACCCCACCTTTAAGTGACTTGGCTAAGGACACTTCAGCATGTGGACCTGGGATTGAACCCCCGACCCTCGGAGAGACAAAACAACTCCCCCTTAGTTTGTGGAAAAGTGCTAAAGTGGACAAGAACTCTGTTCATAAATAGTCTTATGAAACTTCCAGGATCCTCAAAAGGATACAGAAGATAGAATGAGGATTATTATCTGAAGGATTTTAGAGTCTTCAACCCCAATGTTTTTATGTGAATGTGTGTGAATGAGTTTAGTATGAGATCTGGTGATAGCTCGCACACTCAGGTTATATTTGCGTTGTATTAGAGTGGGAGCTGGGAGCAGGCTCTGTTGTAGGTACTGTTTGTGCAAGAATTGTAAAAGCAGTATTAGTTTCCATGCTGAACAGCCTTAAAATGCACTTATGATGCCATTGCCTTGTGAGATCAAAGGGTGTGTGCACTTTTATTATGGTGCAGTTCTTAAATCAACAGTTTTGTCACCCATCCAGAAATGTAAAAGCTGCAAAAACAAATAAAACATGCTTATTTCGTTATTTTGGTGAATGTATGAATTTGGGGAGCATGAGTGAATAAAACATGAATGCATGTTGAGTGCATTCATGTTTTATTGAGTGGTCAAAAGACTCAAAACATGCCATATAGCCCATGTTTACACCTAACACTATCATCAGATGGAGTGATGTGATCACAGCTTCAACTCCATCAGTGGGTGCTGAGATCTAATCACCCAGTCTAAATATAGAGGTGGTCTGAATTCAATTCCTTCAACATTAACTTCATCAAGTCTACTGTTAATAAGTGTGAATTTTGATCCAATCATATAAGTTAAGTGGGTCTAATCATAATAATATAACTTTGTTTTACCCAAAGGCCAACACAGGTTACCCCTTCAGATTGAAAAAAAAAACAAAAAAACAAAAGGTGCATTGTGCGTAAAAAACTAACCTTGTGTCTTATCGCTGGAAGAGCGTCAACCAGCTTCTGGAGCCCTTCATGTCTTTTTCCAACCTGCAAAAGTAAGCCAATGAGATCTGCATTGCAATCACAGTCTCTAGCCTGTGTACACACACATAACATTTTTCCAAAACACTGCATTGAATCACATTTCTTTTTAAAAAATGTCTTTTTCAAATTTCCAGCAATTTGAAAATGTGTTTGTGGTTTACCTTTAGAAAAACTCCGATAACAGCCAGTCCGTTTTCCTCCATCACTGCCTCCTCAAATAAACTGTACTTGTTAGAATTCCAGTGGACCAAATGGAGCTGAGAACAACCATAGCATACAAACACATTAGTTTCTGTGTTGATGAGTGTACGTGTGTGTGAATCACATAAACATTAGATTAAGCCATAGCCTTATTCACTACATGGATGTACAGCCATCTCATTCTGGGTTCATATGACTCATTTATTTACTTTTTTTATTCTGAATTTAAAGCTGCCGTAAGTAACTCTTGGCTTGTGTCAATCCTGGCGCTGCAGTCTTTGCACATCTTGATCTCCACATGTTTGCGTAGTGATTCGACAAAGATTTTCACCCTCTTCACTTTTGACAGTTAAATGTGTCACTTTTTATGAATATTTTGGAAGGAAATTGTAAAAAACAGGGCTGTTTCTCTTGCTGCTTGGCTTGCACTTATTTTTGTAATTAAAAACTGGACTATAAACATCATCAGTCTTATTGCTGATAGTCATGTTTGCTTTTGGACATCATAAAAAGGCAATGATATTAGTTTCAGTGTATTTGACAAATGTTCAAAACTCTTTAAAGGAGCTCTAATTATTGGTTTTAAAATAGATTTACTCAAGTAACTTATTTCAAGTCATGAAGATGTAGGTTTAGAACATAAATGATGCAGACATGGACGATAAACAAACACAGGAGACAAAGTCAAGGACTAATAAACACAGAGAAAAGAGCAGCAGATGAAAAGACAAGAGTAACAACTGAATATAATAGCTAATATTAAACAAGGACGGGAAAACCAAAGAGGGAACCTGACTTTGCATACTGGGAAAAAGGATTATAAAATAAAACTGGAAATATTAACAACAAGCAACATCCACCACACAGAAATGACCCAGATAAAAATGAACAATACACACATAGGGAACAGGAACACAAGGGATAATTCACATTAATTTGGATGTGTGAAAATGTTTTAGCTACAGTGTTCTCTAGCAAACTTTCTGAGTGTAGATTCAAGTCCTCAGAGTTAGTGAAGACATCCAGTGGGGCACACAAACGTGCACGCACGCACGCACGCACGCACACACGCACACACACACACAGTACCTCTGCAGGGAATAGCCTCCTGTCCAAGGTGTGCTCAGATCCCCAGGCGTTGCTCTCACCCCAGTGGAAGTGGAATTGGCACAGTCTGAATTTGTCTTGAAGAGGTCCCCCTTCCAGTGCTGCACAGGGGTAAATGGATATTTACGTCAAACTTTAGCATCTTAAACTTTCCATTGCTGTGCAAGAAATATATATGTTTTTATTTAAAAGAAATTCGATGATTAAAGAGAGCGGGATTGAGTAGAGATGGTTGGGACTAGGGGTGTGCCATATTATACCGTATACGGTAATACCAGTGTACTTTTTTTGGTGATATAAATTTGTCATATCGCGGTATTTACGCTGTAGGGACACGATGACGTTCTCTCCTGCATAAACAACAACGTCTGAGAGCGAGAGTAGCTCAGCAGCGTCAACTTCGTCCTGAAATGAGGATCTGGTGACAAAAAACTGGAGCTATCTCTCTGGTGTGGATGTGGTTTGGCTAATACAGCTAATGAGTTTTACCACCTAAAGCTAAAACACACGGCCGAGTATCAGCAGGCTTTGAAGACACATGATGAGGACGTGACAGCAGCTACTAGTGTTCAGAGTAAAAGTAAACAAACGGCTCAACATTTCAGGAGCACTCACTGCACTTTGTACGATAAAAAAAGAAAAAAAAAACAGAAGGTGACAGGACATTACCGAAGTGGTCAGGTATTGTTAGGCCAAAGACATGAAGCCAATTCAGGCTGTAGCAAAGGAAGGCTTTAAACACTTCATAAAAAAATAAAAAAAATTTCATTAAAAAGATACACAAGATAATATTTTTCAAAAACACTGCGATGTATGAAGCAAGCCGCAACCAACCTTCTCATCGGTGGAGTTTTTTTGCCTGTACAACTGACGTGAATCTACAAATCCTATATCAGCCCGACGGTCTATTACATAGCCAACGACTGGAAGCTGCACAACTCATGTCTTGAAACCTGCTACTTTCCAAAGCATCTCATAGGAGAAAATATTGTGAGTGGATTAAGGGAGTTTCCTGAGTTATGAAATCTACAAGAGGACAAACAGGTGTGTGTGTAACAACAGACAATGAGGTGAATGTTGTCAACCTTTAAGTTTGAGGACATATTCAAAAATAAAAAAAACATGGGCAAAAACATTTTTGGGGGGGTTATTAACTCCTGTCCTGTTAATGTATGACAAATCTGAATTTATTTTCATAACTTAACCCCCTTTTCACACCACTAATAAAAATGGTGTTGTTCAGAAGCAGCAATCACTGATAATATGTATCAATTTTTTTTCCATATTATCAAAAGTATCGTTATCGGTACAGTGGAAAGTTCATTCTAGTTCATTTACTTGGTCATTATTAAGAAAACAGGGTCTCCAATTTGCTACTCAGAGATACAATTCCATGAAAAATGTGAATTTAAGTCATTCACTCTCAAATGCAAAGATCTTGCAGGAAATAAATGTTTTTTTCAATAATCATAAATAAAAAAACTTTAGGGTTTATTTGACATCAAGATATTACTACCAAATACAAGAGAATCCCTGACCCCCACATACTAGGGATGCACAATGGTTTAAACAACTGATACTGCCTTGTTTTCAGTGCCCAGTATTTATTTTGATGGGCAAAAACACAGTAATACATAAAATTGTAAAATAAACGTCACAATCAGAGGCTTTGAGATTACTCTCCTTCAATACAACAAAACGTATCTATGTTTTAACCATACCAGTTCAACAGTTTATCAGCACAATAGAAGAAGTTGCCTGTCTTCCCTCGCTCTCTGCCTCCCATATTTCCTCTCTCTCTCCACCTATCCGAGCTCATAAAGGCAGAAATACTCAGAAGCTTAATGATGTGCATTGAGATCATTCAATATTGTCGCATCAATACTGTGTCAATCTGATCTTTATTTCTATCACATCATGTTTCTGCTAAATCTAAGATGCATCCAAAAGTTGCTATTTCATCTCTAAATTATCAACACCACATTTGCTGTTGATTGCTTACTCAAGCTTTTCACTACTTGACTTGATTAAAATGATACAAACCCCGATTCTAATGAAGGTTGGTACCTTTAGTAAAACATTAATTTAAAATAGACAACCATATTTGCAAATCCTTTTCGATTTGAATACACTACAAAGACAAGATATTTAAAGTTCAATCTGATATACCTTATTATTTTGGGGTTTAATCTTTTTGCAAATTTTCACTCACTTTGAACTTGATGTCTACAGCGTCTATTTGTCATAGCTCACAAGCCAGGTTATGACCGTTGTTCGGATCACATCTCTAGTTGTGGGGTTGTTAAAAGAATTAATATTAACTTGCTCTTCAAAAAGAGCGGCATCTTCTCATGACGAATGCCTGCATGTTTTTTCCTGTAGTAAAACAGAACTGTAAAAGTATTACAGCCTGAGACAACTACCCCCCTATAAAGAAATATATCTTATGATACCTGTCGGGTCATCCTAGTCGGTAAGATTTCCAACCGCCAAGGATTCAAGGATACAGACAGATACAGTGTTAGGCTAGAGGGTTTCACTCAGTTTTGGTGAAGCCATGAACTCAAAACAAAATGGACTATTTTTATGAACAGTCTTTATGGTAGTCGTTGTGGTGTAGATTTAATCTTCAGACCATGACAGTCACCAAGTCCACATGAAAGTTGTGTCATTGGTGCTGCATTAACTCGATTGTTCAATATATGTCAGTTCTTTAGGCTGAAGAAGATGATAATCTTGGGTAGATCGAGACGCGCATTATAAACCTTGCTGACTGAAAAAGGAGTCACTAAGTTGCTCCAGGTCACGTAAGTTATAATAAAACTACTGTGAATGTGTGGATTTTAATGATCTGTTCATAGAAGAGTACTCACTGGACTTGTCTGCAGTATCATCGTACTCAACCAGAAAAGAGTAACCGTTGTTCCAGATTTGTTGGCAAGTCCGTGGGTCGTAGTTGGTGAGCAGAGGTTTCAGTTCTGAATCAAAGACACTCTTACGCACAACAATGTCAATGGGAGACTGGCGGTCACCTCCTGGTACCACAAGAGGTCCCTGCCACATGGGATGCACTAGAGAAAAGGAGAGAAGAAGAGGAAAAATGAACAGATAGATATACAGTTGAATGAGGAAACTTACAATGTTTACTACCCATAAAAGTTCATTAGACAGAAGTCTGGCATAGACTACTGACACCTACTTTTTGTGTTGTATTCCCCTGCTTCCTGGACTTTTGAACAGTCCATTTTCAAAAAGAAAAAAAAAAAAGAAATATCAGCCTTTTAACATTGGTCAAATAAAAAAGACTACACGGTGCTACACAAAGCTACAAGGACAAACAAAATCCTTCTTCTTCCTGAAGTCATGTGAAAGAGGAACAGAACTTCCCTGTAGAGCTCTTTCTGTTTTTCTTAAAAGGAGATTGCAAAATAAGAGAAGTGGGCTGGCCATGCAGAAAGTGACACACGGAATGTCCTGGCACGCCCCCAGCTCCTTTCCACAGCGGGGAAAGCAGACCAGGACCTCTGGCCGATCACACTGCCGACTTCTGTCAAAGTCACCGCAGACAGAGCTTTATGTACCTGAAACTGCTCTCTGGTCTTACTTCCCCAATACCCTTTCTCCTTTATTTTCATTTAAAATCCAAAGCACAAAACATACCCAGTATTTACTGTTACAGAATGTAAATCTCATTTGACAGAGACCCAAGAAAAAAAGTGTCAAGTATACAGAATATTCAGATATGGCACAAAAGCAACTCAGCTGTTTTTCACTCCAGTCATTCAACACAAGGCGCAAAGTTTTGACTTGGAGTCAAGCTGACCAGGTCCAACTGGGAAATGACCTTTTTTTCCATCCGGTTTCAGTGCTCTTCAAGGGGGAATCTCTTACCTGTCTCTATTGTGGACTAAAACATCTAGTGCTAAGGAAATAATGCCAGTGAAATACCATTATGGAGTATCAGTGTGCTATATCACACTGAGGTGCTTCTTGAATAGTTCTAGAGTTAGGGTGCAAGTGAGCTTGTTTATCAAAGTAAATAAAGATAAAATGACTTCCTCTAAACCCGTCTTTAACAACTTACATAGAAAAACACACTTCTGCAAACACAGAGGTTTCACAATTAACAAATTTTGCTCAGGAGGAAACCTTCAGTGTTAGTCTCTACAACTTGGAATTAATGGCAGACTTCTGTGAATCAGAAAGCTGTGAACGACTTTAAAAGTGTTTTTGTATTTATGTATGGTCAGCTAAAAAGAAGGAACACAGTGTTTCTATCAACAGAGGGAGCTGGAGCCTAGGATAGACAGATGAAACACTGACTGAAGAAGGGGCATTGCAGGATAGGAAAGTGGACAGAGCAAGAAACCAGGAGAGAGAGTTGGGAGGCTCATACAGGAAAGGGGCCACAGGTTGGGCTCAAACCTGGCAGGCCACCTAAGGACTTTAGCCTCTGCACATGTGGTGCACAGCTTAACCACTGACCCAAACTGAATCATAACAAAACCTCTGGAATACTAACCGACTAACTTCAAACCATCCCTCTTAAATGATGAGAAAAGGTCATTTCCTCTATTTAAGTCTTAACTACAATCAATGCTATGCTTGCTGAAGTTGCTGGACTAAGTGCTTGATGTGTTTAAGCTTTGTGCTCTGTGTTTATGCTTATTTACTACATGCATGTAGCTGGTGTTTGAGCTGGACAAGATGAATTGTTGTTTTTGGTAGCAGTGTGACTGCTTCTTTTGCTCTGAGCACGGCTGATCCACCCTGTCTAGACAGTTCAATGATAAGTGCAGAGGTTCCAAACCCTGAACTCTCCTTAGTCTACTACAAGGTTCAAGTACAACTATATGGGATTCAGAGGTCTCATTTCCCCATTTCCACTTGTCACAGGAAAGCACGTGTCAGTGGGAGGTTTTTTTGTAAATTCAGACATCATTCTTGAAAACAAATCACCAAGTTTGTGATTTCAAAGTCTGCAGTTGTATCTGCTGTTGAGGGATTTGTCCCTTTGATTCTTGTTCCTGGGAATGATTTTATTGATGCAATCCACTCATAAACATGTGCTGTAAAGTTCTGTTTATGTCAAGGGTACAGACTGTATATAGATATACATACGTACAGTCTATGGTACAGACATACCCTGCTGTGAAATGTTAACCCTTTGTTGCCAGTGAAGAGACTAACTCATTTTGCCTTCAACAGACAAGGCCCTATTGGGGGGGATCCGAAAAGTCCCTTCCTTTGACTTTCTGGGACTCCACACATGGCTAGTTGAGTTTCTGGCTGTATTTGAAATGCCGGATTATGCAATACACAGTCTATACTGCACACTGCATAATCTGCTCATCAGTGGTATGTAGTACAACTGCCAGTCAGCCTTTATTGTGCAGTATGCTTGACCTAGTTTAGCTGCTTCCTAGCATACAGAAGCACATAATACCCTGGTCACTTGCAAACAGTGCTACAATGTTGTCCACTGCTTCATAAAAATAAATATATTATAGAAGTGTCATTATATATTTTAAACACTCCCAATATAACATAGAAATAATCAGAAGTTTAGTGATCTTATTTGAAAACTAATATTTGAACATCTGCATTTTTTATTTGTCCAGTTTCGCAGTATCACATGTCCCTATTATTTATTTATTTATATTGTTTCCCCTTTTCGATTCTGAATTTTCTGTATAGAATTTCTCAGCACGTCTATAATGTTTGTATATAAACATGTTTATTGTTCAATAATAATAAAAAAACAATGCAGTGTTGTCCATTCATTTATGCACCGGATTTTTAAATAAGTGTTTAATTGGAATTTTTTGGATTTTATATCCTGATACTGAATCATAACCCGTTTAAGCACGGACTTGTACATCTGGCAGCACTTGATTCACATCATGGCACTGTGAACTCCGCCAGATGCTTTGCATTGTGGGTAACAGTAGGCAAAGCTGACTGGTCCGATGCATACTGTGAAATTTTCCCAAATCAGTTTGCAATCTGGGAATTTTTGCCATAATCGACTTTCCCATTTGTTTGAATACTGCAGACTAGATTTTGAGCAAAGCCACGGACCCCCTCTTATGGCCACGAGATAATTCACCTTCAGTAGCATCTGTCAGTTTTAGAGTGATGCAAAGACTGCTGATTGACAAAACGTGAATTAATTTCATTTCATTTTAAGATGGGGATATATTACAACGACATACGAACGTCACTTCCGGTTAGGCGTGGAATAATTCTTAGCAAGAGACACTTAATTCAGCTGCTTAATGTATGGATTACGCTGATGTCAGGGAAGTCCTAGATTTCATCATTCACCAGCTGGAAGGACCTGGAAGACTTCACAGTAACAGGTGGATGTACAACAAGTGCTTGAAAAGTGGCATTCGTGCAAAAAAAGATGTTTGTTTGATTCTTGTAGCTCTGGACCCTGACGCCTCAGCCATCTGTAGACCCAGGGTACAAAACCTACCATCATTCATTCAGCATTACCAACACTGACATGTAGCCTGTCATAGCATAATTATTGACATTACACTCGCCATGACAATAATAGAGCTATTTTTCAATACAAAAGCAGACTATGATTTCATTTATTCATAAATGATAAACAGCTTCACTCTAAAACTGGCAGATGCTATTGAAGGTGAATTATCTTGTGGCCACGCATTAACTTTCTTGTGGCCATATGTTACTGTTTTTTCTCCAATGTCACCAGAGGGGCTCCGTACGAATCAGCACTCACTGCCAGTATAGCCGATTTGAAAACAGGCTGTAAAACATAGGCTGTATCAAGTGTCAATCATAGAAAACATTAGCCCCCTAATAACTTTTAAAAATGGAGCTTTACAGAAAAAAGAGGACTTGAGCACAAACCAGTCTTACAATAACTACATGTCAATATCGCAAGCAGGGGGGAGAAAAATGTATATGCTGTGTAATAAATTTCTAAAGTTTGTCCACAGCTCCATAGGGGTTGCTGGAGGAGGTGAGATTTATGACCTGTACTGCAGCCCGTCTCCAGAGGGTGCTGTTCTGACGGTGGCTTCACCCAGCGAGGTGGCAGACGGCATCCATTCTATGTACAGTCTATGGTATTGACAAAGAAACTGCTTGAATCAATCACCTGATTTCAGTTTTATCATTATTTACAATTCCCCTGAGCTGTTTCATTAAAACTTAACTGTCTTCTATAATAAATTAAAGTGTTTACTCTCTTCATAAGATCAAGTAATTAATAAACTAATTAACTTATCACAAATGTCTTTTATGTCATTCCACTTAAGTTGGGTAGTTAAATCTTTAGATTTTAATTCCTTATATTGATCATCACTTCAAATTTTCCCAATTCACCACACTGCATTAGACAGTTTATAAATGAAGCCTTGCTGATCTCTGCATTACAGACACAATTAATCCCTTTCATTGACAATTCTATTTTGTAATCTATATTTATTTAGGGTCACTTATATTAATTGCAATTTTTCCATTTAGTTAAATTTAAATTTTATTTCATTTTTTCTCCATTCGATACCTACCAATACAGGTTCTATTTCCTGTATCAGACACTGATAATTTAGGAAATTAACTTTTTTTTTTTGTTGAAGTCAAACTCATCAACCAATCACCTGCATTTCATAACTCAAGTCAAACATGCCTGACACAAGAGAGTCCAGACAGAGAGACCCCCTGAAGGACATAAGAAGAGTGCTGGCAAACATGACCTGTCGGCTGGTACCTCAGTACATGACAAAAATTCAAAAGGCAAACCCTCTAATCTAGAGGATGATATGGTGGACCGACTGGAAACAACCTTAACCCCAGCTCTTTGAGACAAAGAGCTCACACGATGCATGTTTGTCAGGATGTCTTCTCAGCTCATGTATAAAGACAACTTTTTGGGAAGTGATTTAACGAAAATAAAGCAGCAAAGAGAAGAAAACAGCATTCTGAAGAAGAAACGAAGAAGTTGGCAACTGGAAGAGACAAAGAAGATTCTGAGTGATTCAGAAAAACGCAACATCAGATTTGAAGCATCAATGCTTCCCTCCCCAATAAATCGTGAAGAAAATCTTGTCTCAAAGAAAAGTTTAAAAGACTTGATGAAACTCTTAAAAGAAAGGAGAACAAGTTTATGAACATCAACAAACAGCTTGCTGAAACAAAAGAGGATCTGATATACTCAGTTACTCAGTTGCTGGTTTTCATTTTAGCACTTGTCTCTCCTCTGTCAGTATGTTTAGCCTGTCAGCTGTCAAATATCACAAATTCAAATTTAAAATCTCTGTCATTAAGACCCAAACTGACTAATTGCAGCCTTAGCAGCAGATAATGCGTCAGATTATTCAAGTGTTGCATCAAGTGAACAATTTCTAAATCCTCAGCCTGTACTTTTCAAGAACACGCGTAAACGCTCAGGAGTGAAAAGATGCAACATGTCATTTTGAAAGACAGTTATGGTGACATGGAAAAAAGTCATGGCAGCAGGGGGATGCATACCTCAGGCTGCTTTCATGTATACAAGCAGTTCATTGTTAAGGAGGCTGACTTCACCTAACTTTCATTTGACGTAGTGTGAGGAAAAGAAGGGCAGATGAGGAAGGCTGTAGGCAGCTCTCTGAAGCCTCACACATAAATCATTCCCAGTACTTTTCTTGCAGAGAGAGGTCTATGTTATCAATTGAACTGGGTCAGTACTTGGTACTGGACCAGGACTTGAAGGGAGGACCAGTAAATGATAAATGAACAATATTCATAATAGCTCTTAGTCAAGTCTTGTCTGTCTGTAGTAGTAGTAGTAGTGTAGTCTGACCACTCAAAGCGCTTACACCACAAGTCACGTTTACACACGGATGGCAGAGGCTGCTATGTATAGACCATTCACACACCACTGAATGCAGGCCAGTGGGGGCAGGTGGGGCCAAGCGTCTTTCCCAAGGACACCTTGGGATTTGGACAGCCCTGGGATTGAACCACTCACTTCTCCACTGGGAGATGAAAACTCTACCACTGGTCACCTCTTACAAAAAAAAAAAAAAAAAAAAAAAAAGATATAGGGGATCAGTGGACCCTTGTAAACATTCTAACACTCAACCACAGCCCCACTCACTGACTTACTCATCTATTATGTCTTATAATTAAGCAGTAAAGGACGAGCTGGACAAAGAGCATAACCTCTTGACTTGAGTCAAGTATAGACAGTCCTGGTCAAACATCATCCCACTCCAAGTGGAGGTAGCTCAGCCAAATCATGACCCCCTATGAAGGTTCAGGAATACCTATTTTTAAAAAATACTTAAGTATGCAAACTTGTGAAAGTATCTCAAACCATTGCTACATTTTTACAATGCATGAGTGAAGAAGAAAAAAAAACATGGGCATCAATTCTGCTACAATATCTTTATGTTGGCAATATTCCATTTTTTCAAATTTACTTGCTACAGCTTTCCAGACTCGCAGCTCCAAATTAAACGGAAGAATAATAGGATCAACAAAAAATACCTGACAACCAAAGAGTATGCCAACTGGCTTTACATAGTAAAAAAAAGAAAAACAAAATCTTTTTAGCATCCATTATAGAGGACTAAGACCCCCTCAGCAATGCGGTTGTGTATTGTTTACATTGTTACTATTGTGATGTACAGGTTCAGCACTTGAAAACCTCACACAGACCTACACAAACACAGTTTTTTCTATTAATGCTACACTAATGCCATTCCTCCAGTGTCATAAAATTATTAACTTCTATTTGGGGTTGTAAACATGAAGTACACAAGCTCTCTAAAATGAACAACCTTCCTCATCAAAACAGTTTCTGCTTTTTGACGCTGTGTAGCTACACTTTGCCTGAGCTGGGAAACAAAAAGCAGTCCAGAGTTTAAGGGTGTGGTGCTGCAGTTGTGGGACTTGTCGGACTTGCTTGGTTATTTCAAGAATACAAAGAAGCACCTAAAAACTGGGGTGGATAAATCATACTAAAGGTCTGGAAAAGAAAGACAGGCTACTCTTTATGTATGAGCTGTAAACTGTTATTTCAGGTGCATCCTAAATCTTTACTGTTTATTAAAGTTTTCACAACTTGTGCACTCAGGGTCAACAGGTGTTCCTTGTCAAGAATTGGTTTGTGATATGTCTTGCCTTCCTTGTGTGTTTGAGACCATCAGTTGTGTTTTGCAGTGGGAGGGTAAGTATACAGTCCTATCAGTGATTAGCTTTATTCGACTCCAGTTCTAATCCATAATACAGATATAATCACTCAACTCATCAAAGAGATACAGTCCATCTTTAAGATATGAAGGTCTGTCAATCCAATCCAGGAAAACTTCAAAAACTTTGAGTATATCCCCAAGTGCAACTGCAAAAACTTTGAACACTCTCAAGAAGACTAACCCAGCAAAGGAAGACCAAGAGTTACTTGTGCTGCAAGTGATAAATTCATTTGCACATCCCAATATCAGCTGTTCAGATGAGATTTAATAAATCAAGCCTTAAAGGGATATTCCGGCATAAAAATAATTTAGGGTCAAACACACCATATCACCAAGTTTGACACCCCCTCAAGAGATGAATGTTGCCGACTGCTTGCTTTTCTAGTTATACCAACTTTAGTAACAACTGCACGACAGCAATACACAGCGGTCTGAGGAAGAACATTTACAATCATTACTTTATCATTTCCTTAAAGTAATAATCACCATATTAATCACTTTGCACTGCAGACACAGTAGTTCTGCTGCCTTAGCATCTCAGTCTGATTGCATTTCCATGAAGAAATGATCATAAATGTTCTTCCTTGAGCTGCGTCCCCCGCTGCAGTCCATAATGGACTGGCCCGTGATCTCGGTACAAAGGTCTCATATGTCAGTGGGCCACCGGCCTTGTTTGTCATACTTGTTCGCTAACATAGAGCTTGAGTTTGAAAAACATTTATTACCACTTTTTCATCAAATCAGCTCTGGCGTGGTTTGGAACTAGCTGTATGTGGTCAAGGATCTGCCTCTCAATCAGAAAAAAAAAAAAAAAAACACGTGCCGGAGCAGAACCAAGCCCTGTTGGTCAACAAGACAGTACTGCTGAGGCCTGGGGCTGGAGGCGGGGTTGACTCTGCTATAATTACACCATCTAAAACCTAGTCTCATTTTTTTCATTTCTAATGGTGTTCAAGTCTGACATGCGATTAACTGAAGTGAATGTCCAATACTATGACAAATAAACATAAAATAACATATATTTGGCAATGTCATGTATACTACAGTGCCATTCATCACAATCCTGATCAGATCTATGTAGATTTTCAAAGCCAGGAGTTGCACTTAAGAAGAGTAGACCTTTTTTATTGATGTGCTTGTTTACGGTTGACCCCACCCCCACCCCCACACACCATAAAGAACAACATAACAATAGCCTTTAATAGCCACCTATGTCAAATGCCTATTCCAGAGTGTCAGTACCAACTGCACGTTGTAAAGGTTTCGCTCCAAATCCAGCAACGAGGGAAATCCAGTCCGACTTTTTCCCCCAACATTTCTCATTTACAAACACAAGAATGCGGTATCAAAGTATCGTCTCTGATCTACAGTGAAAAGACTGTCAGGCTCAAAACAAACCTACTGTAAAAACCCATTCAAAAACATTGCACATGACGCCCAAAATAACTGACTTTAATCTGTCCCCACATTGGAAAATGCATGATAACAATAATACCATAGCGAATTACCTGCTGGTACTTACTCTGTGACAGCACATATTTACTTGAGCACGCCGTCAGGTTACAGCCTCTCTGGGGAATATTCCGGTGACTCCTGATGTTTCTCACCAGGTTTCGCTGAAGCTGGGAAGCCAATGGTCGTATTATCGATGACAGAGCCACCATATCGATCAAGCTAACGTTACCAGCTTCAAACAGTCGAGACACAAAAAGGCTCCCGGTCGTTAGCCGTAAGGTCCTCGATCGTGTTTTCACTCGGATCGACAGGCTCCGTCTCTGTCACTGCCTGCACGCTGTCTGACTGTTGATGGAGGAAGAGGCAGGCGTTAACAAGATACACTAAGTATGGTGGGGTTTTTTTCGCTACAACCAATGCGACTCTTTGATTCGGCTCCCTGGTGGTCTTACCGCCTGATACTCCCGTCCACTGTAGTGCTGAAGTGAGTACGGCAGCTGTTTGGAGGTTACTTGCTTTCCAGGACAGGATGAGGAGGGGGCACGCGGCGCTAACCTATCACTGGTCTCCAGTGAGGGGCGTTCAGGGCGACTCACTTAAAGGGACTACGAGGAGTTTTGAACCGGCGAAGAAATAGACTGAAACAATACTGATGCCTAATGTGACCTTCAATTCAGCACATACATCACACGCGTGTAAAATTAGGATGTTTTAATGGTCTATTGCAAAAAACTTGGCGAATGATGCTCCGTAGGACTCCCTGATGTTTTCTAATCAGCCTCCCTATAGGGGTTACCTTAAACCAACTCTACCGATTTGACCTATTTTTAAAATCATAATGCATCCAAACCCAAGACCCAACAGGATATCGGCTAATTGAATTGATGTGGGTCAAATTGGCCTTTTTTGATGATTTACAGGATTTGTATTTTTAAATTAAAACTAGTCATCAGGTTACATCCAGAAACCCCATATACAGTGTATTGTCGACATAGTGTAGATCAAAAGTTTTGAGTTTTTGTGAAGCAATAAAGCTGTGATATAAGATGGGTGCCATGAAACAGAAAATAGAGTTTTTTCTCAGCCATATAATGTTCCAGTCCAAGTAACAATGTATGGTCAAGGGTCTAGGCATGATTACAGCCATATGGATGTATTTGATACAGCCTTGACTGTGGTAAAGGCACCAACCCAGTGGCAGCAGGAAATGTACAATTTTCACTCAACGACATGTATCTCCAAGTCAGGTGAACATGTCTACATGATTTAAATCAGATCATCTTTGATATATTGGATCTGCTGTGAGCAGGAAATGAGTTTTTGTCAAAGGATGTGGTTATGGTAGATAGATAGATCTATTAGATCTATTTTTATTTATTGTAAAGGATTAATTTTTTTAGGTCTTTTTTTTACCTTTATTGATTGATAAAGGACAATGGTTAGAGTAGGGATTGGGGGGGGCAGGATGGCATCCAGGAAAGGGGCCATAGAGCGGAATAAAACTCAGGCGACATATGTGGGGCACCCCTAGACTGCTACGCTATCAGCCCATTTAAAGAGGACATGAAACACACCACATTGGCATCCTCACGTGGTAAAAAAAAATCAATTAGGAGAGAGTCTGAAATATTTTTTTGTGTAAAAAATCAGCTGTTTAATAGAAAAAACGCTTTCAAGAGTGTATTTACGACATGCGCACAGCGCCATCTTGAGTTTATGAACGTTGTGACATCACCGGTTGTGCAGGAACAAGCGGTGAAATAGTAATTAGTGTACGTGACTCAATCACTTAGCAGTAAGATGTCGGAGATGGATGTGGTGGAGGTCTATCCTGCCAACCCGATGGCGTATGCTATTGAGCCGGTCAGAAAGAGACCATGTAAGCGAGAAGGAGAAGCGGAGGAGGAGGAGGCAGTAGCAACGTTACACACACAAGTAAACATGGTCAGGGCTCTCAAGTTTTGAACTAAGCTTAGAGTGAGATTTCCTTGGGGGGGGGGGGGGGGTGATTGAAGATAATTATTAGTATAATTATCTCTTAAATACAACGGAGTATAAGGGGCACAATTAGAAAAAAAAACAGAATAAAGTCATTAATATCAGTATTAAGTCGTGAAGTTACGTGTTGTGAAGGAGAGTTGTTAAAATCAGCACTGTGGAGCATTTAGATGAATTGTACTTTAGTATAGGTTTCACAAACATGGAGATACTTAATCCTTTGGTACATGAGCATTACACTGTCGTGAGTATCAGAACTTGTATTTGAGATATATGAGAAATGCTGCTTTTGTGGAGGGGAAAATGGCTGGAAATGGCTGTACAGAGGCTAAATCCGTCAGTACAGCTGTTAATAGCAATAGCATAGGGCTTTAGTTTATCATATGAGTTTATCTGCCATGAGGTGTTGAGGTCTCTGCATGTGTAGGTTACTGACTTACTCTAATCATCGGGTCTATCTCGTCCTTATAAAAACCTGCTCTATTACGGCGAGTGTCTGTCTTCTTCTGTAGTCAAACCGTAAGATATCAAAATCTACCCGGATACAGCAATGCTGCTTTTTTATTGGCTGTTCAGTAGATATACTTTATTTGATTGGCTTGCGCGTGGCACGCAGCTTCTGAACTCTCGGAGGAACTCAGTTGATTCCTACCTGTTCCATAGTTAAAGAGGTGCAACTTGGTGGACATCACCATGTTCATTTAAATGTGTGAGAAACAGACATGTTTTGAAAATAGTAGATATGGCGACCAAAACATTTGAGTCTCGAATAGCACATAGCCAAAGTAAACGCCATTACATTCAGGTACACTCGTGTGGCTAACACCAGAGCTAATCCACTGCTCTGCTTTGATGTTGACTAAAACCACAGGAAATTACACAATTTTAACCCAGAAACGCCATAAAATCTCAACTTTTTACCTGATTAATGCAGTCAAAGTTATTTTTAACATTTTTTTTTATCCTACCTTGAGGTATATTTGAGATTAATGTTTGACAGAAATGTAGAGTTCTTCAACACAAAGGCGTACTGCATTTATTTGAGGATAAAACTGCTCTTGTTTCCTAAATTAACAAGAATTATATCTCAGAATTAACTAAAAAATTTTCGGGGGGCAAAAAGTTCTTTTTTTATATAGTTAACATAAAAAGGTAACATCTCAGGTTATAACCAGGTTATAACCTGTTTACAACCAGGTAATGTCTCAGGTTATAACCAGGTAATGTCTCAGGATATAACCAGGTTATAACCAGGTAATGTCTCAGGATATAACCAGGTTATAACCAGGTAATGTCTCAGTTTATAACCAGGTAATATCCAGGTTATAACCTGGTTATTACCAGGTAATGTCTCAGGTTATAACCAAGTAATGTCTCAGGATATAACCAGTTTATAACCAGGTATTGTCTCAGGTTATAACCAGGTTATAACCAGGTAATGTCTCAGGTTATAACCAGGTTATAACCAGGTAATGTCTCAGGATATAACCAGGTTATAACCAGGTAATGTCTCAGGATATAACTAGGTTATAACCAGGTAATGTCTCATGATATAACTAGGTTATAACCAGGTAATGTCTCATGATATAACCAGGTTATAACCAGGTAATGTCTCAAGGATATAACCAGGTAATAACCAGGTAATGTCTCAGGTTATAACCAGGTTATAACCAGGTAATGTCTCAGGTTATAACCAGGATATAACCTGGTTATAACCAGGTAATGTCTCAGGTTATAACCAGGTTATGACCAGGTAATGTCTCAGGATATAACCAGGTTATGACCAGGTAATGTCTCAGGATATAACTAGGTTATAACCAGGTAATGTCTCATGATATAACTAGGTTATAACCAGGTAATGTCTCATGATATAACCAGGTTATAACCAGGTAATGTCTCAAGGATATAACCAGGTAATAACCAGGTAATGTCTCAGGTTATAACCAGGTTATAACCAGGTAATGTCTCAGGTTATAACCAGGATATAACCTGGTTATAACCAGGTAATGTCTCAGGTTATAACCAGGTTATGACCAGGTAAGGTCTCAGGATATAACCAGGTTATGACCAGGTAATGTCTCAGGATATAACTAGGTTATAACCAGGTAATGTCGCATGATATAACGAGGTTATAACCAGGTAATATCCAGGTTATAACCTGGTTAGTACCAGGTAATGTCTCAGGTTATAACCAGGTAATAACCAGGTTATAACCAGGTAATGTCTCAGGTTATAACCAGGTAATGTCTCAGGATATAACCAGGTTATAACCTGGTTATAACCAGGTAATGTCTCAGGTTATAACCAGGTTATGACCAGGTAATGTCTCAGGTTATAACCAGGTTATAACCTGGTTATAACCAGGTAATGTCTCAGGTTATAACCAGGTTATGACCAGGTAATGTCTCAGGATATAACCTGGTTATAACCAGGTAATGTCTCAGGTTATAACCTGGTTATAACCAGGTAGTGTCTCATGATATAACCAGGTTATAACCAGGTAATGTCTCAGGATATAACTAGGTTATAACCAGGTAGTGTCTCATGATATAACCAGGTTATAACCAGGTAATGTCTCAGGATATAACTAGGTTATAACCAGGTAATGTCTCAGGATATAACTAGGTTATAACCAGGTAATGTCTCATGATATAACGAGGTTATAACCAGGTTATGTCTCAAGGATATAACCAGGTAATAACCAGGTAATGTCTCAGGTTATAACCAGGTAATAACCAGGTTATAACCAGGTAATGTCTCAGGTTATAACCAGGTAATGTCTGAGGTTATAACTGCATTTTTGCACTTTTTGGCTTGTCTGTGATGCTGCTGTGACAAAAAAATTTCCCCGATGGGGGATCAATAAAGGAATATTCTATTCCATTCTATTCTATAACCAGGTTATAACCAGGTAATGTCTCAGGATATAACCAGTTTATAACCAGGTATTGTCTCAGGTTATAACCAGGTTATAACCAGGTAATGTCTCAGGTTATAACCAGGTTATAACCTGGTTATAACCAGGTAATGTCTCAGGTTATAACCAGGTTATGACCAGGTAATGTCTCAGGATATAATGAGTTATAACCAGGTAATGTCTCAGGATATAAGTAGGTTATAACCAGGTAATGTCTCATGATATAACCAGGTTATAATCAGGTAATGTCTCAGGATATAACTAGGTTATAACCAGGTAATGTCGCATGATATAACGAGGTTATAACCAGGTAATATCCAGGTTATAACCTGGTTAGTACCAGGTAATGTCTCAGGTTATAACCAGGTAATAACCAGGTTATAACCAGGTAATGTCTCAGGTTATAACCAGGTAATGTCTCAGGATATAACCAGGTTATAACCTGGTTATAACCAGGTAATGTCTCAGGTTATAACCAGGTTATGACCAGGTAATGTCTCAGGTTATAACCAGGTTATAACCTGGTTATAACCAGGTAATGTCTCAGGTTATAACCAGGTTATGACCAGGTAATGTCTCAGGATATAACCTGGTTATAACCAGGTAATGTCTCAGGATATAACCTGGTTATAACCAGGTAATGTCTCAGGTTATAACCTGGTTATAACCAGGTAGTGTCTCATGATATAACCAGGTTATAACCAGGTAATGTCTCAGGATATAACTAGGTTATAACCAGGTAGTGTCTCATGATATAACCAGGTTATAACCAGGTAATGTCTCAGGATATAACTAGGTTATAACCAGGTAATGTCTCAGGATATAACTAGGTTATAACCAGGTAATGTCTCATGATATAACGAGGTTATAACCAGGTTATGTCTCAAGGATATAACCAGGTAATAACCAGGTAATGTCTCAGGTTATAACCAGGTAATAACCAGGTTATAACCAGGTAATGTCTCAGGTTATAACCAGGTAATGTCTGAGGTTATAACTGCATTTTTGCACTTTTTGGCTTGTCTGTGATGCTGCTGTGACAAAAAAATTTCCCCGATGGGGGATCAATAAAGGAATATTCTATTCCATTCTATTCTATAACCAGGTTATAACCAGGTAATGTCTCAGGATATAACCAGTTTATAACCAGGTATTGTCTCAGGTTATAACCAGGTTATAACCAGGTAATGTCTCAGGTTATAACCAGGTTATAACCTGGTTATAACCAGGTAATGTCTCAGGTTATAACCAGGTTATGACCAGGTAATGTCTCAGGATATAATGAGTTATAACCAGGTAATGTCTCAGGATATAAGTAGGTTATAACCAGGTAATGTCTCATGATATAACCAGGTTATAATCAGGTAATGTCTCAGGATATAACTAGGTTATAACCAGGTAATGTCGCATGATATAACAAGGTTATAACCAGGTAATATCCAGGTTATAACCTGGTTAGTACCAGGTAATGTCTCAGGTTATAACCAGGTAATAACCAGGTTATAACCAGGTAATGTCTCAGGTTATAACCAGGTAATTTCTCAGGATATAACCAGGTTATAACCTGGTTATAACCAGGTAATGTCTCAGGTTATAACCAGGTTATAACCTGGTTATAACCAGGTAATGTCTCAGGTTATAACCAGGTTATGACCAGGTGTTGTCTCAGGATATAATGAGTTATAACCAGGTAATGTCTCAGGATATAAGTAGGTTATAACCAGGTAATGTCTCATGATATAACCAGGTTATAATCAGGTAATGTCTCAGGATATAACTAGGTTATAACCAGGTAATGTCGCATGATATAACGAGGTTATAACCAGGTAATATCCAGGTTATAACCTGGTTAGTACCAGGTAATGTCTCAGGTTATAACCAGGTAATAACCAGGTTATAACCAGGTAATGTCTCAGGTTATAACCAGGTAATGTCTCAGGATATAACCAGGTTATAACCTGGTTATAACCAGGTAATGTCTCAGGTTATAACCAGGTTATGACCAGGTAATGTCTCAGGTTATAACCAGGTTATAACCTGGTTATAACCAGGTAATGTCTCAGGTTATAACCAGGTTATGACCAGGTAATGTCTCAGGATATAACCTGGTTATAACCAGGTAATGTCTCAGGTTATAACCTGGTTATAACCAGGTAGTGTCTCATGATATAACCAGGTTATAACCAGGTAATGTCTCAGGATATAACTAGGTTATAACCAGGTAGTGTCTCATGATATAACCAGGTTATAACCAGGTAATGTCTCAGGATATAACTAGGTTATAACCAGGTAATGTCTCAGGATATAACTAGGTTATAACCAGGTAATGTCTCATGATATAACGAGGTTATAACCAGGTTATGTCTCAAGGATATAACCAGGTAATAACCAGGTAATGTCTCAGGTTATAACCAGGTTATAACCTGGTTATAACCAGGTAATGTCTCAGGTTATAACCAGGTTATGACCAGGTAATGTCTCAGGATATAACCTGGTTATAACCAGGTAATGTCTCAGGTTATAACCTGGTTATAACCAGGTAGTGTCTCATGATATAACCAGGTTATAACCAGGTAATGTCTCAGGATATAACTAGGTTATAACCAGGTAGTGTCTCATGATATAACCAGGTTATAACCAGGTAATGTCTCAGGATATAACTAGGTTATAACCAGGTAATGTCTCAGGATATAACTAGGTTATAACCAGGTAATGTCTCATGATATAACGAGGTTATAACCAGGTTATGTCTCAAGGATATAACCAGGTAATAACCAGGTAATGTCTCAGGTTATAACCAGGTAATAACCAGGTTATAACCAGGTAATGTCTCAGGTTATAACCAGGTAATGTCTGAGGTTATAACTGCATTTTTGCACTTTTTGGCTTGTCTGTGATGCTGCTGTGACAAAAAAATTTCCCCGATGGGGGATCAATAAAGGAATATTCTATTCCATTCTATTCTATAACCAGGTTATAACCAGGTAATGTCTCAGGATATAACCAGTTTATAACCAGGTATTGTCTCAGGTTATAACCAGGTTATAACCAGGTAATGTCTCAGGTTATAACCAGGTTATAACCTGGTTATAACCAGGTAATGTCTCAGGTTATAACCAGGTTATGACCAGGTAATGTCTCAGGATATAATGAGTTATAACCAGGTAATGTCTCAGGATATAAGTAGGTTATAACCAGGTAATGTCTCATGATATAACCAGGTTATAATCAGGTAATGTCTCAGGATATAACTAGGTTATAACCAGGTAATGTCGCATGATATAACGAGGTTATAACCAGGTAATATCCAGGTTATAACCTGGTTAGTACCAGGTAATGTCTCAGGTTATAACCAGGTAATAACCAGGTTATAACCAGGTAATGTCTCAGGTTATAACCAGGTAATGTCTCAGGATATAACCAGGTTATAACCTGGTTATAACCAGGTAATGTCTCAGGTTATAACCAGGTTATGACCAGGTAATGTCTCAGGTTATAACCAGGTTATAACCTGGTTATAACCAGGTAATGTCTCAGGTTATAACCAGGTTATGACCAGGTAATGTCTCAGGATATAACCTGGTTATAACCAGGTAATGTCTCAGGTTATAACCTGGTTATAACCAGGTAGTGTCTCATGATATAACCAGGTTATAACCAGGTAATGTCTCAGGATATAACTAGGTTATAACCAGGTAGTGTCTCATGATATAACCAGGTTATAACCAGGTAATGTCTCAGGATATAACTAGGTTATAACCAGGTAATGTCTCATGATATAACGAGGTTATAACCAGGTTATGTCTCAAGGATATAACCAGGTAATAACCAGGTAATGTCTCAGGTTATAACCAGGTAATAACCAGGTTATAACCAGGTAATGTCTCAGGTTATAACCAGGTAATGTCTGAGGTTATAACTGCATTTTTGCACTTTTTGGCTTGTCTGTGATGCTGCTGTGACAAAAAAATTTCCCCGATGGGGGATCAATAAAGGAATATTCTATTCCATTCTATTCTATAACCAGGTTATAACCAGGTAATGTCTCAGGATATAACCAGTTTATAACCAGGTATTGTCTCAGGTTATAACCAGGTTATAACCAGGTAATGTCTCAGGTTATAACCAGGTTATAACCTGGTTATAACCAGGTAATGTCTCAGGTTATAACCAGGTTATGACCAGGTAATGTCTCAGGATATAATGAGTTATAACCAGGTAATGTCTCAGGATATAAGTAGGTTATAACCAGGTAATGTCTCATGATATAACCAGGTTATAACCAGGTAATGTCTCAGGATATAACCAGGTTATAACCAGGTAATGTCTCATGATATAACCAGGTTATAACCAGGTAATGTCTCAAGGATATAACCAGGTAATAACCAGGTAATGTCTCAGGTTATAACCAGGTAATGTCTCAGGTTATAACCAGGTAATGTCTCAGGTTATAACCAGGTTATAACCAGGTAATGTCTGAGGATATAACTAGGTTATAACCGGGTAATGTCTTAGGATATAACCAGGTTATAAACAGGTAATGTCTCAGGATATAGCAAGGTTATAACCAGGTAATGTCTCAGGTTATAACCAGGTTATAACCTGGTTATATCCAGGTAATGTCTCAGGTTATTACCAGGTTATAACCAGGTAATGTCTCAGGATATAACCAGGTTATAACCAGGTTATAAACAGGTTATGTCTCAGGATATAATAGGTCATAACCAGGTAATGTCTCATGATATAACCAGGTTATAACCAGGTATTGTCTCAAGGATATAACCAGGTAATAACCAGGTAATGTCTCAGGATATAACCAGGTTTACCAGGTAATGTCTCAGGTTATAACCAGGTTATAACCAGGTAATGTCTCAGGTCATAACCAGGTTATAACCTGTTTACAACCAAGTAATGTCTCAGGTTATAACCAGGTAATGTCTCAGGTTATAACCAGGTAATGTCTCAGGATATAACCAGGTTATAACTAGGTTAAAACCAGGTAATGTCTCAGGATATAACTAGGTTATAACCAGGTAATATCTCAGGATATAACCAGGTTATAACCAGGTAATGTCTCAGGATATAACCAGGTTATAACTAGGTTTTAACCAGGTAATGTCTCAGGATATAATAGGTCATAACCAGGTAATGTCTCAGGATATAACCAGGTTATAACCAGGTACTGTCTCAGGATATAACCAGGTTATAACCAGGTAATGTCTCAGGTTATGACCAGGTTATAACCACGTTATAACCAGGTAATGTCTCAGGTTATAACCAGGTTATAACCAGGTAATGTCTGAGGATATAACTAGGTTATAACCAGGTAATGTCTCAGGATATAACCAGGTTATAACCAGGTAATGTCTCAGGATATAACCAGGTAATAAGCAGGTATTGTCTCAGGTTATAACCAGGTTATAACCACGTTATAACCAGGTAATGTCTCAGGTCATAACCAGGTTATAACCTGTTTACAACCAGGTAATGTCTCAGGTTATAACCAGGTAATGTCTCAGGATATAACTAGGTTAAAACCAGGTAATATCTCAGGATATAACCAGGTTAAAACCAGGTAATATCTCAGGATATAACCAGGTTTTAACCAGGTTATGTCTCAGGATATAACTAGGGTATAACCAGGTAATGTCTCAAGATATAACCAGGTTATAACCAGGTAATGTCTCAGGATATAACCAGGTTATAACCAGGTTATAACCAGGTAATGTCTCAGGATATAACTAGGTTAAAACCAGGTAATATCTCAGGATATAACCAGGTTATAACCAGGTAATGTCTCAGGATATAACCAGGTTATAACCAGGTAATGTCTCAGGTTATGACCAGGTTATAACCACGTTATAACCAGGTAATGTCTCAGGTTACAACCAGGTAATAACCAGGTAATGTCTGAGGATATAACTAGGTTATAACCAGGTAATGTCTCAGGATATAACCAGGTTATAACCAGGTAATGTCTCAGGATATAACCAGGTAATGAGTAGGTATTGTCTCAGGTTATAAACAGGTTATAACCACGTTATAACCAGGTAATGTCTCAGGATATAACCAGGTTATAACCAGGTTATAAACAGGTAATGTCTCAGGATATAACTAGGGTATAACCAGGTAATGTCTCAGGATATAATAGGTCATGACCAGGTAATGTCTGAGGATATAACTAGGTTATAACCAGGTAATGTCTCAGGATATAACCAGGTTATAACCAGGTAATGTCTCAGGATATAACCAGGTAATAAGCAGGTATTGTCTCAGGTTATAACCAGGTTATAACCACGTTATAACCAGGTAATGTCTCAGGTTATAACCAGGTTATAATCAGGTTATATCCAGGTAATGTCTCTCAGGTTATAACCAGGTTATAACCAGGTAATGTCTCAGGATATAACCAGGTTATAACCAGGTTATAAACAGGTAATGTCTCAGGATATAACCAGGTTATAACCAGGTAATGTCTCAGGATATAACCAGGTTATAACCAGGTAATGTCTCAGGTTATAACCACGTTATAACCACGTTATAACCAGGTAATGTCTCAGGTCATAACCAGGTTATAACCTGTTTACAACCAGGTAATGTCTCAGGTTATAACCAGGTAATGTCTCAGGATATAACCAGGTTATAACTAGGTTATAACCAGGTCATGTCTCAGGATATAACTAGGGTATAACCAGGTAATGTCTCAAGATATAACCAGGTTATAACCTGGTAATGTCTCAGGATATAACCAGGTTATAACCAGGTTATAACCAGGTAATGTCTCAGGATATAACCAGGTTATAACCAGGTAATGTCTCAGGTTATGACCAGGTTAAAACCACGTTATAACCAGGTAATGTCTCAGGATATAACCAGGTCATAACCAGGTTATAACCAGGAAATGTCTCAGGTTATAACCAGGTTATAACCAGGTAATGTCTGAGGATGTAACTAGGTTATAACCAGGTAATGTCTCAGGATATAACCAGGTTATAACCAGGTAATGTCTCAGGATATAACCAGGTTATAACCAGGTAATGTCTCAGGATATAACCAGGTAATGAGTAGGTATTGTCTCAGGTTATAAACAGGTTATAACCACGTTATAACCAGGTAATGTCTCAGGATATAACCAGGTTATAACCAGGTTATAAACAGGTAATGTCTCAGGATATAACTAGGGTATAACCAGGTAATGTCTCAGGATATAATAGGTCATGACCAGGTAATGTCTGAGGATATAACTAGGTTATAACCAGGTAATGTCTCAGGATATAACCAGGTTATAACCAGGTAATGTCTCAGGATATAACCAGGTAATAAGCAGGTATTGTCTCAGGTTATAACCAGGTTATAACCATGTTATAACCAGGTAATGTCTCAGGTTATAACCAGGTTATAATCTGGTTATATCCAGGTCATGTCTCAGGTTATTACCAGGTTATAACCAGGTAATGTCTCAGGATATAACCAGGTTATAACCAGGTTATAAACAGGTAATGTCTCAGGATATAACCAGGTTATAACCAGGTAATGTCTCAGGATATAACCACGTTATAACCAGGTAATGTCTCAGGTCATAACCAGGTTATAACCTGTTTACAACAGGGATGTCTCAGGTTATAACCAGGTAATGTCTCAGGATATAACCAGGTTATAACTAGGTTACAACCAGGTTATGTCTCAGGATATAACTAGGGTATAACCAGGTAATGTCTCAAGATATAACCAGGTTATAACCTGGTAATGTCTCAGGATATAACCAGGTTATAACCAGGTTATAACCAGGTAATGTCTCAGGATATAACCAGGTTATAACCAGGTAATGTCTCAGGTTATGACCAGGTTAAAACCACGTTATAACCAGGTAATGTCTCAGGATATAACCAGGTCATAACCAGGTTATAACCAGGAAATGTCTCAGGTTATAACCAGGTTATAACCAGGTAATGTCTGAGGATGTAACTAGGTTATAACCAGGTAATGTCTCAGGATATAACCAGGTAATAAGCAGGTATTGTCTCAGGTTATAAACAGGTTATAACCACGTTATAACCAGGTAATGTCTCAGGATATAACCAGGTTATAAACAGGTAATGTCTCAGGATATAACCAGGTTATAACCAGGTAATGTCTCAGGTTATAACCACGTTATAACCACGTTATAACCAGGTAATGTCTCAGGTCATAACCAGGTTATAACCTGTTTACAACAGGGATGTCTCAGGTTATAACCAGGTAATGTCTCAGGATATAACCAGGTTATAACTAGGTTACAACCAGGTTATGTCTCAGGATATAACTAGGGTATAACCAGGTAATGTCTCAAGATATAACCAGGTTATAACCTGGTAATGTCTCAGGATATAACCAGGTTATAACCAGGTTATAACCAGGTAATGTCTCAGGATATAACCAGGTTATAACCAGGTAATGTCTCAGGTTATGACCAGGTTAAAACCACGTTATAACCAGGTAATGTCTCAGGATATAACCAGGTCATAACCAGGTTATAACCAGGAAATGTCTCAGGTTATAACCAGGTTATAACCAGGTAATGTCTGAGGATGTAACTAGGTTATAACCAGGTAATGTCTCAGGATATAACCAGGTAATAAGCAGGTATTGTCTCAGGTTATAAACAGGTTATAACCACGTTATAACCAGGTAATGTCTCAGGATATAACCAGGTTATAAACAGGTAATGTCTCAGGATATAACCAGGTTATAACCAGGTAATGTCTCAGGTTATAACCAGGTTATAACCAGGTTATAACCAGGTAATGTCTCAGGTTATAACCAGGTTATCATCGTTGACTAGTCAACATTTATCAGAAGCTTTTGTGGCTGCACAAATAAACAGCTGATTGTTGGAGCAGTTTACTCACCTCCGCTGAAGGCTGATTAGACTTCTGACTTTTCTCTGTGGAGTAACAACAAATATAAAAATGAAAACCCACTGTGTCAAATATTTGTAGTGTCTGATTTTAAATGTCACACTTATAAAATAATCTTATTTTAACAGCTCTTAAACATACCAGAGGCAGCCTGTGCAGCCAAAAGTTCGTTGGGCAGCAGTTTTCTGCATTAGAAGCCTCTGACGCAGTGTCACTGGTCAACACAGAAACACAGGTTGGTTATTTTAATGAACAAAACAAATCCATAAACAGAATTATCTGCAGAGACACATGACAGTCACACAGACTCAAACCATGGTGATATTCAGACGATAAAATACAATAAACACGCACTGGATGGTCTTTGAGAAGGTATCAGAGTCAAACTGAAAAAGTGTCTTTATATATCAAAAATAATACAGCACACTCACAGTGATTTAAAATACCTGAAGGTTATTCCCTGTTTTTGTGTTGTTGTTATTGATAAATGAACCCCCTCTTTGTTCACACTTATTCATTAAAAACCTACGTGCTGAATCTCTTTAAGTTGACACAGCGTTTTTAAAACAAAGCTTTTTTAATGCATATTATCCGGGAAAGGCCTCATACGAAACATGTTTTTCCTTCAATTTCAAACACAGTAAATTAAAATGGTCTTTGTTTCCCTTACTGGGAATTTCCCCTTGTGGGACTAATAAAGGAGTATCTTATCTATCATACCTGACTTTACTAGTTTTTGACTAGAGACTCCCAGTAAGAGCAAACGATGATAAAACTTCTTTATTTCATTTAGTGTTTTTACACATTTCCTTTGTCTGACTGATTAATTGATCAGTAAATGTCTTATGTGAAGCCTTTGAATTGTCTTATTCAGTTAAAATAACCACTGAAATGTATCACATAAATACATGTGTCTTGTGACAAAAAGAGTATGAAACACAACACAGTGTAAGTCCAAAATCAAATCCTAAGTTTGCGAATCTTTAGATTTTTGCTGGCACTGTCACAGATTTAACTCTGAACTGTCTCAGATTATAATCTGCTGGGAGGTCTCTGTCATGTTTCAAATGTTACACTCTGCATATTAAATGCAAAAGAGGTAAAAGATTGTTTTAGAGACACATTGGTAAACTACTGTTTAATATCACACCCCTATAAATTTGAGTTTGCATTTTACTGTCATTATAAGTTAAATGTGTTTCTTACCTCCTGTTGAAGCCCGAGCACGCAATTCTCGGAGCTTCTCCTTTTACAGGAATGGGTTGACTCTTCTGTGCAGATTTAAAGAACAAATAAGAATGCATTGGTTAGCATAAAAGAAACTGTCAAATAAGTTTCAGACTGACGGCTTTAAATAGCCCAGAAGACATAAAAAAAATCTCTTATAGAGATTTCTCACAATAACATGAGCTTTTCTGCTCTTAAGCACGAAGAGTCTTTGACATGGTGGGCAGGACTTTCATGTGATGTCAATGCATCACTTTTAAGATAACCATCCGAACGTCTCGACTTTTAACTCGCTGATGTGGCCACATTCATTGTGTTCATGAAGGGCGGAGGATTCGTACGATTTTCTTATTTTCATTCTGGGATATAAGGAAATCGTGCTATGTGAAGAAGTCCAGAGGCAGCTTCTCATTCAAACAGTAGGTCAGTTAATGCCTTTGATCTCACAGCTGTTTAGGATGCAATCATTAACGAGACACACACACAAACAGTCTGACAATGTGTGTGCATGTGTCTGTGTCTGTGTCTAAAAGACTTGCATGTACACACAGTTAATATGTGTCTGCATCACCACCTATCTCCACCCACAAACTTTGAGCTACAGAAACCATTCTGGGCTTCAAAAATTCAGCTCATTGAGGACATTATGGGGTGTACTCAGGTTTTTTTTTTATTAAACTTTTCCCCACTTTAAAATTATTCTCATTATTCATGCATTATTAAATTCGTCAGACAAATCCAAACTCATTCAAACTGATTCAAACCTTTCTGATACTTCAAACCTGTTTAACACTTTCGGACTAATAATTATTTTAAATTTTTCCCACTTCAAAATCATTCCCATTATTTATGTATGTTTTAATTCTTCAAACAAAATCCCAGTTCTACCACTACAATTACTACTTATATCACTTTAACTTGTATCTTCACTTCTACCTCCACTGTTCTTGCTTCTCTTAATATTTTTTTTACTTCTACCACGAGCTCTACTGCTTTGACTTCTACTTCTTCTATTCTAAAACTACTTCTACTGCTTACATGACTACTAATATCTCTAGTACAACTACCTATTATCATACTTCTTCTAGTACTTCAACTTAAACTTATGCCGCTTCTTATTTTTCTGTGTTTTAAGGTAATTTTCTTCCTTATACAATTTTTTTTGCAATTTCAGACAGTTTTTCTAGCCTTATTTAGCATGGATGCAATTTTAATTTATGAAGCACATTCATACTATTTGTACTTCAGCAATTTTCACTTTCATTTAACTTTTACTTTTCTTTCTCCAGCGCTTTAACCAAGTTTACATTTAAACCTTCCTCCATTTTTTTTTTTTTTTAGCAGTTTAGCATTGCTTTTTCAGCTTTCAGCACTCAGCATGTGGTTTGGAAATGCATTTCCACGCATTTTCTGCAAGGAAATGCAATTTTTCTAGTTTTGATAATGCCTGTCACATTAAAGTCATAAACACTGTAAATATCCATGCACACATTTAATCCTTGTCGATGCATCGCTTAACCATCACGAAAGTCTCGACAGTAACACAAGTTTGTATGATAATATTGTCATGAAATCTTACGGTCTCCATGTCGTAGATGTTGTCCTCTCTGTTCAGGTGTTGGTTAGAGGTGTTAGTCCGAGTCCTTAGTCGTCTGGTGAGGTTTTATTTACGATGAAGCTGTCAAAAGTTGTAAATTCGTGAGCCGCTTAAGTTTTTCGTGCTGTTCTCTTCAGATTTGATCTTCAGAAATGACCGCTCTCTTTTGCTTGTAATGATTTAAAGTTTTTACATCGTTACATGGTTACCATGGAGATTTAAAATGCTGTTTATTTTAGAAAAACCCTTACACTGGTAGGTTATAGCTAAAAGTTTAATATTATCTTTAATTTACTTTAATCTCAATGGAATATAAATATCTCTCGAAGTAAAGTGGAGGTTATTTTTCGTGATTGAAGATAATTATTAGTATAATTATCTCTTAAATACAACGGAGTATAAGGGGCACAATTAGAAAAAAAAACGTTTTTAAATCTTTAAGAATAAAGTTATTATTTGGGAGAATAAAGTCATTAATATCAGTATTAAGTCGTAAAGTTACCTGTTGTGAAGGAGAGTTGTTAAAATCAGCACTGTGGAGCATTTAAATGAATTGTACTTTAGTATAGGTTTCACAAACATGGAGATACTTTTTTTTTTTTAATAATCAGATTTTATTCCATTTTTAGAACATAACAACAATACAGCATTGCATACATCAATAAGGTCTGAGCGAGTGGAAACAGATGAATAAGCAGAACTCAGTAAAAAAAAGGAAAGAAAAGGGAAAACGTAAAACATGTAAAAATAAATAAATAAATATCTACAAACTAATATATACAAAAAAAAAAAGTAAAGACAAGCACGAATAAATAAATAAATACATATATACACATACATGTCCCTGCACCTGATATGAAAGATTTCCTACCACCATTCACCTCATCCTGTAACCTTCTAGGCCAGTGTTTCCCCTCTCGATAATTTCACTTAGATCCTTAGGCAGATAATCCATTAGAGGCCGCCATATGTCCATAAAAATGTCGTTATTTCCTTTCAATTTGGCACTTAGTCTTTCCATAGGAAAGACTGAAAATTTCTTTGTACCACTGGGTTACAGTGGGGGGTTTCTCACTAATCCAATTAAATAATATGCATTTTCTGGCCAGAAGTAAAAGTTTATTGAGTAATTTCGATCTTTTTGCATCCATAACTCTATTCACTGAAGGCAGGCCTAATAGAAACTGGCCTGGATCTTTACATATCCTGTGTTTGAATATTGCTGACACTTCCTTAGATACACAAGACCAGAACATCGAGATTTTCGAACAGTTCCAAAAGCAGTGCATATAAGTCCCACTTGACGTTTTACATTTCAGGCACAATAGTGATCTATTGGGGTCAATTTTGTTCATAACATGAGGTGTTCTGTGTTGTCTGTGGAGTATCCAATATTGCATTTCTTTAAATTTACTATTGAGGAACAGCGAGTGAGTGGTCCGAATACATCCCTCCCACGCATCTTCATCATATACCCTTTGAAGGTCCTCCTCCCATCGCTTAACCAGCCCCTCAACACGATGTTGGTTACAACTCTGAAGGCTAACATGGAGATACTTAATCCTTTGGTACATGAGCATTACACTGTCATGAGTATCAGAACTTATATTTGAGATATATGAGAAATGCTGCTTTTGTGGAGGGGAAAATGGCTGGAAATGGCTGTACAGAGGCTAAATCCGTCAATACAGCTGTTAATAGCAATAGCATAGGGCTTTAGTTTATCATATGAGTTTATATGCCATGAGGTGTTGAGGTCTCTGCATGTGTAGGTTACTGACTTACTGTAATCATCGGGTCTATCTCGTTATAAAAACCTGCTCTATTACGGCGAATGTCTGTCTTCTTCTGTAGTCAAACCGTAAGATATCAAAATCTACCCGGATACAGCAATGCTGCTTTTTGATTGGCTGTTCAGTAGATATACTTTATATGATTGGCTTGTGCGTGGCACGCAGCTTCTGAACTCTCGGAGGAACTCGGTTGATTCCTACCTGTTCCATAGTTAAAGAAGTGCAACTTGGTGGACATCACCATGTTCATTTAAATGCGTGAGAAATACAATGTGTGGCGTGTGAGCGGGTGGGAATGCGTGTGTCACACGCTGAATGCGCGAGACTTGAGAGCCATGCATGGTATTAACTGTATAAACTTCATCACCAGTGTCCCTCATCTACACACCTGTCTCCTCTCATCCACACAGACCCACCTGTGTTCACAAAGCTACAGCTTTCACATGAGCTCATCACCCCACAACACTGTTTAACGGAGATCTGACGTGACCTCAAAAAATATCAAACGTCCTAAACTCTGTCCACCACACATCCGAGCAGAGACATAACTGATCAAACCTTCAGGAAAAAATTCTTACCTTCACTCTGGAGTCTAAACTAGTCAGCATTATCAGTCATCCAGCTCCAACAGTTTAATATTCCACCTATATTATTCACATCCCGTTTCTCGCGATCAGCGCGTTTCATCCATTTGCATTGTGTGAAAAAAGTTTAAGATCGCTTTAGCTTCAGGTGTCCTGATAGAGACCGATAGCAGGAGCATCTCTGGACCTGGTACCGAGTCCAGAGCACAGGTCCAGACAGGCCGTGACTTACTCACTCACGGTCAGCGTCTCATCCAGACTGACTGACTGGATGAGACGCTGACCGCGAGTTTGTAAACGGGATTCCAACAGGATGTAAACGGGAATAATATCAGTGGATTATTAACCTGTTGGAGCTGGATGACTGATAATGCTGACTGTTTTAGACACCAAAGTGAAGGTAAGACATTTTTGCCTCCGTTATTTTATGTCAGATCCCCGTTTAACAGTGGAGACTCTGGTGATTAAGTTTATTACACTGAATAACGATGTTTACATCTGATCGCTGCTGCTGCTGCCTGCATGTGTGAGCTGCGGAAAAGCTGCGGAGAATCACCGGCCATTTCAGCGGCAAATGATGAAAATGCAACGTTTTTTTTATTTCTTACGTTGTAAAATTGGTTGGAGCAGCCTGGCGCAATACAAAATACCCCTCCTCTGGTGAGTTTACTCGTCTTTGGCTCTCGATTCGCCATTTCAGCCATCCTAATCTGCTCTAATTCACTTGTCAAAACGTGGGCTCATAGACTGTATACAGTCTATGCGTGGGCTACACAACCGATTACGTCACGAGAAGTGGCACTGCTTTACGGTTCCCCGCAGTGTCGCTAAAGTGGAACTTCTGTCGCAGTTTTCTAGAAATGTATAACATTTGAGAGTCATGAATATAGTTATTTGTGAAGTCGAGAAGCATTCTTAAAAAATAATGATAACTTGAATCAGTGTTTCATGTCCTCTTTAAAGGAGATTAAATACAAATTGTGACCTGTCTTTCCCTTTAAATTCAAACTGTTCTACATCAGCATACATCACTTTGTTGCCTTGCGAGTGGCCCCGGCCTAACCACATACATTTTCATTTTTCTTAGTACTTCAAAGCACCACCTCCTGGCAACAGAAAGTTACTGCATTCCCACCTTGTTGGTGACCCCTTCAACATGCTTTCAGTACATTCTCAGATCTCCCCCTTACCACCCCACAAAAAACTACTTTGATTGCAGTTGTCATGGCAGCATGTTATTTGCCATGTAAACAGAAAGTAGTTTTAAGACTTCAAATATTTACAGTCACTAAATGGCACACAGCAGCTAAGTGGAGCAATAATACTGATGTAGGTGTGGTAGGTGGGTTTGGTCTAAATAGCTCATTTAGTTGCTTCCACAATGACCCCAGGCTTAATATTGAACTAGCTTTATGAATGTACAAAGTGTTGAAAAGATTTTAAAAAATCTGATAAAACAAATTGACAGACTTCCGGCCAGAGATCATACCTGAAATGAAATTTCTGCCCTATTATTACTTTAGTTTAATTCATCATTTACATTGTTACGTTATGACAAAAGTGAATATACACAACAAAACATCATTAAATTTCCAAGTTTCATATTTGAAATCTTTAATTTTGTTCTAGAATGAAGTCACTATTGTTATTTTTTAAATGTAATTAAATGGTTTATTACTTTAATTCTAAGCTCACCACCTGTTTTGACTTCCCTGCTGTCAATTATAGTAAGTCGCAGCATTTCGCAGAACTCACCAGGTAGAAACTGCTTTTGGTATTCCAAGGTATTTCGGGTGAACTGTTAGCTCAATCGCCTTCTGGGGTAAGAGTGTGATTTGTCTCTATACCTCAGCTCTGTGATGGACTACTGACCCGTTCAAGGTGAACCTATCCTCTGGCCCTGTGACAGCCCAGATAGGCTCCAGCTTCCCGGAACCTGAAAAGAACTAGTGGTAGCAATGATCGATGAATGGAAGTATGTTTCATGATAGGGGCTTGGTTCTGTAAAGTTGCACACACTGAAAATAAGAGCAACTTTCTTCATATTTCCTACATAGCAAAAATCAAGCTCCTAGATGTTTTAAAACTTCAATCTTCTTTTGAAAAATCCCATTTGGAGCAGTATTTGTGAACTTAGTGATTTATTTTCTGTTCAGAATACAGATAACTGAATCACTGAACTTAAGCATTTTAATTACAGCTTTGGACATATTTGGAGAGAACTGGCCATACACAGAAAGTTTGGATTTGTTCTTCCCCATGTAGTCTCCACTGTTTAAGTATAAAAAAACATTCATGATCTACAAAGAATTGTATCTTATAATATTATTGTATTTTAAACATGTAAAGGACGGAAAATACAACCAACAACACAAGAAGCCTTTCAATTTTATTGTGTCCACCGAATCAGTGCAAAGGGCCCTCGTAGTCTGTAAGATCAAAATAATGAAGTTGGCTGACAAAGGGGTCAGAGGCTGAGGAGGGCAGCAGGAGCACACCAGCTACACTTTGTGCCGCTGGTACATGTGCTGTATTCTTGCACCCATTTGTCTGTAAATCAACCACAGCAGTATGAAAGGAAATGTGCGACCTCTTACGGAAACAACAATCACATGACACATTTAAATCAATACAAGCCCGGATCTTAGCCGCTTGTACTTTACCAAAGCCTGTAGAATAGAGAAGTCTCACTAAGATCCAGCATACTTGTTCTTAGTGAAAGCACTGGACACCTCGCAACAAGAGTGTTAAAGGAGGGCATGGCCATGTTTTTGCAATCAAAACAAGTAAGTCCAAGAAAAGAGGTAGAAAACTAACGCCCAATGGCACAATGTGGTCAAATACTCAGTGTGCTGTGCTTTGCCAACCCAATCAAATCAATAATGCATACAGACAGGCATACAAGATGCTAACTCCTGGATCTGTCTGTTTCTGTCCCTTTATGTACAACTAAGATAAATGTACAACCCAATAAATGTTTTTGGTTTTTAGGTTTTTTATAACTTGACCAAAAAGCACGAAACACCCTGACTTGTATAGTATGAAAAATACAGTACATATACAAAAGTAACTAAAAAAAGCACTTAACCGTCAAAAGAAGCATTTATATAGGGAAAAGAAATTTAAAAAATACAGTAAGTTTCATGTATTTTTTGTTAACTTTTTCAAACGTAGAATATATTTACAGCCATATCAGAGAGCACAGAGCTATGAAAGCACAGAGTAGGGAGAAGTATATGATAAAAGACTAACAGGAAATTTTTCTTCATACCAGGGATGTTAAATATATGCCTTCTGTCAGTCTTGAGTCAAAATGACAAGCACTGAAAAAGTTCTACAAAGGACCAGGAAGGACAGGTTAGTCCAAAGCGATGATGTCTCCATCCTCATCATTGTCGACAGGGGACATTTCTGCGCTTGATTGGGCTGTCCTGGGGCGTTTAATTGAGGTCTCGCCAGCGTCTTCATCTTGGTGCTTCCTCTTTGTGCTATGGGGAGCCGCTGCTGCAGAGCCAGTGGATGTGCCCTCCTCGTCATCAGAGTCAACAATCATGACGTCGTCTTCCTGGGCTGGAACTAAAAGGGGTTGGATCGCAGCATTCAGAGACAAATAAGAGGTAAACGCTGAGTGGTTTTTAGGAGCATTATTGCACAAAACAATAGTAAAATTGCAGTTTAGGTTTTTTTTTTATCAGTCCTAATTAGGGCCACAGGGCAGTTGCCCCCATGGCCCCTTTAAAATTTCCTTGCGGGAATTTTATAGTTACCATTACCTTTCTTATGAAATTTATTACATTTGCCAGTGTGTTATTTAAATGAGAATATGCTCACATCCCTTTTATATGAGAAACATTGCCCACTGCATTTTTTGCATATTTCTTTTGGTTGGAGATTTTCATTTCTGGGACTCCTGATTTTAAGCTTGGTCTAATGTTTTTGGTGATAATGTGTGATATATTACCTTTGATATTAGCTTGTGGTATGTGTTCACAGTCATGATTAATAAGCCAGTCAAGAATTTAAAAAATTGGGATCAAAATATTTCTGATATTATTTTAAGAGACTTTTAAATCCAAAGTTAAATTAGCCGTAGTAAAAAAGAGGACATTTTCCTGCTAACCTTTTGAGGAGGTGGATGGCTGGGCGGAGTCCTTGTTGCCATTGATGATGCTGTTACCCTCGACTTGGTTAGTCTGAGGAGGCGGGGCTTTGTCTGGGGCCTCACCGACCACCTCAAATTCCACATCCCGCTCCAGTTCTTCACTGCAAATAAGGACACACATATTCCGCTTTAGCAGTTCGGGTCACCAAAACAAAATAATATATAGAATGCACTATTGAAAATGTAATCTGGCTTTGGAGCATGCACCACCAGTATGGGTAAGGGTTTGCTTGTCTGTGCACACATTTCTGATCAGGTTTGTTTTTATTCTCTCATTCTCATCATGGAAAGTGTACTCCACCCCCAGGTCATGTTTTGAGCATACACAATGTTTACAACCAAGAACCCCAGTCCTGCTCACCCTGCTTACCCTGTTCGGGTCCTAATTTGCACAACCACTTATTTACTCAATTTAAACTTTGTTGAACCAGTTGGGTTTCAGCCATCCTTCAGCTGCTTCTATCAAAGCAGATAAGACATCTCTAACATCTTAAAATAAAAAAAGATTCCCCCAGTTAAGTGAACTTTTTCCATCAACCCAACTACTGTGTATGTACACTAATGCAGGCACATACCTGTGAAGAACATTGATGAGGAGAGTGTAGTCTTGGAGAAAGTCATCAGCTTGAAGGCGGCTCCCATTACGGATCCCAAAATCAGACAGGAATTTGTTGTTGTTGGCTGTGAAGGTTAGAGACCAAATGATTTTAACAACTGACCACCAAAATCCCCTTAAACTAGTTAGTGGCAGCAGTCACATCATGCTCTATATCACTTCATATATTGTCATGCACATTGCTGCTCAGCTTCACTGTGTCTGGAATACAGCGGACATCGCATGTATCCAGAAGACGACGACAAAAACCTGTGATCTCAACCACAGAGATGAGCTCTGGTTGTCCACAGTGATGACATCAACCAACCTCTCAGTAATCTTTTGGTCTTTTCTGTTTTCCACTCAACTGTCATTTTAGCCACTGTTGCTTTTGATAATGTAACAGACGGTCCTGTGGTTACGCTGTCGTTTTTCAACCATCAGCTCTTGCGAGTTATCGTAGAACGCCAAAAAGGGGGTTACCATATCCATTTTAGCTGTGCATGTATGTTTATAAAATACATTTTAAGCCTTCTAAGCTAAATCATGCAAAGTGCAAGCTGGCAAAAAAGATCGGTTCAAATTGCTGACCACCAATAAATAAAAACAAATGCCAAGATTTGCCCTGATGTAACAGCTGACATTGGAAACAAGACATCGCTACTTCCCGCTGTCCTCAATTCACCAGTGATCAAACCAATATTTTATCATCATTTTTGTTTTGGAATTTTGGCCCCTTTGAGACACCCTCTTTCCTTTTTTCCACTAGAGGTACACTGTCACTTAACTCTTGATGCTTTGCTGTCTCTTTTATCCCTCCCTCATTACCTTCAGTTTCTCCTTCTTCAGAGGAGATGAGGATTGTTCCTTTTCCATCCTCTATCTGAACATCTGGGGCAACCATGCCAAACCTCTCCTTCAGGATCTAAGACCAAACAAACAAGCAAAAAATTTAAGTAAACAACACGTGAAAATACAAGAAAAATCTCATTGACTGACCAACATTTACAATTGGACAAGAACTTATTTAGTACACTTCATATCTTAGTAACTTTTATATACAAAATAGACTAATTCTGCATATTCTCTGAGCATTTCATCACTATCATGGAATAAAACACTTTTGGGGACAGAGACGGTTTTAGTATGGCATCTGAGCAGGAAAAAAATTGGAGCATCACTATGAAATTTTCATGTGAATCATATTTGTGGGAGAAAGAAGCCAATATCATACTTCATGGGGCTGGCTGGTGCATGTATAAAAAAATTGCCTCTCATGTCACCTTGTCCTGCAGGGAGAGGACCACGGTTTTGCTGACATTAAGTTTGACTGTAACTTCAGGTTTGCTGGCGCAGACGTAGCAGTTATTGCTAGGAGGGTCGAGTATACAGGGAACCAGCAGCTTCTTCCGGAGGTTGGGACACTTGTTCAGGAAGATCTGGAGAAGAAGAAAACATAAACTGTACGTTGAAATGTGGGAGGGAAAAAGAGCCAGGAAAACAAGAGCTGAAGGAATTCAGGCTGAATGTGCGGTGTCATGTGGCAATCAGGGTATATAAACAAGCCCTGGCAACAACATTCAACATAGACTGAAATGTTTAAAATATATATTTATATACAGTATATTTAAACCAAGTAATTTCACCTATTAGCAGAAAAATCCATTCAGATTAACAGATAGCAGGGAAGTTAATGTGTCTAGGAACCAACCAAAGTAGTCAAATCATGACAAAGAAACTGAACGGGGCATTGTGAGTGATACAACCAGAGTTCAAGACAGCAGTGCAAGTGATAGCCGGCAAGAAACAGACAATCGCACAAAAAGTACCAAACTTAGGGGTGAATCTTCCGAAAAAGGGGAGACTTTTAGGGGTGGGAATCACCAGTGGTCCCACAATACGTTATTATTCAGATTTTTTACATTTAGCAATACAGTGAGTATTGCAATACCGTATATAGCGATTTATACAACATTTTCAACTGTTTAGCTAATTAAGCATTTGTCTTTCCTCTGTGTTTGACTTAATAACACAGTATTTTATTTTCATTTAGCACTTCTTCTTGCAAACCTCATGTGTCAGGTCCATCTCATTTGTGCCCTGTTTGCATTCCTAATGTCTTTACCCAGCTGCTGCTATATTTGTTGTACTAACTCTCTCTCCTGCTCTATGATGTCACCTCGGCCAACCTCGCTGGATTTTGTTTTTCCGTTATCATAGATTTGACTTCACATTAGCAATTAATTTGAAAAAAATTTATACTTGGTAAATGATATGATACGATATATCACCATGCTGTATTGTTTTTTTTCTCCCACCAAGAGACTTTTACCAGGAAAACTGAATAACATAAGCACTGAAGATTAATTAACCATCCAAACTGATTCCTGATGGTCATTTCCTATGACAACATTTAATTGTTTGTTATTCATTTTAATAAGCACAGTTCACAAAATTTCAAATCCAAAATTTATCCAACCCTCCAATTCAACTGGAAAATAAAATGTCAATATCAATAATTAACAGAGATCATCAACATCCAAGGTATGTTATGACCAGATGTCAAGATCCTGACGAAGGCCTGGACTCATTTAAATCAATTATGAGTTAAACTCACGGTTCGACAGGACTCTATTTCCCCAGAGAGGATCTTCAGCCCCTCCAGAACGATGAGTCCTGCGATGACAGCGTTGGTTGTAGCAATGGCTGGGATTATATTGCCTGCCATGGCTGAAACACAAATAAATCCATTTAAACTTCTTCAATGATTATTTAGAAATGTATGTAATACTGTTTTCCTTTACAAAAAAAACAGAACAACACCTGAAGATAACAGACTTACACTTCACATCAAAGCGACTTTTCATGTTCATACTGAAGATGTGCATACGCAGGTTGGCTGCTGCAGTTACAAAGTCCATGGCTGGAGGGTCGTCCTGGAAGAGAAGTAGTAAAACGTAGCTTTACTATCAGTCCTACAACATCACAGCAGCTCTGTTTTCATTTAAAGCATCCTGAGTTTATTATGAAAGACTTCTGTCAAACATCCTCATCCATGACCAAACCCCTCCATCCCAAATCAGATATATGCATCTATTACATACATTCAAGTGATTCCTATCTGACGTGAATTCAAGAAATATGTATGGAAGAAATCTGCCAATATGTTTTTGTTACCTTGTCCCACACCAGCTCTGCTCCTTCTCCCTTTTCCTTCAGCTGAGAGCGGAGGGTTTCAACACTGTTCCGGAACAGCTGACAGTGACCCCAAACACCCAGAACTTGCTGATCCTTCAAACCAGAAACTGGAGACTCCTCCTGAGAACATGCTGTGGCACATATAAAAGAAAGATGTTAAAAACATATAACATTTCTGACAGCTAAGAGAGCAATAGAAGACCTGTATTGACTACTGGCACCCAATAACATTCCAATCTTGAAGAGCTCTGTTTTATGGCAGATAAGGTAGTTACAAAAAGCTGATGATCACCACATGGGCTGCGACTGTGACAGTGATCTCCACCAGTTACTGTATAATTACACCAACATTAATTCATGCAGCTGGTTAGTAGTACAGCTGAGTTCATTTTGGTGTGTTTAGTCTTGACTCTAGATATAAAAATACTGGACCCCTTTTTTCTCAATCTACTGAGAAGATCTTGATCTGGTAATCATGGGGTCTTTTTAAATGACTATAAGATGGATCAATCCATCCATCTACAAGATTTTCCCTCCTAATTAAAAGATTAGGGTCTCAAAATGACAAAAAGACCAAGAAAGGTAGGGGTGTCTTGATACAACTTTTTTATTTCCGATACAAAACAAATATTGGCCGATACCGATATTAGCACAAATTTGAGCATGACAAGTTTTACACTCAGTTTCTTCATCTTTTTAGGACTTACATGAAAAATACTGCCACACGGCCGACATCACTCCTGTTCCTTGTTACTTTGTTGAGTCCGAAATGAACTAGTTGTATCAGAGTGCTCATATCGGAGATTTCCGATGCAGGCCAATGTAATCCGATTGCTGTTTTTTGCTGATATCGGACCAATATCCAATATCAATATCGGATTGGGATATCCCAAAAAAAATTTATTTGGGGCCTGTAACACTATGAAGCACCCAAACTGCTATCTCATGTTGCACAGTCGGGTACTGATGGCTAAAATCTTGTATAAATTACACACACCAGTGGCTTGATGACAACTGCCATTAGGAATGGGCACGATTAATTGTTGATCGATTAATTGATCGTTAAGAATTACGTTGATCACACAAAATTCTGATTGATCTAACGATATTAAAAAAAGGGCTGACATTGTGCGTCGATCCTCCAGCAAAGATGAACCTCTGCTGATCAGGAGGGATACCCTCTCTGTCCAGTCAGTGTGTGTGAGAGTGTGGAAGCAATGAAGTGAAGTGACCATAACTGCGCAGAAAAAGTTTGACATTTTACAAGGGGAGACTGAGCAGGACCATAGCAGTTCAACACAATTCATCACTCCTCTTCTGTTACACACAAGCTAACTGAGGTGGATAGACACAGGCTGGGTTTGATAAGAGCTCAGTGATATTTCGAACAAACCTACCAGACTTCTCCAGCTGCTGCCAGTCCAGAGGAGTAGGAGCTTTCCTCTTTTTCCAAAGTTTGTCCATGGTCAGTAAGTACATGATGTCATCTTTAAATAGCTGAACATACATCAGAAGAGGAGAGGAATCAGAACTGCGTTTGCTGCTGTAGTATGTCTCTGTGGTTCAATCATTTTCTCTTTGTAACAACACTAAACAATCAAATGCATCTGCAAAACTACAGAAAACATATCAACCAGACTTTTCTAACCCTAAAGGCTGCAATTACACTCTTGCCATGTGACATGCAAGTGAGAGTTAGGAAGACAGCTAAAAGAGGAAGGAGAAACCGAGCACACCACACTTTGTACTGTCGTACATAGATCAGGGTCTACAGAAGCTGCCACTGCAGAAACTTAAGGTGAAGAAGAGCAGTTGAGAGGAACTGTAACTAAATAGGTATCAAATAAATGTATAACATAGATCAGTCACAGAGAGGCAAAAAAGTGCTAACACTACATGTCCTGCAGTGTATTACCCATGCACACATTGCATTATTTAAAAAACACAAACAGCTCAAAATGCTCATCACTGCCGATTTAAACCAACAAGGTTGTATCGAAGCTTAACACAAATATCTGTGTGAATAGTTCAGTATGAAAAGTCTTATCACATCTATATCTGTAGATATCCTGAAAGCTTCAGTATTTCACTGAGCAGCTTAGTACCTCCCTTCCTGTTAAAATACTTTTAAATTTAACCAACATAAAAACAGCAACCTTTTTAGGTAAAAAAAACAATCTGGAATTCCAGATAAATCTGAAGAGAATTAACTAGTTGATATATGTTTACAAACACAGCACCACAGTGCACAGACATTTTCTTGAAATGGAAAAATCACATGAGCAGAAGACAACAGGGCCTGCTTTAGGAAGCTTTGCAAATGACTGGTTTGGACTTTTGGTACCTTGTTGAAAAGTTTGACAGGGTCGTATCCTGTAGAGCGAGCCCACTCCTTGGTGGAGATTCGCTTGATGTCTCCGTCTTTTTCTGAAGCTGTGGCCCGAGCAGCTGTATCTTCAGGGTTCCCTGTGGACAGAATACAAGTCTATGGTCTGTAGTTTTGAATGACTTTATGACCAGCTATCTGTTCTGTTAACCTATAAAGACACACTATTGGCCATAATATCATGACCAGATGAGCCATTAACAGTTGTGATTTCCCCCCACAGGAAATTAAAAAAATGATCACTGTGCAGAGTAAACGGACAATCCCACAAAAAAAAAATCCCCTTTTCAGCTCTTCCACGCACCCTGCGTCTCCAGGGAACAACCAAACCAGTGCTAACACAAACTGAATCCACATGTCATCCATCAAATGCCAAAAACACATTTTCAACTTACAAGCAGCCTCAGGGTCTGCTGTATCAGGAGACACCTCTTGATCCGCATCCTCTTCTCCAAACAGCTGACTGTAGCAGCCAAAAAAGACCATCAATCAGAACAGAGTACACTTTGCTTGGACTTTTTGCACCACTGGAATTTATCACAGGATCCACAACTATGTATGTTTCTCGAAAACGTGCATGGGTAATCTAGAAACTCAACTGTTTTATGAATGTGAGACAAACTGTGATAAACTGGGCCTTACTTGAAGAGATACTTGGCCCAGACAATACAGTGAATGGGCTCTGACGGTGTGTTTCTAATGGTGCATCCTGGAAAGGTCTTCTGGGTGGGCTTCGGCTGGCACTCATAACATTCTGTCATTCCCTGGAAAAACAAACAGAGAAGTGTGGAAAGGTGAGGTTAAGGTGGACGTACTTGCAACTGGTATTTAAACTAGTAAAGGGCAAAGGGTCACTCTACCTTCTTGATAACTGTGACCTGTCCCAGATACCCAGCAGTGCCACTCTCGATCAGAGGAATGTCTGCTGCTAAACACATCCTGTTCACGTGATTACGGGCGGCTGCAGAGAGAGTAGATTTTTTTTTAAAAATCATGTCAATGAGGTCAATGCAGACTTGCAAAGATGAATTTGAAAAAATTACATCAGCTCTATCAAAGATCATAAACCCACAAACTCAATTCCCAACCAAAGTTTATCATTTATAGTTAAAATAAAATAATCTTAGTGTAGGGATTTTATTTGAAACTACCTCTGTTATCCAGAGCATTCATCACCAGCACAAACTTTCTGAAGAACTCCACATTGTAGTCAGGGCTGTCAATGGGAACAACATAAAACATCAAATGGACAAACACTGACTTCATGCTTTGATTTGCAAAAAAAAAAAAAAAAATGACTATAACAAGAAACAGACAGAGGCTTACTTCATGATGCTGTCATGGTATGCAGTAATCATTGCAGAAGGACAAAACTGCAAGGCACTCTCCTTGGCCACCTTTAAAACAACAAGAACAAAGTCAATAAGAGGAGAATAGTGTTGTAATATAGTATGATGAATAATAGAATTACACAGAAAGATATCAACAAGGGTTGAGTTATCAGTGTTATAGTACACAAGGACACTAAAGAGCTGACAGTGACAGTGGTGGATGAGACAATGTTTACTAACCTGTGCTTTAGACTTGCCCACATGCTTCTTCTGGAAGAGGAACTGACGGTTTAGATTGCTCACATCAATTGTGTCCAAGTCAATCTGTGAAATCAATACAGTTGAAAGATGAGGAATAATCATGTTGCATGGTATACATACGATAATTGACCCAGGACAATATGTAACTTATACCACATTCACTAGAAATTACAAGGTACTGAGCTGCTTTGTTTTCCTTTCTATCACAGGATGAGCCCTTGACTTTTTTTTTTTTACCACATACTTTACTTAGTCCAAGAAGAAAATTCCTGAAACTAAGGCAAATGACTGTAAATATGGTTTGTATCCATCCACGACCGGTGACCTTACCCAACAAAGTTTCTCTAGTGTATAAACTTAAAAACTCTGCACTACAACTGGCTAGAGCCATGCTGGTTAGATGGTTACAAACACCATGTTATAAACAAATGTCTAACAATAACTTCAGTGTGCATTGTTTTCTTTTTTACGATCTCCAACATTGATTGGCTGCAATTATATCTACCATGATGAATCAATTGATGGAAAATTTAAATATGTTGCAAGTGGGGTGGTGGTGGTGGGTCTACAATAGGAGCCAAAAAATATCAAAATGGGGGAGGGAAATGTTTGGTGCTAGATGGGATTTGGATCTAGATAACCAAACATGCTGTTATGGAATACACTGTGTCAATATATTTCATGAGTAATTAGTCCCCTTTGCCTCATACGTGCCAGGGTTATCTAAATTAGTAACATGTTTTAGATGGATTTTAACTTGTCATGAATCAGAAAAATACCTAAACAAAATAAATGGGTTGGGCTTCAGATTTCGGAACATGGCATTTTGAATATTTTTGTCATGAGCAACACTTTCAGAAGTTCAAGTACACACTTGCCTGCACCTTTTCTGTATTCTTTCTTTGACAAGCTGTTATTGAGGATGTAAAAATGTGGGTAATCTTTCATAAGACTGTGATAGAAGTTACAATGGCAGAAATGACTGCAGCTTTTACCTTTCTTTTTAATTTGCATTGTGCCTTTGCTGATCATTTCAAAATGTAATTGATCAACTTGATTTATTAGGCCAAGTGATGAGTGAACCTTCTCCCCTCTCTACAGCTGTCACCTTTAACCCACTGAAAACAGCCACACACCTCTCCACGAGCCAGCTCATGGTCAACTCTAGTGCAGGGCACACCAGGAGTTCCCATCATGACTTTTGATAGGACATGCCCAGTCCATTACAGACTACAGCTCAAGGAAGAACATTTATGATCATTTTTTCATGGAAATGCAATCAAACTGAGACGCTAAGGCCGGAGAACTTAATTTTATGCCAGATTATCCCTTTAAAATTAATGTTTGACTAATGAAAGAAGGTTTTTTTTTCAGTGATTGTACTGTAGGCTAAGAAGAGGTTGAATGTTAGGACATGTTGAATGCTATCAATTGGACTTGCACTGGCTGAAGAAGCTTTTTTAGTGATGGCGTGTTGTGAAAACTAGCATTATCTTCTGACAGGCTTTGATAACTGAAGAAATCTGGTGCCAAGTACTTATTTATGGATAATAGCTCCACAATTCACACAAGTGCACTGCACAGCAGACTTGAATAACAAAAATTTAAGCGCCTGCAGAGAATTCATATCAACAAATCGCTCCAAACTTCTTTTAAATTCTGATGATGTGCTCCGATTAAATGCATGTGGTAATGTGCAAAAACGTATGATTAACCATGTCTCCAGATACACACTCAAAATTGGCAGTCCCGCGTAGTTCATTGTCCCTGCCTAGAGTCTATAAGACACTCAAATCTACAGAAAATTGTCCTTTTTTCTGGTTAAATGTATTTCAGGTAACAGTGCTTATATGTGTATGTAAATGCAATGTAAAAACACCAATGTTTGAGAGCGTCGGTGCTAGCATTTTGTCCGCCGACCGACTAGCTAGTGGTCGCATAGTGTATTTAGCATAAGTAGCGGTACAGGAGCCCAGGCTTCCTCTGAGCTCTCTCTCCCGGATTAGAGGGTAAATGTGCGCTCGGAAATATTGAGAAACAAAACACCTAACAATTCTGTAAAGCCACGATTTTGGACTCAGCCCCAGTCCGCACATCTCCGTGAGCAGACCAACACAAAGACATAGCTTGATTGTTAGCTCGCGGGCAGCAGCAGCAGCAGACACGCATTCAAACAAACTTGAGTGTTACGGACCACTTCGATGTTTTTGAAGCCGGTGAGGACCAGGTTCTTCAGGAGTTCGCAGCCGATTCCTCCCGCGCCGACCACCAGCACCTTGCTGGTGGAAAGCGAGTCAGCCAGCTCCTCCCGGAGAGAACCCACCATTTGGATCATGATGGTCGTCTGTAGACAGAACCAAAACCTGCAGAGCTGTGGGTGGCGGTTAGCTTCGTGTTGTACGGATATGACGTCCTACCTGCTTCCGGTAAAGTCGAAACGGTCTGCACAGAGCAGTGGATTAAACAGATCTCGCCGCCAGAGCGGTCACGTGGTTCATGTACCCCTCACTGTCCATACTCTTCAACGGGACAGACTGCAGTTAGCGCGCATTAAAGAGGTAAATATTAAAATTAACCGTAAAAAGTCAACATTTGCAACTCTTATTGGATTACTGTGTACTGGCTGGATGACAAATAAAAGTGAAATAAGACAAGTTTGGTAACAGGTGTTACTTTTTAATAAGAGAAAATAATACAATAAAGTGGTAAGTAACAGATGTTACAAGCTGTTTAAACAATTGTGCAATGTTTTGGTCTTGCAGCATGGCCTGCATAACATTTTTCCATGTTAAACAAATGCCTTAAATGCTGACAGGATTTAAAAAGTAGCGGTCCCTTATCATCCCATAAGCAGAAATCAAATGACATAGCACTTATGTTAGTCTAAAAAGAATAAATTGCACATAACACTGGGTACTGATAAAGGCTGAAATCTAAAATAAAGCCCATAAGTAACCATCTCAACATATGATTGATGATGATAATTTATCTGTGATTCAAAACTCAGTCACACAATAAATTTTGGCAGGCCTCTACAGCTGACGACGTCCAACCATAGTCTGTATATACTATGGACAACCTGGTTCCGCCCTCTGCCTGTATACAGATTTGAAGCCAAAAAGCTCTCGGTAATTCCGGGTTTTCTCCACTTCCTTGAAACCAGAGCTGCGCAGTAGCGATGCGCGCATTCGCCCGCGCAGTCGCCCGCGCAGTCGCCGAGAGTCCCTGTGATGACGCTCGGCTCAAACAGCGTATCCCCCGGATGAGCTACGCAATCCCTGAACGCCCATAGGCTGTACCAGGTGTCAATCATAGAAAACATGAACCCCCTAATAACTTTTAAAAACGGAGCTGTACAGAAAAAAAGGACTTGGGCACAAACCAGTCTTACAATAACTACATGTCAACATCACAAGCAGGGGGGAGAAAAATTTATGTTCTGTGTAATACATTTCTAAAGTTTGTCCACAGTCCCATAAGCTTTGCTGGCGGAGGCGGGATTTATGACCTGTACTGCAGCCCACCATCAGAGGGTGCTGTTCTCGGAGTGGCTTCACCCAGCGTGGAGGCAGACTCTGTCCATTCTTTATACAGTCTATGCGTCCAACTAGCAGGCCGTGGCTAAAAAATCAATCCCAATTGCTAACTAAAAAAAACGTAATTACATTTGTAATTACAATTTGAGCATACTAAAATTAAAATCATTTTACATATAAAGGGGTCCCTCGATACCATTTATACATGTATTGGAATTAAACTTGTTGATATTTTATCATTTAACCTGGGTGAGTGCTTGCCTTGTGGCCATAGAAACGAACGGCGTCCGACGTGACAGGCGGTCATGTTGGAACTATTGAGAGTTCCATAACCCGGAAGTGGGGTCCGCCGGGCTGTACAGAGTATGCCTATGGGAGTGTCGCCACTCTGTTTAATCCACTGCTATGGGTCTGCAGTCTACAAAAGAGGGGCGGAACCATAGACTGTATAGATTAGAATATAAAGACATATTAAATAAATAAAAATATTTAATAAATGTATAAATAGCTACCCAAATCACACTTTAACATGCGAGAGTTAAAAGGCAAAGTTGTTGGGAGATAAAAACAAACATGTGGTAAACAGTGCAAAATCAATAAACTTTGTTTATACCAAGGGATATCCATACATTGGAGTCCTGTGCAATATTAAATCAAATGCAAATATTACAAGTCTTGACTGCTTTTTGTTATTTTTTCATAAGAGTATGGCACAAAGTAAGGTGCCATATTGTTTAACTTCAACAGCGAATCAATGAAAGCAGGGTTTGGAGAAAGTCCAGTTTGATTTGCAGACTGTGTGGAATTTGCCAAGAATTATTAAGAGTTATTTAAATAATATATATGATATTATTACTTATTCCACGAAACACAAAATTTTCCATGACATCAAATCCATTACTTTGTGTTTTGATACCAAACTTCCCATAGAAACAATATTTCATTTGTTCCCTCATTTTAAATCAGCCAAGACAGTGTGTGGTATCCTACAGAAGACACATTGTTTATTAATTCATTTTCCCGAGAAAACGATCTTTGTTATGTCAAAATAAGGACATAAGTCGTTATCGCGAGATAACAGTGCATAAAAAAAGAAAAAAAAGTGGCCGTTCTGGTTTTCCCTAATATCCAGCACTGCTGTCACCTCACTCTTCTCCACCTGCCAATTTCTTCAACTCTATTCTTGGTTTTCAGCAGGATTTTTGGGCATACCGTATAGCCATAGACACCATCTACGTCTGTATCTCTCTTGTTCTTCAGCACATCCTTGTTAGTTAACCGCTTTTTCTTCACCTCTATATGTTTCCTTTACTCCAGCGGTTCTCAAACTTTTGCAAGCTGGACCCCTGCAAAGGTGGTGCAAAGGACGCTTGTCCTGCTTGCTTGGTCGTTTGAGTGGCTTGGGCAAAAAAGTAGGAAACTGTCGTTGATACTTGCCACTGCTTTACTCCATAACCTCTCTGTAAAGAGACAGAGATTTCACTCACTTCTCTGATTTACAGATTTGAGAGTATCGGCTGACAGCCTGCACAGGTATTGTAGATGATATTCCAGTGCTACTGGCCGGCCAGGTGATGTAAGAATTCCCCACAGGTGCAGAATTTTTAACATATTTGAGGCTGCTGTCTTTGAAAACCATAATTTCAGCTTTTGTCTGAGATACTTTATTTAAGCCTCTGTTCCTTAAGCCCCCAAGCATTCCAGAACCCAGCATTCTGGAGTCCTCCTGCACTGTTGCCATGCAAATTTGCCATTTTTAAATAAAATGGCAAATTTGCCCTTTTAAGGAGATTCACTGTCTGGTAGTGTCACCATTTGATCTTGCTGAATTCTCACGTAACTTTTTGAATGAGCCATCCAGAGCACCCTGTTGTCCCATCTGAGGATTACTTCAACACACTTTAACCTTACAATCTAAAACTTTGCTTGTTTATGGCCCTAACGTCCAACATTTTAACTTAACTTTTTTCAAACAGGTGAAAAGCACAGTATCACCTCTTTAAAGTGAAGAACCCACTGGGAAAAGTGGGTGGAGGGCATGCTCCAGCAAAAAGAACAGGATCTTAGGGAGTGATTTACAATGTTTCTGTAGAGATCTGGAGGCAAGATAAGATAAAATAAAAAGAACTTTATTGATCCCCAAAGCGGAAGTAAATTCAACCTGAAGGGAGGAAATATAATCCATACTGCTAGAATGAGAAGCACACAGGATGGAGATACACTGGGATACATGATGTGTACAGTGAGGTGATGCATGAGAACATATAATAAAGATTTTAAAAAATCCCAACTAGTATCTGCATGACTGATCAGAGAAACCCAGGGTTAAAGTAAAAAAAGTGATGATCAAACCCTCAGCATTCCTCGTCAACTCTGTATCACCAAACTACATTTTATTGTTCATCAAATGTTCTTCTACGGCTGGTTGAGGTTTCTTGTTGGGTGTTCAGACCCTGCATCAGTTGCATACTCTATGTTTCTGCTCGCTGTAGTGATAAAAACATCATTTAATGGAGCACATTTATCTCTAATCTACTGCAGCCTCACCTGCTTATCAGTCCAGAAGCTGGTGATCCACTGACAGGTGGGGGCTGGCACAGTAAGCTTAGTCAGTTTGAGGTGGAGGAGCTCACGAATGATGGTGTTGAACACAGAACTGAAGTCCACCAACAGGATCCCCTTGTAAGTCCCTGCACCGTTGAGGTGTTACGGGATGGGGAGCAGCAGACCAAGCAAAAATACGAATACATAAAAATAATAAGAAAGCGAAGTACCCTCAGTACCCAAAGTTTTTACCCTCAGGTCTTCAAATGGTCTTCACTTGGTTTCAACATCTGGAAAGTTTGTTTTTGTATTTTTTATGTTCAATATTATATTTGTACTTCAAATGTCATAATGTTGATGATGTTCCAGGTCATGTTTTTATTTGTAATACGACTTTATGAATTTGTGTTTCTCATATCGGAGTCTATACTTGTTTCTCTGTTAAAGTGCTCTATATCTGCATATTGCATACATTGACAAAATTACCATTTGAATTTATGTTTCTAATGAACAGTTGCAGACAAATTCATTTATTGCATCGTTTCCCATCACATTTATGGTTGTATTCTGTTCCCTGTTTTTTTGAAAGTTGTTTAATGAATCCAATTTGTAGACATTCAGTAATATGTGACGTTTCACATAGCATAAATGGGCTCCAACAGTGTCTTGGTTGCTGTTATACAGCTGTCCGCTAGGTGCCACTGTCAGAAAATATGAGGGTCTCTGGCTGTTCAGACACATACTGTTGGAAACTTTGATACCATGGTATGGTATGGTACTATGATACTTGTGTAAATAGTAGATAACTTTTAGAGACATGTCAAGTGAGACAACAGACAACTGAATTTCCCTTTGGAGATTAATAAAGTTCTTCTTCTTAACAGGCATTTTATGTATTAAACAACTTTTACCATTACATGTCTATTTATAATTCTTTTACTTGGTCTTGCATCAGTGCTATATGTTCTCATAATATTTGTTACTATCAGCTCAATGTTGACAAGATTGGGCCGTGTATTAGCATAGGACATTTTTCTTTATGTATTTAGGATCCCCATTAGTTATTACTGCAGTAACAACTATTCTTCCTGGGGTTAACACAAAAACTAGACAGAAAACAAACATTGTAAATCAAACATTTTACAATACATCACAGTCATTAGAAATAAAAGACAAAACAGGTTCAAATAAAACTTGATAGATGCTCTCATTTAGGGTTGACATAAGTGTAGTTGGTAAAAACTGGAAGATTTATTCCCTCATATTAGGATATCATATGCAGCCGAAACATTTTTTTTTTAATGACCACAATTGTTTAAGTTGCTATTTGTGTTAAACATGGTGGCAGTCTATTCCAGTTTACCATCGCACAGTACTTTACAGTCCTCTTTAATGCATTAGATTTAAGCGGTAGGTTAAAGTGCCCCATAGAGGCATTTCTGGTGTTATAATAATGCCTCTCATTAGTATTTATTAGCTGTGAGTACAAGTACAAAGGTTTTTCAGAGAGATGTAGAATTTCTTACATACTGGACCAGATTGCATGCCAGTCTCTTATCCACGGTTATCCATGACAGCCGTGCAACTGTCTTGAGTGAGCTGGATCTTTTACAGCTCTTCTTTTGAAGCACTGGACCAGATGGCTATGCAGTGACCGAGGTGTGGTAAAACTAAAGATTGTAGGACATATTTCATTGTTGTTTTCATTAAGAGGTAAGCACTTTTTCTGAAAAGGGAAATAGTTCTGCTAATTTTTTTTCACTATACTGCTTATATGAGTTGACTGTGATAGCTTTTCATCAATGGTCACACCTCACAGCTTTTCTTGTTTAACCTGTTCAATGGCTACCCCTTGTAAGGAGATGTGTATAACTGTTGATCTGTCTTTAGAGCACGATTAGAACCACATATCATAGTTGTGGCTTTCATGATGTTTGATTTGAGCCATTTTCTGAAACCCTCTTAGAAACCAGCATCAACTCATCCTGTAACATTTTATGAAGATCTTGGATATTTTCAGCAGATGTATATGTACGAACCTCAGAAACTAGGATGTTGCTTAGAGGATGAGATACGGGCCTAGTCTAGTTGTCTGACGCGCTTTGTCAATGATGCACTGAGACAGGAATAACTTAGAAAAAACGTGCTTTAATACTAAAGAAAACAATCAACAAAACGATACCAACTAAAGAAACAGCGATCACTGGACTTAACGTGCGTGCGGTCAACAAAAAATACGGCGACCCACTCAAACCTCTTCCCTCGTGAACACAGGTGAACAGGTGCTTAAATCAACTAAGTGACACCGCCCATATTCCCGTGACCCAGATTCCACAAATCACTGCCACCAATCACAACAAAATACCAAAACAAATCAAGAGCATAATCACAAACCTTTACCTTGCCCTCATGGCTCCTACAGTATAGATTGTACAATCATCTGCATACATAGCAATGCCTGTAGATTGCCATGCATATGAAGGTCATTTGTAAAAGTTATAATAATAATTTTAATACATTTTATTTGTAAAGCACTTTTCAAGGACGCAAAGATGCAAAGATGCTGTACATGAATAAAAGCAAGAACAATAAAACACAGATCAATATACAATAAAATATACATAATTATCAATAAAATCAGGTAAAATCCACGGGGGGGGGGGGGACTATGGAGGATGAAAGGCAGTGTGGAAGAGGTGGGTTTTGAGATGGGTCTTGAATCTGGTGAGGTCAGTGCAGTTTCTGAGGTCCAGTGGGAGTGAGTTCCAGAGGGTGGGGGCAGCGACTGAGAAGGCTCTGTCCCCCCAGGTTGCATACAAGAGAGGTCCAAGACATCTGCCCTGGTGAATTCCACACTACAGTGGCTTAATAGTTGATAAAGAAACCATTAACCATGACACAGTTTTGTCATTTGGATAAATAATTTTTTGTCCAATTGATCAATGGAGATTTGAAACCACATGCAGATAGTTATGTGAGCAGGATATCATGGTTTATGAGATCACATGCTACACTAAATTCTAGCAGTACAGTACCAACTAATAACTTAGTGTCAATAAGTTTTAACCAGTTATCTCTTCACTGTATAAAAGCAGAAGTTTAAAAAAGTTAAAAAGTTTGTAAAGTCCAGCTCTGAAAATATTGGTCACATAATCAACTGGAGTATGAAAAATACTGGCAACAACCAGCTGTAAAATAAGGACCCGGCAGCCGACTTTTACACAGCAGCAGGTAAGTTTGAAAACTTTGATAGACAAACAAACAAACAAGCAAAGCAAATAAAAATCACTCTTATCAAGAGGAAACGCCAACCACAACACTAAGAGGTCACATAGTTCTATAATTATCAATAGACAAAAGTTTACAAAGATTGACTTCTGCTCTAGACAAAGCACTGCGACACTCTAGCAGCAACCTGCGACCAGGTCCCAACCTAATTACCCTGCTGACTGTTGCAAATCTGCCGACAAGCACTTTGCAAAAGTTTGATTATCAGGAAGCACAAAGGTGTGATCCCCCTGTGGCTCCTGGGGAAGGAGTAGCCGAAAAAAAAATGATAGCACCAACTGGGTTGTTTTTTCAAACCAACCACTAGGTTAAGCTCGTTGGTCAATTTATTTGGGTTATCGTCATGGAGTTGGGTATTCTGAGTACCCAATTCGCAAGGTTATTTATGTTGGGAAGAGAGTTATTAGCTGCTGGGTTGTAATTTCTATAGTTTTGTTGGTGTATTGTGAACAATCCAACACATTGGGTTGATGTTTAGGCATTTGAAACCAAGCACCACCCACTCCCCAGATTGATGCCACAATTGCTGAAGCGCGGAGACGTACAAAGCAAGGTTTGTTACATTCCCATTATTGCTTTACCATAAAGATGACTTGATATTATTATATAAACCCTCATTTTGTTGTGTAGATGTAAGTTTGTGAAAAATGTTGTGTACCAGCTTCTGCCTTTAGGAATTCGTAGGTGAGCAAGCTAACGGTAAGCCAACGTTAGTAGCATAAAGTACATTGCCTCAAATGTAGCAAGCTAACACGTAAGCTGATGTGGTGTGGTGTGGTCAGAAATGTTGAACAACTGCTTTAATGGACTCACTGTCTTGATGTTTCAGGTTGATACGAACAATCAATAGATGACTTTGTGTCGATTCCCCCCTATCCCGAGTCTGTCTGTTGTGTCCTTGGGCAAGACACTTCACCCACCTTTTTCCCAGTGTGTGTCCTCCACTGGTGTATGATTGTGAGTGTTGTGTGGTGGTGGTTGGAGAGGCCGTAGGCACAAACTGGCCCAGGAACAGCTGTGACTGTGTGAGGGAATAAATGATGTATCCAATGTAAACCGCTTTGAGGGTCTCTGATAAAGCGCTATATGAAATCTGATGCCTTAATGTAATTTAATAGTATATTAAATATTAACAACCCAAATGCTGGGTTTAAAAAAAACAATTTGTTGGGTCAAGTGAACCAACCCAATTAGTTGGGTAAAATTAACCCAGCATGTGTTCTGTCCAATATTTAACCGGCGCTGGGTTGGTGTTCTTAAAATGAATCATTTAGCACGATATGAAAATAATAATAAAAATGTTTTTAACTAAATATGTTCTGTCAATGTGTTGTGCGATCAACAGTTCAGTTGGGGTTAGCCCTTTGTTGGCCGACATGTTTTTGGAGTGGAGGTTACTTCAGTTCAGTCTGAGCCAGGCGACTTTCATTATCAGTGATTTGGCCCGGTACTATCACTGCTGGGGCGGAAAAATCAATATTGAGATCTCATGCCTCTCAAACAGTATGTACAGACAGATATTTGCTCCAAATAAGTAAGCAGGAATAAATTCCTTTTGCTGGCTTAACAAAACCTAAAAACAACTATAATTACAAAATGAAAACTGCATTTTTTAATTTTCAGATGATCTTGTCACAAAGTTGCCATCATCAACCCCAATTTAATGATGGTCTTAATAACTCTTGAACTCTGCAGCTGTCAAAACTCCACACAGGATATTTTTGTGAACTGTTTGTTAATTATTATTTTTTTAATCTTACCTCATCAAGTTTCTACCACTATAAGTGCTTCTATATGTTGAATGAAACCTACTCTGCCTGTGGGAAATGGGATTTTAACCAGAGAACTCTATCGCCGGGTGATCTTCACCCGACAAAACATGTTTACATGATTTTCATTATGTTGCATTTGCCTGAGTATCATGGGTCTCTGAGTAGCTTCAGGATTGCCTTTGACATCTTTTAAGGCATATTTGTTTCCCTGATCCAAAACCTGCTTTTTCCTACAGACACGTGTTCAGGTGATTTTCAGCCAGCAATAATGATAGAGGGTAAAGTAGGTTAGGGTGGATTTGATAGCTACATGTAGGTGAATAAGGTCAGTTAAGAGTGGTTCTGGAATTTACATGCTATCTGTATTTAGCGCAGTAGTTATGAATAACTATCACAAAGTAGTGATTTTCAAGGGAATTCATGTGGTGATAAGAAATTAGTTAGCTGGTCATTTTTACTCTCTCAAATTATGCTATATTTTGGTTCTCTCTACTGCAGCTGTAATTGTGCCAAGGACCCTGAGTCTTTACCAGGGAAGACTCACACTCCCCATGAATGGGCGGAAAAGAAACTGAGTTTACAGTTTAAATATACATATCTACACACACACACACACACACACATATAAGGAATTTTTTGCTCATTAATGCCTAATTTCAGTTATTTTGTTGCATTTTTATATGGGTTATAATAAAGGCATAGAGCTTGTAGGAGGGCTGTTTCAGACAAGTTCTTAACCTTGTAGTCACAATTTATGGCAGAGAAGGTACCCTTTTTATTTTGGTTTAGCTTTTTATCGCCCCTGCCCCTTAACCAGTCTGAGAACGGCAGTGGGGGGGGGGGGTACGCTACTCTGAACCTTTCGTCCCAACAAAGCCACCATGAAGTCTGCAGCTTCATCCGCGCTTTAGTACTTCAGCGTTTAAAATGCCGTTTTCAATCTTCAGGATAGGGTTATTTATTTATGTTACTTTTCTTGACTGGCATGATATGTAGCATTTAAAATAGAAGTCGCCAGGTTACCAAAAGACCTAGCTGCTACAATGAAGTCCGCATAGCTAACTCTGTACAAACAGAGCATGCGTGTCTTCAAGTGCTGTCTGAAATTAGATTTGTTTTTCCTTTAATCCAGAAACACGTGCTCAATTCCGACCATGCCGTTAACAAACAAAAACAAACAGTAAGCTAACAGTTAGATAGCCTAGCTAACAAGCCTATGGTGCAGACCCAGGCTTACACTACATGATATTTATGACTGCATTATAACTTAATGATGTCAAAGTAATTCATGGGTTTTACGACGAACATAAAGTGACCCGGGCAATTGTCTTCGGACTCTTATCTGGACTCTGCTGTCCTGAACGTGGGGACTAGTGGAAACTCTGCCAGTAAGTAGCCCACTATTGTGTAAACGTTTTGTTACAGGATCTTAGTTTTTAGTTTAATCTGTTTGTTGCGCGGTGCCCCCTGTCGAATTTAACAAGACTATTTTCTCCCACAAATTCGTGTCGCCCCCTCTTGCCTACTCCTGTTATTGGCAAAAGTAGGCTAGGGAGCACAAATTTGTGTTCTTTTGTTACCCGTCTTTGTCAATCATTGAGCCTGCCTCAGTTGAGCAAACAGACTAAATCTGATCTGAAAGAATCAATAGAGCAACGGGTCAGCTGTAAACGGTCTGTCTTTGCTCTGCCTCTGCTTTGTCGTGTGTTTGTGTGTGAGTGTTTTCAACCCTGGTGACTAGGAGTGATACTATATCAGGTAATATCACCTTTCGCCTACCCTTGTCTGACCTAGGTTTGTGTGTGGCCCACCTCTAGCTCTACCTCCAACAGCACTCAAATCTGGACCTGGCTCAGTCCGGCTCTACACTTACTTGGTCGAAAACAAAATCAAAACATGGAAACCTCTGGACATCTTTCCTCGGTGATGTTAATTACCTGTCTATGGCTTCATCACTCCACGGGCTTCTGGCTCGTGAATGTTGTATTTCCTCCAGTTGCCAAACCAAGGGAACAGAGCAACAACACTTCTCCACTCGTTATCGGTAAGTGTAGAGTGCCATAGTTTATTCTGATTCTCTGTAGAGACTATCCTGCTGAATCAAAGACCAGATTAAGTCTTATGTACCTGAGAGCTCCATGCAACATGTGTCCTCTCATTTGGTCTGGTCCTGTAATTTACAGTATTATTTGATTTAGAGGCCCTGTGTTAGATTTTAATTATTATATTATTGATGTATATTATATCATAACTAGATCTGATGTTTTGCAAATCAATATTAAACTGAAAATAGTGGCACACCAACAATACTGAAACAGGAATATATTACTGTTTAATGAAAAACACATAGCCACGTGGCCCACCTTTGCACCATTAGCAAACAAAGATCTGATGTTTTTCACAGCAGTCCAACTTTTTTTGGTTTCAGGGCTGCACAGATTGTATGAGTGAAGAGTTAACAAGAGCTCAACAGCTGTCTCATGTCAGTCTCTCAAACTGTATGTCTGTGTATTGATGTCTAGGCTATCAGTGAGGTCGAACATTGCACTCTGTACATTTGATCTGTGATTGAAGTGTTTGTGCCCTGCTCAATAAGGTCATACAATGGCATTTTAGGAACGGATGGTCGGAAATAATTATCTGCCATATTTTTTTGATAACATTTTTTTTTCTTGTGATGTGCCATCACATCTCTACTCGGAGATGCAATGGTGAGTAAAGTCAATGCTTGTGAGTGCACACTAAACCAAGTAGAGTTTTCCATCAATAGTACAATCAAATACCAGAAGAGCTACAGAGCGTTTTTCTTTGAACCTTCGGGGTAGTTTTCATCTACTTTGATACGATAATGCTTAAGCCCACAACTGATATAAGTAAGGTTTAACTTAAGTAGATTTATCCAGCCAGACAGGAAAAATCAACCAGATCAAATTGAGTTGCATGAGAAATTGATTGTTTTTTGTTGCCATAGAAGTTTGTTGATTCAGAGTTGTCTGGATTTACAAGGTGAAAATTGGTCAGAGTCCAGCCAGCCAGGGTTAAATTATTCTGAGCTTGAGAATATGTTTTTAAAAGTATGTCAGGATTTTACACATCCATAGCCATCCATAGTGAGTTCTTATTATGATCTTTTGGGTGTTGGGCAGTTTTCATCTCAGTTTAATCTTTAAGATTCATGGTGGGAAGCTTTAAAACTCTCACACTGTGAATCATTGACCACAGCTTTATTTAACCTCCCAGTACTCATCTTGTACTAATGTGTAGGTGTGTTGTTTTTGTCTAGTGCCGGGAAACCTTGGGAACCGCCTGGAAGCTATTATAGACAAGCCAACATTGGTCCACTGGATGTGTTACAGGAAAACTGATGATTGGTTTCCCCTGTGGTTTGACCTCAACTTGTTCATGCCTATAGGTGTAGACTGCTGGATTGATAACATGAGGTATCATCAAGTTGCTATATCGTCCATATTCTATTTGTATTGCCTTCTACCTTTGAAAGACCTAACAACATTTACACTTTGTCATGTTTTTCTTAATGCAGTTGATAACAGATTTAAATATTAACTGATCTTTGTTCAAATGTTAAATTGCAAAATCATTTTGTAATGTCTGGCCTGTGTCATTAATGAAGTATCCTGATAAAATCTTTTTCATTGGTGATCACTCGCAGAATTCAGTAGTGTTATATGTTATTCTGTTTGCTTATATTTTTCATCAAAGCAGTCAGCAGTGTTGAAATTTGGTGATCACAGATGTCTAACGTGAATTTGAATGTGTGCTTAAGGCTTGTTTACGACAGGACAACTCGAAAATCATCAAATTCTCCCGGGGTACAGGTTCGGGTGCCAGGATTTGGGAAGACATATGCCATTGAGTTTCTAGACACAAACAAACTAGCTGGTAAGAGGGAAAAACTCCTGTTCAATTTCGAGCATGTTGATTTTGGGCTCTCTAACCATATTCTTTGTTGAATCATCAAGTTGTAAAAGTAATTATGAAACCAGTGATACATAGGATGATGTCAAAAGTGATGTTTAGGACTTGGCCTAATTTCTCATGATTTTGCTACTCAGGGGCTTGCTACAAGGTTATGTTACAGGTTAACACTGAAGTCCACTCTCACTTTTGCAGGTTATCTTTTCACTATGGTGGAACATTTAGTCCAGGTAGGCTATACCCGAAATGAGACAATAAGAGGAGCACCCTACGACTGGAGATTAGCTCCAAGTAAGTGACAAAGCTACACATGCACCCTCACAAACACTTTTCCTGGTGACTGGTGTGTTTCAAGAACTTCGTCATGGTTATGTTATCATATCAGTACAGATACAGGCTCTAATACACTTACTTGAACAGAATACATATTTGATATCTGTATGATAAAAAAAAACTCAACTCAACTCAACTTTATTTGTTAAGCACTTTAAATTAACCACAGCTGAACAAAGTGCTGTACATAACTAGACAAAACAACGACATAAAAAACAGTTAAAACAATGGATAAAATAAAAGCAGAATTAAAAAGTAAAATATAGTTTCAATGTTTTTAAAAACTAATTTAAAAACATAGAAACAAATAGCTGAAAACAAACCATAAAACACTAAAACAGGAGCCGAGTCTCATGCAGGGTTAAAAGCCAATGAATAAAAGTGGGTATTAAGACGACTTTTAAAAATGGACAGTGTGGGGGCTTGTCTAATTTGGAGGGGTAGCTTATTCCATAATTTTGGGGCTGCAACAGAAAAAGATCTATCCCCTCTGAGCTTCAGTTTGGACCTCGGTACCTCCAGGAGCAGCTGATCAGCTGACCTGAGGCACCGAGCAGGGGTGTAGGGTTGGAGAAGCTCAGAGAGGTAAGATGGAGCCAGACCATTTAAAGATTTAAAAACAAATAAAATAATCTTAAAATGAACTCTAAAATGCACGGGTAACCAGTGGAGGGAGGCCAGGATGGGAGTAATGTGCTCCCTCTGACGTACTCCAGTTAAGAAAAAAAACAAATAAACCTGATTGTATCATTGTTTAAAACTATGTCCTGCAAAATCATGTATGGAACCAATATAGCTACCACTAAAACATGAACACACAGTTGCAATAAGACTTTTCCTTTGGCAGTCAACCATAACTGAAAAAGGACACAAGTAAATAAACTAAGGAATAAAAGGCTACTCCACGTTTAAATAACCATCTTTTTCACCAGGGTAAACCTGGTGCTGGTTGTGGGTTTTTGAGTTTGTTTAAATGGGGACCCTTTAAAGGGATATTCTGGCATAAATTTAATTTCGAGTCAAACACACTGTAACACCGAGTTAGACACCTGCTCAAGAAATAAATGTTGCAGAGTGCAGCAGAGTTTTGCAGCTCAAGGAAGAACATTTATGATTATTACTTCATGAAAATACAATCAGAGTTCTTGTGTATCTTGTATTAGCACTACAGATGCGGTAGTTCTTCTGCCTTAGCGTTTCAGTCTGATTGCATTTTCATGAAGTAATAATCATAAATTTTCCGCTGCACTCGGTGATCAACTTTTCAGGGCTCCCCCATGAACAAGCAGCTGCTGAGTTGTGTTTGGTCTCTTTGCTAAAGAAACCAGGCAAAACTAAAAAGATGTTTGATGGCTAGAACTATGGCTGGGACCCCATATGAACTGTTGATGAAGTTAGGTGCTGTTCTGAGCATTATTAGTGGCTATAGAGTGGCTTTTTGGTTCAGGTTTGCGTGTGAAGATGTAGACCGTTGTGTATTGCTGTTGTGCAGTTGTTACTAAAGTTGGTATGACTAGAGAAGCAAGCAGTCGGCAACATTCATCTCTCAAGGGGATGTCAAACTCGGTGTTATGGTGTGTTTGACCATAACTTATATTTACGCCGGAATATCCCTTTAAGAACCAAGACCAGGATATCAGGATACACACCTCTTTAAATGTTGCATATTAGCCACATGGTCAACTTTATATGGTAGGCTGTTTTGGCCATTGCAGAGTTTCTGTGACTATGTAAATTTTTTTTGCTTCGAACCCAACATCTGTTCTCACATTCCTTATCTGACAGATGAGAATGCAGATTATTTTCCAAAGCTGCAGGAGCTTGTTGAAGAGATGTTTGACCAGTATGAGGAGCCTGTGTACCTGCTGGGACACAGTATGGGCTGCCACTATGTCCTCTACTTCCTCAACCACCAGCCCCAGGCCTGGAAGGACAAGTACATCAGAGGCTTCATTTCACTGGCAGCTCCATGGGGAGGTGCTGTTAAAACACTTCGAGTCCTGGCATCAGGTAATAACGCAGCAGAAACTGCATAAGATAAAATATGCTAAATGCAATGGCACTGGAGCCTGCAGGTACAACAAAAATGCTGATGGTGTGTATTTGTTTTAAGTTATGTTTTTGTTATCTTTGTTCATATTAATGCTAAAAATCAAAGAAGCTATTGTTAATTTTATGGTGCACATACCAATTTTGATTTAGTATTACACATTTGATTCATTAAACCATGAATGTCCTACAAAACGAAACACTTTCTTTTCACATTTGTATTTGTTCTAGTAATCAAAACTGTCCGTCATCCCTGTCTGCTGTTACTGCAGGTGCAAACGATGGCATTCCCATGATTTCAAACATCAAGATCAGGGAGGAGCAGAGGATGGCAACAACCAGTCCTTGGATGCTGCCATCTGAGGACGTCTGGCCAAAGGACCACGTGTTTATCTCCACACCCACCTTTAACTACACCAACCAGGATTACCAACGCTTCTTTACTGACGTCAATTATGAAGATGGCTGGTACCTATCAGATATAGCATTGCTTATTGACAAGAGTTATTACATTTCTGTACTCTAGATGTGCTATATTTGCAAATCAGTGTAATTGACTCTGAATTCTTTTATAGACTTTTCAATGAACAGAAGAACTGTGAATTTATAGCACTGCAGTTCTATGATATTTTGTACTTCCTGGAGGAATATGGAACTGGATCAATCACATTAATGGCAGCTTTAGATACACATAAGTTCAGTGATCCTTTTAAAACCTCTGTGGCTTTTTTTTTTTTTAGAGCCTTCTTTTATCCATATGTGAAAGATGGCTGTGCAAGACTAAACAAGCTGCATCAAGCAAACATACCGAAATCTGCACATCTAAACAAAACAGTTCAAATTACAATGTTTGTACTACATGGAATTGGCAAATACACAGTTCCAGTTCTGCTGCATTGTGTTGCTCTAAAACTGATCATCTTGAGGCAAAAACTTTAAACGCTTCAGCTAGGAAGTTGCTTTGACTGAGGCTCCTCTTCAGTTTTGTTCAGCTGAGGGGAACCGCAGACTCGAATGTCAGCTTTCTGATAATTTACTACTTAGAAGTAGTCAGCAGAGGACAAAGTGTTAAACTTTCTTGAATCAAAGTATAGATCCTCCTCGTCAAATATTACACCAATACATGTCAATCAGTTTTTATTTATATAGTGCCAAATCACAACAATCATGATCCCAAGACACTTTTCAAAGGAGCAGGTCCAGACTAAACTCATTGTTCGACATATTACAAAGACCCAAACTTGAAATGGGACAAGATTTAACCCATCTGAAACCAACATGACTGAAGCGCTTTTGAGCAGAGGTGAACGTTGCACAGTCAAATTATTAATGAATTAAAGTACTGCAGTACTTGCTTTTAAAGATACTGAAGTACTCAAGATGCTACTTAAAATAATCTTGAAACTAGTTTCACAGTGAATGTGTGCATTTAAGAATACACATTCTGCCACGTTGTGTTTATAAAAAAAAACATCATGTAAACTTTTATAAAGTTATAGTCTATTTCCAGAGATATTCAGCTTTAAAAATTAGGAACAACTAGAAAAGCACTCGGAGAGCGCAGACCTCCACCAAGCAGCTCATGTCCCCCCTTATATTGTGATTCACACCAAAACTTTTACTGTTACGTGTCTTTTATTAACTTTTATTTGTGTTTAAACTGGTATGTTCACTGTTCATAATGTTCCTAAAACAAGAAATGCCCTGTCCCGGATTCGAACCCAGGACCTTCTTGCGGTGAGGCGACAGTGCTAACCACTACACCACTGTGCCGCCCATTGGTTATCTTTCAGCATTGAAAATTCCAATGACACCCTCATTTTTGTGTGTTCTGGATCACAGTATCCAGAATTTTGTCTGGATCAGGATCAACCTTTGACACCTCATAAAACTCATTGAGATCCTTTTGTGTCATTTTTTACTAAAGACTCTGGTCATTTTTATAGAGTTAAATGCAAAATTCCAAAATTTGCCCTATCTCACAATGATAAAGAATCCTTCAAAAAATTCCTGTATCCAGAAGGATCACACCGGATCACCACCAAAATTTAATGCGATCCTCCTGGAGCTGAGATGCACCTCGGGTGAAAATTTCAGGTCAATCCGTCTGTAACTTTCTCTGTAAAGTTGGTCACAGACAAGCAAACAAACAAACCAACGCTACTGAAAACATAACCTCCTTGACGGAGGTTATAACAAAAACAACCAAAAATACCAGATGACTGGGAAAATTTTCACCCAGGCTCTGCACAACGAGAAAAAAATTAAACATTTTTCAAATCAAGTAATAAGTTTACTTAAAGAATGTTAATCAAGCAAAGTAGAGACAGTGAAAAATTGTCATTAAGCAAAGTACTTACATAAATTTACTTTGTTACTGTCCACCTCTGCAAGTAGTCATGGGATTTTTTAAAAATATAGAAATGTGGGGATGAAGCTTTTGAAGATTTTTCAGGTAGAACTGTTCCAAATATCCTTATTCTTTTCTTTGCATTACAGGTACATGTGGGAGGATACCAAGAATCTCACCAGGGATCTTATCCCGCCGGGCGTGGAGGTGTGGTGCATGTACGGCGTGGGATTTCCAACTCCAGTGACATATATTTACGATGAGGATTTTCCCAATGTGGACCCTGTAGACTTTATTTATGCGGACGGTGATAACACAGTGGACAGTTTCAGCATGAGTCTTTGTAAACAGTGGGTGGGGCAGCAAGACAAGCCTGTACATGTAACTGAGTACCAAGGGCTTGCTCATCTGGATATGGTGTTTAATGACAAGGTGCACAACGTAATTCAGCAGATCCTGGAAGGCAATTCAAACGTACCAAGTCATATTGATGTCAGACCTGGAACCAATGAGTAGATCATTCTCGATTAAACCTGAAAAAAAAATGTAGAGATGTTAGCAAGGGGAACAGCTCTAAACCCCCCCCCCCCCCCAACCCGTAAATATAATTCCTGTCTCAAGGCAAATAAACTGTTAATGTGTATAGCTTTTCCTAACTTTTTATTATTTTGTTGTATTTCCTTAGATTCAATCATGATCACGATGACAATGAATGGCTAAGATTCTGACACATATCACACCCACACTAACGAAGACTCGACTGCTCCTTCTTTCAAATTTTGTGGTATATATCTCAAACAAAACAATGAAACAAGGCCTTGTGCTGGAACTCTTTGACAAATGCTCTACAGTGCCCCTTAAGTTTTCAGATAACCCTTCCTATATAGAGGTTATTTTCACCTGAATATACAGTATTAGCTTTACTGCAAGTTTGGCACAATGAAATCCACAAAAAGTTGTGCACTGAAACCAAAAATAAGAGAGGAAGTCTGAATTTTTTTTAAACCTGTCCTCTTGGTGAGTTCAGGGGCTCCTGTTTGAACAAACTAGTCCTGGGGATCCCATTTAATCATCTCTAAATACATACAGTGTATTGAAGACAGATTAAAGATGTACAAGCTATTAAAAGTGTAAATCTTCATTAAGGGGTGTGGCCATTGTGAGCTCTCAAAGATAGGTGTTTCCCTGTGAAAGTGAGGGTAGTTTTTATCTTTGTAAAGCATGCATGAATCTGAGCAAAACACATAGTGGTATGTTACAGGTCCACGCCCTAATGCATTTACATGGTAATATTTGACCATAGTTATACTGCCCCCTAGTGGCAGGAGAAAATATCACACTAAGGCATGATGAACGTCAATGGTATCATATGATTTCAGCTCAGAATATCCTTAAAATGTTTGTTTTTTATTGTGTGCTGCAAACAGTGATCTGCTGTCAAAGGTTCAGGATCTTTTTCTTTATCTTGTAACATTCTAGCAGGCTGTATGCTGCAATGTAAAATAGGTCCCCCTGTAGGTAAGAATTTGTTGCCAATCATGTATTTTAAATTGAGAGTATTGTGCGTTTTTTTCACACTCTGTTCTTTCGTTCTGATATCTATTTAATCACTTTATCCCCTCCTTTCCTTTCCCTTCTTCATCTGCCCTCTACCCTCTCTGTAAAAAAACAGGAAACAAGGAAGGTTTCACATAAGAAATACACAAACAATTCAAGTAGGGAATATTTTTACATTATTTCAGAATCACAACACAAAAGGACTGTAATTGACCTTTCACTCAGAGTTCAGAACTACTGCCCCCCATCCTTTCTCCTCCATCGCTATCCTCTTCACTCTCTCCTTTCCTGGAACAAAAGAATGACTACAATTCAACACCTCAGTTATCAGTCAGACAAAGTCTAAATTAACTTTTGCATTTCATCTGATAAAATCATGAAACGCATACCTTTCACAAAAAAAACCTCTGCACCTCATTGTTTTCTGTTCTATCACGCCTCTATTCTTCTTCAATAAAAGCTCCCTGTTTTTTTCTTATCCTCCTCATTTTATACAACTCCATATTAAACTCATGTAATAACTCCTCTACCTCCACCTTTTAACACTTACCTGCAGGTTCAGCTGGTCTCTACTTCCTCCAGCTCTCTACCCACCTATCTCTCTTTCTCCTCTCCAGGTAGCCTCACAAATCTATCTACCAGTCTAATAGAGAACAGGAGGCAAATTAAAAAGTACAAAGGCAGAAACCAGAGGAAGAATTGTTATTACTGCATTAATTGTGATGATAAAAATCATCAGATCAAAGAGTTTGATTCCATTGCCCTCCTGCTCCTCTCATTTCCTTTCCCATCCTTCCCTCTTCTTGGTCTTCCTTTTCTCTCTCTGCAGGGAAAATTGGAAACATGGAAAGTTGAAGTAAAAAATACATACATAAAGTGGAACTATGATAAAGTAAATAATTGTTGATATGTACTGTTTTCCTGTGAAAACTGAAAAAAAACTTGGCCTTCCCACCTCCTTTCCTCTGCATTTCATATCCTTTCCTTATCTCTCCTTCCTTTTCTTGTCTTTGTCAGTAAAATTTAATTAAAGAAAGTATATCTTCCAAAAAACATACATGAAGCGAACCGTAGAGGTATACATCGATACTAAACTATGATAAGTAAACACTCATTGATATGTACCTTCTACACTGACAATTGAAAACCTTTTGGCCCTCACACCTCCTCTCCTTTACCTCATACTCTCCTTTCCTCTCATCTTTGCTTTGTCTTTCCCTGAAAATATTGAAGTTAAAATCTTCATAAAATAACATAAATAAAGGCTGAGTGACTGATGTGCAGTATTTAATCTGATAAAACATGAAACACTTACCTCTGACATAAAAAGAATACCATTTACAATAATATCCCCACATCTGAGCTACTTTCTTCATCCTCAATCTCACACACAAATCTCCCCCTTCACAGACACACACACTTCTTGCAAACTTTTAATTACTACACACAGTAAAATTAATGCAACTTCACCCCAAACTTCTCTACAAATCAACGGCAGTTTGTTCAACTTCAGTGAAAAAAATTCTAGTTTTATACTTTAAAAGAGTGAAATCACTTACCTGCCAGTTCAATTGGTTTCCTCTTTAACCAGCTCTCAAACCACTCCTCTCTCCTCCATGAGGAGTCTTACCATTCTGGCCCACTCTGGTTCAGGGTTGTCCCACAGCAGGCGAGGTTCAGCTACTTGAGGAGAATCTTGTTTTGGAGCAGCACTGGGGGCCAGAGCTGCTTTCAGAGGGCACCTCTTTGAGGCAGCTTTGGGGTCACAGCTGGTTTGGGGGAACACACCTGCAGGTCCATCCTACATTCCACAGTTTCTTCTAGGGAGAACCCTGTAAGACCTGGCTGCCACAGTTTAAAAGAAATACAGGTTGATTTTGATGCGCCTGATTCAGAAGCTTCAGTCTTAAAGAAAGGCAGGCTTTGAGAATCTCACTGAGAGCCACAAGTGTCCTGCGACTGCACTCCTTCAACTCCTCACTGGTGGAGTGGGAAGGAAATCTTGTGGGTGACCTTATGGTAGTCCCAGGGCGAGTGGCAAGTGCAGAACTGGGGGTTTGTGCTGGGCTGCTTTGGAGGATCAGCCGGAGGCTGCCAAGCCAACTGGGACAAGGACCGCAGCCCAAGTGGAGTCCTACTTCATCTTCAGGCAAAAAGCAAGAACAAACTTTTCAAAACTTCTTCACAGACTGACTTAAAAGTGTCAACGCAGCACTTCAACACAGCAATGCTCTGTTTGGTTTAAACAATCTGAATGTAATAAAGCAAAATGTTAACAGACTACAGCAAAAATAAAGGAAGTGGGGTTACTGTCCTAATACCTCTGGAGGGCTGTGTGTGCACTTACAAGCATAACCTCTTTTTTATGAGAGAATTGCTGTAAAGCTGGCACCAAAGGTTCTCAGGAGGATTGTGTTTTGTTTAGCATGTATTTAAGAAAAATTCTGTGGAATTTTTGATGTGAAATGAATATTCTTTCTTCTTCTGTTTAGCCAGCCCCTTGGGTTTTCAGGACAATGTTACGATATTTGTAGGTCTGACCTACAAGTGTTTGAAATATTTGTGGCCAATGTGCACTTAACCACTATACACCATTTTGTGAGAAAGTTTTTTATTAGATACTCCATCTTAGTAATAAACAAATGGTTACTAGGTTATTTGCAGGAGTTTATAACTCAGATTCATTTCAGTTTTACCCCTGCTGTTACAAAAGTTATCAAACTAAAAAAATTGAAATAATATGTACTAAAACTCATAAAGCAGTTATAAGAGGTCAATTTCAATAACATGAAGTCTTATTTACAACATGAAAAGGCCTTAAGTCATTTATTTTATGTGGTGGTGATGGTGGTGGGTGGGGGCTTCAAAATCTGATTTTGCCTAGGGCACCAAAATGGCTTAAAACGGCCCCGCTGACAAGTGCAGATAGCTTTAATTCAGAGGCACACTCACATTAAGTTTCATAAACTGTCAACAGTTAGCAAGTGTTGTCATGAATCGGTCCTCATTTATACTGAATGGTATCACCGGTTCTTTATGACAGTATGCTTCATAGTCTTTATGATTTTAGAATTAAAAGGTATCTTTTCTCTTAAACTGAATGTGACCTACCATGCTTCTGTCTGTGTTTCCTCGGTTTCCGACCTCAAAATGTGCCAGTTTTTTTTGTTGTTGTATTTTATTTATATGTATATATTTGGTTATTGGCTACAAATTCTTACCGACAGGGAGCAGCATTTTACATTCCAGCGTACAGCCTGCCGGGATGTCACAAGACGAAGAAAAACACCGTGTATCTCGTGATCTCCACCTTCCTTTTAACTGACCATCATCCGAAAAACAAGGTAAAAGATCATTCTGCCGCAAACACCTGCGGTCGCGGTACACAGGCAGAGGAGAAGTCATGACCGTGTGGCTATGAGACCAAAGGAGCCATGGGGTCCTCGCACCGGATAAAAGTCGTCTCGTCGCTCCTCCATCTCTGTTTGTTGTTGTTGCTGTTGTCGGCGCACAGCAGCGAGACACCTGTGGGGAAATGTCTCGGAACGGAGTCCTGTCAGCACCCTCGACCTCCCGTGGTCCTAAGTAAGATGATATCACCGGACTCTTATGCTGTTCACTTTACTTTCTGCTGCTTCTAATAACCGCACAATTTTCAAACAATTTGTCCTCATACGCTCGCAATGGGCGAGCCTCATGCCAAGCCAAAACCAACCCGGGTTTAAATCGATAGTATTAAGATTGATCGTACAATGGCTCAGAGTCATACTCTGTCTCTCACCATTTTTTTGAAAGTCTTAACATTGAGTTTAAAAGTCTTTAAAAGCATGCATACTGTATGACAGATGTTCCAGTGACCCAGTTCTCATGTCCAACCTTTGCTTTAGTTCAGCTTTCCGTCGTGGAAAAGTTATTTCAACTCAAATGTGTTTGTTTTATTTGCGTTTAATCGATACGTGTTTAAAATGACACAAACACGGGTTTGCTAATGAACAAGTCTCCTTGTTCATCATGTAAAAAAAGTTGATCTTTTGTTTGATAAAAATGGAGATGTGTGCGCGTGTTAGAGTTAGTCGTTTCACTCACAAGCCCCTAAATCACGTGACAACAGTTGTACTGAAGAACAAACAAGTTGGCTCAATTCTTCAAATCCAGACTCTTGAATCCCCTTTCACTTCACATTTGAAAGGTATTTTATAAAACAAGTGCCACTAAAATGAGTAACATTTGTCTTCACTGCTGAATAGAGGATGATACCAACAAAACCCCTAAAATGCTGTGCTGCTAGTGTTTGTGGCCAATACTGTAATAGTTTGGATCATACATCATTGCCACTTTTTGCAGATTTGACAGAAGGTAAGATAAAAACATAAAGCATCAAATTTGGATAAAGTTCACACTAAGACTGAATAAAGTCATTTGAATTCTGTGTATTATTTTGTTCAGTGGAATTTGTCAATTTAGGCATTTGGGCATGCAGACAATTGAACAACCAAATTAAAACTTATATAAGATGGTGGTTCTGGGTGCTGAGCTACCACATGTTAGCAGAAAGCTATTTACCCAAGCAGTGGTTCTCTAAGTCTCTGAACTCAAGTGGAAAGATGTGACTCTTCTTCCAAACAGGACACTGCCTCAGCTACCTGAGTTTATATCAACATGACTATGTTGAGATCAACTGCATGTGATGATCACTGAATATGATTGATACTTTTTTCCTTATACTGCACACCACAGTAAAAGTGACGAGTTCCAAACCTTCTTCCTTTGAGCAATTGTTGGCTCAGAGATAGTAATGTCACTTGTGTTTGACAGATTTCTGTATCTTGTTTGTCACAGTTCCAGGTGACCTGGGAAACCAGTTGGAAGCCAAACTGGATAAACCAAGTGTTGTCCATTACATCTGCTATAAGAAAACTGACTCCTTTTTCACTCTGTGGCTTAACTTGGAGCTGCTGGTGCCTGTAGCCATAGACTGCTGGATAGACAACATTAGGTATGAACAAATTATTCATTATATACAAGGTGATTTTTTTCCATGTTGGTGCCCAATGTTTGGTTTTGTGTATCATGAGGAGGTATTCATTGGGAAGGTATAAATACATCAGGATCATTTCCTCTGCCCTTTTTGAAAACATATTATTGCTAAATGTGTCCAAGTACAAAATCCATAATGGCTAATCCCCTGAAATGCTGGTTCAGTGGTTCAATGACCTCGTGGACTTTCAGCTGTTAAGATATTGATATTTAACTGCTTGTATATGTAACAATCGATAGCCTGACCTTTGAATTATTTAGCAACAAGTTTTGGGGACAAAAATAAAATAAGTAATTGGATAGACATTCCTCCAATGTTTTTGTCAGCACTCACTTAAAATAGTCCAAACAGGTATTTCTTGTAATACAATAACATTTGTTCATTTTGTTGTAATTTGTCTGTTAGCTCCTGATGATCATTTCTAACATCACCATTCCTTGAGTAACCTGAGTACCTGACTAATATAAAAGCCTCAAGGGAAGTAACTTGCCAGATAATACCGTGCACTCGTGCACTGTTTTTTGTGCTCTCTGCATGGAATTCCAGCAATAAAGCCACTGTTGTGTGTAAGCTCTGACTAGCTTTACATGCGTGATATTCCCCATTTACCAACAATATAATAAGAACATTGATCCAACAAATACATTTAAAATTTCTCATCGGACTGAAACTGTCACTCAAATAAGTTGAAAAACTCACAAGACAAATTATATGTCTTAAGCCTTTGTGTAAGTCCGTACAACTATAACTCAGCCATAACAACTATCAGACATGAGCAGAGGAAACGGAGGAAAGTTGGATAAAAGCAACCCTGGATAGATTCAGTGACGTGACACTGGAGGAGTCTTTATCAAAGAAAGAAAAACCTTCCATGGATAATGGTCTGAAGTGTTTTTTTTTTTTAAAATACTCTGCTCTGGAAAGAGATTTTCCAACTATAATCAGAAAACACTGGCACTATTTGTACAGGATGTGTTTGAGAACCTACCAAAGGTAGTGCACAAACATTCCCCCAGTCTGAGATGAATGTCGGTGAAGTCTGACCCAACCCAACTTCTCTTGACCCACCACAAGGCAACTATCAGTCGGATTCATCTTTCCAGTGCAACTTTATATATAAGTGCACTACTTACAGCCACCAAGAACTGTCAAAACAGTGAAAATCAAATGTACAATCTCCTCTTCTACCAAAAATGTAAGTTATCTCATTAAATGTCCATGTGGTTTAGTGTATGTCGGTAAATCCCATAGAGCATTAGAAACTAGAATTGTGGAGTACAGGAGTTGCCTTGGGACTGTGGACCAACGTAGCCCAGAGGAGCCAACCATACAGTTTTTTCCCAGAATAAAACACCCAAGAAGAAGAGGAGATGTTAACACCCTCCAACTAAAAAAAAAAAAGGTTTTTATAGTTTCTCCCCCAAGACCCTGACACTGAGGGGCTTAAACCATGACATTAATAAAACATTTCCCTTGGAATTTCTGTTCAGATAAAACCGAAAAGTTTACACCGATACAATCCCATACATTTAAATTTAATCAAAACTATGGATGTAGTCTTCAAGTTAAACTTTCCTCTTGAACCTGGAAAGGGTGGCAGACTATTTTTATTGTTTCCCGAACAAGGAATGAGATGGAGAGGGGAAAAGAGAACTGTTTTTTTACTGTTTTGTTCTTTGAAGGGCCTAAACTTGAAGTTGAAGTTTACTTGAAGTAAATTTATCCAGGCTCAGTAATAAAACAAGATCTAAAAACTCCTTTCATTATTTCTACAACAGGGAAATTTACATTGCTAAAACAGCAGTGGCAAAAACACATTTAGTGCAAAACAAATTGTTTTGGTAGTAGTTACTTGATTGATTGATCTGAAGATGACGGGGTGGTTCATGTGAATTAAGAAGCCACTTTTTATAATGAGTTGTGTCATTAAGTGTATGTTATCAAATTTGTCTGATGAAGGCTGATCTACAACAAGACCACACACACCACTTCATCCCCACCAGGTGTGAACATCAGTGTCCCTGGATTTGGCGAGACCTCTTCACTTGAGTATCTGGACCCCAGCAAACGCGCCGTTAGTAAGTTGATAGCCAGAAATCAAATGTTTGTCTTGATTCTGAAAACCTGGAAAAATATTCAAATTTCCCCCCCAAAAATGATCATTGAAAATCAGATGATCACTTATGGTGCTGCTAAACATTTAGCTCTGAAACTGAAATTTATCAGGCTTTATTTCTATTATTTTAGTGTGTGTGTTTCTGTCTGCCCTCTAGGTCTGTATTTCTTCAGTATTGTGCAGTCTCTGGTTGAGTGGGGTTATACCAGAGACGATGATGTCAGAGGTGCTCCCTACGATTGGAGGAAAGCCCCAAGTAAGCAACAGTGAACACACACTCTTAAACGTAGGCACATTATTGTGACTTGTGATTATTTCATTAATCCATTATACCACTTGACCATTATCACCACTTGACTTGTATTTATCAAAACACCCCGTTACTTCCTCTCATGATGGATCAGAGTCGTGGAATGACTTGACGGTCATTTTTTTCTTCACTTTCAGATGAGAATAAGGAGTTTTTCCTGAAACTGCAGCAGATGATCGAAGAGATGGCAGAGAAAGCTGGCAGGCCTGTAGTCCTGATCGCTCACAGCATGGGCAACATGTACACATTGTACTTCCTTAATCAGCAGCCACAAGCGTGGAAAGATAAATATATCAAAGCATTCGTCTCTTTGGGACCACCGTGGGCAGGGGTGGCCAAGACCCTCCGTGTACTCATATCTGGTAAATACTGGAACTAGTATTACATAAACAAATAAAAAGTGCTGAAATAGTCAAACCCTGACCTACTTTGGCATGGTGTTGTAAAAAAGTACTTTTCACCCCTGCAATCCAGTCCAATTGATGACAAGCACTAGGATTGAAATTATTTAAAATTATCAACAGTTTTGAGGGAAAGCAAGCCATCACAGGTAAACATACCCAGTCTGTATTAACCTATTTTCATTTCATGAGTTATACGTTGCAACTTACATAGAAGCTTAGTTAATTCATTTAACCCCCCAAAAAATGTATTGAGAAAAGGGCAACGTAAGCAAGTTAAGTTTGTACCAGCTAAGTTTATGCTGATGTACAGAAAAAAAAGTTTCAATTAAAGAGAAAAGTGGTTATTAAACATCGATTCCTACTGATTTTAAAGTGTAATGTTCCCAACTTAAGAGGTTAGGTGGTTAGTTTTAGCTTGTTGGTATACAAGTACCTCTTGGATGGAGAAGTACTGAGATACAGTTTACAGCAGGAGTTTGACCAACAAATCCTTTAGTACTTTATATTTATGTCAGTGCTGTAGGTGTTAGCCAACTGAGTCGCAGACAAAATGGTTGTGTAGCAGCCTCTTTATTGCAATTTATGCCACACAAATTTTCCCATGCCTCCCCATACTGTGTCACTCATCCTATATGACTGAATTGTACAGATCACCTGGCTGGATAAAGCATGAACTCTTTCAGTTAAGGATATCCTTTGTTTGCAAATTCTCTGTCACTGCTTACCTTCCTCTGTCAACAGGAGACAATAACCGCATCCCTGTGATCAGCCCATTGAAAATTCGCTCCCAGCAACGCACTGCCGTGTCCACCTCATGGCTGCTCCCCTACGCTAACTCTTGGCCAAAAGATCAGGTGTGTTCACGTTAATGTTTGTTTCTCAACAAGTGTTTATCTTCTTGAGAGCTTAATTTGTTTTCTGTATTTCTTCTTAAATCAATTTGAAGCCAGCAAGCCTAACTGATAACTTGTTGTGAAAAACTGTCAAGACGTGACAGAAAATCATACCCCAATCCGTTCATCTTGTTTTACATATTTTTCTACCCCTATTTTAGAGAACTCGGCTTGCACAATCTCAGCAGCCTTGTTCTAGCTACAGCTACAGATTATCCACCTGTATGTTAACTGCCCAGCACCTAAAAATACAACAGGCAAAGTTACAGACCAGCAAGTGAATATAGTGGAGCATCTTGCTGAAACTTCCCCAGGGGTTGGTGGAGACCATACACTGTTTATAGTACGGACACCGTCTGCCTCCTCCACCCTCCACCCTCTGGTAACGGGCTGCAGTATTGGTCATAAATCTCGCCTTCACCAGCAATCCCTATGAAGCTGTGGACAAACTTTAGAAATTAATTACACAGAATATAAATCTAGGGATACACTGTTTGAGCCGAGTGCCATCACAGCGACTCTCTTGCTGAATGCGTACAATGCTACTGCCCAAGTGGGGGTTCCAGGAAGTGGAGAAAATCCTGGAAATACCGAGAGTGATTCGGCTTCAAATTCATATAATGATGGAAGGCGGAGCTAAGTTGTCCATAGTATATGCAATCTGTGGTGGAGACAGACAAATCTAACAGGAGAGCACTTACACCAAGTGTTGCTTAATATCTGATGGATTTGATAATGGGCAACTGTTTTCTAGCGAAACAACCCAATAATGATACACCTTAAGGTCACTATCAAAGGATAACAGGGCTCCCTATTCACTTGTCATTAAAGTGCACCTGACTTGTTTTTAAGTGCCATTATAAACAGTGATCAAAATGTTACAAACTTACTGTGAACATATCTCATTCCTCTCATAGTAAATAGTTAAGATGACAGACTTCAAACACCTGAAAAACTTTTTTTTTTTTTTTTTTTTCCCCCCCCCATCCAACACAAGGTCTTGGTGCAGACACCCACCGCTAACTATACTGTGCTGGACTACAAGCACCTCTTCTCAGACATTGATTTTGAGGATGGCTGGCTGATGCGGCAAGACACAGAGACATTGGTAGCTGACCTCACACCTCCGGGAGTGGCTGTCCACTGCTTGTACGGTAGCGGCATTCCCACATCTGAGGCCTTCCAATACTCAGACAAGTTCCCTGATGTGGAGCCTACGGTCGTGTTTGGTGATGGCGATGGGACGGTGAACCTACTGAGCGCTGTCCAGTGCAAACGTTGGATAGGAAAGCAAAAGCAGTCTGTGACGCTGAAGGAGCTGCCAGGGAATGAACACGTGAACATGTTGGTGAACTACACGACTGTGGCTTACATCAAGACTGTGCTGTTCTCTCCATGATGCTGCAGAAACTTAAGTATAGAAAGCATAGAAAATCTATCAATCTACTCCAACACTTTTTTTTTCTTTTTTTTTTTATAAATAAACTTAATATTTAAACACACACAAACACTCACACAGCCATACAATACACCGAGAGGGACCAATTCTGCCTGCTTGTCTGGACATTTACTGCCCTAATACTCCCTTGTATGTGCTACAGCTGTTACAAGAGAGGGAGTTTACATTTGTTTTGCTAATGCAGAATTGAAAGTTTTAAATTATTTTAAAGCTAAAAATACACAACTTCCAATAATGTCAGGCTATCTGAGTGGGCATAGAGTTTACAAATGACAAAGTACCCAAGACTGGCTAACCTTTACTGTGAGAGTTTGTCGTCTAGTTAAAATTCATAGATCTAAGGTATGTGCACCTTGTGAAATTGATGTCATACATTTTTATTAATCCAGACATTTTTACTGTCATCTTTGTCTGTATGGCAAAGCACATGCTGTTATTATATTTTTCACATTGCAGCATCTAATTTTTTTAATGCTTGATATAAACTTTAATGACTTAAATAACTGAAAATTCTTTTAACGAAATAGTTTTTTGTCATTGTCCATTGTGATCCAATTTTTATTCTTCGGCCCATTCACAGCCAGATGCTTTTGACCACAGTTTGCTGCCTTTTTTTAAGCACCAAGAACTGGAATCACAGTGGAGAACAATCATACCTCAAAGTACACTTATCAGCTTTTATACGAGCTTTGAATTTCATCTTTTCAACTTAACCAAACGAAGGAGTTTGCTGCTAGAATTGAAAGCTGGAAAAAAAGATAAACATGGGCTTGGTGTCTTTTTGTATTTACCGCATCATTTTCAATTAAATTGTCTTACTTAATGCATGCAAACTTTTTTGAGATGTTTTTTTTTTCCCAAGGTCCAGAGTTTATTGTCATTACTGCCAGTGGCAGAAGATTGCAATGGCAGATTTGTTCTCCAATCTACCCAAATATTTTTTAATTATTCAAGTGATGACAAATGAATGGGAAAAGTTAGCCGCATTACTCTAGGTTCATTATGTCGACTTTAACTATTGTTTTATCTACTTATCTTCTGTTGATGTATACTTCCTGAAGCCAGGAAACTTTGAAGCCAAATATTTTCACAGATAAAACTTAAAAACTTGAGTCTAACTCTGCCTCTTGATTGTTTATTTTTAATTGACCTAAAACAAATGGAATAACATGCAGCTTTGCTGAGACCCTTCTTTGTCAGCTTCCAATGTTGACACAGGTGTTTGACCTTGTCAGTATTAATTGATTTCTTTTTTTTATTTAGAGAGACTCAATAACATCCCAGGTCTACATTATATACTGGTTTGTCGGCTGCAAACTCATATACCTTTGTGTCAGCAACAGACATTCATTGTTCCTGATACTGCTGGTATGTTCAGAGATACAAGGTTTTAGTTCTTAGTTTTAACAACATAATAAAGGCCATACATACATTTCAAAATGTAGACTATGTGTCCCACCTTTAATGAGGGAACTTAGGTTTGCGTCTGAACTCACCTCACAGGAATGAGGATTTAGAGATTTGAAACATGAGCTACCACCGAACTCTGCTTCTTCTCTGAGCCAAAGTGAGAAGTCTACCAAGTTGTTCTGGGTATTTGGGTTGACTGCATGTGCACATTTTGCGCAGATATTAACAAACTCTGTGAGAGGAGCAGAGAATCTCACCAAAACTGCAAACTTGTGGACGCCATCTGCATCAACAGGTGAAACTCGTGGGAGATTCAAGATCTAAAGTCTTCCAGAGCCCAGGTGGTAATGACCTTTACAGAATGATGTTGGTTTTTAATGCAGTACCGCCTGAGGGGTCAAAGATCACTCTGGATTCACTGAATGTTTTGATGATACTATGGACTACAAATGATGAAATCCCTGAATTCCTGCAATTATGTGTTGAGAAATACTGTTCTTTAACAGTTGGACTATTAGATCTCTCAGTTATTCACAAAGTGGTGAACCTCGCCCCATCCTTGCTTGTGAACCTGAACTGAACCTTTCAGGGATGCTCTCTTTATATCCAATCATGGCACTCACCAGTTTCCTATGAACCTGTTTTTTTTTGGAAATTTCTGTCTCAAGGACAAATAAAGGATCTCAAGTCAAAGAGTTGTCATTTCATATATTTATTCAAGAATGATCTTTGCAAAGAAAGGAGAAAGTGTGTGCACAGTCAGAGTTACAGTTCCTCACTGGGGCAGTCCCAGTTAAGAAACATCTGTGGAGATATTTCAGTGAAAGAGAAGTGGAAGTGGAGGTGAAACCTCTGGTCTGATAACACTTCCTTTGTATGGACAGACATCTTTACTATGACGTCATATGAGCTTAGCTGTGCTTTAAAACACATGGCTCCTTAACGATACAATGAATTACAAAGTTTCCTTCACACTGTTCATCTGTAAAATGTACCAAACTGGTATTTTTGGAGTATTCCTCAATTTCCCTGTCTTTAGTTGACCCAACTTTTTTGAAACATGTTGCAGGCATCAAGTTCAAAATGATTGAATATTTGAAAAAAACAATAACGTTAATCAGTTTATATATAAAATATTTTCTTTGTAGTGAATTTAATTGTAGAGGTTAAAAAAGATTTGCAAATCATTGTATTCATGTTTTACACAACATCCCAACTTCACAGGAATTGGGCTTTGTAGTACCAGTATGGCATAAAAGCAAGAATGGGGAGCAGGCTGAGAAAGAGAGGCAGTTAGGGCTGGGTTGACAGACTGTTGATGGTTAAACATTTGTTGGGATAATGGCACTTGGGGTCAGTAAACTGCAGTAAATTGACTAAAATACACTGAGGTTTCTGGTCTGGCAAATACAGAAAAATCTTGACTAAAAAGGAGGGACTACCCTGCACTGTCTGAAACGCAGTCCTTTACCATTACAAATATTACTGAGACTAAAGTTATTGATTTGATTCGATCACTCAAACCATCTAAAGCAAAGGATGTTTTTGGAATGGACACAAACATGCTCAAAGATCTAGGTTCAGCTCTCACCACTCCTATTGCCTCAATCATTAATCTTTCAATTTCATCGAGTCACTTTCCAAAGGCCTGGAAATCTGCGATTGTTACCCCTGTTTTTAAATCCGGTGACTCAACTTCCCTGCATAACTACCGCCCAATAAGCATTCTTCCAGCCATTTAAAAAATCGCAGCTCCCCCTCTCTCCACGCCATGCAGTTTGGTTTCAGATCCAAGCATTCCACTGAAATAGCTACATGCGTGGATGTTTCACTGACAGATAAGGAAGGATTCCTACTGTCTGGAGCTTCACTGTGAGATACGACTTTCTCTGATACCTTGGTACTGGCTAGAGATAGATCATTTAAGGCACTTTGACATGTCAGCATCAGACTTCACAAGGCAGATATCACCAATATCTTTCCTGGATGAAAACATAATTTAGCCGTCACCAATGTCTGCACGTCAAATCTAAACGTGACTTCCTTTAATTTTTCATTTCATTTTTTTACACATCACATCCTCCAAGAATTAGCTCACCATAATCATCAAGCTTCAGAATCACTCTGTTCAAAGTGTTACAGTCTGTGTGTAGCTATTCCAACCACACTTTTCATTTCTTCGCTTTAATAAACCAGTCTCTGAGGGCAAGTCCATCAAATGAATCAATACAATGACTGTTATCATTAATAAATAAACAAGCACAAAAACACACCTAATTTCTGCATCCATTAAGAAGAGTGGGGAATCTCAGGCTTCTCCTCAGCTTCCTGTTGAACAAATACAAATTAATACATGCAGGGTTCCTACACAGGTAGAATTTTCATACTTTTCCACACCCTAAGTTTTAGAATTATTTAAGGAAAAACCTACTTTTCTATTTAAGTTTTAGAACTGTGGTAATAGTCTGGAAACAGAAATATTTTTCCATCCTTTATTTTTCATTTCCCATACTTTTCAAGACCTGAAATTGATCAAATTTATTTCTATACTTTCTGTTCTTGCCTAGGAATCATGTACATGACACCCAAACTACAACAGCACCTCCTTTCCTCTGGAATTCAGTCTTTTATTTTATGTTTATTGTTAAATAATATATTTCCTGTATTAAAGGGTCATTACCCCTCACTATCTTTAAGGCTGATGGTGGTTCTTTGCCAAAAAGCCTCCATTGTTTGTCTGTTCATTATTCCGATTGGATGAAAAGATGTGAAAGAAAATTTAGGTTGCTGACTTTTCTGCTTTTCTGTGAGCCTTGTGGTCACAGAATAAGTCCTGACATAAGTAAATTGTTTCTCATTATGTCATAAAACATTTTTTTTTGTTTCTTATTCTTGTAAATTGGTGCGGTTTGAGAAAAATGAAAGGACATCGGTGCATCTCTTGTACAAAACCAGTGCATGAATATTGTAGAATATCTCAAACACATTATTTGTCCTACGATTGCTATTCATTGATTTTCTTGATATTGTTTGTGCTTAAAAAAAAAAAAACTGCAGAAGACCATGTGATGATAAGGACTGACAGTCAAATTTTAAAGCCAGCAATAACGGGTCTGGTGAGTCTTCATGGTGTGGCCTCTTCTTTGTCATCAGAAGCTGGTCATACTTTCAGCTCAGGTTTGTGTGAGTAAAAATGAAACACAATGAAAGTCTGGTGATTCAGGTTATACCATTTGAGGGCGAGAGGGGGAAATGAAAGGTCTTGTTTCCTGTTTTGCAGTACACCTCCACACAGTCCAGAATCAGAAGGAATGTCCCCTCTCCGTGAGCATCAACCAGACTCTGACACGATAAAACAGAGATGTACACAGAGGTTAGCTAGAAAAGAGTTTGATGTGTTGTGTTACAGTTGATAAACGTCTCTTTGTTTTCATGGAAATGTTTAAAAACGTCCATGAGCAGAACCAAAAAAATAAATTGAAATGTCAAAACTGAACAAGTCAAAGACCAAATTCAATGGCAACTTAAAAAAATAATAATTAAATAACAGTAAAAACCGTTTTTGTCTACAGAAAATCTTGATTTGTACCCAAATATTAAATCTTTGCCATTTTTAACCTTGTCAGCATGAGTCCTGCTGAGACCCAAATAGCCACAGTCAACAAGCAAAGGCTGATCTACTTGGCTTCTGATGTAAGTGTGAACTATCAGCTATACTAGGATACTTTAAATTCGTATTCTGCTGGATCTCAAAGAACAGAATAATGTGAAAAAATTTTGTGAGAATATATTTTGTTCAAATATTTTTCTAGTTTTCTTTGATAATTATGTCCAACAAAGAAAAGAAAAAAAAAAAAACACATAGAACTAGTAAACTTCAACAATGGCCTAACAGACAGGCCTCAACAATCTCCAACAGACTAAAAGACTTCACTCAGAAGACTTGAGATCTGGTCCAAGGAAATGGATACAGCTGTTGCATTTCCAAAGTGAAGCCACTTATGAACCGCAGATATCAGATAATGACTAAAGCATTTTACCCAGGCTAAGAAGACAAAGAACTGGGCTGTTGCCAAGTCGTCCAATGTCCTACAATCTGGGGGAAGAGTCGTTGGTAAAAAAAATTCAATGAGTATAAAGTCGAGTTTCAAGTTTTGGTATTCTGTGATGATTTGGCGATTTGGCAGTGGACTTGATGTTGGTCCACTGTGTTTCCTCAAGTCTGTCAATGCAGCAACTAGACGATTTTTAGAGAACCTCATACTTAAGCTGTTGAAAAGCTTCATAAAGGTGCCAATTCTCTTTTCCAGGAAGACTTAGTACCTGCCTATGGTGCTACCAAACTACCAAATGGTTTTCTAACCATGATATTATTTTGCTTAGTTGACCAGCCAACTCACCTGATCTCAACCTAATCAAGAATCGGTAGGATATTTGTCATGGGTAAGATGAGAAAACTCCTGTCTAAAAATACAGACAAGCTGGGTTCCGATTACATTTTGGCAGCACCACAGGCTAATTATCACCATGCCTAACTACACTGATGCTCGAGTTTGTGGTACAGAAGCCACAAGGAAATACTGAGTGTTAAACTGAACATCCTTTTTCAGAGGTTTAACATTTGTGCATTTAAATAATTTTTCTTCAATGATCTTGAGAAAATGTAAAAAAGTACTTCACCTAACATCTAATGAATATAAATTATTTCAACATTTGTCTTTTGGAGTCAAATCAATAAACATTTTCACATCATTGTCCTTTTTGAAATTCATTAGTATCGTTTGGTTCACAGTAAATCTTTCTATTGAAAATAAAAAATAAGTGAAAACTGAAAATGAGACTGAAATAACACATCAGCATCAATGTTTAAAGTTAATATCAACTGAAACATCATTAGCTTGTACCTGCAGGTCTTGAATGCTGTCCTTTATCTGTTCCCTCATGTCTCCAACACACCAGGCTAAACTCACATGGAAAGATGGATCCTTTAAAAGAGAATAGGAGGAACATAATTGACCTGAGATATGGAGGTGCTTTCTTCATTTGTTGTTCAGGTAAAATCATTTTTACAACTACTTAGACTGGCAATTACTCCCCCAGTAAATCACACTGAAAACTGTTTCAACATTTAAATGAAACAGCACTTAATAACAGACACACTTACTTCAGTATTAAGACTGTATATGCAAAAACAGCTTTAATTTTCATGAATATTGAGCTATTTCCCTGTATAAAATAGGAATGGTATCTGCTTTATTATATACATCTCTCGAAATCAAGCTCAGAAAGACATCAATGTTCATAGGAAAGACTATTGCAATGACATCATTAGTTCAGTGAGTCTCGTAGAGGCGCAGTGAGATCTCACATGATTTCCCAACGAACGGCTTTGAGCAGTTTACATCTATTTTCTAGGATAGTTGTGCTTTTTTCTACTCTAGGTAGGGGAATCTCAATCTTAAATTTGCAGTAAGATCAATGTGCAAGGCAGTGTGCTTACAATAAAATGCATTGTATAATTACTCTACATGTGTCTTTGTATTTAGAAAATCTCCCGGGTGGAGTGGCCTGTATTAATGATAAAACACACCTATCCTGTTATCTTTTAATCAATCATCCACCAAGAACTTTCCCAGTGTATATTCTGGTAGCAGCATTTCAACAATAGAAAAAGACTCATTCAGACTAACAGTGTGAAATAAACTGATTCAGAAAAGCTTAAAATTCACTGAGTTAAAACGGATTGAGAAATGACCTTATAGAAAGTGTCCAGATTAAATTCCATCATCGTTCTATCCACTGCTTGTACAAGGTCCAACAGCTGCGGATGCCCATTAGCCACTTCCATCCCCAGAAATGTCCTGAAGTTGACAAACGACAGGCAGATGCACATCTAATTAGCTGGACCAACTCGGCTTGATGCTCAGGTAATTAAAACAAACAAACAAACGTACAGAAAAATAGCTAGGAAAGGGTTAAAATTGTTTGCTACATATATTCTAGCAGAGAGTGCCTAACTCCTTTTATAGCTACCTTTTCTTTTAAAAATTAAGCCAGAGACCTTCTAAAGCAAACTGTTTCCTTTCACAAATTCTTAATCAATACATTGATCATTTAAAAAAACATCTGTTTAAAGTTAGAATGTTAGAGTTTGGGTGTTTTGCCTTTTTTGATTGTCTCACTTCCTTTCATTGAATCTGTTCAATAAAACACTGGCTTTGTTTTGAAACACTACTTCGGCAGGTGACCAAGTCATACATTTAGACCACAAAAAAAAAAAAAAAAAAATGCTGCACCTTGTTCGTTCAGCATTACAATAAACTTTCAATCTTCTCACTGAGCAAAGAAACCTGGCAACAGAGAAGCAGAAAACACAGTGAGTAAATTGCAATCATTATCAGTAGATAACTTACTGCTATTAACCCAATATCTGCAATGCCAAGATCCTGTATGTTGTTGCATGATGAAGACAAAGCAAACCTCTTGCAATGCACAAGGCCAGCCCTGAGACTCTGTGTGAAGGGCTGGATCCAGTGGTGTTTCAGCACCACTGTTTGTGACAGGCTGAGGTGGAAGTCTTCCTGTGGGGTCAAAACCACACCACAATCCCTTGATTTCAAGAGAAGTTCTTGTAACAACAGCCGAAACTCGTCTTCAGGATGGTCTTTTGTGGACAAGACAGAAACAAGTAAAACAAAAAACAAACAAGGTTGAAGAGTCTGTTATTTTAGAAATTCACATAAATAATACATAGAAGTGTAAGTTGCATCTAAAGTGTGTTGTGTTGTCTTACATGGTAAATAAACATAAGTGGCCCAGTTGCCCTGTTCATGCTTAAAGGAGCGGATGCGTCCACCATGAAGAGCACTTTCCTCCGACTTAGAGTCCATTTCATCGGGGAACATGGCCAACAGGCAGCCAGGAAGAGGCAATCTGCTTGAAACGCTGCCCCAAAAGTGAATAAGGTTAATATAAATATCTTTCTGCAGTGACTCTAGAGTAAAACATGAAAATACGGAAAGCAAAAAGTCCTGAAATATTTTTTGCCGTGATTTGGCTTTATAATAATGATTAATTGACTGATAACAGTTGTCAAACAGAAGCGTTGTAAATAGTGTGACAGCATTTACTGTTTCTCTCATGAAGGATAAAAACGGCAGCATTATACCTCATGTGAAGAGCCTGCTCCTGGATTTTGGGCTTCTTCCTTGCTGGACTGTTGCAAACATCTTCCTCATGGCGTTTAAAGGAGACGGCGGCGGCGCTTAGAGAGTGAGAGTCTGCTCCTGCTGCTGCTGCTGCCTCACTCTCCTCCTCTGAACTACTGCTGCTGTAGGCGGTCAGCATCTCAGGGTTTGTGGCCTTTTAGAACACGTAAACACCGTTTGCGCAGAGATGTTGACACAGAAGCGATTAACACATCTTGGCCGACACGAGACTATACAAAACACGTACCCGACAATCCCCTGCACACACGCTTCCACTACACTTCCGCTGTAAACAACTCGTTGTAATGCTATTATGGATCCCAGTGAAACACGGCCCCATATTTTATCAGTTCCCATCTCTGGTATTGGTCGGAGGAGAAACAATTGCTTTCGTGTGTGTTTTTGTGGGACTCTTGGGGTAAGAATAAGTACAATTTTAAAATTAAAAAAGAAGAAAAAAGTCACAAGAATAACAAAAATATTTGTCCGGGTCAATCGAAAGTAGACAAAATCCCATTTAACATATTCACACCCCTCCAAAGACAGTGAGTATACTGTGGTGGGGAGAACATTTGTGTTTTACAATAAAAAAAAAAGTTTATCAAAGCAAACGCGGGCGCGCGCATGTGTGTGCGCGCGAGTGTCTGTTCGTGTGTTCTTGATCTATTCATGTTCCCGTGCGCGAACAGCGGCTAAGGAGCTAGCCAACAGCATCCCCGAAAATAAAAATGCATGGGTATTGGATAGCCGAGAGGGTGCCATGTGAAGCATATTCATGTTTTCGTGAAACGCCCGCGGTTGTGGGACGATTCGGGAAATCACGGGAATTATTTGGCCTATTTTAATGACTCGACTGTCCCTTTTTTGGCCCTAGTAGCCACAGTGCACGAACGAGAGAGAAAACGAGCGGATAGCGGATGTCCAGAAGGGGAGTATTTGAGGGAGAAGCTAACCTACAGCAAGAGTTGACGATAGACAGACGTCCTATCGTAATTTTCCCCAAATGTACAGCCCCTTGTGTGTGGTATGTATGAATACACTGGATATCAGAAAGCATGTCCCTGCTGTTAGGTTGAAGTCGGCTATTGTATTAGCTCACCGCTCTACCCCTGTGGTTGCATTAGCAAGTGGCTAGGCAAGCTAGCCTACATGTCTCGATAACAGTGATCTTTGCCTGGAGACGAAAAGCGTAACGACGTTCCGTGTTACCATCTTTCACTTTAATTTTTGAGTTTATATATCTAATGTTGTAGGTGTATCAGTAAAAACAAGGACAATAAAGCAATAAATACATTAGTTTTTGTCAATTGTGAGCACACTGGTGCCTGTTGGATTATTTGCATCTTCCACATCTTACGAGGGCTGCTAATGATGTGAACACCTTTCGTTCACCTCAAGTGTTACTTTCTGTTAAAACTGTGACACGAGGCGAGCGAAAATAACTGCTCTGACTCTCTTTGACTATTTCATCTTAGTCTGATTAGACAAACCAAAGCTGATGTTTTAAAATGAAAACAATTATTTGTATTGTTTTGAAGCCCGGTGCTACTTTATGTTGCTTTTACTCAGTTATGTCTCACTGTTTTGTCTCAAAACAGTTTGTCAAAGGCAAATGCAAAGCATTTCTGACTATTTTTGTCGTCTGTATTTTGGATACTCTTCTCACCTCTTTTCTACATTTTTCCCTGCAGACACAACTCTGGCCCAGGACTAGGAAGTAACAGAAATTTCCTCTCATCCCTTCACACAAGTCCATCCACATTGGGGCTGTCTCTGTTTTAAAATCCTTTGCCACATCCACTTCAGTCAGAACACCTGCCAGTCATTCAGAGCCAGCTGCTAAAATGGAGTGAGTTCTTTGTCCTGTTTACTCCACAATATTGGTGTCTTCCATTTGATCTTGGGAGTCAGAAATTCTGAGTCAGATATGTCAGCCTTGAGTTTCCCCTGAGTCCCATTTCAAAACTTGGAGCAACTCCAGCAACCCTGAGCATCAACAGTAATACAATCTGCACTTTTAACAGTGCGTCTTAGCAACTAAGTCTAATGTTATGAAATAAAATTAATCACAGCGGTAGTATTTTGCATGCGTTTTCTGTGGGCATGTTGTTACAGTGCTTTTACAGTCACATTGTGTGTTATCACCTAGAATGGTCTAACAGTGCAAACAACCAAGCAGAGCATTGAACCAGGTTGTTTCAGCAGGTAACTGGAACATGGCTGACTCTGATCTGATCTTTTCCCTAATTATGACGTCTGACTTACTTCCAAAGTCAATGGAATGCACCACATCTGTAGCATTAAGTCTGTTACTGAAATAAATGCATATCTCTTTTTCTCATAGCAGTTGGGCCACATCAGCTGCCAAGCTGAATCCTTACAGCCGAGCTCGCATGAGTGAAACATGGCAGCAGCATGCTGTTGCTCCTCCTCAAGTTGTCCACACCATCCCCTCTGGGACTGAGAATTCATTAGGCTGTGCTGTGTATGGTATTGTACTGCAGCCAGATGCTACCTCACTACAGCAGCAGCAACAGAGCCAGCATGGACAGCATGCCCAACACACCCAACAACATAATGGGAGTCAGCAGCATGGAGGTGGACAACACAGTCAGCAGCACCCTTCCCAGGCCCAGCAGACCTCTCTTCAGGTAGGGACAGAGGGAGGGCACAAGTGTGGGGCCTGTGGACATGATATCTCACACTTAGCCAACCCACATGAGCACCAGTGCATGGTGAGTCAGGATAGGTCATTCCAGTGTACCCAGTGCTTAAAGATTTTCCACCAGGCCACAGACTTGCTAGAACACCAGTGTGTCCAGGTGGAGCAGAAGCCGTTTGTGTGTGGGGTGTGTAAGATGGGCTTCTCCCTACTTACCTCTCTCGCTCAGCACCACACATCCCACAACAGCACCAACCCAATGAAATGTTCAATATGTGAGAAGACTTACAGACCTGGTTCTTCTGGCAATGTCACACCCAACCAAAATAATCTCCAGCAGTCCAGCAGCGATAGAGCAACAACCAGCAGCAGCTCATCCATCTTACCATTTCCCTCAGCACGAGACCGACCCTATAAATGCTCAGTTTGTCAGAAGGGCTTCAAACATCTTTCAGAACTCACACGGCATGAGCGGGTGCACACAGGAGAGAAACCTTTCAAATGTGATACATGCGATAAGGCCTTCAGCCAGTCATCACACCTGCAGCACCACCAGCGAACTCATAGCAGTGAACGTCCATTCAAATGTGCTGTTTGCGAAAAGAGTTTTAAGCATCGCTCCCACCTTGTGCGCCACATGTATGTGCATTCTGGTGAGCACTTATTCAAATGCAACTTATGTGAGCTGCACTTCAAAGAGTCATCAGAGCTTCTTCATCACCCCTGCCATCCCCAGGGTTCCCGCCCATTCCGCTGTGCTACATGTGGTAAGGGCTTTAAACGGCCATCTGATCTACGACAGCACGAGCGCACACACTCTGAGGAGCGCCCTTTCCACTGTGATGAGTGTCAGATGAGCTTTAAGCAGCAGTATGCTCTGGTGCGCCACCGGCGCACTCACAAAGACCCCACAGACCGACCATTCAAATGCAATCTGTGCGACAAGGGCTTTATGCAGCCCTCTCACCTCCTCTACCACCAGCATGTACACGGTATGGACAACCTTTTCAAGTGTGCCTCATGCCAAAAGGAGTTCAGCCAGTCTGGAGAATTGCTCAGGCACAAATGTGGTGAGACATCCAGCCCCTCATCAGACAAGCCGTACAAATGTGATGTCTGTGGCAAGGGCTACAAGAAGAGCTCAACATTGCAACGTCATCAAAATGCTCACTGCCAAGAGAAGCCCCTGAAGTGTTCCCTTTGTGACCGCCGTTTCTTGTCGTCTTCAGAGTTTGTTCAGCACCGCTGTGACCCATCGCGGGAAAAGCCACTAAAATGCCCTGAGTGTGAGAAACGTTTCAAATATTCATCAGACCTGAACAGACATCGGCGTGTGCACACTGGAGAGAAACCTTATGAATGCAGCCACTGCAGCAAGGGCTTTAAACAGCGAGAGCACCTGACGAAACACCAGAGCACTCACTCCAGAGAAGGCCAGTTCAAGTGTGTTTGGTGTGGTGAACGTTTTAGTGACTTGGGCTCTTTGCAGGATCACACAGTGCAGCACACAGCAGATGGAGGAGGTTACCCAGTCTCCCAGTGCATATAAGCCAACTTTCTTTTTGAAACAGTCATGGCCAAAACTCCTCACATTGTCTGTTTTTAAGGCTGTTTATGTAGCCATGCTCTTTTTTAATATTTCTAATGTTTTTTTTTTTTCTTGTTTGTTTGGTTTTTGTTGTTGTATTTTAATGTGAATATTTTGTTGCTCCACTAACATGTCCAAACCCCAAACATATAATTCTGATTGATTCATTCCAGAGTTTCAAATTGATCTTGTTTTGCATTCATACTGTTGTTTTACTTAAACTTCTTCTTTCCCCTTTTCCTTATACAATGTGTAGAGAAAAGACTCCACAACCCCATCAGCAATACAGTTTATTATCATTATTACTATTATTTATATGATTGTATTTCTTTTTAAAGCTTGGCTGTAAAGCATGGTATTGGTTATGCCAGCTAAGCCAATGTCTTCATGATCATAGCCAGAAAACTGCCTCAAATATTAGACTTTTTACCACAGGAGGATCAGTCCCTACAGTCAGTTTGCTGTTTTCAGTTGCACCCCTTCTTGGCTCTTAGTTTCTCCCTTTCCCCTTTTTCTGGTACCAAATGTCTTTGAAGAAAGCTGTGGGCAATGTGAACAGGCAGGTACTGTGATACTAGAAGATATTTAGAGGGATAAATACTAGACTAACCGTGAAGGAAATAAAAGAAAGCAGCCCCTGATTCCAGTGGTGCAAACACAAACCAGAACACTGATGTGGACCAGTAAAACTCCCAATAATATACAGGTCCAGATAAAAAAATAGAATGTCCTAAAAAGTTTAATATTGTTATATAAATTACTTCAAAAAGTGAAACTTCAACATATTTTATTGTGTTTTAAGACTTTTTCTGTTTGAATCTTGATGTTTACGGCTCAGCTCATGAAAAGGAAAAATCCACTGACTCAAAACACCAAAGAAAGGATTTCTTGTACAGAAATGTCAACCTTCTGGAAAAATTATGTTAATTGATGTTCTCTGTACTTGTTTGGGGCTCCTGCATGAATTACTGCATCAATGTGACATGTAATGGAGTTAGTTCGTCTGTGTCTCTGCTGGGGTGTTGTTAAAGTCCAGGTTGCTTTGAGAGCTCCTTCAGCTCATCTGTATTGTTGCTCTGGTGTCTCTCATCTTTCTCTTGATGATACTCCAGAAATTCGCCATGGGGTTCAGGTCAGACCAGTTGGCTGGCTAATCAAGCACAGTAAAACCATGATCAACAAACGAGTTTCTGGTAGTTTTGGCGCTGTGGGCAGGTGCCAGGTCCTACTGATTTGATTTTTGTGAGCTGTAAGCCGTATTCATCAAGATTCACACAAACAAACAAACAAATATTGAAGTATGTCACTTTGTGTGTGATGTATCTAGAGTATTACTTTTTGAATTGAATGATGAGAAAAACACCAACTTTTTCAGAATATTCTCATTTTTGAGCTGCACCATATTATTAAAATTTAAAGGGAGAATAGTTACAAAATGCTGGGCAAAGCCCACTTTTATCCAAAACACAATATACCTTTGCATTGATTCTACAGACAGGATGAAACACTATCCATCAAAGAATTTCCTTATTTCACCCTCTGAAGAGAATTTGGTTGAGTGCTTCCAACATGTCTATCCAGTTATTCTGAAAAATTGTTCATTTGGGTTGAGATCTGGTCACTGCAAAAGAGAACCATATGATCCACAGCTTACAGTCCCTGTGGTCGGGGCGATTGAAATAGGTCAAGGGCCCACTTCTTTCAAGTGTAAATTTTTATAATCATTTATCAGCAAAGACTAAAACAGGACTTGGACAACCTTTTTGGTTATCCACTGCTCGATATTTTCGGTAATTGTGTCATTGTATTATGCAGTGCACGCAAGTGGAACTATCTGTATTTATTCTTCCCCATTTTTCTGTTTTTAAGCATCCGCTAATCTTTCGGCCACATAAAGGAATAACTACATACAGTACATAGTAGATACATGCTCATTTTCTTGCAGGGGTCAGTACTATCAGACTTTTGTTTCTGATTTTTTCTAACATCAGCCTGTACATATTGTGATCGTGAAAGTATACTCTGCCACATGAGATGGAGATGTCAGAGTGAGTATTTCTTAAAACCAATATAGATAATAAGAATGAGGAATAATAAGAATAGTTTTTGTATTCTTGCCACTTTTTAACATTTAAACATTTTGACATATGCTCTCTTGTTTTTGTAGTTCATGTAGTGATTGTAAAAATATGTTGCAGGGCATCTCAAAGAGCGCCCAGCAGTTGTGTGTTTGAGTGTGTGAATGTTAATGGTAATCTGTCAAACAGGGAAGTTCTATGTCTGTGAAATATTTTACATGTGTTGAAGGAAATATTAATCCTGTATTCATGTTACATGTTGCTTATGCTTATGGTTGACATTGAGTTAGTCCATGCAGGGTTATGCAAGAGTAAATCACATGGTCCTTCTATCTGAATGGGGTGAGCCTGGAGCACAAGTTTGTTTACATGTACACTGTGTATGCTTTGTTTTTTGTGTACATTGATCTGCAAAGCCCTTGCCTCCCCCTCCTGCTTTTTCACTTGTTTCCTAATTTAAATGCGGTTTAGTGTTAAATACAACAGAGGAGGCTAATGGGGTAAAAAGTTACATATCTTTCTTTTTCTTTCAGCCTTAAAATGAGACCAAGGTGCCACTCACCTCTTCCTTCTACCCGCTGTCTCTGATTAGTGTTCTTGTAATCACCATAATGGTCATGTTGGGTCAGATGGTTGTGCCAGTAAGCCATCAGTCGTGTATCCCCCAATCTAGGAATATAAGACTTTGAGTTAGGATATATCACACGTTTTTTTGTGGCTTTCTTTAAATGCATGCCAGTACTTGTATTCCTTGGTAAAGAGACCAAAACCTTGGTATCAGTTTAAGGATAAACCATGCTTTATTTTCAAAGCCCAGAGTGGCATTAGCTTTCTAAGTTTACTTTTTTTTTCAGAGGCCAAATTAAGGAAGATGCTGTTATTCTAAACTTTATGTAAGGGTATGCTGTAACAGTTAAATAACAGTAAAAACTCTACAGTGTCATGAAAAGGGGGGATAAAAATTACCTGAAGTGCTCAGCAACTCTTGATAAACGATGTCTTGAGGTTACATTTTTGGAATAATCAAGTGAATCCGGATTCAATTCAAGGGGTTCACATATTTTTTCAATACTAACACTAGACTTAAAGAGTACATATAGAGCTAGTAGATAACCCAACTTTACCTGTTCAGCTGCTTTTACTTGTGAGGCCAACTGTCCAAGAGTGTTGTCATACAGGAGTGTTGAGGTAAGTGACACAGCAACAGAGCTATCTTAGAATGCAGTGAAGAGTACAGCAAAGTGGAAGGAAAGACCTGACTTGTTACACAAAAAATGATTTTTCACCCCATATTTAACTAGTAGTAAGGGAAAGAAGGAAAACTCCCATGAATATGAATAAGAAAAATTCTTTGTGCAATTTCAGTGGAAGCTGAATTTTGGACTCCAGTATCCCCTGATCCCTGATTCCCCTTTTTCAGTTCAAATAAATCCACCTGTCAGATCTCAGTTTCTCTTCCTCTGCATGCTTGCTGCGTGCTCTGTACTGGCTTTGGAATGGGTGGTTTCTTCTCTGTGTCACAAAACTATTCCCTCCCATAGCTTTTTAAAATTGTGTGTGGTTTATATGGACAATTTAAAGAAAAAAAAAGAAGAAAAAACTGACAATGTGTTTGTGTACATTCTTGATCAAATTTTCTGTATGTAGCTGTTGATTACACACATCACTAACAAATAAAACTTTTTTACAATCTTACACTTGTGCTAAGGTCACTTCAGCACAAACTCAAGCGGAAACTGTATTCTTCTATATGTCTGTAGGCAGTAAGATTTGTTTTTACTTGGACTTAATTCCTATGAATAGCACATTATTCAAACAGAACATAGCATCTTAAACCAGTGTTGCTACAGCGTCAAAGAGGTGAGAATTGGAAATAGAATATGGGGGAAAAGAAACCACAAAAGGGCCACAGTGGTAAGGAAAGTTGATATCTGGGATGAGCAGCAGAGCAATGTACGTTGATGGTGTCCATGAAAAATGTGCCAAATCTCCTAATACCAAACAGCTTATCCTGCTATCGATTCATGTATGGCATTGTTCAATGGATTGGATAATTGAAGTCTGACAAAACAAGACATATTGGCAATTTAACAGTTAATTCATCTAACAAACCAGAGCCTTAGTAGTGTGTAGGAGAGACATGTACAGCCACAACAGCTTTGCACTTCTTCCTCATGCTGGTCATGATCCTGGTCACGCACCTCTGAGGGATGGTATCTCATTCTTCAATCAGCATTTGTAGAAAGTGTCATCGTGTTGGTTACTGGATCCCACAGGTGTTCAATGGGGTTGAGGTCAGGACTGCTAGGAGGCCTCTTTATCCTTTCCACTCCAAAACTCTGGATAAACCCCACTCAGTGGGGGTGAGCTTTGTCTCTTGGAGTTCAGACCCAGACTGTGGGGATATGGGATTATCACTGGTTGCAGATTGCCTCCAATGATGGCAGGCCTCGTTTTTCCAGTAAGCATTTTTAGCCCAGGAGTTTTTCGGCTCAGACCAGCCCACTTTAATTCACAACCTTTACTGGAGAGATAGAATTTTAGCCTTACTGGTATACAGGTCCAAGATGGAGAATAATCCTCTGCAATCTGCAATCTAGTTATTTTATCAAAAATCAAGTTTCCAGTGTGGCATAACTGTATATACTTGGAACATAGGCAACATATGCCCATGACTTACCAGCATGTTTAGGTAATCATTTATTAACAAAAAGGGGTTATATATATGACATGTGAAGCCCGTAACTTAGTCTTAATAATATCAAACAATATTCATTTTTTTTTATTTCAGTTAAGTTTTGATTAGTTTCATCAGATGGACTTTGCTTTAATTTAGTTTATATTTGTTGAGAATGCTTAGTTTTAGTTAAGTAATTTTTCCTGTTTGTTTGTTTTGTAATATGGGATATGCGTGAAGGGCTTGACCTCTCAGAATTGAACACTGTGAAGAAAAACTCTTAACATCATCTTATTTGGCTATATGCTTTGTCAGAGACTAGAGGTGTTAAAATTAACTATGGCTGATTACAGCACAGATGCAATGGTAAATACCTTGTACCATCCTGGTCATGTCCATGCTGAGGTAGAGGCACCTCAGTCAAAGGGTCGGGACCCTCCCTTGCTTGTTAACATACAGTGGATATAAAAAGTCTACACACCCCTGTTCAACTGCCAGGTTTTAGTGATGTAAGAAAGTGATGGCAAGATAAATATTTTTACAGTTTTTTCCCCCTTTAATGTGACCTATAACCTGTACAATGCAATTGAAAAACAGAAGCCTTCAAAGGAGAAAAATATAAAATAAAAAATCTAACAAAGCTTGGTTGCATAAATATGCACACCCTTAAACTAATACTTTGTTGCAGCACCTTTGGCTTTTATTACAGCACTCAGTCTTTTTGGGTAAGAGTCTATTAGCGTTGCACATCTTGATGTGGCAATATTTGCCCAGTTTTTTTTTGCAAAACCGTTCCAAATCTGACAGATTGCGGGGGCATCTCCTATGCACAGCCGTCTTCAGAACACTCCACAAATGTTCAATGGGATTCAGGTCTGGACTCTGGCTGGGCCATACCAAAGTCTCAATCTTATTCCGGTGAAGCCATTCTTTTGTTGATTTAGATGTGTGCTTTGGGTCATTGTCGTGCTGAAAGATGAAGTTCCTCTTCATCTTTCTAGCAGAAGGCTGAAGGTTTTGTGCCAACACTGACTGGTAATTGGAACTGTTCATGATTCCCTTCACCCTGACCAAGGCACCAGTTCCAAGTATAGAAAAACAGCCCCAAAGTATGATGCTGCCACGACCATACTTCACTGTGGGTATGGTGTTCTTTTGGTGATGAGCAGTGTTGATTTTGCGCCAAATATACCTTATGCAGTAATGCCCAAAAAGTTCAACTTTGGTTTCATCAGACCATAACACAATTTCCCACATGCGTTTGGGAAATTTTAGATGTCTTTTTGCAAAGTTAAGCCGGGCTTTGATGTTTTTCTTTCTAAGATAAGGCTTCCGTCTTGCCACCCTACCCCATGGCCCAGACATATGAAGAAGACAGGAGATTGTTGTCACATGTACTACACAGCCAGTACTCACCAGAAATTCCTGCAGCTCCTTCAGTGTTGCTGTAGGCCTCTTGGTAGCCTCCCTGACCAGTTTTCTTCTCGTCTTGTCATCAATTTTGGATGGACGTCCTGTTTTTGGTAATGTCACTGTTGTGCCATATTTTCTCCACTTGATAATGACGGTCTTTACTGTGATCCATGGTATATTTAATTGCTTGGAAATTCTTTTGTAGTCCTCACCTGACTGATATCTTTGAATAATGAGATCCCTCTGATACTTTGGAAGCTCTCTTCAGACCCTGGCTTGTGCTGGAAGATGTGGCGACAAAAATATCAGGAAAAGCCTACTGGGACAGCTGAACTTTATTTGGGGTTGATTAGAGGCACTTTAATTGGTGACAGGTATGTGCTGACTCCAATTTAACCTGAGTTTGAATGTTATTGGTTAAATCTGGACACTTCCACATCCCCAATTATTAAAAGGGGTGCACACCACATCACATAATCTCAGTTGTTTATTTTTACTTCACCTCCCTGAAAGATTTCTGTTTGTTTTTCAATTGTGTTGTACAGTGTGTTATAGGTCACATTAAAGGCAGAAGAGTTGTGAATTTATTTATCTTTATGTAACTTTTTTACATGACAAAAACTTGGCATTTGAACAGGGGTGTGTAGACTTTTTATTCCCACTGTAACTCCTTCATGTGCGTTATTTTAGCTCACCAACGGATGGGCCCACGCTGAAGGGATGCCTCTGTTGATGGATTAGAGGTGACTACAATAAAAGATCAAGACTAATCTCAAAGGTAAAAACTTTTCTACTTGTCAGGGATATGTCCATGCAGAGCGCTGCTCTGTCTCTAGTAAAATCAATGTGAATCTCCCATCGGCGTTTTCCCTCTCTCCCTGCCAACAGTACAATCAAACAATAAGGTCTTTTTAGCCATCTAAAAGACTTGATTTTCCTTAGCGGATGCAGAATGGCATTGTCCTCAAACGTATCGCCATGCACTGTCTACATCAAAATATGAACAGGACAATGTAAAGAGCAACATCTTTAAAGTTGTTTTTGATTAAAAAGTCGTTTTAATGTGTCAAAGAAAAACCTCCACGCCTATTCCCCCGGCTGGACAACTGTTCGGCTGTGGGATAATTTACTGCCTGAACTGCACTGATGCAGACGAAAGTGCTGGCCTAGTGGACAGTAAAAATATAACTCAGACTATAGTGCACGAAATAATTGGACGTGCACACTACGTCAAATATATCATTATAAATAAATAAAGCAGGATGAAAGTGTTGACATATTTGTCGATTAAATATTTTGCTTTGGGCCCCACTGTGATAAGGAGCCCTCTAATGGCTCGGACAAATAATTGGGTGACAATCACAATTAAAACAGAATCTCTCCTATCATGTGCCGCCAAAAAGCCGCGGTGGCATCCGCCTCACTAGAGGGCGCTGTGTTCTGAGTGTGCAGTTTAACCACACAAACCCTATCTTCATCCCGGCCAGCTGCTTTCACATCCGGGCGGATCGCTCGCTGTTCTTTGCAATCTGCTTCCCTTCCCTCTGCTGTCGTCCGGGGAGGTCCGAAGCTGCAGAAGAAACCCCGAACCCCGGGTTACTTCGTCGGTCTCTGGTTTCGGGGCTCTGGGGCGCTGATTTTCCCGCCCAACCGGTAGCACATGACGCGGGCTACGCCGATGGTGGTGCACGGCGCGGAGCGCTCCCCGTCGGTGCGACATCCCTGCGGTGAAGTAGCATCGCTGGCTAACTGTAGCTAACAACATCGATCGCTCCACTGCTCCACCTCCTCTTTTCCTGCTCGACCGCCGATACCGCTCCATCACACTACAGCAACAGTTGATTGATAGCACCACCGACGACAAACCCTGACCACGACCTCCTGTTGACTTACACAGGAAGCCCACCCCCCTTGCTCCATTAGCGGATTGACGTGATTGAGTTTCTTTTGATCAACAACCTCCTGTCTTGGCGTTTAAGAGTCTGTTCTTTCTCTACCTCAATACTCCGATGACCCGTGTGTAACCTCAACTGCCCTGTCAACCCCATCCTGATTTCCCCTCCCCCTTTGAATCAATCCGGTACCTACTCTGCTGCTAAAGAGTGCAGGTGTTCGAGCACTGGCTGCTAGGATTTCTGTCCGACATCTCATGTGTTCTTCCTCCAGTTCCCATATTTTCACTGCAGCTCTTTAGGGAAACTAGCTGGCTGGTCTGCTACACTTGAAACCCACACAAATCCAGTTTCCGCCCCATCTCTTCAACCTCATCGATTATTTCTGCGACCTCCATTCTCCAGCAGACCCTCACCCCCAACGCTCCAAAGCGCCCGAGCATCGGGTCTCGCCATGCCGGGTCCGGTGGCCGGTAGCAAATCTCGTGTGTACGCAGATGTCAACACGCTGAAGAGTCGGGAGTACTGGGACTACGAAGCCCACGTACCGAACTGGAAGTGAGGGTTATTCACGCTAAGATGCTCTTGATGAACTCATGCGAGCTGCAGAAAACAATTGGAGATGTAGTTTGTTGGAGGAATGATTTCAGATGGGTGCCTTTTACATTCATTAAGAAGATGTGAATATGATATATGATGGACCCATGGTCCCCATGGAGCTTAGGTTTCCTTGCCCCACCTCCATTTCTGTTCCAATTTTAGCTTTCCATGTCTTTTTTTTTAATTGGCAGCTTTATCTTAGTGTAAGCATGTTGATGGTAAAAAATATTTTACCCTGTCATTCTCACAAGGTTACACAATCTCTGCTCTTATTACTCTGTTCCTATAGCAACCAGGAGGACTACCAGCTGGTTCGTAAGCTGGGCAGGGGGAAATACAGCGAAGTCTTTGAAGCAATCAACATTACCAACAATGAGAAGGTGGTTGTCAAGATCCTAAAGGTGAGCACGTTCTTGGCATTGAGCTTGCTAGATATCCTGGGTGTATGCATGCTGGGGGACCTCCATTTTGATAAGTGATTTGATGCTTGTAGCATGGAAATGAGAATCCCTATTTGTTAAAGTTCTCCAAGACGTAACCTGGATATCATTTGGCAATACCTGTTTGCATTTTTGACCAAAAAGAAACCATTTCAGCGTCAAAGGCTCTTGATCACACTGTGTTGTAGCGATGTAATACATATATATGTAAATATATCACAATTCAGCAGGAAATGTCCATATCTTTAAATCTTGATTGAATGCTTAGATGAATTAATAAATGCAATAATGAAATATAGCAATATTTGAACAAATTTGTACATGATTTTCACCCATGTCCATTCATTAGTATCAAGTTCACAGTTTAATACTTATAATACACATGAGTGTGACTGATCAGCTGCATCACTTTTGCCTTGATATATATACTGTATATATATATATATATATATATTTATATATATGTGTGTATATGTGTATATATATATTTATATATACACACAAATATATATGTGTGTGTGTGTGTTATATAAACTACAGAATCTTGTGAAAAATCACTTATTTACATTTACATGTGATTTATCACAAGATTTATCTACGGAACCAGTAGGATCTCTTTTTAAATCTCCCATCGTGAGTGGAAAACCTTTTTGGCCATTTATCGGATCCCCATCCTTTCTTTTACATCTTTGAAATTGGTACAAAGACTGATACTGACAAATTTGGCAAAAGCATTGCTAACAAGATTGCTAATGGTACACAACCAAAAGTTGAGTGCAAGTCTGGAGTGATTCTTTGTTTTTTTTTGTTTTTTTTCCCCGTCTTTGCTCTGTGGCATCGTTGGTTTTTCCTGTGGATTCAGCCAGTCAAGAAGAAAAAGATCAAGCGAGAAATCAAGATCCTGGAAAACCTCAGAGGCGGGACCAACATTATACGACTGGTGGACACAGTCAAAGACCCAGTGGTAGGCTGGCTAATACTGTATGTCCCGTGAAGCAGAAATACTCACATTTACTCACATGACAAGCTTATGTCCCCTAAACCTAACAATGTAAATATATGAACGTAAGACAGTGTCACAGAGTCATATTACAATAGCAGTATGTAGCATTTTGGGGTGTTGTGATTTGATATTTATATACCCCCCCATCTCTTTGCCTCTCTACAGTCCAGAACTCCTGCTCTTGTCTTTGAATGCATCAATAATACAGACTTCAAGGTAAGATATTCACCTCTTCTGCATGTTACGGGGGTCTTTGAGGTTGTAATGAATGTTTTTGGGTTGACTTGACCTAGCTACCTGTTATTCCTCATGAGTAATATTTAAAGGCTTTTGAACTAATTCTGAAAACAAATTAAGTTTAATTTCCTGTATAAATATGTTATTTCCTGCAGGAGTTGTACCAGAAGTTGACAGATTATGATATCCGTTTCTATATGTATGAACTACTGAAGGTGAGAGTCACAGTCCTTGTAGTAGAGTTTTTCATTTTGAAAAGTTAGTTTTGATGAGTGTACTTTTTTTGTCTTAGCTGTTATTGTTAAAAAGATTTTGTTAGTCTGTATTTCAGCGTTTATATCTCATATCTGCGCTTATCCTTGTGTCTGCCAGGCTCTGGACTACTGTCATAGCATGGGGATTATGCACCGTGATGTAAAACCCCACAACGTTATGATCGACCACCAGTTGAGAAAGGTTGGTGTTGCCCTCTGTCCTTCACACTCTTAAAGCCACTATTTTGCCTGAAAGCTCCCTTTTTTATTCTTTGGCTTTCTGCATCATTTTACTGTCTGTTTTTCAGTTTGTCCTGCTTTTGTAGTGGATTTTATATAAGGTTGATGATGTGTGGTGGTAGTCTTGGTAATGTGTTTTACAATAATTGGAGCAAAATTTTATATCAGTCAAATACATATGCTCTGTTGTTGCTTTAACATTGAGAGTGCAGCATTACAACAGGTCTGTAAATGCTTTGTAAAATTCACAGTTAAATATTTACCTTGGTTGTCATGACATGTCTTAATACTTTTTCAACAGTTCATATTTCAATAACTTTGACTTAAAGACATTTAAGAATATTGACACACGTATTCACCAACAGACAAGTGGAAATTACCCTCATAAAGCAAAATAGGAAAAGACAAAAAAACTAAATACGATGTTTTTTTCAGCCAGCATTTGAATGGCATGTGAGTTTCAGGGTATTGATAAGAAAGGTATTGACTAAAACTGTGTGTTAAAAAATGAAATTAATGGGGCACGCAGATGGCCGAGTGGGTTAGTGCGCCCCATGTATGGGGACCACGGTCCCCGCAGCGATCGCAGGCTCAAGTCCAGCCCCGTGTGCTGCATGTCCACCTCCTCTCACTCTATCTCTCCACATTTCACCATGTACTATCAATAAAAGGCAAAATTGCCCAGAAAACTGCTTTAAAAAAATTGAAAATGGACAGTATCCATTAAAACTAAAGATACAAAACTTCCTTAACAGATCATAACTAAGTTTAGCCACGGCACTAACCCAGGCCTTAGATTGATGATTATTACATCAGCTAAGAACACATGTTGTACACTGAAGTGGTGAGACTATCACCTTCCAAATTAGTACCCTGATTAATTAATGGTTCTATAACAATACTACCGGTCTCTTTTAAAGCTTCATCAGCTGTTACTTGTTCAATGTTGTGCAAGTCTGCTTGCAACTTTCCCTTAAGCATCGCTGAATGTCAGTGTTACCAAATGGGCGTCTGCGTCCTGACGGTGATATTATCAGGACTTTCTTGAGTACAGAATCGTGAACTGTTGGCTTGGATATTAAAGAGCTACTACTTTACATCCCCAGTCTTGTCATGCTGCTCTTTGCCGGCATCACCAGTGATTTAGCCCATAAACTTAGCTTTGCTGTAGTTTAACCATTAGCTGTGGAATGATAAAAAACTTCAGTCAGCATTTAAAAGCTAATTAATGGAACAAAAAAATCTTAACAAAAAACAAACAGGGACACCACTTAAACTAACGGGTTAAATTGTGCGCCCCATGCACAGAGATTATAGTTACTGGTCGTGTACAGCACAGGTAAAGATTTAGGCATGGGCTAGCAGGCTTACATATTTGAATAAACCAAATTATATATTAGGGTACACGGTGCTCACAATACCATTGATTGTTTCTAACCCAGGGTTGTATTAGGTTATGGCTTAGCATGCTATTCAGTAACACACTCTCACATACTCATTTGAAACAGAAAGAAACTGAACAGTTATTTGTTTTCCCAGCTACGCCTAATAGACTGGGGTTTGGCAGAGTTTTATCATCCATCCCAGGAGTACAATGTTCGAGTGGCATCACGATACTTCAAAGGCCCAGAACTCCTGGTGGACTACCAGGTAACATGCACCATTGAAATTAGTCTTTTTTTTTTGTACCCTTTTCTCATGGAAAATGTCAAAAGAATTCTGTTGCCTGTATTCTCAACATTGTAAACATGTGTGATGATTTTGTGTTTCAGTTGTATGATTACAGTCTAGATATGTGGAGCTTGGGCTGTATGCTCGCCAGTATGATTTTTCAGAAAGAGCCCTTCTTCCATGGCCAAGACAACTATGACCAGGTACTTCCAACACACATGCAACCATTCTGAATAATGAACAATGACAGCACAATCGGTTAAAGACGGTTTAAGATCAGGGGTTGAAAGTTTAACTCCAGTACTCAAGATGAAGATGAATCAATATTTACTCAAATATAAAACAAAACCAACTTCAGGTAAAAAAATAAAGAAAAAGAAAAGTATTCTATGGCCTTTAAATCATTTCAACCCTGTATTTAATAATACCCTGTATTTAATGGTAATGACAATAATAATGATAATAATAATAATAATAATAATAATAATAATAATGGGGATGATAATAATGAAAATGTTATTGATAATAATGGTAAAATGATAATGAAAATAATGATCATAATAACAAAATAATTAGAATAATATTGATAGTCATAATTATGTTCATAATGATAATTTTAATAATAATGATAATAACTAAACTGATAATAATAATTATCAATGTTGATTTTAATATTAATGAAATTAATAATGATAATAATGATGATGATGATAATAATCAAAAAGAAAAATATATACATATATTATTATCAATATTATTATTATTATAAATAACAATGATCATAATAATAACAACAGCAATAATTATAATCATAATAATAATAATAATAATAATAATAATAATAATAATAATAATAATAATAATAATAATAAACAGTAAGTATTAATAAGTAGTATGGATAATAATAATAATAATAATACTAACAACAATAATAATGATGATGATAATAGAAATAATGATAATAATAATAATCATCATCATCATCGTACTACTTCTACTACTACTACAACACCTTATTTATATTGCCCCGTTCCATATCAGTTGAATGTGGAGCCAGTGCAGATTTTATATGAGGAGTGTGATGGTTAACCTGTTGAATTGTATTGTTGTATTGCATGAAGTGTCTATAGTGTTGTTGCTGGTTATTGTATTGCGTGAACATTGGTGTTCTTCTCTGCATCATGTTTGTTCACCTGACTGTCAGGTGGCAGACTTTATCAAATCAGGTGGCATCTATGCAGCTGATGAAAAATCCTGTGTCCTATATATCTTCTCTTTTTTTCCCTGAGTAGATCTAGGAACCCCATAGATTTTACAATAAGGATTTTTATTATCTCCTCAGTTTTATTTGTAATACTTGAATTATTAAACTAATCCTTGTGTGACAAAGATTCATTCATGTTTAAAATTGGCTGACCGAGTTTTAACCATGATGTTTTGTGTTTTTTAGCTGGTGCGTATTGCCAAGGTCCTGGGGACAGATGAGTTATTTGGATATCTGCGTAAATACCACATTGAACTTGACCCACGCTTCAAGGACCTACTGGGACAGTAAGTCCGCCCTGAGTGTGGGAGTCCTATTCACTTATTGTGAAGTACATTGCAGTGATATCAGAGCCTGAGTGAAGTGTAGAAGCCAAAACAGAATACAGAGGACAAATCTACAGTATGGGCCACCAGAGTGACACAGTACAGAGCCAGGGTACAGGAAGAGCACCCCACCTGCTTAAGTCCATCAGGAAGGGGCAAAAACTACCAATGCTACTGTTGTATTCATGTGTTAGTCCCTTTATCCCGAAACTTAAACTTCACCGCAGTGGTGAGAAATCTTTTTACAAGGACTATAGATAAAGATCATTGACAGTAACTGTTCATCAAGGCAGTCCCGATGAGGACTAACCCAGTTCTCAGCCCACCTTTTCCACACCAGTCCCAGCTGTAGCCCCTCTCAGGTACTGTGCTGTGAAGGTAATTTAACAAAAATAAACAGAAGATTTTATTGTCATTGCACATGTCACAAGTACAGAACAACAAAATTGCATTTCAGTTCAACCCGTCCAAGAAACATAAAAAAGACAGATACATACAGAGAGGGACAGGAACAGGTGAACTGTTGGGTCGCCACAAGAGCGGTGCCCCGTTTTCTTAGATGAGAAAAAAGGAGCACAAGAGGGAGGAAAAGGGGGGAAAAGGCAACTCCAAACTCTGCTCTTGTAGGGGGGCACAGTGAGGGATTAGTGGAAAAAAAACAAAACACCTCAGCACATAAGTAACATGATAAAAAAACATTACAAACATTAAAACTCAAGAACTTGCACATGTTGTAGGGGGGCAAGTGTCAGGGAGGGAGGACAGCACAGCACAGACACTGGTGGGCCAAGAAGGAGTTAAGTTGTGTTATGTGTGTTCTTCATGTATGTGTGGGCCTGTGGCTTCATTGCCACTTCAGTCCCACCCATTTCTTCCTGCCGTCTGATAACTGAAGACGACCTTGGAGAGTTCTGATCCAGAAACAAAGTTCACACGGGGGGTGGGGGCTGGAGGACAGGGCTGGGCATCTGTCTCCAAAACATCCAGTAGAGGAGACATAACAACCTTCCAAGGCCGCCGTGGGGGATCCAATGAAGATAATTGATTTTGGGACAGACAGACTTAATTTTCCATCTACCTTCAGTCTCTCTGGTCTCTGATGGCGTTGACCCAAACGTCCAAATTTGGTGGCCAAGTCAGCGGAGCCGGGCTGTCAGCTTCTCCAAGGTGGCATCCATTGTGCGAAAGCGTCCATCAATCACAACCAGCCTGTGATTAAGCTCGCTTGAGTCTGAGTGTTGACAGCCCTGCACATTCCCTCAGTCATAACAGGCAGCTTCCCAATTTCCTTAAGTGCTGCCAATGTCTTCCAAACTTTTTGATAGATCAGGAAACTGCTAACTCCAAACAGCAGAAAGCCTGTTATCATGATTCCATTTATGTAGACGTCGTCAACATCCCCAACAGAAAGAATCGACAGGCACACAACGCTCCACTCCTCTCAGGAGTCCATGGTGTATCCGGCTGCAAATGTTCGGTTAGGGCAGGCAGGTTCTCCTTTACCCAGTGTTCTCAAATTTGGTTGGTTGTGTTGAGAGACCAGCTGATCGAACCCACGATTTTAGGTTTTGGAGAGAAATGCAGAGAGAGGCTGCAGTAGTTCTGACAGAGACAGCACAAGACTAAAAGCAGCAAGCAGGGCAGATAAAGGTAGGGAGGGAGCAATAGGGAAAAGCATCCGCCTCCGTTGAGAGCAGGTGTTAAAAAAAATAAAAAATCTACCTCTCAGTTGTTTGGACCTTGTATTATTTGCATCCACTTTACAGAGGCAGTGCTGTTTTTCTCTTCACTGAATTCTTTCAACTTTCAACAGAACAGAAACATCCATACTGTGGAGCATGTTATGTTGGTATCAGAGATCAGTTTGTAGAAAAGTAAAAGGTCTACTGATCAATTAGTTCTCTTGATCACAGAACTCTGTGATTTGGGCAACAAAGGAGCAAAGTAGAGGGACTGGCTGAATACTTAAACATGTATATCAAACAGCTGATATCATTGTGCTTTACTGATATCCTACAGCTGGAGCTGAAAAAACATGGAGGTCTATGATGAATATCATCTTCAAAGACTTTGGGGCTGTAGGTGAAACATTAAATCTAAACTCTCATTCAGGTATCTCTTTGGCAAAGTAACTGAAGACTATAAAATGGCACTATTATAGTTACAGCCATCATGCACTAATAATGAATAATTACAAATGAAATTTTTAGCCTTGATATGCAGTATGGATTCACTGTAATCAATATTAATTTTACTGCAAGCTTTTCTGGATTGATCTTAGTCTGGATTATGTGACAGTCTGCAGACAGCAGACTTGCTTATATTTGTACTTGGACATAAACTGCTGTCCATTTCTTGTGAATGCTCTGACTTCTCAATGAGATGACCAGCTTACGTAAAGCTGCCTAGCATGGTCAGTGAAGCCAGATAACCAAAAGATATCAAGATATGCTGAAGTCCATAGTACAGGCCCCCAGGATAAAGAATATAAACTAAAGAGGGATCAACAAGACAAAATGAAACATCCTTTAATTGTCAGTCATCAGCAACTCCTCTGTTACTTCCGCTCACAGCCCAGGGTCTTATTTAAGAAACAGTATTTACAGTTCTTACTGAAACTGTGTGTATACCATAGAAATAGAAAGATGTGTCAATGAAGTACTGTGCACCAAAAAGAAACTCTGATTTATAAAAGTAGCACATGCATTTTCACACAGCACTCCCTTTATAAATCCCAATCCACCAGGGACTATGCACATATGGTTCAGCCTCACATTCTGCTATTACTTTACACCATGGATTGTCCCCTTATACGTACACATGAGCCTCAGGTCAGAGCTTCTTATGCTAGACACCAGTGAGAAAGAGAGGAAATCGAAAGTGTTTGTGATTGAAATAGAATTGATTGAAATAGCCTTTGATAATAATAAATATGTGATATTTGTGTGAGAGCCACTAATGTTTCACACTTGGCTCACTAGTATCATAAATTTTATGGGTGATGAAGACGACAGAGTGTGTAAAGCAGCTGTCTTTATATCTTCTGATGTTACTTCTGATTCTGTGACCTGACAGTAAAGTTAAGATGCAGTCCAGTTTCCTCCTGGATTCCTTGGAGGAACGGAAAGGTGAGAAAAAGATGGTCAAATATTTGGCTCTCTACAATTACATGAGCCAGTAAAATCTGCAGATTTAGTGATGATGATGATTGGAGTTTGTTGAGTTAGGGATATTGAATGTAATAAAATTTGCAGAAGACAAAATACAACCTGACTTCAACTCATGTTCTCACCATCTGTGTTGCAGATAGTTACAAAGTAGTTACTTCTCAGATTTTCATTTTCTAGCTTACCCTTACCTGTGACCTACTTTACTAAATACAGCACCATTTTCTTAGTTACAACCAATAATCCAATACAAGAACTTTGTCGCCAAAAGGAAACTGCAGGTAAACCAAGTTCTGATCTGGTGTGTCAGTGGCTCTGTAAGCTTCTTTGATAGTGGCATGCAGCAGATCCAGGGTTTTGTTTTCTCTGGTAGGACAGTTCACAAACTGTAAAATCAGTCAGGTGAGGGGAGAGGGTGACATGGTTGAAGTCTGGTATCATTACAAGTGCCTCAGGATGTTGAGTCTGTATCCTAGCAACAGTATCATGCAGGGTATCACACAGAGCTTCAGCTGTTGCCTTGGGTGTGATGTATACAAGTATTGTTATGATATGAGAGATATAAGTGAGGCAGTTTGAAGTTCACTTTACAGACTTGTATTTTGCTGTCATAACGGAAATAAAATTGTAAATGGAACAAGTACAATGAGCCATTACGGAAATGTCACAGGTGTTTGTGAGAGCACTCACATTAGATGTCTTTGGTTGTCCTTTTTGTGACTACAGACAGAGCAGAAAGCGCTGGGAACAGTTTGTGCAGACTGAAAACCAGCACTTGGTGAGTCCTGAAGCCCTGGACCTTTTGGACAAGCTGCTACGCTACGACCACCAACAGAGGCTTACAGCAACTGAGGCCATGGACCACCCTTACTTTTGTAAGCCAGACACTTGGACAGAACACAGAAGGGGGGGAAGTTTTATACAGTCCTTTTTACAAAAAAGTCGAAACACTCAATTAAATATGGATAAAAAGAAAATGTTACACTTTGGGAAATTTATATTTTATTGTCAAATGCAGTTATCACATTAGATATTTCAACAGTGAAAATGAGGCTGCTTTTTTTACCTCTTGGTCTATTTTGATATTGATGGCAGGAAAATGTTTAAAAAACTGTGGCAACAAAAAAACAAAAGACTAAGACAATTGTGTATGCTGAAAAAGAAATAACCTGGTGTTAATACATTTGTGGACAACCAGTTGGCTAGAATTAAAGCTGCATTCCCCTATGACAACAGTTAAAGGGATATTCCGTCATAAAATCAAGTCACGGTCAAACACACCATAAAACAAAGTTCGCACCCCCTCGAGAGATGAATGTTGCCGACTGCTTGCTTCTCTAGTTATACCAACTTTAGTAACGACCACACGATAGCAATACACATCGGTCTACATCTCCATGTGCAAACCTCAACCAAAAAGCCACTCTGTAGTCACAAATAATGCACAGAACAGCACCTAACTTCATCAACAGTACATGTAGGGTCCCAGCCATAGTGCTAGCCATCAAACATCATTTTAGCTTTGCCTGATTTCTTTAGCAAGGAGACCAAACACAACTCATCCACTCTCCTCCAGCAGCCGCTTGTTTGTGGGGGAGCCCTGACAAGTCGATCACCGAGTGCAGCGTAAAATTTATGATTATTACTTCATGGAAATACAATCAGACCGAGATGCTAAGGCAGAAGAACTACCGCATCTGCAGTGCAAAACGATTATTATGATGATTATTACTTTATGGAAATGAGTCTTTTCTAAGCTAGTTGGGGAACTTGGATACTATCAGTTCTAACAGTAGAGTAAATAACAAGATTGACATCAATCTATTGCTGCAATGCCAAGTATTGCATAACATTGCAGCACTCCCTGAAGTGTAAAGCATACTGTATGTACGGGTTGCTTTTCCATTAACTGCTCTTGTGGTCCATTTCAGTGCCTTATCTGGGCAAGCATTAGCAGTTTTCATCTGGACTCTAAAATGTTGGTTTGACAATTACATTATTTAAGGATGTCTTCTGTGAGCATTCATGCAAGGACAACTACGGACCAAATCTCTGCTTCACTCAGAACATGCTTATGACAGCAAGACAATATCAAACCACATTCTGTGCATGTAAGAGCAGGACTTTGTGATAGGAGTCTGGCTAGACCGGCTGCTCTGCCGTCCTTATGTGCCCGCTTTTGAGAATGAATCATAAAATATACAGTGTAAAAGTAGACCCTGAACTGTTGAGCAGCTAATAAGCTGTAATTTAATCTTTTAACTTTTTTTTTTTTTTTTTTTGCATTTCAAAAATGTGTCCTTTTTTGTTGTCACTGTTCCAACTTTTGAAAAACATGTCGCAGGCATTAAATTAGAAATGGGCATGTTCTCAAAACAAGCAAGTTTCATTTTTCAATTTAATATCTTTCTACTTCAATTAATGTTGGGGTTTTAAGCGTTTTGCAAATAATTATTAAATTTTTAATTTTGTACTTTTTTGGAACGAGAATGAAGTTGACTTCTGGCTATTGTTATATATGATTGTTTTTCATTTGTTTTTTTGAGAGGTTGAGGTTCCAAATAGTTAAAACTATATATAGCTAAACTATATTTAAGAAATTCTTTAAATGTGTTACTCTCTCTTCCTTTAGACCCAGTAATAAAGGAGCACTCTCTGCCCAACTCTGACAACAACATGGTATCCAGTGGCAACACAACAGCGCGATGAAATACAGGTACAGTGTAAAGAGAGATTTAGTGGTTTCAGCCTTATCTGACCTTTTTTTTTTTTTTTTTAATAAAAACTGTTTCTCTAATTCCAAAATTTGTGTTATTGACATTTTAAGTCACTACATTGATAGATTTAAAATGCCCAGATTTTACCCACCCAGACCAGTAAGTCTGAAGTGGACATAGTCAGTGTCAGTCTGATTCTTGGGCCTAATAAACCAGCCAGGAACCTAACATACATTATTTTGACTCTTAATCCTAGCTAAATCCACCCCCCAAATCACATTACTGTCCTATGGAAAATAAGATAGGCTGTCAAGCACAAGACCAGTCATGAATAAATGGGTAAAAAATTGAAATACAAACAGTGACTCTTGATGCTGCGAGTAACAGCGTTTCTTTAAGTTTCTGAAGTCAGTCACTGATTTGGGCCAAAAGCCCTTTTTACTACAAGTTTGTCTGAAATGTCTGTTATATGTCATTTGAATCTCTGTAATTTTGTCCTCTCTTTCCCATCTTTTACTCTCTTTGTCTCTACAGAAGTGAAAAAGAAGGATTTCTGTTACCTCCACTTTGTGCCCGGTTGTGACAGTAACTTTAAAGTGTACAGTGGCAATGGATCAAAGTAATTCTGACAAGTTACACACTCAAAGATATGTGCATACAAATAAACACATACACAAAAAAACTTACAGGTCATTGCAAGCACACCCTTTCTGCAAACACACATGCAGACAGGTATACATATACCCTCCTCTGTATCAGATCTGCAATTTCCCTGGTTTGTTGTCTCACATCCAGAATAATGGGCCAGATGCTGCTCCCCTATATTCCCTCAAATCATCTTTCCCACCGACAAGGACAAAGTACTTTTAAAAGCAATTTAGCCCCTTCTCTCTCTCTCCTCCTCTTCCTCCTTTTTTTATTTTTTGCAGTGGCATGGAGAATGAACAGAAGTGTGTTAAAGCCTTTATACTATCCCCTGATCCCATACCTGCACCTGTTTATCCATGGGTCTGTCTGTCCCCTAACACCTTCCTACCCTGACCCACAGCAGATGGACAATCTACTCCAGTACTGAAAGTGGCATGGTGGACTTTAAATACCAGGATGATAATACTATTAATATTCATGGAAAAATAAATAATTTTTATTTAGATGAACTTGTCCTGTGTCCAGATTTACTGTGTATTTGATGTTCTGAGTCAGTGACTTTAGCTTATTTCTTTAAAATTTGCTAAAGTTACTTGGTAGCACTGGTAATTCATTCAAGTCAGTGTAGTTCACAGGAAAGTTAGCTCATATTTTCTCTTGACACACTTTGTTAATAACATGATAACACAAGGGTATTACTGCTGTGACATTTCTCCAACAAAAATGAGGACACTGCCATTACAAATGACATAATTACAGATTGCATTAAAGTTTTAGAAAAAAAAAGGTTTATTTTGATGCCTCCAAGTTCAACTTCAAATTCATAAAAGGGAGATTTTTCAGTGATTTATTGCATGAGTTAGCCTTGCTTTAGCACTAAACCATAACATATTTAATTGAAACAATATGCAAGGCATAAATAATCCATCATACACACTCATGTTCCTTGTTACAACTTAGAATAGCTATTTATCACAAGAATCCTGTTAAATGAAAGAAATGTGTATGAGGGTAACAATGTGACGTGCTGAGAGGTGCTAATTTTAATCTTACAGCAGCATCATGTCTGTCGTGCTCATGACTCTTTCAGCAGTATTGTTCGGTACTTTTATTTTCTTTCTTTCACCTGTGGGTATAATGTCTTATAGCTCAGTACCGCCACTAACTTCATTCTCTAAAAAGATGAATTTTGATTCAGCGCTTGACAAACACTGAAAATAACAAATTACAGCTTATTTGAATCCGAATTATCACACGTGTTCAGCCAAACACTGACTCCTGCAAAAGCTTGCATGTAAACAGTAAAAACTACCCACTTTGTTACACCCTCTACCTTTGACCTCAGCCTTTTACAAACAAACACACCTGCTAGAAACATAACTTTATGACTACATTTTTCCAAATGAAGTGCACGGACATTTCACCATACAACATGTTCTTTGCAATTGCACAGTGCAATAGGACAACAATAAAAAGAAAAGATCATACACTGAGACTCTGGACCACGCATTATGACTGATTAGTTAATAAACAAACTTTTGAAAACTTAAACTCGACTTTTGTGAAGTTGCTACAGCAAAGTCTGAAATTATAGATGCTGCTGCTCTGTTTCCCTTTCTCCACAAATTCTTTTACTTCCCCTCTTTACATTCAGCAGTCAGACAAAGTTTGGATGTACTTTCTGAGCATAGAATAGTGACTACCTGTCTCCATATATGACAGGTTGTTACCATAACATAAATTCAATCACACTGGGTACAGTCTTGAGTACTCTGAAACAAACACAAAAAACTGGTACTGTGTACTGCTTGAGTGCATTAGTTTGTCCATTTTAAACATTGAAGATAAGTTAACAATGATAGAAAAATGAATATTACGTAATTTTTTTGTTGTTTTACTATTATTAGTGGTATACTTTAATGGTCATTTATATTACCTGTGAAACTATGTGCGATTTCATCATTACAAATCGCTTAATGAGGAAAAAAAACACCATACTCAAATGCTTGTAACATAATTGTGTATAAAAAACAGTCATGCACAGTTCTTACATTACACATATAACTTACTTAAGCCAAGACTTACTTACATCAGAATCCAACGACAGACACACACACAGCACACAAAGGATTGATGGACTGATCACATAAAGAGGATTTAACTCTGTAGATAATTTTAAGGTTGAGGGGAGGCTGTGGCTCAGTGGTGTAGAGATGGACGTCTCCCAGTCTGAGAGTCAGGGGTTTGATGTGTCCTCACCACTTGGCCACACTCGTTGTACCTGGCTGTGCCGAGTGGTGTCAGAGGAATTAATACAAAAAAAGAAAAAGGATGGGCTTTATACGTTGCAGCTCCTGCCATCAGTGTGTTAATAGGATTTGAAAGGGTGAATACAACATGTATTGTAAGAGTGCTAACAAGCTGAAGAACAGGTGAGATGTTGGTAAATGTAAAGTTTTGGGTGTATGAATGTGAATGCATACTGTATATAAACATACATATCTAAAGTACTTTGTTTAAATTCAGTATTTTCGTCAGGTCACCTCAGTCAGTGTCAACAAATATCAACACATCAACAACTATTAACAACACACATACAGTGATAGCAGTAGCCATGGAGGAGTGTTGATGTTCTGGTGTACAGAAACAATCAACAGAGTGATATTTGTTGCCTTCTTATATGTACAGAAATAACAGGTCACGTGGTAGAACAGTAACTCCAGTAAGAAGACTTACTTCTGCCCACTTCAGAAATAACCACAGTGTATGCTTTAGGTTACACACATACTGATATGCAACTTATCAATGTGACTTTTTTTTCTTTTTTGAAGAGTACATTTAGAAACTGTCCAATTCTGATATTATGGTTAGTCTGTGGTCGTAAGTGGTATGTATAAAGCCCAAAAAACAAACAGAGTAGGTAATATAAATGATCAAAATGTAAGGCTGAGTCTGCAGAGAAAAGCAGGTGTCTTGCAGGGATAAAAGTCAGACTATATACCTCAACAGTTATTGTGACTGAGCATTATTATCACACTTAACTGGCATCAGGGATATGATTGGGGAAGAGATAGATGTGATGCATACAAAGATGGGCCTGTAAGCAACAAGAAGTACACTTATACAAATGACCTCCATATTTTTAAAAAAGAAAAAGAAAATGTTAAGACACAATACAAATGTTAATGTGTTTATGTCTGTGTTGAGTTACTACTGTGCAGAGTTTAAATTTCAAATTAATTTCCTAAAACAAATTCATCAATTCAGAGTTACTTAATTCATTGTTTACTTTATTTTTATTTCATGTTCAAGTTAATGCTTGTCAGGGTTAGATGTTTTGATTTTGAAAATGTTACACATCTTTAGCAGTGTTCAAAAACCTAATTTCACTACCCAAGTTAATAATTGGAACTTGGTAACTTTAAATGTATTATGTAGTAGAATGGAGAACTACACAGCAGGTGTGCGACTGTTGCGTAAATCTCAACAAAGCCAAACAGCGTCCTCTACTGGAGACTTGATACACTGAACAGTACAATATTATGCTAAAAACTCTTGTATTACAATGAAATAATTCTAAAAGGCCAACAGAGTCTGAGGCTAGAAAGCGACGTGATACTTTTTTAAGGGCCTTGTCTTCCTTGTGTGCACAGATATCACCAACACCCAACACATAGTTGTCAGAGTTTGCATTCAAAATCACGACTAAGATGCTAAACAGTCATTAAAAATGTTGACCGGTGTAAAATCAGAAATTTTCTGCTTCCCTTGAATTAACTGAAAAGGTCTAAGGTTGCAAATGCCATTAAGCCATTATCAAACAAACATTAACTGTAACTTGACTGTTCTCCAAAGGATTTTACCGGCTTTCAAAGAGCACTTTAGTATGTAATATATGTGACTGATAATGGCTTTGCACTTTATTTGGATTTGGTAGGGAGAACTTGATGATTCTTTGTGAACGCAGCAGTCATTACTACATCACCTGGTCAGTGAAGGTGGAACTAAAATGGAACTATTACTGTAGGCTCTGTTCATAAATCATCAATTTTCATAAATATGCAGGCCTATGTTAAAAAAAGCTGAGTTCATTGAAAGATCATAAAAAATATTATTTAGCTTTTTAATCTCTGCCTGTGACTAAATGTCGAAGTTTGAAGGATTTGCAAAGTCTTCCTCTGTCATCGTGGAAGTGACGTATTTGCCCAAAGTGTAGATGTTGGTTTAAGGATCGAAACTTTCAATAGCAACTAGTTAGAGCAATGAACTGGATTCACCATTAATCCGATTCTTGTCAATCAGGAAGTGATGACGAACATCAGCCCTTCAATTATCAGGCTGTGATGGCGATCAATAGTTATTGTAAACGTACTAAATGGTTAATATATGTATAAATATTATTGAGTTAAGCCGACGTGGTGGGCTTATCATTAGCTTTTGTTAATAAAGTAAACTGAGAGAGAGGCTACATTCACTTCTTCTTGTCGCCCTTTCAATCGGCCCAGGCCTATTTCTAAGGAAGCAGGTGCGCTTGGGTGTAGGCTAATGCTGCTTTCATGGGACATGCAAAAATCGGGTATCAGAAATGCTTCACGTAAATCTCATTTTTATTGGACTCAGTGACCATAAAAATGTGGGAGGAAATGGCAAATGTATGTGTGTTTAAAGCAAAAAACACATGAGAGGAAAATCATCCAGATATTAGAAACCAGTGGGTCGCCGTCTCTATTGATACTTTGGATCTCCAATCTTTTTCTTGTGTTTGAAGTCCTCACAGACCCCGCCTCTCGCCTCTGCACTCCCGTGAATAGGTAACTAAACTTTTATAGCCTTTTGGTAGTTGACGTCGAAGTTGAATCCCGTGCTTTTGGCATCTGCCTGAGGAGTCTTTCTGTCATTATTGCTGGGTTCAAATTTAATCCAGGTGGAACCTCTCTATCCGCAGAATGTCTCCATCGACGTCCCCCAGGTTCTTCAGTGAGAGGGAAGTGGCCCGTCACTGCACCAAGGACTCCTGCTGGGTGCTTCAGGGGACCCGAGTATACGACGTGACCGCGTTTCTACGGATGCACCCGGGTGGTGAGGCGCTTATTCTTCGCCGGTCAGGCAGGGATGTAGTCCAGGAGATGGAAGGACCCCCACACCGCCACTCTGACAACGCCCGGCGGTGGATGGAACAGTACTACATAGGAGAGCTAGACAGAGACACCGACGAGGCACAGGTAAAGCTGAAGGTTACTTATGCATACACAGCTGAGTTGGTTTATCGCCATTTTCCCGTTTATGAAAACAAAAAGTTTGGGTCAAAGAAAAATCCGTTTTAGGGGTTACCCGGATGTTCGTCCAAGTGTAGGTTATTTCTGGGTGTAAGGTGCTCACTTAAAAAATTATACAGTAGGCTAACTATCTTGGTTGAAGTACTTTTTAGAATATTTCTCCTATAAAAATGAATCACCCAAAAGTGGGCCAACAAAAAATCAGTTTAGTTCAGTTAGACTGTCGCACCAGTTGTGCTGGGGTTGCTTCACGTGGGGGGTTGTACCTGACATTTTCGGACCTTTACCCCGATATGAATTGGACGTCGTTGGGAAAGTCGTAACACGCGCTTACCTGTGCTCCAATTTTACCGTCTATCCTCTAAAGATAACCGAATCTGTGATAACAGGTTGTCCGTGACTTGCCCCGACGTCTCCTGAGGCAGAAAAGTCCCATCCCAGTACGGGAGGGATTGACGAGCCAGCGGAAAAGTCAATGATGGAACACAGGGAGGGGTGTGCAGATGATATCGTAAACCTATGAGGTTGAGGTTGCAGGGTGGATCGGTGGGGCCAGTGGCGTTAATAAATGATTTAAGGCGTGTGTGTGTGTGTGTGTGTGTGTGTGTGTGTGTGTGTGTGTGTGCGTGTGCGAGTGAAAGAGAGAGATACACACTAACAGTAAGAGACAGAAACAGTAGGTAGATTTGGTATAAAGCAGGGCAAATTTGTGGGACAAGGAATCTTTAATCTTTTATTAGATGAATTGACATCCCACAATAGCCCTTGTGTGTCTCTCTAGGGATGAGGAAACATCTACTTGCATAATTGACATTTACATGACTTGTCCACTTTCATGTACCTTTGTGTATGATTAGTTTGGTGTTCAGGTTGCTTTTCCTGCAGGCATAGTCAATACAAAGTCTGCTCTTCTTTATCCACTTTATTACTTTGTTTGCCAGTCACACATAAGTCATAACTATAATGACACAGGACTTTTGGACCTTTTATTGCTCCGTCAGATACATAGTTTGAAATATAAACACACAGGTGTGTTTTATGGGTTAGATGGGATAGGTTGCAGTTAATCATAGTTCCGGGTATTATTACATAGGCTCTTTCAATGTAGTTTTTCACTGTCAGCAGCTATCATCGCACTACCCAATTGATAAAAATAAATAAATGCCAGCGGGCAATCGTTTTCCTAGCTCTTAAAATGAGATTAAGCACTCAGGTCAGGCCATCATCCCGCCCTTTATGTGAATGGACTAATGGTGTATAGAGATGCCTTGTGGTAAAAAAAATATATACACTCACCAGACACTTTATTAGGTACACCTATTTAATTGCTTGTTAACACTATTAGATAATCAGCCAATCACATGGCAGTAATTGCATTCAGATACTGTATGAAGATGTGGTCAGGATGACTTGCAGAGTTCAAATTGAGCATCAAAATGGGAAAGGAAGGGGATTTATGTGGCTTTAACGTGGCATGGTTGTTGGTGCCAGATGGGCTGGTCTGAGTATTTCAAAAACTACTGATCTGCTGGGATTTTCAGGAACAACCATCTCTAGGGTTTACAGAGAATGATCGAAAACATAAAAATATCCATTGTGCAACTGTTGTGTTGATAAAAAATGCCTCGTTGATGTTGGAGGTCAGAAGAGAATGGGCAGACTGGCTTGCGATGATAGAAAGGCAACAGTAAGTCAAATAATCAATCATTACAACCAAGGTATGCTACATTTGATCTCTGAACTCACAATACATTGAACCTTGAAGCAGATAAGCTACAGCAGCAGCAGACCACACCAGGTACCATTCCTGTCAGCTAAAGAACATTGGACAAAAGAAGATTGGAAAATTGTTGCCTGGTCTGATAGGTCTGAATTTGAGGTCAGAGTTTGGCATGAACAACTTGAAATCATGGATCCATCCTGCCTTATATCAACAGTTCGGCTGGTGCTGGTGGTGCAATGTTGTAGGCGATACTTTTTTAGCACACCTTTGGTCCCTTAGTACCAATTTAGTATTGTTTTAATGCCACAGCGTATTCGGGTATTGTTGCTGACTATGTCCATCCATTTATGACCACAGTGAACCCATTTTCTGATTGATACTTCCAGCAGGACAATGCAGCATGTTACAAAGTTCAGAACATCTTAAACTGATTTCTTAAACATGACAATGAGTTCATTGTACTCCAGTGGCCTCCACAGTCACTGATCTCAATCCAATAGAGCATCTTTGGGATGTGGTGAAAAGGGAGATTTGCATCAGGGAGATTTGCATCATGGATGTGTGATGCTGTAGTGTTCATATAGGAAAAAAAATTCTAAGGAAGTTCTGAAGGCAAAAGGGTGTCCAACCCAGTACCAGCAAGATGTACCTAATAAAGTGAGTGTATATAAGAGTAGCACCAACTCCTTGCTGGGCTAGAGGAAAGAACAGCTTATGCCAGGAACTGGGAGTAGGGTTATCATGTCCAAAAGGCCAAGACTAACAACAACAGCAGCTACTTCAGCTACTTAATGTTCAATGTGTGGAAGAATCAAAACACTCTGTATCTCAAATTTCAGGTCGTGCCTTTTTTTATGTGTCTGTAATTAAGGCTGGGTGATAAAAAGATAACGATATGAAAATTAATTTCCCTCGATATCAATTTAAAACATGGTCAATATGCTTTTTGATAGTCGTCATTCTGCCATGTTTTGATAGACTTTACATATAGCCAATGAAAATGGGAGTTGCTTCGGGTCCACAACGCGCTAAACCAATCATGTGCTGGATAAGAACCAAGTAGCAGCAGTGTAGTAGCAGGCTGCAGCTACATGCAACCATAGCACTTTAACACGTGACACCGACAGCTCTGTCAGTGAGAAAAAAGGAAAATGAGTGCTACCCATGACAGAAATGCAGATAAAGGCTCAACAGATGATGACCTCGTCGACAACACTGGCACGGAAACGTCAGTGGTGTGGAGGTATTTCGTTTTTTTTGGGGTCAGACATGAGGCAGAGTAATGTGCTCTGCAAAGTATGTCAAGTACATGATCTCGCAAAGTTGGGGAATACCTTAAATCTTTTTTTCACCACCTGAAGCAGTCCCACACGGCAGAGCATGCGCAATGCAAAAGGTTACAAACCCGAGCGGAGCAGGGAAACCATGGCGCCTGTGCAGCCGAATCAGCCAACCGTTCAGTCCGCTTTCTCTAGCCTTACAACAAAACATCTAAGAGACACAAAGACCTCACAGATGCAGTAGCTTATTGTATTGCAAAAGACATGCTTCCAATAAACACTGTTAAATTTCACTTTTTATATTGTGATATATATCGATATCGACTGATATGAAAAAAATATATTGTGATAAACTTTTTCCCATGTCGCCCAGCCGTACCTGTAATAATAGTAGTTACAAATATTATTTATAGAGCACCTTTCAAGCCAAGTTACAAAGTGCTTTATGAGGGCAGCAAATATGACAAAGTGGACATAAAACTAAGAAAAGATCAAGAAATAAAACATGCATTTAAAAATAGAGGTTTATGTAAGGTTAGGAAAGGATGTATGACATATTTGTGTGTACCAATCTTTGAGCCACCATTCTTGACAACACTGTATGATGTACAGCAGGTTTGTTGTGTTATTGCAGCGTTTTAACACAACCTTACAGAGAGAGATGGGAAATGATAAGATGATCAAATCCTTTATCGATTCCCCTCTCATTTCCTGAGAATTGTCTTTTTACAAATGACAGATTCTATGTGGGTCAGCATGACCAGTTTTAAAACAAGTTTTATCACAATCCCTGCTCTGCTGAGACAGGACAGCCTGGCTTCTGATTGGACCGTTATGGACTTGCAGATTGCCGATATGGCCTCTGTTTGGTCAGCAGACCGAATTCAAGATGGCAACCAAGCATAGCCAGATAATAAGACTATTTCACTAAAACTAATGCTTAACTATCACAGATTACTTTTGTTTTTGAGAGGTAGACAGCCTCTGCAAATACACAAACCGGATTAGAGCTGGGTCATTAAAAGGATTTTAATTTCCATTACAATGTAGCCCTCCCACGAAAATAAAAATATGAATTGAATGAGTGTGACTCCTCCCCTCAAACATCTCTCCCTTTCACTTCGACATGGGCATTTCAGAATGATGTGAAGCAGAGTTTGGGAACACAAGGATGTCCCACAAGGTAGACCGCTGAACCTTTAACACACTGTGCAACAGCAGTAAGAATTATCGTGCAGCTGCAGGTGGAGAGAGAAGGGCCAGGAGAGGAACAACAGGAGGCTGTGTGAGACAGAGAAAGCATGTGGAGGGAGAGACTGCTGCGATCACAAGTGTGCTGACAAGCCTTCTACTAGTAAAACATCTTCAATGACTACTTGGCTAAAATGTGAAAGGCATTGTTGGAATCATAACCAAGTACAAGTCCATGTCTTAATGTTATAAGGTTGATATATAAAAACTTGAAAAGACTGAATGGTTTGTTAAACATGCAGTTTTTGATTAAAGTTAAGCAGAAAAAGTGCTCCTTTTTTATAATGGAATGTAAAAATATTTTTATACGAGTAAAATTTGACATTGAGTGGTTATGAGCAAAATTATTAGTTAGTAACATGGTTAAACAGACATGCTTTAAACTTGCTTTTGTAAACAAAAAAGGTGGGCAAAACAGTTTATTTTTCAAAGAATTTTGAGTTAAATTTTTAAAGAGACTGGTAGCATCACAGTGAACTTATTTATCCGTTAAAATTACGATAGGGGATCAAATGGGGTTTGTCATTCAAACAGCAAAAGTCACGCTTGACCTTAAGAATGAGTCAGTAGGAAGTTGTGATTTACCGAGAAGTAGGTCTCTAAGTTACTAAAGATTAGGGATGTCCCGATCTGAAATGGATATCAGCAAAAAAAAAAAAAATAAATATTGGATTATATCGGCCTGCATCTAAAATCTCAGACATCCGCACTCTGATACAAGTAGTCCATTCCAGACTCCGCTCAAGCACCTTTAGTTTGCAGCACCCTGATCCAGCATGCAGAGCCCACGTTATCACATCAACAGTGTGTACTCAGGTACTAACAAAGAAACAAGGAGTAGAAGTGATGTTGGCTGTGTGGCAGTACTTTTCATTTAAGTCCAAAAAAAGACGTTGCAGCTGAGTGAAAAACTTGTCATGCCCAATTTTGTGCCAATATCATATCAATATCGATATCAGCCTGTACTAAAGTCCACAATATCAGTATTGTATCGGAAGTAAAAAAATTGTTTATGGACACCACTATTAAAGGTGGAGTAAAATGTTTGTGGAGCAGAGTGTATCCTATGTGAAAAAAAGTGATAGAGGAGGCAATGAAGCTCCTTTCCTTGTAGTTTGAAGGGTTCAAATAGCTCTTGATCATGTCCGGCACCCAAGGACTTCTGGGTTATTTGACTCAGCCTGTAGTCAAGTGAAGTCACAACCTCTGCACAGAGCACTCACATGTAGAGTTTTATTACCTCCACCAAGGAGGTTATGTTTTCGGTAGCGTTGGTAATTTGTTTGTTTGTCTGTTAGCAACTTTATGGAGAAAGCTACAGACGGATTGACCTGAAATTTTCACCAGAGGTGCGTCTCAGCCCCAGGAGGATCCCATTAAATTTTGGTGGTGATCCGGACAAAATTCTGGATACTGTGATCCAGAACACACAAAAATAAGGGTGTCATTGGAATTTTAAATGCTGGAAGATAACCAATGGGCGGCACAGTGGTGTAAATGAACGGCACAGTGGTGTAGTGGTTAGCACTGTCGCCTCACAGCAAGCAGGTCCTGGGTTCGAATCCGGGTCAGGGCATTTCTTGTTTTAGGAACATTATGAACAGTGAACATACCAGTTTAAACACAAATAAAAGTTCATAAAAGACACGTAACAGTAAAGTTTTGGTGTGAATCACAATATAAGGGGGGACATGAGCTGCTTGGCGGAGGTCTGCGCTCTCCGAGTGCTTTTCTAGTTATCAATATTTGTTTATTGTGGTACAAAAGCACCACAAAATATTAAAAATTTTCTGCACGTCTGAAAACCTATGCTACCTGGAGTGTAGAAAAATGTGGGTTTTCCTGAAAGAAATGTTCTATTTCATAGCAATCCCATGGGCATGTCTAATGACATAAATATCTGACCCCAGTGTGTCAACAATGGGGGCACCTTTGTTTGCGCTGTAGTCAGGTTGCTTTGTCTTGAAGGGGATTTGCCAGAATGGTTTTTCCACTGTAGGACAGGATATGGAGCTTAAAAAAATCCCATGGCACATTTAAAACAATGACTTTACTCTCACTGTCTGTTGCGTCAGTCATGGTAAAAAGGCAGAGGTAGCCGTCTACGGCTCATGTAAAAATGAATGCTGCTCTGTAGTCGTAATATTGTTAATGCTCATACTGTCAAATGAGTAAAAGCACAAAAAAGTGAGTGTGTGACTAAATGCTGTTGAAAAGCAGAAGGCAGATGCAGAGAAAAAGCAAGAAAATGAGACTCAAACTGTGTGGAAAATTCTTTCAATCTTGAGTTGAATTGTCCGGAAAAACTTAACTTAGTCTTACAGAGATTAGTGTCCAACACAGAAACAATTTAATAGAATTAAGAAAGATCAAAAGGAAAAGGTTAGTCCATCTCAGAGGTTTTTATGGTGACTGTTGGTAAGTCCAGTCTGGAATATGTGTCAACTGTTAAGGAGCAATACTGGTGGACTACTCGAAGAAAGACGTTCATCTGTGGACCCTTATTGCTGTAGGAAGTAATTGTTTTTCTATAAAACAAGCAATGACAGAAAGGGAACTGAATGAGGTTAAGGAGGAACTTCCTCACATAACACCTGCTGATTGTACGATTCTTTTTTATGTTTCTTTTTATTGTCCTTAGATGGGTAGATCAGATGAAGGAAGACAGGAATAGTGGAGAGTAGGGACATGCAGTAAGTGGTTGAGAGTGGGAGACAAACCAGTGACTATTGCCACTACTGTTGTCTCTGTGCATAGGGTGCCCGCTTAAACCGCTAGGGCAACAGCGCCCCCTGATATTGCTGGCCTTACTACACTGATGACAAATTTTACTGTACACAGGTCAATGACATGACGCCTAAATATTTTGTCTGGCTGTATTTTTTTTTTAAGTTAAAAAAGGTTTAAATGCACAAAAATATACTTTCTATATGTAGTGTCTCTCTCATATATGTAGTCACTTCAACTTTTCAAAAATCAGGTCTTATTTGTAATTTTTCTGAACTTCAAAGTGTCAATATATCATGTGGTGCGACCAATAAAAAAACATTAATTGTATTAAATATAGTGATGCACGATATGACAAATTTCAACCGATACCGATAACCGATAATTTTCTTCTTCTCATGGCCAATACCGATACCGATAACCGATAAATTCATATTTTTACATTTATTATAATCTTCATATAATCTGCAGTTTGTGCAGGATGCAGCGATTGAAAACTGATCTTTTTGTTGCTCTGGCCTATCTAGAACAACAAACAAAAGTTTTTGGCTCTTCAAATGTGGTCATTTGCTATAAATAACAATAACAGAGCAAAAAGCAGAACTTCATTTGATCCCCTGAACTGTTCAACAGAACTGTAAACTGTAAAGGAGCTATTATGAGCCGTTAGGCTTAGCATGCTGACCTGACTAACATCTGACGTCCATATGTCTGTGGTAAAACTCACGTGTAGTCCATTCTTGTCGATCAGGTTGTGAATGTATGTGGCGACAATATCATAGAGTGCAGGAAGAGACACATCCGAGAAGAAGCGGCGGCTTGGGAGAGTGTAACGTGGCTCCAAGTGTGCTATGAACTTACGAAAACCCGGGTTCTCAACGACGGAAAAAGGCTGGTCGTCGACCGCTATGAACTCCATCACTTTGTCATTAATGGCTTTAGCCTTTTCGCTGTCTCTTGAGAAGCTTTTGCAGTTCTTAAACGCCTGCTGAATGGGGACATCGATCCTCCGTAGTGTTGTTGTCTTAGCTTTAGTACCGCTAGCAGCTTCGGCGGCTGTCTCATAGTCCTTTAATACTGCTCCGCCGCGATGGCGACTTTTCAGATGAGCTATCAGATTCGTTGTGTTAAAACTTGACGTCTTCATTCCTCCTCTTGGAATCCTCGCTGAACAGGTTTTGCATATAGCAATGCTGTTGTCATCTTCTGCCACTGAGAGAAACGACCATGCTGGTGAAGACATTTTATTATCTGTCAGGCAGTGACGGGGTCAGGCTTGGGACCTGCGAGTAAGGCTTGATAGACGACGTGACCAGCGCGTCTCGGACGGGCGGCTACTCCGCCTGCAAACGTTACTCGTAATTTCATTAATATATCGGATCTTTCTATCGGAAAAATGCACCTATCGGACCGATAAAAAATGACGTAATTTCCCCCCATATCGGCCGATATTTTATCGGTCCGATAAATATCGTGCATCCCTAATTAAATACAAACTAAAATATCTAATTTCTGTAACTGAAACATTAATACCTGATACAATATGCTTAAGTGAAAGGTAGTTTTAAAACATTTTTATCAATATTATGCAATTTAAAGAAAAAATTAGTCAGTTAACTACATTTAATATAGTGACCGTGACATTATAAAGCGAAAATGTGGGATCATTATTTACAAAAACTCAAACGCTTTGTTTCTATCTACTTGATATTACTGACAATTTGTAAAAAAATATTAAGTATGTTGAAAAAATGTAATAATTTTGAGATAAATTATGGTCGCACCAGATGACATTTTTTAAGGCCACGGGCAATTCATCTGTATGAAAAAACACTAAGGTTGTGTAATTCAAAAATTTAACATTAAATTTTGTATACACAACATCCTTAGTGTTTGAACTTTTGCAAAATATATTCTTATTTTTGCTATTTTAAAATTAGCATGTTTAAAAACCTTATACGTCATTGACGCACATATCACAAATTGAACATAGGCTTAGGATACACCCCACCTTCACCTAACCAGATAAACTGCCTCTTTTATTATACTTAAGAGCAGCTCTGAGGTTATCACCTTGGTGATACATTACCCAGCACATTGTTTACCTTTGCTACCATAGAGACTGCAGACATGGCAATTGTGCACTCTGGATGAAGTCCCACCCCCCATACCAGGGTTTCACCTGGAAAGAAGGGGGATGTTTTAGATACATGTGGAATTGTTTCCTTGTTACCTTCGAAGGTCGGCTGTTCAGTGGTCTAAGAAACCATGTAAAACCGGAATATTGTTTTTAATTTTTTTTACATTACGATATTTATTTAATACTCTCTAATACTTTTGGCTTGTGTCCCATAGTTGGTTTGTGCCCCACTGATTTTTGTTATGTATTCAGTATATCCTGATGTTGGGATATCCCTTTTACTTTTCACTAATGTGACTCATGATAAATTTACAAAAGAAACTAAATGCTTCAATAGTGTGATTTTTCTTTTTTCATATATCACCATCTTTTGAGTATCTAGCTGTCAACATTATGTGATGATGGAGAGGTGCTCTTTTGCAGCAGGCAGGCTCAATGTTGTATGCATAAAGTGTTTATGAATGAGGCCTGATGGCTCATAGCACAGGGGGTACACAACATACAAGGGACGGGTTTAAAAACAAACAGTCAGAAGGTGTGGAGGAAACCTCAAGATTCTCAGACACACCTAGGAGGGAGGCAGAGACGGTTAAAGACAGACTCAGAGGCATCTGCAATCCTTCTACCATGGATGTTTTGCATTTTCTACATCTTTGCTGTTGGTCAAAGTCTGTTTAAGAAAACAGCATGAACCTCGTCCTATGTGCTTCTCAGGTAAACCATCTGTAAACAGTGGTGCATAAAGGGAGTAGGCAGCAACAAATCATTCAGTTTGTGTGTGCACTAGGAGCTAACTACTGCCTTATGATTTTCATAAGCACTTCTCTTTTCTATTTTCATCCACTCAGCATCAATTATTATACCATGCAACATTTTAATATTGTTCCTCTTGGACTGATATTAAGATAAAAAGTAAGTCGTCACTGCTGTTGCAATAACACAACAAAGAAAGACCTCAAGCTATTTCACTATGGACCAAGTAATGAAATTGGTTCAAAATCTCTCTCACACAGCAAAAAATCAGCCTTTTACACTTTTGGTTACACTCCATCTCAGTTCATTTGGTCTTTGTGGTAAATTTTTAGGCGTTTTCTACATTAAGACGTTGATTGTTTTTTTTTCTCTTTGACACGTTTCCTTTGTTTTTTTTGTGTTGCTTTAACATGGTGAACCTGTGTCTCTGTAAAGGTATCCCAAAGAGTACAGTGTAAATGTACTCAGATTTTCTAGTCTTTTAGACCATTCAAAGGGCTCTTACACAACTTACCACACTCACCTGTTTATACCATATACACACACTGGTGGAGGACAGATGGACCTCTTTTTTGTTTGGTGTCCTGCAACAACCTTTTGTTTTTTTTTTTTTCAATTAAAAAAAAAAAATGATTGATTGATATTCACATATTTTCACAGAAAGTTACAAGCCATGTTGATTGTGGCAGCAGCCTGAAAAAAAGATGAATGTAAACAGTGGCTGGTGTTGTCCTTAACTTATTTACATTTCAGCCAGACTAAGAATAGCTAAGCTGGATGTGTTAGTCATTATGAAAATAATCATTACCTAAGCTATCAATTAGCCTTCTGTCTGGGACATCAGTGGGGCTGAGTACCATGTCAAATGGATCCATTTTGAGTCCATCTGTAATTCTCAGTTCCAGTCTTGATTCTGAATCTATTTTTGAACAAATATGAACTTGTCTGGTTTCAGTAATTCTGTCAGCTGTTTCTGATGAACCGCAATGACACATGAAAAATATCGAAAAGGCTTGTATTTATGAATATTTCTATAAGTTACTTACTTATTTCTATTCAATTCAATTCAATTCAGCTTTATTTATATGGCACTTTTCGTGCATGAGGAAATGCAATTCAAAGTGCCTCACAGAGGCCAAAAACAACAATAAAGACAAAAACCCAACCCTTCCACCCACACATACACCCATGGACCCACGCGCACACAAAGACACACACCCACCCTCAATCACCCACACATACGCACACACACACAACCGCACACAATGTGAGAATTTACGATATAAGTTAAAGAGATATGGCCTGACACGAGACATTACATGAGGAACGAGCTACCTTTAGGAAACACTGGAGATAAAAATAAAGATCAAAATGGTGAAAAGAGTAAAACCTGATGGACTTAAATAAAAAATAATAGCTCAATTAGGCTTTGTATCTGAGTGTGACAAGATGTTTCCACAGCTAGGAGCAGTTTTATGGACAGTAAACTGCAGCAACTTCTGAATTTGACCACATCAGTGCTTCCTCATTACAGTTGTGCTTCTTCCACTGGATGAAATATCTTTGCCCCATTTTTTGAACTCAACTGACCCTAACCTTTCTTGAGTAAAACGTAGCCAAACTTTCATGTGTCGTGTAAGTCCACCCCTTCCTACAATCTTTACACACTGCATCATCATTAGTGAGGTAAAGACGCATCCATAGAATAGCATAAGGGCGGTTACAGTGTGTATGTGGCACTTAGCTCAATAGTTACTGTTTACATGGTAACGTGACACCGTCTTCACACATTGGCTAGCTACAAAGAGCCTCTGATCCTTTCACATTGCTGCACAAACAAACCAGAGCAGGTACAGGGACAGAGCAAGGGTGGAATCTTGATTCTTGGTCATTCAGGTTCGACTAGTTCTTCAGATAGAAGGGGACAAGTGATCTTGTTATACACACACTGAAACACAAACTTAGAGACACACAAACACACATCATCTTACATAATTAATGAGCTTATTACTTTCATATTGCCTCCCTGTTAAATATCTTACACACTCTTACGCTGCATGCATATTTCTCTGTGGCGATTTTCAGGCTCTTTGCAACTGATTCAGATTTAAGGTACCAACAGTGTAGCACTGGTGCAGTAATGGAGGAATCGGACTCATATTTTGGTTGTGTTGAACACTATTAAGCTCTGTCCCATTATACATCCTGTCAGTGCCTATCCACTCACCTTGTGGAAAAGAGCTATAACCAAAGGATGCTTTTATTACCTCCGCCAAGGAGGTTATGTTTTAGGTAGCATTGGTTTGTTGGTTGGTTTGTTTGTTTGTTTGTTTGTTTGTTAGCAACTTTACAGAGAAAGTTACAGACGGATTGACCTGGAATTTTCACCAGAGGTGCGTCTCAGCCCCAGGAGGATCCAATTACATTTTGGTGGTGATCCAGATCGCCTTCTGGATCCAGGAATTTTTTTGAAGGATTTTTTATCATTGTGAGATAGGGCAAATTTTGGAATTTTTGCATGTAACTCTATAAAAATGGCCAGAGTCTTTAGTAAGAAATTACACAAAAGGATCTAAATGAGTTTTATGAGGTGTCAAAGGTTGATCCTGATCCAGACAAAATTCCGGATACTGTGATCCAGAACACACAAAAATATGAGTGTCGTTGGAATTTTCAATGCTGAAAGATAACCAATGGGCGGCACAGTGGTGTAGATGGGCGGCACAGTGGTGTAGTGGTTAGCACTGTCGCCTCACAGCAAGAAGGTCCTGGGTTTGAATCTGGGTCAGGGCATTTCATGTTTTAGGAACATTATGAACAGTGAACATACCAGTTTAAACACAAATAAAAGTTCATAAAAGACACGTAACAGTAAAAGTTTTGGTGTGAATCACAATATAAGGGGGGACATGAGCTGCTTGGCGGAGGTCTGCGCTCTCTGAGTGCTTTTCTAGTTGGTTTTCAATTACATTTAATATTTTACAGATATTATGTCAACTTCGAGGCAGTAGTCCTCTGGTAAGCTAGCAATAACATATGTGATATCATCATAAAACTGAGCCTGATAATGCCACACAAACACGGTTAAGTGAAATTACTCACCATTATTTTTTGTAGTGTCATAAGAAGTAAAACATAGGCTACTAGACTGTTTGCTTAGTAGGGAGTGATGAAGGGAGGGCAGAAAAAAAGTGAAGAAAGAGAAAACAGTAGTTTTGCAGGTAGGCCTGTCACAATAACAAATTTTGCTGGACGATAATTGTGCTACAAATTATTGCCGATACACGATATTATTGACACCGTTTTTTAAATTATAGATAATGATATTAAATGGCATAATAATGCGAGTACACCGTGTCAAAAGTGATAAACTTTAATTTCACCCACGACGAGCTAAACATAAGTCGGAGATGACTAAAATGTGACGAGACGAAAGTGCGTTTACGTTCATGGGACGAGACGAAAATGACGAACAGAGTTGCAAAACTCAGTCAGTTAAACGCTAAACATATAAGAGCAGCTTCAGTCCGCTCTGACAGCTCTCATCAGCCTGCTGTGCTCCTCCAACACACAGACACACACGCACGCGCGCGCACACACACGTGGAGTTTTGTGGTTGACGAAAACAAAAGTGGTTTAAAGCCGAAATATTCCCACACTTGGGCTGTTGTGTTCGGTTTAGACACCAAAGCTGTCGTGTTCATTCTGTTAGCTTGCGTTTCACTCACGACGCTCACGTGCAGCACTGTATCCAAAAAGTCTGTGTCTGTGTGCCTGTGCGCGCCAGCCCCCTTGTGACAAAGACACTGAATGACTGACAGGAGGGCTCACTAACTCCGTTCATTCCGCTATAGAGCCAACGCCCCCAGGTGCCGAGAAAAATGCGCAGAGTGAGACCTCTTCTCTCATCCAGCGTGTTTGGTAGCGAGAGAGGAGGAAAACAAACGCACGTCAATTATCGAGGCTGGCAAAATGACCGACCTCGTTTTTATTTACCAAGCGATAAGGCGACTTATTGATTATCGCGACAGACCTATTTGCAGGAAAACCCAGGTCTATGTTTAGAGAAGATTATCAGCCAACACAGAGACGCAATTGTTTTGCAACAAAAGATAAAGTAATAAAGACTGTAACCAGGATGGCACCAAATCTGTCTGCTAAAAATTGTTAAATTCTCATTTCTCTACACTGTAGAGATTTTTTTTTTTTCCTTTATGAAGACCGAACAGAGGCAGTACTTAAAGGGATATTACAGTGTACGTCAAAGTCATGTTGCTCTTTTTTTGTGCCTCATGGGCAGGGTGGCACATCATAAGTCAGGTTTATGAAGGATTTCCAATATAAACAAAGTATTGAAAGATGTCTGATCGTCTTATTACCACTCAACAGTAATGGCAGAAACTTCTGTGTAAAGCACTATTACCTTATAGCCAGAGGTGGGGGCTTGACGACTCGACTTGAGACTCGACTTGGACTTGAGTCACATTTTTGACTTGCTTGATGAAATCAAGATGACTTGGACTTGCTTGGGACTTGATTGCTAAAGACTTGAGACTTGACTTGACTTGAGCCCAGTGACTTGAAAAGTCTTTTCAAGTCTGTTCAAGTCACTTAATACCTTACAGCAGGGGTGGCCAACCATGTGCCATGGAGAGCCGAGTGGCTGCAGGTTTTCTTTCCAACCCAAAACACCACCAGGTGATTTCACTGATTACCTTACCTCCAAGCAGAGAGCAGGGACTAAACAGTGAAATCACCTGGTGGTGTTTTGGGTTGGAAAGAAAACCTGCAGCCACTCTGCTCTCCATGGCACATGGTCGGCCACTCCTGCCTTACAGCAAGCCCAAACCGTTTAAAAAGTGTCGCATCAACTAATAGTCAGGAATTACAGCCGTCGGTAACACCGTGTTGTGTTGCCAAGTCTGCTTATTTCCCGCATAAAAAAATCGCTTGTTTTTGGCTTGTTTCTGGAGGTCTGTTTCCTTATTTCTCTCACACCGGGAGGACTGAACATAAATCGCTCGCTAGTATTGCCCGCCTGTTTCCACGTGTTGCCTTGTGTCTCTCTTTTGTTTTGGAACAGTGAATTAGAGTATCAGTTTAATGTTTAATTGTATTTGAGTCTTCCTTATTTTTGTGCACATTGTCTAAGTTTCCAATTATTGAAGTTTATCTGATTATTTTTTGTATGACATGTAAAATAGTTTGGTTAAAGCTGCACTATATAACTTAACACAAACAAGAACCCTTGTTTAATAATAAATGCAAATAGTGAAAAATGCTCATGATTTATGTAAATCTTTACATATAACAAATGGTTTATGGCTTTGATATGACTTGTTTTTGACTTGAAAGAAACGGTAAGGACTTGGACTTGACTTGAGACTTGAGAGCAAAGGACTTGGACTTGCCTCAGACTTGAGAATGAAGACTTGAGACTCGACTTGGACTTGAACATAAGGACTTTCCCCCACCTCTGCTTATAGCTAATCCCATTCACAAATGCAGGTGCAGCCAGCGGGGCCAGGTTAGGGTCAAGTCTTAACCTTCCAATTGGGGACAACCAAGTCTACCACTGAGCTACAACCACCCCTTGATAATGCATTTGTTTCTCTTGAATTGGAGTTTTGGTAGAACATCTGCATCACGTGTATTTATTGAACTGAAAGGCTCTTTTTACTCTTCAACATCTCTAACACTCTGAGGAAAATTAAATGAACATAAAGAGGTAAAAAATAAATGAATAAAATAAAATAAATGGATTAAAATTAAAATAAGTTTCATCTTTCTTCTGTTTGTTTGTTTACCAAAGCCTGTTTGTCATGTTTTCTATCTTTCCTGCTTTTCAAACTTACCAAATCATACAGCAGTAATACAAATACTAAGTATCACATGTAACCATACTGACAGGGATCATGTACTGCATCAATACTACACTTTTAAAACTTTCTCAAGTTTTTGATGATAAATTACATAATCAACTCACTGCAAGGGCCTCAGGGGTGGCTTTACACACCAGCAGCAGCACCAGTTCCACTTCTATCTTTGCCCTCTCCTAGCACAGACTAACTGTGGTTTCTATGTTGTGACAGTGCCAGGCTGTATTGCTCTGTTTTCTTTCTCTGTCAGCTGGAACAGAGCTTTCCTCTACTCTTAATGTTTTTTTTTCATGCTGTGAAAAAGGACTGGTCATCAATCTAAAGTGTCCCTGAATCTTGACCGAAAGTTCTTCAACTGAAATTCATAAATAAGCAAAACATTGAGACGATTCTTCTGAGCCATGATGACATTATCAACAGAAGAGAGGATAGACTGGAGGTTTGATAGTCTAGATTGGTGATTTACAGCTATTAGAGAGCTCATGAAATAAGAATATGTTGTTGAGGTTAATTTTGTCCTCACAAAGCAAAGGAAATTAAATTCCACATGTTAATGTGTATGTTAGGCAGGCCACCTATTGTTTCAATAAGGCCTGACAGGTGTACACAGGCACTCCTGGATTGACAATAACCACAAATGAAAGCCGAGTTCTTATGACCTTTCTCCTGCTTTTCATGTTTACTTAACAACCAGCAACTGACCTGACATTCATCTCATTTTACAGCTTTACACTTATACAGTGGTGTAAAAGATGAGTCAGACTAAAACCAAATCACTGTAAAGCAGAGTTCAAAGCAATAAAGTGAACCTACTGGTTTAAAAACGGGTTAGAAAAACAGGGACAAGAGATGTGATGTGAGAAACCCACATGTATATATCGCATGTCTGTATCTAAATTGTTTGAGAATTTTTTTCTTAATATATATATATATATATATATTTTTTTTTTTAAACAGACTCTGAGAGAAAGAAGAACTGCGAGTGAACAGACATCTGACAAGGACGCCCTGCTTGACCGCTGCAGTACTGTGGACCTTGACAAGGTATGTGTGTGTGGTTGTTGTGGTGATAAGGGATAAAAGAGGGATGAATGGTCTTCAGGTTATTAACCCTGCTTCATTCTGGGAAAAAAAGTCCCTTGTACCTCATTGATTAATCTTGTCCATGTCTGGGTCTTGATCAAAACAAAAACACTAAATCAGCCAGTCAATCATTCAGTCAACAATTTAAGATGTTCTGCTCTCCAACTAGAGTGTTTCATTAGGTCTGATCCAGGCTACATGTTAGACAGAGCTGAGTTTGAGGGTTGCTTCACACCTGTGGTTCTCTACTGTTTGGATGGGACTGAAAAAGGGGGCCCCAGAGCTAAAGTATTTTCAGTGGGTCCGGCATGTATGAGAAAGTTTTTCTTTTTTTTTGAGTCAAACTCAGGCCTTGATTTTCAGGACTGAAAGGGTGGGGGGTGTCATGCTTTTCCACATTTACAACAAAAACTGCACAGTTACAAAGTTTGGTGTCCATTCTACATGTTTCCAAAGTTTAAAATCGTAAGGCAAACGTATTTGGTCATGACCTGAGAGAATAGATGTAAACTGCTCAAATCTCAGACAAACACAAAAACGCGATTAGATTAGGTTATAGATTTTATTTCGGTCATAATACAAAACAAACAGAAAAGAACAAGGCAGGTAAGACATATATATATATTTACATATCTATATATATATATGTACGGTTTACATCGTTGTTTGACCGAAAAGGTTTAGGGCTGAAGCCAAAGCTTATTTTGCCCACCTTTACCACACCGCTGTATGACTATGGAAAAAACATGATACAAAAGTCAAACCAAAGACATCAATACAGTTAGAGCATAACAAAGGGAGTCACTTTTTTTTTCTCTCTTTTCCCTTCTTCTTTTCCCTTTTCCCTTTCCTTTCCCCCTTTAGTTTCTTTCAGTCTCTCACTTACTATTCCTTTTATATCTTTTTTTTCCCTTTTTCCCCCCTTCCCTTTTATTTTTCCCCTTTTTCTTTTTCCTTTTTTCTACCTTTCCCTTTCCTCCCTTTTTCCTTCCAGTTTTTCATCCTTTTTCTTTATTCTTCTCCTTTATGAGGGTGCTAAGAATAGTACTAAGAATAAATAGTAAACATAAATAGATTACAAAAAACAAAACAAACAAAACTAATAAATCAATTGATTAATTAATTAATTAATTGATAAGAAATAAAAAATAAAGAAATAATTTTTAAAAAGTTTAGTTTAGTTGTGAGTTTTGTACGGTTAGTGCGATACCGTAGTTCATGTGCAAGATTTGCTTAAACCTGACGTAAGAATTAAAGACTCTCCTTACTGGTTCATCTGTGCTTCTGGCGAAGCAGAATAGCCTGCCTCCCGAGCAGCGTGTGAAGTCACACCCACAGCAGAGGCGAGCGGGGCCTGAACAACGAGCTCTGCCCTCTACCGGCTTCTGGAAAGCCTCTGGAGAGCCGGCCAATCAGAAGAAAGTAGGCTTGTGGAGGAGAGGCCTTAAAGAGACAGCAGCCAAAACAAAGCGTTGTAGACAGAGGCTAAAATAGTGATATTTTAATACACCACTGTGATCTGATAATCACATTATTAGAGGGGTATCAGAAAGGAAATATAGAGTCTGAAAAAAATGCATGATAACCCCCCTTTAACTTAAATGTTAACACTGATTGTACCAACTTGGACTTGGACTAACATCTTTGGCTACACATGAACTCAGAGGATGGAAATGAAATTTCAGCATTAATTTAGTGATATGCATGGTTCTGTTGTATTAGTTGGGTTTTTTTTGTGTTTTTTTTTGTAAAAGGCCTGACAGTCCTACTCCAATTGTTGTTTTATTTTATTATCATTTAAAGTGTTCTCAGTGGTCTTTAAATTGTGATTATGAAGTTTTTAGCCAAAATCCCCTTACCTGTGTCATTTTCAAGGGCTTTTCTCTTGCAGAGCTCCAGGAGCTCATTAGCATTTACCTCTCAGTCGTGGGCGGAGACAACGCTGTTCTGCACACTCCTCTTCACGCTAGCTTGTAGCCCAACATTGTCGGTGTAGTAGAAGTAGCAGGTAACATAGGAGCTATTCAGCTCTCGGACACAAATGTCTTTGGGGACATGATGAAAGTTAATATCATAATTAGCTTCCTTGCAATCCGCTAATGCGCACACTTGTCCCGCAATCGTCCTCTCTACTTCTTGGGCTCATGCCTGCAGAGCAGGGCACCAGGGACAGAGTATGAACTTGTGATGTAGAAAATCCTACTGTGTCTAAACCTGCTGTTTGGGTCTGCCAGAGGTTCACAATGATTTGAATGCAGAAATATTTAGAAATACAATTTTTGTATCAGAAAAATGCCATATGAACATGTAGACAACAAGAAAAACACGATTTTCATGGGAGTGGGTCTTGAATAATCTATTTACTGTCAAGTCAGGCTGGCATTCACATTTCTTGTTCAGGAATAGTTCCTGCAGTATTGGGGACTTGACTCAGACTCAGATTTGGACTTAGGTAATGGGGACTTGACAATTAACGTTTTTTCGGTGACCCAGACTTAAACTCTGAGTGCTTGAAACTCAACTCAGACTTCAGGTGTGGGGACTTGACTACAACACTGTACCCCTCATGAAACTCTGGTCATTAAGGGTATGGTGGTAGGTGCAGGGGTGAGGAGTGGGAGTTATTTCTCTACGTCATAAACCATAATAATATGGCAAAGAGAGAAAGTGACTCCTGTGTAGAGGTCCCTGCATGACATGTGACCTGGAGTGACTGTCGTTATCGACAGGTATTCATAATTCAGAAACTATTTTCAGTATATGAAACAATTTTTGTTTACTATTTACTATTTTCAGTAAATACTATTTATATAATAATAATAATAATAATAATAATAGTAAATTTTATTTAAAATCGCCTTTCTGGACACCCAAGGACACTGTACAGGGCATTAAAAAAACAGTTAAAACACAGTTAAAATAAATAAAAACAACATACAGGTATGAAGATGGACAGTTAAAGGGAATATGCAATTTGGAACAGATGTGTTTTGAGTTTGGATTTAAAGTGGGGTAGTGAGTCCGTGTTTCTGAGATCCGGGGGGGAGAGAGTTCCAGAGTTTGGGGGCAGAGCGACTGAAAGCCCTGCTCCCCATGGTGCTGAGCCGGGCAGAGGGGACAGAAAGGTGGAGGGAGGAGGAGGATCTGAGGGAGTGTGAGGGGCAGGCGATGTGGAGGAGCTCGAAGAGGTAAGGGGGGGCAAGGTTATGAAAGGCCTTGAAAGTGTACAGTATGATTTTATAATGGATTCTGGACCAGATAGGAAGCCAGTGAAGCTGCTGAAGGACAGGGGTGATGTGGTGAAAGGAGGGGGTTCTGGTGATGATATGGGCTGCAGAGTTTTGGACAAGTTGAAGTTTATGGAGGGATTTGTGAGGGGCACCGAGGAGGAGTGAGTCGCAATAGTCAATACGGGAGGTGACAAGACTGTGGACCTGTATAGCTGTGGTGTGAGGAGTGAGTGACGGGCGGAGATGGTTGATGTTTCGTAGGTGGAAGTATGCAGACCGGGTGATGTTACTGATGTGAGAGTGGAAAGATAGTGAGCTGTCGAGGATGACACCCAGACTCTTAACCTGAGGGGAAGGGGACACTGTGGAGTTGTCTATGGAGAGGGAGAAACTGTCAGTTTTGGAGAGAGTGGACTTGGTACCGACCAGGAGGAGTTCTGTTTTATCTGAGTTGAGTTTGAGGAAGTTTGAGGTGAACCAGGATTTAATTTCTGAGAGGCAGTGGGTGAGGGAGGAGGGTGGAAGAGAGGCGTCGGGTTTGCTGGAGAGGTAGAGCTGGGTGTCATCCACGAAGCAATGAAAGTAGATACTAAATTTGCGGAAGATGCTGCCAAGGGGAAGGAGATAGATAATTAAGAGGAGGGGCCCCAGGACAGAACCCTGGGGCACACCTGAAGTGACGGGGGAGGGCTGTGAGGTGAAGGATTTGAGTTGGATGAACTGAGTGCGGCCAGTGAGGTATGAGTGAAACCAGAGAAGGGGGATGTGTGTGTGTGTACTAATTCTCTCTCGCCTTTCCCCTATCTTGCTGTCTCTCTCCCTCCCCCTGTCCTCTCCCCCTCTCCCCTCTTCTCTCTACATTCCTCCCCAACCCAGCAGCGGCATGGTGGCTGTCTAGCATGAGTCTGGTCCTGCCCAAGGTTTCTGCCTGTTAAAAGGAAGTTTTTCCTTGCCACTGCTACTCATGTTAGTTGAGATGGGCCAAAACCCATCTTAGGTTGGTTCTTGATCATCAAACAATGAGCGTGGTCTCGACCTGCTCTTGTTCTTTGGAAAGCGTCTTGAGATGACGACTGTTGTGAATTGGCGCTATATAAATAAAATTTGATTTGATTTGATTTGATTTGATGTGAGAGATGCCTATGGAGGAGAGTCTATGGAGGAGGATGGGATGAGAGATGGTATCGAAGGCCGCTCTCAGGTCAAGGAGGATGAGGATGGAGATTAAACCGGAGTCAGCTGCCATGAGGAGGTCATTGATGATCTTGATGAGGGCTGTTTCAGTGCTATGGAAGGGACAGAAACCGGACTGGAACTGTTCATAGAGGCTATTGTGGGTGAGATGGGTGTGGAGTTGTAAACAGTAACCTGTAAACCAACATGCAAGCTGATCTAACAGCTGGCAGTGTGGATTGTGCCTTTTAAATGTGCAAACTAACACGTCTTGTCCATTTAGCATGTTTGCCTTCATGAATATGGGAGTGTACGTACCCTGGCTTGCAAGATGCTGGGAGGAGAAAATTAAATTTAGCAACCCAGGTGCCCTATGTTACGCACAGATGGCTGCTATTAATGTGGCAAGGAGAGGACAGGATAACTTCTGATTACCATTGTTTTTTTAAAGCAATTTCTTATGATTTCTTTGGGTCATTTTTATTTAATCTCTCTTCAATAATCTTTAACAGAGAAAAAAACAGTGATTAAACACATCTGGGCCTATAGTCACAGTTCACAGCCACTGTAGCCTATAGAAAGTTAAGATGGACGCCAATATTTTTTTCCTCCTTCATAAGATACACGTCCTTCCCCCATAGGTGCTCGTATAAGGTTGACCTGCTGTGTGTGGGACAGTGGCCAGAGCACCCACGTGCCACAGAGGACCCAGTGTGCACCTCTTGCACAATAGATAAACACCGTCATCAAGAGCTGAACATTTTTAGCTTTGCCACTTGATTTAGGGCGATTTACGTGTGGGTGCTGAGGTTTTATTTTAAGACAATTTTTTATTATTTTTTTTTCACCCTTTGTTCTTTTCATTTTACATTTCTTTTCTCACTCATATCACATTCCCTGTAACCATATTCAGAGGAGCTTTGTTTTAGCTCAAATAGTTTTTCTTCTTTCTCTAATACCTGAACTTGGGCTAAATTTAATTTTCCTCCTACTGCCAGTCTACTTCCTGTCCAAGCTCCCTATCATGTAAACAAGGTCAACAAGCAAAACTTTATGTCAGTTCCACCATCTCCACAGTCAGATTTGGGTTTTAAAACACATGACTGTATTTCATAATCTGTAACTTCAGATAAACACTCCTTAGTGGCGTGGCAGGAGGTAACTGAGGAGCTGGGAGAGGGTGGGGCTCATACAGAGTCAGAGGTTATGAGTTTTTAAAGCCACAATCCTCAGATGAGTGAAGGATTCCTTGAGCTGTAAATCATGGAAAACTACAAAGCTGTCATAGTGCCCGTTCCTTAAAATAAAAAGCAACATCTATTTGCATGTCTCTAATAATAATAAAAATATCTAGAAATGAAGGTTTCTGTTTAAATAATTCATGCATGAAAGAGTTTAGCAAGCCATAGACAGAGGAAGAAGCTATGCCAGTTATGCAGTTGAACAGCCTTTCATTTACACCAGCTACTGAGTTTGGTCACTGTTGAATACCTGAAATGACTCTTCAGTACCTCCACAAAGGTTTTTTCTTTTTTTTTTCCTTTTTTTATCTCATTGATGACTGATGGAGTTAATTTTGCGTTTCACAAACACATATGTAGTTGAAGGTAGAGAATTTAACATTTCAGTTATCAAACTCAGATCTGGGCTGGCTCAGGAGTTTGATCCCAGGTTCTGCTCTCCACATGCTGAAGTGTCTGCCAGCATTGACTACACCACCAGTATGTGAACAGGATAAGTTCATACTGATAGGTACTTTTTTAAGCAGTCTCTGCCATGGATATGTGAATGTGTCATTTCATGTAAAAGTGCTTTGAGCGGTCAGAGGACTAGAGAAAGTGCAGTGTAAACAGTCCATTTGCCTTTCTCTTCGAAAACATGTCATGAAATATCAGGTCGTTTCCATGAGCAAAGATCTTCTTACAGCAGTAACTGAACTTTGACCTCTATGTTTCTTTCTTTCTCTTCCTTAGTCACATGTAAAGGGGTTTTCTTTGAACATTAGCAAAGTATTCTCTTGACATCTGTTATTCACTTTAGCAACTCACAATGTCATAGGCCGACTGTATAAACTGACTAACCAGCATGGGCATAAGGAACGTACTGGCACTGATTACAGGTTAGACGTATGTTTGCAATGAGCCTGATATGTAACAATGACCCAAAATGTAATTTAAAAAAAAGTAATAAAACCCCAAATGTAGTAACTGGCAGATAATATAGCAAGATGTTGAGCCCAAAATGTAGGAACTTTTTGCCCCAAATGTGGCAACTTGTTACATTTTGGGTCCGTTATTAAAATTTTTAACTTTTTTTTTCTCACATTTTTAAATCACATTTGGGCTCTAAAAAGGCAGCAGCAATGCTGATAAAGTTAGTTGTGAACTGTGTGGCTAATTTGTGAACACTATGTTTGTTCACAGTTGGGACATTCGTTTGAATTGTGTAGTGTGCAATTGTTGAGTGTTTCTGTCATTTTGCTAAAAAGAACTATGCTTCTTCTTGCATCAGTAATTTCAACACAAAGGCATAATCTGTATTTTGTTTGTCAAAAGCTCTTGCTCTTACATCTTAACTACCAAATTGAGGCAATCTGACTCAGGGACATCTTCTGACATGTAATCCAGCTCAGCACTGATGAAAGAGAGTCAAAACTAAAGAAAAAAAAGGTTCTGAATCCGAACATGTAAAATCTGCTAGCAAAAAAGCAAAAAGAATATTTTGAGGAGTTTATATTGAGAACTGTTTTCAGACTCAGAAATTTACAGTCAGTGTAGAACCAATTTAGAGGACCATGGACTTGTAATACACACAAATATGAAGACCTGACTTCCTGGTTTCAGTTAATGTAATTTTAATTCTCTCATGCCACCTTCTGGATCCAAAGAGTATCAAAGAGATGCTCAGCCATCATCATCTTTTTTGTGTACCTTTTACTGCTCAGTTATCTGTGTAAGGCATGTATGCTTCCATTTCTTAAATTGGTTTACCTTTGTAGGATTTGGTGGACTGGAGGAGGCCTCTGGCATGGCAGGTAGGCCACCTTGGAGAGAAATATGATGCCTGGGTTCATCAGCCAGTGGATAGACCAATAAGACTGTTTGGAAATCCCTTGTTGGAGGCCAGTACCAAAACTTCCTGGTAAGACAGGAGGAGGCTTTTCTCTCTTCCTTCAATGCCATTTAAAGTATATGACAAGATAAGAGGGGTCTGTTGTACCCCCCAAAAAAAGATCTATATATATATATATTAAACTATACACAGTTATTGTCAAAAGTCAAAACGTTTTTTTATTTAATGTATAATTATTGGTTTTAACTAACTGGTGGATTATGAAACAGAAATGACACAATTGAAGCTCTGAGATCAGCATGTATTGATTGAGAGTGAGACCAGTTTTATGTGTGCTGTCTTGCCACAGGTACTGGGTTCCAGTGGTCTGGCTTCCTATTGTGTTCTATTTTAGTTGGCACTGCTACACCACTCTGGCAAAAGGCACCACAAGGATAGCCCTCACGTCAGGTAACATACCTGTAGAAAAATCTATGCTGTCTATAACAGAATTACAAAAAAACGAGCAGACGACATTCTTTTTATGCATGCACTGTGCATGTTGAAGTGTGTGTGGATGTCAATACCTGTGTGTGTGTGTTCCCAGACTTCTACATCCCCATCCATGAGTACATCTTCCCAGTCCTCTTTTTGTTGGGCTGGTTTTTGTGGTCATTCGTCGAGTACTGCATCCATCGCTTTGTCTTTCACATGAAACCTCCCGCCCATAACTACTACCTCATCACAATACATTTTCTCCTGCATGGACAGCACCACAAGGTATAAACACAACATCTCTTTATCAATTCTGTCATCCACACTGTCAAGTTAAACACATGGTATAAACTCGATTTCCCACAGTCTCCATTTGATGGCTCTCGGCTGGTCTTCCCACCTGGCCTGGCGTCCTTGGTGGTGGGAGCTTTCTATACGATTCTCCGTTACTTGCTTCCAGATATCCTTGGGATATCTGTGTTTGTCGGAGGACTCTGTGGCTATGTGGTCTATGATATGATCCATTACTATCTCCACTACGGCTCACCAAAGAGAGGATCTTATATGTACAATCTGAAGGCATACCATGTGAAACACCACTTTGAGCACCAAAGAGCAGGTAAAAATATGACAGACCAAGGGAGGTCTGACTTTCATGTTCAGTTCTCCTCTATCTGCTTTGATTCTCCCCTCATCTTTCTTAATTCTCTTTCTCTCTCCAGGTTTTGGAATCACCTCGACGTTCTGGGACCACCCCTTTAACACAGTCATCCCAGATGAGAAATTCTAATGGAGAAAAGGCGCCCTCAAGTGGCCACAGGACTCATAAAGCACTATTATAGAAACCAGCCCTCCAATAATCCCCACTGAAGAACCGTACTGTGGTCCTTGCAGATACAGATTTTACACCCTAATAGGATTTTAAATTTTGTGGACTCTTAGATCTCTGTAGTTAATCCATCCTACATAGTAGCTACATAACAAACCAGGCAAGTTTTTGCCTGTGCTCATTTATCTTACCTGTGTTCATTTTTACGAGCTCTCAGAAAGAGGCATTTCCTGATATTTTGGTAAGACGGGCTTTCTGTGACCTTTCTCAATCAACAACTTCCTCAGCTATCCTGTACTATTCACTCTGCCACACAGGGGGTGTCACACACACACACACACACACACACACACACACACACACACACACACACACACACACACACACACACACACACAGTGAAACGTATACATGTTCTTGGATTAATATGGCATCTACTGCAAGCAGTTCAAGGAATTCTCTGTGGTTGTTTTATTCAGTAGAGTATATTACAAATGTTGGGAGACACTGTCATTCAGAACCCTTCACTGCTGAAACAACTTCTTCTCATATTTCCCCAAAGAGTAAGGGATAATTATGCCATTGGCACTGGTGCCAACTATGATACAAAATTATGTTTGACCTTTGGTTTTACCAGAAAATATCATCCTTCATGCTTGGTCTCTCTATGCTTGTAAAACAGAAAGCTCTCAGATATTTGAACATGGAGGAATTGAATAGAAAGTCTTTATTGAATGTAATGTATCAGTGACACAGCAAAGGTGGAATTACACTGTTTTCCCCACTCCTTATCTTCTGGGATACACATATGGCAAACACAGTAAGATACTTTGATATAAACAGGTTTTAAACTGGATCTGGATGAGAGTCAACGCAGTGGTAGGATGTGGTGTTGTTTTAAAAATAAAACTTATTTAGAGTGCATTAAGCCGTACAGATGAATGGCTGTTGGAGAGACAGAGCCGAGGGCATGAGGCCAGCCTGTCAGACTTTCTGTTGTGGGTATCTCAAGGTCACATTAGTGAAGGGAAAGAAAATAATTTCAGTATTAATTTGGCTTTTAAAATGGACCAAACAGAAATTTGCGTGTTTGGCAGGTGAGTAAAAATGCTTTCAGGTGGTTTTCTACATTGTTGGAAAACCATGTTCTGCTGAAAGCACCAATGTGACTCTGGAGATTCTCTAAGGATGACGATGGACAAACCATCTGACTAGACAACAGTCAGTCTTGACAATAACTGGTGGATCCTTCAATATGTTTCTTCTAAATCTAACTCCCGGCAAAACATTGTACATCTAGTATTGAAAAAAAAAACACGTAATCACTTTCATGATATGTATATACAGATGATCACATATATAAATTATTATTGAAAATCTATTTTGCATTACTTACACTTTTTAGGAGCAGGAAAATAAAAGAAGGAGGGGATTGTATTTGCATAGCTTTTCAACAAAATGAACCACGAACACAAAAATGAGGTCAATCTTTTTATAAAAAAGAAAATGATTTGTTCGATTGAAGTAAAACAAAGAAATCAGAGAATCTGAATTTCCTTTTGTACCTGACTCAGTCTGTCCTTTTGTCTATCACACACATCAGCAACCTCTTTCACTCTTTCTGCTGTATATGGTACAGTTCATGATGAGTGTTTGAGCACAGCCAAGAGATTCATGTTATTGTCAAGATAATGAAAAAACGTACCATTCATAAATTGCTTGGGGAATAATTAAAGAAGGAACATTTTTTCATAAACGTGATACGACTAATGAATATTATGGTGCGTAAAATTACTCCTCCTGCTAAAAAAGAGCACATACAGCTTAATTTATTTTATTTTGTTTATTTACATGTGAAAGAAGAAAACAACAGCTTTGTAAGCTCTGATTCTGCTGAATTATGCTGCATGAAATAACATTTCCTCAATGTGTTGACTTCAGTACTTTGAAACTTGTGTTTCAGAATTGTTCATGTCTGTGCAAAGAGAAACATTACATGTAAATAAATGTATGTATATTTTTGATCCTAAAATATCTGGTATGTTGTGTATGATCAAATGATTTGAAGCCCAATTTTTTATTTGTCTATTTACTTGTTTATTTATTCAACGCGGACATATGAAGAAGAACTTTATTGATCCCCAAAGGGAAATTCAATTGTCTGTTGTCTCACATAATATGTCTATAAAAGTTATCTTTTACTTACATACATGAATGTTGCTGAAACCTGAAACCTTTAGCAAATCTCACATGTTCTCTAGAAAATAACCAGCCAAACCTCCATGCTATTTAGTATACCCTAAACATGAAGATCATATGTAGTTTTCCTAAAGTAGGTCTTAATAGGTCTGGAAATTTTCTGATGATGGTAACCATTGCTCTTCAGTAATGACCTATTAAAATAATTCCCGAAAAGTATAGTACAAAATCCGGACAGTATTATGAAGAACAGGAGAAAGTAAAACAGCACAATGCATAAAATTTTACTTTACCTTCCAAAAAAACGAGTCGTGTCTCCACGACACCTAACACCGGAAGTGAGCAGAATGCTAACTCAGGGCTCTCAAGTTTTCAACTAAGCTTAGAGTGAGATTTCCTTGGGGGGGAAATATCAATTAATTAATATCAGTATTAAGTCGTAAAGTTACCTGTTGTGAAGGAGAGTTGTTAAAATCAGCACTGTGGAGCATTTAGATGAATTGTACTTTAGTATAGGTTTCACAAACATGGAGATACTTAATCCTTTGGTACATGAGCATTACACTGTCACATTACCAAAATCTACCCGGATACAGCAATACTGCTTTTTTATTGGCTGTTAAGTAGATATACTTTATTTGATTGGCTTGCGCGTGGCACGCAGCTTCTGAACTCTCGGAGGAACTCAGTTGATTCCTACCTGTTCCATAGTTAAAGAGGTGCAACTTGGTGGACATCACCATGTTCATTTAATTAAATGCGTGAGAAACAGACATGTTTTGAAAATAGTAGATATGGTGACCGAAATATTTGAGTCTCAAATAGCACATAGCCATAGTAAACGCCATTACATTCGGGTACACTCGTGTGGCTAACCACGTTATAACCAGGTAATGTCTTAGGTTACAACCAGGTTATAACCTGGTTATAACAAGGTAATGTCTCAGGTTATAACCAGGTAATGTCTCAGGATATAACCAGGTTATAACCAGGTAATGTCTCAGGTCATAACCAGGTTATAACCTGGTAAAATCCAGGTAATGTCTCAGGTTATTACCAGGTTATAACCAGGTAATGTCTCAGGTTATAACCAGGTTAGAACCGGGTAATGCCTCAGGTTATAACCAGGTTATAACCTGGTTATAACCAGGTAATGTCTCAGGTTATAACCAGGTAATGTCTCAGGATATAACCAGGTAAAAACCAGGTAATTTCTCAGGTTATGACCAGGTAATAACCAGGTTATAACCAGGTAATGTCTGAGGATATAACTAGGTTATAATCAGGTAATGTCTCAGGATACAACCAGGTTATAAAAAGGTAATGTCTCAGGTTATAACCAGGTTATAACCAGGTTATGTCTCAGGATATAACCAGGTTATAACCAGGATATGTCTCAGGTTATAACCACGTTAAAACCAGGTAATGTCTCAGGTTATAACCACGTTATAACCAGGTAATGTCTCAAGATATAAATAGGTTACAACAAGGTTATAACCAGGTAATGTCTCAGGATATTACCAGGTTATAACCAGGTAATGTCTCAGGATATAACCAGGTCATAACCAGGTAATGTCTCAGGATATAACCAGGTTTTAACCAGGTAATGTCTCAGGGTATGACCAGGTTATAACCAGGTTATCAACAGGTAATGTCTCAGGTAATAACAAGGTTATAACCAGGTAATGTCTCGGGATAAACTAGGTTAGAACCAGGTAATGTCTATGGATATAACTAGGTTATAACCAAGTATTGTCTCAGGATATAGCCAGGTCATAACCAGGTAATGTCTCAGGTTATAACCAGGTTATAACCACATTATAACCAGGTAATGTCTCAGGTTGTAACCAGGTTATGTCTCAGGATATAACCAGGTGATAAAACAGGTAACATCTCAGGATATAGCCGAGTTATAACCAGGTAATGTGTCAGGTTATAACCAGGTTATAACCAGGCAATGTCTCAGGATATAACAAGGTAATAACCAGGTAATGTCTAAGGATAAAACCAGGTTATAACCAGGTAATGTCTCAGGATAAAACTAAGTTATAACCAAGTAATGTCTCAGGTTATAACCTGTTTATAACCAGGTAATGTCTCAGGTTATAACCAGGTAATTTCTTGGGTTACAACCAGGTTATAACCAGGTAATGTCTCAGGTTACAACCAGGTTACAACCTGGTCATAACCAGGTAATGTCTCAGGTTATAACCAGGTAATGTCTCAGGATATAACCAGGTAAAAACCAGGTAATTTCTCAGGTTATGACCAGGTAATAACCAGGTTATAACCAGGTAATGTCTGAGGATATAACTAGGTTAAAACCAGGTAATGTCTCAGGTTATAACCAGGTTATAACCAGGTAATGTCATAGGTCATAACCAGGTTATAACCTTGTAAAATCCAGGTAATGTCTCATGATATAACCAGGTTAAAACCAGCTAATGTCTTAGGATACAACCATGTAATAACCAGGTTATAACCAGGTAATGTCTCAGGATATGACCAGGTTATAACCAGGTAATGTCTCAGGTTATATTATAACCTGAGACATTACCTGGTTATTACCAAGTAAAAACCTGAGACATAACCTGGTTATAAACAGGTTATAACCTGGTTATAACCTGAGACATTACCTGGTTATAACATGGTTATAACCGTTATAACCATGTTATAACCAGGTAATGTCTCAGGTTATAACCAGGTTATAACCTGTTTATAACCAGGTTATGTCTCAGGTTTTTACTTGGTAATAACCAGGTAATGTCTCAGGAAATAACCAGGTTATTACCAGGTAATGTCTCAGGATATAACCAGGTTATAACCAGGTAATGTCTCAGGTTATTACCAGGTTATAACCAGGTATTGTCTCGGGATACAACTAGGTTAGAACCAGGTAATGTCTATGGACATAACTAGGTTATAACCAAGTATTGTCTCAGGATATAGCCAGGTTATAACCAGGTAAAGTCTCAGGTTATAACCAGGTTATGACCACATTATAACCAGGTTATAACCACATTATAACCAGGTAATGTCTCAGGTTATAACCAGGTGATGTCTCAGGATATAACTAAGTTATAACCAAGTAATGTCTCAGGATATAACCAGGTTATAACCAGGTAATGTCTCAGGGTATGACCAGGTTATAACCAGGTTATCAACAGGTAATGTCTCGGGATAAACTAGGTTAGAACCAGGTAATGTCTATGGATATAACTAGGTTATAACCAAGTATTGTCTCAGGATATAGCCAGGTCATAACCAGGTAATGTCTCAGGTTATAACCAGGTTATAACCACATTATAACCAGGTAATGTCTCAGGTTGTAACCAGGTTATGTCTCAGGATATAACCAGGTGATAAAACAGGTAACGTCTCAGGATATAGCCAGGTTATAACCAGGTAATGTGTCAGGTTATAACCAGGTTATAACCAGGCAATGTCTCAGGATATAACAAGGTAATAACCAGGTAATGTCTAAGGATAAAACCAGGTTATAACCAGGTAATGTCTCAGGATAAAACTAAGTTATAACCAAGTAATGTCTCAGGATATAACCAGGTTATAACCAGTTAATGTCTCAGGTTATTACCAGGTTAAAACAGGGTTCTGTCTCAGGTTATAACCAGGTAATCACCAGATTATAACCTTGTTACTACCAGGTAATGTCTCAGGTTATAACCAGGTTATTACCAGGTAATGTCTCAGGTTATAACCAGGTTATTACCAGGTAATGTCTCAGGTTATTACCAGGTTATAGCCTTTTTATAACCAGGTAATGTCTCAGGTTTTTACTTGGTAATAACCAGGTAATGTCTCAGGAAATAACCAGGTTATTACCAGGTAATGTCTCAGGATATAATCAGGTTATAACCTGTTTATAACCAGGTAATGTCTCAGGTTATAACCAGGTAATTTCTTGGGTTACAACCAGGTTATAACCAGGTAATGTCTCAGGTTACAACCAGGTAATGTCTCAGGTTATAACCAGGTAATGTCTCAGGTTATAACCAGGTAATGTCTCAGGATATAACCAGGTAAAAACCAGGTAATTTCTCAGGTTATGACCAGGTTATAACCAGGTAATGTCATAGGTCATAACCAGGTTATAACCTTGTAAAATCCAGGTAATGTCTCATGATATAACCAGGTAAAAACCAGCTAATGTCTTAGGATACAACCATGTAATAACCAGGTTATAACCAGGTTATGTCTCAGGATATAACTAAGTTTTAACCAGGTAATGTCTCAGGTTATAACCAGGTAATAAACAGGTAATGTCTCAGGATATAACCAGGTTATAACCAGGTAATGTCTCAGGTTATAACCAGGTTATAACCAGGTAATGTCTCAGGTTATAACCAGGTTATAACCTGTTTATAACCAGGTAATGTCTTAGGTTTTTACTTGGTAATAACCAGGTAATGTCTCAGGAAATAACCAGGTTATTACCAGGTAATGTCTCAGGATATAACCAGGTTATAACCTGTTTATAACCAGGTAATGTCTCAGGTTATAACCAGGTAATTTCTTGGGTTACAACCAGGTTATAACCAGGTAATGTCTCAGGTTACAACCAGGTTATAACCTGGTTATAACCAGGTAATGTCTCAGGTTATAACCAGGTAATGTCTCAGGATATAACCAGGTAAAAACCAGGTAATTTCTCAGGTTATGACCAGGTAATAACCAGGTTATAACCAGGTAATGTCTGAGGATATAACTAGGTTAAAACCAGGTAATGTCTCAGGTTATAACCAGGTTATAACCAGGTAATGTCATAGGTCATAACCAGGTTATAACCTTGTAAAATCCAGGTAATGTCTCATGATATAACCAGGTTAAAACCAGCTAATGTCTTAGGATACAACCATGTAATAACCAGGTTATAACCAGGTTATGTCTCAGGATATAACTAAGTTTTAACCAGGTAATGTCTCAGGTTATAACCAGGTAATAAACAGGTAATGTCTCAGGATATAACCAGGTTATAACCAGGTAATGTCTCAGGTTATAACCATGTTATAACCAGGTAATGTCTCAGATTATAACCAGGTTAAAACCTGTTTATAACCAGGTTATGTCTCAGGTTTTTACTTGGTAATAACCAGGTAATGTCTCAGGAAATAACCAGGTTATTACCAGGTAATATCTCAGGATATAACCAGGTTATAACCAGGTATTGTCTCGGGATACAACTAGGTTAGAACCAGGTAATGTCTATGGACATAACTAGGTTATAACCAAGTATTGTCTCAGGATATAGCCAGGTTATAACCAGGTAAAGTCTCAGGTTATAACCAGGTTATGACCACATTATAACCAGGTTATAACCACATTATAACCAGGTATTGTCTCAGGTTATAACCAGGTAATGTCTCAGGATATAACTAAGTTATAACCAAGTAATGTCTCAGGATATAACAAGGTTATAACCAGGTAATGTCTCAGGATATAACCAGGTTATAACCAGGTAATGTCTCAGGTTATAACCAGGTTATAACCAGGTAATGTCTCAGATTATAACCAGGTCATAACCAGGTAATGTCTAAGGATATAACCAGGTTATAACCAGGGAATGTGTCAGGCTATAACTAAGTTATAACCAAGTAATGTCTCAGGATATAACCAGGTTATAACCAGGTAATGTCTCAGGGTATGACCAGGTTATAACCAGGTTATAACCAGGTAATGTCATAGGTCATAACCAGGTTATAACCTTGTAAAATCCAGGTAATGTCTCATGATATAACCAGGTTAAAACCAGCTAATGTCTTAGGATACAACCATGTAATAACCAGGTTATAACCAGGTTATGTCTCAGGATATAACTAAGTTTTAACCAGGTAATGTCTCAGGTTATAACCAGGTAATAAACAGGTATTGTCTCAGGATATAACCAGGTTATAACCAGGTAATGTCTCAGGTTATAACCATGTTATAACCAGGTAATGTCTCAGGATATAACCAGGTTATAACCAGGTAATGTCTCAGGTTATAACCAGGTTATAACCAGGTAATGTCTCAGATTATAACCAGGTCATAACCAGGTAATGTCTAAGGATATAACCAGGTTATAACCAGGGAATGTGTCAGGCTATAACTAAGTTATAACCAAGTAATGTCTCAGGATATAACCAGGTTATAACCAGGTAATGTCTCAGGGTATGACCAGGTTATAACCAGGTTATCAACAGGTAATGTCTCAGGTTATTACCAGGTTATAACAGGGTACTGTCTCAGGTTATAACCAGGTAATCACCAGGTTATAACCTGGTTACTACCAGGTAATGTCTCAGGTTATAACCAGGTTTTAACCAGGCAATGTCTCAGGTTATTACCAGGTAATTACCACTTTATTACCAGGTTATTACCAAGTAATGTCTCAGGCTATAACCAGGTTATTACCAGGTATTGTCTTAGGTTATTACCAGGTTATTATCAGGTATTGTCTCAGGTTATAACCAGGTTATTACCAGGTAATGTCACAGGTTATAACAAGCTTATTACAAAAGCAGCAAGTACAAGAAGGTGTGTGTGCGTGTGTGTATTTTAATTAATGCATTTTAACAGGTGTCAGACATCAAAGGCATTTACTGACGTACTGTTTGAATGAGAAGCTGCCTAACTTCATCGAATTTAGGGCCTCTGAACTTCTTCCCATAGTGTGATTTCCTTAAATCCCAGAATGAAAATAAGAACATTGTACGAATCCTCTGCCCCTCATGAACACAATGATGCGTTTTTCATGTCTGTACTCTGAAAAATGTGGCCACAACAGCGAGTTAAATAGGTCTGAGCCTGAGCAATTTTCAGGATTTTCTTGGAGAAAAATTACATTAGGGCCAATGGGAGAGATCTTCAGCTATTTGGACAGTTGTTCACCTGCTGGCCGAGGGGTACGATATAATGATTTGAAACCTCTTTAGTGAGAAGCAGGACACATATACCTCTATTTTGATTATTATTTTTTTGGCTGTGGAGTGAAATTTGTGGGCGCAGAAGCGATATATTCAAGCGAGGTTTTGTCGATCAGAGAGGGGGTCTCCACTCTAGCGATGACATCATCACTCTAGCTCTTCCATTATAAAGCCTGAAATTTGCTGAAAACCCTGAGTGCTAAATTGTGGAAAAACTGTAAAAGATATCAAAAAATGGAACACACGTTTAATAGTCGACAAGTGAATGAACATTTTAAAGCAAAAATTAGGTCTCTTGGTGAAAGTATACTGAAGTTGTAAGGTTTAGAATGTGGAAGAAGAAAAGGAAGAATTGGAAGATTTCCCCATTGACTCCAATGTTAAAATTTTGGCACAAAAAGTTAAAAAAAAAAAAAAAAAGTATAAAAGGTAGAAAGGTAAAAAGTACGAGCCCTCATGTCCTGAAGGAGTGGAACAGTTTAAAGTTTGAATGGTTTAAATAGCACAAAGTAGGAAGGAGTTAGAAGCGGACGAAAATTGGCGGAATAATAATAATAATAATAATAATAATAATAATAATAAACAAAATGGCCAACGGGAAGAACAATAAGTGGAAATGCTTAATCAGCATTTCCACTTAATAACAATGAACAGCAAAGAGCTACAAGTGTGTGGGGCTAATAATCTACTTGTACTGAATCCTATTTTACAGTTGACCTCAAACGTGGAAAAGAAGGTTATTTTAGCAAAAATCAGTATTGAGATCGAAGTGGGATTGAATTTAAGGAGACGAGATTTGACCAACACAACACTCAGAGTTTTTAATTCACATTACCAGCACTGCCAATAATCCTTATTGACTTTCAATGCCAATCAAAGCATGTCCCAAGTAAGAACATAAAGTTAAAAAGGGGATGAAAGCGATAACCTCAAGCTAACTCAAACCATAACTTTCTTTATTGAGATATCAACCTCCACATTAAATCTGGTACAGAAAGTGTGTATTAAACTGCTCTTTTCATTTAAATTTAAAGTAAAAAAATCAAGTTGGCTATTCTACAGCATTACAGCGCTTCTTAATATATAAATAAATGATTCAAAGACTGAGGAACAGACTGTGAGTGTGTTTCAAGGGGGGAAAAAAAGGGGCCGGGCCTTTTTAGCAGATATACTGATTTTCATGTACAAGTGACTTCGGGCTCTATTTTCGTGCACGCCGGTGAGGCGGCGGAGGGCGGTGAGCCCCGGGCAGTTGTATTTTCGTCTGGCGGAGCCGGGCGTAAGGCCAGTTTGGTATTTTCGTGGACTGAGCTGCACGGAGGCGAGCCGAGATCCGCCAAGCTGGGCGTGGTGGCGTGGCAGGGGGAGGTGTCGACAGAATCAGCAGGCGCAGTGACATTTTCGTGCTCGCCACCGGCGTGTAAAGTGCGCTGAAAGCTCGCCGATTTAAACCTGGTCAGCTTTCAGCGCATGGCGGAGCGCAGCTGGTCTGGTGGTATTTTGGTAGACCGGCGGCGTATCGGCATACGTCACTGATGCCTCACCGGCAGGTTTCCACAGTGTCAGGCACATTTCAGTGCAATAAATAATCATCATCAACTATTTATCTGAGTCAGCACATACATTTAGATCTATATAAATATATTCTGATCTATATGTGATCTGATGAGCGTGTTTGGCACGCGTTTGGACACACGACCTGACCGAATCAACACAGCTGAAACCGCATCAAATTAAATTAAATATTTAGTAAATAAACACACATGATGAAGTTAACAAAATATGTAATTCATCTCCCTCCTTTTCTTTCTTCCCTTTCCTCTTATTTCTCGCACAGCTCAACCTGGACACGTCTCCGTGTCCTCTGTCCGTCTTGCTGCTTCTGCTGCGGCTGAACAGATGATTTGTTTCAGTGCTCAGATGCGTTATCTACTTTAAGCCGACATATGGATATTATAATATTCAGTTTTGTGGGCCAAATTTATTTTATATGCCAACATCTATGAAAGAAAGAGCCAGGCCACGGAGTGCGATGCGTCATTTACGCACAGATGGTTCCGATTTTAATGCCATTATTGGAATTTATGATGTGATCTCTGCGCACAACCCACCTTTGTCACGTGAGGTTTGAATATGAGCAACTTCATGTGAGTGTCTTTATTTGTGGAAAAGGGTGTTTGTCTTACCACTGGGTCGAACATTACACATGCCAAAACCATCTGTGCTTGTATGAGAGAGTGTGGAGGACACTTGTTGAGGAGCTGCCCTCTGTTGCCATCTTGTGGCATTACTGTCTTAAGACATCTCTTGATCTCTTTGACTACTTCATGAAAATAGTAATACGCCTCGCCTGCGGCGGATTTAAAGGCAAGGAGAGGAGCTTATGTGATTGGTGAAAACAGGTCTCGGCTGTGTTAAACCCACTCCACGCCCTCTCTTCTCCCCGTCTACGACTTATGCTGCTGGGAGGAGCTGAGTTAGGGAGGGGGGATACTTACGCCGGGCTGCGCGGCTCACCAAAATACCAAAATGTGCTTGGGAACGCCTTGTCAGCGCGGCGGATCTGACTGATGCTGCGCTTGCGGCACGTCTCCGGCGAGGCACCAAAATAGAGCCCTTCATGTTAAAGCTCCTGTGGGGAATTTTCAGCCGATTATAACTGACTGATATTGATAGGGATGCCTCTGTGTGGCCTTAAAAAGCAAATCAGACCACCTTTGAAGGGTTTGTTCATCTCTACAAAGTTATTTGTGAGGTTAGAAACTGTTGTCAGGGGTGTAGGTGTCAGATGATTTAGCTAAATTGAAGCTTTTTAAAAAGGCTTTTTCAAAAATATCTCAGGTGAAGATGACCAATGACTTTTAAAATTGAGCAGGAAGATTTTTTTTGTTTGAAAACAAGACTTAACACAATTTGAAAGAGAGGTTATGAAAAGAAGCATAAGAAGCAACACAAACCAAAAATTACTCACGGGAGCTTTAAGAAAGAGTTGATAACACCTGATTTGTGTCACGTGATGATTTAACTCATCAGGTGACACCAAAATTGATCCATCCTGTGAACAAAATGAGTTTGTTACCTTCTCTGGAGTTCCCGAGGAGGCTTTTGCTGATCTTTATGATCAGAGAGAGGAGACACATGCTTTTCTCTCTAATGGAGTAAAAATAATTTTGATTTGTCAGTAACAGAATCAACTGAAAGATAAACCAAAACTAATGCTTATAACAACACTGAAGTCCAGACTGGTATTCCTATGCTTTACTTACACTACAGCACTTCAAAAACCAAGAACAACTCCATTTCTTCTCCTTTGGTTTCTTGTTTTTCTCCCCAGGTGGGGGTGCTGTGGAGCCAGCCAGACCATTGGAGGTGACATCTCTGCAGACACAAGCACACACCATTACCGTGTGGTGACATTTGTTTTAACAACCTGTAGTGATGTTTTTAAAGGAGTCTGCAGTGACTAGTCAACATTTATCAGAAGCTTTTGTGGCTGCACAAATAAACAGCTGATTGTTGGAGCAGTTTACTCACCTCTGCTGATGGCTGATTAGACTTCTGCCTTTTCTCTGTGGAGTAACAACAAATATAAAAATGAAAACCCACTGTGTCAAATATTTTTAGTGTCTGATTTTAAATGTCACACTTATAAAATAATCTTATTTTAACAGCTCTGAAACATACCAGAGGTTGACCAAACAGCCTGTGCAGCCAAAAGTTCGTTGGGCAGCAGTTTTCTGCGTTAGAAGCCTCTGACGCACTGTCACTGGTCAACACAGAAACACAGGTTGGTTATTTTAACGAACAAAACAAATCCATAAACAGAAATATCTGCAGAGACACATGACAGTCACACAGACTCAAACCATGGTGATATTCAGACGATAAAATACAATAAACACACACTGGATGGTCTTTGAGGAAGTATCAGAGTCAAACTGAAAAAGAGTCTCTATGTATCAAAAATAATACAGCACACTCACAGTGGTTTAAAATACCTGAAGGTTATTCCCTGTTTTTGTGTTGTTGTTATTGATAAATGAACCTCCTCTTTGTTCACACTTATTCATTAAAAACCTAAGTGCTGAATCTCTTTAAGTTGACACAGCGTTTTTAAAACAAAGCTTTTTTAATGCATATTATCCGGGAAAGGCCTCATACAAAACATGTTTTTCCTTCAATTTCAAACACAGTAAATTAAAATGGTCTTTGTTTCCCTTACTGGGAAATTCCCCTTGTGGGACTAATAAAGGAGTATCTTATCTATCATACCTGACTTTACTAGTTTTTGACTAGAGACTCCCAATAAGAGCAAACGATGATAAAACTTCATTTCATTTAGTGTTTTTACACATTTCCTTTGTCTGACTGATTAATTGATCAGTAAATGTCTTATGTGAAGCCTTTGAATTGTCTTATTCAGTTAAAATAACCACTGAAATGTATCACATAAATACATGTGTCTTGTGACAAAAAGAGTATGAAACACAACACAGTGTAAGTCCAAAATCAAATCCTAAATTTGCGAATCTTTAGATTTTTGCTGGCACTGTCACAGATTTAACTCTGAACTGTCCCAGATTATAATCTGCTGGGAGGTCTCTGTCATGTTTCAAATGTTACACTCTGCATATTAAATGCAAAAGAGATAAAAGATTGTTTTAGAGACACATTGGTAAACTACTGTTTAATTTCACACCCCTATAAATTTGAGGTTGCATTTTACTGTCATTATAAGTTAAATGTGTTTCTTACCTCCTGTTGAAGCTTGAGCACGCAATTCTCAGTGCTTCTCCTTTTACAGGAATGGGTTGACTCTTCTGTGCAGATTTAAAGAAGAAATAAGAAAGCATTGGTTAGTATAAAAGAAACTGTCAAATAAGTTTCAGACTGACGGCTTTAAATAGCCCAGAAGACATAAAAAACCTCTTATAGAGATTTCTCACAATAACATGAGCTTTTCTGCTCTTAAGCACGAAGAGTCTTTGACATGGTGGGCAGGACTTTCATGTGATGTCAATGCATCACTTTTAAGATAACCATCCGAACGTCTCGACTTTTAACTCGCTGTTGTGGCCACATTCATTGTGTTCATGAAGGGCGGAGGATTCGTACGATGTTCTTATTTTCATTCTGGGATATAAGGAAATCGTGCTATGTGAAGAAGTCCAGAGGCAGCTTCTCATTCAAACAGTAGGTCAGTTAATGCCTTTGATCTCACAGCTGTTTAGGATGCAATCATTAACGAGACACACACACACACACAAACAGTCTGACAATGTGTGTGCGTGTGTGTCTGTGTCTAAAAGACCTGCATGTACACACCGTTAATATGTGTCTGCTTCACCACCTATCTCCACCCACAAACTTTGAGCTACAGAAACCATTCTGGGCTTCAAAAATTCAGCTCATTGAGGACATTATGGGGTGTACTCAGGATTTTTTTTATTAAACTTTCCCCACTTTAAAATTATTCTCATTATTCATGCATTATTAAATTCGTCAGACAAATCCAAACTCATTCAAACTGATTCAAACCTTTCTGATACTTCAAACCTGTTTAACACTTTCGGACTAATAATTATTTTAAATTTTTCCCACTTCAAAATCATTCCCATTATTTATGTATGTTTTAATTCTTCAAACAAAATCCCAGTTCTACCACTACAATTACTACTTATATCACTTTAACTTGTATCTTCACTTGTACCTCTACTGCTCTTGCTTCTCTTAATATTTTTTTTTACTTCAACCACGAGCTCTACTGCTTTGACTTCTACTTCTTCTATTCTAAAACTACTTCTACTGCTTACATGACTACTAATATCACTAGTACAACTACTTATTATCATACTTCTTCTAGTACTTCAACTTAAACTTACGCTGCTTCTTACTTTTCTGTGTTTTAAGGTAATTTTCTTCCTTACACAATTTTTTTTTGCAATTTCAGACAGTTTTTCTAGCCTTGTTCAGCATGAATGCAATTTTAATTTATGAAGCACATTCATACTATTTGTACTTCAGCAATTTTCACTTTCATCTAACTTTTACTTTTCCTTCTCCAGCGCTTTAACCAAGTTTACATTTAAACCTTCCTCCATTTTTTTTTTTTTTTAGCAGTTTAGCATTGCTTTTTCAGCTTTCAGCACTCAGCATGTGGTTTGGAAATGCATTTCCACGCATTTTCTGCAAGGAAATGCAATTTGTCTAGTTTTGATAATGCCTGTCACATTAAAGTCATAAACACTGTAAATATCCATGCACACATTTAATCCTTGTCGATGCATCGCTTAACCATCACGAAAGTCTCGACAGTAACACAAGTTTGTATGATAATATTGTCATGAAATCTTACGGTCTCCATGTCGTAGATGTTGTCCTTTCTGTTCAGGTGTTGGTTAGAGGTGTTAGTCCGAGTCCTTAGTCGTCTGGTGAGGTTTTATTTACGATGAAGCCGTCAAAAGTTGTAAGTTCGTGAGCCGCTTAAGTTTTTCGTGCTGTTCTCTTCAGATTTGATCTTCAGAAATGATCGCTCTCTTTGGCTTGTAATGATTTAAAGTTTTTACATCGTTACAGGTTACCATGGAGATTTAAAATGCTGTTTATTTTAGAAAAACCCTTACACTGGTAGGTTATATCTAAAAGTTTAATATTATCTTTAATTTACTTTAATCTCAATGGAATATAAATATCTCTCGAAGAAAAGTGGAGGTTATTTTTCGTGATTGAAGATAATTATTAGTATAATTATCTCTTAAATACAACGGAGTATAAGGGGCACAAATAGAAAAAAAATGGTTTTAAAATCTTAAAGAATAAAGTTATTATTTGGGAGAATAAAGGCATTAATATCAGTATTAAGTCGTAAAGTTACCTGTTGTGAAGGAGAGTTGTTAAAATCAGCACTGTGGAGCATTTAAATGAATTGTACTTTAGTATAGGTTTCACAAACATGGAGATACTTAATCCTTTGGTACATGAGCATTACACTGTCATGAGTATCAGAACTTATATTTGAGATATATGAGAAATGCTTCTTTTGTGGAGGGGAAAATGGCTGGAAATGGCTGTACAGAGGCTAAATCCGTCAGTGCAGCTGTTAATAGCAATAGCATAGGGCTTTAGTTTATCATATGAGTTTATCTGCCATGAGGTGTTGAGGTCTCTGCATGTGTAGGTTACCGACTTACTGTAATCATCGGGTCTATCTCGTCCTTATAAAAACCTGCTCTATTACGGCGAGTGTCTGTCTTCTTCTGTAGTCAAACCGTAAGATATCAAAATCTACCCGGATACAGCAATGCTGCTTTTTTTTATTGGCTGTTCAGTAGATATACTTTATTTGATTGGCTTGCGCGTGGCACGCAGCTTCTGAACTCTCGGAGGAACTCAGTTGATTCCTACCTGTTCCATAGTTACAGAGGTGCAACTTTGTGGACATCACCATGTTTATTTAAATGCGTGAGAAATACAATGTGTGGCGTGTGAGCGGGTGGGAATGCGTGTGTCACACGCTGAATGCGTGAGACTTCAGAGCCCTGCTAACTTCCGCGTACTGTGAAAAAGGTCTATAGGGAGGTGCGAAACCAAACTTTGTTCATATAATCCAACTTTGAATTCTGAAAGAATTTCCCTTCGGTTTACCTCTGACTTCCCTGGGAATGCTGTGCATGAAAACATCTGAAGTATTTTTTTACATTTGTCTGCCTCTCCCTCACAGAAAAAGCAGACATAAATGGCATCAATTGTTGGAGATCAACCTCAGCAAATTAAAAAGTGACCAAATCACCAAGTCATCACCCCGATGGGAGTAATCTGGTGTGTTTTTAAGTAGGTGTTCAGCTGTGTTGTCACTCTGTCTGCTTGTTTGTTCCAGGGCCGAAGGGGCAGCAGAGGAAACGGGTGTGTATTTATCTATGATATTTTTGACTTTTACTCCGGCACATGTTTTGGGTCAAATTCATTAAAGAATGCACTTGTTGAGCACCAACCAGGGGGAGTTGAGCAGCTGCTTGGATTTTTTTGCTGTAGGTTTCAAGTTAAATAAAGGGACGTTGTGGACAGTGGTGGATTAAGTTATTTGGGAGCTCTGTGTATCTGATAGTCAAAGCTACTGTACACATATTAATATCAACAATACCATGATTAAAATGCTTTTAAATACTATCTCAAGGAAAAGCTTTATGTGTAATTTTAATACATACAAAACCCAATTCCATTGAAGTTGGGAAATTGTGATAAACATAAATAAAAACAGAATACAATGATTTGCAAATCCTTTTCAACCTATATTCAATTGAATACACTACAAAGACAAGATATTTAATGTTCAAACTGATCAACTTTTTTTTTTAATAATAATAATTAACTCAGAATTTCATGGCTGCAACACGTGACAAAGTAGTTTGGACAGGGGCATGTTTACCACTGTGTTAAATCACCTTTCCTTTTAACAACACTCAATAAACATTTGGGAACTGAGGAGACTAATTGTTGAAGCTTCGAAGGTGGAATTCTTTCCCATTCTTGCTTGATGTCCAGCTTCAGTTGTTCAACAGTCCGGGGTCTCCGTTGTTGTATTTTACGCTTCATAATGCGCCACACATTTTCAATGGGAGACAGGTCTGGACTGCAGGCAGGCCGGTCGAGTACCCGCGCTCTTTTACTATGAAGCCACGCTGTTGTAACACGTGCAGAATGTGGCTTGGCATTGTCTTGCTGAAATAAGCAGGGGCGTCCATGAAAAAGACGTTGCTTGGATGGCAGCATATGCTGCTCCAAAACCTGTATGTACCTTTCAGCATTAATGTTGCCTTCACAGATGTGTAAGTTACCCATACCTTGGGCTCTAACGCACCCCCATACCATCACAGATGCTGGCTTTTGAACTTTGCGTCGATAACAGGCCAGATGGTTCTTTTCCTCTTTGGCCCGGAGGACATGACGTCCACTATTTCCTAAAACAATTTGAAATGTGGACTCGTCAGACCACAGAACACTTTTCCACTTTGCATCAGTCCATCTTAGATGAGCTCAGGTCCAGAGAAGCCGACGACGATGGATGTTGTTGATAAAAGACTTATTACACACACCAAAGGATGACATGGCACAACCTTTCATTACATATCTGTTTGAGCAGCTCTAACATTGCAATGTTTTCATTTCTTCAGTTGTGCCATAGAAATTGTTTATTATTAATCACACATCCCTTTGTTTTGGTGTTTTTTCTTTATTTATTGATAAAGTTTGGGTGATATTTTTCTTTTTTGGGAGGATGAGGGTGGGGGGCAGACATTATCTTTTTGTTAGATTTCTGTTTAGTTGTATCCATATAGACGTGGCAGGAGAGACTGACTGCACCTTGATCGGTGTCATGTTTTTAAAACAACGGCAACCGAGAGGGGCCAGCTAACACTCTCTGGTATAACTGTAATTAGTGATAAAGAGTTGACGTTTTTATGCTTTACACAGAGTAACAGAATTGTGTGACTTTTTTGTGGCTTTTGTGAAAATACTTTTTGATGACCTATGAGATAATCTGAAAGATTTTTTTAATCCATTTATTTCTATTTGATTTGATTTGATTTGATCATCTTTATTGTCCCCTAAGGGCAATTCAGTTTGCAACAGAAGTTAAAACACACATTCTTACAATATCTCATACTGCAGAAATGCGTACATCCAATACCACACACAAATACAATAAATATATAAATACACAGAGTCACCACAAACTAAGGGTGCATCATTTCCATCACGCCTGCCTACAGCTTGTTTAAAAAGCCAATGGTTGTTGGGACAAAGGATTTAAGGTACCTATTTGATTTAGCCTTGCAAGTGAAAGGGTACCTTCTCTTAGACGGGAGAAGCTGAAACTCAGCATGAAGAGGATGGAGAGGGTTTGCCAGAACGGCCTTTGCCCTCTGAGTGGCTCTGGTTTTAAAAACAGAGTCAAGATCATTCAGACTCAAGCCGATAGTTTTTTGGCAGAGTTTGACAATACTCCTCGGCTTGTTTTTATTTGTGATGCTGAGGTTACCAAACGAACAGACCATAGCAAATGTTAAAATGGACTCAATAAAAGACGAATAAAACATTTTAATAAGCTTTTTTTCAACATTAAAACACCTCCGTTTCCTCAGATAAAATAATCTCTGAATTGCCTTTCGGCAGATGGCATCTGAGTTGGTCTCAAAGGAAAGTTTGTCATCCAGGATGGTGCCTAGATACTTGTACTGGCTTACAATCTCTACCTCTTTGCCATTAACAAAGGTTAAAGCTTTGACAGATGGATTCGTTCTAAAATCTAGAATCATGTCTTTGGTTTTAGACACAATAAGATGCAGATAAGAATCCTTACACCAGTTTACAAAATAGTCAAGGACAGGACCATGTCCATCCTCATGATCCTGCAGAAGGCTTACATGCACTGAATCATCAGCAAATTTTATGATTAACCTCGAATCAAACATACTCTTACAGTCATTAGTGTAGAGCATGAACAATAAAGGGGACAGAACACACCCCTGAGGTGAGCCTGTGGAGCACAGCAGGGTCTCAGACAGACAATCATTGACAAGAGTTCTCTGTGGTCTTGCTTCTATTTTACAAGGACATTGCATTTTAATCAACATTTCTGTAAATCTGTCCAAAGGCTAGTCTCCAAATGTAGTCCCTGACCAGATGTTTCAGAGGCCTCCTTAGATGACTCATTTATATAGAAGATCATGAGACTATCTCTATTATTGCATCAAAACACTGATCCATTTATGTAGACAGAAAACATTTCAAAGTATCAAGTGTTTCCATGGTAGACTCACGGATTGAAAGAAAGCAAGAGAGGAAACCAAAATATCCACACGTCTAGTTCCATTCAAATCAAAATCCTTGTACATAAAAGAGAAAATCTTTATATATAAATGTATGTTGTATTTTTCTGGTTTGGAAATAACTCTATTCCCATTTTCATTTGTTGAGACTCTCATCGTAATGTCTCAGTGGCTCACAGTGGCTGGCACATTTTAGAGCTTTCACAGTCCAAAAACTTTGCTGTTTTATACACTTCACTGACCAGAGACTCAGACCTCAACACTGCAAAAGTACTGAGCACAAAAAACGATATCCAAATGATTCAAAAGCAGCAGAGGTCAAGCTTTTTAAAAACACTGCTGTGGGATATTTTTGTTTGAAATATATGTAAAGGTGCACTTTAATAGATGAGCATATCATCAGAAAGTGAATTTATCTCAGCAAGTGAAACTCATGTCGAATCATTACAGACTGATATATTTCAAATGTTCATTTCTTTTTATTTTGATTATTATAATTTGCAGACAATGAAAACCCAAAATTCAGTATCTCAGAAAATTTGAATATTGGTAAGAAGTTCAGTATTGGAGTATTGCAGTATTATCAGATAATTACAGAAGAAGATTATATAGTTATATGGTTAGGGTTATAGTTATATATTCTTATATAAATTGGACCTTTTTTTCCCCCAGTGGCACTAATCTTCTTCAGTAGATGAGTAACTCAGAACACCTGCAAAAGCGTCCCGGGCCTTTAAATAGTCTGTCAGTCTGGATCAATAGGTCACACAAACATGAGGAAGACTGCAATGTATTTCCTAAATTTTTTTCTTAATTATTACATTTATTTAACTTCTTAATATAACAATCTTTATTTTTATAACTGCATTTTTGCACTCTTTGTCTGTGATGCTGCTGTGACAAAAAAAATTCCCCCATGGGGAATCAATAAAGGAATATTCTATTCTATTCTATGTGTGATGAATCCATTTAACATATCAGTTTACTTTTTTAATTGAATTACTAAAATAAATTCACTTTTTAAGGATATTCTAACTTAGTGGGATGCACCTGTATATAGGCTATGACAAACACTCCAAACTAACATTGCAAATGCCACAAAAGGTGTCAGGCACAGGTAGTTCCATGTCAATCAGCATTTACATCATAATGTTATGACTGTCAAAACTGAAAAGGTGCACCAAGACAAATTGTACAGTGGCCTGGAAGTGCAAAACACAACCGCAAAAGAGAAAATTCGACAGTAAATCACATATGCAAACGCAAAAGAGAAAACGCAACCACAAATCCCAAAACACGACAGCATCGTCTGTCTTCTTCTTCGTTGTAGTTTAATGGCAGTTTACTCCGCTGGGGGTGGAGTACTACTGCCACCTGCTGGATGTCGCAACGGGAAAGTAAACACGAACATGGACGCCAAAAGCGAAAGTGTAATCGAAATTATCAGGCAATATTTTGATGCAGGACACAAATATGACGTAATAGTCGACATGTTGTCGACTATTTATGTTGTCGACTATTCACGGCATTAGCATGAGCATTCGCACGCTGAAGAGCCGCTTGAAAGAAGCTGGCTTGTTTAGACTACAACTAAACTACAACATAGAAGAAGAAGACAGACGATGCTGTTGTGTTTTGGGATTTGCGGTTGCGTTTTCTTTTTTGCGTTTGCATATATGATTTACTGTCGTGTTTTGTGATTTGCGGTTGTGTTTTGTGATTTGCGGTTGAGTTTTCTCTTTTGGGTTTGCGTTTTGATTTGCTGTTGTGTTTTCTCTTTTGCGGTTGTGTTTTGCACTTCCAGGCCACCGTAAAATTGGGACATAACGTTAAAACTGAAGTCAAAGCATTTTTCTTTAAAACACAAAATCCTCCTAAAAGCTGAAAAAGCCTGATATGTGGGGTTTGATGTATAACTGACTATAACCCTTGACTTCCCTGTACAAAAAGTGGTGGATTATGGGTTTCAAACAGACCATTATGGAAGAGGACAAAACACAAAACCTCAGTTTGAAAATGGATGTCGTCAATAATCGCAGATAACTGGAGTACAATTCTAGTGTTTGATACACTTTAGAAAAAGGAAAAAAAAATGCTCATGAAGCCTGATGACGTACAATAAAGAAATACATATTACACTGGTATGGACGTGTTGGTTCAGTGCTAACATCAATACAAGGTTATCTGTGAGCCAAGGTGGTACATAACTGAATTACAGTATTCAGTGTATTGGACTGTTTACATTGCCTCCCACCTGAAGCAACAGAACTGTCCCATTAAGTGAAAAAGAGGGAGGACATTTTTTTTCATTATATGGGAAATGTTGGCAACAACAATATTGCATGTATTATTCATTATATCACCATTGTCTTTTAAAACTTTTCATAATTTTACAGAACATTACCCGATTCACCAATACTGACAATTACACGTGTTTAGGATTCAACAGACAATATTAGAGGAGACTCAAATAGTTAGCTGGAGCCTTGTGAGGTTCTTCTGGTGCATGTTGTGATGTCGGACCAATTCATCACTGCGGGCAAACTTCTTTTGACAGTTGGGCCAACGGCAGTTAAAAGGCTTCTCACCTACAGTAGAGATGGAATGGATGGACAAGTCGGAGGACAGCGTGTTGACAGATTGGAGACAAGTTGGAAAGGATTGTCATGATTGGTGGTGGAGGAAAAAAGGAGAGGAGTGATTTTCTATGGAGATCGGTTAGTTAGAATTCAACATAATCAAAGTGACAAGACAAGGATATTTGAGCATATTACGAAAACTGTAACTTAGGGTATTAAGTTACCCTAACCCTAACCCTAACCCTAACCCTAAACCCTAACCTTAACCCCAAACCTAACCCAAACCCCTAACCCCTAACCCCTAAACCCTAACCCAAACCCCTAACCCTAAACCCTAACCTCTAACCCCTAACCCTAACCCCAAACTTAACCCTAAACCCTAACCCTAAACCCTAACTATAAACCCTAAACCCTAACCCCAAACCCCCTAACCCTAAACCCTAACTATAAACCCTAAACCCTAACTATAAACCCTAAACCCTAACCCTATTAAAGGGATTAAAGTGTCTTTTACATAGTGCCAAAGAACTATTAGATGTTCCCATATTTAGTCATTAAAATGCTGTAGTAAGTCAACAGTAAATACATAAATATAAATACACATTAAATGGATGAAGAGAAATGGAAAAAGCTGTACGCACTTGTTTTACCTGTATGAGTCCGGTTGTGTGTCTTGAGGTGGTCAGAGCGAGAGAATTTTCTCTGACATGTCTCACATTGGAAAGGTTTAACACCTACACATATGTACAGTTTGCATACACGTGCACGCACACACACACACACACACGCATGCATGCACATACAAACAAAAACAGAATATACATGTTCCAGATCGCACACACGCGCACACACACACACACACACACACACACACACACACACACACACACACACACACACACACACACACACGTAGACAAAGAGATACATAGAAAATATATAGTAGAGCAGAAATTTGCAAGGAATTAATTTCAAGGTTTGGTCATCATCAATTTCATCTGTCAAGGGGGATGGGCAAGAACAAAACGTAAAATTAAAGACCTCAGGGAAAATCAGCAAATGAAGACGCATCAAACCTGTGTGCCTCCTCTGGTGTCTTTTGAGCTGGTCAGACCGTGAAAACCTCCTACCACAGTCTGTGAATTCACACTGGTAGGGTTTCTCCCCTGAAAAACACAAAGAAAACATAGACATATACAGGTATCCCAATAAAATGTTAGACTATTGCTCTAATTCGTAAAAGGTAAAACTCCACTTTTTAATGACTTCGATATATTAATTGTGACCTGCTTGTTTATCTAATCATTAAGTCATAATTTCTTTTGGTTTGTTTCACCTGTGTGTTTGCGACTGTGCATCTGCAGATGGGACAGCTTGAAGTAGCGCTTGTTGCATCCAGGGTAGGCACACATGAATGGGCGCTTCTCGCTACTCTCTGATCGCACTATTGCTTGGGCAATGCTGGGCATCCGCCGCATATCCTGTAAAACATAGTGTGAAAAAGTGACCGTGATGGTGATGTGTGGCAGTTTGTGACTGAAGTCTCTGTGATTTCTTTGGAAATGCATTTTCGTTGTTATTACTCTGGCTTTTGAATGAGTCGTGGCTAAACACAAAGTTGTAATCATTCCCAAGGAGGACAGGTGACATGCAGTTGGCTAAAAACTAACTGACAACAGATGAATGGAATATATATATGAAAACTAGAAAAGCACTCAGAGAGCGCAGACCTCCACCAAGCAGCTCATGTCTCCCCTTATATTGTGATTCACACCAAAACTTTTAGTGTTACGTGTCTTTTATTAACTTTATTTGTGTTTAAACTGGTATGTTCACTGTTCATAATGTTCCTAAAACAAGAAATGCCCTGACCCGGATTCGAACCCAGGACCTTCTTGCGGTGAGGTGACAGTGCTAACCACTACACCACTGTGCCGCCCATCTACACCATTGTGCCGCCCATTGGTTATCTTTCAGCATTGAAAATTCCAACGACACCCTTATTTTTGTGTGTTCTGGATCACAGTATCCAGAACTTTGTCTGGATCAGGATCAACCTTTGACACCTCATAAAACTCATTGAGATCCTTTTGTGTAATTTTTTACTAAAGACTCTGGCCATTTTTATAGAGTTAAATGCAAAAATTCCAAAATTTGCCCTATCTCACAATGATAAAGAATTCTTCAAAAAATTCCTGGATCCAGAAGGCGATCCGGATCACCACCAAAATTTAATGGGATCCTCCTGGAGCTGAGACGCACCTCTGGTGAAAATTTCAGGTCAATCCTTCTGTAACTTTCTCCGTAAAGTTGCTAACAGACAAACAAACCAACAAACAAACCAATGCTACCAAAAACATAAGCTCCTTGGCGGAGGTAAAAAAAGCTCTCTCTGCAGATCAGGTTCTTTAAATGATTTGTCAGAGCAGCAGGGGACATTACGTTGTTTGATCAAAATAGGGAGCGCACTCTCTCAACATAAAGAGGATGCAGTTTTGGATTTGGTTCAGTTAAAACTATAAAAGCATGTCTTGTTGAAGACGTGAGACATGGTTAGAGCTGGCTTTAAATTGAATGAGTGAATAGATGCGATATGTTACAGTGTTAAAGGGATATGGTTAAGGTTTGGGCGTGGCTCCTTAGACCGCTGTATATCGCTATTATGCGGTCGTTATTACATTTGGTATAACTAGAGAAGCAAGCAGTCGGCAACATTCATCTCTCGAGGGGGTGTCTAACTCGGTGTTATGGTGTGTTTGACCACAACTTACATTTACACCAGTGTATCCCTTTAAGTGTGTGTGAGCTTTAATAAAAATAACTTTGAATATGTCAAAGTAGTCCTACCTGTATGCCTCTGAAGACTCCATGTGTGTGTATGTGGTATTGTGTACTACAGCTGTACACCATGGGGGTGCTGGGGTCACTGTCATAGCCTGTTGCATGGCTACCAACACAGAAAGAAAGAAATCCGTTTAGAAAATGAAAACTGTAGACAGTGACTTTGTTTGTATGAGAATAGAAAAACAGCAACAGCACTTTTATCACTGAACACTCTCATGCAGTCCTGAAGTCTTGTCTGACAGCAAATATGCTGCAAAATACAGAGACAAGATTTGTTTTTCTTAAGTTGGAACACAATCCACTTTCAGAGAATTTCCTTCAGTGTCATTACTTGCACAATAAGCGACATGTGACCATGCAGGACAACTCTAAACTGCTTCACCATTCAACAAAGACAGACTTTTCCTGATCTGACTTTTAGTGTGAAGCACTTTTTTCTGCTCAAAGGGAAAATTAATGACAGCAGTTGACAGACCTGATGTCGTGCCTCAGAGTACCTCATCTCTCTGGGAGTGTCTATGCATGCATGTGCTCCCAGGTGCTTATGGGCATACGCACCTGCGGGTCTAAATATGTGTGGGACTTTGACCCAACAGTCATGTCAATGCACACGGCACCATGCACTGTACTTCTGCACCTCCACTCTAAAGTCTGTGTTTTTGTATGAATCCATGGGTTACCTGTTATAAGGATTTCTCAGCAGAAGAGCCTGGCTGCCCGTACAGCTGTCTGAAGGTGTGTGGATGCCATAGACCGGAGGAGGGATAGAGTACTGCTGCTCACCTGTATTACATAGACACATACACACAAGCCCATATTGAGCCTTTGCAGCCTTTAATGACTAATGGTGAAAAAAAAAATTCCCATTTTAATTTGTGTCAATGAACAACATGTTAGATTGCATTGCAGAGTTACTGCCTCTCTGACCTCCCTTATCTCCTTCCATGGCTGCCGCTGCATTAGTGTGGCATATAAACTAACAAACGGTTAACAAAGATAAATTAAGTTAAAAGTTTCAATTGTGAGTGTTTCCACAGTTTAAAGTTAATATGCTGGGAGATGGGAGAGTGGGGAAGCACATGCTGGAAAGAAGCCACAGGCCTGTGGCTCAGTTTCAGGCCCTGAAACCTGGTTCACAAAAGTCAGCCACTGAGCTGACGGTGCCCTGAAAAATTATTTTGTTTTCAGCAGCTGAGCTTTGAGAGGAGGTAAGGTGCATCAAAATAATCAGAACCATTGTGGTAGCACTAGCCCTCTGAACATAGAACAACAGCTTGAGTTGATGTATAACAGGACAGCAGCAATTTCCAGGAGCAACATGATAACAGTGATATTGATAACTGTGGCACATACACACACATCAGGACACACACACACTAAACCTACACACATAACACCCAACTTTACTCGACTCACAGACCAAGGAAAAGTTTAGACATCTATTACAGCTGCTCCAGAGTTTTTTAACTGCAACATGATACTGACACTATCTATTCATCTTATATTCCATATTATTATTATTATTATTATTATTATTATTATCTTGTTGCTGTTGTTATCGTTGTATGTAACTGTTAGCAGCAGGAGCTGGTGTTCCTGAAGTCAGTCAACAGTGGCAATGCATGGTGTTAACTGCGTGTGTGCATCAGTATAGTTGAATTAGGTCATGACCTTCACATTGTGGTGGCAGTATCAGCCTTAAAAACCTTAACATGCATACAGAGAAGCAGGACCTTGTAAATTGTAGATGCACCAAACGGGGTGTCTTTTTATTGTGCTGATGTTGTAGTATGAACATCTACCCACCACGTGAAGCATTAAAAAAAACTCAAGCTGGAATTGGCCCTCGGTGGAAGTTAACTTTTGACCTTGTTCGGGCTGCTCAGGTACACCCCTCACACACAGATACCAAAAGCATATGCACTGAGAGAGAGAGAGAGAGAGAGAGAGAGAGAGAGAGATAGATAGATAGATAGATAGATAGATAGATAGATAGAGAGAGAGAGAGAGAGAGAGAGAGAGCCTGTTTGCACTGCAACATTTCATGTGTAACACAAACTTTTTCTTATTTATTTTGTGCAGCTCGTTGCTGCTGATGTAAAAGTGTCACTCCTAGAATTACTTTGTCATCTACATGATGCTTAACTGTTCCAACAACAAAATCAAGAGTAGCTTTTGTGTTGTTTTTAATTTGGCCAAAAGTAAATGGAAAAGTGAGAGAGGATGTCATCTGATTGGTATTGTAATTATTATTTTATGATGGTGATCAAAGTATATGCATGTGAATATTTTTATTCTGTTTTGCCTTTGAGATGTAGTAAAGCAGAAATACTCTTGTAAAGTACTAATACCTTGAATATGAAGCATAGGTAAGTTACATGAGTAAATGTATTTAGTTGCCTCTCACCTCTGTATTTATCCGTTGCCTTGCATGACTATTTGTAGAATATTTAACCATCAGTCTCAGATTGTGAAAGGTTAAAAGTTTTTTTTTTTCATAGAAGTTAACTGTTGCTGGGTGATTATGCATGTAATGTAAATAAGCTCTTATCCATGAATGTGGTGCTATTACCAACCCAACATTATTTACAATTCAGTCGGATGTGTAGAGATGTATTAGGATATAAGAAAAGCAATGTAACATAGGACCAGATTAGCAGAGGGATGAGTTATTGTGCTTTGTCTGCAGGGATTGCAAGAAAAAAGATCCTGGTCAGGGTTAAAAATGCATGAACCAAAAAATTTGAAGTCAAGATCATCTCCCTTACTGAAAGAACCAACTACCCGAGGCCCTGCATCCCTTCACCTTGATTACGCTACCTTTCTGTCCTGCTTGGGTTACCAGAAATTGAACGGTGAATGGCCTTGTAATTATTTCAGTGTTTCTGACAAGTGTACTGCTTCACATCATCATCGATCCACAGGTCTGCCAGCATGAGGAACTAGTGGGTCAATTGTCCTGGCAGTGGTGGCAGAACAGGGCCTTCTGATTGTTAAACTATGTAGGCCCATAAGGTGAAGGAATGAAATGGGTGAAAAGAGAAATGAGATCCATCTTTTTAAAATTGGTCTATTTCTCCAGGTATTTTTTTTAGAGATGTGCAATGAAGAAGTGACCAAAGAGAACACACTGAACACACTCCACATCCACTAATGATCGAATTTCAACCTAGCTTAAATGTTGAGTGTCAGTTAGTACATACTCTCTGATCATAGTCAACAGTGGAGCAAACCACACAGCCACAGTGGCTCAGTATGATAGAGAAGGAGTGACTGAAATTGGTCCTCTGCCAGTCCTCTAGGGGGCGCTTGGTGGCTAAGATATTTCAACAAGGGTGAGAAACAGAGGGACAATTATTCAAAAACAATCCTTGACTGCCCGGGTTTCAGTTAGACCTGCGGCTCCTTTTCTTCCCTGTTTATATTCTGTCATGTCCTCTCAGAAATCAAGGCTAAAAGCTCAAAAATAAATCTTTGAAATAATAACTCCTGTGCTGTATTTCAGAACTCCTGCTGTAACTCATAATAATAAAGAAAAAACAGTAATGAGAAAAAGCTTCATTCACAAAGCTTTTTTTGAGAGACACATTTCAAAACAGGAAAAATGGACACCAAATAAATGATTTGATGTCAAGAAACACTTGCCAACAGCTATATTTTAAAGGGAGATTTCTAAGTAGTGACTGAGTCTGCTACGCTGATTTTCTCCGGCTGTGTTTGTTCCAGGTTTGGGAGCTTTGACTGGAACTATCTTTTACCTCATCAACACTTTCACAGAGTGCATGAGGGTGAAGTTGACTTCCATAACAGAGAGACCTCAGGTAAGAAAAAAGTTGAAAGAAGTTGATGACTCTCTGACCACCTAAACACATCATGTCCAGTGATGGACAAAAAACTGAATTTCAGCCTGCATTTTTCAGCAGGCTGGCAACAGGTGGGGTGGAGGAATACGGGATGATAACCCTGCAAATGCATGTGGAGTTTTTCTGTGCAATGTTTAACTATAAATTTCTACATCAACCGCTTCCTACAAAAATATTTGCGGGATGAAATTCCTTTATTTTTTGATTATTTATTTTAAAAGCCCATTTGTAAAAAGAAATGCTCTTTTTGCAAAGATAGGAGTTTTTTTTTTATCTTTTATTATTAATTAACTGAAGTGATATAGAGCCTGTGTAGTTTTCTTCACATGCACACTCTTACCTGAACTTTGCTGAGTTACTGGATCTTCATGTTTGAAGGTATGGTTGGGGAACTGTGACGTATGATGCGAAGGAGTGTGGCTGTAATTACCAGCTCCGTCAAATGCAACAGCAGCACTGTAACCTGCAACACAAACAAGGATTGAGGGAGGGTTTACATAGACTCCTGACAAGTAAAATCAAATTAACAATGGCTGGTCAAAGGAACTTACATCAGAACTATTTTTCCATTTTGTGATAGATTTGATCACTATTTAAATAATTATGACATTTCAGGCAAGGTATTCATACAAAAAAAAGTTCAGTTTCAGTGCAAAATAAATGCTGCTGAACAGACTGATACTGACAGCTTCGACTTATCTGATTCATTTAAATGTACCTACCTTACTTTCTTCATATTTGTATTGATTCATAAAAGTGGATAACCATGTGCCTCATTTTGCCTTTTTGTAAGTTTCCTTTTATTCACTCTTACCTGCTCTTTACATAAAAACCTTATATTTCATTTGCTCAGGGTCAGATCACAGACCCGATCTTTGTTGGCCAGCACTCTTTAACAAAACTCACAGCACCACAGCAAACCTTAAACTCGACTCAAGGGTTTTTCTACAATTGCAGGCAGACCTCATGAAACAACACAAGCACTTGGTATAAGGTAACCACAAACAAATGTCACATAAGAGGATCACAGACACACCGTGGCCTGGACAGCCCAGAAAAAAAAAAAAAAAAAAGAAATAGTTCTGCTTTATTTATACTCACATAGCCTAAGACTCTTCTTTACCATTTTACCCACTTCAGTAACATTCATATTCATTAGTTTTTTGTTATACACTCCTCTCTGTTGATGCTGTTCTGTAGTCACCATCTGACAACTTGTAGATACGCAGGCGACTGTGTCACTGACCCGCTGGAAGGCAGCCGCTGCTCCATGAGAGCTTTTGCTACGAATGTCCGTCTTTATCAGGGGTTCTGTCATTGCCAAGTACTTTCATTTTTGCCAGAGATTAAATATGTCATTTTGTGGACCTGACCTGGCCTGAAGTTGCTCCCTTATCAGTCTGCACAAGGCTCTTTGCCGTTCCACTATAAAAATGCTGAGCTTCAAAGGATACGTTTTTTATTTTATTTTATTTTTTTAAAGAATTTCAGTGTCGTGAATCTCACCAACTTGGCACTTGACCCTCTCCAATCATGAGATGTTTTCACAGGATCATGGCATAACTTAATCATCTGCTGCAAGATTTTTCTTATGTCTTTTTCGATCTCTGCTTGGAATTTTTTGAAATCAATTCTAAATTTCTTGATTTCGTTGGAGAGAAAATCTGTCAATTCAACTGTTGGTTTCTTACTTTTGGGGGATGTAACCATGTGGGTCATAAATAATGACAATTGTTTGCTTTGCACTCAACTATGGCTAACTTTTCCTTTTATTATACCAGAGCACAAAATCATCCCCTGTCCAATATAAGGACTTCAAGGTGAAGTACAGAAATCAGAAGTATATGTCTTCTTTTACCGTTATGAAATCTCAATGGGTCAGAGGGATGCTCTGTATTTTTACGCTGACACTGAATTTAAGTCCTGGATCTGTGTCTTTTTGTTCGTTTGTTTGTTTTGTTTTGTATATGACATCCTAGTACCCTAACAGCCCATGTTACCTCCAGGAAATGAACTTCTTTCAAGTGTATGTGCGTGTATGTGTGTGTGTGCAATGCCATAAAGGTATTGTTGGCGTTTTGGTGGACAGCCTGCAGAGAAAGTAGAAGATGGGAGGAGGATTGATGGGAAAGAAACAGAAGCTTTAGGATTAACTGAGGGAAAGAAAAAAAGCAAAATAATTGGGTGACAAAGTGAGTAGGTGTATGAGACTTTTGAATTACAAAGCTAACTTTGAATCCTTCTGTTTCACTTGCATTTCTTGCAGTAAAGTTAATTTTTTTTATGTTTATTAAATTAGAACTGATAATGTGCTGTTTTCTAGGATGGATTCTTTAAAACCTCCTCTCATTTCTCATGCTTCCACTCTAGAGTTTCTCACTTTAGAGAATTGAATACAATTTTCTCTTTTTGTGAGAGTCAAATACATAATGAAATACATCCCTTGTTTATAAATTTGTCATATTTTGTTATGTTTTTATGAACAAAAAAGGTGTATCCCTTGAAATCTCGTTGTAATCAACATGGATCACAGATGTGTGCCTTTCAGTCTATCTCACATCAATAAATATTTCCTATAAAGGATTGACTATATGATCGGTTGCATGGACATGTTATTTTATTTGAAGTTGACCAGATGGTCTATGTTGTCTTTGTGTTTGTCGGGACTAAGCATGAAGGGATGACATTTCCAAACTGCAACGTTTATGCTTTTGGTTTACACATAAACGTAATTGTAACTTACAAACTGACCTGGCTGTGTAGCGTACAGCTTTACCACAAAGTCAAAATCTATTTTTCAGTGTGCCTTATAAGCTCTCAGATGGTCTTTCTTGTCTTTGTCTTATCTCTTTTTCTTAGTATTACGTTGATTCTTCAAGCGCTTTTTCAGCACTGTGCCTTTGTGTGTTAGCTGACCGTGATGTTCACAACACTTAATCAGCTGTAATTTCCGTTAATGACTTTAACTGACATGAAAAAAAGTGTAGATTTACAGTATAAAATATAAAGTTAATGAAAATGAAAAAAAAAAACTGACGTATGGTCAATGACTTTGTTTTCATGTGTAACATTAGCATCACTGACAAAAGGCTCAGATTCATGCATTTGATTTATTAACATGGCATTATTTTTATGAACATATTTCATGATATAAAAGAGAGAAGTTATTCACCAAAGCTCTTAGATTCCATAATTTCACATATATCAGATAGTATCTTGCTAATATTACAGCTAAAGGAATTCAAACACCGCCACGGCAATGCCATGAATTGCTGCTGAGACCGACTGTCTTGTTTGACCTTCAGAAAAGTTTGAGTTTGAGATCTGGGCCTGGAAATATAACAATCTATGTGGATATGAACCTTTTGGACCTCTAAAAATTAGCTACATATTTGAATACTGTAAACAAATTTCTTTTCTTTTCCAACACTTCAGACACTAGATGGATTATTTTAGGAAATCTTAAATCAATTCAAGATTTAAGCGATAGCTAATCCCACTAGTAAGAGACTTCAGAGATGCAAAGATTAACAGTTGACATCAAAACTAAAAAGAGACATTTATCAATCTCCATCGGTCCTACCTGTCTGGTTGTGGGCCACCTGCTGCGTGTCCATACAGTTACTCAGGTACGATGGGTTGCTGAACACCCTGTTGGTGGCCTGGTGGTGGTGGTGAGGGGCAGCCACAGATGGGGGTTGACTTGGGGGTGGTGGCAGAGGCAAGGGTGCCTCTAATGCTCCATACCTACAGGCCCCGGTTCCTGTGAACTGCCCGGAGAAGTGGACAGTAAAAGCGCTGAGGCCACAGTGAGGGTCAGAGTCGTGGTGGTGGGGGTCACTGTTGGTCCCCCAGGTAGGTTCTTGCTTGATGAAGGAATGTGGCCCCAGAGAGGTGTGCGGGGCAGAAAGAGAAGAATAAGGGGATCCAGTACCATGAAAGTCCAAGATCGGAGCCCACTGGGGTGCTGAGCTGACAGGAAGGGCAGGGCAGCCGGGGCTGGGGCCTGTAGGGAATGGTGGCAGCAGGGAGTTCAGGTCACGTACATCTGAACCCATTGTTGTCCACAGGTAAGAAAACAAGGATGAAGATTGGTTAATTGTTAAACCAGACCCCTCGCTGTTGCCGTCTTACTGCTTGCCTCGTCTTATCTTGTCAGTCTCACCCAAAACCAAATCAGCCAGCCCTCTGGATGTCTAGAGGATCTTTACAAGAACTGTTTCTCCTCTTTTTTTTTTAAAAAGTGATCTGTGGTTAAGTTCTTGTCAGTTTACAGCATCACACAGCAGCTCTGGATAGTCCAAGAGTAGTTCCTGAAAGCAATGTTTCTCCACAGAAGCACAATAAGAGGGAAGGAAAATAAAAATGGAAAAAGTTCACTGGCTGTGTCTTTACCATTTCCACTGACAATTGTCCTTTCAATAAACAAAAGGGTATCTGCCCAGATCCTCCTCTGTAAATGGAGAGAAAGGAGTAGAGGGCTAAGGAGGAGTAGCCCTCTCCCCCCTCAAAGCCTCCAGCCTGTTTGTGTGTGTGTGTTTGTGTGTTAAGAGTGTAAGGAGGCGGAGTTAGCAGGCGTTGAGGTTCAGGAACCACTGCTCTTGGCCATCATTCATTGATTCATTTACTATAAATTCAATACAAGTGCGAATTTAATTTGCAGGAAATAAAACTGCAGTTCTAACAAAAAATATACTACAATGAAATTCTAGGGTTTTTTGCAGCTACGTGCAATTCCTTAATTTCTTGTGTGCTAATGTGTGATTTATACAATCAGTTTTTATTAGGAACACATTCAGACACGCAACAAGGGGGCCATGCCGGGAAGTTCTGACATGCTAACAGAGACAGAAATGACGGATTAGTCTACGTACCGAACAGTTTCAAAGAGAAAAATAATGACATGAAAATGCTATGTTAATTTTCAGATACCAAAAGACAGAGAGAAAATGTTTTGGCAGTAAAACAGTTGTCAGGTGCAGACAGACATTTAGCCACAAAAGGATTGCCTTAGGTTATAAGACACATTTTTATTTGAGTTATTTGAATGGGACTCAGTTATCTGTGCCAAAAAGTAACAAAGATTCAATTGTATCTACAATGTGGTCAACGCTAACTTCAGATAAACCAAAAAAATCAAACCTAATAAATACAACGACAACTATGACTTCAAATATAAATAATAATGAAGATAATAATAACAATAACAACAATAATAATGATAATAATAAACCAATTATAATAATAATAATAATAATAATAATAATAATAATAATAATAATAATAATAATAATAATAATAGTTATTTTGCCCTAAAACACAATAGTGCAATATCCAACATATCCAACTGTTATCATTTCATTTCATTTTACCTGCTGACAACAGGAGGTTACTCTTTGTGTCCGTTCACTCTCAAGTCTCATCTGGTTGACTGACTTGCCCTCAGCATACTTGTAGTACAACCTCAGCACCCCCCCTTCTACCCCACAGTCTATGTAAAACACTCTGGCCATTGCTGTGTAATTTTCCCCTTTGAATGGGAAACAGTTTTTAAAAACATCCAAGAATACTTGTAGTGCTACTAGACGCAGCACACAGGAGCCGACTGGAGCAATAAAATACTTGAATACTTTACTTAAATTGGTGTGGTTGGTTGGCATGGACATGCATACAGCATTATACCCAGAAAGGTGTGCTTTGGAAGGATGATTTTTCATGCTGAGACCTGCAAAAAAAGTTTCTTTGACTTATATTTTAAAACCAACACGTCTGCCATTTGAGATTTAAAAAAAAAAAAACTGTTTCCAAACTTCCTCATTTTTAGCTCATAGATGTTAGAGTCCTAAGCAATGCAACAAATATACTTACTTAATGAAAAAAGTCAAAGGACATGTCGAGAGCTTGACATTTAAAAAAAAAAAAAAACCGCATTTTCTTGAGTAACAGTTCATTTCCTGAACACAATAAATCAATCCTCCTCTCAGTTTTTTCATTGCTGCATTTTGTCCACAAGTTACACCAGGCCTTTTAAGCTGTTTCCAGGACAGTTATTGGTAACAGAGGCAACTTCCACGTCTCTCGTAGCCTATGTAGAGCTTTTATTGGGAAAACCGTGTATCATGTTGCAGGAAATACTGATTCTTATGAGACCTCTTCCTCTGCATGCATTTCTAAAATAGGCGTTATTTAAAGACCTTATTGAACACCATCAATCAACATCTTCAAATGACAACCATTTTGCTGTATTTAATCGTTCGAAGAATAAAGGAAAACACTATTGGTCTTTTATTAGACATGACGACTTTTGTGAGTCAATGAAAACTTTTAACATTTCATGTTAATGTTATCTGAATAAAATCATAGGTAGTTCATAGATAAACGTAATTTTCACTAAGATATATAGAAGATATCATTGAGAGGAAAGTCGACCAGCCACCAAACTGTCTGCATCACATTTATGCAAATCATGAATGAAAATCTGAAAATTATATATGCATGTCAATATCTGTCTATCTATCTATCTATCTATCTATCTATCTATCTATCTATCTATCTATCTATCTATCTATCTATCTATCTATCTATCTATCTATCTATCTATCTATCTATCTATGTGGATCTATATATGGATTAATAGATATATATGGAGTTTTTTTTTTCCCAGCAATTCATTTTAAACAGTGAAATTAATATGTCATAAAGATTTATGTCACACAGAGTAATATTTTTCAAATAAGTTTATTATTAGGAATGGATAATAACTTAAAGGTAATTAAACCCTAAATTCTGTACCTTAGAAAATACATATATTGTGAAGAAGTTAAATATTCGAGACTCATGGTGTTACAGTCTAATCAGATAATTAACTCAGGACACCTGCAAAGGTGAGTTTGAGTTTCACTTTTTGAACTAAATTATAAGGAAAAATATCAAGCTTTAAATATATATCATCTTTTATATATATATACTATATATATATATATATATATATATATATATATATATATATATATATATATATATATATATATATATATATATATGTATATATATATATATATATATATATATATATATATATATATATATATATATATATATATATATATATATATAGATAGATAGATTCAAACTCTTCTAAAAGTTTTGATTTACTTTGAGCCTTGTTCTTTTTGTTCTTATGGGCCTGTTTGTAAATTAATGTTATTGTCCATTATACCAATATAGGTAAATTTTACAAGTCTGCACATGCATTGTGCTCGACACCAGTGGGAGTATTATCTGATAGAGGACATCAGAGTATGGAGCTAAGTGTCTCTGTAAATTTTAATGATGTGTTGTCTAAGAGAATCAAAACACACTCCTCCTACATCTCTGACAACACAAATGGAGAGAGTAGAGTTGTGATAAAAGGTAGTTCTGTACTGCGTGCATTATTTGATATGAGATATTGGTCTACTGACAGCACAACAATGTTTTTTAACCAAGTAGCAAATCTAGATAGGACACAGCTGTTTTGAGAAACCCTGCCCACTCGCCCTGCTGCCTTTACAATCTTTTGTAATCATCCAGTAGATTTACTGCTGTGTTCTTACCTGAACAACTCATCCCGACTTTAACCCACTATGATCCCAAGGGGTAGCTGGAAATATTCTAGGCGAAAACCAGTAAATTTTAGGAAATATTCAGGAACTTTGTGTATGTCTGAAAGATGCAAGAAAGGGGCTTATGCAACAAACCCCTATACCTAAGGTGGGGATTTTTTTTCCATGGGCTTGGCCTGACCGCAGCCCAACAATAGAAAACCTGTGCAAATTTATGGGGGTTCTGTGAGTTGTCCTTAGTGAGGACTCCTGAGAGACCAATTTGCCTTGTGAAATTAACTTTTGTTTATCCTTTGCTTTCAATTTTTTTTTAGTCTTAATTTAGGTCCTCAGTTTTGTTTAAGTATATGTGACAGGAATCAGCTAAACATGGACCCATGCAGCAGGTCCCAGGAAAACTTAAAGGATAATTTCATTGTGCCTTGAGCAACCGTAGCCGTTAAAATATTTCCAAGGAAGAAATGCATATGTACAAAAAAATGAAAAGAATGACGCTCTTTCATAATATAGCAATATGTCTTTAAAATTTCTTTGTGAGCATATTTCAAATGTTTCCTTGTTTACTGAGGAATGCGCCGGTAATGGACTATGTGCAGGAGTGTACCCTTTAAAGAAACACCATTTTATATCTGATTATTCCCAATTTATCCAAACACTCTCAACCATAACACAACATGCTGAGGGAAAAATGTTTTTTCCTCATGCCTCCTTAAATGTGAAGAATTGGTCCGATTTTTTCTAATTTAAAGGTTACAACACACACACACACACACACACACACACACACACACACACACACACACACACACACACACACACACACACACACACACAGGGTATGAGTTCTGTTTAGGAGTTTAGTTATGAATTTTGAACATGAAAACAGAATACATGAAATTCTGATTTCATGTACATAAAAATCAGAATGCTTGGCTCCAGGTTTTTGCCGATCTTAATATACAAAAAAGAAGGTAAAATCCTGCTAAAAGAGATCTCAGTTTCAGTGGGTTATAACCTGGTTAAATAAATGATAAATAGAAAATAAAAATGCTGACCTGTTTTATTGTTTTGCAAAAATACACGAATAATTTAGCAGATGTATTGAAATGGACATACAAGCTGTACATCTTAAAAGTTTAACTGGAAGATGAACATTTTTGACCAGACACTGAAAAAGAGGGTGGGATTTTTAACACTGTTTAACAGTCTCTTACTGTTTTGTTTTTATTTTTTTTAATTAAATGTCACATTAAAATAAAATATGATCATATATAAATAAAGCTTTTTATATTTTACATCACTGTCTGTACTGATATCACTTTATAATTACAATAACCTAACAGTCTATTAGATAGGCTATGAGTCTGGGTAATGGCATATCTATGTATATCAGTGACACAATCAACCGTGCTATTTCAGGTGTAATTTTTTTTATCTTCAGACAAAAACACACTGTGATGATTTTTTTCTTTTAATTTTGGTTCAGTTTCATTCAGGACTTTTACATGCACAGTTAAGGTGAGCGATTAAAGCTTGATTAAGCAGATCGACTGGTCTGCTGTCCTTATCCTAGTTTCCATGAACTGGGCAAGAATGGAATTATTGACAGAAGCATGTCGGTCTCTGCTATGGTAGGCGGCAGATCCTCCAAAACATGTTATAGGAAGAGGCTAACAGAATGTGCATCCAATGATGGCAACACCGTCACTTTTAGAGCTCTGTGCTGCTTGTGAGGAAATTGTCATCTTCTTTACATTCTTGCTTCGTCTGTCGAGGATTTTGTTTACTACTTTGCTTCCTAGCAATACATACATACAATTCAACTCAGAGCCTGGTATTCAAACACTGAGCCATGTGCAGAACACTTTGGCTAATTTCAGTTTGACTGAGTCGTATACAAGGAAAAAAAAGAAAATTTATCCCAATGGCACTAATCCAACAATGAGAAATTTAATGCAATGCAATTTCAGTCGGATCAATGTGTTTGGGCTTTTTTGTGGCTCTCCCTAAGCTACATCTGACTGCAAATCTCACTAATGTAGGTGAAAGAAATATCTGTGGTGCCTTAATTTTCCTTTCACGGTTTGGTGCCCAGGAATCCCTGCGCTATGAGGTGTGTGCTCGGGCCTTATTTCTATAAGTGCCTGATACAGCTGCTTGAGGGGTTAATGGTGCCCATCACTGATGGTTTATTTTAACATCAAATAACAAAAAATTGAATTCAGACATCCAGGTTTCTCAGTGAGTGCTTGATTTGAAACCAGTGAGCATATGGAAAAATACAGAATCTGCACACCAGGGAGGTTTATACAGCATAAAGTGATGTTTTGAGCCCAGGTGCTCTGAGGAACTCAGCACGTCTCTTTGTGCTTAATAAACCCTTCAATGGGAGCTTTCTGGTGTGCGAACACCACATAACACACTACCATAACAAAGGGTGTGTGGACAGATTTAGGAAATGTAAATGTCAGCAATCTCTTTATTTATCCTCAGTATAAAATACTGGGCATTAATTAAGAGGAGGTAACCTCCCTAGCCAAGAAGTAATTGACTGTTTCAAAGCTCCAACAGTTCCTTACCCATGCTGTGTTTATTAGAGGAGACAGAGACTGAATGTGAAGGAGAAAGCCTACGTGCATCTTTGTGTGCATGAGTGCATAAAAAGTGACTCTTTTGTAATCAACACCTCCCCCACCTCTCAACTCCTCACTCCCTTCCAGTCTAGATAAGGGTCACCAATAGTAGACAGAGCCACTCAAATGCTTCAGATTTTTTATGAGGGCATTAACATTGGGGCGTATTCATAATCATTAGATATAGTGAGACGGATGAAGCGGAAACCTTATGCCACCATCAAATGTGGACTGTTAATTATATATGTGACCACAGTTGATGGTGGCAATTAGAGAAAGCAAAGATCTCTATCAACATCAATAGCTTTTGATTTTTATGAGAGGAAGCATTTTGAAGCGTGAACGGAAATTTCCAAAAAATTCTCTGATCCCCTTAAAATGAAGAGGCTTTATCTTTTATATGATGCTGCATAAAGATGAGAGCAGCTTTTTCCATTTTAGACAAGATTCTCCAACTTTCTTTTAATTGTTGTTTCTTTGCTGCTTTGGGCAGAGCCAGAGCACAGTTACATGACCAATTTCTTCTTTCTTTAAGAAAGATAAATATTAAAGAAAAAAAACAAACTGCTGTTAACGCTGCAACAGTTAACAGCTCAAACAATTAAGGATCAGTGAAGTAGTTAAAAATGGTTTGGACGTCATAAGTTACATCGTTATGAGGACAGACATTTGAAAATCAAACTTGTATCTATTATTTTTATTAGGAATAGACAGCAGATGGATTTGCAGATATCTGGAATGAAAACCTCATCTGTCCTTTGGAATAATAAATTTTGGATGTGAAAACTGGAGTTCTGCTGACTTTTGTAAATTTACAATGTTTATTGTGATGTTGTTTGTAGCAGGAAGACTGTGGCTCAGTGGTGAAGTCTGTTGTCCTGCTACAGAAGGTAGGTGGTTCCCAAAGTTCCATGGCAAGACATTAAACCCCAAATTGCCCAAAGTGGCATATCCAGTTGACAAGCACTTTACATAGAAGCCTTCAATTTTGTTTATTACTAGCTGTTAAAATTAAAATGAAATAAAATGGCTTTTATATTAAAAATGAATTGTAAAACAAACTACTTTTTAATCTTTACAGTGTTAGTGTATTTTTGACATTCAAAAAGGTTTTTTTTTTGGACATAATATTTACAGCTTAGTTTTCATATAATTCACTCAACTGCTGAAAGCTAGATCTAAAAAGACTTAACACAGAATTTTACAACAAAAATATGAAAAGAGACTGTGACAGGGTCCCCTCAAAGCCCCTTCACCACGGCACATGCATCAACTGCATCGCTGCTAGAAAGGACATGGCCGCCTGAGTCCAGGTCCCAGGTCAACATCATTCCCAGGTTATCATTGTTTTACAATGACAGTCAATGATTACATGTTAAAAAACATGGCTATAGATGTTTATTAAAATCAAAACTTTGAAGAATTTCTAAAAACATCTCCCATTACTCTGATGTTTTGAGTTTCTAAAGATGGCAATAAAATTCACACCTAAATAATGACTTCTGTTTGGGTTATCATGTAGTTGACATTTATTTATTTACAGGATTGTAATGTCAAAAGTCTGTAAATTAGAAGTGTTGTAAAAAGCCCTTTCCACTTGAATGAGTCATAAACACATTAGAGGAGTATTTGTGGTCAGCTGCTTCATGCTCACATCAGGTCATATGCGCTGTCTTTTTCAATTATTCTATCAGGGAACATTAACTTAAAGAGAGACTTGTGTAAGCATGTGTTCATCAAAAGCTATTCACTAATTAACTTATGTTAATTGAGACTGGGGGTGTTGTGTTCACTGCTTCTTGCATAATTTATTCCAAAAGGTGTTTCAGTGTTGCTTAGTGTCCTAACTCTTAATTGCCCCAACAACAGCAGCCACAACAGCAAGGGCTCGACTGGGACACGCAACCCAGTTATGTCATGACGCTAATTAATTTCAATTAGCATGTTAACGATTACAAGCCTTTTGAGTTGGCCTTTAACGTCTATTTACCTGGCTCTTTGTTGTGGGCTAACCCCATTGTACATGCATTTAAAATGTGCATGAAATGCTTTAGTGTACCCTAACCCAACACTTTTTTAAGGCTGGGCTTTTTAACATTTTTTTTTAACAATTAAACTCAATGAAATGTTATTCTAGAGGAATATTTCAATTCAAAGAGAGAGATGGATTTCAATCCAATAACATCAATTTTATGGAACACTTACATCTACATTTTCAGGAGGTACAAAGGATGCGCTACAGAAGAACCACAGAAACAGAAACAGCAGTGCACCACAACAGAACAGTAAGCTTTGATGATCTGGTTATCAGTTCTCTGTTGGAACTGATCAGTTCTCCATGTCTGACTTTTGTGAACTGAGAGGCAATCAGGTTCCCAGTCCTTCTCTAAACTCAGACCTGCTGTTAAGGTAGAAGATCGGCCATGCCTGGTGTAAAGAGAAACATTGATGAGCTCTTTTTAGTTCACTGGTGACATGAGGCACTGTGATGAAAAACAGGACAAACAATGTCACAACCTTTAACTTGTACAAACCATTCATTTGGTCACTTGTTTTCTGAAGTGGTGTTCAGAATCAAGTCTGTATGAATTTTGTTTATCCTGACTGTGATATATTGTGCTACATTGTGAAATATTTTAGTGGATGTGCCTCGTGGGCACCTGTAGCAGTTGCACTTAACGGCACTGTCGCAATATCTAAGGGGATTCTATCTTGTGCCGTTCTGTATGTTTGTTGCTCAAGTGAGTTTTAAGAAGTCGTCAAGCCTTGTCAGTATCCAACATGGTGTCAGAAGTAGTTCGGATGAAGTGAGACGGTATGGCGCATTTTCAACCCCCGCCGAACCTGTGTTTGCAAGGCAATCTTGCTGAAAACTGGAAGTGTTGGAGCCAGTGCTTTGAACTGTTCTGCGTCGCCAGTGGAGTGTTGGAAAAGTCTGAAAAAGTACAGTGTGCAACATTTCTTCACGTCCCGGGAGAGGAGGCGAGAGGAGGCGCGGGTGAGAAAGACTTTAGAGTGAAAGCAAGAGCAGAACAGCAGACCGAGGCGAGCTGCAATAGATGTGGCTTTAAACATGGAGCTAATGCATGTCCTGCACTTGGCCAAATATGCAAAAAGTGTCAAAAGAAAAATCACTTTGCTAAAATGTGCAGATCACAGAGTCAGGCACAGAGTCAGTCAGGCTCATGGAAGCAGCAGCAGCAGCAGCCGCAGCAATACAGAAGGAGAATGCATGCTGTAGTGCAGAGTGAGGAAGAGGATGACATGTTCATTGGCACACTCAGTGTGGAGCATGACAAACACATCAGTATTAATGGAGTCTGCTGAGACCGAAACTGAGACAGGAAAATGGACAGAAAGCCTGAGAGTTGATAACAATGTTGTGACCTTTAAGTTGGACACTGGCGCAGATTGTAATGCAATGTCAATTAAAACATTCAATGCACTGGAGGTCAGAGGCAGGCTTAATGCCAGCAAGAGCAAGCTGGTTGCTTTCTTTGGTCAGAAAATAGCACCATTGGGCAAGAGAGCTTTGACCTGTGAATATAAAGGACAAAAGCACAGCATTGAGTTTGAGATCACACAGGAAGATGTACCAGCTATACTGGGCGGAGACACTTGTGTGAAACTAGGCTTGGTGAAGAGGATGCATGAAATCTTAAAGGAAGATGACATTCTCAAAGACTATGAGGACCTGTTCAGTGGACTGGGTTGCATACCTGGTCAGCACCATATTCAGACTGACCACACTGTCACCCCTGCCGTACACGCACCAAGGAGGGTTCCCGTGGCGATCAGAGACAGAGTGGTGGAGAACTACATGGCATGGTGAAAATGGGGGTCATAACAAGGCAGACGGAGCCCACAGACTGGGTCAATAGTATGGTCACTGTTGTGACACCTAAGAAAATCCATATCTGCGTGGACCCAAAAGACTTGAATGAAGCTATGAAACGGGAGCACTACCCATTACTGACAGTGGAGGAAGTAGTTTCCCGTATGCCAAACGCCAAATACTTCTCAGTGCTGGACGCTAATAAAGGGTTTTGGCAAATCAGACTTGATGAAGAGAACTCAAAGCTCTGCACCTTCAACACCCCATTAGGAAGATACAGGTTCCTGCGGTTGCCGTTTGGGATATCTTCCGCATCAGAGGTGTTCCAGAGGGCCATCGCACAGATAATCGAGGGCCTGGAGGGTGTAGTAAATATTATTGACGATTTGCTTGTCTGGGGCGACTCTGTGGCGCAGCACGACCACAAGCTGAGGTTGTTACTGCAGCAAGCAAAGGAGAACAACCTGAAGCTGAATAGAGACAAATGCAAAATCAGAACAACCAGAATAAAATACATTGGACACAAGCTTAGTGCCAGTGGACTGAAACCAGATGATGAAAAAGTGAGAGCAGTGACTGAGCTTCCGCCGCCACAGAGTGACCAGAAGCCACTGGAGAACATATTCAAAAAACCATTGCATCAAGCTCCATGAGGCTTCAGAGGATGCTGCTGAGGCTGCAGCGATACAGCCTGAAAGTTAAATATTATCCTGGAAAGGAGCTGCATATAGCAGACGCGCTGAGTCACACTTATCTCAATGAGCAGAAAGAAGAGCTGCTGGGGAGACCCGGAGGTAAATTCAGTCACACTTCAGCTTCCAGTATTGGAGGAGAAACTGCACAAGTTCAGGTCAGCATCTGCAGAGGACCCCGAAATGCAGCTGTTGAAAGACATCACACTAAGGGGATGGCCCAAAGAACGCAGTGCAGTACCAAAACTGATCCAGCCTTATTGAACATTCAGGGATGAAATCACACACACAGATGGGCTGATGTTTAAAGCAGCAAAGCTCATTGTTCCAAATCAGATGAGGCAGGAAATGCTGAACAAAATACATGAGTCCCACCTGGGTATTGTGAAGTGCAAAGCGAGAGCCAGAGACATTCTGTATTGGCCGCACATGTCTTCACAAATTGAGGTGTGTGTCTTAATGTGTCACATGTCAGGAGCACCAGAACAGTAACCCAAGAGAGCCTTTAATCTCACACCCAGTACCAGAGAGACCGTGGGAGAAAGTAGGCATGGACATCTTTCATTTCAAAGGATCTGACTTTCTGCTGTGTGTGGATTATTTCTCCAAGTTCCCTGAAATCGTTAAGCTGAAAAACACCACGAGCAGCAGTGTCATCGTGGCGCTGAAATCCATCTTTTCTAGACATGGCATTTGTGATCATTTGCTTTCAGACAAATGGACCAGCTTATGCCAATGCTGAGTTTAAAGACTTTGTCAATGACTGGGAGTTTAAACACAGTACATCCAGCCCGGGACATGCCCAAGGGAATGGTCAATCAGAAAGGGCCATACAATCTATTAAGAAACTGCTGAAGAAAGCTGAGGACAGCAATGGGGATCCCTACATTTCACTCTTTGAGTATCGCAACACACCGCTGGAGGGTGTAGGACTATCACCAGCTCAGCTGTTAATGGGCAGGCGGCTGAGAGGAAAACTACCAACTGCAACCTCACTGCTTACTCCACAGGGATCTGACCAGGTGCACAGCAGGCTGAAAGAAAGACAGGAGTCTCAAAAATTCTACTTCGACAGGCATACCAAGAACCTGCCTGATCTTCAAGCAGGAGACAATGTCCACGTGCAAAGAGGAGAGGCCTGGCAGCCCGCTGTGGTCTTACAAAAACATGAACATCCAAGATCGTTTGTTATCCATACACCTTAGGGGAAACAGTACAGGAGAAACAGAAAACATCTGCGGAAAACCAGAGAGGAAACCTTTCCTGAAACTAAGGAACAACAGGATATAGATCTGAATACAAACTCATGGACAAAAGACTATGGTACAAGTTTCAGACATGCAACACCAACGCGTTCACCAGAACCACCACCGCCTAAGAATGCAGTTGTTATTGTCCTGGATCACTATATTTGTCCAAAGTTGCCAGGTTTCCAGACAAGTGAAGATAGTCCTGTATTTTTGCTGAGCCTCACAGACACTGGATTGATACTTTTACTTTACAATTTGGGATGATTCAGGTCGGTTTAAGCTGTAAACTATATTTAAGCAGTGTTTGGTGCAAAATAAACACTTCAATGAAAGGGAAACAAACGTGAGACACACTGTAAACCCAGATTAGTTTCTGTGCAAATAGTTTAAGTATACATTAGTTGAAAAAAAAAAAGAGTTTTGTTGAATTACTTAAATAGTGTTAGTATGTTGTACTGGCATCATTTGATTAATATGTGAACTGACAGTTTTAAGTTGATTCAACTCAAAAAATTGTGTTGAGCCTCAGTTTAGTTGTCGAGTTACCTATTCTCCCAACAGCACCCCAATCAAACGATAGCCTGGAAGCATTTTTGTTATGTGTCAGAGATGACTCAATATCAAGCAGCGTTTGTCTTGCTGGAAACTTCTAAGCCCCTGAATATAAATCCACCATGAACTAAATCGAAAGGTGATTCCCAGTCTTCCAGTTGTCTCCAGTTGTCGATTTGCATCTCCTATTTTGTGAATTTTCTTATGACAGCTTCCTGTCTTCACTTCATATTCCTTAGTATTCTCACTGGTATTGTTTCCATGAATGTTTGGCTGTGCTTCCTGTTTTATTCACAAACACACTTTCTTTATCTCATACCCCCCAATGTTTAAATGGATGTGGTCAATGTTGTTTCTGCAGTCTTTCTGAGGGACACTTTGAGCAGTTTGAGGGCTTACAAACAGCCAGCGGTGGCTAAAAACTGATGTTCTGCTGCAGGTTGCTCTTTTCAGTGACTGGGTCAGTGGTCATTCTGCTCCTCTGTTTGTTTTTTCTTGTGTATTTGGATCTGTTTTGTCTCTCTTGTGTGTAGTATTTATCCTTTCTCCTCTTCATCGTCTCTTGTGTGTGTTTCACGCTGTATCCTCTATTAACTGCTGGCTACTCCCTTGTCTGTCTGCTCTATCTGTTGTTTGGCTCATGATCATTCCTTTCTCTTGTCCAGTAATTCCTCCCTCCTTCACATATTTTTGAAATGTTACTTCTCCATATTAGATTCCTTTTTCAGGTTGTTCTTTTCAGCACAAAATCGTGTGATCCCTGATTTGGCTCAGCCATTCTTCTATTAGTTTGATCGCTCATGGTTTTGTTTAAATATTCAGCAACAGATCTATGGCCAGAGCTTGAGCATGACCAGAGTGTGAGAGAGTGTTACCCCCAATTTCCACTGCAACTGAAACGGCGGTGATTTTTGCCATCCGCCAATTCCTACCGGATCCATTTGGGAGGTGAATTTCATGGCGGATTTCAGACAGCAGGGAATCGTGAGAACTCACAAGAACCCGCGGATTCACTTGCAATCGCGCAATAATGAGTTGTCTCTTTAAAGACAGCCACATGACCATGTAAGCAGTTGATTGTGTCCTTCCAGAGGAGGAAATCCACTTCTAAAATCAGCATCTCCTCATCCATGGGGTCATCAGGGTGAAATACTGTCTAAAAACCTTTCACTTGTTGGTCCCCGCCCGTTTGCATGGTGTGAAATACGATCCACCTAAAACACGTAGTGTTTTATTTTGAAAAGAAGCTGGATGTTTTATTTTATGTCTGTGCCCGTCTCCCTCTCCAGCACAGGTTAATCTGTGCTGAATTTATGCAGCATGTTCCGGCGTCCAAAAAAATAGAACTCTTGCAATCAGCTGCAGAGTCCACTGATGCGCAGCAGAACGGAGAGAAGCCAGTGGAAAGTGACACATTGACTTGAATGAAAACGATCAGCTGCAATTGGTGGATATGGCCTTTTCGCAGCCATTCCGGGTGCGGTGGAAATTGGGGATAAGAGTGAACTTCCTCTAACACTATATGCACTTCAACTCCCTTATATGAGGATTTTAGCAGTTGGCAAAGGCCATAATGAAAAAATGTGTATCTCAAAAAGTCAAAAAGTTATTTTGCTGATTGCTGGAAAAAGTGGTACAATTTCTTGAATCTGTTGTTTTTGTATACCGAGAAAACTAACCTTCAATTACTCCAGTGTCCGCTTGCTTTCTGGCCGTATCCTCTAAGCAGTAACCGTGATCGGTCTGCTCAGAGGCAAAGTGCTGAGGAATTAGCTGATCAGAGCTGGAGATGTGCTGGCCAGGAGTTTCCTTCTCAATTATCTCCTCCTTTAAAGTAGGCAAGAGCTGACTGCAATAACCAACGCCATCACTGCTGCCTGTTTTCTGTATAGAGAAAAAAAGGCACATATTAGGAACATAGACTGTACATACAATGGACAACTCGGCCCCGCCTTCTGTCAAAAGAATTTGAAGCTGAATTGCTCTCTGTATTTCCGGGATTTCCTCCACTTCCTAATCACCACTTGCGTAGTAGCATTGTAAGCATTCAGCAGAGAGTCACTGTGATGACACTCGGCTCAAACAGCGTATCCCACAGGGTGATCTACGCAATCTTCGTGCGCAACCGGGGGGGGGGGGGGGGATGTATATTCTGTGGAATTCATTTCTAACTATAATAACATGTAAACTACAAAACAAACAAAAAACTTAATAACTCACTTTAAAAGTTAGCATGTCTGTGAGTGATTTGTTAAAATCCAAGTATTATTCCTCTTTTCTTGCCTTACGTGTGTCACTTAATGTGGCTGGCCCTTGTTGATGTAGTCGTTGTATAATAGCTAACAAACAAATGAGCAAGCATGTTGTAAATAAAAACAAAAGAAAGTACTTTTTGTGGGGTTAAAATAGAAGACATTTGTGTTGGATTTTGCAACCAACAATTTAGTAGCTGTCACATCTGGACGAACGTTTGACATCTTCACTCTGCAACACCTAGAAAAATCACAATGGCAGGAGTGGGAGTGATTTTGTGTTTTTGCATGCATGCATGCCCATGCAAATTACTCCTGTGATTACTTCACCACAGCAGCAAACTCAAGTTCCACAGTTAAAGCTTTGTTTTCTCAGTAAGTGGGCTTCAGAAAAAAATGCACTTTTTTTGTGTGCACATTCTCAGGGTGTCAGTGCTAAAGCTAAAGCATTGTGCCGAACAATTGTCCCCTGTTTTCACTAAACTGTTTCAGGCTTCTTTGGACCAGCATGTTGTTTCAAATCTGTGGAAGACGTTGACCTTTATCCCTGTGCCAAAAGTCACAAAACCTAGTGATTTGAATCACTTTCACCCTGTAGCGATAACCCCACTGGAAATGAAATGTTTTGAAAGAATAATTAAATACACATACTTGAGCAAACTCAATCTAAATTGGACCTCTTTCAGTTTGCTTACCAACCTGGGAAAGGTGTTGATAATGCTATTTTAACATTGTTGCACCTGGTATATTCCCATTTGGATATTTCAAAAATTATGTAAAAATTATTTTTTTTGATTTCTCGTCAGTATTTAACACAATATTGCCAAACATCTTGGCTCAGAGGCTAGTGGACTTTACTCTGGAAGGTGGACTCATTTCATGGGTACTGGATTTTCTCAGCCAGAGGAATGCGCACCACGCTGTCAGACAGAACCATCACTAACATTGGCTCTCCTCAAGGGTGCGTGCTTTCTCCATTGCTGTATATCTTATACACCAACGGCTGCACCAGTTTCTATCCGGGTAGATATCTGGTGAAATATAGATCAAATCCGCAAAAAGGGACAACAGAGACTTTACTTTCTTAAGAAACTGGTGTCTTTCCAGATTGACAAAACCATGCTGAAGGTGTTTTACAGTGCTTTTGTTGAGAGCGCTCTGACATTTCGTATTGTTTGTGGGTACGGGACTTTAACAGAGTCGTAAAAGAGCTCCCTCAGAAAAATAATCATTGTTGCGAGCAAAATCCAAGGCATTCCCCTGAACAGCCTACAGGACATTTATCTATCTCGTGCCCTGGACAAAGCTGAGAAAATACTCCCAGACTCAAAACATCAAAACATGTTTAGAGAGTTTGTGCTGCTGCCCTCAGGCTGCAGATACCGGTGCCCAGGTGGTCGTTTGTACCACATGTGATTTTACAATTGAATAAACCAAAATAGATTGTGGGCAGCTTTATTCTTTATTTTTAGATACTGGTTCAGCTGGTCTGAGCACAGATACATTATTTAAAGAGTATTGATTGAACTACTTTTTTGAATTGACAAAGTGCAGTACAGTAGTATTTTTATATTGTCTTTTCTTGGTTGTTTTGTTTTGTTTTATGTGGGACAGTGTATGGAACTGTGTATGTGTGCTGTCTTTGTCCGTGTTTTCAACTTACTGCAAATGAATTTCCTCACGGGGACAAAAATTCAGCCTACCTACCTACTGACTTAAGCATACATGTCCAGGCAAGGAAAATGAAGTTTCTCGCTCTATGGAACCTCAAGTTTTCTTTGTACTTTTTTGTCCTCTTTTAAATGATGGACCTTCTATCAGTTGGGCTACATTGTTTTTCATGGCTTTGTTTTTCTCTTGGATCACCTCATGTTCCTGCTCAAAGGTCTGCAATAAAATTAATCACCTATTCTTAATGCAATAGTAAATTTTTATGTGCTTATTTAATGTTAATAGAAGTCTTAACAGGAAAGAGAAGGCTTCTTGCTAATACAAATCAGGTGGCTCTTGCCATTTTAATGAATTCAATATATTAATAAATTGGGTGATTAAAATAAATATGTAATAAAAAGAACAGAAAAGACAAACTATTACGCTGAAAAGGGGAAAGGAACATTACACCCATAATTTGGTGGCAGATGGGACCCTATTTGCTGTGTTGTGCAATGCTGCATTCATTCAATATTTATCTATTTGTATTCAAGAGACTAAGTATGACCAACCAAAGCAAATCTATGCCTAAAAAAAGACATCGGTTAGAATCAGCTTAAGTGGCCAAATATGCTACACATACAATAAAACTGACTCCAGTAGACTTTGCTCTCTATGTATAAACCTTAAACATGAAATATTAGAAATGTAAATACAAGCTTAGAGATATTAACTTGTAGCCCCACGATACAATATTGTCACGATACTCGGGCCACGATACAATTTTACTGTGATTTTAAACATTTTGCGATACAGTGGGTATTGCGATACAGTATATTGTGATTTGTACATTTTTTTCAACTGCTTAGCCGATTTAGCATCTGTCTGTTCTTTATGTTTGTCTTATTTACACAGTATTTTATTTTCATGTCGCACATCATGCAAACCTAATATGTCAGGTCCATCTCTTTTGTGCCCTGTTTGCATCCCAAATGTCTTTCCCCAGGTGCTGTCTGTTGTACTAATGCTGCGTTCCAGTTACCTCGAAAGTCAGATGTCGGAGCTGGGAATGACGCTACACCTGAGTTGACGGTGTTCCAGTTAACAAGTCGGAAAACCAAGATGGACGCCTTCTGTTAGCCATTGTTAGCTGTTGTTTACAATTGTCAGCTGTTGTTACTTGTTAGCTATAATAGTTGTAGACAATGCATAACACAGTATTTTACTCTTACAAACACCATAGCACCGTGTTCACAGTTAGACGTTGGGCTGTAAAACATATACTACTTATTAAATTTCACAAAAACAAAACAGAAGTGCTAATAAAAAATACATTAGGAGAGCGTTCACTGTTACTCTTTACTGTTGATGCACTGCGCTGCCATCTTGGATTATGACATCGTCGTCAAGTCGGGGTTGGTGAGGATCATCTGACTTTCCGAGTCAGAAATCCGACTTCAGGGGGGTGTTCCAGATAAATTTGCGACTTGGAGCTCGGAAATTCCGACTTCTGAGTACAAGTGGAACGCAGCGTAACTTTTTCCTGCTCTATGCTGTAACCTCTGCCAACCTCTTTGGACAAACAACTGATTTTATTTTTCGCTTATCATAGATTTGACTTCATGTTAACCATTGATTTGAAAAAATTGATACTTGGTGGATGAGACGATACGATATATCACCAGGAAAAATACAGCAATACTATGCTGTATCGATTTTTTTTCCTGCCCCTAGTAGTTATAAAGGTTATATAGAGAAACAGTTATTTACAGTTACATTGAGTGTTTGATTACAGGTTATATAAACAATATCAACAGTTGTGTCAATACTCCGGCAAAGCATGAAGACCTTTACCTGGCATTGCTCTTTCTGTACCTGCAGCTCCATCTGGGCTTTGCTTACTGCCTGTGTCTGGCTCAGCAGCAGTTGCTGGGCATGCCTCAGAGACCTCATTACCTCCTAGTAAGACAAAAGGTACCCACAATTAATACACATGTTTTAGAAGTACATAAATGACCGACTAAAATTGATTTCAGCTTTAGCGAAACAGAATTTCTACCATCTATACATGTTGTTTTTGTAATAAACCAAACATTCCTTTAACTCACAGCACTCACCAAACAAATAGGACAGCATCAGAGTCTGAGTTTCTTTGTATTTCTATTTTCCTACCTGCTTTTCTTCTCTTACAGAAAGATTGTCTTCTAACAGTTTTTTGTTCATTTCCATTTCCTATAAACGCAACAGGAATATTATTTAAAATTATGAAAATATTGCTATGTGTGATATTGTTTTTGTAAGAAATGAGTCCAATACACAGCTGGGACAGACATTTCTTTGCTTCTTGTAATTTACCATGTTCAGTTTCAAATGCAGCTGTTGAATACACTTCTCTGTTACTTCAAGGTTTTGGGTCTTGTCATGCCTGATAATCAACATATTGGCCTTGATAAGCTTGTCACGAACTTCCAACTCCTGTGAGAGTATCAAAAAAAAAGATAGATCAAACTTGTTATTTCAAAATACCTTCATTTCTTAATTTTTTCAAGTTTCAACACTTTTAGTCATTTTCCTAAGGCAACTGGAAAATGGGTTATTATAATGCCAGTGGTGTAAAATTTATCAGATAATCACGGATCTTGTGAATTTGTGTGAACAGTGACACTTGTAATAAACTTTGACACTATTGTCTCTCAAGTGATCCCAAACAGTTTTGATGTACCTTCTGTAATGGCACCTGGGCTGAAATTGGTCTTTCCTTTGCAGATGTCAGCTTTGCATTCATTTTCATGGCCTCATCAACTACAAGAATCATACACAGTGAGTCACCATTATACAGTATATGATGCTATAACATAGCTAAAATATTTTTAAAGATCCCAACGGGATAAGAGGTAGAAAATGGATGGATGGATATAAGAACAGACAGAAAGGACTTTTTTTACGTGGTTTTAAAGTGCCACTCTGATTGTTTTTTGTAACTCAAGTGTTATTAGTGGTCTTCAAATTATGATATGAAGTTTTTAGCCAAAATCCTGTTACCTGTGTCATTTTCAAGGGCTTTTCTTCTGCAGATCTCAAGTAGCTCATTGCCAGTGAATTAGAAGTGGTAACATAGGATCTATTCAGCTCTCAGACACTAATGTCTTTGGGGGCATGATGAAAGTTAGTGTCATAATTAGCTTTCTTACGAGCATTGCAATCCACTAACCCACAAGCTTGGATTTGTGATGTAGGAAATCTCACTGTTTCTGAGCCTGCCGTTTGGGTCTGCCAGGGATTCACAGTGATTTGAATTTAGAAATACTCAGAAATACAACTTCGCACTTATTTTTCTCATGATATGTCCTGTAGCATCAGAAAAATGCCATATGAACATGTAGACCACAAGAAAGTTAGATTTTCATCGGAGTGGGTCTTTAACGTGGACTCATGTGTATCAGTATATGCACACGCACATGAGCGCTGCACCTCAGAGCACGTGCGCCCTGATTGTTAGCATTTGCAAGTTATCATTGGCGACCACACAGCTGATTAATTACCACCCCGAAACCCTGTGCTCTTTGAGTCGCTCAACACACACGGTAGAAGATATTTGCTAGAATTAAGGGATGGTTAATAGCTACTGCTTTATCAAATTAGCACAAGCAAAGATCCTGTGAATGATTTCCAGCACCATGTTACATTTACTCCCTATAGGCTTCCAAAGTCCACTTGTAGTTTTGGCCAACTTATGGCAAAAGTTGTTCGCTCCTTGCTGTGATTTGTTAGCCGACAGCCTTTAGCACTAGCTGCTTTTCAGTTCATACATCTGTCCATCCATTCATTACCGTTCTGTTCAAGTTTCTCCTGAGCCTGCTTGACCATGTTACAGTGCCTGGACAGAGCACTGAAATGCTTTTCAATCTCCCCCAGCTGGTTTAGGTGACTGTCTCTTGACCTGCTCTGCAATGCTATTTTCTGTTCCTGTGAAAGGACACACAACACACAGCAACACACCACACACAATAAATACAGACATGATTCAGAGTCCTCTCGTCCTTTTTTTTGCTTGCAGCCATAGAAATGGCTCATGGCCTGTGTGCAATTTGACAGAGTTCTTGTGGGGAAACCGCTGATACACAACAGGAGGGTCTAACACAGCTAATGGCTGTCTCTTCATGGGACGCAGGGATGAACTCAGAGAGTACCCTGAAGAGCTTTAATGCTCTGCCATCATAACTTGATTGTCTGTATCAACCTGGACAGACTAGTTTCGTCTCTCATTTCCCCAGTACCTCCCTTCACTCTAAATTTCACTCCCACCCATTCCTCTCTCCAATACATCAGCTCACTTTTACTCCCTCTTGCTCTGCTGGGCCAATGTTATGTGATGAAGGTCAGACCGAAGCAAGACCAAGTTATAAAATATTTTAATAGATATTTTCTCTATTTTGCTGGCGCTTTAAAGTGTCAAACACTCCTTATCCATTACTGTTGAGAAACTCCTCCCAAACCCACCCCTCCAGAGTACCAGCACATCATCAACCTTGACTTTTTCCATATCACCCATCCTGTCGAAGATTTGTATGGGTGCAAAATCTTTCATTACCAGTTCCAGTGCTTTCTTCTCCAAGTTGTATTTTTGCAGCTGTAAGAAAGCAATAAGACAGTCATGATAAGTTCATTATAAATTGATAAGTGTCAGTCTGAAGAACCAAAACTCTAATCAATAACAACCACTGACCAAATATACAAAACCCCTATAATCATTTAATAACATTACCATATATAACTCCACACAGCATCAATACCACCATTGACCGGAACATGGTAAACATGAATCTCAACTTTTAAGGCTACAACTCACTAATCAGCAATCACCTTCACCTGCTCTGGAGGGTTTAAAGGCCCAGAGATGCCTGATGCCTGGAGAAGTATTTGGTAGGGGAACTGCTGCCCTGCTACCTCTCATTTGTGTTTTTGGTTATTGATGTTTAGTTGTCTTGTTAATTTGGTCTTTAGTTAATCTTTGGTGGGTTATTTATTTTTGGCTTTTGTTATAATAAATCACTTGTTAAAATTTTGAAGGTGTTTTGTTAGTTTTAATGAGTCAAAAGTTGTTAGTGGATAGCTGTTCGGGCCGCCTTTGTGTGGGGCATAACATGTGTACTTATGAATACTTAGCAATTTTGAGTGATGACAGCTCGTCTTTGCTTGCATTGGTTTGCTTTATTGCAGAAACTAGTTCTTCTTTTCCCTTTATGTGAGAAAGAGATGAGTGGAGCCTTTCCCTTTCACCTATCCTCAATTATGGTAATGTGCTGTACATGTATGTCTTTGCTTTAAGTCTTCACATCCTGCCAAGGCTGTAACACATACCAGCTCTTCCCTTTGATCTTGAAGAATTATAAAGCTTTGCTCATTGGGCATTGTGCAACTCGTTCCTTAAGTTTTTAGGTATTCTTCACCTCTTTCCCTGAACAATCTACAGACTGGTTCTAAACAGCATAACTCTCCCTGAATGTAATGCAATCCTATCCTTGATTTAAAGTCTGAAAGCCAGGCAATACAAATCCTAAAGCTACTTCACAAGTCTCATTGTTTTGTTGTAAAAAGAAAAATGTTGCGTCTCATGTTTGGACATAATTTTGATTTCATGTAGCCATCACGGAACAAAAACAGTTAAATGTAAACACTGCAGCAAAACTGATAATACCACTAATTGCTATCGAAAAATATCCAAGCGCTAATGGATGAGAATAGTTAAGGTACTAACTTTGTCAACTATGAGGGTAAAAAAAGAGTAAAATAGCTCAACAAACAGTAATTGAGCTAAAAGTTTCAATTAGTCTTTTTCTCTTTTATCTCTTTGATTTTGGCTCTACAGTCAATGTTAGCTTTTTTTTTTTTTACATTTTTTATCTTTTCTAAAATAACCTTTTTGAAATTTTAATGATTTATCTATTGTTTTATCTCTTGCTCATTTGTGTCATTCTATCTTAATATTACTATATTATCTGTTTTTATGTTATTAACATTATTGATATTATCTTTTTATATTTGCCATCCTGTTTTCTGATTTCAGACCCCTTTTTTATTGCATTTTCTTTTCCTACAGAATCTATGTCTTTAGCTTTTATTTTGGTGCTCCTGGTCTCATTTTATGTTGCATGGTTCATGTTTTGTTTGGGTTTCTTATGAGATATGAAAATGGTCTTCAATTTCTGAGGCCTTTGTGCTTCTTATTTTTATTTTTGTGCTGAAGCTCTTGTGCTCTTTCACTTTCTGACAAAGCACTTTGTAAACATCTGGTTTAAAAAGTGCTTTACAAATAAAGTTATTATTATTATTATTATTATTTTGATTTGAGGCCACATAACCCAGCACTACCATGGCCTGCTTCCTCCTTTAAAGACAACCATCCATATGGTTCATTATTCTGGAGGGTAACAAGACTTGTTTTTAAACACAAACATTTATTTATCAAGTAATGACAAATATGATATTACCTTTAATAAAGTGAATAGTCAAGATAAGGCAATTAAATCCCTTTAAGGCAAACCGTGTGAAAATGTATTAAATTAAAGAAAATCACCAGACCGTATCAAAGAATTCACACATGGGGCCTCATTGAAGCCACACACTGCAGTTGGTGTCTAACAGATATAATATCAACAACAGCCTTTATTGTCTCTGTTACGGGCTGTTAAAGAGCAGCGGACCATAGGAAAGGCTGTATATCAGCACTCTGGTGTCAACCTTTAGGATTAACACTCGTGTAGCCAACACAGGGCAAGTCTACGCAGCATCAACCAACATTTAGAATCCAGTTTGGCATAAGCTCTTTGTAATTACTGTAATTACTGTCTCCGACTTAAAAGACTAACACACCAGAGGAAGAAGGGGAAGAAGAACTTCATTGTTATTTATTTCCTTTACTGTTTAAAATGTAAAAACTGAAATTGATGGTGTGTGCTGAAGGAGTAAAGATATAGAAAGAAGCTCTCTTTGTTTTGGAAGTACCTGCAGGGACTTGAGCTCTTCCTTTAAATTGCTCATTTCCTTGTCTTTTAACTCAGCACAGACCTGGTACTTCTCCTGTATTATGAAATTGTTTCTGTGAGTACCATAAAACAATGAATACTGACAAATACAAATGTTACAACAGACCTATCCTCTTAGCATACCAACATAACATCATGCTTTGAGTGTATTGTCAATATATTAAGAGAGAGGATCTCCATACCTTCACTTCTCCAACGTGTCTTACTTTTGCCTGAAACTTAAGATGGGAGTTCACAAGGTTTGAATACATTGTTAAAACTCTCTCCTTTTAAAACACTGTAATCATATCATAGAACAGACCTGTTTCTGCATATTTATGAGGGCCTCCGTGTGCTGGTTTGCTGCTCTTTCCTTTTGATTTTGTAGGGATTCCTGATGCAGAAAATCAAAACAACATTTATTAGATAACAATTAAAAACTCCAATTATATTTCTTAAAATGTCCCCTAGCCATACCTTCTCCCACTCCATCTCTTGCTTCTCCAACATAAATGTACTGATCTGATCCTCAAAAAGCATCTTTGCAGCCTGAATCATGGAAAGACACCAGTTACACAAAATCTGACACGCACAAAGTTTGGTTAAGACTAGAAAAGTCAGAAAAAGTAAGTCAGTCAGGGGTAAAAAAAAACAAAAAAAAAAACTGAAAACAAGAGGACAGAGAATAAAGAGCAATGGCAGACTCACTATGATGGTAAAGGCTGAAAATGACAGAGATATGTTCATTCTGTTGCATAAAAAAAAAGCCTCTATGGAGGATTAAAAACTAAAGTAAGTTTCCTCGGCTCATTACTTGTCTTTTGCAGATGAGAGGAACATTAGAAGGGTGATGATATATGAGACGAGCTGTCACTATCCTCCCTTCTCCCCAGAGAAGGCAGGTAAAAGTCAATTGCTCTCTATATCCATAGGACTTTTTTATGTGCACGTGGGAGCTGGTTTACTAGCTGACTTTATTTTATAAGTTCATATTAAGCCATGCCACAAGAAAGCATCTCACTTTAAAACAGAGTGCATAGGAGATATAACACTTAATTATTTTTGTTATTGAGGATTAATGAGTGTATAGCTGGGTGCGAGAGTGTGTGTGTGTGTGAGAGAGAGTTTCTGTATGCGTGGAAGTGGCTGTACTGATTTTTAACAAGACTTCATAAAACGTGGTAATCCGTAAAATAAAATTAAGCAAGTACAAAAACAACTTTTGACTGAGGATGAAAATATCTTCAGTGATTTTTGCGGTAATACCTTGATGTTAAACTACACACTCCAACAATGGTTATATCAACATGGTAATAAACCCTGCAAGTATTTGCAGAGCCTCACCAACGTCAAGACAAACCCCCTAAAGCAATACCCTTAATACCCTTCAGATCCCAAGGGCACCAGCGTCACATAATTAAAATACTAATAATACTTTCAGGTAATATCAGGCTCAGCTGTATGAAGCAGACTGGCCACTGGGAGTCTCTGAGAAGATGGGCTCCTTTTTGGCAGGAGTAGCACCCCCTTTTATCTCTGATACTCAACAATATGAATGAAATGCTCCCATCACCAGGAAGGAAGCCCTTTTTGGTGCTGAAAAGCCTTCAGTCAGGTGAAGCACCTGGGCCAGATGGCCTGAGTTGTGAACTTTATCAAGTGTTTCACCACATGTTGGGAGATCCTTTCTTGGAGATGCTGGGACACTCTTTCGTTACTGATAGTCTCCCCCTTTCATTGAGAGAATCCTACATTACTCTAATCCTTTTTCCTCTCCACTGTAACTTGTTTAAATCTTCAAAGTCCTATACCCATGTGGTTAAAGATAGGGTGGTGGTAGGTCTGCTCTAACAATGTGAAGCTCAGTCTCATCCCATTTTTGTAGATTAAGGATGGTCTGGACCAGCATTTTTTAAAGCGGATTAGGATAACACTTGAATGAAGATTGATTAATTGATTGATACTCTGGCTGCTTTGACTTGTATTGTGTGCAGAACAGACAAATGTATAATCAGACATATACAATCAAACCTTTTTGCACCATATGCCTCACTGAGTGCCACTGAGTTCATAACTTCAAAAAAGGCACTTGGACACACCCAGATAGAGTTCTTTTAAGTTTTGGTCTTTGAAAATGGATACAGTGTGTATATTATAAATAATAATTAACCGTGGTCTTCACAGTGCCGACAGCAGTCTCAGTGCCCCACATGTAGAGCTATAGTCCTTCCCTGCCATAACGCTTTCCTCACTCTCTCCTCCTTACATCTCCTGTCTCTCTTTAGCTGTCCTATCTAATAAAACCAAAATACCCTAAAAATATAACCTGGAAAAAGTTGGGGCTCTGACTGCAACTGTGCTGTTACACCTTGAGCGCACACTACTAGGTACAAAATGTCTTCAACTGAATCGCGAAAAAAGCTCACAAACTCAAACAGCAGGCTGAACAGTCTTAGAGTAAAAGAAAAAAAAGAACACGCTCGGGAATAATCCTCCTACCCCCATGACTTCAACAACTTCAAAACGCTCTCCTGATAAAGGCAGTGCCTTAGGGGAATCAGACTGGTACAGCATTTTGTGTGAGTGTTCCAGTTAACATGACTATAACAATAAAAACTTGATGGCAAGAAATAACCCATAACCTACTTCCCCCTCCTGCTCTTTAAATACACTAACAATGGTTTTCTAGCTTAAAATGACTTGCTGGAGGGTGAGAAACAATATTCATCTTTGACAAAACAAATTGTTTCTCTATTTATTTACTCACATATGTGATCATTGTCTTTCAGGCTATGTGGGTCAAATCTAGTTGGCCCCTGCCTAGATGACCAAGGATAGACTATGAACCAAGTCGTTTCTTTTACATTTGCACATTACATTTTTCTTTTGTGCCCAACATTAAGCGAGTAAAGAGTAAGAGTCAAAGAGCCATAGTTTTCCTGTTTAAAGTTTGCAATCTGAGGCCCTTTGTTAGTTAAGTGGTGCAAATAATGAGCAAGGCACAAAGTTGCATCAAAGTCTGGATGTTTTTGATGCATAACACACTCAGAATAATAAATCATGACATAGTTTAATTTTCAGTAATTATACCTATTTGATTTTATTTAAATTATTATTACATTTTTAAAATGCATTTATCCAAATTTCTTAAAATCAGCAAAAATCTGTTAATAGTGAGACAGTTCAATTAAATCAGTTAAAACATATGAATAGTTTAAATATTACTTACTGTGATCTAGTTCAAATATATGAGAGAAACAAATTGGATTTATCAACAGTGAATACATAAATCTTCATTATTTATTCAAAACACATTGGATTTGTTGGTATTATGACACAAATCTAATTCTTAATTGTTTGATTTACATCTGACTGACAAATACGCAGCACATGAAGTTGATTGGCCTGTTCATGTGAACTCTCAGTAATTTAAATGGATAGAAATTCTGAATGTTTCTGTGAGTGCATGAATGAAGTCAAAGGGGTTTTCAAAATAGTTTGTGATGGTGTCATCTCTGAGCTTGTCCGCCTGATGTCTCTCTGCTGCTTTATTTCAGTGACGGGTTGATTATCAGGTAAAAACAAACGATAAAATCACAACCCTTAGCCAGCCCTGATGTTGTGGCTAAAAGCGGCCATCTGACCAAAGATTTAGAGCATTCGACACTGTAGCACTACAGTAACAGTGTAAAGTAGTCAACACAAGCATTTGTTTTTGAATTAACTTTTGAATGATAATGTGTTGGACTATGGTGATGCAAGTTTAACATTGGCTTGAACCATTATATTCATAACAGGAGTATGTTAAGCTATAGGTGCTAAAATGATGGATAGAAATCAAATCAAATCAAATTTTATTTATATAGCGTCAAATCACAACAGAGATATTCTCTTGTGTCAGAAACTTTCATACTGAAAGCCTTGATAGGATACAAAAACTGTCTTTCCGCTGATTTGACCTGCTGTAACTAAAAAAAAGTTCTTTGTGGAGATGAACCACCAAGATTGCTGTAACTGCATGAGTTAAGTGTGTTTTTGTTAGATAGTTGTTTCTTCTATTCGCTACACACCAGCCAAAATACGTTTAATTGGCTGTGGGAGAAAGTGAGCTGGAGTGATTTACACTGATTGGCTGTCTGTCTTGAATAAAACTGCAAAGATTTGCCACATGACAGGGACATGGTGGATTGTTATTTTAAATTTCTCGAGGATTCCCCTGCATTCGAAGTGCTTGAGCAGGAGGAGGCAGGTGTGTCTGTGGGACAGCCTGAGTGTGATGAGAGAGAGAAGCTTGTAGCGATCCCAAGCGAGCTGCCAAGCTAAAAAGTGAGCAACATTGTACCAAATCATGATAAAATTTAAGCCAGTGCTCATGATGAAGGACAGTATAAAAAACTTTGCAAAGACTGAATGATATGTTTGATCTGTGATAAGATACAACATAGAGAAAAAATGTGCAGTAAAAAGGCCTACGTGTTGTTCTGTCATGTAATGGTAAAAAACAAACACAACTGGTAAGGACTTCAATTACTACCATACCCTATGAATCTGAAGCTCCTCTATAACCTCAAGGAGGAGGGATTTGAACTCCAGCAGCCGAAGCATCACAGAGCTTCCACTTCCTGTCTGACAGGGTTCGCTGGATCGAGGAGGCTCATGCTCAAATGAAGGTCCTCCTTTCTGCATAACAGATGTAATTATAATTTCCAATCTGACAAATCTTAATAATTTAAAAACTTTGTGATTCAAAAGAAAAAGGCTGTAGACTCAGGCTGTTGGGTAATAACAGAGCAAAGTCAAAGTAATGTCAATAAAAGTCTATCTGTTCTATCTGACTTTGAAATTTGAATTTTAAAGCCATAAATATTTATGCATTAAAATCATGTATCTGAATTTTGGCCACTGAAATCAGTCCTTTCAATTTTCAATATCACATTTTCACCCTCATTTTTTAGTGTTCACTGACTCAGAATAAAACTTAACAGTTTAAAAACTTGGACAGACCAAAGTCTGATGCCGAAAATGTAGGGAAACAGTTTGGCTACAATATTTTCAGGTTTCCCACATTCAATTAAAATGGAAAATAATTATATATATATATATATATATATATATATATATATAAATGAAAATGTAAATGAGATGAGAGTAAGGAATCACTTTTAATAGCTTAAGTTAGTGACTTTGTGAAGAATCCAGTGGCCATCTAAATCAAAGGCCATCTGTTAAAATCACAATATGACCCAAACAGCAAATAGAGGAGTTGACACCCTCACCAAAGAACCATCCATCATGTGTGTGCAGTTTTTTGTCTTAACTGTCATTATAGGACCAGTGTATGGTTCTATAATCAGCTGGATATAAAATCATTTGCTATTTTTTGATTTGTGTATTTTTAATCTGAATTTGGAATACTTAATTTTGTATGTGAATTTCTTCACTCACATTGGATCAACTTAAAAATAAGCTGGCTACATTTTTTCTCCTTATATTTCAGCATCTGAATTAAGTCCATCAGCTTGATTTTTTTTCTCTGGATGTGTGAACATTTGAGAGTCCAGGTAAAAATGAGTTATTAAAATTTTGAAAAGTTTAATTAAGATACCAAAAATTCAAGTATATAATTTCAATGCATAATAAATTTGGGCTAGAAATCCAATGGCTTCTTTGTTCAAAATGTAAATGGAACACATTGACTTTCATAAATTTCCTTGTGCATATGCTAACTTCAGAAGAACTTCTTTTCAAAAGAAAACACAACCACTGCCTGTACACAGCTGATAAATGTGTTGTGTTTTGTCTTTTTTTAAAAAAAAGTCATTACTCACAAAGGTCTGTGTGTGGGATGTCCCAGAATCTTCACTGAGGTTCATTGAGCTTTTTTCAAGGCCCACCAGGGTCTGGGCCTCTGCTAATAATAAATCAAGAAAATAAAGCTTTTATTAAGAACAGGTTAATAGGATTGGCTGTTACACTGTGCAATTCCACTAATAAGCCTATAATTACTTCCCCATCTGCACTTTACAATGCTAAATGTTTTTTATAGAAATGATGTGGTAAGACGATATAGCCCCGCAATGTTTCACAGTAACTGTAGTCTAAACCAATGACTTTGAAATTACTCTGACAATTTTATCTGTCTTTGTTTTACACCACTTCATTCAAGTGAGAGGGTGTTACACATTGATAAGCCATCTTGGTGAAAATGAACCAGCCCATTGACACTAACTGGGGTCAAAGCAATAACGTTGCATGGACAAATTGCACTGTCAATGTTTTTTAAATTATCTAGGTTATTTAATTTGACCTGTAGATGGTCTTGGTAACTGTCTGCTCCTCAACAAAACTGGGAAACTGAGTGACATGCACGCTGCATACACGCAAATACACACCTACAGGAAAATATTACTTTTTGAGGGGGAGGTCTTCACTAGCCACTGCTCTCTTAATGGACAGGCCTTTACCCTATTTCACTTGCACTGGTATAAATCGTGTGGGAGAATTAAATGATCCCTGCTAGAATTGGCTACTACCATAAAATGAAAGTGTCACCTCAGGCTGGGGGTGGGGTGGTGGGGATGGAGAGTGGGTTGGTGTGTCAGAGTGACGATGTACATGTCTTGTGTGTCTGTATGAGAGGAGTCCAATGTTTTATTTTCTTCTTCTGTTATTAGTTTTAGCAGGTATAAGTGATCATCTCTGAATCTTGAAAAAGGCGAGTAAATGGACTGTGATTGTTTGGCACTTCTCTTTTGACCACACGAAACACTTCCATACACTGATGGCAAAGGCTGTTATGTAAAGCGCCCATTAGATTTAACCAATACCGTTCACACACTGCTAGACACACACAGATTGGAGTTAAGTGTCTTGCCAACAAGACACTTGATCATGTGGGCAGCAAGACCTGGGGTTAAACCCCAACCATCCGATTAAGAGACAACAGAGCCACAACTACCTCTTAGTTAAACTGTCTTTAAGTAACATAAGTTTTGTGAAGCATTAAAAATATCATAACACTGACCCTATTATACCAGCACAAAATACGGCTAAGTTGTGGCTGAAAGACTGCTATATTAGAGTAAACTAGAGCCCACCCGAGTAAGCTATTTGAATAAATTTTACTTAAAAAGATGTCAACCTGTGAGCAGCAATTCTTTGGAAATACGCTCAGTTATGTTGTAGTCGAAATTAAATCACTCTGATGCCCAAGTTTTATTAGTTTAGTTCGAATTCTTTTCAGACTCTTAATCAAAATTGCTGCATCTACCCCCCTGCGAGCTCATCAAGAATTTATAAAATTCCGAAAACATTTTGTAAAGTTTAGGGGATTAAACTTTCAGCTAAGTAAGCTAATAACGGAGCAATGTACGGGGGAATAATCGATGCTTTTGCCGTATCCAGCCCTTAAGCTAATTTACAGCCAGAGAGGTAAATTAATATGATTTGATAAATATGATTGGCCCGTCTTTTTCAGAAAAACAACTGTTAATTTATAAGTATGGTGAGGTTTTGTACCAAACGATTAGAATTTTTTTAAGTATACATTACCTCTTTTAATTTCTGTTAGCCTAGCAAACTGTGTAAATAATCGGACGGCTGAATTGCTTCCCTCCCTGCGTTACGCAGTGCTCTTTGGTTCGTCTTGGGGTCTCGTAGTTTGAATTTAAAAGAGGGGCACGCGGATGAGACGCATCAAAGCAACCGTCGTAACTTCCGTGTGGGGCTCGAGGAACACATAAGAAAGAAGAAGCTTTTGATGGATGGATGGATGATGGGTTAACACATAGACATAGTACGTAGGCACCTCATAGACTGACGCTGCCTATTGGAGCTCACGTATCGGCGCTGTCACCATCTTTGATGGGTCCCCCATGCGCCTTCCGTGCATTAAGGTAGCAAGGAATGCCCAGAGCCTGTGAGAGACCGATTTCAAGGGCTCTGGGAATGCCCAACCATATTAATTAATCATATCTCTCCAAATATATGCCCGATTTTCACGCTGTGTGGTTTGTTACAAACGACAGATGTAGCTATAATACAGGACGCTGCCACACATTAAAAATAACCAAAATTATTTTTTAATCTTAAACGTAATCTTACGTTAAATGATTTAAATACTGTGCCGATTTTTTTCAACTCTAGAGTGCACACTCCGTTTGGCTCTTACACGAGACTGGCGTTAGGAGACCTATACAATATGGCGACGACACCGGATTACGCTCCAGCACATAATGAGGCGTCTACGTATTGAATGTCTATTGCTTGATGGCTAGACCTCTTTATGACTTAACAACTTGTCTCCACTCCAGCCTTTATAATGAAACGTTCATTATGGTCACGTTATTCACGTTATTCATTTTATTTATTGAAACTAAAAAATTATAATGTCATTCCATTTTATATATGAAATCGTTTGTTGTCCACAGGGTTTATTTGACTTTAGATTCATCCTCTGGCCACCGATCAGATCACATTCAGATGCAATTACACAGTCACTTTGCGATGAGCGCCATCTAGCGGCAGGTATTCAAAATCCAGCCGCAGTAGAGGAACTAATTCCCCTAAAAATTGAGAAGTGTTTTTTTCAAATACGTAACCATGTCTGAATGAAGTGGGTGGCTGTCTTAAATATTATATTCTGCTAAATTACTGTTAATTTATTTAACAAAAATAACGAAAATCAAAGCCTCTCTCCGGACAGGGTCTGCTTGATCCCGAGAAAACAAGCGCAGATTTAGACCAAACTTGAACTGAATTTTCACAGGCAGTTGTTTCTCACAGGGTGGTAATATATATATATTTTTTTATCAGTAACACTTTCAGTCTATGAAATGTACCTACTTAAACACACATCAAGAATAGCTGACATTTGGAATGAGTAACAAAAACTCTATATATAAGTTTTTCAAAGTCTGTCCTTTTAAAACAAGGAAAAAGGCCATATGTATGTACTAATTAGTTATTTCATCAGTAAAGCAGGTTAAAATATTTTACTTCACCCTCTCCAGTCACCAACCCCCAACAGGGGATTAGTGCAGCCAGCTCTTCATAGGGACCTGTACAATGGGGTCTCATTGGTGTGAATATATCTGACTGAAAGAAGGAACAGAAATGATAGATTTAGACAAAAACAAAGTTTATCATTATTCAATATAACAAAATAATCGGTTTTAGTCCTAATATATCCTAGCCCACAATTTATGTGCTTTAAAATTGTCCAACCTTGCATATTCTTTGTATTATCCATGTGAGGTATACAGGACACTGTTGTTTGTACTGTTGTCTTGTAGTCTCATAAAGATGGCATTTTGACAGCCTTTTTATGTCATGCTGCCTACTCTGGAGATAAACACATACTTACTCTTTATACATGCCAATGGACTGTGAAACTTTGGAAATGGTTTTGAGTAAGATTAAATTTTGTTAATTTATTCTTTGAAAAAATCAAAATAATGAAAAAGGATAGATATGGCTCAAGCTAAAATGTCTGCTGCCCAGATAGTTTAAAACACTGTAATTCACAGCTTCTGAGAGGAAATTTTAATTTGTCTCAAGCTTAGAGCTCCCTGTGGATCAAGTATAATCAGATAGACAGATATCTAATTACACTAGCTTTATTTGTTCTAGTTCAGCTTAATGACTGTGTAAGTTTTATTGCATTAAATGAACCTCTGTTAAGGTGTGAATTGTTATTATGCCTTTTTTGGGTTGAAAATTCACACATATTGAAAACTTTTGTTGTTCTTTAATGGTTGAGCTGAATAAAATCATTCATTTATTTAATAATTTTCCTCATCGTGGCCCACACATGTACTCTTTTTTAAGGGGAAAATGTCATCCTTCTCTCTTCTAGCAATCAAATTTGATCACTCTTTGGTAATCTGAGCCCTAAAAAAGGTACACATCATCTGCTTTGACAGGGGGTGACATAGTGGCATTGGCAACATGCATTAAAATCTATAATACAAAATTAACTCATCTTAAAGCTGACATTTTTGATACAATTCTATAACCCATAAAAGGCCTGAGAAGTACTTTCAGTGTTTCACTTTCAGCGTAATTGTAATCTAGCTGGATAAGATTAAAAATAGCCTGTGCTGCAGACACGTCAAAATTTGAATCGTTATCAATCATTATCACATCAATAGCACTGACATGTGCACCATAGCAAAAATATATCAAATGTTTTCAATAGGACCATACAGAAACACCGCCAGTTACAGACTGAAAAAACCTCTGCTTTCTGCATAGTAGGGGAGACCGGGACTTGTTGTCACATGAGTAAGTTACACATTGCAATTATCTTTGCCACCAGAGGGCACAAAAAAGAAGTGAAATACTAGTTTTATTCCTTTACATGGTCAGGGGTCATGTCCTGTCTGAGAAGAGAAGAGCACATTGTGAGCTGAGATGAGCGCCAATTAACCATTTAGCCCAACCCAAAGTAAAAAAAAAAATTAACTATCTATTTTAAAATATTTTTTATCCAGATAAAAATCCTAGCAGTGATACATGTGGACTTGTTAGAGGAGACATTAAGGCATCCTGTCATAGCTCAGTCATTGTTCAGTTTTAAGCCAACTTAAAGCTAGAGGTAGAATTAGCAAACATGGTTGTTTAGGGCAACATGTCTCAATCAATTTGGGGTTAGTTGTCACATGTTTACAAGGGATTAAAATTAACATAGAGAGTCTGCTTATCATAATGAAATTTTGACTTTATTTTTACAGGGAAAAAAGTGGTCTAAAAGGGAGGAGAAAGAAAGAAGACATGGTCGGGAATTACAAAAGAAAAACAGAACCTGGCAGTGCAGTGCCTGACGTGATGCCGAGGACAGTCAGGCAGGTGACCCTAGCTAATAAATCAATCTGGAGTACAATAAAGGACTTTAATGTCAACTACCATACCTTAGCTCTGTACTGCAAAACAATCACCCCAGCTGAAATACAGAGTCAGACAGATCTTCAAACTCCAGAGCATGTTGCATAATATTTTATGTTAAAGTTTGTTTTATGGCTATGTTCAATGACTTTTTCTAGCTCAATGATTAACATTTCTGTGCCTGACTTTGACGTTCACTTTCATGTAAAAAATGAGAACAACAATAATTTTGTCCTTGTTTGATTAGCTGCAAAATCCACTGTGACATCTTACCCCATATAATGAGACAATATACCCAATGGTGGGGCAACATGTCACATGTTCACACTCTCTGTTTGATTGCTTATAACTTTGCACTGACACAAGATATGAAAATGTCATGAATACAAAATATATACCTGAGACTTTGGCTGTTCATCTGGTACATATTTTGTTGATATATGATGTATCGATTCCAAGAAATATTTAAGAGTGTAAAAAGTGTGACAACAAGTGAGGCAACAGACTACAATGAGGAACAACAAGTACCTACAAAGGTGCCTACGACCCTATCACAATTGAAGAATAGGCCTGACTTCTGGCTGAAGGCACACAAACATTGCATGATACTACCCTCTACTGGATGCACTGCAACCTACACAAGCTACACTGCACTGTCGGCAGTCCTGAACAGGTAGGTGACTGAAATCCCCACTGCTCCCTCACCCCATTCAATAAGCTAACATAACACTCAAAACATTAAAATGGTTAAAAAAAAATGAGGTACTTAACTCCCCGCTACCAGGTCAGCTCATCACCCCCGTCCAAAGTCACATTACACTATTAAATGATCCAAGTCATAAATTCTATAGGATATTTATATATTTATACTACAGTCTATGGTCAAACCAGTTTATTGAAAATAAGTTATTTAATTGTTTTTGTTGTATGTTGAAGGGAGACAGCTGTACTACAGAATGATTTTTTTTGGTTAATGTTTACTTACTGATGTTTTCTACACTTTTTAATGTCTTTTTTTTAAGCAGTAGCAGATACAGTGGCTCTTTTGTTTTCAGTCAACTGCACAATCAGGGAGATGGGGGTGGGGGCAGCCTACTTCTTAACTTCAAAAATGAGTAAAAATCTTGTTGCTTGCTTTTTGATCAGCCAAATAGCTCGCTGCTCATGCAAAGAAAGGCGCCTATACCGTCCAACTGCGTAAAGCGTTTCATTGAATCCACAGATATACAAGAATAAATTGATTGTTCTCATCATACAAAAGTTTACCTGATGTTTGTATAGCCTATGTAAAGTAATCGTCACACTGGAGCATGCACGTGCGCGCTTAGAGCGTGCGTGGGAGTAGGCGCTCGCGAGCTCGCAGCTGCAGCAAGAATTAGGCTGGTGGAGAGGGTGGTGTCTGGTATCCCCTATTCCTCCCTTGAGATGATAATAAACACCAAAATTAAAATAAACTCTCTCGCTGTGTTGGCCGAAAACGGCGGTGGCCCCCACCCCCTCATGAGTGTCACTGACCCCCTGATGACGCGAATAGATTTAGTGAACGTGTGTGACAGCCCGTTTCAGTGCGCTAAAGGGCTCGGCTGTTACGTCATGTTGGCCGCACCTACTACAGGAAGAAGTGCTGGGATAGCGGCAACTTTACAATCACAAAGGATGGCTACAACATATGCGGTAGATTTGTAGGATTAAAGTGTTCGTGCTGTTGTAGACTATGTAAGGCATTGGTGTCGTGAATGAGTCTATGACGGTGACAGTTTTGGAGTGTGAAGGACTGGCTTTGTTATCGTTTGTGCTCTGACTCAGTCAAGCTAACATTAACATACGCTGAGCGTCAGATCTATCCCCTTTGTGTTCTCTGGTCTGTCGACTACAAGGTTAGTAATCTTATAATAATCTAAACTGCAGTGACAGCCACAGTGTCACGTGGTTTTGTTTTTTTATCAATGTCATTTTCAACTCATTAGCAAGTCATTGGCCCTCTACCCCCCCCACCCCCCCTCTCTAGACTGGGGTTAAAATCCTAGTCAGTGGTATTGTGTATTGACTCGAATAGGTGTAATGTAATAACATGAACTGTACAAACATTAACAATGTATAACACAGTGGTATAATGCAGATTTAAACCCAGAAAACATCATCCTGTTATCTTGCAGACCTTGATATGTCTAAGGAGGCGGACCACCTGGAGTCTGGGGGAGACAAAGACTTAAATGAAGACAGGCAACAGGATGCTACTGAGGAGTCAGTAAAGAAGAGGGTCCAAGCAAATAGTCCAAGCAAAGAGAAAACACCTCAAGGTGACTAACAACTTGATGAAACAGAATAATGGACCAATAAGTGTCTGATAAGAATTCCATATAGCTATTGGCCTACCTGTATACATACTGAACACATTTATTAGACCACTTACAAACATGAGAACCTGAATATTTCAAAAACTATTTTAAAACTGATATTTGCTAAATAACAAACGGAAACAACCAAATTGTAATTTTTCACACACACATTTGTATATATATATATATATCTTTATATATTGTACAACCTCCTTTCGTCTTGATAACATATTGAATTCTCAGTGGCATTATTTTTAAGTATTTTTCGTCTCTTTTGTCATTGATTTCCAAATAGTTTCTAGTCGTCTCGACAGACTTGCTTTGGATAAAACTATTGTGTGCTCAATCTTTGAATCTATTCAACTCCAAATTTATTCAACAGGATTCTAATCTGGTTTTTGACTTGACCTTGGTCAGCTCCAGTACTCCAGACCCCCTTTTCTTGGTCAGATAGTCTCTACACAGCTTTGAAGTGCGCTTGGGGTCCTTGTCTCAGTGGTGTATGAACCCATGGCCAATCAGATCCAGTCCAGAAGGGACTCCATGATGCACTAAGAACTTGTGGTAGAAGATTTTGTTCATGATGGCAGTGATTTTACCTAATTTGCCCACATCATTTCCTCAAATGGAACCCTATACCATAATGGTATCTCCACCATGTTTCCCTGTGCCATGTAGCTAGCATCAAAATGTTTTTCAGCTTTTCTGCAGGCTAAAACCAAAGACTTGAAACTTTTCAGTCACCAGTGTACCTTCTTCCAGTCATCAGCAGTCCGGTGTTTGTGCTCCCTGATTACTCAGAGGTATTTCTGGATGTTTGCAGGCCTCAGCAATGGCTCCTCTGAGAAGTCAGATATTAACCAAGCATAACATTAGACCACTAAAACAAATTTTTCAGTTAAGCAATGCAAGTAAATAACCATAGTTTGACATCTTGATCAAGAAATTATAACATACTTAAAACAGTAAATTCTAAAATTCATAGATCATGATAACAATTATACTGTATTTTAGCTTCAAAAATATCATTTTGTTTAAAGAGCTTCTACTTATTCCCAGTTGAGGTTGGATGTAGGGGCTTCTCAGCACAGTCTGTGTGGAAGACGCTTACAGCTTTGGGAATAGCAGAAAGGAAGAGGAGGGCAGCTGTCTGTAGGTAAGAGGAGGCAGCAGAAAGAGCGTCTTGCTGGCTCTGGAGGCGGAGCGAGGAGTTGAGCTGGGGGCAAGGAGGAGATGAGCAGTGACTGGCTACCACTGCCGACCTGCGAACTGGAGGGTGTTGTGGTTCAAGGGTCAAAACATCCGGTAAAAGTTGGACACCGCCTGGTGACTGGCTGAAAAGTTACAGTCTTGTAGAGGTGACTAAGTAGACAGCATTAACACAGATGTATTACATAGTAAATAAAGAGCAGACTGCACCAGAGGCTGATAATGCAGAGGGAGGTGAGATAGAAATTGGTGAGATAACTCAGTTGTTGGACATTTCAACATGATTTAGATTACAGGGGAAGACTCAGGTGATTGACTTCAGAGACAGTGAAAGCACACAGTTTAGAACTGAAGCTTATCATTATGGATATATTTTGAAATGCATATGTCATTGAAATAGTTTTTTTGACATCAAAATACAGTTTCACCATAAGAAAATGAATCTGCCATGTAGAATGTGCATATCAAATTCATGTGTGTTACATTAATGTAACACAGAAAAATGGAAGGCAGAAGAGTGAGTGATTGACATTGACAAGACTCAAAGGACTGAACAAAATTGGCCTTCAAGCTTCTATTTCTATCCTAAAGGCGCTGGTTCTGCACTCAGGCCTGTGTGCTGTGACTCCTGGCGAATCTCTCAGCCGACTTCGGTCCTTTGCTGAGCCAAACCCTAAACTACCTGTAGCCTGGACCCTCTGAGAACCTGCTCTATTCTCTCCAAGGACCCCTAACCCTAAGTATGCAAATCAACAGAGCTCCAATCAGGGCTAATGCTGTCTCATGATTCAAACTATCACTAATCCAAGTAATCCTAAATTCATCCAAATCCAAGTTAATGTAGGTTAATATGTTAGAGCATATTCACTCACTATCATCAACTGCAATAGTCATTGCCTGACTCAGAATTTTTCATTCACTCATCATTATTCCTTATGTTTTATTTATCATTTATTGTTTTTATTTTGTCACATTATTTATCCTGTAATAAACAGATGATTTATTTTTCAAAGTTCTTGTCTGTCTGTGTTCCTCCAGAAGTGGAGTCCCTGAAATGAGAATTCTAACTTGAGATTTTAGATTGATTTAATGTTTAATTTCTGAATTAAACTTTTTTTTTTATTTTATTTTCCCACCATGTGGTCCCCCTATCAATAAGTGCATGAATGTCATATTTTTTTATAACAGATTGAAAATTGAAATTGCTACATCAGTTTACACAGTTTGTCTCTACATCTACAAGTTAAAGTTCAAACTCTGACATGCGTAGCCAAAGCCAGATATAAACAACACGTAGATACACTGCTGGCTGCTCTGGACCCAAGCTCATCTGAGTGGACTGACACAGAGTGGAAAAGTCTCCTGTGGTCTGACAAGTCCATATTTCAGATTTTTTTTTTTTTTTAAATCATGGATGTGGTGTCCTCTGGGCTAAAAAGAAAAAGGAACATTCAGATAATTATCAGGTCAAAGTTCAAAGCCAGCATCTGTCATGGTCTGGAGGTGTGTTAATGTCAATGGCTAACTGTCACATCTGTGAAGCCTCCATTAATGCTGAAAGGTACATACAGGTTTAGGAACAACATCTGCTGCCATCCAAGCCACATCTTTTTCAGGGACATCACTGTTTATTTCAGCGAGACAACAACAAGACACATTCTGTATGTGTTACAACAGTTGGGCTTTGTAGTTTAAGAGTGCAGGTACTAGACTACCTTACCTGCAGTCCAGACCTGTCTCCCAATGAAAATGTGTGATACCTTACGAAGTGCAAAATATGACAGCAGCGACCCCGGACTGTTGAGCAACTGAAGTCATCCATCAGGCAAGAATGGTAAAGAATTTCACCTCCAAAGCTTCAACAGTCAGCGTCTTCAGTTCCCAAACACTTACTGAGTGTTGTTAAATGGAAAGATAATGTAACACAGCTGTAAACATGACCCTGTCTCAGCTGTTTTGGAACATGTTCCAGGCATCAATTTAAAATGAGTGAATACTTTCAAAAAGAAAAAAAGATTTAAGTTTATCAGGTTAAACATCAAATATCTTGTCATTTTAGTGTATTCAATATTCATGTTTTAGAAAACATCCCAACTTCATCAGAATTGGGGTTTGTAGTTGAATGCCTGAACAGAAGTAGTTATAGTAATGTCTAAAACTTCTACTTTATTCGAGTGACCTCTGCCTGTCAACAAAAACAAGGCTTCTGTGGGTATGTTTTCTTCATCACAACCTTGTAGCTAATCCGGCTGTCCAACAAGATAACCTGTCGGGCAGAAAAATCACCTGAGTCATAGAGTAAGCTTTAATTGTGGCTCTTACCTCTTCATACAGAGAAGGAGTGAAAACTGTAACACACAGGCTTTCACCACTTAACATGTACCTATTCACAGTGTGACTACATGCACATAAAATCTGTTTTTATTGCACAAAAGAAATCCTTTTACATGTAAATAACCTTAAGTAAAAAAGAAAGGACTGGATAGAGGCAGTCAAAAGTAACACTGCTGTATTCAGTGCAAACTTCATATATTGTGTTTTCACTGTTGAGTGGATGGATTACATTGTGTGCTTTAAGGATTATCATTAACCTCTAATCAGAAAACGATGTTATTCGATTCATATCCTGTGATAAATTGGTTATGGTCAACGTGTAGAGTCACTGCATGCTCAGTGTATCTGAAGTGTGTATTTCAGGGACTTCAGTCGGGCAGTCATCACACATTGGGTTTATGGAGGAGCCTATTCTTTCAGAAATGTATCCAAGGGCTGTGAGAAGGGGAGAGTAGTTAATGATGATGCACTTGAATTCTGAAAACTGTACATAGGTTATTGGATCATTTGAGAGAAGAGACATTTTACTGTGCTTTCTGGCTAGAGAGGAAAAATAAAGGTGGTTTTATGGAAAGGGGAGCTGGAGTAAACACAGAGGGTCTCTGTCTGTTTGAATGTTTGTGCTGGAAGAAAGTGAGAAGGACAAAGCTCCAATAAAAAGGAGTGAGCAGGAAATCTTTGGGAGAGACAGGCTTTTATTTTTCCAAAGTTTGACTTAACACTCTTACAGTGTCATTTAGCAGACGTCCAAAGTAATGTACATTTTTAGTGCAAGTACAACACAGGCGCGATCTAGATAGAGGCAATCAACACAAAACTGATGTTTTTCACTGACCTTAAGTTAATGATGTGTGATTTTGTGAAAGTAAACCATGTAAATCTGGCCTTTCTTCCCTTACAGGCAGTCCATCCAGGTTTGTCTCTGTGGAGGAGCTGATGGGGGCAGCTAAAGGAGTTACAAACATGGCTTTGGCTCATGAGATCATGGTCAACCAAGCTTTCCAAGTCAAACCTGTGGAGCTTCCTGAAGGCAGGTGAGTGTTTCATTAGATTGTTTCATTCTCTGAGACATTTGACCTCAAGTTTGTTTTTTGCTGTAGAAACCAACATAATCTCTCATGCCCCTGTATAGCTTGGAGCGCAAAGTGAAGGAAATTATGCAAAAAGCATTCTGGGATTGTTTAGAGTCCCAGCTGAAGGAGGATCCACCAGTGTATGGACACGCTATTAAACTGCTGGCTGAGATTAAAGAGGTAAAGCAGATATTGACACAATATTGACACCAGGCAAGAAGTAAGATCTAGTTGAATTCGTCATCATTATCAGTAATCATGTACAACTTTAAGAAAAGATGTGTAAATTCATCGTTTCCTTGTATTCATATGAAAATAGAGCAAAGACACCCCCCCCCCCACACACACACACACACACACACACACACACACACTACTTTAAGAGACTTTGGCTACAGTATTGGGTGCAACGAATGTTTGTTGCATGACTCACAAATACAGCCACCCAAACTACACCCCTATCCCGACCATGTAATCCTGATCCACAAATGCCATCAACTACTATGGGCATGACCCCATAAAAATGGGTTGAGGTGCAGATTGAGGTGAAGAGTCAGTTACCCTTGGCCATAGTATTGGCACCCAATACATAAGACATGTTTGAATTAGTCGACCATATCTTTACAAACCAAGCATCTCTTTTTTGGTGGGCTGTTCAAAGCAAATCGTGTATTTTCTTTTCTAATTTGGCCTCAGGTACCTAAAGGGCTATAGAGACCCTTTGTTTAGATGTCCAGCATGTTGGATTACCAGCTCTACCCTGACCTTTTTTATTCATGTCCTTTTTTCCGACCTGTCATCATTTATACATTTTACCTCACCCACCCAGACACTGCTGTCCTTCTTGCAACCGGGCCAAGGACGTTTGCACTCCCACATTGAAGAGGTTCTGGACCTGGCTCTGATACACCAGCAGGCTGATAAAGGAGCACTCGACATGGGTCAACTGTCCCATTTTATCATTGGGATGATGAGTTCACTTTGTGCCCCCTGCAGAGACGAAGACATAAACAAGCTGAGGGACATCACAGACACTGTTCTTCTACTCAAGTAAGCCTGAGCACAAGATGGAGATTAGTGTCAGTCACACATGTTGAAGGTTTGTTTTTACTGAGGTTCTAGTTTTAAGGTTTCCAGTTTACTTTTGGGAAAGGAAAATATAAGGTTAGCTGTAAAGTCCCTCGAGTTAAAGTCATAGGACTAACAGTTATTCCTTCAGTTGATAATTCTTACAGCTGTTGGTTATTAGTTAGGAACTAATAAACAGACAGCAACCCAAACTACACCCCTATCCTGACATCTGCCCCTGTCAGACTCACAGTTTAAGCCTGCAGTACAATTTACAGATTACATGTAAGTGCTCTTAACAGAGTGGCTCTGAAGGAGCCATGTGGACTTATCAAAACCTGTAAGCAAAAGATGTTACTAAACAGTGTCAATCAAGGAGGAAGCACTCCAATTCTCACCAAGTACCTCAGTAACAGATAGTTGGACTGCTTTAAGGAATACAAAACTTGACAGGTTAGCATATAAGCTAGTGGACTAGCTAGCTAGTAAGTAGGATGGAGATAAGCTGTCCTACAGTAGTATATAGGTTTGAACAGTATCTGTTGTATTCAAAGCTGGCTAAGACACTTAGACAAAAACTGTAGGCACAGCAGAGGGCATGTGTGAACCATGGGTACTATGAAGTCTCTTTAACAGCTACTATTAGTTTTGAAGCCTGTAAATGGCAGTTGACCTTGTACAAGGCAAAGAGGTACTCACTTACAGCTAAAGTGGGCCTGCCTGTCAGTCAAGTCGCTATGCCCCTATTTTTACAAGTATTCACACTTCACGCTGGTAGAATGTAACTAGGTTGTTAGTAGAGCTTTAAAATGCAAAAAGAAAAAACAGATTATCTAAGGTTTAAGACCACAGACCCCCACAAAAACCCTAAATGGAACTGAAACTGTCAAAAAAAAAGGACAAAAAAGTAGTCAGTAGCCTCACCGTTCTTGTTCATCACGATGTTTCTTTTTTAAAAACCCTGTATGGTCTCTAAGAACAGGCAGTGCTGACTGTCATTTTCTGTATGCAAAACACTTCGGGCCTAATTCACAAGGATTGCCCAGCTTTTGTATCACTAAGCTTGTGCAAATGAGCAAAAAAAAAAAAAAAGATCTTAAAGCATGCACTAAAGATATCATGCAGCACAGACTGTGCTGCAGAGAAAATAGTGTCTCTGTTTACTGGTGTTGTTTGCATACAGTCCAATAAGCCTCTAGCATTAATTCTAATGAGTCGTTCAGCAAGACATGTCTTCTGTACAACAGTTCTGGTGTGAACAGCGTAGGCAGTTGAGGTGAACCTTTTATTGCCTGCCAAGAGTTGTTAATCTGTGCTGTGGTATTCATAAGGGATGTCTCAAACCCAGCTGTACCTCTCAGAAACCTAAAAATAATACAGGTTTATATGAGGTATGTAACTCATACTTCTATGATAATTATAATGATCAGGGATTTCATCAGTCCGGGGCTATACCCCAGCACACAAGGGCTGTGCTGCTGATACGCTGGTCTCATTAGTAGCATTTGGATGGACTAAGACACTGTCAAGGTGCAGAGAGCAGAGCTGCTTTTGGCACATCTCCACAGTCAGATGCATAAGAACAGTGGACAGCACACAGCTGCAGAACTAGGTGTTGCGTGCCTAAATATTATCAGTGCATTATGTTTTGTAAACACACCGAGAGACCATGAGATGAAAAGTTGGACCCAAAGTTTTAGTTTGAATCTGAAACAACACCAGCCCAAAAGATCCCTATTATTCCTTTTCTGAAAGAGAAGTAAAACCGGGCTACAAGTGTACTTGAATTTCATGACTAACATTATCTGTCTTTGTATCTGTGCCTTTCTCTCTCTACCAACCTCTCTCTTAGGGAAATATTCTCTGTGCTGGATATGATGAAGGTGGACATGGCTAACTTTGCTCTGAGCAGCATCAGGCCTTATCTGATGCAGCAATCAGCTGAGTATGAAAGGAGCAAGTTTCAAGACTTTCTGGAGAAGCAACCCAGTAAAGATTAGACACAAACACACACAACTATATATGTATTTCACATCACACAATGGAATGGCATTCCAACACTACATCAAATAATTTGTCTCTTTTAGATGCCTTAGACTATACCGAGAAGTGGCTTGAGAACTCAGCAAGATCATTGAGAGAGACCAGGGTAACTGGCTCAAATAACGCCTCCTCAGACCCTTCTCCACTCAGCATACTTGATGTCCATAATTATGCCTATCTCCTCCTCCTGAGGTGGGACCATTCCTCAGACCCATTTCCAGAGGTAAAGACTGTTCGTTTCAAAGCCTGTCTGTTAATTACCCAAATCATTCAACTTATCCTTCTTTTTGTTGATGCAAACACAAACTGTACCTCATCCCTCTTGTTTCCAGACTGTGTTGATGGATCAGGTCCGGTTCCAGAAAATGCAGCAGGAAGCTGAGCAGTTGATTCTGCTCTCCTCTGTGCTTCTTATTGTCTGTACATCCACAGGGGAAGCTATCTCAGGCCTGCCAGGGTTTAAGGAGACTCTCAAGAACACTGTCAGTGCCATTCTTCCCAACGTGCACACACCGTGAGTACGAGTGCTGTTGTTGTAACTTGTATGTTTATCATGGTCCCGCAGCGGTCGTGGGTTCAAGTCTGGCCCTGACCATGGGCTGCATGTCCTCCCCTTTCTCTCTATCTCCCCACATTTCCTATCAAATAAAGACAAAAATTGCCAGAATAAAAAGAACCAAGACTTCAGTTGGCACCATACTGTAGGAGACTTAAAAAAAGAAAAAACAATAAAAACTAGCTCATTTAGGTTGAATAAACAAATACTGGTAAAGTCAATGAGTCAAAGAAGACGGTATAACTGCTCCCAAAGGTTTTCTTCTGGTACAGAAAAGCCACGCTCCAACTCATTTTTGACATAGATTTATTTTCTTCTCTTCAATGGCAAAAATTGTGAAAAACTAACTGAAATACACAGAAACAAGAATTGATAAGTATCAAATAATCATCAAACTTAAATTAAATGTCCATACAAAAGAAAATGCATCACATACCATGTGCCCCTTCAGGCCAGAAATTTAGGAGGTGTCTCGTCAGCCATCAAGCCTCATCACCATTGCCTCACCCATGTTGCTTGCTTCTGACTGCACATGTATTTTCTTAATTGGTCATGTGCTTAATATCCAATACAATAAACAATTTTTACCACTTGGTGTCAGTAACTCACCATCAACTTATGCACATCAGAAAACACAACCTTTTTCTGTTATAAACAAAGAAAGAAACACATCCCTCTGTGACAGATACAAATGGAGCACAAGGAGAGGCTGAACAAGAAAGAAACCACGACTTCTTTATGAACCTGTGTGGTGAGGGAAGCAAGCCCTGACACTCTGACCCTGACACAGTGGAGGGAAAGGGTCAAAGCTGTCTTTATCATGGAAAAAATCACAGCAAGACTACTTCTTGACACAAACAGGATTTCCATATTATAGTCTCCAGTTATACGGACGATGTCAGAGCTCAAATCACCCCTGTCTTAGTATTTTTTACTTTATTTATTTATTTGTATATTTATTTATTCAATTACTTATTTTCAATCCAGTTTTATTCGCCGATTATCTTAAAAGCACTTGTGTGGTGTGAAGTGAGGTTTAGATATGCTGTTAAATAAGACTGAGATACAAAGACTTTGTGTTCATTGCAAGGGTCACGTGTTGTTAGAATGCAGGACGGACACCCAGGGCTGGAAGTCTATTATCCTTAGCTGCTCTTGAGGAATTGCAAGATTGTCCAAGGCCATATACCTGGTAAGGGGCAGACTAGCTCTCAGCAAAACTTCAATTTGTCTCCTAAACAGAGCATGGTGTTTGCAAAGGTTTTTACTTGATCTGGCAACTTAAAATCTCAAAATGAATGTCTTTTGTGACAAGAATATCGAAGAAACAGTGCGAGTGAGAAACAGCCTGCTCTTTGTGGGACTGACACTGAAGCTCAAGCAGTTTAGGCAGCTTTGCCGCCTTCTAGGGTTGCATAGGAACAAAACCTTCAAAATATGCAAACACCCTGAGAGCTGTGATTTGCAATGGATTTGGGAGTGCTTCCTCCTCACACTTGCTTAATTCCCTCATGGCCAGTGACAGCCTGAATGGCAGTCTGATATTTGTACGACTCACTGAAAAGTTAACCTCAGGTACTTTCTGTGCGCTGGATTTATGCTTGGATTGAATATAAACTAAAGCTAATTGTAATTTTCCAGAAGGAGAAACAATGTGCTTCCCTTTTTCCAGATACTAAGATAATGGGTTTCATTCGTGAATCTTAATCTGTCTGCAAATAAGTACTGAGAAACCTACCATGAATTCAAGAACGTAGCATAAATCTGTGATTTGATCGAAGGCATGTATGTTAATGACTGCCAATACGTCAAAGCATAACAGCACACTCCAGCTGGTCAGCAATCAGTGACCACCATGTAAAGAGGTGTGGAGATCATGTGCATCTGTTTAAGATGAGTTAGTTTTCTTCTGTGAGTAGTGTGACAATTGTCCAAGTCACTGTGCAGGCTTGAGTATCAGCCAGCTCCCACTTGTTTTGTTAATGCACTGGCATAGATTGCATGTGAAGTTCCTGAGGACATATGCAGTTTTGTAAATAGTCTATACTTTGATGAATAAGCTCGTCATTTCCCACCGCTCCATTTTCTGATTGAGTGCCTTCTGTGTTGTTGTGCAGTATATACACATACTTTACATCAAATGTTTACAATTTACAACAACGATCACTGAGTGCAGCAGACCATTTCGTTTAAGTAATAATCATTGTTGTGGCTTTCCTTGTTGTTGTCAAAGCCCCATGAAAGGCAGGGTTTCATACAGGAATGAACGACGAGATGTATCCAGTTCAAAAACTAAGTTTACTTTAAGAATAACCAAAATACATCCAAAACTCTGTCACTCTGTAGAAAAACTATGTGCTCCCGTACACAGCTCTCGTCTAACTGAGGCCGTCGGTGACGTAATCACGTTCAAATACACGCACTCTAGAAATAGCACGTATAGATATACAATGAAAACTATGAAATAATGAAATTCAATTATAATCTCAAATTATTATTCTTTACTATAAATTATGGCTCCTACAATCATCATAACAATCATTTTGCACTGCAGACCTGGTAGTTTTTCTGCCTTAGCGTCTCGGTCTGATTGCGTTTCCATAAAGAAATTATCATAAATGTACTTCTTTGAGCTGCGAAACTCTGCTGCACTTGGTTATCGACTCATCAGGGCTCCCCCCACAAACAAGCGGCTGCTGGAATAGAGTGGGTGAGTTGTGTTTAGTCTCTTTGCTAAAGAAACCAGGCAAAGTTAAAAAGATGTTTGATGGCTAGTACTATGGCTGGGACCCTATATGTACATTTGATGAAGTTAGGTGCTGTTCTGAGCATTATTTGTGGCTATAGAGTGGCTCTTTGGTTGAGGTTTGTGCGTGGAGACATACACCGCTGTGTATTACTATCGTGCAGTCATTACTAAAGTTGATATCACTGAAGAAGCAAGCAGTTGGCAACATTCATCTCTCAAGGGGGTGTCTAACTCTGTGTTACGGTGTGTTTGGCCATAACTTAAATGTACGCCAGAATATCCCTTTAAGTTGTTTTGAACAACCCATCTCAAACCTGCTAAATGCTAACTAACTTAGTTAAATGTGTGGTGCTTCTATTTCAAGGCCAGAGTGGATAGTGCGATGTTGCCTTTAATCAGCAGGGAGGGCTGTAACTTAACCAGGTTAAACTTTTCAGGACATCAACACATGGAGATGTGTCGATGCTTATACCTTCATTAAACCTGTGAAACTTGATATGACTGGACAATGTATTTGAAAAATTAGCTCAAAGGTATGCCATGGACGTAATTATACATTAAATAAGGAGGAGACACAATAACTTCCTGTTATATGATGTGACATCACAGTTTTATGACCTACCGAGGCCTGTCCTTGGTCACATCGGGCTAAAAACCATGTATGCGAGGTTTGATGGAGAAAGTTATGATAACACTCAATATGTTGGTAGTTTCTTGCACTCAACTTCCTCTGTTTGAACCTAGCCACTACATGTCGCACATTGCCTCATACTTCTGCTTAATAAGGTCACGATATGCATTTATTTCAGTTCCTACTGATTCATCAAGAAAGTACAAACCAAGAGTGCGTGAGTTTAAAGCTAGTGTTATGTAGCAAGAGGGCATTATTACGTTTAGTTGCGACAATGCCATCTAAGGGAAGTTCACCCCCAGGAATCCTAAAACCAATTTAAAGTGAGAAACTATATTCAAGGTCTAATTAACTGTTCAATTTCAAAAGAAAGGATACATTTTATTTAACAAGTAACAATACAAATTTTTTTAACAATTAACAAAAGCAGATTATTTCCTCATAATCATAAAAAATACCACCACCCGGGAAACTGGACTGTCACAATGGACACTCAGCACCTGAACACAGGGAGAGAAGAATGATTGAAATGAGCCATAGTGATCAAGGATAATAAAAAAAAAAAAGACATCAACCAAAAGAACAAAATAAAAAATTAACACGGGCAAAAATTTCTCCAACACACTTAAAAAGAATTTTAAGTAAAGTGTAAAGGTTATATCAGGTCAACTAATAAAACAGCACAGAACACCTCCAGGTGGTGTTGTCTCGCTTATAAAACAGAATTTCAATATGCCCTCCTAGGAAAAGTTAGTATTTAAACATTAACTTTTAAACAAGTTGTGTTTCTTTACTTACATGCTCCATTTTCTGCTTTTTCAAGGTCATTTAGTGTACAGGAGGCCTTAGCGACCATTGGAGAAAAACTGTGTGTGGATCTGTGTCAGTGTCTGAGCCAGCATGGACACCCTCCCCTCTCAGCCGAACAACAGAATACTTTAAAGGGACAAATCTCAGCCACCATCCAGATGGACAACACAGTCCGCAAGCTGATAGGTAAGAAGAGAGACACAATAGTTTGACTGGGTCCATATAGTCTTTAAGATCTGTTTATGGGCATTGTTCCTTTATTAGATAGGACAGCTGAAGAGAGACGGGAGACACTGGGAGCAGGGAGTGGGGGAAGATATACAGTAAAGGGTCAACGCCAGGTGTGAACCAGCAACTGCTGCAACAAGGACTAGAGCCTCTATATGTGGGGCACTCAGACCGCTGGGCCATCAGTGCCCTGATGTAGTGTTTTCAAAAAAAGTGTTTTCTCAAAAATTTCAGCATCATTTTTAGATTTAAATCAAACATACCATCCTTTGAATATGAATAAAATGAGTTGGAAATCTAGATTTGTTTAATGTCCGACATAGTCGGCAAACTCTAGTCCACTTTCCTAGCCTAGCCAGTCATGGCAGACAGCTGTTTATGGATGAGTTAGGTTTTAGCCTATTAAAACAAAAGTGTTTGCTGCAGCTGATACTGGTGCATCAATGTGAAGTTAATACAAATAATTGCATAATTATGATAGTTGTAAGTACTGTGCTGTCCTGTGGAAATTTGAGTTAGACAAGCCAACAGCTCATGGCTTACCATGTGGTTAATGTTCACATTTATTTTGCAGTGGCAGAAATGTCTGTGCTGCTACTACAACTGTTTTTCTGTCATTATCTCTTAGACTCCCGGGTTCGGGGCTATCTCTTGGCTACCCTTGAGTCCAGTCAACACAAAACCCCGCCTCCTCTCCCTGGAGGTCTGACTCCAATCAGCAGAGAGCTGAAGGAGCTTGCTGTTTGCTTCAGTCGCCTCGTCAACTTCAATAAGCTCGTCTTCTCTCCATTCTACCAAAAGATTCTCCATAAAATACTGGCAGCAGAGGAGGTCCCAAGCACAGAGACATAAACACTGAAATGTAAAGACCAGTCTGTTATTCTAACAATTTTCCTCACTGTTAACTTTTGATATTGGGAGGGAGCTTACCTTAGAGTTGCATCATAAATCGTCATAGTCTAAAAACACTGAGTATAAGTAAATTTCCAACCATGCTATTTAAGACAGGCACGCACCAATCTATAACTACAAAAGGTGGGAAGACTATTTAACTATTTACCACTCATTCATTGTTCTGTTTACTTTAAAGAAAACACCTGTGATGATCAAACATTAGTATATTGTTGAATTGACTGTGTGCTCCTAAGATCTTTCCTTTTGATGACTTATTCCGTCCTACTTCTGAGACATCACTGGCTGGTCTGAAGTGCAAACATCACCTTTGTCTGAAAGGAAGCATGTACTGTAGCAGAGGTGGACATGCTTCTGACGATAATTTTATGTAAACTGGGACAAAGACAGTAGTCCAGTTAAATCACATAATCGAGCTATAACCGAGTTAAGTGTACATGACTGTCTACCACCCTGGCTGTATTTAATGTAATTAACGTTATTGATTTAAAACTCAGGCCTGAAAACAGTGACCTTGCAGTAGCTATTTTGGCTTAAGTTGTGTTCAATTTGAATTGCACTAATCTCCATACTGCCCACCCCTACCAGCTTTCCCCATACCACTAGTCCTATCTTTTTCTGACAACCCTATCTTTTGAAATGTAGTTTTCTTTTGATAAAAACCACCATTTATTCCATGCCTCACTCAGAATCATTACACATTTGAAATGTATTTAGTAAAGAAAGAAATTCAAAACCAAAATGAATAGTGTTCAAGGAATTTTCTTTCCTCTTGTTTCTGTCATATGCTAACTGTATGGAAAATAATATTCGTGCTTTAATGTCAACATTGTCTTCACATCAAACGAGAAACATGTTACTGCAGTTTCAAGTATAACATACCCTGAGTATTCTATAAACACACATATTTCCAGACATGTCTGTAACATGTCCTGTCCACCTGTCAAGTTCGAAGGCAATTACACCTGAGATGATAAGTGGGAAGTCTGTTTTAAGGGGGTACAAGTTTCCTTCTCTAGGTTAATAATATTGAGTAAATGCAATTACTCTAAGTAGAACCACTCAGAGGTTTTGGCTACAGCTGTGGGTTAAAAGGATATTCTGGCGTAAATTTAAGCTATGGTCAAACACACTGTAACACCGAGTTTGACACCCCCTCGAGGGATAAATGTTGCCGACTGCTTGCTTCTATGGTTTTACCAACTTAAGCAAGGACTGCATAATAGCAATACACAGCGGTCTACATCTCCACATGCAAACCTCAACCAAAGAGCCACTCTATAGCCACAAAAAATGCTCAGAACAGCACCTAACTTCATCAACAGTACATATAGGGTCCCAGCCATAGTTCTAGCCATCAAACATCTTTTTAGCTTTGCCTTATTTCTTTAGCAAAGAGACTAAACACAACTCACCCACTCTCCTCCAGCAGCCGCTTGTTTGTGGGGGGAGCACTGACGAGCCAGTGTGTTTGACCATAACTTAAATTTACGCCAGAATATCCCTTTAAGTATCCAAGTGTACTTTAAAAACACGCAGTCCTAAAACACAGCTACTGATCAAGTTTGATTGACTTCTCTCTGACTGTTGTACCCTATGGTGTATGCGTGAGACAATACATACCAATGTTTTACATCAGGCTTAGTTTTGAAGCATCTTCAGTGACTCTAGGGGGGCAGCTGTGGCTCAGCGGCGGAGTCCAGAAAGGTCGGGAGTTCAAAACCAGGTTTTGCTGTCAAAAGGCCCAAAGTGTGGTTGAGCACCAGACTACTCCTAGTAACTGTGCCAAGAGCATCTGAATAGGGTCAGTCAATACTCAGGCGTTTTAAAGTGCAGCCCCTGTTATCAGTGTACGAACGCTGGGTGGATGGGTAAACATGATGTAACAGTCTGTAAAGTGGTCAGGAGAGCAGAGAAAGCGCACACATACGTAAATACAGTCCACTTACTGTTTATCATTGAGGAAATAATAATTGTTCTCTTTCAGGAGTGATTGTTTCACACATGCCTGAATTAAAAGCAGTTGTGTAGATAATATTGGTTATTACACCATATACCGTAATTTAGTTTATTCATGAACCTTGTAGGTTGTTTTTTTTCCTGCCCAGCTACAGCCAAAAGTATAATAAAGGACAGCTTTCAAGCAAATAGACTCAGTTATAATTTAAGGACAATGACATACCAGTCTCTAAATGCTTGTTGCATAGCACGTCAAATAATGCTGGTGTTTATGGTATCTGTCTACAGCATATCCCCATAGAGTCCTTATTTATTTGAAAGAGGATAGTTTAGTAATAAACAAAGAAGGGCATAAAACACTTTCTGCACAGTCAAGTTTCAGTCTTTGAGGGCAGCTGCATGCCTCAGCCAAGACACTTAGTATTATAATTAACAATTTAAAAAAATGGCTTAGAACAGGGTTTACTTAAATAATAATAATAATAATAATAATATAATAATAATAATAATAATTATTATTATTATTATTATTGAAGCATAGGGGAGACCGGGGCTTATTGTCACACTTTTTACACTCTTATATATTTCTTAGAATCAATACATCATATATAAACAAAATGTGTACCAGATGAAAGACCAAAGTCTCAGGTATATATTTTGTATTCCTGTCATTTTCATATCTTGTGTCAGTGCAGAGTTATAAGCAATCAAACAGAGAGTGTGAACATGTGACATGTTGCCCCACCGTCAGGTAAGTTATCTCACCATGTGGGGTTAAATGTCACAGTGGATTTTGCAGCTAACAAGACAAGGACAAAATTATTGTTGTTCTCATTTTTTATTTGAAAGTGAACATCAAAGTCAGGCACAGAAAATGTTTATCATTGAGCTAGAAAAAGTCATTGAACAAATGTTAACATGAAATATTACGCAACATGCTGGATTAAAATCCGTAGGAACTGCTGGCACGTAGGCTATGGCTCTCAATGTTAAATGCCTGTTTTACCCTTTTTAAACTGAGAAATCCAGATTGAATTGAATTACCAAAAAAAAAAAAAGAATCATGAAACTCAAAACAGTCCTGAAAATGTGGACATAGTTCCAACAAGTGGAAGATCCATTCATAAAAACTCATAATATACTCAACTTACAGTTCCAACTGTGCACTCAAAACCTGCCATTGTGATTTGTACCCAACCACTCTTCTGGGGACATCTGTCTGACTCTGTGTTTCAGCTGGGGTGAATGTTTTGCAGTACCGAACTAAGGTATGGTAGTTGACATTAAAGTCCTTTATTGTACTCCAGATTGATTTATTAGCTAGGGTCACTTGCCTGACTGCCCTCAGCATCAAGTCACTGCACTGCCAGGTTCTGTTTTTCTTTTGTAATTCCTAACCATGTCTTCTTCCTTTCTCCTCTCCTTAAACCACTCTTTTTTCTGTAAAAAAAAGTACAAATTTCAACATGATGTCATGAATAAGAGTTAAACAAAAAGGAAAAGGACCCAAATGCAGACAAAAAAAGGATTTAATTTAAAAAGAATTAAATAGGAAGCAACAAAAACTTACCTTAAATCTATAAACAGCGACAGGACTACTGGGGAACAGAAACACTAGGAAAAAACTTAGAAAATACACTCAAATAAAAAAAACTGGGAAAACTAAATACCAGAACATATCATGACAACTGCTGATAAGCAAACTGTGTATGTTAATTTTAATCCTTTTAAACTTGTTATTCTGGGGTAAGTTATTACATGTGTTGACTAACCCCAGAATAACTGAAACATGTTTCCCACAACTGCCATGTTTGCTGATTAGAGCTCTAGTTCAAAGTTATCTTAAAACAGAACAATGACTGAAGTATGAAAGGATGCCTTAATCTCTCCTCTAACAAGTCCACATGTTTCACTGCTGGGATTTTTATCTGTAAGAAGCTTATTTCAAAATCTATAAAGTTAGAAAAATTTTACCTTGGGTTGTGCAAAATGATTTATTGGCGCTCATCTCACAATGTGCTTTTTTCTTCTCAGACAGGACACGACCCCTGACCATGTAAAGGAATGAAATTAGTATTCCACTTTTTAGTTGCACCCCCAGGTGGAGAAGATAATTGCAATGTGACAACTTACCCATGTGACAACAAGTCCCAGTCTCCCCTCCAACAGGCAAACTGTCTTTCTGCAGAGGTTTCGGCATGCTGAAAATCTGATGTGATGCATATTTAAACGCAGGATCCAAGAATGCCTTCCACAAGATTTATTTACAATTTTTGCAGGTCACGGGTCTTCAGAGAATGAATGATTAAATCTAAAGAAAGGTTAAAATGAAAGATGAACATTTTAAGTAATCTCAAAATATAGCCGGATCATGGTGTTATCTTGTTATCTTCTCATTTCCTTTTTGGTCTTGTTTGCCTTGTCTCACCTTGCTGTGTCTTGTTCTTTGTCATTGTTGTCCATTGTCAGTGTGTTTCTTTTGGCCATTTCTGTGGGATTCTTGTGCAATATGGGTATGTGCAATGTGTGTATGTGCAATGTGCGTGTGTTGTGTGACTGCGTCTTGCTTAGGTCTAGTACTTTGTGTCATCAGTTGGCAGCTTTATCTGTGCAGCTCTTGGAGTCCAAGACAAATTTCCCTAAGGGGACAATAAAGTGTATTGTATTGTATCGTATCAATCAAACATCTGCCAATAATAAATAATATGCATTAAACTCATCATTTATGCATCCACTATCTGTTCTCTTTGAACAATTCAGGTTCAACTCAGGTATCTGATACATGAACACATCACAACATAATCCATCGATCTTCAAACATCAAACAGTATTTTCAGTCATTCATTATCAAATAAAGTTCACTGTTACTCATGTCTTTATGTCTGCCTGCAGTGGTCTGGAGGGAAAAGAGGAAGAGTGAGGCTTACAGGGTGGAGTCTTATAGGCTGGGTGGCTGTGGTCCAGGCAGGCAGGTTGTGTTGCATCTAACTGACTTGTGATTTAATGATTTGTATTAAAAAATATATGCTTTAGGGGATCATACTCATTGCATACTTCTTGCAAAGGAGTTGGCTCATTGTAGCCTGTATTTTTGAGCCTGGTTTTTAAAGCATATGGCTCCTCTCCAATATCCAACCTGCTGAATAATTATGCAAGATCAACTAAGATACATATGATTCTTTGGCGAGGAAGATTGGAGTTTTCAAGCTCTCAGAAAAATCCTGCTTTACTCATCTACCTTTCAACCCAACCCCCCAACCCTTTGTCAACTACCTGATCCAGTTTGCAAATAGAGCCATCTGCTTTGACAGAACTGGCCTTTCTAAAGTCTGTTGCAAATGACTGACTTCTCTGCTTCTGACACAGATAGGTTTTTGTTTGGTAAAAAGTAGAAGCTGACATATGTGAACTGAACAAAGAAAACTATTTGGTGGTCATGGACTATTACTCATGGCATATCGAAATAGCCTACCCCAAGGACATATCAGACGAGACCACAAGAGCTAAAAAAAAAAGAACATCTTTGCTTCCAATGTACAAATAAACTGATCACAGACAGTCCTCAGTTCTCTTGAGAAGCTTTCAAGTAGTTTTATCAGCAATATGAATCTAGACATATAACTGGTCCCCATTATGTACAAGCCAATGGAGAGGCAGAGGAAGCTGTACGGAGTGCCAAACAAATCTTGAGAAACCCTTATCTCTACAGGTGGGTGCCCCTCACGGCTTGTGCATGGACGGCAGTTCTGCACCACAGTTCCTACCTTACACTCCAAGCTACAGCCTGTGTGGCCAGACTTCAAACAGGTGAAACAAGTTAATGAGGGTAAAACAAAGCTGTGAGCGTGTCCACAATACTGGGCACAATGTCATATCCATACCAGAACTCCAGCTCAGACTCAGTGTTTGCTGGGAGGCTCGACAGTGAGAGAGAATGGATGACGAAAGCTTGTGTATTGAAACAGTATGACTCATACTTGTATGGGGGACTATTACAAAGATACCACCTCTTGAAACCCTTCTTCAGTACTCCAAATGTCTCTGAGAAAGGTTGAAAGGACTGCAGCAAGTGTGATAGAGAGCCGCACTCACCTGCTCCAGCAGCTGATCCATCTCCTGGTCCACTACCAGGTCCGACACCATCAACCTCCAGGTGTGAGTAGCCAGCCAACAAATAGGGAGATTACCTGTCAGTAAGCTGAGGCTGTTAACAGACTGTTCATTAGAAGTACTCTTTTGTTGCATATGTTAGGCCTTTTTGATAAAGAGAGAGAAAAAATCTTTTATGTACAGAGAAAGCAATGTGAATTTATTATTTTCAAGATAAAGTTTTTTTTTCATTTATCAGTCATCTTGAGTTTAATTCAATAACTATATCATATAAATATTTATGTTCAGTATATTTAATATTTCTAACTATGTTTTTTGGTACTCAAAGAAAAAGTCATGTAGTACAATCGTACTATTTCCTGCAGGTGAAGTTTAAGGCAACATGAGCATCAGGGAGTGATGGGTACAAGACAGACTTCATGTTTTATGTGTACCACATTAGTCTAGTTGTGCAGTTAAATCCATGCAGTCAAGTTTTATGTTTGAGTCCTGTCAATATGTCCTGATAGCATGTCCACATAATGCTTGCACTCAGTGTACTTGTCAAAGACATGTGATTGGTGTAAAAAGGAAAATCAATCATGATGTCACGGGTTGACCGCTGGGACAGAGCCCACTATTTTGTTTCTTTCATTGTTTGGCAGATCATTGATAAAAGTGATTTAGCCACAATAGCCTTGGTCAGTTTCTGTACAATGGATGTCATTGTCTTAAGTTAGTCATTAAAAATGAGTATTTAAGTGAATACTCATTGTCAACATTTTCATCAATAAAATTCCCTCTGGGCTATGGTCTGTTGCTTGCAGGATAGTTGAAAACAAAGGAACATTTTGAGTGAGTGTGAATTTATCTTTATTCATGATCTTTCTTTTTATTTTCATCTGTCTTCATATGAGGCCCACCCATAAAAGTAAATTCTGGAGCAAAATAGGTCATGTATAAGGCACGGCATTCCTCAAGATTGTACATCAAGGAAACAAAATTTTATTTTCAATGAGTGGAATAAATAGCCAATGATTTAGCTAGATGCATTACTACAAAGCTAAATTGTGCTAAAAGTAGAGCATATCTCTCAACGTTTTGTTAGGCACACAAATTACAATTAAAGTAATCCTTCCATAGTATGGAACAATAAAACACCCTGCAGAAGAATATATCCTAAAGAAGAAGGCCACAGTAGGAGCAAAGATTAGCAAAAAACATAACCTATGTTTTATGATTATTAAAAAATGGTTTTAAAAATTCCTGGAAGCAGACAAAATTTCACAGGTTTATTGTAAAGCCATTAAGAAACTTTGATTTATGAATGTTGAAGTTTCCAAAGATCACAGATTTTGGATGCTTTTAATCTGAAAATATATTGAATTTTATTTCATTACAAGATCAGGACCAGCTTTAGTTGCGGGGGCCACAGCTCCAATCTGTCAGCAGAGCCAAGTAATGTGCCTAAGAAAAGGCCTACAACTGGTTTGCTGCATTTAAGACAGAGCCACTTCTTCTACGCTCGGGCCATGTTTGGTTCACATGCCTTATGTCGGTGCCAGCTTTCGGCCTGGTCTGTGCCAAACGTCCTTGCTGTGCCGGTGGGCTCTAACAGAGTGTGGCTTTAATCCTGCCGTCCTTGTGTGGAGGTGTGCAATGTTCAAAGTGACTCTACCCTCAGCTTCCGCCAGGGGGCCGCATACCTCCCTCTTCACTCAGATATGCCTCACATGTCACAGTAGAACTGCAGGGCAACAGTGGCGTCATTATTATTACTAGATTTGTTATTGCTCTGTTAGTTTCCTGAATGACTTTGCAGCCGGCGGCTCATCAGAAATAAATTAAAAAAAAAGACTGCCTTGTCTCCCATGTTATCGCATCGTAACCTTGAGAGATGGAGTGATTTTGGGCTGTTACGAAAGACGGTTATGTCCCTTTATGTTTCACCATAATCATATTGACCCCGTAGAGTTAGCTTACCTGCTAAGGAGGGCTGCGTCAAGTCTACTCGTCGATGTATGACTCTGTTGTCAAGCCAGCACTAGTGAGCCAAAACAGGACCGGAAAAGGGTAGATCTACCGATTTATAAATTAGTCTGAATGGTGGGCTAAATCTATTTCACCGTAAAAATGCCTCAATACAAAAAAGAAAGAAAGAAGGACAGAAAGAAGGAAAGAAAGAAAGAAACATTGATTGTTTATTAACTGCTGTCCGTTTCTGTTTTGTTGACACAGTATGATTAGGTCTAAAAATCACCCTAACCACTTTGTAGTCGGCCAACATTGCACTTGGCGAGTTTTACGCACTCCTGAATGCATGGTAAATCTTCTATTGTCAAGGGGAGACCGGGGCTTGTTGTCACACTTTTTACACTTTTATATATTTCTTGGAATCAATACATCATGTATAAAACAAAATGTGTACCAGATGAAAGACCAAAATCTCAGGTAGGTATTCATGTCATTTTCATATCTTGTGTCAGTGCAGAGTTATACGCAATCACATAGAGAGTGTGAACATGTGACATGTTGCCACACCATCGGGTAAGTTGTGTCACTACATGGAGTAAGATGTTATAGTAGATTTTGCAGCTAATAAAACAAGGACAAAATTATTGTTGTTCTCATTTTTATGTGAAAGTGAACATCAAAGTCAGGCACAGAAAATGTTTATCATTGAGCTAGAAAAAGTCATTGAACAAACGTTAACATAAAATATTATGCAACATGCTCTGGAGTTTGGAGAGCTGTCTGACTCTGTGTTTATTGTTTATTGTACTCCAGATTGATTTATTAGCTAGGGTCACCTGCCTGACTGTCCTCAGCATCACATCAGGCACTGCACTGCCACGTTCTGTTTTTCTTTTGTAATTCCTGACCATGTCTTCTTCCTTTCTCCTCGCCTTTAAACCGCTCTTTTCTCTGTAAAAGAGACATGTTGCCCCAAACTTCCATGTTTGCTAATTCTAGCTCTGACTTAAAGTTATCTTAAAACAGAAAAATGACTGAGCTATGACAGGATGCCTTAATCTCTCCTCTAACAAGTTTACATGTGCAACTGCTAGGATTTTTATCTGGAAGAAGCCTATTTTAAAGTTTGTTTTTTTTTTACTTTAGGTTGTGCGACATGGTTAATTGGCGCTCATCTCAGCTCACAATGCGCTTTTTTTCCTCTCAGACAGGACAGACCCCTGACCATGTAAAGGAAGAAATGTAGTAGTCCACTTTTTAGTTGTGCCCTCTGGTGGCAAAGGTAACTCCCATTTGACAACAAGCCCTGGTCACCCCTACTTGAATCCAAGAGTGCAGCTAAATATGTCTCTTTTAAATGTTTTCCCCTTTTGGGGAAGTTCAAACCAGCAAGTTTATTTCTGGTGTGTGAAGTTCCCGGGACCTCAGGTAGACCACCTGTCCCTACATTTGCCTATCCCTAGTCCTTGAGACAGCAGTCTTGAATCCTGCATAATGACCTTTTGCCGCATGTCAGCCTCTTTCTCCTCATATCCTGTCTCTCTCAACTATCTTAACAAATAAAGGCCAATGTCATAATGTAATTTAAAAAAAAATTGGGATATTGTCTGACTCACACAGCTCTTAACTGTCGTAAACCAATTTGGCAATCGTGTCATGAGCTGAGCCGAGAGAAAAATCCAGAGTTGAAATGTGTCAATCACACGGACTGACCAGTTTTATTTTGAAGGCAGCACGAGCAGTTTCCGGTGTCGCATCTTGGAGCTGAGCAGGTTGGGAGTAGGTTCTATAGCAGGGACAGCATTGCACACAGACACACGCGCCAAGTGAATAGATAATTAAAGGGTACAGTAAAGAAAAATCTCTTTCCTCAGCTATAAGCCTACTAAGAGCCTCCAGCGGGCTCATGGAGGACGGGGCCCTGCCTGTCATCACCGGGGGCAAGATAATCGGATGCCTTTCACTACAGCAGCGCCTTTAGATGCTTTCCATACAGGACTGATTGGTTGACCAATGGCTTCCAAACATGCGCTTTTCTCTAGCAAATGCAGCAATGATGAGGAGGTTGAGCGGCTTAAAGATGCGCGATACCGTTGCATTCTCTCTCCGATGGCATGGACCTTATACTATCCACGGATGGTGGCCGCCTTTTCGTCGAGAAACGTGAAAAGGACGGGGGCGCTGGAATGGATGCTGTTTCGGTGGTTTGCGACCATCAGCGCTGTACTGATGCTGATGATGCAGAGCTCCTTAGCGGCTGAAGGTGAGACTCTCATGCTGTTATCCTGCAACCTGTTTAAATGTTTCTTCATCCATTGTGCTATAATTAAATTGCCTAAATAAATAATAAATAGGCACACCACATGACTAGCAACCTGATTGACGCGGAATATTCTGACTCCAAGTCTCACACTGACTCGATATTATTATATAGGTCGGTTATCTTGCTGTTTGGCCATTTTAGGAAGGATTAACTGTGGAAGATTTAACGAGGGTGCGTTAGGTAGGCTATGGGCCGAATATTTGGACTGAACACAACAGCTGGATTGTAAAGGATAAGGTCACGTTACGGTGTCTGAAACGGTATTATTCTAGCTGAATTGTCATCGCCGATTTTTGTTCATTTATTGTAAATTATTGTTGCACTGTTTTGGTACAGAAATTAAGTGTATCTTAACAAAAAATGTACAGGCCGTAGTCGTCGATGACTCGTCGAGAAACGCACAGCCGGAGCGCACGGTGGTCCTTAGCGTTGCGGACTACCGCTCCATCGAAAGACAAAACATGGCCGTTTCTTTATTGTTACTTGGTGCAAAAACTTTTTATTCATACACGGAGCACTGATACCAGAATTGTTAATGAAACAAATAATGTGCATGTGTGGCGTTTCGTCGTCAGTAGCTGCATCTAGGCGGAATGATTCATGATCCGAGGAAAACACAAATTAGCAGAGGCAGTTTTATCAGGCTACAGCTCTCAAAAGGTACAAGACATCCATATACCTACTACCCATATTAGAGGAATTGCTACCGTTTTAGATCAGATTTTGCACTTTGTAACTACTATCCAAACCCCACATGGCCTGTTGCTTTACATACGGATCCTTTTTTGATGTTAAATCACTGGATGGTACTTGACTGAGTTGACTGCATTTCAGTTCATTCCTATGAGAAATCTGAAGAATGAGAAAGCAAACAGATGATGTCTTTACTGTACTTACCTTACTGGAAGATAATATCAAAAAGAGTTCTTGCACAGTTGACATGTACACTAACATATAAACATATAGGCCAACACCAGATACAATTAAACACCTGTATAGATCAGAACAGAGATATTAAAGCTTTGAAAAGATAGCTTCCAAGTGCCTTATCAATAGATCACTGAAACGCATCTGGCTTTAAAAGAAGCCTAAAAGGTCCTATGATCAATATTTGGTTTGTATCAGTTTTGAAACCACTTGTGTACACAGCAGTCCTGGTTTTGCCTCTACATGCTTGAGTAGTGTCATCCCCAGAAATAAAATCCTGCTAACTTGTATGGCCAAAGGTTTTTGTTGTTGTTGTTGTCAATGTGAAGACCTTTTCGTCAGCAGCCTCAGTGACATCTTTACCCCCTGACACAAGTTTTAGGCATTAAATAGACTGTAACTTTACATACTAGAAATTCAAATTTTTAGAAATCGTAATTTCAGTCTATTTCATAACTGTCAAAAAAATTATCACAGGAGCTCCCACATGACAAACATTTCACCTATGATGTGGTTTTTGGTTACTAGAGCAAAGGTTAATTTATTTGTAGCCCATGTCACAAAGGTATACACAATATGGTCCATAGAAATAAAAGAAAAATCTAAGTGATGTTAAAAACATCCTGACAAGTAAATGGTTGAATATTAAAATGAAGGTGAAATGCTGTGTGAAGTAATATGCAGCATAAGGCAGTGAGCAACATAAAAATAATTAACATAGATTCAAAATTACCTAACAATAACCTGTGCTGTACAATGAAAACAACTGTAGTGCTCTAAGAAATGTCTTTGGGGTCCCTAAATGCCCATCACATCAGCACATCCATATCACTTAATGTCAAATATGATAAATATTTCTCAGGTGTTCCTCAGTAAATAGACCAAATTACTCTGACATAAATATACAGGATGTATGAAAATTACCTGTGAGGTGGATAGCAGAGAAGTTTCAGGAGCAAGCAGTATTGTCCGTGTAAAAGTTTCATATAGAATTTTTACATAGCTGATGGAGAAATGTGTTTTCTAAACTTTAATACATTATATTCTGAAAAAGTACAGATGAAGACAACTGTATTTATAAGTTGTCAAATAAGGCATTTTATAACATTAGAATAAACTAGCACAGATTTAAAGCTTGTAAATAATAATAATGATAATAATACATTTTATTTGTATAGCGCTTTTACAGGAGCTCAAAGACACTTTACAAAAACATAAAAATACAGTGAGGCAAAGATTAATAGTAACAAGCTAAAAATAAGGTAAAATCAGATAAAAAGAATAAAAGAAAGTCTTGCAATGTTTTTCAGGTGAAGGAAAGCGGAGCAGGCAAGTTGGGAAATATGGTGGTCAAAAGTAAGGTTGGGGCGAAATGGATACCAAGGTTGCGGACCAGTGAAGAGGGGGTGACATGGGATTGGTCAACATGGATGGGGATGTCTGAGGTGGTTTTGGTGAGGGTTTTGGGCCCGATGATTATGAGATCTGATTTGTCACTGTTGAGTTTGAGAAAATTGTGGCGCATCCAGGTTTTTATTGCGTTGAGGCAGGAGGTGACGGTGGCAAGGGTGGTGGAGGAGATGGAGCGGGAGGAGATGTATAGCTGGATGTCGTCGGCGTAGCAGTGTAAGTTGAGTCCATGTTGCCGGATGATATTGCCAAGGGGGAGTAGACAGAGGGTGAAGAGTAGGGGACCAAGCAAAATAAAACCTTTAACCTTTCACAATCTAAGACTGACAATTAAATATTCTACAAATAATTGTGCAAGGCCATGGATAAATACAGAGGTGAAAGGTAACTAATTTAGTCAGCCTACTTACCTTTGCTGCATATTTAAGGGATTTGTACTTAACAGAAATAATTCCACTTAATATTTCTGCTTTACTACATCTTAAGGGCAAAAAAACAAAACAAAAAAAAAACCTCTGCTGTATTGATCAGTTGTAGTTACTAGTCACCATGCCCATGCCATCCTAACTGCTTTAACAAGTGTTCAGAGGCAATAGAAGTAGGGCCCTGCTGAAGGTGGCAGGGCGCTAGACAACCACTTCTATTGCAGGCTCTGATCATGACAATTATTGTTGCATGTACAGAAAGTGATTTATTTATACTTCAGCATTTTTGAAACAGCAAAACCGTTCATTTCAGTGAACCGGATCATTCCGGTTTGTTCAGTAAAAAGATCCGTTCATTTTGGTCATTTCGGTCAATTGGTCGTTAGTCAGTCCGTTCTCTCAGGTTCATGTTCGTTCAGATGCGGAACGAACGTGAACGTGTGCGAACGGACTGACTCGAACAGACTGACTCGACACGGCTGACCGGGTTTATGCAGGGGGAGATCTGTTCAGACTCTGAACGAACGAGAGCCTCTTAGCTCCCTTTGTGACAATAAAATCAAGTATTTCCAACAGATACGTCTTTGCTGACATTCAAAACACAGAGAGATCTAAGGATACGTATTCAACAGCGGTGCGACTTGGGACAATATCATGCGCATTTTTTTAAAAGTCTCCAGGTAACGGTCACTTTTTACACTGAAACACAGGCATGTTGACCCAGCTAAACCAAGCTATATAGCTTAGCTAGCACATTACGCTTTGGTACTAATTCAAATGATGGCTGAATACAGATGTGTCTGTACACACCGTACAGCATCGGGATATTTTACTGGAAAAGCGCATCCAGCTGTCTCAAGCAACCCCGCGTACTCTTATCAACCGCTGTTTGTTAGCTTAGCATGCTAAACCTTCTGCTAGTGAGTCTCTGCCTCTGGCTGCAGCAGCAGCTGTGTGCCTGTGTGTGTGCAACTGCGCGGCACTGTTTGTTGGACTCATGAGTACAGATACCCCCCGCAAGAGACTGCCTTATAGTTTATTTTATTCAGTACATCCCGTTGCGTTCACAAGTCGGTCGGCTAGTGACAGGCTGACAGCCCCTCGCAGAGAGTGAACACTTGTGCTCAGTCAGTCTGAGAGTCGGTCAATCTCTCGGTCAGACCGAGCTGACTGAAAAGACGGAGACCGAGTCGGTCATCGGTCCCGGTCTTTCAGTCAGCTCAGTACTGCTGCTGCTTCTCTAAGCCCCACCCACCCACAGAGCGAGGCGCGACGTTAGGATAAGACAGGCAAGCACGGAGATAGTCCCGCCCTAAGGAACTGACTCTTCAGCCAATCAAAAGAACTGAACGGACTGAACGAGTCATTTAGGGGGGGCTGACCTCGTTCATTTCGTTCACCAAAAAGAACTATTTCTTTTAATCCGTTCGTTCATGACCGACACACCACTAATGAGTTCAGCTAAACAGAGACACAGCTGACTTGTCAGGTGGGCACACTGTAAGCTCTTGGCAAGGTGGCTGTAGACCTGCCTTGACTGCCTCTTGTGAGGTTGCTGAAAACCGAAGTCATGTTATTCAGAAATGGTGAGGTTAACACAGACATTCATTCAGAAATAGACGATGTTCAAATTGGACAATTATATGACAAAAAATTTGTGGGTGTTTTAATCAACCACAAACTCTGCTGGAAACCACACATTAAGTATCTGTGCTTAACCTGTGCTCAAAGCTGAGTAAACTGAGTGTGAGTGTGTAATGCTTCTTCTAAATCATGTAGCAATACACACATCTTTTTCCTTATCTGTCCCATTGTGTTGAAGATCGGGGGAACACTTATCAAAGCAGTCTACAAAAGATATGCATGCTGCAAAAAAGAACTGTAAGGATTATCAATCATGTTGGTGTCTGAGAATATACTTAATGTATTTGGGAGTTTTGGCCAACTGTGTTATTGTTAGACCTGCAAAAATCACTTAAATGAACTGATATTGTAAATAGGGGGCAGGAAGAGATAAACTGTTACCTTATCCTGCCCCTTCTTGAACGCATCAACCACGTCTCTTTTATTTTATGTCAGTATTAGCACCAAGTTGGCACATTGTTAAAAATGAAAAGAAAACACAATTTCCTTTGGTCGCCAGGCAATGGGACAGAAACAGACATTTGTGTTGGTTTCATGTCTGGCCTTTGACATCTTGACCCTGCAACACTTGAGCAGATTATGATCATATAGCAGGAGTGGACCAGGGCAATCATTCAGGCCAGGAAATATAGAGCCACAGCCAGGACACTTTTTTAGTGGGAAGTAAACACCTCTCTCCTGTCAGTGAACTACAAATGCCACCCTCTAGATGACCCTTTGACCTCCAGTTTTATCCCTGTCTCTATCATTTATCCAACAGTCATTACAAACTCGTCTGGAGTGAATATAAAGCAGTATCCTGTTGATGTGCAGGCCTGCACATCAGTAACGCTCTTGTTCCTTCAAAATAAGAGCTCCCAACTGAACAAAATCACACACGACTGCGCCAGCCTGATCGCACGTCATGTGTGCACTTGTCGCAGCTTGCCTTGAGTGAGAATGTGCTTAAGTGTGTGTGTGTGTGTGTGTGTGTGTGTGTGTGTGTGTGTGTGTGTGTGTGTGTGTTTGTGAGTGTTTGACGCAGACCCACATTCATAAGACTTGAAAGAAAAGAGGGGCTGGTGGACCAAGCAGCAGGCCAGCCCACCAGGAAACGTCCCCTTGTCCCTATGGCCATAGGAAGACATGCTTCAGCAGAAGAAGGTGTTTCACGTGGAAATCACTGTTTTGGTCTGTTACCACGGGACCAAAGTTGAATCCCCTAGAAGTGGTTTTCCCAGTAAGTAGGTGACAGAAACAGTGCAAAGGCTTTTTGCTTCCACATTCTCAGAGCTGCTATGGCTGGAGGATCACTTAAATATATATGGAGGCCTACAGGCAAGGAAAAATGTTTTTTTCATCTTTATTCATTTGGCTTTGAATTTGCACTGTACCCATACATCTACCCTGTCCATATTTCTTCTCAGTGGAGGTTGTTCTTTCCCAGTGTGTTTGAAATGGTCTGGTATAATGGTCACATATGTTGCTCTCAGTAAGGACAGGTGGCTAACTGTTGGAGGGGAAAACACCAAAAAACTGCTAATAGTTATGCACATGGCTCAGTCCTTTAAACTATTCCACCATGCAATATTCAGTTTATTGATTACTTAGTTTTTCTATTCACTATTTCCATTTTTCAGTACAAAGAACTGATTGAACATATCAATCATAAATTGCATTTCAAAAAGATATCTATGCTCCTGTAAAAAACCTCTTGCCATTGTTTGAAAATACCTCAGAAATCACATGACCCTCCTTGAATAATGGGTAGTTATTCATGTTCTTTTCCTGTTTTCTTTTGCTGAATATTTAATCATGGACATTTCTGTGAAATCTCTTGTCTACGGTATCCACGCAGTGAAACTGTGACCACAAATGTTCAAGTGTTCAGTGTGAGGTCTGGCAGTCACTTTGAATTATCTTAGTGTGTGTGTGTTTAGAGGACAGTCATGTTTAAAGTCAGTTGGAGCTGTCCAGAAGTGTGTGGTCTCCCACAGTGTTTTTATCAGTAAAGATCTAAAAGTCCTCTGGTGACCTGCCAACTGACGTCTAGCCACGTTACTACTAACAAGCCTTCCTATGCGAGCTTGTGGGAGTGGAAATGAACGTGAAATTCTTTATACCAGAAGTAAATTAGATCACAGTCAAGTTTGCTGAACAATAAATAAAGGACCTACTTTCAGTGTCGTGCATAAACCCACGAAAATAAACACACTTATTGCATGCACTCATATTTTGTTGACGTGTGAACTGAATGGCTCAGTTTGCAATTCATGAATGGGAACCTGAGCGTTGTTCACCCTGGTGAAAGTGCATGTCTACTCACATTTCAGATGGATCTGAGAAGCACTGAGAATTGCAGAGTGTAGTTGAGCACTGTTTCACAGCCATGAAAGGGAGATTTATGGATACCTGCATGCATTCATAAGCCAGCACTTGAAGCAGTCTGATGAACTAATCAGGACAGATTTCAGCAGGCTAAAAAATTGTAGTTTTAGAAGGCTATAATGTCTTTAAGAATGTAGAATATTCTCATTTGCTTGTTAGTTTGTTTTTAGTTTTCCTCCTTACCTAATGTGACAACCATCTCACCTGTTTTATCAAAGCAAATTTTTTCAGTGTATTTAACAACATCCACTGGTAGAAAGGCTCTTGTTCCTCAAAAATAAGGAAGAGGGGTGTAAAATCATGTGCTTACACAGTTGAAATAGAAACTAGAGGTTTTTATCTCAGTTGGTTCTTTTATCTTGTTTCTTATAAATCTGACATTGACATTGACATTAAATTGGAAATATAGCAGTATACATATGTGCACTTCATAATTATTGCTTAATTGGTTATTGCACAGAGAGTTTCAGCAGGTTGTTGTAACAGACAGTATTAATGATATGATAGGGTGTGCATTCAACACAAATGCACAGAAATATAATTTAGCTAAGATTATGACCTCCCTATATCATAATAATAACAATAACAATACAAATATATGTACGTATATTAATAAATATATATATTCTGGTTCCCCTCCATGTTGCTGCTAGCAGTGCTTTCCACCCTGCTCCCTTCTAGTTGTCAGGTAAAACTGAGTAGACTGTGTCATTTTCTGTGCTCCAGTGCGGGAATATCGCCAGACACCAAATACAAAAAGAACAAATACTGAAAAATACTGTGAGGTGTTAGAGGAGCTAAACAGCTTAATCAGCGTTGTATTATCTCCTGTTGTAGTTGCTTGGGTAACGCGGATATTTTTTGTGTGTAGAGATTACACACTGTAGCTTTAATGTGGAGAAGCCGTCTAATGTTTTCCGTTGCAAGCCTCCCTTTGAGAAGTCCTGTTTGATGGTGATTAATTAGCTTCCCTACAAATGGTTTCAATCTCTTGACAAGGACTTGAGTAAAGAGATTTAATTCTCTCGTAATGAGGGATATCAACCTCCTTATCTGGAGTAGATTCTGCAGTTTATATAACTGAATAGAAAGCTCTAATTGTGTCATTTATCTCATCTGGGTTATGTGTACCAAGTTCTAAGGTGGTTTGAATTGCATTAATTGATAAAAAGGACACATTTTGTTTTGCCCAGCAGCAAGAAGTCTACTTGAACTTTCTCGGTGTTGAATTTGGAGACTCTGGTCAAGCATAGACAGAAGCTTCTCTGCATCTACTGCACTTTTGAAGAAAAGACAAAGCCATTCAAGACTGGCTTTGTCCTGGGCACTGCAGCCACAGTGGCTTGCTGAATCTCAATCTTTTATCCTACAAGAAAAGTAATCTCACACTGGCCTTTCCTGGAGAAACTGAATGGCATTCTCTCCTTCTGCTGACTTAGCTAAGTCCACCAATTAGATGTTGCACCTATGCAATGTATCTTTCATCTCAACTACTTTCTGGGAGAGTTTGAGTAAATCTCTCTGAAGACTACAGGCATTGTGTTTAATTGTTCTCATGTTAGATGTACTAGCATTTATCTTACCTTGTAGCTTCTCAGCTAGCTCGGCTAGTTGAGTGATATCCAGATTCAGTCTGGTAACAGCTGAATTTACGAATCGAATTATGGTTTTTAGGGCTTGAATTTCACCAGAGAGGATGTCCTCTGCTGCCTCTCTTATAGCCAGCTTAACTTTCAAGTCGTCTTCTTGTCCCTGTAATGCTAGCAAGATGGCAGCATTTGATGGCTCTTGACTGCTTGTCTTTACCTTGAGGCTCTTTCTTTTTGACAGTAGGAGTTTCTTGCACTTTGTACTCTGCACTTTGTTCTTGTTTTTAAAATGTGTGATTTATTCTGGTTTCATCCCTATTTCTATTCTTCCTCTGTTAATATTTGTATTTTCAAGAGCAAGCATAATGTCTTAATTTCCTGGGATGCATGAATTATTCTGATTCTGACTCTTGAGACACGTCAAGTCTCGTTGTTTTAGTTTTAGACATTCTTAGGGATACTTGGGGGTGAAAATAAACGATAAAGCCCCCTGAATTATAGAGTTTATCAATAAATTTTCTGACTTCGAGACAGAGCTCAGTCTAAGAGTGCATCACATCACAGCAGCCACAGGCAGTCTTCCATGCTGCTGATTTCTGTTTAGAGTTGAAAACCTTTCTCTAGAGCAGAGGATTTTATTGAATACTCAAGACTCATAGTCTTTTGAGGGTTTTTTTTTCTTTAAAGGATAGTCTGACATGAATCAATCTATCCTGGGCTACTTTTAAAATGTAAATGCTTTTTATTTATACAGCCCTTTACAACAACCCTGTCAGTGAACCAGAGTGCTTTTCAATACATAGTAAATAAAAATGAATAAATAAAAGCAATAATAATAATAATAATAATAATAATGATGATGATGATAATAATGAAGAATGAGATACTGTGCAATAAAATAAAGTAAAAGTGTCTCCATGCTACTGGGTATTAAAAGCCAGCATGAATAAATACGTTTTAAGTCGAGATTTGAAAAGGCCCAGGTCACAAATAAGTCGCATTTCGGTAGAGAGCTTATTCTAGAGCCTAGGACCAGCAAATGAAAAGGCTCAGTCACCCCAGTGTTTGTATTTTGATCTGGGCACTTCCAGCAGAAGTTGGTGTGATGACCTCAGAGCTCTACCAGGCTCCCGAATGGTTAAAAACTCAGTTAAATAGATGGGGGCGAGGCCATTAAGAGCTTTTTTAAACCAACATTAAAAGTTTGAATCGGTTTTTGGGTTCATCTGCTTGTTGTCAGTTTGTTCTACGTTTTCTTCTTAAGCAACTGAACAGACTCATGGGGAGGCGTTTTTCAGGTGGATGGTATAGATAAAAATGTCCGTGTAGGAAAGAACATTTATCTGCGTTCTTACTCTTTAGGTCTGTCACTAATAAATTCCCTTCACATTTAACAAGAATTACAAGATTTTTTTTTTTTTTTTCACAACTCAAAGTAAACTCTACATGTTCATAACAGGCATTGAGGTATAAAAATGTCATCGACATACTGTTTCCATAGTTTGATATGGTTTTGAAAAGGATTCACAGGACTGAAGACATGGTCATTCTCAAAACCGGCTACATACAGGGAATTGAAATTTGGGGTCACTTTACTGTCCTTGGCTGTACCCTAACTTTGCATGTACAAAGAAGTTTTCTCATCAGTAAACATTTTTTATGAGCACATTCTCAACGAGTTCTCTTATACACAAGCTGTTTAAGAACCATGTGATGTACTGTCTAGAAATAGAGTGAGAGCACTTAAACCCCCATAGTGATTTACATCAGTGAATAGGTTCTGTATATCCATGGTAACCAAATGTGTGTAATGGCTTATTTGAGCTGCAAACTTGAAGTAGTCAATCATGTCCACTGGGTCCCTCACAAACGATAGCAGGGCAATAATGAGCTTTATAAAAAATACACAAGATATAATTTTTTCAGTGAATGAACAAACGCAGTCACTACATGTCATACTCACACTGATCCAGCAAGAGGCATTGTAAGGTGCTTCATAGTTTTAACAGATCCAACTGTTTAATACTTGACTCTGATTCATCGAAACCTGATGACACAACTTTTTCTCAGTGTTTTGCTGTTCCTGTCCAAGCATTTTCAAACCTGTTCATGCTCAGCTTTAGACTGCATTTATGATTTATGCAGGTGTGGTATGAAGTTAAACCCATACACTAATTAGTAGCATTTATAATTGCATGTATTTTGTGACACATCATCTCTGTGGCTCCTCTTTTGTGGATGGTTGTGGTTGTTAATTGTATGTTAATACATTTTCTAAAATAGCAGGATGTCTTGAGCTTCTTTTATACAGTTCCTTTTCAGACCTTTTTGGTTTTCACCCCTGACAAGTATCCTATGAAATTCCTGAATTAAGCAAAACTTTGAACTCTACAAAATAAATCTAAACTAAGAACCAAAGTGAGGTACTTATTAAAAGAAACGGACATAAAAAAAAGTCAGAACTAAAAAATGATAACAAATGATAATTTCTATTTTTCTCTTTGTTAAGAACAAATAATTTCCTGAAATAATCTCACACAAGTGCTCATGTGTGGGTTTAGGCGTGTGCATCTATCTATGTTTGTGTTTATCAGGGTTGAAGGAAACCTGAAAAGACAGATTTTTAATGTTGTATTTTCTGCCGAAAAATCATTGTACTAAAACTCTTTTTCTGCTTTATCTTTCATCCACCTGTCCCTCCATCTCCCTCTCCTACATTTCCTACAGCTGAAGGAGGTCACACTGTTTCTATGAGACATGCCATTTTACCTTCCAACCTCTCAGTCAACCAGAGAGGCCAAGTTAAAGTCAAAGATGTGATGATCTGGACTGGAGCTGTACCTGGAGCTTGGCCTGTGGGTCAGATGCTTGCTAAAGACAAAGCAGCAGCTAATACTGAGACAGAAGCAGAAAAGCAGACTGATGCAGGGGGGAAAGTCTCTGAGCCCAGGATAATTACAGAAACCAGTGACTTGGCTGACGTTAGGGCTGGATGGAGACTTGAGGAAAGGGAGGGGGATGGGCTACCAAGCATGCCCAGTGACCCAGCCATCTGGTTTAGGCAGCAGAGACTACGGACACACAGAGAAGGCCAAATAGCGCAGGCAACTTTCTCATCAGTTTCCCCGATGTTAGCAGAGACAGCTGTGTTGCAGAAAACAGCATCAAGAAAACCATTAGGACTGCTGTCAAAAGCTGCTTGGACAAAAAGCTCCTCTTCATTCTTGTCCCAAGTCTCCTCATCTTCTTCATTTTCTTCTACAACCAAAGCTTCCTCTTTCCCTTCCCTCCCTTCCACCCTTCCTCCATCCTCTCCTACTGGTACCATAGAAAATCTTGCAGCAAGAACAGTCAGTACCCCCCTGGTTTGGGCCAACAGCAACTTCTCCACCAGCAACAGCAGCACTAGTTTGGGTAGGTGCCTATGTTCCCTTCCTCATCCGAAATATCATGGCCTGTGCCATTCAACAACTCAAGAACTTCAGTATTTCTGCACTTCCTGTTACCTTGCCTGTGACTTCATCAAAGTGACCTTAACAAAGTCGTTCTTAAATGGAAGTCTTTTGTTTCAAAACAAGACAAATTAGTATCTTACTACCAATCACATCACATCACATCAAATTATGTAACAGCCACATACAATATGTCCTAAAGTAACAATGTAAGGGGGAAATAAGAGGAAAATGGGATCTGATCTCCTGCAGTCTTTCAAGTGGATTGTTTATGCCTCAGAATATCACTAATGGGCCAATTGTTAAATCAAAATGACTCCCTCTTTAGGTTTGAAATAAAAAGCAATGCTTTATTCATGTCAACTCTTGTCAATGGCTCTTGACATGGTTTCTGGGTTATGCATACTGTCTTTATTCACTCCCAATATTAAAAGCCTTGAAGTGTGTTATCAGCAATAATAAATGTGTTAATTATGCTTTAGTTAATGCTAAAATAAATGTATTTATGTTTAAAATGCATCCTATAAGGTCTTATCAGAGGCTTATTTACTATTATATATTGCTCTTTAGAAGAACGTCATTATTTAGTGTTGGTTTCTGTTTTCAGCTGTTTATAAATTACCATTTTTTTCTTGATAGTAGCCAAGGTCGCAGCAGGTGGGTTCATGTTAAAATTAGGGCTGCATGATTTTGGCCAAAAATAAAATCCAGATTTCTTTTTTCCTGAAAACACGATTTTAGATTTAGAAAATAGATTAATTGTGCAGCCCTAGTTGAAGTAGTGAAAATATTGCTTGTTTAATCTTCAAAAGTTTGTGGCTCAGGTATGTTCTTTGGGCAACCTTGGAGGTTAGACAAATTGAGACACAATATTTAAAGGCCTGTTGTTAAGATGATCATGTTTGGTTCGTCTGTTCATCAGAGGATTCATTGACCAGAATAACCCCCCACAAAATACCACAAGACAAATAAGATATTGATGTTCTCATTTCTTTTCCTCCACACAGAGGAGTCAGTGAGCAGCCTGCCAGCCTGGGATCTCCCCACTGTTCCAGAGTCACTCCTGTCTACAGTGGGCGACCATGATGTCACTCTCCCCGCCAATGTCACCAGCCCTTTTTCCACCCACAAATGGAACACAACTGTTCCCTCACACACCAGAAACACCTCACGACTCACAACCACATCGACTGCCACCGTCAACACATCTCCTTCACTCAGCACCACTTCAACCTCACAGTTACCCACCACAGCAAAAGAACCAACTACAACAGGGTCAACCACAGTTCTAAGCCAGAACACTGTGCTCAATGATAGTCTTCAGCTGACTACAGTGATGACACGGTCAATGACTACTCTTGCTGTGACAGCTACTGAAACGATAACGCAGACAGTGACCACTGGAAGTACTGTCACAGTACCGCAAAATACCACAGCTGCTATGACCATGAAGCAAACAACCAGCCCCAAACACAGCGTGACAGCTACAACACTGCCCACAACTACCACAACAACAACGACACCTGCAACAACTACCTTCACCACCACTGAACCCCCAGCCACCACTACTGCTCCTCCAACCACTACTACAACAACTTCACCTACGACTGTTACAGCTGCCACCACAACTACCACCACCACCACCACCACTACTACCACCACCACCCAAGCACCTACTACGACTGAGGCCGTCTTTATACCAACCACACTACCTCCAACGTCCACTACAGAACCTCTTGTCAGCACTGAAATGGGAGAAAGTCCTCTTCCATGCAACATTACCAAGAAGTACTGGGTCAAAACAGGTATGAGACCAAAACTGTGTCTCAGAGTAACTGGTGTTACCTTGCTTTTCTAGCAATGTAAAATTCACAGACAAATTTCTGAATAGATTAAATTTTCATAATAAAATCACGAGAGTTTGTCTTAAGTTAGGGTGTGCTCCTGTGATCCCTGTTGCTTGGTGTAAGGTGGTCTTCCAATGTTGTTTAAAAATTCAATCTAGCATGGTTGTAGGCCCACTCTCCTCCAGAAGCCACTTGTTTGTGGGGGAAGCCCTGACAAGTCGATCACCGAGTGCAGCGGATCATTTCCTTGAAGTAATAATCATCATAATAATCATTTTGCACTGCAGACACAGTAGTTCTTCTGCCTTAGTGTCTCGATCTGATTGCATTTCGATGAAGTAATAATCATGAACATTCTTCCTTGAGCTGCGAAACTCTGCTGCACTCAGTGATCAACTCGTCAGGACTCCCCCACAAACAAGCGCCTGCTGGAAGAGAGTGGGTGAGTTGTGTTTAGTCTCTTTGCTAAAGAAACCAGGCAAAGCTATGGAGTGGCTTTTTGGTTGAGGTTTGCACATAGAGACCAATACTGCTGTGTATTGCTATCATGCGGTCGTTACTAAAGTTGATATAACTAGAGCAGCAAGCAGTCTGCAACATTCATCTCTCGAGGGGGTGTCTAATTCGGTGTTACGGTGTGTTTGACCATGACTTAAACTTGCACCGGAATATCCCTTTCAGAGGTTAAGTTGTGTAAACACAGAACCTTAGTTTTATGCAGTAGTCATATTGAGTGCATTTTAGTAGATTTTACTCAAAATCATTAGGTCGCATAAATTAAGTCTAAGTTGTGTGAAATAATAATGTTAAGAATGCAATAATTTCATGCATGCCCATGAAGGGGTCAAGGTGGTCAATTTTTAGTCTCTTGGATACTACATGTAGGGATAAATAATTTTATGTATGTAATAGTTATTCATAATTGTTTTATTTTAATGGTATTATTACACCAATAGTCACGTTGGTGTTCTGCTAGGAGGTTGTTGGGGAAATCTAATTGGGGAAATCTAATTGTAGTCTTGCAGTTGGTGACCCGTCAAGATCCCTGGTCTTAACAAAATCTTGGCTTGTGACTAAAAACTCTGCAGCTTTTTTTGCTTTCAAAGTTATCTTCTAAGTGAAGGGCTTAAAAAGTTTTGAATGAAAGTCCTAAACTTCAGAGCTTAAAAAAAGTTTTCTGATAAGTGAGAAAACGCATGTTTCCCTATGTTTTTCAAAAACAATCATTGCAAAGTAAAATTTTATTTAATCAAAAATTTTGTAAAAAAAATCCAAAATTATGAAAACTCACAAAGCAAGGGTAGACTGTCCAAAAGCATTAATGCTAATTTGACAGTGATTACAATGATTTTAATGATGTAATATGTCGCAGACTATGAACAACCTTTTAAGAACATGTTATGCACACTTACTGAGCTCTGTTTTTTTTTAATTATTTTTTTTATAGTTCTTTCAATTGAGCTACGCAGGAACCGCCTGGACCTGATCCTAAAACAGAACCTCTCAAAAGGACTGAGCCATGCACTTCAGAGAGCGCTGAATGACTCCACCGCCTATGTACAGGTCAGTGTCTCATACAGGTTTGCTTGGTCGAGGTGAAGCATCAAGTTTTGAGATAACTAGCACAAAATAAACAAATATATGCATATAGATCAATAGCTAGGGATCAAGTGGGATTAAAAAACATCCCTGTACACTGGTCCAGCCAAGCCTACATCAGACATCCTCCAGTAGTGTCACAATTGCCTTGATCTTAACTCATGACGTTATCCAGTTTATCTCTGACCACTGATGCTGATTGGATGTTATGTTTACAGGATTTATTTTCCACTTTCCCACTAAATACTTGATTTGATCGGTCAAAACCCCTTCACAGCTGTCATTAACTCTGAAGAGCAAGGGCAACACCAGGGACAGCATGATCACAAACCCCCGTTCATCAGATCAATCTGTGGAAAGGAGATTGGCAATTCTACAATGCTGTTTCTGTTTTTATCTCGCCTGGTTGGCGATGTGACACAAATGTTGCTTTAGTATTTGTAGTATTATGTTGGTAGAAAGGATATTTCTGAGATTGTTTTTAATTTACTTGGAGAGCTGAAAACTATAGATAGCTGGTTGGAGAAGGTTTACATTTGTCCATATTTTGATTCATACAGATAATTTTTGTTTGAAAACATGAAATACACAGGCATTACCACATTTTCCAGCTCATCTTAGCAGCTTTTTACCATAATTTTCTAAGACTCAGCTGTCTTAACATGCCCATCTGAAAGCCTCAATACAGCTCTGTCAAGGTCACAGACTGAAGCTCTTAAAAATAATCCATCATCTAAAAAGTCCCCTTCACCTCTTGACTTATCCTCCACTCTACTTTGCTGATTCAGTGTATCTGGTAAAATTGGTCACAAATGTTTTTTAGCTTTTGAAGGACAGTCACAGCTGTTTTCTCCTCTGAAGGCACCAGAAAAAAAGTTTGAAATGTTGATGTTTTTAGGACAACAGCAGCCAAAACACAGCTGTTCATCTCAGCCACTCCAGTGATGACTCTTTCGTAAGCAAAGGCCCGTGTGCCAGTATTCACAGTTTCATTGATGCTTAACAGATACTTATGCTAATTTCATGCTGTGTCACTATTGCTTTCCTTGTTGAGCCAATATTTGCCCAGCAACAGCCCCTAAGAGCACTTCAGACATACATCTGCTCAGTGTCGTTTTAACAGTTCTGCTGCGATTATTAACACAATGTTCTTTCTCCAAATCTCCAAATCATATACTAATGTGTGTGTGTGTGTGTGTGTGTGTGTGTGTGTGTGTGTGTGTGTGTGTGTGTGTGTGTGTGTGTGTGTGTGTGTGTGTGTGTGTGTGTGTGTAGCAGTACATTGATGAAAGTGGACTGGAGCTTGGAGACTCTGAGTCACTCCCTTTGCAAGCTCACAAACAGCTGGTTAAAAATAGAAAAAGCTGGCAGATGAGAAGAGAAGACAGACAACTGGATTAAGAGAAGCAGGTGGACTCACTGAGAGGCAGGCAGGCACAGTGCAGAGACCAATGGCAAAAATCTATTGACTGAAACCAGAGCAGCAATCAGACAAGGAAGGTAAAAGAGGGCAATACTGTGAAATATGAGAGGGTAAAAGAATGACTGTTCATTTAAAAAGGACAGAACGTGAAAGATTAGACAAATAACTCTGGGACCAAAACAAAAAAAAAACAACACACCGAGCAATCAAGCAGGAATATTGCATTCCTACGTTATGGAAAATAAAGAAGACCCCAGAAAAGGAATTTCCATAACAAAACAATCAGGGACTTTTCTTGGAGGAGTTTGTCAGAAATTGAATGTATTTCTCATTAAACTGACTGTGCTTTAGTGAAGGTATGGTTTAGCAATTATGGTCAGGGGTTGAGGTGTACTCTGTGTTTATTGTTTTTGCTTACAATTTCCTCGTGAAGCTGCAAAAACAGATTTCTCTGGGGATAACAAAGCATGATCTTAGCTTATCTAATCTTAGCTTAGCTTAATTGAAGTTCTCATGATAAGAATTACAGACAGTCCTTGCATTATATGCAAGGATATTTTATTGTGAAAAGAAAAAGAACGTATGTGCTGTTGAATAAGATGTCCATAAAATGTATCATTTTAATCTGTCGTCCATAGTCTTTCTGGTCATTATAATGTGAAGACTAAGTATTTGAGACAATTTGACAGTTTGAAGAAGTGAGTGGATACTTCACACGACACACTGATTAAAATTAAATATTATCTCATTTATTTTGACAAAATTTTGACAGACACCAGAGGCATACCACAGGAAATCAAATGTAAGCTCTAAAGTAGCTGCCTTATCAACTCTAGGGTGTCCTTGTGTTATACTCACAGATTTAGCAAAGCTGTGAACTGGGTTTACAGGGAAATGGTAAACACTGTGAAGATATGCAATTGAAACTTCAAATGTCTCTGGCTTGCATTATTCCAAGGGAGCAAACTTAAAGGGATATTCCAGCATAGATTTAAATTAGGGTCAAACACACCGTAACACTGAATTGGACACTGAAAATACAAGGTGAAAAACTGAATACCAATCAGATAATCTTCAGTAAACATTTTTTACATGACATTATTTTAAGATAGAGAAGACTTGACATTTCCCTCTTTGTTTTTGTGTCCTTCACAGGTGGAACATGATGACTGCAGCCCCCACAATGTGACCTTGGGTTACTATGTGAGCAGTGGCAAAACTGTCTACATTTCCTCTTTGGTGGTTGAGGCACTGAGTGTTTACGGTTTTGATAAGCTACTGTCGGACATCAGGCAGCACACTCCCTTGGTGAAGGCAGTTCTGGTTCCAGTGGCAAGCTGGCTGCCCCCTCCAAGCATTCATCTACAGCTGAAAACAGGTGATGAGATCTCATGGGAAACAAGATAAGATCAAAAGCAACAAAACAGAAGCTATCTACAGATTTACAGATGATGTTTTGGGTGTGTAAGGATAAAGAGGGAGAAAGTGCAAGGGAGGTCTGAGAGAGAGAAAATGCAATGAGGAAATGGGGAGGGACACGAGGGAGGAGTCGAGCAAGGACAAAATGACAGAATTCAGATTACATGTCTGATTGGTTCTCAGAATGCAAATGGACTCATCAATACATTAATATTCAATCATGTAATTTGTTTTTAATTCTCATCTCATTCTCTTAATCATTCTTTGACACCGTTGAAAATAAAAAGAAAGAACTGCATCGACATGACTAACAAGAGGGATTGTCTACACCAACTCGAAAAGTTTGAATGTAGAAAGATGGGTTAATTGGTTGAGGGGAAATGGTTTACACTGAGAGAAAGAGTCCATGGTCCAAAGGTAGAAAACCTTTAGGCATGAGTCTTAGTGTGACAAAATACGGGACAGAGGACACAAGAGGAAAAATTTAGGTGTAGTGCAGCAAAGGACAACCCTTAGGTAATTTCACTGTGATACCATGAGTGGATAAGCAGCACGTGACCAGGACATTTATTTGGTAATTATTATTATCATTATCATTAATTTTTTTAAGAATATTAAGTATGCACATTTTATGGAGAAGCATAACAGCAACCGTAAATATCCTTGTACCACACAGTTCAATTTAAACATTTACATTTGATTCAGTAAATTACAAGGGAATAAGCTTCTTCTGACACACACTATTTGACCATTATCTCAGGAAGTATAACTTTACACCTTTCACCTTATATTTCAAGTAATCTAAGGAGTAACCACTGTAGTCACTGAACAGGAATCCCTTCATAAATCATTTAAATTACATCTCAGAGTTTACACACTAGACTAGCTTGCACAGGGGGTTGTACAATTTGGCACTAGGGGCTCTATTTTCGTGTCTGCCAGTGAAGCGGCGGACCCCGCGCAGTGGTATTTTTGTCTGGCGGAGCCCGGCGTACAGCCAGTTTGGTATTTTCGTGGACTGAGGCGCACTGAAGTCCGCCAAGCTGGGCGTGGTGGCGTGTCAGAGGGAGGTGTCAACAGAATCAGCTGCTGCAGTGACATTTTGGTGCTCGCCGGTGGCACTGAAAGCTCGCCGATTCAAACCTGGTCAGCTTTCAGTGCAGGCGGAGCGCAGCTGGTCTAGTGGTATTTTGGTAGACAGGTTTCCACAGTGTCAGGCACATTTCAGTGCAATACATAATCATCAACAACTAATAATCTGAGTCAGCACATACATTTAGATCTATATAGTGATATTCTGATCTATATCTGATCTGATGAGCGCGTTTGGCACGCGTTTGGACACACAACCTGACCGAATCAACACAGCTGAAACCACAGTAAATTAAATTAAATATGTAGTAAATAGACACACATGATGAAGTGAACAAGATATGTAATTCGTCTCCCTCTTTTTCTTTGTTCCTCATCCTCTTATTTCTCGCGCAGCTCGACCTGGACACGTCTCCGTGTCCTCTCCCCGTCTGCTGCTGCAGCTGAACAGATGATTTGTTTCAGTGATCAGATGAGTTATTTACTTTAAGCCGACATACGAATATTATAATATTCAGTTTTGTGAGCCAAATTTATTTTATATGCCAACATCTATGAAAGAAAGAGCCAGGCCACGGAGCGCGATGCGTCATTTACGCACAGATGGTTCTGATTTCAATGCCATTATTGGAATTTATGATGTAATCTGTGCGCATAACCCACCTTTGTCACGTGAGGTTTGAATATGTGCAACTTTATGTGAGTGTCTTTATTTGTGGAAAAGGGTGTTTGTCTTACCAGTGGGTCCAACATTACACATACCAAACCCATCTGTGCTTATATGAGAGTGTGGAGGACGCCCTCTGCAGCGCTTACAGTGACACTTGTTGAGGGGCTGCCTTCTATCACCATCGTGTGGCATTACTGTCTTCAGACATCTCTTGATCTCTTTGACTACTTCATGAAAATAGTAATACGCCTCGCCGGTGGCGGATTTAAAGGCGAGGAGAGGAGCTTATGTTATTGGTGAATACAGGTCTCAGCTGTGTTAGACCCTCTCCACGCCCTCTCTCCTCCCTCGCTACGACTAACGCCACTGGGAGGAGTTGAGTTAGGGAGGGGGGATATTTTCGCTGGGCTGTGCCGCTCTCCAAAATACCAAACTGGGCTTGGGAACGCCTTGTCAGCGCGGTGGACCTGACTTACGCCGCGCCTGTGCCACGTCTCTGGCGAAGCATGAAAATAGAGCCCTTGGTGGCAATCTTGCTCCACTCTTTGTAACTCTTTGATTATAAACTTCACAGTCTAAACTAGGATGTTATGGAGGTGGGTGATAAAATTTATAATGAAATGGGATACCCTTAAGAAAACATGACTTTAAATGGTTTTTAATGCAGCGGAAGATGTGATGACATTCCTGTAGGTTCTCAAACATGCACACAGATCTGTTCTTACCACAAGTTAAACACAATGTTATGGAAAGAAATGCATATTAATGTCAATTTTGTCTTCTGTCCTACAATCTATTTGTTTATCTCAAGTGATTGTCCATTCATGAAAGTTTAAACCTTCATTTCAAATGTACTGTAACATTTGCAGCAGTCACGTAAGGTTTCCACATCAGAAAGAACTGAAACCAAATCCTCACCATGTCTATATCCCTTCTTAACTCCTAGGTAACTATTGTCTCAGTCAAATTCCTCTTTTTTTCTTCTCCCCTAGTGTTGAGGTTCGTTGGCCCAACAGATAATGTCTTCTCCTGCAGTTTTGTGGAGACTTTGGAGCAGAGACTGGAAAATGCTTTCGAAGAAGCCCAGGACAAAGTGCTAGAGACCTACAACAGGCTCACTGTAGAGGTAATGAATGGGTTTATTTCGGCTCTTTAGTTAGGTGTATTGGGATTACATGTAATATGCTTATTATAGTCACAAATTTCTTTGAAGTTCAGAATATTTATTTGTGAGTAAAACACATTATGTACCTTCCACCATGTGGTAATACTGTTGTTCTTCAACAGTGCAAATGCCTTCAAGAAAATTAAACTAGACACAAAAAGCTTGGGGTTCAAAAAGTCAATTAATAATGAGGGGAGAAGCTGACTGTAATTGCTTGTCAGTATCTCCAAACACCCAACACCAACAAATCACTTTAACGATCTGATACCAGTTTGTTTACTTTTAGAGGGTACAGATATTCATCAGACCACATTTCTTTAACCTGTCACTAAAGACATATTGATCATGCTGAGTAAAGAAAAGCTGATTAAGAGAAAGATATCTTTCAACAGTTTGGTAGAAACTGGGTCTAAGAGACAAGTTGATGGTTTGGCAACACTTATACAGGAAACAGTTGAGTTTAGATCAGGAACGTTGATAGATGAAAAACAATCTAGGTATACATGAGGTTTTACAACTGTTTCCATCATTTAGGAACTGACTGAGGGGTCCAAACCTGGTGGGGGCAATCTACTTATTTTTCCTCTGTTATTCAAGATTTTCTAATTAAAGATGCTCATAAAATCATCCCAGCTGAGAGCTGGAGGGATATACGGCTCACCGGAGCTTTGACTGTTAGATTTGCTACAGTGCTGAAAAGGTTCATGGGATTATTATTTTTATTTTCCTCTACTAGGGAGGAGTAGAAGGCAGCCCTAATACACTTTTCTGAGAGATCTTCTGTAATCATTGAGACTATCTTTCCAGAGCAAGTTAGCTACAGTTGTTTTAGTGGAGTGTTGTATAGTTTTATCAAGATTTGTTTCAGCTCACAAGTTTTATGGCACATGGCTACTCTCTGATGTCTGATAGTCTTTTGTTTGAGAGGAGCCACTGAATCAAGAACGGCTCACAGCAAATCAGAATCCTCAAGGAATTGGTCGACCTAAGAGGGACTAGTGTTCGTGAGGGAGTTTTCAAATGAGTCTGGATAAAATACAGTATAGAGTAGCCAGAATGGCTTTGTTAAACTTAGCTACAGCGCTGTCAGACAGGAGCGAACAGTAGTCTATTTCACATATTTGTTATAGGTGTAGTGTAGTGTAGTCTGATAGGACAAATTTAAAGGTTATCTGAGATTGGGCATATAAAAGAGCTAAGCTACACTCATTGTAGTTACCATTTTCTGTAAAGTAGGAACACACTGAATAGCAGAGAGCAGGTGAAAGAGAAAACAGGCGAAGAAGCCAAAGCTAAGATGTGGAGCTAAGAAACTAGTTGCTAACAGAGCAAAAGAGAGAAAGAGCACAACCAATGAGATCATCGAGGAAACAAGTGGTGCCCAGTGAATACAAGACTACTTCAAGAACTGCAGTGACAAGAGTTTATTTGAATGAGAAAATAAACATAAAAGATAAGGGTAGCTAACAGCTAGCAGCAGCAGAACCCTCGGCTAATACTACCATCAAATGCTCCCACCCTTGCTATCTGGTTTTTCCAATTTTTTTTGTCTTAAAGAATAAGCCTTAATTTAAAATTTACATGCTGAATCATCCAAAGTGAGTTGACTTCTTTCTCAAATAATCAGATCAGGCTTGTATCATGTTCACACCCTGTCTTGTCTTTCAGTGTTAGCTGTCTGTATTGTGCTTGCTACATCAGTAGATGTCAACTGATTTGGATTAATAAAAAAAAAACTGAAATAATGTGCTTTTCTGTGATCTATCTTCAGATCCAGAAAGTGTTCCAGGAGCCAGGCTCTCCATCAGTCTCTCTGGTGTATGTGGTAAAAAATGAAGACGTGATTCTTAATGGGACAATTTCTAGTGGCCTCCTCAACCAACTGACAGCAGAGCTGGTGGGATACTTTCTATTCTACCCTCCCCTGGTCATCGCTGAACGTAAGCCAAACCACAATGCACCATGTTGTTCCTGGAAACTGTCCAACTTGCTGAACTTATTAATTGGCTGCAGCTGGTCATTATTTTATCAGTGCACAGTGCCACAAAATCTAACATCTAAATTCTTATAAAAGGGAACTTTTTAAACCCGAGTCAGGTAGAGAAGATACCTGCATTTATTGGCTGGTGGATAGACTAGCTTACTTGGGATCTGAAATGACAGCAGCTGCATTTGTTTTAACGATTGCAGAGGCCTTACAAAGTTGAACATATTGAGACTATTTGCTGAACGGGATAGAGCTGTTGAGCATGTATGCTCCCCACTGCATGAGATCAGTTTATCTAAACTTGTGTTGTCTCATGTGTGCACAAACCTAAACCAGCCCCCATGGGGGTGTAATTCTTGTTGTATCTTCAAATTGTGACAGGGTTTCAATCAGGAGAGCCAATTATATTTTTTACTTATATATTGAACATAGTTGATGCAAAAAAAGAACTTATTGTGAGGAAATATTTGGTTCTGAACCTCTACTGGGTAAAATGGTGGTATAATAATTGATTCAAAAGAAAATCAAAGTCTTGACTTCAGCTTGTGTTTAAACCAGTAACATGAAGAAGTAAATAACAACACTGTATTTTACTAGAAGTAAAACAGTGTCCATGTGTTTGGACACCTTCAAGTGAACAAGCTCACTGAAGACTGACCCAGCGATCAGCTGATGTTGTCATCAAAAAAATGCTGTTTTCACCTGGTGAAATAAAAAGTAAAAAATAAAAAAATATATTAAAAATAAATAAATATATGAAAGATGCAGCTGCCGTTTTGTGTGAAGACACAGATTTGTTATGTTATTTGTGCTCTTACTGTTTAGCCTACAACCAAATAGCTTCTTGTTAACATGTCAGTTAACAATTAATGGTTTGTGGTGTAATAGGTACAGCATGAGATGGCTCAATATTAACTAACTGAAAGGGGGGTAGGTACACTACCTAGTAGTGTAGGACATGCTTTTGACAATACATCAATTCCAGCCTTTAAAATTGGGACAAGGACATTGACCATTCCTATAAAACCCTTACTTGAGGGTTTATTGCAGAGCACACAGATCAATGTGAGGAGCTGATGAGAACAGCTGATGGCTAAATATAAGTGGGTATGCATTCTGTGTTGTACATACTCATAACTTATCAACATCTCTCTTTCTTTCTTTAGCTCTTGAATACCATAATCTCAACACCTCACTGGCGACTAAGAACTACTGGGTGAAAACGGGTAAATTGTTATCCATGCCTACACATTCACATAAACACAAACACAGGGGTGCTTGCTTGTTGATGAGTTGTAATCCTAAATTGTATGATCTGAACAAAAGAATAGCACGATTGTGGGCAATTCAGCAGAATGGTATTGGCCCTCTATCTTCTTTCTTTCCTCTCTTCCTTTCTTAGAACTTTCTTCCACATCTGATTAATACAAAGACTAAAATAATTGTCTGATGAAGACAGATTCAAAGTAATTGATCACTGTAAATTCATGACACCAAAACTTACTTATCAAGCAACTTAATTGTAATTAACAATGATGTATGAGTTACTTTTTCTATGAGTAGCAAAATTAGAGCTATGTCATCTTTACATCAGATATTTTTGTGTTACCATTGATGCTTTTATTTATCTGTTTCTGTTAATGCTTGTTTGTGGTGGAGCAGTTTTTAATTGATTCATCTGTGACCCTGTGTTTCAATTTTACCCCTACTTTTTGAAGATTCTCTCTGCAGTATTTTCTAAAACTTTTTTTTTCATGCCCACTGTCTCTTCACTCCTCCCCACACATAACCCACTGTGTTCTTTTATTGCTAGCCTTTTTCCTGCCTTATGTTGTGGTTTCAAACTTAAGTCCTACATCCCTTCTATGTCTGCCTAAGTATCTCTTTTCATGCAATGGTCCTCTTAAATCTTGTTGTTTCTCCTCTCAAAGTTATCCATGACGTGGACACCTCCGCCCTGGAGGCCAACTATCAGAGCTTTTCCAGCATGATGGAGCAACGGCTGGCTGAGCTCTTTCTGGTGGCTGGTAGGCAGACCTCTCAGACAGTACGAGCTCGGCGGGCCACTACATTGGGTGGTTACACTGTGCAGGTAGGTATATGCTTGACAATATTCCAGTTACACCATGCCTGCTTCCAGTGTAGCACAGGTACTCAGTAAGGATCCTTCTTAGTTAGGTAAGGGGCAAGCTCTTTGTAATCTGTCCTCGGATTTTTACTGATGTTTGAGTTCTTCGATATCTCAGTTATAATGGAGTCCTCAAACTCTTCTTATTGAAAGTGCGTTGTTCCTCCAATGCAGGAGTCAGCAAGGTGGAGATCGCTAGCATCAAGAGCTGCGTTTACATGTGCACAAATAATCAAAATAAATGCCTGATCAGAATAAAAATGTGTCATGTAAACATGTCGATCGGAAGATTCTGATCCAATTTGCCTCAATCCGATAGAAATTGTATTCTGATCAAGAGGGGTGGAATGCCAATCCTTATTCCGAAACGCATCCATGTAAACACGTATTCCGATCGTGACTCTCTAACCTGACTCAGTCTTCACTCTTTAGCCTTTGGCTTATTCACTGAGGTCAGTACAGGAGGTTCCATTATTAACACTGGTATAAAACACAACCACAGGTGCCGTGTCTGCTCCTCTGGTTACATAACAAGGCGTACATACAGCATAATGATGCCACATCTGCACGCACAGTGCAACCTTTGACAGAACAGTATAATGAGTAAGCAAGGGCGCCATCTGGTGAGAATATTTAACATGGGGGAAAACTCCTGAATTGGATGAGTGAGCCACTACCATGTTAGTTGGTTTGTTGACAGCACAGGCGTAAATACAACTCCTCTTCTTCTGCAATTGTTTTAGCAAAATCAGACAACTCTGCACATGTCCAAATGATTCTAATCTGAAAAAAGCTTGGTGCATGTATACGCACATCAGGATCGGATCATTTGATTTTGCACTCATATAAACAGTGGATTCAGATTATTCGATCCCTCAAATTTTTAAATGGCTCAAGAAATTTTGCCCATGTAAACACGACTAATGACTCAAGCTTCTTGTGATCATCCCGGATTCTTCACAGTTTAACATCTTAAACCAGCCACCATTGTGAACCTTTAAAGTTTAGGAGTTAAAATACCCAGAAAGACTGATTATAAATGCGCAAAAGATGGAGGATCAGTTTAAGTTGGGGAAAGTTAGAGCGAATGTGCTATGTAGACATCTTGTCTGCAGCATGTCACCCCCAGGACTGAATTTTGATTATGCCACAACACATGGAAGAGATTTCTCAACAATTATTTTTGTATGGATCTGATTTTCTTTTACTCATCTATTTATGTTTTGCTGATGTGCTCTCCCAGATGGTGAACATTCGTAGAATGCCTGGTCCCAAGAACCCAGTTGAGATGACATACTACGCCCACCTTCATGGAGCCCCCATTTTGGGAACCACTGCTGCTAAGACCCTTAGCAGTCTGGACCCCCAGACCATGGCTCTGACACTTGGATACTTTGTACAAGTACAGGCTGAACGTAAGCTTGTCCACTTACTGTGCAGTGCTGTATGACAATTAACTTTGTAAGAGACACCATTATGTAAATGAAGGCTTTAGTAACAAGAAGTTTGACATCCATGGGAACTACATGAGTGTCACCCAGACAGTAGTTAGCTACAGACAAGAGTAGTCAATAAAGACAACGAAAAAGGAATAAGTGTAAGGACCGGGAAATAAAAGTGTTTTTTAAGTTTGAAAAAAATATTCAAACATAGCAGTTTGATAAATCATTAAATCGTTTAGTTAACACATGTACTTTTTTTATTGTTGGATTTTCCTTAGTGGTGATTAACAAGTAACATCTTATAGGTGACTTGAAAGAGTTAAAAAAACATTTATCCAATGATTTTTTTCAAATTGTGTCAATTGTTAATTTCAATGTTAAACAAACAAAGTGTGGTGGATGTCAAAATATGATTTAAATGTTTGCAGCCGTGGTAAAGATGCCCCCAAGCAACCTATGGATCATGGCGGTTCTGACCCCTCTCTTCTTGCTGTTGGTGGTCATTGGCATGGTGGCCTTCATTTTATGTAAGAGAAACAGGGTCATCTTCAAAGCTGGCGCCTTCAGGACCTTTAAAACCCGTTCCAAGGTAGGAATGCCATTCACAACTACACTATTGTCTCCTTATCTTGCTTATGATACGGTGCATTTTATACATGTATATTTTTAGTGGTTTAATTCACATGGACCGATCAAATGAGTGAAATAACCCTTTTTTTAGATGGGCTTTTGTCTCACCAAAATACATACAGTTAGTCTTGTATATTTTGACCATGAGAAAAATACACTGGTGAAACAAAAGTGGTCCAAAGGGAGATTTCAAGATGCCATCTTGATCAGTTGAAATCATGGTTATAGTCTGAGAACTTAGACTGACCATACATTAAGCAGCACCAAAACTGATGGTAACCAGAACCAGCTTTAAGATGTATTTTGGCCAGCAGCTGGCTGTTAATGGTTTACAGTGACTCCTTAAGGCAGTGGTTTCCAAAGTCGGCCATGTGCCCCCCAGGGGGGGCGCGACAAGTCTAAATAAAAATAATGCACATTGTGTTGTACTGCTAACCATGGCAAATGTCAGCAGACCTCCAGGAAAACGCAAGGGCGACAACAACACTACATCAAGACCAAGTACCGATCAAAACTGGACATTGAAAATGAACTGAGAGTGGCAGTCTCACAGCTGCACCCAAGACTGGGGAAGACCTGTAGCACGAAACAAGCGCACAGTAGCCACTGACTTATTTTAGGGCTGACAGAATATATTTTAAAGATGTTACCTAAGTTTTCAAATTGTTCATCCTCAGAAAAAAGAAGTTTAAAAAATTGTTAAAAGGTATTGCTGTTGTTATTTCTACAAAGTTTTAATTTTCATTTAAGTAAATTGGAAAAACAATAGCAGCTTATGACAGACAGTGTGTTTTTTTATACATTCACATATCTTTCTTTTACATGTTGATGTGTACAGTCAGGTGTAGGGGGGCCTGAAACAATTTTTATCTGCTAAAGGGGGGCCGGCAGAAAAAGTTTTGGGAACCACTGCCTCAATGTGTCTTGTTAACCTGAACCATGACAAATGCAAACTCAACACACTGGCACAAAGGTAAAGTCTGTTTAATCAGAAAAAAAATGCCAGTACACAGGCAGAGGTAGCCAATCCAGAAAGCAAAAAGCAAGGTAAAAAAAACCCCACTGAAATAGGGTCAAAAACACAGAGGCAAACACCAGAAACAAAGGCTGTAACTGTCACACAGTGGGCAAGACAACCTGGCACAGGAGGAAGGGAACTCTGGGTTTAAATACACCAGGACAGTGGGGTTGAAAAAGACAAAGATGAGACACATCAGGGTGATCAGCGGAGCAGGTAACACAAGGAGGAGCGAGTCAAAATACCTGATACAAGAGGCGAGGATGAGTATTTAAATAAAACAGGAAACACAAGACAAGAAGCATACAGGCGAGAAATACAACAGTTGAAACAATCATGATGAGATAACATATCCTACTTAAGAAAATTTTACGAGAGGTAGTGATGTGCTACTGGATATCAGTAATTATTTGATCCATTTGTAGGGACGAGGCCAAAGACTGCATACTGAGGAGAAGAGTGTTAGAAAAGAAGTGAAACCAAAAGAGTGTGGGTCTGAATGACTGAAGACACTTTCTAAAGTTTCTGACAGCCTGCAGAGTAGTTCAGGGCTGCAGTAGTAAAGTGTTTTAGAAATCAGGTATCCTGTAAATTGTACTGACAAATAATCAAGTAAGGGCTGATTAGAAGTTTTGCACACTCAGCATATTTTTAAATTAAATATATGCCTTTTTTGCTGTAACTCTAATAATTTGCCTGCTGTGGGGTTATTAAAGGAACATTTTTCTTTTTTTATCACTTAGACCTAAAAAGATGTACTTGAACCTCAGACTTACCAGTGCACATTCATTTATTAAATACTAATCTACAAAAATTATACAAAGAAATATTTTATTTCTATGACACTTGAGTTATAGCAGTTAAAGTAACCACTGAAGACTAAGGGCTCTATTTTCGTGCCTGCTGGCGCCGCGGCGGATGGTGGCGCGGTGGACGGTGCCGCACCCCACGCAGTGGTATTTTCGTCAGTTGGAGCCTGGTGCACTGCCAGTTTGGTATTTTCGTAGACTGAGGCGCACCGACGTCCACCAAGCTGGTGTGGTGGCACAGCAGGGGGAGGTTTCGACAGAATCAGCAGACGCAGTGACATTTTTGTGCTCGCCGCTGGCATGGAAAGTGCGCTGAAAGCTCGCCGATTTAAACCTGGTCAACTTTCACTGCAGGCAGAGCACAGCTGGTCTAGTAGTATTTTAGTAGACCGCTGGCGTAGTGCACATACGTCACCAATGCCTCACCGGCAGGTTTCCACAGTGTCAGCCACATTTCAGTGCAATAAATAATCATCAACAACCGTTTTGGACACATAACCTGACCGAGCTGAAACCGCATTAAATGAAATATCCAGTAAACAGTCACACATGATGAAGTTAACAAGATATTTAATTAGTCTCCCCCCTTTTTATTCTTCTTCTTTGCGCAGCTCGACTCAGACATGTCTCTGTGTCCTCTCCCCATCCTGCTGCTGCGGTGGCAAGACTGAACAGATGATTTATATTAGTGATCAGATGAGTTATTTACTTTGAAAATTTGAACAAAAAAATAAAAGAAACTTTCATTCAAAATTACCTGTTTGTTAAATGCTCTCACATCCTTAAAATTCTGTAAATATTCAATCTGGAGTCAGGCTTACATACAAATATCATAATATTCAGTTGCATGAGCCAAGTTCATTTTATACGCCAACATCAATGAAAGAAAGAGCCAGGCCACGGAACACGATGCATCATTTACGCACAGATGGTTCTGATTTTAATGCCATTATTGGAATTTATGTTGTGATCTGTGCGCACAACCCACCTTTGTCACATGAGGTTTGAATATGTGCAACTTTATGTGAGTGTCTTTATTTGTGGAAAAGGGTGTTTGTCCTCCCAGTGGGTCCTCTCTGTGCTCATATGAGAGTGTGAAGGACGCCCCCTGCAGTACTTACAGCGTCACTTGTTGAGGGGCTGCCTTCTGTCGCCATTGTGTGGCATTGTTGTCTTCAGCCATCTCTTGACCACTTCGACTACTTCACGAAAATAGTAATATGCCTCGCCGGTGGCGGATTAAAAGGTGAGGAGAGGAGCTGATGTGATTGGTGAAAACAGGTCTCGCCTGTGTTTAACCCTCTACACGCCCTCTCTACGACTTATGCCGCTGGGAGGAGCTGAGTTAGGGAGGGGGGATACTTGCGCCAGGCTGCACCGCTCACCAAAATACCAAAGTGTGCTTGGGCACGCCTTGTTTGTGCGGCAGACCTGACTTACGCCACACCTGCGCCAAGCCGCTGCCAGCAAGGCACGAAAATACAGCCTAAGAGCGTAAATGCCACTCATTATTTGTGTACCATTTACACAAACCCTGGCTACGCCCCCTGCACAGTAGCAGGGGATTTGTGTGGAAACAAATATCTAAACAACAATGATGAAAACAAACCTCTTTTCTTTGCCAACCATGTCATATTATGAATTTATAGTCAAAATATACTGTACATATTAATTAAAGTAAACAGTAAAATGATTAGACAGCTGAATAACCCTGTCTTTCTATAAACACTTGTGGATCAAATATTTACAGGGATCTTCCTTCTTCTCTTCCTCTGAATTCAGTGTGCATGTTAAGGATGATAATAAATTAATTAAGCTATATATCTAGCTAAATGTAATTTGTTGGGTGAGTGTTTGAGTGTTATAATGCTAATAAATGTAAGTGAGTCATGAAAGGCTGTTCAGAGCTCATGTCTGATAGTTGATATAGCTGAAACTCTGAGCCCAATGTGAAATACAATCATCTTTGTTGTAGCATGGATTTAAACAAAGGCTTGGGACAATGATTAACTTTTTTTAATGGAGTTACTTGATCAATATGAGGAACTATTTTAGCCCAGACATGAATTGTTTAAATAAAACAAGATTTCAATACAGTATCATGACAGACAGGATATGATTTCAAAAAGTTTTGCTTTAAAAAGTGAAAATGAATAATTCAAGTGGAACAATTTATCTTTGGTAACATGATTATTTTTGCTCCTCCTGACCCATTTTGTATCCTTCTGTAGGCTTTGTGATTTTAACGATAAGACAGTGAATGTTAATATATATGATAGCATGAAAGATAAAACTTTCTATAAGTGCAGCAGTACTTATTGATGTTTTGATTATGTAGTCAACTGGAGTTTTACACAGTTTTAGGATTCAGCTAACTCAAATAAGGTGTGTCCTATCCCCATGGGGTACTTTAACCCTCAAAGAAGGAACGAATGATTTGACTCTTATCCTGAAAAACCTTTTTGATAGTCTTAATGCTTTCTCTTGCCTTCTTTGATTTCTCCACCTCAGTTCTGGCCTCAGCTAAGTTCTGACCTTTGCTCTGGTCCATTCTTTTATGTTGTATTATCTTAACCTCTCCCTACTTTAACTTTCTTCCTGTTTAGACCTCATATCGAAGAGAGGGCAGTTACCATCACCAGGTATCCACTTTAGACACTTGGAGAGTGGATTAGACTAACCAACAGAATGAATACATTTTTAATGAATCCATGAGCAAAAGCTGCTTTGTCTGCTGCTTTAGACTGACTAACTGTGCTGATCAACTTGTGCAGAATGCATAATACATCTGTATCTGTGCTGTCTGTTGCTATTACCCAGTATATCTGTGCTTGTGGCGATTGTGTGGACATGAGTTATTCCACCATACTCACTGGATATTGAGATAAACTGGCAATGAAGAGAGAAATAGTTATGTGAAATTTATGTGCATGTTTATTGGGATTTGAATTGATTTGGTCTGTCAGGTCAAGTTGGAAGAAGACAATTTAATTTCAGGCACATGAACTTGAATAACAAAACAACACCACAATACTAAGCCATCTACAGTTTTGGTACGCATTTAAAGTGACTCGAAGAAGTTTCATTACCCTTGGTTGCATATGACAGTTTCTTATCTGACTCTGTTTTAACTTTTTATCTATCCAGATAAAAAGCTTATCTGATCCCATTCTTTTTGTAAATGCTTTAAGTTCTCCCAAGCATAATGTGAGCTTCTTTTCAAGCCTAGCTGATAGAAAGGACTCATGAAGACCTTAGAGTTCTTACAGTTAATTATTTTTCTGTTAATGTCGCGATTACAGTCGCTTTGGTGGGGCATAGCTGCCGCTTTGCAGGTTTCTTAGAAGTACCATAGCTCTTAGGGATACTCCGGTGTAAATTTAAGTTATAGTCAAACACACTATAACACCGAGTTAGACACCCCCTCGAGAGATGAATGTTGCCGACTGCTTACTTCTCTAGTTATACCAACACAGCAATACACAGCAGTCTACGTCACAACGCAAAAACCTTAACCAAAAAGTAATGCTCAGAACAGCACCTAACTTCATCAACAGTACATATAGGGTCCCAGCCATAGTACTAGCCACCAAACATCTTTTTAGCTTTGCCTGGTTTCATTTGCAAAGAGACCAAATACAACTCACCCACTATCCTCCAGCAGTAGCTAGTTTTTGGGGGGAGCCCTGATGAGTCGATCACCGAGTGCAGCGGATCATTTCCATGAAGTAATAATCATCATTATAATCATTTTACACTGCAGACGCGGTAGTTCCTCTGCCTTAGCATCTCTGTCTGTTTGCGTTTCCATGAAGTAATAATCATAATTGTTCCTCCTTGAGCTGCGAAACTCCGCTGTACTTGGTGATCAACTCTTCAAGGCTCCCCCCACAAAAAAGTGGCTTTTGGTTGAGGTTTGCGCATGGAGATGTAGACCGCTGTGTATTGCTATTGTGCGGTCTTTGCTGCAGTTGGTATAACTAGAGAAGCAAGCAGTCGGCAGCTTTCATTTTTCGAGGGGGTGTCTAACTCAGTGTTACGATGTGTTTGACCCTAACTTAAATTTACGCCACAATATCCCTTTCAGTGAAGGTTTCAGGCAGGCACATGCACCCTTAGGCTTGAGCAACTGCAGTTTCGCTTCCTTTGGTGAGACTGCCCTTTAAATGAAATAAGACATTTTTGTATGAACTAGTGAAGCATTATTTTGCTGTTTATTTATGTGCATCTTCTCATGTATCCACTCTGGTGTGTAGTAGGCATACTGATCTGATGTGCACTCCCACCATTTTCCCTGCCAAAGCTGAATTTTAATAAATACAGCCACAGGAGGAGTAGAAAATTTCTCATCCATCTGCTGTACCTCATCAAGCAGCTGTTGGCAGCTACTTTGAACTAGAATCATACCAATCATAAGCTTCTACTTGAAAATACAGGCAAAGAAAAAGGGTTGCCAATTTAGAGTCCGAACATCCTTGTTTTTTGGTCACTGTTCAATATAGATGTGGAGAAAATAAGTAATTGATCAGTCCTCTTACATCTATGGAAAAATGACCCATGGTCTCACTGTACCTAACTTCCTAATGGCTCACTGAACTGAGCTGCAAGTATGGGTTTAAAAGTGACCATTTGTGAAGCAAGTGGATCCAAATGAATTTCTGTAAGGCTCAGATGCAAATATTTTCAAGCCTCCCCATCTGTTACCTTGCACAGTGAAGTGGACGCATGTCCAATGGCCTTGTACACTGAAACACATTATCAGACGTCTCATTTACTTAAAATTTCCATATCTTAACAATGATTTGGAAAAATGTAAGACATACAGAATTGCAACTTCAGTGTATGGCATCCAACTGAACTGTCAACAAGCCATTTTTACAAAGGACATTATCAGAAGTGCAACATGCAGCTTCCACATCTCACTGTTGGTGGTGGTGAAGCCAAGGGTGAGGTATTATGTCATAGTTTCTTGTCTTTGTTAAGTAATTTTGATGTTCTGTGTGCACTAATTTTTCTAGCCTCATTTTTACCTTATACCAAATTCCTCTAACAAATATGTCCATGCTTATTTGCAGTACAGAACAGTGTGTTTGTATCAAACCTTGCCACATCCTCCCTGTGCAGCCCGCTATGAATCACTATGTTTGGCAAAAATGCTGTCAGTTGTCCCAAAAGAGGATGAAGGGATAAATAAAAAAGAAGGAATTTGAGTGTAAAAAGAAGAGATCAACCCCAAGACCTTCAAGAACAAACTGAGTGGTTTTTCACAAGTGCAATAAAAGAGAGAGAGGCTAAACGTCAGACAAACTTTTCAAGGTTACACAGGCACATGCACGCTCACTCACACAGAAGAAGAAAGTCATTGACACAAGTGAGCCAGAGCTACACTCTGACATCATCCTGGCCCTTCGAGGATGTGTGTCCCATTCCTCACCTATTCTTTCTTTGCCTTTTGTGTGTCTGTGTGCATGTGTACTTCATGTATCAATATCCCCCCACTCTTCCTTGGCTGTAGCCGAAGTGATTAGGCTGGTTGATGGCGCAGCTGTGTGTTGAAATGATAAATTATTAACAGGCCTATCAGACAGGCTGCCTAACCTCACATGCACTCAGAATTTAGTATGCATCAACAAATGCATTACATGGCCTATTTTAGAAGAGCTCAAAATAGAACGGGAGGGCAGAATTCAGGTTTTGTTACATAACCTGAAAGTGTCTCTTCATCGCTTTTACTTGTTCTCTGTTTTCCAGAAGGAAGGGCACCGAGTTATCAGAGACAGTGTCTGGTATTGGACACTCTAAAAGCACAACACCTGCTCTTTCTCTTTCCTTCTGTATGCCGAAGCTCCTTATTTCTTTTGAGAGAACGATGCCATGCTAGCTGTTAGCATCTCTGCTATCCATTCAGCAGTATATTCAAGCAACAAAAAAAAAAAAAGTCTAAAATTAAAACTACAATGCTGATAGGCTCTCTAAACACTCCACTTCACCTGACTGACAAACATAAACCATCCATCCATCTATCTTTCCATCCTTCCTTCTATCCTTATTTATAAGACACCAATTCATAGCAAATATTTTCTCAAGATGCTTTGCAAAAAGAGCTTGGCTAGATCATACTCTTCAGTTATATTTACAAAGACCCAGTGTAAAGATGGGTTAAGATTGAGTCTCAACTAGTAAGATCAGACCCACTGTTATGCCATCTCAATCTACCATGAGTGTGACGCTTTACCAAATTAAAGTTGGAAGAAGAAAAACTTCCTTTTAACAGGCAGAAGCCTACAGAGCCCCTGAAGGGACATGGATGAAAAAAATAAAAGTTTTTTCTTGAGATTTTTGCGAGATCTCGCAAATATTGTCTCAGGAGTTCTTGGACACTTCCGTGTCAATTCAACAAAAATACTGGAACGTACGCAGCCGTGGGAAAAGTTCATTGAATTTTATTTTGAACTAATTTTCTGCCCACCTTGTCCCTTTGCATGCACTTGATGTCCTCGTTTGGGACGTCTCTGGACCGTAGGAATTCTTTCAAATTGTCCTCGAGCATGACTTGTGTTTTATAAGAAAATAGTGCCTGCATCACAGAACTGATATAATGTCTTTTGATCTGTGGCCAATCTCAGAAAGGATGCAATGAACCTCTCCCACAGGTGCATGCATTCCATCGTTTGACTCGACATGGAAGAAATACAGAGATATATTCTCCTTTTACTTGTAACCCTTTGACAACTTTGCAAGATCTCGCAATAGTTTTGTGAGAGCACACAAGAGATCTCAAGAAAATGCTTTTTTATTATTTTTTTCTTCATGTCCCTTTAGGGGCTCCGTAGAACCAGACTCGTGTTGGTCGTCTGCCATAAAAATGTGCCATAAATGCACTGCAGGTCAGGTAGCTTATTGGTCGACTGTAGAAAAATGAAGAAAATGATCCAATCGCACTGCCTGCCTGGGCGGTGTGTGTAGGTAAGCTCATTCATTTAAATGTAACATGCAAGTCAGTTGGTTAGAGCAATCACACAGCCCCTGCGTGCCAAGTATTGGTCTGTCACTCTCACAAACCAGTGCAGTGTGGAGAAAAACTAGATAACAGGAGGCTGAGCCAAAACTGTGATATTGTTATGTCTGTTGATGTTATGGTAAAATAGAATACAACTTAATATCTCCGGTCTTAATATCTGTATCAAATGAGCTATGACCACAAAACATTACTTTACATTCACAACTTCCTATATTGATTTGGCATTCAAGTATGCACTTGAATTTAATCTAACCAGGGGCACTGATGGCCTAGCGGTCTATGTATAGAGGATATCGTTTGCCTTGCAAGGGCCACTGGTTTGATTCCCAGCCCTTACCCTTCACTGTATGTCTCCTCCCTCTTGATGCTCCCCACATTTCTTGTCTCTTCAGCTGTCCTGTCTAACTGAGGCAAAAAAAAATTCCCAAAATATAACTTTTAAAAATTAATGAAACCATAAATGAAACCAGATCAAGTATTTTACAAAACCCAATTCCATTGAGGTTGGAAATTGTGATAAATGTAAATAAAAACAGAATACAATGATTTGCAAATCCTTTTCAACCTATATTCAATTGAATACACTACAAAGATAAGATATTTAATGTTCAAACTCATAAACTTTATTCTTTTTTTGCAAATAATAATTAACTCAGAATTTCATGGCTGCAACATGTGCCAAAGAAATTACAGGGGCATGTTTACCACTGTGTTACATCACGTTTCCTTTTAACAACACTCAATAAACGTTTGTGAACTGAGGAGACTAATTGTTGAAGCTTTGAGGGTGGAATTCTTTCCCATTCTTACTTGATGTACAGCCTCAGTTGTTCAACAGTCCGGGGTCTCTGTTGTCGTATTTTACGCTTCATAATGCGCCACACATTTTCACTGGGAGACAGGTCTGGACTGCAGGCAGGCCAGTCGAGTACCTGCACTCTTTTACTACAAAGCCAAGCTGTTGTAACACGTGCAGAATGTGGCTTGGCATTGTCTTGCTGAAATAAGCAGGGGCGTCCATGAAAAAGACGTTGCTTGGATGGCAGCAGATGTTGCTCCAAAACCTGTATGTACCTTTCAGCATTAATGTTGCCTTCACAGATGTGTAAGTTACCCATGCCTTGGGCACTAATGCACCCCCATACCCCATACTGTTCCCAATAAGCTTGCTCACCTGTGGGATGTTCCAAATAGGTGTTTGATGAGCATTCTTCAAATTTCTCAGTATTTTTTGCCACCTTTCCCAACTACTTTGTCACGTGTTGCTGCCATCAAATTCTGAAGTTAATTATTATTTGCAAAAAAAAAACAAAAAAACAAAGTTTATGAGTTTGAACATTAAATATGTTGTCTATGTAGAATATTCAATTTAATATAGGTTGAAAAGGATTTGCAAATCATTGTATTCCATTTTTATTTACGATTTACACATCTTCCCAGCTTCATTGGAATTGGGTTTTGTAAAATAAATGAATGTGGGCTGGCAGCTCGGCAGCAGTCCAATTGACACACAGCTTGTTTAAACAACACTAATGGCACAAGCTGCAGCACTTTTTCGCGAATGAGCTGTCACATGCTACACAAGCATGCTGTATGCATTTACTATCAAGCCATGTGTTGTACAGTGGTACATCTATTTCTTAATCCGAGACACTCTTACTCTTAAATACCAGTGCAGACAAATATTTGTTTCCTTGTACTTTGTAGGCCACACCAGAGTTTTTTGGTGCACCAGAATTTACGGAGAACTTGTAATTGAGCATTTTGTCAAATTGTCTTGGGATCCAACATCATCACTACATGCATCCGTCTGCTTAAGTGCACAAAGATTGCCAAACTGATTTTGCAACTCTCATTTTAAAACTCTACCATTATTAGATACGCTTACTCCTTTTTATACCAAGCATTATGGTGAGCATGCAATAAAGTGTATAACTGCTTTATCATGCAGTGATCATTATTTGGGTTGTAAGTCACACTGAACAAAGACATTTCCCTTAGCTATCGACCTGTGTTACCTATAAAGAAAGAAAAAACTCATTACAGTATTGAAGTGTAGGATCAAGAACCAAGTCTGACTCAAGTCTTAATTTTCACTGGGACTCTGAAGATGGAGAGGAGGACTCAGACTGATTTAATTAAGAAAAAAAAAAAAATAAAATATTTTTTGTCCTTTTTCTGTTCGGCACTAATATTTTATTCAGTTTGTATAAGCTGGTTCGTGCGTTCACCTGCATGTATGTTCACATGTCATCTTGTTCAGCTACAGTTCCTTCCAGGATGACTAAAAGAGGTGCCATATTGGGAGTTTTGCTTTCCAACTGGTGTAACTTGTGTGATGCACATTTACACACCATGCACAGCTCTGTACCTTCATTGACAATTTAAACCTCCAGACACTTTGAGGGGATCAGTCAGAATCTAATGTAAGACATGAAATGTGTTTTCTGAACATTCAAAAGGATCTGCACAGTCAATGCACAGTACAGGCCAGGCTGACATCCCAACTTCATTGGAATAGCTGTTTATAGTATTGGCAATGGTGACTCAACCCAGTCCTCGACTCAGGTAATGGAGACTTGACTTGGATTCTTCTGTCGTGACTCACATTCCACTTTGACATCTTGAGACGTGGTCAGATTTCAAGTTTGGCTATTTGACTACAACACTGGTTGTGCTCTATCCCGTGCTGCTTTTTTGTGAACTTGCATGTGCTTTGAGTGTTGACACCTGTATAGCAATAACTCATCCATTGTAACGGCCATAATGATGGTAACAAGCATTTAGAAACACTAGAAAGATACTTTTGAGAAGATATTAGTTTGGAAAAGTATCATCCAAGGCATGATCCTAGCCAATCAGATAAAAACCTCTCCTCTACAAGCAACTAGGGCTGCACGATTTTGGCCAAAACTAAAATCCCAATTTTTTCTCTGAGAACTTGATTTTGATTTTAATTTTGATTGTTTATTCAGTGACAACTTCACCAAACTTAGCTCTAATAATAAGTTTTTCTATCATCTCTAAAAATGAAACTACTGAAAACAATGTAGTACATATGCCAAGCCAGTAATTGGTGCTGTAACACTGCACAGGAAATGCACAAAAGACAGAAGAAGAGTACAGAGCATGCATATAAAGGTTGTTTTGGCTGAACACGCTCAGGCGCCATAAAAGAGTTACACTGAGTGTGACATAATCGTTTCGAGAGTTGCAGATAGGCATCCACACAGAGATGAAATGGTAGTTGTTAACGGATATATGCACTCTCTGACACATTTTCAAAAAGTACCATTTACAGTCACCTGATACGCCATTCCATGTGGATGAAATGCCGTTACGAGAAAAACTTGAATTTGTTAATACCGGGTTGATACCACCTTCAGACAGACTTTGCAGCGGGGGAGTGATTTTCTCTTCATCCGAAACTGCAAAGCCATACCACTTCAACACGACTGACTTGCTCTTTTCCTATATCGCCATGAAATTATTGGCTTCATTGTAAATGCCATGTCTGTTTACACTGGTGTGTGTGGGAACTGGGGAGCACTCTCGCAGGAAAGAGGAGCCTAACGTGGCCTGAAGGCGTGAGGCATGATAGAGAGGATAATCGATTTGATGATTTAAGTTTTTTTGATATAGTCATAATCAAATAATCCGATTACAATTTGAAATCAATTAATCGTGCAGCCCTACAAGCAACAATAGCTTTGACCTCGTGGAAAACAAGATTTTGTGACCCTTGGTGTGTTTCCTTGTTTCCCCTACCAGCCGGTTCAGGGCTTCGACTATGCCAAGAAGCACATGTGCCGAACAGGTGATGAGACCGTTTCTGTTACCAAGGAGACTCTTGTGCTCGGACTGCCTACAAGAGATGCTCCACTGTCACTCTCCTTGGATAACAAGATCCACCAAGATGGGACTGCCAGCAAGAGGCCTCCATCAGCTGACATACACAAAGGAGGGTGAGAAATTACAGGCAAACATTTATAGCAAGGTGCAGTGCAGCTATAGTTAAGACTCAGGGCTCAAAGCTAGCTTCTTTTTTTTTAACCACTTGCCCAACACTGATGAGGCTGCCTGCAGTGTCTGCAGACATGACTTGTAAACTTCTTTGATCAGCCTTATGAGAGCAGGCTTTGGCCAGTGCTAGTTATTTCAAAATGCCAATAAGGAGCATGATAATTATGATTACCTTGCTTTTGTATGTGTTTCTCACAAACACGGTGAACGGTAAATGGATTGTGTTTTTTAAGCTATTTCTCTAGTCCTCTAGTGTCGTATTTACTCACTCATCCTACTCTCATGTTCACATTCACGTCATACATTGATGTCTTAAATTATGAGAACGAGATATCACTTCGGCCCTCAGACTAATGTATCTTTTCCACCCCTCTTTTTTACTCATTGGCCTCTGGATATTGTTGCCATGCAATACAACAGGAGGTTGCAAAGTGATGAAGATGGCTCAGTGTCAAGCAATGGGTCTGGAAAGCTTAACACCAGTAAGAGCTCCTCAGCCCACAGGCCAGCAACCAACAACAGCAGCAAGAATGGCAAGGAGGAGCTGCACAAGAGAAGCACAAATGGTGAGGAGGTGCTGAGGAAAACAAGTCAGGGAGGAGATATGGAGGGGCAAAGGGAGACAGCAGGGAATGAGAATGAGTGTGTTGGGAAGAAGGAGAGGAGGGCTCAAAACCTTTTATTAAGGTTCTGGTTATCACAGCAAAAGTGTAACACTTATTCATATTTACTACTTTGTTGGTGATGACGGCAATTTCACCAAATGTGTTACACCTGTTCAACAGTTAGCAGTTAGCATTTCAGAAGCTGTGCTTATTTGTTAAACTAGAAGTCATGTATGAGGTTGCAGTTCAGAAAGGAGGAACTACATACAGTCTCAAATGAAATACTGTAAAATACATAATTGTCAAGTCGTAACTTTAAAACAAATCAACTATTTTTTTTTTGGATACACTGTAAACCTCATTTTTACGATTTATGATTATACCTTACTAATGCACTTTGTGGTGTGAGAGCAGTAACAATGCACTGAACAGTGAACAGACCAGAGTCGATAAACAGATAAGCACTTTCCTGAAGGTTGAGTGTGTAGAAATGGTAATATCTCACTGAATATAGAAGAAAGGTTTTGGACCAAAGTGCTCCCCTGCTTACCCCTCCAGTTGGTGAAGAAACAGTGGCCTTCAAGGACACAACGCTTGTGATGCATGATTAGTATGATCCCTAATTTGGCAAGTTTTACTGTCCAAAACGTCTTTCAATACTACTAGTTTGTCTATTTTGTGCTATGGTAAAATCATAAGGGTAGAGACAGTATTCTTTTTTAAAAGGGAACTGCTCCTATGTAGAAATGAAATGCTCAGTTCAAGTTAACAAGCTACTCACAAATCTTGTTTTCTGTTCTGCTGAAATACTGCCATGAAATACTACGCACTGCAACTTAATGCCAATGCCATAAAGAGAATTTATATCTGTGAACTATCTCTATCATCAAAACCAACTGGATGTCCACAGAAAAGGACAAAAATCTCACCATCCCTCATAATTTCAAAGGTGGATTAAAAACATCAAGAGTGAGGTATAGCCAGGAAGTATTGGGGCTTGGAGCTGGGTTTCTGGCAGCCTGTTGAAATTCTGTTTTAACCCTGTAGTTTGCCATCTGATATCAGTAAGGATACAAGTCCCAGTGGAAATACTGTCATGTCATACATACAGTAAAACAGAGAAACACAGATGATACCAGAAACAGTTAATATGCTGTTTAACTAATGCTCCCTAATCTGAGTAAGTGACAAATACTTGTCAAAATAGTTTTACTCAGTATCTTGCTTAAGGCTATTTGTAGGGACCAACTTAAATTGTAACCTGTAGAGGACAAATACAGTTTACAGTGTTGATGAATTTTATATATAAACTGCAGCTGTTTCCCAGTTTGCAGCTATGCCAAACTCAAGTAACCAGTTTCTGACTATAACTCTATATCTACTGTACTATGAATAGAGTCAGTACGTTCATGTTGGTCACAGTTTAATGGGAGATTGGGAAAGTGTTGTATAAAGAATATGAAATAAATTATATATTGATGTAACCTCTTAATTACTCAGTTATACTCAGAGGAAAGTTGATGAATAGAATCGAAATTGGTAGAGTTCATGATTCTTGCGAGAAATCTTATAGCCTGCAGTATAATTTTCTCTCTGCTATTTGTTTTCCTTTGCTTATCAGATCCTTATGAGGACCATTCAGGCTCCCTGCATCTTATCACAATCAAACCCATGACAGCACAGCCAACCTACTCCTTCCCATCCTCCTCATCTCACAGCCAAGACTCTGTTGTCCTTAATGGAGAGGTAATTCTGCACAGAAACACACCCAGTGCATACACACATTACACATGTAATGTACATGCACCCCAGAGATTTTATTGTACTGACTTGACTACAAGTAAAGTCTGCAACAAAGACAGTTGATGAGAGAGCGGAAGGTAGAGCGGCATCATAAAGAGGCACACATGCAAAAGAAATGGTATACAGCAGCATTGTTACTTTTCAGTCATATTGCTAGATCCATGTTTATTCATAAACCTATTAATCATTTACTATTAATCAGTGACATCACAGTGAGGATACAACAAATGGATAGTCTGATTGTGTCAGACATCACCTAATCTTTTTTTTTGTGTAAATTTTGGGAGAGATATATTTAAAAAAAAAAAAAAAAACTATGTCCACTTTTACACTATTTATTTAACCAGATAAGAACACATTGAGATCGAGATCTCTTTTCCAAGGGTGACCTGGCCAAGAGGTCAGCAGTACACATCGCAATAATCATGTAGACACAAATTTAGTCATTGTGGTTGACTAAATGAAAGAAAGAAATGAAATGCAAGTTTTGCATAAAACACATGTTACTCTCTCATTTAGTTCTGCGTCTGTGTATTCACATTTTTGGAACTATGCAAAAAACAAGTGTGGAAACTCAGACACATATTCCTCTAACTTTATTAAATAATAACTCACAGCTGACTGAAATAATCCTTTAACAAGTGCCCAGACAAGCATCGAGACAAATGTGAATTAGTTTGAATCAAGACTTGATTTTGAATCAAACCAGTGCCTCATTTTGTAATCAAAATCAAATCAAATCAATAAATGTTGAAAGACTCACTCTCTTGACATGAGCTGAGCTGCTGTCTTGTGCTTCTAGAAATCTTATCAGCACTGAACGGCAGACTGCACAGATGTTGGCTTTCCAGATGGTTACCATTTCAGCTCCAAGCACAAAACTGTTTTTCTACTTTATTCTTCTTCAATTTTATTTCATTTCCTAATATTTCAACTCTGGCCTGGCCCTTATACTCTTTGGTACTGCAGAAATGTCTTTCCTGATGCTTTGACAAATGTTTTTTGTTTTTTTTTTCTTATTTGTACCATTTTTAATCTACTTATTTTGTAATAAATCTGCATCAACATTTACAGTAGTAAAAGTTTTGTTGCAATGTCCAAGCAAACTAAACTATTGGTTAGGTGACAGAAATACTAAGGTAAAAGTATGTGAAGCACTAACAACAATAACCTAAAAATATTAATGAAATTGAAGTTAAATTGTATGAAACATTAAGTAGTACTGACACTAAAAGGATATGATAACCTTTGTAAAGACTTAAAATCTCTTAAGCAAAATCAGAACAGCCTCAAAATACGTATATGGAGGCAAGTAAATACAATAAGCTCATTAAAGTTTAATTAAATATGGTGTATTTGACAGACAAACCATGGTGGATTGAAGCAGAAGTCAGACATTGAGAACTACAGGAACAAACTCCGCCAAAAGGCCAGAAGAAAGGGATATGGGGAGTTCTCTCTATCTGAGACAGGCAACCACGGCTACGGTCACCGTGACACCAGGCTTAGCCGTCATGAAAACAGTGTAAAGGAACCAATGACTGCTGAAGAGAAGAGAGCCTCCTTTGCAGGATGCCATAAGAGGTATGGTCCTTCAAGAGGTTGTATTTTTCTGTTCCACATTTACAACAGGAGATGTAAAGTGACAGTGTTTGGTGTCCATACTTGATGTATGCAAAGTTTCAAATCACATGGTAAATGTATGTCGTAATAATCCTTGAAAATAGATGTGGACTGCTCAAAACGCTGTATAATTCAGGTGTGACTGATCATTGTGACTGCTCAGACACCTGGATTAATCAGTTTGTCCAATAATATAAGACAGGAAATAGTTCAGGAAGTAGTGGCTCTTACATAGAACCCATTGGCTTGTTGTCTGTGCAAAATACTGTTACTTAAAATGACCACCAGAGGTCCCTATGTCCTAATTTTTTATTATAACATCAAGCAACCCCACTACTTCATAGTCTGAGATATGATCAAAAAAATGTTTACTTTATATAACTATTGTTGTGCTGACCACATGTGTCATGGAAACCAGTTTCACAGAAGTGCTGCAACAAGGACCAGTGTGGTGGCTGCAGCTAAAGGCAGCTCACAGTAAGGTAGCTGAAAGAAACCTGCAGTCAGACAACAGTGATAACTTCACCACTGAGGCACTTTTGCACTACTCACCTTTTGGCTTTTTTTGGCTGTTTCAAGGTCAGTTTTTAACCTCTCACTTCTAGTGAATACTTTTGAAACTGGCACTTTTAAACCTTTTTGAAAGAGTTTACAACACTTTGAGGGAGTTCTGGTCATCGGATTATTGTACTGTGAATAAGCTTTCAGGCCATGATCATGCAGAACCTCCTTCAGGGTCTCAGTAAGCCCTGAAACAGCTGCTCTCCTCTCATGGCCAGGTGGATGCATGGAGGAGGATCCACACAAGCTCCAGACAAAACACATGGTCCCACTTTGATGATAACAAGGTCTCTTGTCTTTATGATGATCGGGGAGCCGATCCAGAGCTATCAGGACCAAGAGACCTGAGTGATGAGGCATAACGACAGTCCAGGAGCCAGAGGGATCTTCACAGAGGGAGCTGGCTGCTGAACTGAGAGACCAGCGTATAAAGGCTAATTTATGCTCAACGTTACATACAGATCTGGATACAGACAGACCTCTCCATTCGTGCTTCACGTTCTTTTCGTCCGACTTTCTGCACAAATCCTTGAAGTTTACAGATACGGGCCAGACAAAGTGGTACCACCGGAAACTGTGTGGGCAGCGTTGCTGCTGTCACTACCCGGCGAAGCAAGTTGTTGAATGCCCTGGCGGACATCCTGAAGTACTGAAGATGACGATTGCTGTCAATTTCTCTCATCGGTACTACTAGAGAAAAGAATATTCTGTCTTCTAACCGCGAGGCATTTAGTGGCCTGAACAATCACCTCCTCCTCCAACGCTGCCTCTGTTTCTGTCTCCTATGTAAAATATACATGATCACGAGCTCCACCAGAGTCGCCATGTTTCTTTTTGTTTGTTGTTGTTGTTGTCAGAAACTTTTGACCCCGGCCTGCCCCCCTGATGGATGTAATGGTTAACATCCATGCCAACATAAAGGATGCATGGAAGTATGTGGGCAGTGACGTAACCATCATTTGAAACAGACGCGTACATTGTCATACGTATGACGAGCAGAAATTAGCCTTAAGAGCGACCTGCAAACTTGACTGCTGGTTTATTCTACTATTGCATTTCAAACTGTTCTACACTGTCATTGCTTCTACACCTGTACACACACCATGTTTACAACATGCAAAGACCTGATACGGAGCATAAAAAAGCCTATTCAGACTGTCAAGCAATGTCACTACGAGCTTTTCAAAGAGTGTTGTCACAGACGGGAAAGACACTGCCAAGTTGAGTCCAAGTGATGAAGAAGACTGCGTGAATTTTGTCATTTCTTACATGAAGTCTGAGTCTATTGATGGATCAGGTGGCATAATGACACAAGCTACATCCAGCTCCATCTCATCCACAAACGTACTGCTTCTGATTCCAATAACACAGCGCAGCAGACACATCTCCACTCCCACACACAAACTAGCACAAGCACACAGACTGTGGAAAAGCTGAGAATGGGATGACCTCTCCTATCTTCAGCCAGGGACCACTGGCCTTGCCCTCACTAGGATCCAGCATGTTTTCAGAGAGATCTCCAGCTAGAGGTCCTCTCAAAGTGGCTAGTGTGCATATATCTTGGTGGTGGTAGATCACTCCTCTAGATTCACACAGGCCAACCCCACCAGGAGTGAAGCCAGCAAGACAGATGCTGACTGGGTCTTAAAGGTTTGGCTTTCCACAAATGACCAGGAAGGGAGTTTGAGAAGGAGTTGTTCAGAAGACTCCAAGAATTGTCAAGTGTTTGCCACCCTAGAACTTCGCCATATGACCATCAGGCCAATCCTGCTGAAAGGCTGAATCACACCCTATTGTAGACACTTCTGTCCTTTGTAGTGACAGAAATGGAGAATTTGAATGATAACCTGCCTGAACAAAAAAAGAGTTCAGAGATTTCTCCCTGCGTTACTTGTTAGTTACCACCAGCGTCTTCCAATCAAGCCTAACTTCGGACTTGCAGTGGATGAGAATGCAAAAAAGCCTCAAATTTGTGTTGTGGCTCTGTGGAAGTGCAACATGAAGGCCCAGCTGAGGCTGGAGTTCTACTTCCACAAAGCCACAGGGAACATGAAAGAGTTTCTACAGCTGTGGAGATAGTAAATGTAAAAACATTAGTCCAGGTATTTTTTAATATGTTAATAAAGTTGTTTTCCAAAATCCCAAAAAAGATTGTTCTTCTTCTACTTATTGTGCTTCTTCATATTCACATTCACACAGCTTATGTTGTGAAAATGAGATTCATTTTGCTTCTGTCCATCAGGTACTCTCAACCAAGGGAGCCCACCTATTGGAGCCGACAGTCTCTGAGCAGCCCTGGCCCAGTTGAGACAGAGCTGGATCTACTTGTGCTGAGAGAGAGATCGAGGAGGGGTATTCGCAATAATGGCTATGATGTGAGTTACTCTTTCACAGGATTTTTGTGCAGTTTTATATTAAAAAAAAGTTTGATGCAGTGATTCACTAGTGGTGTGACTCAGGAAACTAAGTGTCCATGACAGTGTTTGGTGTCCACCCATGATCAAGTGGATAAACTGCCCCTCTGTGTGCTCTGCAGGGTGAACCAGAACAGTTTGAGGAGACTAACGTTGACCGTCTTATGAGCTCCCTGGGTTACAGAGGTGGATCTACTGGCACTGGAACAGGAAGCTTGGGCGTTAAAGCTCACCGTGGCTCTGACTCCTCCACACTGAGCTCCCAACCATCGATTGATGAAGTCCGTACACAGATGCATATGTTGCTAGGCAATGCCTTCAGCCTAGCACCTCAGGACCATGACCCACCTTCTCCCCCAACAAAGTAAATGTTTCATTACATTTTCTAACACAACAGCCTCGTTTCTAGTATTGTGTTGTAAAGAAAAAATGCATCTCAGAGTACACAAAGTACAGTGTGCATTTCTGAACATGTGTCCTTGATAATACACAGTGTTCATGGAAAAAAAACACAGGAGAACTTGAGAGCAAAGGTGTCTTTCTGTTAACCCATTTTTATTTTATTAATGCCCCTCTCTTTTATCAGCAATCACCGCCACCACCACCATCATCATGCCCACAGAGCTTACAACCCCTCCCACACCAGCCACTACAGTGATGGGGTGACCAGTGCCCCGGGGACCATGAACCACCCTTGTGGGGGAAGGCAGAGGAGCACAGGCTATGAGGATATTCACCAGTGTAGCCTACCCAAACCGGTAAGCACTCTTAAACACCAGAGGTTGGAAAATGACTGTTTTAAAGTAGGTCTGTTTTTCAACCCACCAGTTTCTTCTGCTTTATCTCCAATAGATTTACTCAAGATTTACTCAATTTCATTAGGGGTTCTCACACTATTAAAAAAACATTTTTAAGATATAATAAAGGTAGAGGTTGAGCTGCATGATATGTATGGCTGACAATTTTTGTAATAGATAGGATTTCTGCTATGTATACAGCTCATGAGTTTTTGTCTAATCCTATTTAAACACTGCGGGGCCAGTCGGGGCGGTAGGGGTCAAGTGTCTTGTCCAAGGACGCTTCTGCTTTTGGATAGTCCTGGGATCGAACACCAACCTTCTGGTTGGGACTGACCGACTCTGCCACTGAGCTGCAGCTGCCACTGTTATATAATAGTTTTTACTTTTATGACTGCTTATGACTTGGATATTGCGGAGTAAATTTAAGTTCTGGTCCAACACACCGTAACACAGAGTTAGACACCCCCTCAAGAGATGAATGTTGCCGACTGCTTACTTCTCTAGTTATACCAACTTTAGTAACGACCGCACAATAGCAATACACAGCTGTCTATGTCTCCACATGCAAACCTCAACCAAAAAGCCACTCTATAGCCACAAGTAATGCTTAGAACTTCATCAACAGTACGTATAGGGTCCCAGCCATAGTACTAGCCACCAAACATCTTTTTAGCTTTGTCTGATTTCTTTAGCAAAGAGACCAAACACAACTCACCCACTCTTCCCTAGCAGCCGCTTGTTTGTGGGGGAGCCCTGACGAGTCGATCACAGAGTGCAGTGGAGTTTTGCAGCTCAAGGAAGAACATTTATGATTATTACTATATGGAAATGCAATCAGACCAACACGCTAAAGGTCCTTACACACCAGGCGAGAATTCGCCAGGCGAATTATTCGCCAAGCTTCCACACCGGCGGCGATTTGTCCGCGGGGCGAAAAGCCGCTTTTATTTTTTCGCTCTTGTGTCGAATTTTTCGGATATTCGCAGGCGAATATCTGGACCTGCTAGACCTCTGGCCAATCAAAAGTCATGTTGTTGATGACATCACAGACCCATACGGCTGGAGGAGAGGGAGAAGCTTGAGATTATGAAAACGCAGACAAAGACAGCTGAGGTGCATCCAAAACTCTTTCGAATTACTAATGAAGTAGTTTCCTCACAAGATGACACTCTCTTGTCTTACCTAGGAGACAGATGTCATGCACACTTCACAGGGTGACCGCCTCATCATGCCTGATTCTCCCTCTTAGCTGTTTGACATACCGATGATTTGCAGCTAAAGGGCCAACAGAATGAGCAGACAACTTGAAGGATCACTGCTCAGCCCTCGCCTCTCCTGGCTGCTGCGGCGTCTCTCACAGCTTTTCCTTTTCTTTCTCCCTCGCTCATAATGCTAGACATGTCAATCAGCAGCCGTTCACACGACACACACCACCACTGGCACCAAGAGCAACGATGGGAGAGAGGCTGGTCATTGCGGTACAGGACCACCTGCATCTCCTCTCCTCCGTGCCGCAAAGCGACTTTATTAATTCTCTTTGCAAAAAATATACGCATATTCGCTTCGAGCCCGGTGTGCATAGGCGAAAGCGATTTTTCGGACCGGCGAATATTCGCAATTTTCGTCTCGCTTTTTCGCTTCGCTCCGCAAATTCGCCGGTGTGTAAGGACCTTAAGGCAGAAGAACTACGGCGTCTGCAGTGCAAAATGATTATGATGACGATTATTACTTAATGGAAATGATTTGATATTATTACTGAATGAAAAGAATGTATTGCTATCATGTGGTCGTTACAGCAGTTGGTATAACTAGAGAAGCAAGTGGTCGGCAAAATTCATCTCTTGAGGGGTCCAAGGGGAAGTAGGGTGAACCTACTAAAAGTGCACCAGTGGGTGGTGTGTGGAAAATTTACCATATCTGTGTAGTGCCTTCTCAAGTCTTCTTACTCATTACATGTCATATCCACCTTCTCAGCTCACATTCATTAACTGATGGCAGGGATTGCTGTCTAAAGCAGCCGTCAGTACTACCAACTATTCCCATTTACACATCGAGCAATGTTAGGGTTCAGCATCATGCCCAGGGCGCCCCAGTGAGTGGACAGGTTTGAAAATTAAGCATCTGTGGAAAGTGCTGGGAAACCAATACTGACCCCTGGGTGCCCTACCCCACAGCTTACAGGCTTTTAAGATCTGCTGCTCAAGTCTTGGCACCAAATAACATGCTGCATAATCAGGGGTCCAGTGGAGTCCATTGGCTCTATTTTCGTGTACGCCGGTGAGGCGGCAGAGGGTGGCGGACCCCACGCAGTTGTATTTTCGTCTGGCAAAACCCGGCGTACAGCCAGTTTGGTATTTTCGTGGACTGAGGCGCACTGAGATCCGCCAAGCTAGGCGTGGTGGCGTGGCAGGGGGAGGTGTTGACAGAATCAGCGGGCGCAGATACATTTTTGTGCTCGCCACTGTCATATAAAGTGCGCTGAAAGCTCGCAGATTCAAACCCGGTCAGCTTTCAGCACAGGCGAAACGCAGCTGGTCTAGTAGTATTTTGGTAAACCGGCGGCGTTTCGGCATACGTCAGGTTTCCACAGTGTCAGGCACATTTCAGTGCAATAAATATTCAACAACAACTAATAATCTGACTCAGCACAGACATATTCTGATCTATATCTGATCTGATGAGCGAGTTTGGCATGCGTTTGGACATTCAACCTGACCGAATTAACACAGCTGAAACCGCATTAAATTAAATTAAATATGTAGTAAATAAACACACATGATGAAGTGAACAAGATATTAAATTTGTCTCCCTCCTTTTCTTTCTTCCTCTTCCTCTTATTTCTCGCGGAGCCAGACCTGGACATGTCTCAGTGTCCTCTCCCCGTCCTGCTGCAGCTGCTGCTGCTGAACAGATGATTTGTTTCACTGATCAGATGAGTTATTTGCTTTAAGCCTACATACGAATATTATAATATTCAGTTTTGAGAGCCAAATTTATTTTATATGCCAACATCTATGAAAGAAAGAGCCAGGCCACGGAGCGTGATGCGTCATTTACGCACAGATGGTTCCGATTTTAATGCCATTATTGGAGTTTATGTTGTGATCTGTGCGCTCAACCCACCTTTGTCACGTGAGGTTTGAATATATGCAACTTTATGTGAGTGTCTTTATTTGTGGAAAAGGGTGTTTGTCTTACTAGTGGGTCCAACATTACACACACCAAATCCATCTGTGCTCAAATGAGAGAGTGTGAAGGACGCCCTCTGCAGCGCTTACAGTGACACTTGTTGAGGAGCTGCCTTCTGTCGCCATCGTGTGGCATTGCTGTCTTCAGACATCTCTTGATCTTTTTGACTACTTCACGAAAATAGTAATACGCCTTGCCCGTGGCGGATTTAAAGGCGAGGAGAGGAGCTGATGTTATTGGTCAATACAGGTCTCGGCTGTGTTAAACTCACTTGACGCCCTCTCTCCTCCCTCGCTACGACTTACGCTGCTGGGAGGAGCTGAGTTGGGGGGGGGGGGGATACTTACGCCGGGCTGCGCTGCTCACCAAAATACCAAATTGTGCTTGGGAACGCCTTGTCGGCGCGGCGGACCTGACTTACGCCGCATGTGCGGCACATCTCTGGCGAGGCACAAAAATAGAGCCCCATGTCTCAGCGGGTCGGGGCTTCCTAAATGTGATGAAAAAGGGGCCTGTCTAATAAACATAGCACTTCATATATTTATGTTGTGACTGACTGGAGTAGATCTAACATCTCTGAATTATCTGTAAGGATAGCTACTTTATAAAAGAACAGTATTCCTCTCCTGGTTGTACAAAAGGATGATGAAAACTGTACTGTACTGGATGAAACCTTTCAAAAATTTTCGAGAACTTGAGTTGAAATACTAAGTTACTTTAGAGTCCTTTAAAAAAACAGCACCTTAGCTGTCAAGCAGTGCCACAGTTATTCTACACCAAATATTTATACCTTCCTTTTAGAAACAAGAAGTTGTTTGAAATTAAGTCAAAAGATTCCTTATAGAAAACAAATAAGAAATAATATGAAATAAATAAATGAACAGATAAAGCCAGATGCTAGCTAGATAAAAAATTTTCCATTTGCACTTTCTGTTTGTGCAGGGTTTCAGGTTCACGCAGCTACCTGATATGGGCATCGGGTCTCCACCACCACTGGTTCCCTCAAGGCCAGGGCCACCGCCTGGAACCTCACTAAGACGGTATCTAACTTACACCACTTACACACTTACAACGCAGACAGTTTGTTAGCATGCTCCAGTTATGGGGACTATGGTCGCAGTCGTGTGGTTGCAGTTTCGGTTTCACACCACATCTCTATACTAATGGCTGAGGCTACTATGCAAAGCACCCATTAGTGTCACTAAATCCCAACCTCTGAACCAAACGGTCCACTCATTTAATGAATTGATCAGTCTTGAGTCAAACCCTTAAATGTTTTGACTGAGTTTGACAAACTCCAAAGAATTCTAAACACATAATCACTATAGAAACACATTTTAAACACATTTTGCACCCTGATATTCTCTGATATACTCTGATACATACTGGTAACCATAGGCGTCAATACTTAAACAAAATAACAGCACACATGTTGTGTTTTTAGCAGATGAGACCAAAATATTTACTTATTTAATTCTCCAAATATGAACACCTGAATGTTTTGTGTTTACACCCACAAGTGTAACGTGCTTCGTCTGCTCATCATATTGCGTTTATGTGAGAGGAGGGTTTTCTTTCATGCTTTTTCAATCTTTTATCATCAAACATGGTTGAGGTTGACAACACTCTGACCTCCTCGCTCACTCTCCTCCAAGCAGTCTTCTCCATTTCATTTTTGATAGAAAAAACATGTTGTATTGTGTTTCTTGGGGTAGCTACACACCATCAAAGTGAGATTTTTCAACTCTTTGGAATAAATGAACAAAACAGAAATGTGTTGAATCAACTCAGCATTAATTCTATCACTTAAACAAGTATACCGTAATATAAATCTTTGATCACCTCTAGTTTTGAGCAAAAAAACATGCTAATAGAAATGGAGGGTTATACTAATCACACATCACAGCATTTTAATATTAACATTTAGATATTATGATACTCACAAATTATTGTATTTGCTTTAAAGCTGTTTTGTGTGGTTGTGCATTCATTGCATGCATGTCAATCAAATCCCTTCACTGGCAGTTCCACCCCTGATGTTAGTCTGAAGCCTTGTGTGTCCGAGGCCCCAGACCTTCAGACCCAGCAGCTCAATGGTGCCCCATATCTGCCACTGTCGAGGACCCCATTCCCAGCTGTCACTGTGGACCAGTCCATCACCACGTACTCAGGTATGACAGGGATATAGTTTGTTGAAAAACAAGTAAAATGATGTGACCACTCATTGTGTTGAATAAATCTATTTACTCATCTTTTTGATGTTCTTTCATTAGGCAACCCAATAACAGCAGTCTATGCTATATCAGCCAACCGTTCTGGTTACTCAGACTACTTTGTCATGTCACCACCATCCTCGTACCGTAGTCCATCTTGGATGTCCTACCCACCTGAGCCAGAGGACCTGCCACGACAGTGGAATGACACACCAGTGAGACACTTGAAGCATTTAATTCAAAGCATGACCGGCTGCTCCCACTTAAAGCATTTATTTATTCCCACAAGACTCTAACCTAGTTCCTCTGCTCCCCATTTAGAACTCTCGCCATCTTGAAACCATCTGTTAGGATGGCCTGCTTGACAATGAGAGGACACAGCCGGTTAATTGGTATGTACTTTTATCATGCTGGTTTTGTGAGAATTAAGAATTATTAATCTGACAACACAACCAAAACACAGATTTTAGACAATTTGGACATGGTTTTTAAAACTGCTACCAGTTAAACATACTGTACTTCCATAGCTTAATAAAGACTGCTCATCTGTCAACAGCTAATTTAATATACATGCGTAGACTAAACATATTCTCACTTTCAGGATGGGCATTTCAGTTTACATCAGTCCATAGAATTAATTTATAGGAGTGTCCCAATACAATAGTGGTGGGAAGAACAGTTCTTTTGACTGTCCTGACTCTAGAATCCGTTCATTAAAACAATTCGTTCAAAAGATTCGTTCACTCAATCAGTCAGTGCTTCAGAGCCCTGTCCTGCTGGTGCAGTACACGAGTGAGTAACATAGCTGCGAGTTCCTCCCTCCCCTCTCCTGCTGCTGAAGTCACAGCATCGTTCACTGGGTGACACATGTCGTTCATTCGCCAAGTCCTGAAGGAAGAATCACTCCCCTGCCCTGAAAAGCTCACCTCCCTTTGTGCCGCCGTTGGTGGAAACAACAAAGCAGCAAGCAGCACGCCCGCTAAATGAGCATGAGTCGTCGTTCTTTTATATTGCGGAAAAGTAGAGAGATTAAAAATAAATAAACATCGCAGCTGTAGCGGGGATTCTGATACTTTTAAAGATATCAAATAGCTTATTGCTTTAAATCGGCTGAAATTCAAACCTTCTTACAGGAAAGTTTATACATGTGTATAAATGTAAAGGCACTATAACACACTGTCTGTTCTTAAGCCTTAGTGAATGAACCGGTGTTTGGCAGTAAGTGAACGACGCTACACCCTTCCCTTCTCTGTCTGCCTCAAGTCATTCGGAAGTCGTTCGTTTCGTCCACCATGTCGTTCACTGACTGAAACATTCCGTTCAATGACTGATACATGTCGTTCATTCGCTGTGAGCAAATCACCAGGCTCCGCCTGCCCACTCGCTGGCTGGCTGTGTGTCGTTCGCCAAAGAGTCAAAGGCGGCAGTTCCACTCCTGACTGGCACGCCATGCTCGCGGCTGAGCTCAACTGAACTGAGAGAGGAACGAATCAGGTCTTGGAGTGATTCAGTTCACATCATTCACTCAGCAGTTCCGTTCTTTTAAACGAAATGTTCTGGAATGACACAACACTACGATCAAACTTTTTTACTTTTGAGACAATACTGATATTGTAGCCTTCAGTAATGACCGATTCTGACATTGATCCAACATTGATGCGATATTGGCATAAACTTGTGCATGACAAGTTTTGCACTCAGCTGCAACGTCTTTTTCAGACTTAAACCAAAAATACTGCCACACGGCCAACATCACTTCTACTCCTTGTTATTTTGTTAGTACCTGAGTACACAATGTTGTTGTGATTACGTGGGCTCTGCATGCTGGATCTAGGTGCTGCTAGACAGAGGTGCTGGAGTGGAGTCTGGAATAGACTACTCTTTTTGGAGTGCTGATATCAGCGGTTTTAGATGCAGGCTGATATAATCTGATATCCATTTTTTTTTGCTAATATCAGACCGATATCAATATCAGATCGGGATACCCCTACCAATTCAAGCCATCATGGTAACCAACTAAAACCACACGATAAGTCCACAAAGGCTAGGGGGACGACCAGTTACGAATACAGACACTTACTAAAAACCATCAGTACCGTATTACTGCTGGTCAGTCCCATTTTTTTCAACCCTTTTAACCCGTGCTGTTTTGATTTAAAAGGTTTTAGTTCCACTGAGACAGAGTTAAGGCTACAGATAGCCTTCAAGTGACAAGCCATCCAAAGACTGTGTGTTTTACACAATTATTATATCTGTTTTTTTTTCTCTTTTGCTTTATAATGAAGTTATACTGATACATATTTGACTCCCAGTGACCACTGAGCCTAATTCTTTCATTGTTTACAGGTCAGTCCCCTTTGCTTGCTGTATTTTTCTACAGATTTCTCTTTCGATGAGCAGAGAACCTCCTTCACAAGAAATCTGTCGGACTAACCACCACTCCTCCACTTCAGCTGTGCCTGTCCTAGTCATTTGTTACTGTGTTGATTCCCGTCTTCCCAACTCTATCCCCAGCTTCCTTTTCCCCACTGCCCTGAAGCTTTGTATATTCCATTTCTGCCTGCTTAAGTCATAGCCCAAAATGTTTTTCATCCACCAGAACTCTTCTGCTCCAAAAGACCCAACACCCTCTCTTCAGTCTCCTTACCAGTGCAGAGCTTCAGTCATAATTCTCTCAGTATCTGTTTTTGTTTTGCTTCCTGAGCCCTTGGCTTCACCGGCACTTGTTCAATGGCATCTCCATGTAGGCCGTCTCATATGAGATGACGACCAACTTACATAGTAAGAGGCTCTTCACACTGTGAAATGAACAGTGCTCAGGTGAGCTCCATGAAACTTTGCTGTGCCTCCCTAGGTTACATCACAGTGTGCAGTGTAGATGAACAGGGTGAGTACAATGCAATATAACATTCAGAGGGACAAGACAGACCTTTTCAACTATTTCTCAGCAGTTATTAAACAGTAACAGCCATCTGCACAGCACATAGTGGCACACAGCGCTGTGTTATCTTTAAGACAGTGCCCCAGCAATGGCCAGTGTTCTTCTCATCCTCTGAAATGACCTGGACCATCCTGGACTTTCCCGTAGGTCCACCATAAAGCCAGGAATGCTGGAATGACTTAAAACTGTGCTTTTTGATGAACCCCAGTTACTATGTAAACCTTGTAAAGCCAGTTGATATGTACTATTTTAAACTTCAGTCAAAAAAAAAAAAAAAAAATCATGAAAAAGGAAAAAAAGTTGTCCTGAGCTGTCTCAATTTTAGTTTTTGTATATTTGTGGGATTTCGTCTTTTACTTTTGTGAATTGACAATGGTTTCTTGTACAAAAAATTACGTGAGTGTTTATCTTCACTTACTTATTTCAAAGCAAAAAAGCAAACATATGTGTGTGTATATATATATATACTGTATATATACATACATATATATATATATATATATATATATATATATATATAAAGTTACTTTCCTTAAAACAGAGAATTCAGCAGCTTTGTTGGTTATGTGTAGTTATGAGCATTTATCTTTTTAAAAGAATAGCTTCAATATTCTCTCTCTTAATTTAATCTCACTTTTTTCTGTCCGTCATCTTATTAAGATTGTTTTGTTCTGATGATTATTTGGCAGACCTGGGTCACTTATGTTAATTGATTTTTTTTCTTGTATTAAAGCTTTGAATGTTAGGCTCTTTGACATTGCACATATGATAAAAAAAGTATTACATAATGACTTGGATATAAAATGATTTCCATTCCAGTTTTGACATGGGCCTGTTAAACTATGTCGTCTTGGAAAAAACAAAAAGTTCTTTTACTTGAAAGTTGTCTATTTTGTTCTGCTGTGCAAAATATTTGATTCTGGGTAATTTCTGTCCCGACAAAAAGATAGCAACATGGGAACAGTCCAAATTCCTCGTCCCTTCGGCTTGGCTCTGCTTCCTGTTGGAGTGAATCTGTGAAGAAAAGGCTAACCCTTTTCTTTAGGGTATTGAGGATCATTTTTGAGAGATTAAGGAATACATGCAAACCAAATACAATTAATGAATAAGACCAACAAATACCGGCAATGTTTCAGGGAAAAAGTCCAAAACCAATTTTCTAAACCAAATTCAGGGGAAGGGCAATAGATGGAGTTGCTCTGGAAGAAGACTTTTTAGGCCATAGTCAGTGGGCTTTGGGGTTTTATCACCAGAGAAATTGTGATATATATAAATATATATATATATGTATTGTATATATCTGATGATTTAATGAAGATAATTATGCAGTGGGGGGAGGGGATTTTATTCTCATAAAGCCATTTTTTTATTCTTGCTTCATTCGTGATAGAGTTTTAACACTCCTTGACATTCTGAGAAATGCACACATTTTTGTATTAGCAGAGTCATAACTGTGCAGAATTACACAACAAAAAAAATGACATCTGATCGAGGAACCTGGTATTTATGGTAAAATACTGTAAAATAAATTTCTCCCTGACAAAGGATTTTAACCTTAAAGAACCAGTATTATTTTTATTTGACAAACCATTACATGTTTTTTCCTCTCCAACAGAAAAATGCTTTTTTTTCCTAAAGAATGTCACAGCGCTAGTTATATTATGTACGTTTCTGAAGCACATAACTGGAAATCTGTATCAAGGCATACTGTAAGTAGGATTTGCACATACAAAGTCTATAAAGTCTATAAATACAGACACACAGAAAACTGCCTAAATTATGATAACATGATACAAATAAGAGTATGATCACATAGTTTGTAAACATAAATGGATAGTAAGGTCACACTTTTAAAAGAGGGCCAAAACTCAACACAAAAGAGCACAAGTTACTGCTAAAATGATATCATAGAAAATTAGAGTTTTGAAAATGTGTGGAAAGAGTTTTTACCAATCTGCAACATCATCAATGAAATTTCACAGTGTTTAATTTCAAAACAAGATTTTGGTTTTCAAATATAGTATCCCAACATTCAATCATATTTGACCAATAAAATATGGCAGCTTGGAAACCGTTCAATCTAGTTCTAATACTTTTTGCCAAGATAATCAAAAAAGTTTTAGATTTTGTTTTATTTGGCATTTTCAACTTCACACAATGTGAATTTGTTGTACACGTCAATTAATGTGAAAGATATAACAATATTTGGCAAAGCAGTCAATGTTGGTGGCTTATGGCAAAACCATCCAGAACACTTCAGATCTCTAAAGTTCACAGGGTTGGGCCTGCTAGTACTTCGATGGGAATTTTGCAAATTTTGGAAATGATTATTTTTCAAACAGCCGCTGCTTTTAAATAAACTTTCTTCTGAGAGCAATTCATCAAGAAAAAATCTGTAGCCTCCTTGTGCCAAAGTGACAGTAAAACCAGACAAAGGAACCATTATCAGGAAGACTGGCTGGCTGGCTGGAGAATTACTGCTGCTGTTAACCCAAAATCACACTTAACAGTCAAAGCACTCAACATAATTACATATGCCAGAAACACAATATCAACTAACTTGTATGTGCATAACTGCAAAGATAAGGAGTTGTTTTTTTTCCAGTTTAGACATAGTTTGAATTTTGTCCAAGTACCCAGAAAAGAAAGCAAAGATGTAAGATAATAGTATTGGATCTTTATGAACTTGGTGCTACTGTGGTTTGAATTAAAAACACCATTATCAAAGACCTACAGCTAACATTACATTTTTGATCATCCTCAGTATGTGAATCAGTGTATGGTTGAAAATATACACCCCTACTTTTGTAAATCCTTTTATTTGCCTATTGAAGAGGGATGGGTGGGTTTTGTTTTTAAGCAGTGATTTTAAAAAGACTTGATGCTATGCTTTAAGTTGGTGTACATTTGTTTGTGCTTTACAAAGGTAGCTGTAAGATGCTTTTAATGGCCATGGACTCTTTGATAGACTGACTGTCAGTGCAGTATTTTTGCAGTTTAAGCCATGTCATGATGCTGTGGCATGGTGGCACTTATGATGTCACACTATGTCACTAGGATGTTGTAAGATCACAGTGACAATTATAATGAATGCTGTTAGATGTAGTTATGCAGACATTTTTTGTGAATTTAATCAATAAAGATTATTAAATGTTCTCAGCTTTCATTGTTTTTCCTTTGTTTTATTTTTATAAATACAAATGTGTGTAGGTTTATATTGCACAGTATATGTTGTTGGACGGTCTATATACACCTTTAAAGGCCCAATATTATGCAAAATTCACTTTAGAATGGTTTTCTAACACTAATATGCATCCCCAGTCTGTCTACAAACCCCCCTCTCCCTCTCTTGCTTGTTCCACCTTTAAGAAAATATTTGCTCAAAGGGGCGGATTCAAACCATCACCCTCCATGATGTCATGGACGGCGATAACTCCTCCCCTTTCAGGACCCTGCCCAAGATGTTTGTTCTGCCCTCTGAAAATTTCCACTCAGACACTATTTTTCTCCCTCACAAACGCTGGTTCAAAATGGGGAGGGTATGAGCAAGGCAAGGCAGTTGCTTTGTTGTTGGCTGCACGAAGCAGCACAGAAGTCTGTTTCCATAGACTGCAAGAACATCGTCACGAGATAAGGTCAAGAGATAACTAGAAAAATTGCATTTCCTTGCAGAAAATGCGTGGAAATGCTGTGTGCTGAAAGCTAAAAAAAAGCAATGCAAAAGTTGCAAAATTGTTGCAATACAAATACTATGAATGTGCTTCAACAATTAAAATTGCATTCATGCTGAATAAGGCTAGAAAAACTGTCTTAAATTGCAAAAAAAATGGATAAGGAAGAAAACTACCTTAAAACAGAAAAGTGAGAAGTGGCATAAGTTTAAGTTGAAGTACTAGAAGTAGTTTGATAATAGGTAGTTGTAGTAGTGATATTAGTAGTCATGTAAGCAGTAGAAGTAGTTTTAGAATAGAAGAATTAGAAGTCAAAGCAGTAGAGCTCGTGGTATAAGTGAGAGTAGAAGTTAAAAAAAATATTAAGAGAAGCAAGAGCAGTGGAGGTAGAAGTGAAGATACAAGTTAAAGTGATATAAGTAGTAATTGGGTGCGCGCACAGGCTCCTCTTCCTCCTTAACTTGATTATGCATGAATAATGAGAGTAATTTTAAAGTGGGGGAAATTAAATGAATAAAAATCCTGAGTACACCCCATAATGTCCTCAATGAACCGAATTTTTGGAGCCCTGAATGGTTTCTGTAGCTCAAAGTTTGTGGGAGGAGATAGGGGCTGAATATTTTCAGGCGCTCTGGTGAAGGGCTTAAATGTAACACTCAGTGCTCTGTGTACTAAGCCTGGTTTCATGTGTCTCATATGGCCGTTAGAAGCAGCTTTCCAGTCAGCTGTGTGTCTCCAGGTGCACTAATTGGTTGCCATGGCGAAGGAAGATGTAACACTACAACAGGAGAGAGGAGGCTTGAAGCTGAGGAAATGACTCTCCAGCTAGGCCCTGATGGTCAACCTCTGTATATATTCATGATAAGGAGCTTGTGAGAACCCCACGACTCTGCTGAACATATTGATACAATTAATTAACAAAATCCTAAATACACCCCATAATGTCCTCAATGAGCTGAATTTTTGAAGCCCAGAATGGTTTCTGTGAGTGGAGATAGGTGGTGATGCAGACATATATTAACTGTGTGTACATGCAGGTCTTTTAGACAGAGACACACGCACACACATTGTCAGACTGTGTGTGTGTGTGTCTCGTTAATGATTTTATCCTAAACAGCTGTGAGATCAAAGGCATTAACTGGCCAACTGTTTGAATGAGAAGCAGCTGAACTGCAGTGAATTTAGGGCCTCTGAACTTCTTCACATAGCGTGATTTCCTTAAATCCCAGAATGAAAATAAGAACATTGTGCGAATCCTCCGCCCTTCATGAACACAATGATGTGTTTTTCATGTCTGTACTCCAAAAAATGTGGCCACAACAGCGAGTTAAAAAAGTCTTAGCCTGAGTGACGATAAGGATTTTCTTGGAGAAAAAATACATTAGGGCTAATGGGGAGAGATTTCCGCCTATTTGGACAGTTGGTCACCTGCTGGCCAAGGGGTACGATTTAATGATTTGAAACCTCTTTGTGAGAAGCAGGACACATATACCTCCTCTTCGGCCAATCAGCACCTACGTTTGTACACTTGCGTTGATGCGGGACCATGGAGGTGGCCGGGACAAATATGGTAACGTTACTTTGGCAATTTACCATATATATTTTAACGACTTTTTAACTTTTGTTTAACACTTGTTGATGTTATGGCTATTTTGTGGAAACGTTTTGTCAGAGAGCGTAAACAAATCATGTTAACAATTACATTAGATGACAAGCACGTTAGCATTGTTTCAGCTGAGTGTTGTCGCTATGCATGCAGATGGGGTGATCATTTGACTAAACTTAATGCTTCTGAAACTGTTCAGTTAGCTTTTGATTAAAATCAAACTTTGCATATATCCCTGGTATGCTAACTAAGAAGTTGGGACTCTAGTCATGCTAATGCAGAGGTTAGGTACCACTTTTAGAAATATTAGTTGTAATGAGTTATTCAAATTCAAATATAAATTATTTGAATTCATTTTTGGTGCCACATATTTTAGCCCATACATAATATTTGTAACTAACCATTCTGAAACGTCCTGCTGCAGACAGAGTTGGAATTTCTTCAGGAGCCTTTCCTCCTGGGTCAGACTTTGAATCAAACTTGTACAGCAAGCACTAGCACTCTGTGTAAACATTAGGGCATGATACTATAGTGCAAGCCATGCCCCCCCTCTTCCAGAGAGACTCGGAGGGGCGCGGCCCATGCTGAAGGAGGCGTGGACAGGCGCAGCACACAGAAACGGCGTGTTCTCAGTAGAGCTCACTAGAGAGAGTTTTCAGGCTGGCTGAAATCCAGGGGGAAAAAAGGGGTTTTTAGACTACAAACTTCAAATTGACTTTTCTGGGACCTCAGAGACCTATGTGAACCTGCTGAAAAGGAGTATGATATGGGACCTTTAAATGACTGATAAGTTGTGTAAAACTTTAAATCTGTTTTTTTTCTTTTAAACTGCAACAGCTTGAGCTGATTTGTCTTCATGGTGAATATTGCCGAAGGGTCACAGTCCAGAAATCAGTAGGCTCTAAAGCAGCCCGTCACTGTGGCTTAGCATCAAGAAATCTAGGAGAGTGAATATTTCACAAGCCCATACAAGTCTGCACAAGGTATTCATGAGTCTGCCTCCAGTGAAGAGACAAGAGACTGAGTGAATAAGGGTGTAAATGAAGAAGGAGAGAAGCTGGAAAGGCAATGTTGGCATGCATTCAAGTTTATCTAACTGCACTATTTAATGACTTTGACTTTGCCAACAACTTATGTAATTCATCAAAATTCATCATGTACTTTTTGCAGATGATAAAACTGGGATAAAATAAAGAGCTACACTTATGAGCCAATTTTCTAAGGAAATAAATAAAGTAAAACAATCATTCAACACAGAAAAAAAACTCTTTAAATATCAGTAAAACAAAGTATATCATTTTTGGGAATAAACGTAATAATATGCAAACTAGGTTATCATTCCATGGTACAGACTCTGAAGTTGCGGAGGAAATCAAATTTCTTGGAGTCACAATAAACCATGTGCTCTCAAGGATCTCACTGTAGAGACAACTTTGCTGTCTAATTTTGCCCAATCTTAGTTATTGTGCCGAGTTATGGGAGGAAACTCGTGACATAAATTAAAAATCTCAAGAGGTAACACCAACAATTCCCGAAATTGCATTTGCTTAAACTTCAGGATTTTATTGCATTTAAACTTTCATGCATCATGTATATTTGGGAGTGTTACCATTGAAAATTTGAAAATAAAATATACATTTTTTTTTTTAAAGTTAAATACTCTCATACGCCACTGAAATAGAAGTGTGTTTCAATTTATGGTGTGATATCGTGGATTTTACTTGAGGACTGTCGCAAAAATGCTGAACAAACAAGTGGCAAGTAAGGAAACAGAGGAGCAAAGTCCTGATTGATTGGACCAAATTTTGGTATTAATCCCTGGTAACTTTTTTATGTTTTGTGTTTTGTTTATTTCACACTTACATATTAATACTGTGTTCAAACACTTTTAACTTTTTTTTTTTTTTTTTTTTTTTGCACAGAGGACCTAAAGAAATCAACCAACTGCCCAACTCAGTGATAGAGACTGTGATAGAGGGCAGGTATGTTAGATTTTTTTCTTCCTTTTTTTGCTTGGACAGGGGATGAAAGACAAAGGTTTGCACTGTAAATTTGTAACCACATTTGTGTACTCTCACCGAACTAAATAAAAATGAATGAATGAATAATGTGCCAGGACTGGAGCAGGTGTCTGTGGTGAGACGCCTCTTCTTCCTGTTTTTATTTTGGTTTAACTTCCTGTTTTCCTTGTGTTCCTGGTCTGGCTTGACTGTTGTTTCAGAGCACTTTCCCTTCCCCCGGCTGAGGCTGAGAGAGACTCCACAGCAGCCCTCAGTCTCAGCACCGGAGTATTGTCTTCACTCCTCAGTGGTACAGACGCCTCTCCTGGCCTTCTCCTTGGCTAAGTGCTAGTAATTTTTGCTCCCTTAGATTCCTTGTATGCCTTCTCACTTCCAACTCCTCTGTTTTCTCCACAGTGTCTCCAGCCCACACAACAGCCAGCCAGCCAACCGGACTTTCTCATGCCTTTTTCCTTGAGTTGGACATGAAAATTGCATCTTTAGTTTAGTATCTGTCTCCGTGTCTGCTTCGGGGTCCACAAAATACACCACACGCCACAGTGTCAACATGAAATGCTATTAAATGCACCTTCTGAAATGCTTCCTCTTTTGAGTCCCCTGAAACTTTCAGAGTGCGGTGGTGTCTGTGGACATGGAGGCAGATATATCTCTTTGCTAGACTTTCTCAACATACATGGTGCATTTTGCATACCCAAATGTTAATGAGGTGTAATTCCTTCAACAGAAACCATTCCTTAAACCATTCCTCTACTTTCCTGTTGTTCATCTTACCCAGTTTGGCTAGCAAAGGAGCTGTGCTAATAACGGTCTAAGGCCCATATGGCTCACATGCTCACAGTGAGCCCATGTTTCTGTACAGGAATCAAGTCATAGCTGTAAAATGTACAACTGACAGGTCATGTAACATTGAAGGCAGTATGTTTCAATACATACTGTGGGGACACAGAAAGCCTGCAGCGTGAGTGGCTCAAGCGAACAGGGAGACCTGAATTATTATCCGGTCTGCCTCCAATAGTAGCATTGAGAAAATGGAAAATACTGCACTCTGCTGTTGCACTGCAACATTGTCAGTAAATAATCACCATAATCTGTTAAAAACATAAAAGTAGTCTCAAGGACTTCGATTGGTTTCTAAATCAGACTCCTGAAGCCTCTTGGTGGTGCTCAGTCTGTTGAATTGCTAACAAGCTAACACTCACTCCACCTAGCAAAAGAAAAAGGGGGGAGATGAGGCAGACTGTTAGTTTCCTCACTAACGGCTGTGAACCTGTCTGTCAATCAGTGCAAAACATGTAACCTAAATACATTTAAAACTAATGAGATATAAGATCATTTACTGTCTATCATGTGTGGATAGAGAAAACTGCACAACAATTGTTTTGTGAGCCAGGCTGCCAACAATACAGTTTTTCATGTAAGGATGGGCTTCCTACAATGGATGTATATGTGGCTCCCAGGGCTTCTGCAGTCAGCCACAAGACACCTAGAGAAATGCATTTTTAAGCATTGTCAGCATTGGTTTAACCGAGACCTGAGGTTGCAGTTTGATTAACATGCAATGCTTTGGTGCCTCTGGAGCTTTGTCATGAATGCTCTCAGGGCACTGCAAATGTCTTTCATGGTCTCAAAACACTTTAATCAGGAAAGGCCATACATGGTATTGCTGAACAACTGCAGTGTGTGGGATTTTATCTTCTTAAGGCTGCAGTCCAACTAGTTAATGCTCTGACTGTAAACACGTCTTCTATATGAAGGATATAAAAATAAATAAACCTTGTTGAATTAATAGGATTTTATATCTCACGCGCAGGTCTGAACAATCTGTGATTCAAGGTGTTATACATTAGGGAAAATAAGCTTCACACGTAAATAAGCCCGGAGTAGTTTCAGAGTAGTATTTGACTTATGCCTCCAACATCACAACACTGTTACCCTTATGGGAGTCAAGAAAAACCCATATTAACTTACCTGCTTTCTTCAAAAAAGAAAAGACCTAACACTTGAAAACAGCTCTTTTCGAATGTAGGGATATTTCCGGTCATTAAAAACAGATTGTTTTCATTCTTAAAGGTCACTGAGTTGTTTTTGACTCAGTATGTGGGACAGGGGTGAGATCACAATGTCAGCCGCTCCAGATGGTATCCATTACACAGCACTCCAGGCTGATGCTGTTTACTTAAACCACTTCCAGCTCTGACAACTGCTTTTTGTTAGTGAAGACAGGGGCAGATGTGGATGACCAGTCACGGAAAGGCAGATCCCTGTGGTCTAAGATTTTTTAATCAAGCTATTTTTATCTAATGTTTATCTTTGAAACATGTCAGCACATGTGCTTTATTGAAACAATCCCATAGATCATTTGAGTCAAATTAAAGTTGCAACCAAAACTCAGACAACGTAAACCCCCAAATTTCGGAAGGAACAAAGCAAAAAGCATAAAAGGGAAAGATTAATTTATTTAGGCCTATTTGAGAAAGGACAGAAGACACAGTAAATTCACTCAGCTATCACAATTCTAATCCCTAATAGCAAAGCAGTAAAACCTGATGAAATGGTGAAGGAGTGCATGCAGTGATGGAGGGAGCAACTCATTTTAGTGGAATGAAAGCAACTCCAAAGTTTGCTCTACCATGGCGTGAGAGTGTTTGTTTGAGTGCCTGTGTGCGCGCGCTCGTTTTTTTTTTTTTTTTTTTTTGGTGGGGGGGTTGGGGGCTGATTTCCACGGAACTTCCCTTGGTTTACGTCAACGCCACTGCGTGTGTTGTTTTGACGGATACTTTGCTGTTTCCAGCTTCACGCAATAAAACAGTGTCATATGCTGCTCTTCCTTACTTCTTTACCTCTCTGGAGAGCGTAACACACTCTCTCTCCAGGATGAAGCCGTCACTTTTTCTGCACTTTTGCAACTGACTACTACTCCGCTATCGCAGTTCAGATAGAGTTCTCGGGAAGGAGCTGAAACCGAGCCCGTGCCAATCCCACCGGTTTGATTAACTGCCCCTGAACTATCATCTTTCAGCTATAACATGGGGATGTTCCTGCATCTGCTGATTTTGCAATACTATATCCTCTTAAGTTTTGTGTGCAATGCCGTCGCTTTTGTGGAGGAGCCCTCCGAAGGCAGGTCAGACGGATACTGCGGGCGGATCCTTCGGGCGCAAACTCAGGGGACCAGGAGAGATGGCCACCATGAATTCAGGCTCAGTGTCGAGGGGGGCCCTGAAACCTACCAGCCCGGTCACAAGTACAGAGGTAGAGTCTTTATTTTCTGGTCCTGCGCATATGCCCAAATTCGCCAGAGCTGGTTCTGTCTGAATGACAGAGAGGTAACTGCAGCTGTGCAGAACACATTTGGGAAAGTAAGGCTACTTAATGCTATGATATTTGACCTATATTTTCCTCAGCTCTCTGCAAGCAACAGGTCACATACACGAAGATCCGGCTCCTTTTTAGCCACAAGTTTGATTTCCTCATTTTTCTTTGTGGTTTGGTTTTATAAAGAAATATTTAGACAGGCACACAAAGATAGTTTGTAGGGAACCTAACTGTTCCTGACAAAATACAGAAAAATCTACACTCTTGTCTAAATATTATAACTTATAGTTAACCTATAACCTATAGTGATGGGGTCATTCTACAATAACAAGGACCCTGCAAGCTGTTGTTTTTCTCATATGCTTTATCACAAACCCCAGTTCCAGTGAAATGGGAACGTTGTGGAAAGTGTGACAAAAAGCAGACTTGCAAATCCCTGAATACACCACAAAGACAAGGTGTTACACATTCAAACTGATAAACCTTATTATTTATCATCATTTTTAGTTTGATGCCTTAGTTGAGCCATAAAAGCTGGGGCAGGAACTGGCTGCATAATGTGTCACACATTATCAGTGGGAGACAGGTCTGGACTGCAGGTGGGTCAGTCTAGTACCTGCACTCTTCTGAATTCACGCTGTTGTAACTCAGTGTGTCTTGTTGTCTGGCTAAAATAATCAGGAACGTCCCTGAAAAAGACGTTGCTTGGATGGCAGCATATGTTTCTCCTAAACCTGTGTGTACCTTTCAGCATAAATGGAGGCTTCACAGGTGTGACAGTTAGCCATTGACACCAACACACCCCCAGACCATCACAGATGCTGGCTTTGAACTTTGACCTGAGAACAGTCCGGATGGTCCTTTTCCTCTTAAGCATGGAGGACCCCACGTTCATGATTTCCAAAAGCAACACACGGGTCAAACATGGGAGCTAAATAAGATAGCATCCACTTGTCCTTATTCGGCTCCTTTCTCTGACCTGTTCCCATCATGGCGACTCCTGCATGAGTTATGCTATGTTATGGTCCAGTATAAGATTCTAAGACTCTATTTAAAGCCTTCAGTCTTTCACATTATGCACATTGCCCAAAAGCTATCCTGAGTGTTTCTTAGACATCACCTGACATGGCTCTGGTGTGTCAGTGTAGAGCCTGTACCTCTTTTCTGCTTATTGTCTCTGTGACTTTACACACAATCTCTCTTTCTTCTAGTGGTCCTCCTGGCAACCAGCCCTGCTTACTTCAGAGGTTTCACTCTAATTGCACTCAAAGAAGGGAGAGAAGGAACCACTGATGACGACTATGCAGGCCAATTCCAGGTAAAGACAGGCAGACGTGTGGAAGAATTAACAGACTGGTGCAAATTAATCAATTTAGTGACTTTGCTATTTTCTGATATTGAGGTTCAAGGCAACGCTGCTGACAGATGCAGCACAGAACCCCTGGATGAACCTGGAAAACTGATCTCTTTAAGGGTGGACAAAAAATAGATTTTGGTTACTGCTTTGCTGGAAGTCCCTGGGGTAGAAAAGTTAAACTTAAAAAAGACAGATGTAAAGTATAGAGATTTACTAAGAGATTTAGAAAGAACACAACAAAGGGATTCAAGACTTTTGGTCCACTTGTTTACTTCTGATGATTCATCAGTGCTATGAGCTGGATTTGAATATTAGAATACAGAAAAAGCTTTTAGATATTAACAACTAAATAACATTATGGCCCAAAAGCAAAAAAAGATGAGAGGATTGTTGTTGTGCCATGAGGCAAAAGATTAATTGGATACACAAGCAACATACGTTTTCAGTTTCCAGTGAGCATAAAATGTTTTGAAAATCAAAAAATCCTGAACTTGTAACATTTTTGTTGCTCTTTCATGAAACACATGAGAATATGGTGCATGAATCAATTCAACGAAAACAACAATAAAGTACAGAAACTTCTGTGTACTTACTCTTAAAATCAGGGGAAATCAATAAAGCAATAAACCACTGCTCATAAAGCAGCTTGTTGTATGAAAAAGAACTTAACAGAGAAACCCTGTTTTCTGATTCACTGTAGGATCTCAGTATTGTCTACTGTGAAGCAATTTCCAGTCATCCTTTCTATTCAGTGCCAGCAGCACTAACCTGCATTATCAGTTTGGTTTAACAACAACTAAAACATATCAGCTATGTCTAATGTGCCGTACCCCGCTCTTTAAATGGCTTAAATTCTCAATACCAGAATCCAAACAGAGTATATTGTTAGACTGAGGGCAGGTAATAGGCAGTGTGAAAAAACTAGAAGAGTGTGAGCAGATGTCTACACAAAATTAAAGTTGACAATCTGATTTTGCAGTTTTATTAAATATCTCACACTTACTATGTAGTGGGGGTGGGAGAAAAAATTGATACAGCATAGTATCACAATATTTTTTCTGTTGATATATCGTATCATCACATTTATCAAATGAATTGCTAATATGAAGTCAATTCTATGAGTAGTTTGTTTTAAACTAGATACTTCATGTATGACTCATCATTGCACTCAGATCTAGCTAGGTCAGTGGTTTTTGCATTCAGTAATTTGTGAACTTGACAGAAATAAGAGTCAGAAGAACTTTTGGTAGAATTTGATGTCTGTGTGTAAGGTGTGAAAGAGAAGAGGAGGCATGGCAAGTCTTTTGTCTGGCTTTTTATTAAGATGAACTCGATACAATGATCTGTGTAAAGTTTGTCATTATCAGAGATATTGGAGTATTCGTACTTATAGAAAAGAAAAAACTTTATAACCCAATTCTAACCTCTAAGTATGAAGGTAGGAGGCTGTTTTTTGCACAGTCACTATTACTGTGCAGGAGGATAACAACTGAATCAATCCCGTTGTGGTTCCTCATATGGCTGCTCTCTCCTTGGTCTCTGGAATGAAGTTGTTTTTGGCAGTTGTCCTGGAATGTGCCCGCCTGCTGTTTCACTAAAACATCACATCTCAAAGCTGCTGTCCATTTTTCTCTTTTGTAGTAATGGTAAACAAGGTTAACATAGTTTGCAACTTTTCAGTTTCCTTGCAGCCCAAAGCACTTTACACGATATGCTAATTACACACATTCATTCATACACTGAAGGCAGAGACTTAAGAAGCAAGGAACAGCCTTTGGAGGCAAGTCACAGTTCAATGTCTTTCCTAAAGGACTTTTGTCTTGGTGTTTTAGACCTTAGAGGTGTATATTTGTGTGTGATCAGCTGTATCCAACCCAGTTTGCAGACGGCTTCCTCTTAGTGCCTATGTACATCGATTAAACATGGGGGTGTACGTGACGATCTGCATGTGTGTTTTTCCCAGCCTTTCTTGTATGGGTGTGGGACCTGCCTCATACTTATCTTGGCCAGAATTGTGTTATTGCTCTGGGAGACAAGCAGAGCTTGTTTGGATAAGTGAAGGGATGAGCAGACATGAGATAAAATCTTTTTGTCCTTGTACAGATTAGCTAGGAATCTGCATCAGAGAACCGCACTGAAACACTTCACAGCATAAAAACTAAGCTCGACGGCACTTATATCCTTCTATTTGCTAGATTGTTAGCTTAGTTTTTGCAAGTACTTCCCTAAAACATGGTAAACAGAGTGAACATACTGCAAGAGCGACAAGAAAACAACAAACCCAAATATTACACAACACATTGCTTAATCTTGTCTAATATAAAGATTAGAGAGCCTATTTTTGCATCCCATCAGGTATCGTAAATATAAAAAACACACTTTTAAAGAGCATTTTTCAGATCAGTCCAGAGTAATAGATGACACTTACTATTAACATGACTGTTGTTATAATTCATAGAACTAGTACCACAACCTTGCTAGCTTTAATGGACATTTCTCAAATTTAATAAAACTACAAAAAAGGTTATAAAGTATCTTTATTAATAAAAGAAATGAAACCTATACAAACCTTATACTTCAACCAGCCAGGTGCTTAATGAATAAAAAGGACCTTTCTGATTTATTGTTAATTGAAAACTAATGCCTTTGAGCAGTCTTCTACCTTCCTAGGAATAGTTATTTCTCTTTCTAATCTGTATATTAGTGCTGTTAACTTAAAGCCCCTGTGGGGAGTTTTTTGACATCACTCAGACTAAACTTCATATTAGTGTCTTTATATAATATACAAAAACAAACAAGACCATCAGCAACAACACAGACTGGTTTTAGTTTATGACTTTGAATGCCTGAAAGTGGTGTGAGGGGGTAGGTGTCAGCCAAGCCCCTTAAAAACAGTCCAGTTTTTGTTTGTTCCACAAAATATATTCAAATTATATAGTACATTAGGTGGCCAAAATTCAGCTAGATTAGATTTTTTTGCAAGAAGGAACAACTGAAGCATATAAATGATAAGATCAGCAAAGACTCTTGCCTGGAGGGGTAACCAAAATTGGCAAAAACCCAAAGTTCTTCACAGCAGCTTTAAGAAAATGATCACTCAGTTTAAGAAAATACTTTCAACATGGAATGAGTATTAACTTTATTACTCTGGTCATTTCCACTTCCACTTTTGAATTATGAGTGATTTACATAACAATATGGGATTTATAAACATGGACAATTTCCTGAAAACTGAACGCAAACACTTAAAATCTAATAAAATTATTTATGGGTCTGTCAGGCTGTCCATAATTACAACTCTTAATACTGAGGAGGAAATGTGGTGTAAATAGAGGTAGACAGTCTTATTTCCACAGGAAGATAATTCCACAGCTTCGGTGCCCAAAAGGAAAAAGCTTGCTCACCCACAGTCCTTTTCTTGACCTTAGGTACAAACCAAAAGGCCAGTCCCCTGTGTACAGAGGATACAGGGAGATACTATATGGATCAAGATCTTCTTGATAAGAAGGTGCAAGTCTAATGTAGAGAGACCAGAACCAAATTAATATGCTCATATTTCCCTGTACTTGTCAGGACACGGGCAGCAGCGTTTTACATCATCTGCAAGACCTGAAAACTTTTCTTCTGCAGTCCTGACAGAAGCGCATTACAATAGCCCAGCCGAGATGTCACAAATGCATAAGTGAGGACTTCTGCATCTCTGTCAGACAGGAGTGGTCTAATCTAAGTTATCCTCCTAAGATGAAAAAATGCCACAATCATGATGTCATGATCAATATTCATTCTTCTATGAAACTTATGCACAATGGAACTTTTTAATAACATGCAGCTGGAACTAATATGTGAGGGTGCCACATATTCACTGAATTAACAATCAAGCTCTGACAGGACTGAGAGTGTGATGGACCCAATCATATGTTTGCTCCAATGATGGAAAATAAGGGTTTCACACTCCTTTTTAGAAGATAAACCAGCAACAAGAATCAAGAATTCAAGAGATGAGCTGTGCACTCTGTCTTTCTCAGCAAAGATAATATGGTGTAGGCAGAAGAATTTTAAAAGTACTGTTATTCACTGACCAATGATGCGTGAGGTACATAGTGTAATAAATAGTTTACAGCAATGTAATTAAATCCTACATTATTTTGTTTTTAGATTATTGATGAAGAAGACACACAGTTCATGATAAACTGTGCCCCTGCTGTGACGGAAAGTACCCCTCGGAGACGCACAAGAATACAGGTCTTCTGGACAGCACCTCCAACTGGGTCTGGCTGTGTTATATTAAAGTAAGTTTTATTTCATATACCAGCTTTTGATTTAAACCAAACTTTTGAGTAACTTAATTTGAAAGCAACAACAGTAACACTGGCTGTGACAGAGAGATGACTGTTCACTCACTCAGGCTATGAATCTTATAAAGTTATTTTTCATGCATTGAAATTTGAGAAAATCAATCTAAAATCTTATAGTGACGAACCCTGCAGGCGCTGTTTACACCTTTTTAAACACAGGCTTGGTTAAATCTTAGAAAAGGGGATACCATTCAACCACAGGGCTCTTCGGGCTTGTAGGGCAGAAGAGATACTGGATGTGTTTTGGTATATCAGGATTGGCATGAATCAAACATGAAACTATTTTCATCTGAGGTTGAGACATCAATTGAGAGAGAGTTTTGTCTTTTTGCTCCTGTTCTTAGTACAATGATCTTGAACAATACCACCATTGATTGAAATCAACATCCGTCAAAAGCCGATAAGCAAACTTGGGGCCCTCCAAAATGCACACACACGCACACACACAGACACGTACCGAGCTGTGCCTGTAGATCCCGTCCATTGGAATACAAAATAGAGTAGCCTTGGTGGGGGCCAACTTCTGCTTGGAATGTGTTTACTTTATGAGGGGACGGTGAAACAGCTCTTTGGTTTTGTAAGGGTAAAGGGATGGCTCATTGTAACACAACACTCCAAGGGGATCTCCAGGGGACATAGTCAATATACAGACAAGATTACGCCCCCAGCAACTTTGCATTTATTCTGAGGCTTTATAGTGTTAAGTGGTGAGTGCTATTCGTTTTTCACTACACATTTTTTCCTTTTAAAAAAAACTATAAAATCTATAAAAAACAAAAAATGTGGAGTGACATTTATTCAGAGAACTTTGCTAACTTTGACCTTTGCCAAGGTCACTGAGGTAGTTACAAGTAGGTCAGGCTTTCTCTGGATCTGCAGACAGCCTTTATGACAGAGGATGTGTTAGGTTTAGGAGTTCTTTGCGGTTTTCCTGCCTATCACCAAATGTTATTTCGAGTCTTGTTCAGTCTCCCCTGCAACCCGATCCAACTCACAGCCAGGTGGTAATCAGTTGATAGCTCATCACCAGTAGGGATCAAACCTCTGTAGAGAGATATATCTATTTTTATGTGGAATCAGGAAGCTTAATGTTGTAATGTAAAGAGAGGACCCCTTTTTGGACTTGATGAAACATCTATCAAACAAGATAGACCTATGAGGTAAAAAAAGACACTACTTCCAAGTGGATTCCATTCAGCGAGAACACAAAATTCAAAGGAAAAACAAATAAATATAAATGTAAGGAAACTGTTTTTGGTGTGGTTTGGTCCCAACTACAGCATACAATATAACAGGGATTGCAGATAGTACCTTGTGCCTGTGACTCAGCTGGTAAGTAGGGTGGGTGATGAATGGACTGTGTTGAGGGAAGGTTTTAGGGTGTCAATGGGAAGATGTCAACAAAAAATAGTCACATATAGACGCAATGATGGATGTGGCAACACTAAGCCACTGCAAAACCACAAGAAAGAAGTCAGGAATCCCAGAAAACAAGGAGGAAGACATGTACGAGGAATGCCAAGGCAGAATTTGGAGTCAGGGAAACAAGACGAAGGAGTTTTCTGGAATTACAACAAGGCAGGTCAGGTCAGGCGCAGGCAGGGTTGGGAACCAGTCCAAATAAGAGAAAGTCTTTGATGAAGCTGGGGAAGAATCTGGCAGAGGGTGTGAACTGAAGAGGTGCTAGTATTGACTTGATACAGATGAGGAGCAACTGTGAGTTCAGTTGTGCTGAGTGAGCTGGTGAGGGGTGTGGCTGCTAGAAAAAGGGGTACACATGGGTGAATGGAAAAATACTAAGAAGGGGCAGGCCCAGCAGAAGAGCAGAACTGTGGCTGAAATAACACAAGAGGAGACACACGGAAAACACAGGCAAGATAGATAAAACATGCTGGTACAGTAAGGAAGGAACTCAGACTAAACACACACTGGGCAATGAGGAACAGGTGATACTAATAAGATCCAAACAAGGTGTGGGCGGGCACACAATCGAAGGTGGGCAACACACAAAGGACAAAAAGCATTACAAGACATAAAATATATGGAAAAAAAAAAACCACAGGAAATGATACCGGAAAAAATCGGTGTTAAACAACTGTAATACATAATATTTGTCCTCAATTAGAATTGAAACTTGATGTTTTTATGGTTCTACTTTTCAAAGAACTGCTCCAGTTAAGCTCAACCGATGCCAGTGGCAAGAAAAGCAGCTTTTTTATTTTTCAGTGGCTGATTTCAGAGTGATGTGTGGTTAGAAAGAAAATGAAAGTGATTATATCCAGTGGTGAGAAAAAGTGTTTGCCCCCTTCCTGATTTCTTTTTTTTTGCATGTTTGTTACACTTAAATGTTTTAGATCATCAAAAAAATGTAAATATAGACAAAGTTCACGGCCAACGATGTCCCTGGAAAAGTCCCAGATTTTAGTGTTTTGTGAATGAGAAAATAAATGTTGCATTTAGATGAGTAAATAGGTTATTACGTTAGTTGAGTAGGTACAAAGCACGAGAGAGCATATAGTAGAGAGTTGTCTGTGGTTAATAATAAAATCTATGCAAATCTAGCTTTAGTGCACACCTCATTCTATGTTTTTGTCCTGTGTTCTTAATTTGTGTGTAAAGTTCAATGCAGTTTTGCACACATTATAGCTCTGCCTGTACAATTGCTGAAACAGGTTGAAACATGTAGCTGATAGTGGTAACCTATATCCAGGGGTGAAAGTGTTTGAGAGCAAGCTCTTTATAAGACTGTTGCTTTTTTTTACAGGAATCTATATTCCTGCTTTACACATTCATGCCATGGTCTTGTACATTGTTCATCACGCAGGAGAACTCATAACAACATGCAGATTTTTTAAAGAAGTTGTGTATTCTGCATTATGTTACTCTCCAACTGCAAGAAACCCGTTACTTGACTCAGGATTGATATGATTTAGGTATTATACCCTGGTGTTTTGTGAATGCGAAAAATATGTGTGCAGCATCTATTTTAATCATTATTAGCACTGCTACTATTCAACTTCCTTTACCTTTTTTTTCATCTCAGGGTATAAAATTTCTCCTCCCGGTTCCTCTCTTGATACTTGTGTCTCTTTCTCTCCAGAGCCAGTATTGTCCAAAAAAAAATAATTTACTTCCAAGAGGAAGGATCTCTCACTATACGACTATGTGAAAAAGGTAATGATTGTCTCTCATAAATTGCCCATCTTGGTACCCTTGACCACATATACAAAAGCCCATCTATGTCTTGATAGCAGAGTAGAAATCATGAGCAACAAGTTTGAGAAAAGGGCCTCAGAGACATAAAAGAAGAAGAAGAACTTTATTTAAACTCAATAGCAAAGAGTACGCAGGATTCGTTTGAAGGGGTTTGTGTTTCTGTGTGTTGTTACATCCATGTCCTTTCTACTTTCAGAGCGAGTGTTTGGGGAAGCCACAGAAGCTCCTGGTATTGAATGCTGTGCTTGTGGGACAGCAAAGTACAGACTCACCTTCAATGGCAACTGGTCAGAGACAGTACACCCAAAAGACTACCCAAGTGAGTGTAATAAGACACATTTTATATAAGCCCATCGAAACCACAACTGCTGTTTCCATGTCAACTAAGTATGTCACTGAAAGGAGAGATCTATCACTGACTACTGACTGGTAGTTGCATTAGACAGAATCAGTTTGTTTAACAACAACTACAGCCTGTATTCTGTGTATGGCATGTGACAAGGGAAGACAAATTACAGTAAGAGGAAATTAAGGCCAAATAACTTTGCCAACCAATCTGTGACAGGGAAAAACAAACAAAGAAGGCTTTTAAGTCAAAAACTGTGCTTACCAGCCAATAATGACTTTAAATTAGTGATGAAACTGGCCAGCAAGGTTATTCAGTCAGCTGTGTTTACCTTCTTAAAGACTCAATCATTGAAATTGTGATAACTAAAACCTAAATTTCAGTCTCTGTTTCCTTTAAGAACGAGCAAACCACTGGTCGGCTTTGATTGGCGCGTCTCACGCAAGAAGCTATGTGCTGTGGGAGTATGGAGGCTATGCAAGTGAGGGTGTCCGACAAGTTGCCGAGTTTGGTTCCCCCATCAAGATGGAAGAAGAGATTCGCCAAAAAGTAGGGCTCTCCAAATAGAACCTGCGCAGGTTCTCTGTCAATGGTTTTCTATGAAACAGCACTCTTTACATGTTTGTCTACTCGTGTTCTGATGCACACACTAGACTATAGCCAAGGGACTCTGAAAAATGCAAATACACACAAAAAAGTTTAAAGTTCATGGAGTTCATAGATAGACAGATAAAAAGATAGGTAGACAGATGCTTTATTAATCCCAGAGGGAAATTTAAAGAAACAGAGGCAGCACCAATAAAACACAGTACACATTCCACTAATACTGTGACAATACCTACACTAAGTAATAAATAAAACAGTCTAGTAACATGACCATAATGCAGTAGTGCAGTGTTAAGAAGACATAATAAACAGTGCAAATGGATGTAGTAGTGCAAAAATGCAGATGCTGATGGATTGTTCATGGATGGGATATACTATATCAAGGGGGGGGAGGGGGGGGCAGTTCTGTTAGTGTGGGACTCTGCCCCTTCCCATACAGGAAGTCTTAGTTTGGTGACCAGTCCAGCCTCTCGTCCAGATGCAATCCCAGGTAATTTGTAGGTCCTGGTAGAATCCACTTGGACACCATCGATGTCCACAGGCTGGAGGAGGGGCCTGGGCCTCCTGAAGTCAACCACGATTTCCTTGGTCTTGGAGGCGATGATGTTCAGGTAGATGGACTGACACCAGGGGCTCTATTTTGGTGCCTCACCGGAGATCTGCCGCAAGCGCAGCGTCAGTCAGATCCGCTGCGCTGACAAGGCGTTCCCAAGCACATTTTGGTATTTTGGTGAGCCGCGCAGCCCGGCGTAAGTATCCCCCCTCCCTAACTCAGCTCCTCCCAGCAGCATAAGTCGTAGACGGGGAGGAGAGAGGGCGTGTAGTAGATTTAACACAGCCGAGACCTGTTTTCACCAATCACATAAGCTCCTCTCCTTGCCTTTAAATCCGCCACCGGCGAGGCGTATTACTATTTTCATGAAGTAGTCAAAGAGATCGAGAGATGTCTGAAGACAGTTATGCCACACGATGGCGACAGAAGGCAGCTCCTCAACAAGTGTCCTCCACACTCTCTCATCTTAGCACAGATGGATTTGGTGTGTGTAATGTTGGACCCACTGGTAAGACAAACACCCTTTTCCACAAATAAAGACACTCACATGAAGTTGCTCATATTCAAACCTCACGTGACAAAGGTGGGTTGTGCGCAGAGATCACATCATAAATTCCAATAATGGCATTAAAATCGGAACCATCTGTGCGTAAATGACGCATCGCACTCCGTGGCCTGGCTCTTTCTTTCATAGATGTTGGCATATAAAATAAATTTGGCTCACAAAACTGAATATTATAATATCCGTATGTCGGCTTAAAGTAGATCACGCATCTGAGCACTGAAACAAATCATCTGTTCAGCCGCAGCAGCAAGCAAGACGGACAGAGGACACGGAGACGTGTCCAGGTCGAGCTGTGCGAGAAATAAGAGGAAGAAAGAAAAGGAGGGAGACACATTACATATCTTGTTAACTTCATCATGTGTGTTTATTTACTAGATATTTAACTTAATTTGATGCAGTTTCAGCTGTATTGATTCGGTCAGGTTGTGTGCCCAAACGCGTGCCAAACACGCTCATCAGATCAGATATTGATCAGAATATATCTATATAGATCTAAATGTATGTGCTGACTCAGATTATTAGTTGTTGTTGATTATTTATTGCACTGAAATCTGCCTGACACTGTGGAAACCTGCCAGTGAGGCATCAGTGACGTATGTCGATACGCCGCCGGTCTACCAAAATACTACTAGACCAGCTGCGTTCCGCCTTGCGCTGAAAGCTGACCAGGTTTGAATCGGCGAGCTTTCAGCGCACGTTACACGCCGGTGGCGAGCACGAAAATGTCACTGCGCCAGCTGATTCTGTCAACACCTCCCCCTGCCACGCCACCACGCCCAGCTTGGCGGATCTCGGCTCGCCTCCGTGCGACTCAGTCCACGAAAATACCAAACTCGCCTTACGCCGGGCTCCGCCAGACGAAAATACAACTGCGCGGGGCTCGCCGCCCTCCGCCGCCTCACCGGCGCGAACGAAAATAGAGCCCCAGGTGACTAAGTCATGGGTGAGGTTCCTGTACTCTTCCTCCCGACCATTCCTGATACACGATACAATCACATCTTGTGTATTCTTCAGAATACACAAATGCTGTTTTCACGTTTGAGTCACAGAACATTTAACTGCAAGACTAGCTGTTTCAAAGAGTTAAAGGGCTAGAGCTGTCCCACAGGTGTACGCAACAGCTGCATATTTGGTAGGGGCAGAATGTTGTTTGTGTATCTGTGGGTGGTCTAAAATCTCATTTAGTTCAGTCTGAGTGACACACATGTAGGTGTAGTGGGCTGCTTAAGATGGTTATTCTCCATCACGCATGACTTCAAACTACGGAAACCATGTCTTCCTTGGGAGAAAAATAAATCCTTTGTCTAATTACAAGGGGTCTCTTTTTAGCCCCTATCAGATATGCACAAGTTCCCTGAAATTTTTCTGTACAGTTCCACAGGGAAAGCATTCACCAGAGAGCCTTAACATTGTCAACACTTGGGCAATTTAATGAACTCTAAATTCGACTTTCCCGAAGCTTCCAACAGTTTTGCTGAAACGGTCAGACAGATGAGAACTGTTCAGTACATTGATTAATAAAATTGTAGTGGGTGTAGGCGGTACAAGGAACACAGTCCAGAACACCCACTACCTCTGCCCTAACATACATATTGTGGGTATAATAATCACATGTCTTATCATGTTTACAAAAATTGAAAACTTCAACAAGCTTCTTCAACATAGAATTTGTTGTAGAGCTGTTGTTGGATTGCATTAAATTTGATTGTGTTCATAATGTTATGGCTCGTTGGTGTATTTCAAATCCAGGGTCCTGGAACTTGGAGTGACAAGTGCCTTCAGCATTACAAAACAAGGATGCAGAACCTGTAGCTTGAGTTTATGCTCTGTAGGTGCTAGAGGATTTGGCTGAGCAGCCATAGATCTGTTTGTCCTGCCTAATCTTAAGTTTCCTGAAACTTGATCAGAGTTAAATAACAGAGAAAAATCTACTTTTAAAGAGACACTAAGGGATGACTTACGAGCAGATAAAAAACACACAGAAGCTTCTAAACAGTTAGTATGTAAAGAAAAGTGACAACAAATTAATGAGCACAACTTTGGTACTATCAATGTTAACAAAGTACCACTCCTGAGGTCTTTATCCTTTTTCCAGATTCACAATGTTATTGGTCATTTTGTCGAATAATAGCATAATTATAAAAATATATTTTTTTCTAGTTTTTCGACGTGTTTATTTTTGTACAGAGCCAGACATCCTGTTAACATTGAAATGTTTTCCAGTAAACACACAGGCTTGATTTCATTTATTTATTTATTTTTAATCTTCACCAAAGGTTCTCCTGTTTTTACGGTTGATTCTTTGTAAAACTGCAACATTAAAAGAAAATAACCTGAATCAGTATGGGTTTAAAAGTAAAGCTATTACAGGGTAAGTATTATAAACTATTCCACATAATCCCATATACTGTAACAAAAGGCTGAACCATACTGTATTAAAACAGGACTACAGTGCTAGCTAGAATGATAAACCAGCAAGAGAGCTGGCTACTGCTGTGCTCGTCTGTTAGCTTGGAGAGCACATGTAATCTTAAACTTAAAACAAGCTTCATTTTCAACATAGATTTTAATATGTCAGATCTTTGATGTTCTACAACATGTTCAACATGTGACATATGACAAATGAGTCCTGTCACTTACTGTGCTTCAGAGGAGCATGAGTGACAAAGAAAATCCCTGACCAATGCCAGTAGATGGCACCACAAACTAATGCAATCATTATGATATGATCCTCCTCCTTTTAACTGTAATGGGCTGATTTTATACATACATGCATACATGCATGCACAGACAGACAGACTTGTGAGGCTGTACAAATTTATCTTTATGATCCTTATTTGTCTTGTTTATTTTTTATCATGAATATTGTTGAATTACCCCTTGTAAATCTACCAAAAAAGGATTTCTGTGCCCCCCTTAAAAATACAGGATGGAGCACCAAAGGTTGGAAAAGTGAGGTCTGCAGTCAGGTCTCAATGAGGTGGTTGTTTTATTAACCAATAAAATGTGAAGGAAATCAACAAAAGCAACTAAACTAAGGTCTTGTACACACATAGCGGTATCCAACCCACAACAAAAACAATACTGATGATTTATAAGTTTTTTGGTTTTGAAAAGAGTGACATATTCTTATTTTCTCTACAACTCTCAGCCTGATAACTGTTTTTTAAAGTTTTTATGATATCATACATTGGCTGTATTAATGAGACACAGAGTTTACATCAAATACCTTAATATATGTGTACAAATGATGAGTAAAACATTGTCAGGTAATCAATAGGTGTGATGTGTGTTTTTATTCAGTGGACAGAATGTTTCATGGTTGGTAAAACCTTTTTTTCTTTCTTTTTCCCCTTTGCTGTCATTCTTGGCATCCATGAACATAGGTGTGTGTTTAAACAACAAATCCAAGTTTTCTGCTGGGTTCATGATATGGTATGGGATTTAATGATGAGGATTCTTGTGTGAACATAAACGCACAGATTCACAGTTTTTTCTCTTTCATATCTCCTTCTGTCTGCAGGGACATGAAGTACTGACTGTCATCAAAACAAAGGCTCAGTGGCCAGCATGGCAGCCCCTCAACATGTAAGTATCACTTACTGTCACTAATGTATTTGTGTAAAACATAAAATTGGATCCTATAGGGAAAAAAAAAAATTTAACATGAATTCCTAAAACAGTTGCTTGAAATTAGCTTAACATTTCAGCTGGTTACAAAACTTTGTTTGCCTCTGAGGCAAGAAAAAGATAACATCTTTGTGTAATTTTTTTAATTCTTAGTATCTGTTCAAATATTTGTGTTCTCCATGAGTTTGTATTTTCCAGTTCAAATGAACATGTAAGTGTCACTGATGGGTGCATTGTGATTTGAGGGCCATTGTGGTGAGGGAATCCTTCCCTGCAGTGATTCAGAGTAGCTTAGCGGTATACTGTATTGTTTTTGTCATTTTATTTGTTTAGCAATATTGCACACAGGTAAGTTTTTCGTGAAATTAACTATAGACACAGATGTTTGTCCCTTCTGGCTTTGTCCCCATCAGTACTTGTGTGACGCTGAAAACTTTAAGAATATGTGCACTTACTACAAGGGCCCCTCAATGCTGCCTGTTATTCAGTAATAATTGACTTCTTCCTCCCTATGAATGAGCAAGGAGGGTAGTCTGGTAAGACAATCAGTCCTGCTACCCAAAGATCAGTAACCTTATGGTTTTTTTTTTAACACTGAGTTAGGGTGACCATACATCCTGTTTTACCCGGACATGTCCTCTTTTTGGGAATTCAGAATATGGTCACCCTAACTGAGTAAGCTCAAGGAAGAGCTCTAACATCAAGTGGATAGAACCTGATGAAGGTGTGTGGCGCTTGATGCAGCACAAATCTCTTAAAGAAAAGTCTCTCTTAAAATCAGGCCCATGAGATATGAATATGCCCCCCCTCCCAATTATAATCATAGTTATGTAATGTCCTTTATCGTAGCCTAAACCGAGTCACTTCTGTGTGATCTATAGACATTTTAGCTTGAAGCACTGCACTGTGTGTAATTGATGTCCAACAAGTGTTGTTAAACTGCAGGCTATCTGGGTACCAGGTGCTCAACCAGAAAGTGCAATCCCTTATTTTTAATATAAGTACAGGTATTTCTATCCAGGAAAGTTCATTCAGTAATCTCCTCTGTTATTTTCCACCCTTTCATAACATCACTTGGAAAGTGTCTCTCATCTTTGCAGTACACTAAAACTGACAAAACTGACTGACACTGCTTTGTTTTGGGTCCTGCACTTGGAACATGAGCTTTGAAAATTTGGAGTAAACCTGTCTTTTATCCATTTGCTGCACTCAAGCAAGGAGGTCTACTGTAAATATTAATTCTTACCACCCCACCCCCGTTTTTTTGTAATTCTTCACCGTCACTTTGTCCTTGTCATCAGGAGAGCAGCGCCCTCGGCAGAGTTTTCTGTGGACCGTACTCGTCATCTGATGTCATTCCTCACTATGCTTGGACCAAGCCCGGATTGGAATGTGGGGCTGTCAGGGGAGAACCTCTGCACCAAGGAGTGTGGCTGGGTCCAGAGGCTTGTGGCAGACCTCATTCCCTGGGATGCAGGCACTGATGATGGTATTACATATGAGGTAACCTATCTGAATTATACTGGTTATTCAAATGCATCATAACAACTTCACGTATCAAATCACATTTGTCATATTGAATCAAAGGTTACAGAAGACAAGACAGGAACTGTGCATCTCCTCTCACTGCCTATGTGTCAAGTTAGTCAGATACCCAAGAACAGCGGTCCTCAACCTTGGGGTCCCGGCCTCTATAGGGGTCACAAAATAATGTCTTTGGTTTTGCCAGATTGACTCCACAATGACTTGGTAAAGACTTTCTTTCTCCTTCTAGCTCATATGTGGATCGAATTAGGCTCCAGCAGGATGAGAGTTCTAAATGTATCTCCACACAGCATGGTGTGAAGATGCTTGCAGTTTACCTCAGTCACAACAAAGCACAGAACTAGAGCAAAACGCTTGAAAACTCCAGAACTTTGTACTAAAATATATGTTTTTGTATTCTGAAATATCATCTGTAAGATGATTTTTGCTTGGACCTTGTGACCAAGGGCAAATGATTTGCCGTTTGTGAATTCACTGACACCACTGCAAACAATACAGTAAGAGTAGAATGCTTATGATCTGCTGATGACTGGTGGTATTTAAGTTGCAGTATGAATAGGCAGGCCAGCTGAGGCCATATTTACCTGTGACCAGATCAAGGTGATTCAAGAGCCCCCGCCCCCCACAGTTTTAACAAATTCCATTCACATATCACACATCAATGTAGCCAGCGGGAGGCAGGTTAGGGGGGTCAAGTGTTGTACCTAAGGACACTTCAGCATGTGGACAACAAATAATATAAAAAATTACAATAGTGCACTAAAGCAATGAGCTGAAAGTCACTGAATTTCTTTCCAGGTTTTTGGTAATCTGCCGTCACATAATATATATCCGTTGGTCTCATCAAAATGGGCAACACCTCCACTTCACACAGTAATTTGATTTGTTGTCCATTTAAGTTTTGATTGAAACAGCTCTGGTATTTGCCCACATAATTATTGCGTACATTATTTGTTCACAAACCCTCCTTTATTCCTCTCTTACAGTCACCAAACCAGCCCTCCATTCCTCAGAAGAAAATTCGCCCTTTGACTAGTTTGGACCACCCCCAGAGCCCATTCTATGATCCTGAGGGTGGGGCCATTACTCCGCTTGCGAGAGTGGTTTTGGAACGTGTTGCTAGAAAGGTACAATGCCTGTGTGTACATGACTGTGTGTGTGTGTGTGTGTGTGTGTGTGTGTGTGTGTGTGTGTGTGTGTAAGTGTGTGTAAAGAGCAGTACTGGTGTCACATGCATGATGTACTCTCTTGACTCTTGTGTGATTGCTTTAAAAAAGTCCCTCAAGTCTCTACATACCAGAGTCGTGTAAGAAGTGCTTATGGACAGACTCTTTTGAGTATACCACTGAACAAAGCTGTCAACGTCCTGGCCGTGGCTGATCTTATCCTTTTAAAGCATGTTAACAATAACAGAATCATCTGCATATCTGATAGCAGATCAATTGTCAAGTCTGTTCTGACACATTTGTTTTGAGGAGAAAGGTTATAGATATTAGCTAGATAGAAAGAAAGATTAAGAATTTAACAAGGCAAGAATTCTTCAATAACTTGTTAATTCACACAGAAAGAAAATAGTGGCAGCAATCCAAATCAAATCAGGTTGACAGTCACGTTCTGTGCAACAAAAGCCCAGGCAGACCTCCTTTAACCCCCTTAGCCTCTCCTATTTGGTGTAGTGAACTACACAACTTCACTTTAACCATTTTAACTAGAATTTGACATCATTCAACATTTTTAATTATTTCTAGAAAAGCAATCACAAGAGCCAACATGTATGCATCCATGTTTAACCACAGGACCATTTTTGGTGCAAAAGTTTGTGTGTGTGTGTCTGTGTGTTTTTTTATGAGTTGTCAGTGACTTTGGGTTTCCATGTATATGCAGGGTGAACAGTGTAATGTGGTGCCAGACACAATTGATGACATTGTTGCTGATATTGAACAGGATCAGAGGGAAGAAGGTAAAGTGAATAAATAAACACCCTTACAAACACACCATTTTTGACTACAGCTGTTTGTCACTCCTAAAACGGAATGCCATGTATTTCCTGAAAAAAGGCCCGAAGAAGTTCTCAAATATTCATTCAAACACTCCCTTTTTAATGGTTTAACGTTCGTTTATTTATACTAATGAAAAAAGAGGGACAAAACCCCCTCTTTTTGAAAAACGCTTATGCCATGATATTATGAATCCAGAACCTAGGTTGTAATTTAGCTGTCATTATTCTCTTGAGAAAGCCTAAGGTGTGGGTTAATGGAGTATAATAGTATTTTCACTATTATACTCCATTAACCCACACCTTGAGGCCAGGTTCTGGCTCCCCACCTGTAAGAGGGGGTTAACTCCAAAAAGTGCCTCGTGAATATTTTTTGCAAAAATGTATATATTTATGGAAGTCAGGATTGATGAGCTACCTGTTTGTCCATTTGGAGGGGCTACAAACACATTCCATTCAGTTGATACACCAGATATGAGGATGGACTGGTAAATGCCAGTGTCTGTGTTGCACATTAGTACACTGACTTCTTTTACTTGAGTGACCTTGGGTAGGAAACAGTATTCTGTAAGACTTGATAGGCAATCTGCTTTCTCAATCCTTTTCTGTTTCTACCTGTGCTCTTTTTTTGTCCTTAATTTCTGTAGAGATGGCAATCATAAATTTGGCTGGGAACCCAGCCCATTTTATTCTACTCAAACATCAAATGAATTATAGGTTAAATCAGAAATATATATAGTTTATTTAACTTCTCAATAAAGATTTCTTCACACGTCTCTTGTAGATGACACTCCAGAGACATGTATCTATTCAGCTTGGTCCCCCTGGTCAGCTTGTAGCAGTGCTACTTGTGAAAAAGGACGCAGAATGAGGCAGAGGATGCTAAAGGCCCAGCTTGACCTCAGTGTGTCGTGTCCACACACTCAAGATTTTCAGCCCTGCATGGGACCAGGATGCAGTTTGGAAGGTAAACAAACACACGGTAGGAATCCCTGCACCAACAGGAGGTGTGGAAATCTTCTGTACTTTTAAAACATTTGCTTCCACCTCTAAGGTGTTCTTATAAATTAATTTTGGTTGCTACAAAGGGACTGCTATATGTATATATAATTATATATATATATATATAAGAATGCGCAAATGTCAAGTATGTCTAACTGCACTATCACTTTTTGGCTGCAATAGATGTATGTTGCCCTCTCTTTACAGTATTTCTGATCTGAACAGATTTGTTAAAAAAAACATTGTGATTACGACATTTGGTCCAGGTGTCCAATTTTTCACACTCTGATTTTAAATTTAAAAAAACTCTGATGTTAGTTACTGCTGTCCTTTTCTTTACTTTGTTGTTCATGTTTTATGTGATAATATGTTGTTGTTGGCATGTTTCCCATGTCAACATCACTTTCACCTAGAACATATTATTGTAACGTGTATGTCTTTCCAAAAATTTTGCCTGATGGTTAACTTTTGCAAAACAGTGTAACTCCTCTTGTGCAGTTTGTCAGCTACCATCATCTATCTATCCATTTTCTTCTGCCAATCCAGGGTTGAGCTGCAGAGGCAGCAGTCTGAGAAAATCCACCAAGGATATTTCCTACCCTAGCAACATTTGCCAGTTTCTCTTAAGGGATCCCAAATCAGCTGGGATACACAGTTCCTTCAGACAGCTCTTACCCCTATAAAGGAAACCCAGGAGTCATTTTTCTCATAAGCCCAAACCGCTGCAACAGACTCCTTTTGATATGAAAAAGCAATGGCTGTATTTTGAGCTCACTCTTGATGTCCACCCTCACTCCTGTTCCCTCATTCAGAGTTGTAACATAGACCAACTGGTAAACCCTAAGCTTTGCCTTCAAGCTCAGCTTCCTCTTTGCCATGATGGTCAGGGCATTGCCTGTTGATCTTATGATCCATTTCACCCTCACTCATGAACAAAACCCCCATGAACTTGAACTCCTGCATTTTCTGGCAGAGACCCAACACCTCGGACTTCAGACTTTTACAATCTAGTCAATATTGTTTCTAATTTACATCCAAAGCATTCTGACCATGTATGGCTCAAGAATACCAAATGACAGAATAATGTGTTATCTGATTTAGAGTTTAGTTACCACACATACTCTTCACAGCACTTTTTTTCCAGAAGAAATTCCATTATCAGAGTCCAAGTGGCTGATCATAGTTATCAGAAAAGGGCTGTGTATGTGTTTTGGTCCAGTCATCCCACTTCATGTCTAATGTTCACCTGCAGATAGGCACATGTCTTACCTATGTTATGGGAAAGGGCTAAGAGGACTTGGCTTTGTAGGAACAGTACCTCCTTGGTGGTAACATCCGCCCACTTGTGCTGTTTAGACCAGTGCAACCAGTTACAGGGGTTGAGCTGGAATCATGGGACACAACCTGACTCTCTCCTGAGAGCTTTAAAATCTTTAGGATTGAACAAAATAGATTGTGAGACTAGATTGTGAAACTCAGTGTATCATCAGTCTCAATTACTGCCTGAGTTCCTCACATCCTGTTTCTGCATTAGGAGAAAATATTCCTCACCCAGTGGTGGATTTAGGTTCCTAGATGATTTTATATGGATTGTGGTTTTGGTCATGTGGTCCTCTTTCAGTTGAATTTTTATGCAGAGCATGTATTAAACCCAGTTGAGCAGATTAAATAGTAGAATCATCAAGGGAAAGAACAGTTTGTAAAAAGTCCAGACACATTTCCTGGAAACCATTATCCCCATCAAAAGTCAATAAGAAACACACCCTTTTAAATGTCTGAAACACCTGAATCCAAGTCATCGCTCGCCTAAAGGGAAATCAGCCAATGTTAGATAATTTACAATTGGGCTTTCATAAAAACTATAAAGGTCATTTGTGTCACACCTTGTAATGATTTATTTCTTTGTTTCTTCAGCAACATGAGAGATATTTTTGACTGAATCATGACAAAAGAGCTTCTGTGCTGAGAAAATAGTAATGGTGGTTAACTTGGTTCAGAGAGAAAGCAAAGCCCTTGTTCTCCTGTTTCCATTATCAGAACTTTTACATTGTATTTTAACTGGGATTTTAATGGATGTCTCAGGCAGTGTGTAATGAGATAAAAAGGATTGATTGTTGAGTACAGCTTTGTCTAAAACAAGGGGTGGCACACTAAGTGTCTGTGCAGCAAGTCATCGGTCTCTTAATATCATTGTTGGTGGTGGAGGTTTCTTTTCTTCATCATAACGATATGACTTCCCCCTGAAGTTTTACTTCTAGTGGTGTCAGTGTGATGCTCTTTTGCTGCAAGTACCATCCCTTGATTATGAAACAGTACCACTATACTTAAACCCAGAAGTCTGTTTTGATAACTCTTCATACAATCTTTGCTTTTTCTCCTGACAAGAACCATCAGCGTGTATGATGTCGGAGTGGATCAGCTGGTCGGCCTGCAGTGTGTCCTGTGGGATGGGAATGAGATCAAGAGAGCGATATGTCAAACAGTATCCTGAAGATGGTTCACTTTGCCAGCTCAACACTCAGGAGACAGAGAAGTGTGTGGTCAATGATGAATGCTGTGAGTTTTCTTTTTATTTAATTTTACAAAGAATTGAAAAAAAGTTCAACAAAGTATATTAAAGGGATATTCGGACGTAAAATGAAGTTAGGGTCGAACACACCGTAACACTGAGTTAGACACCCCATCGAGAGATGAATGTTGCCGCCCGCTTGCTTCTCTAGTTATACCAACTTTAGTAACAACTGCACTATACAGAAATACACAGTGGTCTATGTCTCCAGGAGCAGAAACCAAAAAGCCACTCTATAGCCACAAATAATGCTCAGAACAGCACCTAACTTCATCAACAATACATATAGGGTCCCAGCCATAGCACTAGCCACCAAACATCTTTTTAACTTTGCCTAATTTCATTAGCAAAGAGACTAAACACAATTTACCACTCTCCTGTTGTACAGAGACCTCGGGTGAGTCCATCTACTGCAGCAGGGTGACGCAGCTCAAAGAATAACATTTATGATCATTACTTTATCATTTCCTTGAAGTAATAATCACCATATTAATCATTTTGCACTGCAGACGCGGTAGTTCTTCTGCCTTAGCGTCTCGGTCTGATTGCATTTCCATGAGGAAATGATCATAAATGTTCTTCCTTTAGCTGTGTCACCCCGTTACAGTTTGGTGTTTTGTTTGAGGGTGTGGCTCTCTGTATTGCTATCTGCGGTCGCTACTAAATTTGATATAACTTGAGAAGCAAGCAGTTGGCAACGTTTATCTCTCGACGAGGTGTTTTACTTGGTGTTATGGTGTGTTTGACCCTAACTTTATTTTACGCCAGAATATCCCTTTAATGCCTGTTTGTATGAAAAAGTAAAACCAGTACTGTATCAACGCACATATAAGATCACCCTGATTACAGAATACAGATGTATTTTAGTGGGGAAAAATGTCTCAATAAGGTAGTGATGTCAATATGAGTAGCTCCCTTTTTACATACAAATTGAAATATATATATATGTAAAATCAGTCTGTCAGTCAGACTAGTTTTATACAACACAATGTAACACACAGTGCTTTGCATGAGCATTGGTACAGCTGTATTACCATTATGTTTATGTTCTGTGAATGCCACAATTACCCACTCTGAGCCTGTACAAAACCAGGTATATTTTTTTAAGTGCAATATGAGGGACATGACTTAATTCAAATGTGCATCTTCTAATAATTTCAGTGTTTTGAAAAGTTTCTTTTTTTACTTAAGTTAGGTATGCATTTTCCTTCAACCACTAACATGATATTGAGCCACTTGATGTGGTAAAAATAACTTTCGGTGTGAACAATGAAGAGGGGGATCAGTTATGATGATAATAATTTTTTAAAGTCGAGTTCCAGTTTAAAGCGATCAAGCCAAAGCTGGCTCTCACTCTAGATACATGACTCAAACACTTTTGTATTTTAAAACTGTGTTTTTGGTATTTGTCTTTGCCACAGCACCGAGCAGCTGCGTGGTGACTGAGTGGGGTGAGTGGCAACCCTGCAGCGTCACCTGTGGTCTAGGTATGAGGAGGCGTGAGCGTATGGTAAAGATGCCTCCTATAGATGGTTCAATGTGTAAGACAGAAGTGTCTGAAGTGGAGAAGTGCATGATGCCAGAGTGTCGTAAGTATCAAATATTTATATGCTTTTATTAAAAAGAAGTTGCGGTCGTATTAAATTCTTAAATGTATTTTGTACAGTGCTGAATTACTGACTGTTAACCTTGATACTTAGTTTGTGTTTGTTTGTAGACACCATCCCTTGCATGTTGTCACCCTGGTCTGACTGGAGTGACTGTAGTGTGACTTGTGGGCGGGGCATACGAACACGTCAGAGGATGTTGAAGTCCGATCCTGCAGACTGCACTGAGGAGCTTGAACAGACAGAGAAATGCATGCTGCCTGAGTGCCGTGAGTAACAAACTACTGCTCTGCATTACCAAAGTTCTAATTACTATGAACAGCAAGGTCAACAAAGGTTAGTTTGTAACTAGTAGTGATGGTTAGATGATACGCCAGCAACAAAAAACAAGAAGAGAACAGAGCCAACATGGTAAGATCTGCACTACCTTTTTAAAAAAGAGCTGACTGTATTGACATCTTTCAGTAGATTGGTAGTCAGAGTTTTACACAAGAATGTTGATGCTTTAATCCTTGTGGATAAATATTTAGTCTTAAGAGGACTGTTGGTAAGGCAACATAAGGTGCTTTTCAACCAAAATCACCCAAACTCATTTTCAGGGACTTGTCTCTCAGGAACGTAATAGTTCCTTTGGCCCACTGTTGGTTGCATTTCCACTTGGGGCCTGAAGTCCTGGATAAATAATGCTAAAAAGGCCAACAACATCCAGGGATGGATCCAGGAAATGAATTTGCTTGCACAGTTCCTAATTTGAGTGTTTTTTGTTTTTAAAGCTGTATAATACAGCAAGTAAGCTGTATTGTTAAATAACACCAGGTTACTGGAAATATTTTCTCTTGTACAATTGTCATTGGTGCCTCTACCTGTCTGCACCTGTCTCTGCTCTGCTGGTGTCTGTGTGTTAATTATGTACCAGCTTATATTGTATAAATGAGCTTGTTTCTTGATAAGACTAACTGCTGATTCTGTTGTAACATCTCTGATATGGAAGAAATTAACATAAAAGGGGTCAAAATTCATGTATGTGGATAGTAGGGCTGCACGATTAATAGATTTTAAATCCTTATCAGATTATTTGATGATGATGTCATCGATTTTCCTCTCTATCATGTCTGGCGCCTCCAGACCATTGTAGACTCCCCTTTCCTTCAAGAGTGCTCCCCAGATCCCACACACACCATTGTAAACAAACATGGATAATTTCATGGCTAAATAGGGCAAGAGCAAGTCAACTGTGTGGAATTGGTACAAGTTTTGGACAAAGAGCAAATCACTCCCCGCTGCAAAGTCTGTCTGAAGGCGGTATCAACCTGGTCTACACAGAAACGAATTCAGAAGAAAACGCAAAGGTTTTTTGTTGTATCTGTGTTTTATTGACACAGAAACCGTGTTTCAGGTGACTGTAAATGGTACTTTTTGAAAATGGATCAGAGAGTGCATAAATCCGTAAATGACGACCATTTCATCTCCGTGTGGATGCCTATCTGCATCTTTCTTGAAACGATTATGTCACACACAGCGTAACTCTTTTATGGCGCATGTCTGGCAAAAGCAACCGTTGTATGTATGCTCTGTACTCTTCTTCTGTCTTTTGTGCATTTCCTTGGCAGCGTTACTGGCTTGGCATATGCACTACATCGTTTTCAATGGTTTGGTTTTAAGAGGTGATAGAAAAACTTATTAAAGTGACGTTTGGTGAAGTTGTCACTGAGAAGTTGTCACTGAATAAAGAAATTAAATTGAATTTTCAGGGAAAAAATCAAGATTTTATTTTTGGTTAAAATCATGCAGCTCTAGCGCATAGCTTACAAAGTGAAAAAAAACAAAAAACACAAATGCATCTGTAGGTGCCCTTCAGTTTAGGGAAACACACACAAGACTTGGAGGCAGGCAGATGGCTTCTGACCAAATAAACATTACAGGTCAGGGCCTTTGACAAAACAAAAACACAGAGGTTCAGGAAACACAGAGCAAAGTGTGGTATCGCTCTTCAAGATGTTCCAAATTTTATCCATAATCTGTTTAATGTCATAGGCAATGTTGCTGTATTTTGTGGAGAAATAGACATCAATAATTATGTCAGTGTGCGTCTTGGGGGTGATCTACTAAATGTGTAAATGACTTTAGTTGCACAGACTGTGGGGGCAGTGGTATTCAAATAAGACAAATGAGTATTATGTGAAGGAACATATTTAAAAAATAAACATACAAAACGTACTAGTTTAAGAGATGTAATCCTCAGGGAACTATAGAAGTTCAGGTGTACAGGTGCATTGAAGTTTGGGCAGGTTATTTAACTCACAGGGCTCTATTTTCGTGCCTCACCGGAGACATGACAGTAATGCCACACGATGGCAACATAAAGCAGCTCCTCAACAAGTGTCACTGTAAGTGCTGCATTGGGTCTCCTCCACACTCTCTCATAAGAGCACAGATGGATTTGGTGTGTGTAATGTTGGAGCCACTGGTAAGACAAACACCCTTTTCCACAAATAAAGACACTCACATAAAGTTGCATATATTCAAACCTCACGTGACAAAGGTGGGTTGAGCGCACAGATCACATCATAAACTCCAAAAATGGCATTAAAATCGGAACCATCTGTGCGTAAATGACGCATCGCGCTCCGTGGCCTGGCTCTTTCATTCATAGATGTTGGCATATAAAATAAATTTGCCTCACAAAACTGAATATTATAATATCCGTATGTCAGCTTAAATTAGGTAACTCATCTGAGCACTGTCTATTTACTAGATATTTAATTTAATTTGATGCAGTTTCAGCTGTATTGATTCGGTCAGGTTGTGTGCCCAAACGCGTGCCAAACGCGCTCATCAGATCAGATATTGATCAGAATATATCTATATAGATCTAAATGTATGTGCTGACTCAGATTATTAGTTGTTGATGATTATTTATTGCACTGAAATGTGCCTGACACTGTGGAAACCTGCCGGTGAGGCATCGGTGACGTATGCCGACACGCCGCCGGTCTACCAAAATACTACTAGACCAGCTGCGTTTCGCCTGCACTGAAAGCTGACCAGGTTTGAATCGGCGAGCTTTCAGCGCACTTTACACACCACTGGCGAGCACGAAAATGTCACTGCACCCGCTGATTCTGTCGACACCTCCCCCTGCCACACCACCACGCCCAGCTTGGCGGATCTCGGTTCACCTCCGTGCGCCTCAGTCCACGAAAATACCAAAGTGGCTGTACGCCAGGCTCCGCCAGACGAAAATACCACTGCGCGGGGTCCACCACCCTCCGTCGCCTCGCCGGCGCGCACGAAAATAGAGCCCACAGACTTTGAGAAATCAGGTCCCTAATGTTTGGAAGATTCTTTTATGTGGCTGTCACCGAGGTCACTAACTCATTTAGAGTATAGACCACTTAGCCTGATGATAACTTTTGATTTTGCTTTCATTAATTTGTTCCTAAGAAATATGTCAGTTTGTTTTGCCAACTATCTTTACTCATTTCCTGTTTTTGTTTTTTTCTGATTTTTTTTCTCCTGTTCTCCGCTTTTGTTCATCTTTTCAGCCGTTGACTGTATGGTATCTGAATGGTCCGAGTGGTCCGAGTGTAACAAGTCCTGTGGAAAAGGACACACCATTCGGACCCGTATGCTTAAGTTGGAGCCTCAGTTTGGAGGTCTTGCTTGTCCTGAGACAATCCAAAGGAAGAAGTGCAAGATCAGAAAATGCCGGACAAAAACGAGGGGGGGGAAAGGAGGTGGAGGAGAAGGAGGAGGAAATAGAAGGAGGCGTGGTAAACAAGGAGCAGACACAGCAGTTGAAGAGCAGCCAGGTTTGCTGAAATGATCTGTTTTGATGTCACTTATGAATAAAGCTGCTATTTGAGACCATAACATAGACGCGGTCCTGTGTTTGTTCCTTAAGGTTGTAGACTACAGCCATGGACCAGCTGGACAGAGTGTACCAAACCATGTGAAGGAGGAATTCAGGAACGCTTCATGATGGTGAAGAAAAAAGGAAAAGGTGCTCAAATGGCAAGCTGTAAGGACCGAAAAGAGATCCGTGGCTGTAATGTTAACCCTTGCTAGCATGGACTTAAAATTAAGGGAAGAAACATGACCACTGGATGAGTCCATGACTCTCTGTATGGAAGGGAGGAGAAGTTGGGATAAGGATTATTACTTTGTTACACCAGGTAAGTGTTACGTAAGTAGAAAGGGTGTAAAAAGAAAGTAGGATGGAATAAGGTGAAGATGATGGCGTTCTGTTTGGAGAAGCCATTGTTGACTTTTAAGACTGACTTTTCTTAGGGACCTAATGAAAGAATAAAGGTGCAATTTTTGTGTTCTTCAAAAACAAAACGAAAAAAAGGAAAAGAAAAAAACGTGGAGAAATGTCAAACAAAGATGTTAACTATGGTAACTTCACTGTTAAGCATAATCGCATTTTATCCTGTAGCTACTGTGTGTGCACAATTATTAGGCAGGTTGTGTTTTTAAAGGGTTAATCTTATGACTGAACAATCACAGAGATCTCAGTCAATCCAAAATGTCAGTACTGATGTACTCAAGATAGTAAGAGTGAGGCTCGAAGAATATATCTGTATGTACAATTTCCATGTGATTAGTAGTGTGCAGAATTATCCTGCAACTAAATGAAAATTTTCTCTGCTCACATGTTTATTTTCATCTGTCAAAGTGAGAAAAGTAGACAACTTAAAATTCACAAATAAACATTTCTGATATGGAAAAAAACAAAACAAAACAAAACAAACAAACAAACAAAAAAAAACCTGACCACTAAAGCCACTCTTCTTTCAAAAACAGGCATAAGCCACCCGTTCGTGTCAGTTTCTTCTAAGATGCAGATTTTTATCTGTAACCCTGCTTCAAAAAAGTGTCTTCTACAACTGGCAGTAGGTTTGGGATTTGATCTTGAGTCCATCTTCAATCGGAAAAGGTCCAAGTGGCTCATCTTTAATCACACCAGCCCAAACCAGGAACCTGACCTTCACTTTGCTTGTATCTAAATCAAAGTGGAGCTCTGTACCCATTATAGACCAGGCCACAGGCCCAATCAAGAGTCTCTCTCAACTCATCAGGCCATAAAACCTTTGAAAATCTGTCTCAGCCCAGTCTTGACGTTTCATCTTAATGTCTCATTCAGTGGTGGTCTGGTTTCAGCCTTCCTTACCTTGGCCATGTCTCTGGGCACTGAAAAACTTTGACTTCTGGGCACTCTAGGTAGGCTGCAGTCTTGAAAACTGGGTTCCTGGTTGCTTCACTTTGTTTTTTCTCAAAGTTTTAGCTGTATATTTGTGTCTTTTTATCTCACTAGGTTTCTAGAACACGTGTTTGATATTTGCAACTAAATATTCAATGGTTCTGTGAACATTCCCAAATATCTTAGCAGTTTCTACAGTGCTGCATCCCTCTGAAAGACTTTACATTTGTTGACCTTTCACAGTCAGTTAAATCTCTTTTTTTGGCCCATTTTGCCTGAGGAAAAGAAGCTGCCTATTAATTATGCACATCTTGACACGAGGATGTTGATCTCCACACTCTCCATCACTAGACAAATACACACCATCTAAGATGCTTAAATTTAATAAAATTCAAGTTTATGCAACTTGGACTTTGAAATCTGCATAAAAATGGTGATCTGGTGAAAATACTCACTTGTGTAATGATTGTGCACGCAGTGAGTCTACAGAAGTTGGATCCCTGTGGTTTTGAAAACAGGTCAGCTTTTTTTTTATTCTTTACAAAGTCTGTGCTTATTTTCTCTGGATAGAATATCCCCAGGGATGTGGAGTTATTGCACACATCTGCTTTCTTCTGTGCCACACCAAGATGCCTTTTCTTCATTCTTTGTGCCATACAAGCTTACTTTTGAAATACTGTTACTGCAATTGAATGAATAAGTGGTTCTTGTTTTAGCATTTCCCAATCAGTGGTGTTACCACCCCTTTGGGCTATAATTACTCCTTGTTTACAGCTTGAATTTAGGAAACTCAAGAATGTGTGAAAAAAAAGGTACCAAGCCTGTGGAGACAGTATTAACTTGGAGATTGAAAAAAAAAGGTCCAATTTCTGCTAATTGAAGCACATTAAACAGAGGCAAAATAACATTAGCAGCTTGATAAATGCTTACTTAAATTTAGGCGTGTCTGTGGTTGGTGGAGCAAAAGTAAAGAGGTACTTTTAAAAATTGCCACATACTCATATGAATCAGTTGTGTAAAATCAATGAACTGTCACCCCATGAGGAATATTTTAACGGTGTCTCTTTTTAGAAAATGCAGGAACAGACAAAAACTAATGGCCTTTATAAATCCTATTGCTGTCCACCTACTGGAGTATGAAACGAGGAGGAGCTCCTTCTCAGTGAGAGGATCTATGTTCATACCAAGGTGATGATGTTTTGTTGGGCACTCTGCCTTTTCTGCTGATAATATTCACCTACAACAGCTGTATATGACTGTAAATGACTGTATCTGCCTCTGTTGGTTTCTAAAACCACAAACAGGGAAGGCCTTTGTAGTGTTTTGTTGTTACATAAAATGCCAGGCAGCACAGATGTAGAGCTGTGGTGGCAACAGGCATTTTTTGAAAAAAAAAAAAAAATGTATTTACAATATTAAAGATCTGTAGACCACCCCCCACCACCACCACCCCAAAAAAAATAAATAAATAAACAACCTTTGTTTAAGTTACTAACTTTTATTGGGCTTTTCTTTGTATTCCCATGGAGAGAGTGGTCAGTAATTTTCCTTTCGTATGTTTTAGCAGTCAGTGATGTAGTCTGTTATTTCCTTAGGAGATCATCACCAAATTTCTATTTTGTGAAGATATTTATATGATTTCATGAAATTAGTTTGTTTCACATTGTATTTTTCTGGCATTTTTTTTTTTCATTTTTTTAATCTCATTGCCTCTGCTTCCCTAACTGTCCAAGAAATCTTTTTTTTTTTTTTTCCAATAAAAATTATTAATGAATCACAACTTTACTGGGTTTGTTTTAGTCTGGGTCTCTATCTTACAACTCAGAGAACACTTACTATAGTTATACTTTTTAAAACGTACTGTGTGGGACTGCTGTAATTCACCCTTACATAATAAGTGTTTTTATGGGCCAAAAGAAAATAAAAACAATCAAAAGGAAAACATATGACACTAATATATGAGGTTTGAGGAACCATGCCAATAACATAATAACTTTAAAGGATCTCAAATCTTTGGTTGGTGAAAGGATCCAAATTGAGATAGTTGGTAAATAAACCATCAAACAACAGAAATCAAGTCTACTTCTTATTGACTGCATGATGATTACAACTCGATGCCTTACAGGCTCGCTCCCCCAAACCTGATAGTGTAGTTGCAACATGAGTCCACTAGATAGAGATGTAAGAATGGATAGAACCAAAATGAATCAGGATTAAAAATGGAGGAACATTAACCAGTAAGGCTGTCTTAGCAATACCCAGTAAGTAAAAGCAATGTCTTTTTGTTTTTTTTCCGGCTGGTCCAGACAGTTGTATGGATCAAAAGTTGTGCTTTAAATCTGACAAATAAAAAAGTGTGGATATGCCCTTTAATGAAATGAATAAAAGGCAAATGTTTTATTGATGACTATTTCAAATTCTGGAATCTGCACTTCCTTGTTAAATGCTGAATGCCTGTTTAAGTGAGCGGATACAATAACCTTTCAGTGGAAGATAAGGTGTCATGAAGACAGCCCACATGTTATGAGCTAAGGATACTCATGAATTATGAATGCTGAATAAAGTACAATAGCTTTTCACCAACAAATAATCAATAAATGATGTTATGTCGATGGTATTTCAGCTACCACAGGGAGCGAAACAGTAAGACATATCATCAGCTTTTAACAAAACATCATGTAGAAGTAGTTTGTTACTCCCATACAGATTATGGTTAGTCCTCGTGGGTTTCAAGTGAGCATGTTAAGGACTGACCTGGGAACAGACTTCGGCAAGTGCTATCTGGTATGCGGAGTAATAGAAGAACATATCAAACACATATCAGTTTCTCCCTATGTGCTACTATAATGTTCGATGCCCCCCCACCCTTTGTCTATCTCCTCCCAGTATACATAGATAACATATCCTGACACACCCCCTCTCCCTCCTCACTATAGCCTGACTCCTGACTCCTGAAACCTGACTGCTGTTCGATCTCCCTCCTGTCTGTTTCTGTCAAAGATAACATGTTTTGTCAGGCTTCAGTACAAGCCAGGCTACTGGCCGTCAACATTAGAGCTGGTCAGTTAGGTTACGTTACAAGGTTGGCTGCACTACTTGCTCTATTTTACTCGTCCCAGCTTCACCATCACTACATTTTTTTAAATATTTGGTTAGAGCATTCCTCAACCCTTTGTTTCCCTCTTCTCTTTGTCTCTTTTCTTTTGTTTTCTTTTCTGGGCACCGGACCTGTACTCACCAGACATTTTGAGTGTAGGCCTTCTGAACTGAAATTAATAACATCAAAGTTTTTTGTGTGTGTGTGTTTGAGTGGGGGGTTCTTGACTACTATTTCAAGAACAACTTGGAAGAATATAAATAAAAAAACTTTAATGTAACATAAACCACAAATAGGACTATTTTGACCAAAAAAAAATAAAATCCACAATTTAATGAGGGCCCAGTTGTGGGACCACCTCTGGGTCCGGGACAGCAGACCCCTTTGTCCCCTCTATTGGCAGACTTGTACATGTATAAAAAGGAAAGACCAGAATGCAACAGTCATAAAGCATGTTGGAAATGAACTGGATATGATTCAGAGAAACAGCACACACCAGCACCTCGTACAGGTTAACTACAGTGGTTAGTGAATAATCTGGTCTTGGCCCATCCATCCATACATTTTCTACTGCTTATTATTCCCGGGGTTGTGGGGGGGCTGGAGCCTATCCCAGTATCTTCAGGCGAAGGCAGGGGACACCCTGGACAAGTCGCCAGTTCATCACAGGGCTGACATAAAGAGACAAACAACCATTCACGCTCACATTCACACCTACGGGCAATTTGGAAGTGGCCAATTAACCTAACCCCACTTAGGCATGTTTTTGGATGTGGGAGGAAACCGGAGTACCCGGAGTAAACCCACGCAGACACAGGAAGAACATGCAAACTCCACACAGAAATGCCCTGACCCGGATTCGAACCCAGGACGTTCTCGCTGTGAGGCGACAGTGCTGACCACTACACCACTGTGCCGCCCCCATCTGGTCTTGGCATTATTCAGAATTTTCATTTACCCAATTAAGCTCCACACTGCACAGTGTTTGGCTGCTTTTAACTTGCCTCATTTATCTCTGTGATCGCTTTTGCATTCATACAATAGATGCATTCTCATAAGTACAGTAGTGATATCATTCAAAACATCGTCTGACAAATAGTCCTCCTCTTTCGAGTTAATGCAGTTTTTCTAAACCAAAGAATAAAGAGTATCTATATACAAAGCATATTTTAATGAGGCACTCTCCAGCTTAGTGCTACATGCACTAAGAGGGACGTTTCTACAATAAAAACATTGTGAAGCTGTGAAGTTCATTATATAGCATGACACAATATCTTTTAATGCCACAGTGAAAACTGGAACAATAGAAGGCTTTGCAGGAAATAAAATCATAAAAATGTTGGCCTATTGGACAGAGAATATCATCAGGGAGAATCATGGGAATTTAAATAAATATCTGTGTCTGTCAGAAACAGTCTAAAGATTGTTGAAGATTGGGAAGTAATGTCTGACTTCATGGGATCATAAATAAATGTAATAACTTTGTGGAGTGAAATATTGAACAGAATAAATTAGTAATACAGTTGAAACAAGGTAAAACCTGGTTGAAACCCATAAGTGCTTTAGAGGTGAATTAATGATTATGTGGTAAAAATGATAAATGAATGACACTGACATAGAGCTTTCTCTAGTCTTCTGATCACTCATGTCACATTCACCCATTTACATGGACTGATGGCAGAGGCAGCTGTGTATGGAGCCCATCAGATTTTGACTAATCCCATTCACACACTGGGTGCAGCAAGGTTGGGGTCAAGTGTCTGGCCAAAGGACACTTAAGCACATGGACAGCCTTGGTATCGGACCTCTGACCGTCCAATTGGGAGACAACCGACTTTACCATGCTGATGGTTGTAAGGTTGTAGAAGATTGACTCAAATGTGGTATTTTTTTCACTTCTTTTGACCTTGTCTCTGTATTTCACACTCTCCATTAACAAACCCATTAATGTCTTTATAGAAATTTATTGGAAACAGAATAGACAACTGACACAGTCTTGCTTGGTCCATAATACATCTTGTGTTTATATTTGATTAGTAGCTCACAACAGAGGATTTAAAACGTCTCAAAAATTATGCATGCACTGTATCTACAAACCTAGAAGGAAAATTACTTATTACTCATTATTTGTGAAAGTTTCCAATACAAAGACATAAACAATACTGCTGTTAATCTATAAGTCAATATGCACTACATTGTTTAACAACCCTTGGACATAGTGTAAATGAAAGGGAAAACATTGAAGTGTACTGGGCAGATGTAAGTACATTTTAGATTTATAAACAACCATTTTACTCGTTTCACAGCAAAAAAATTAAATAATAATAATTAAAAGACTACATCCTAAAGACAAACTTGATTCCCAGTGGCCATCTTTATAATTTTCCAATATTTTGAGGTAAACCAAGCAACCAAGGCACTAATATTTACCGACAAGGTTTTATTAAAAAAGTTTAGACTAAAAACACAGTCTCTGTAGACCTGAACCTGCAGTCATTTTGGAATTATGAGGCCAGTGAAGGAGGGAGGGAGGGAGAAAGCACTTAGCTTTTCATGATTAAAATATAAGTAACAGTACTTTTACTGAGATCCACATTTCAATACTTTCTGGATCACTAGACTTTCTTAATACTTAATTCCATCTGCCGTAGCTACTTTTCTCCTGCTCTTTTGGTTTTATCAGTTCCTCCCATCCTGCAATCACTTACTAAACCCTGGAGACTACAGTGATGGGGATACAGTGTTAGATTCATTGAAAGGATATATGAGTATTTTTAAGTAAGAAAGGAAAGATTACATTTGACATGTTAGTATATTAACCAAATGGATGCTGGCCAACTTAGCACTCTTAATGATAAGCTGCAAGAGAAACCGGTCCACAAGTTAAGCTGCAGTTGTTTCTGCAAACAGGGCTGAGTGTAACACCTAACTCAGCTAATATTGTTTCACTCTGCCCATCTAGGCTGAAGTGTACTACTACTGAGACTTTTTCCACCACTTCAGATTGCCTCCATTTGTTTGTGCACTATTCGCAAACATATGTTCTTTGCTCTTCTACGTACAGCAACATCCTGTCTGCTTGGCTCCGTTCAGACAACATTTAGCATGATACCTTTTCATCATGCACCTTCATCAGCATTTTGACCTGCCACTGGCTTCCTTTACTTCTGCTTAGCCAAAACCTGTTACTTCCCTTAATTCGATAGTTTCTGGTGAAAACCCACCTGGACTCTGATCAACAATTGGGAGCCCTTGCAGATGACAAGCCAGACCTTAAGGTGGTTAGCCATGATTAGTGCCCAGCTATAACTTCACAACACCTTGATTGACCAAAGGGCCAATGGTGGTGGATGGCTCCTCCCACTTTACTGTAGGACAGAAAGATTTCGAAGATCTTTTGTACTCACAGCTATCAGACAATTCTTCTGTAAATAGTAGAAGGCATGAAATCATAGACTGTATTTACTATGGACAACGTGGTTCCGCCTTCCGTTATTATACGAATTTGAAGCCAAATTGCTCTCAGTATTTCAAGGATTTTCTCCACTTCCTGGAACCACCAAATTTGCAGTAGCATAGTACTCATTCAGCGGAATAGTTGCTGTGATGATGCTCGGCTCAAACAATGTATCCCATGGGTGAGCTACGCAATCTTTATACACCCATAGGCTGTATCAAGTGTCAATCATAGAAAACATGAACCCCTAATAACTTTTAAAAATAGAGCTTTGCAGAAATAAGTGGACTTGAACACAAACCAGTCCTACAGTACCAACATGTCAACATCACAACCAGGGGGGAGAAGCATTTATATTCTGAGTAATTAATTTCTAAAGTTTGTCCACAGCTCCATAGGGATCGCTTGAGGAGGCGGGATTTATGACCTATACTGCAGCCCGTCACCAGAGGGGGCTGTTCTTGTGGTGGCTTCACCCCTTGAGGAGGCAGATGGTGTCCATTTTATAAACAGTCGATGCATGAGACATGGGACTAGAAACAATTGAATTTCCCTTTACCGTTAAATAACGATTATTAACGTTCTTCTGATCTTATCCTATCTTATTTTAACTCGTCCCAAGCCCTTGCAGGTGCAAAAACCAACCTCTAAACAGTTGTCTTCGTTGGTTGGCAAGTCCGGATCTATGCAGCCATGCCATATACGGTATATGTAGATGAGAACATTTGGCACCAATGTCCTGGTTTATCCTTCCTTTCCAGGTCTCAAGAATGATGAACTTTGAAGTTCATCTGGTTATCTCTACTTTGCCCTTTTCACGTTAGATTTTTCATTCTATTTTTGGCCCTTCAGACCGTTGCCCCTGAATTGTTTGTTCATGTTGTCTCGCCCAGTTGACATGTATTTCTTAGACTTAGAAGAACAAGTGTATCACTGAGAATGATTAGGAATCATAATCAAATCTATATTGAATAAAAAAACTATCATTCTGTAGACTAACCTGTCACTATCACCGATGCTACCATGACTTACATTTTTTTTACTTTGACCACAGGCTGTTAACAAAATATAGTTACCTTGCAGTAACAAAGGAAACAGTACGTTACCTCTTTCAGTTGCTTATACATCATGAGAACAAACTATTCCAATATTTCAACTACGGTTAATGAAATAAAATAGTCTTTGTCTGCTCTCACCACAGAAAAAAAGAGATGAATAGAGCATGAGCCTGCTGTGCTGATCTGAACAGGAATCAATTATTTGTTCCTCTCAAAATCTTCTGTCATCTATCAGAACTCACCACTCAACTGGATTATGAGTTGATCTTGAAAAATGATACAGATCTTTAAGCTAAGTTAATAAAAAACAGACCTTCCAAATGAATCTAAGCTACTGATACTGTCATAACTCAAAATTAAAAAAGAAAGCATTGTAAAAGTTTGCTCGAAAGGTAATTAAGTGGCTTTGAGTTGTGAAAATACAAGAAGAAACACATATATGTAAGCCTTTGCCACTGTTTAAGACACCAAAGCCTCGATCAGTCTGACCATATGGCTGAGTAATGGCTTTGAGCTGATCTCGCTACAACTGTCACTTGTTAGTTACATCTTGCAGGCTTAGTATGTTAGAAAAACTTTGTGAAGGTCCACTAACAATCATTCTCACATCTGAGACTGTGTGTGTGTGTGTTTGTCTCAGATTTTATGGGAGTATAGAGGAGTGTTTGGTTGTTGTTGTGTCCATGTGCAGTCAGGGTGAAGGTGGTGTCTTGAGGGAATTAGTGGATCCTCCTTGGCTGCCAATCCCAACAGCTCCTTGTCCAACCCACTGGAACACACACACACACACACGCACGCACGCACGCACGCACGCACGCACCCACGCACACACGCACACACACACACACACACGAGGGGAAAACAGGGATAGGGAGATAATCAGATAAGATAAAAAGGTTTGTAATAAACACAAGTGGAACTTAACTGGAAATTAAAAAAAAAATCAATGTTTTGTACATTAGAAAAGGATTTATAAAACTCTGGGTGGGCAGGTCTCTTCACTTAACACTTGTCATGATGCAGCAGTGGTGGGCAGTTTCAATACCAGGACTACAGGTAACAGAGTTAAATGGATATTCCGGCATAAATTTAAGTCAGGGTCAAACACACTGTAACCCTGAGTTAGACAACCCCTTGAGAGATGAATGTTGCCGACTGCTTGCTTCTCTAGTTATACCAACTTAAGTAATGACCGCACGATAGCAATACACAGCAGTCTACGTCGCCATGTGCAAACCTCAACCAAAAAGCTACTCTATAGCCACAAATAATTCTCAGAACAACACTTACCTTCATCAACAGTCCATATAGGGTCCCAGCAATAGTTCCAGCCATCAAACATCTTTTTAGCTTTGCCTGGTGTGCAATAAGAGTTTTTGTGTATGTTGTATGTGCCCTGCAGACGCAGTAGTTAGCGTCTCGGTCTGACTGCAAGTAATAATCATAAATTTTTTTCTTTGCACTCGGTGATTGGCTCGTCGGGGCTCCCACACAAATGAGCAGCTGCTGAAGGAAAATGGGTGAGTTGTGTTTAGTCTCTTTGCTAAAGAAACCAGGCAAAGCTAAAAAGATGTTTGATCAAAAGGTATCTTGACTATTATTTCGTCAGTCATAAAGTTGATTTTTACTTTTTAGTTTCATCCATATACACTGTACATTAGGAATGCTAACAATTTATTGAGCACTGGGATTCTATCATCTAATCTTTTTTTCTACTTTTGTTAGTAAGAGGGGTAAGTAATTCTTCTTTTTTATTTTTTTTATTTCTTGGGTTAGTTACTTCACCTCTCAAACTGTTTGTTTTTTTCCTCACTTTGGCCTTAATTCAACCTGAAGCCAGTTCCGTTCAATTCATGAAGTCTGTTAAGTCTTTGTGGCTGCTTGGGACTTGAGAGAAATGGATCTTTCCATGTTGTGTCCCATTTACCACTAGATAGGGCATGATACAGTTCCAGGTACAATGATATGGTGGATGGAAAGTGTTTAACGTCCATGTTTTGCCAAAACTCTAAAAATTTTTTGGTCTAGATCAATTTAGTAGCCTAGAGAATTGCCTTTGAAATGAAACTGAGCAAAAAAATTATATAATAAAGAGCAAAAACACTCTGCCTTAAGACTTAAACTACCTCGGAAGCCCATTAATCTTGCTTTGCAGAACATGACTCATGAGTGAATGAAAATAAAAATAAGCCATTAGTTGCTATCTCAAGCCTTGCTGCTTTTGTCCAGTGCTGCTTCTAATGATCTGAGATCATGCACAGTTAGTGATGTGTTGCTGAAAGAGCCTCTTTGTGTGTTCTGAATTTACACAGATCGCCCCAGAGCTCTTCTAGCTTCACCACTGTTGGCTATACCAGACTCACTGACCCATTGCAAATGCTGGTTGAAACAGTGTGACAGCTAGTGCTTCATTTGCTTTAAACTAGATGCAAACAGTACATGGTAAAATGGACTGAGAGAAGTGGGACTTTTGGTGCAAGGGTATCACTCTCGAGTTAAAAGTGTACTGGTTCTGCTTTTGTCAAGATTATAAGGAAAACATATTTGGGGGTGCAGATACTGTTATGCTGGCTGCAAAGCTTAACAACAGGTTGTCTGCTGAACAGACCTGATGATGATGAATAACATTTATTTCTGGTCACTGATTTAAAAGGAACAACAACAAAAAAGCATTGTCTTTTGTCTTATCCCCTGCAAGTAAATCTCAATAAACTCAGTATAGCTATATTAACAAGTCCAGAAAAATGTATTTTTTGATTAAATAAAAATTAAAACTTCAATGCTGTAATGGGTAAAAATAAACCCTGGATAAAGTAGATATTTCTTTCTAGAAAAAGACATAAAACAGGGTCTTAGTTTTGAATTTTTGCAGGGTTGTTTCAACTGATATTTGTTGTCCAGTGTCATGTGTGAGACACAAAACATTACAGTCATTAGTCCTGCCCCTTGAGCTCAATAAGACCACTTGTTTGGTTTCACTATTAAATGTCATTGTCTGGGAGTCTGCAGGCCGGTGGTGTTGTTTTGTCTAGTTCTATGTAAGAAGTTTTATCATCTTCTACCTTACACCCGACAGATCATGTGCTACTTCACCATTACAGCCTGTGTTGTTTTGAGTCCAGAGTTTTGGTGTATACTTTGTCTCCAGTAGTTTTGGCTGTAGGCTGTCCCTTTGCTCTTAATGTGTACCACAAACATAACTATTTGTGTGCACCTATATTCCACGGCTAAATTTTCAATGTATAACAAGTTGGAACAAGGTTTATGAGTTTGATACTTTTATTTTGATAGCATCACAGTAGCTGTATCAGTACTTGTGTGCCTGAGGAGAAAACATCATCTTCCCCGAGTCAAGCTGATCATTTACTAACCTTAATTCAAAAGTGGAAAACCTCAGGTTTGTCTTTTTCAGTGGTGTTAATACCCAAACCAACTCTTTGTATTCACATAATGAAATCATCAATCAAGGCTCATAGATCCATTTTAGCAGACGTGGTCAAATTACATTATAGTTTTATTATCAAAAGCTATTTGATTCAAAAGACAGATGTTTGAGTAACAGTATAAAAAGGGTTTGCTATGAAATAAAAATGTTTCTTAATAAAGATAGATAAAAGCCCTCTGAATACCAAAATCTTGTTGCTTTCCAACCTGACTGTGTCTCTCCCTGCCAAAGTTGATACTATCAGTGTGTGAACCACAGAAACTGGTTACCTCTTACCCAACTACTACTGAAACCCCTGCCAAGAGCCTCCCAAGGGCAGATCTGGCACCAGCTCTTAGTGCATTGTTGCAGAGCAGCAAAAAGTACTGGCAGCTTTTGTGCTCCGCATCCTCTCATTTGAAATAAATATATATATATTTTCAGCTTGCACAAAGCTTGTAAGAGCAACACCTCCAGTGTTTGTGTAGGCGAGTCTAGGGACATGAACACTATCTCACAGAAAGCATGTCTTCAGTTTGAATTCACTTTATCTTCAACTTACTTACAAATCAACTTGCTCCTTTGCAGAGGCAATATCTATTAGAAATTAGATAGGGGAGGATGTGGTTGTAACATGGGGGGAGTTGTTATGCTACCAATTCCACCAATCAAAGATAAGATAGGAGTCATCTGATACTTCTAGTATTTGCCCACTTCCTCCCTCATCACACATGGTAATTGTCAAGGCTGGAAACAGGTGCATGCAGATTCTATAGAGAACACTGATTTTGAGGGGAGAAAGTAATTTTTTTGACCAAGGCTATATCAAATTGTAGCTTCTCGCAGCTAGCTAAATATTGGCTGACAGGGGTAGGGTGGGTCATAACACACCCTTAAAAAGTGTTACAACGATCCTCTTACATACAAATACTAGCACTTTCTTGATTTTAATAATATTGCAGAATACCTAGAAAGTGTAAAAGAAAGTCTAACAGAGGTGTGCCTCCAGATGTATTTAAAAAAGCATCTGATAGGTCACAATTGTACCTGAAGTGCACTCTCTGGGCCATAGACTGTATATAGTATGGAAAACATGGCTCCGCCTCCCGTAATTGTATGAATTTGAAGCCAAATTGCTCTCAGTATTTACAGGATTTTCTCTATTTCCTGAAATCTGCATTTGCGCAGTCACATTTGACAAGTGTCAATCATGGAAAACATGAACCCCTAATAACTTTTAAAAATGGAGCTGCACAGAGAAAAAAGGACTTGAGCACAAACCACTACAATAACTACATGTCAACATCGCAAGCAGGGGGAGAAAAATTCATATTCTGTCTAATTAATTTCTAAAGTTTGTCTGCAGCTCTAATTATTTTACTGGAGCGTCTGAAGTTTAAGACCTATACTGCAATCAGTCACTGGGGGTGCTGTTCTCACAGAGAGCATCTGACATCCATTCTATATACGGTCTATGCTCTGGGCCCACCAAGCCTGCACTCCAGGGTTACAAACATTCATTTGTCACCATTGTGACTCTAATTGAAAATACACACAAACACTGTTTTTGTTAGACCTACATGTTAATTACACAGCGACATTGTAGTGTTTATTAAGCATAAAGAAGTTTGTTTTAGACTAGTTTACATACACTCCTGAGTCAAACAGACAGTGGATTTGAGTTATGGTCAGTCACACAGAGAAAGAAGGACGTTGTTCTGGATTGTTCTCCTATTTCAATAAACTACTTTTTGAAGCACATCACACGATGTGGCCTCTGTTTTTGCTTTTTTTGCGTAATTGTTACAACTTACCCCAGCATGTGTGTCACAACCAACCCCAGTAGTGGGGTAGGTTGTAACAAAGGATCACCATGTATTTGACATCATCTCATGAGGTCTGTGGTAGTCCTGCAGAAGTTTGAATTGGTGCCATTTGTAGTGAACAAACGTGAGTAACTTGAAGTTGGAGAACTCTAACTCCAGAATTCACTGAGTTGAAGGTTCAAAAATACGAAGACTGCTTCGATAATTTGTGACGGAAAATACAGTTTATTACTGAATAAAATAATATTCTTTCAGGAAAGACAGTATGGAGAACCATCGCTTTTAAATGTCTGTATGCGTAGATTTGGCACTTTGTATTGTGTTTAAAAACCTAGGGCCTGATCTACTAAATGATTGCGTGTGCAAAAACACGTGCAAACTTGACAGCGCAAGTAAACCTGATCTACTAACCGGGTGCACCGAGGATTATGTCTGTCAAATGAGCAAAACAGTGTGCGCAATCCATTTTATTTAGCCTGTTTGCCTTCATGAAAATGCAGATTGTCTAAAGATCATCAGACCATGCAAAATTCTGGGAGGAGCAGATGCAAATAGAATCATTTAGCAACCGCAATGTGATTTATCAACCTGGTGGTTGCTGTTCTGCATCTATATTGAGCACGTTTGAAAGGCATGTGCAAACTGGCTCAGCGTTACGCACAAATGGCTGAAGTCATCGCGGGGGGGAGGAGGCAAAAGCGTTTTCTATTAAATGACGGTTTTAAAGTTAACAAGATATGTAATTCTTCTCCCTCCTTTTCTTTCTTCCTCTTCCTCTTATTTCTCGCGCAGCTCGACCTGTACATGTCTCAATGTCCTCTCCCTGTCCTGCTGCAGCTGCTGAACAGATGATTTGTTTCAGTGATCAGATGAGTTATTTACTTAAAGCCTACATACGAATATTATAATATTCAGTTTTGTGTGTCAAATTTATTTTATATGCCAACATATATGAAAGAAAGAGCCAGGCCACGGAGCGTGATGCGTCAATTATGCACAGATGGTTCCAATTTTAATGCCATTTTTGGAATTTATGATGTGATCTCTGCGCACAACCCACCTTTGTCACGTGAGGTTTAAATATGTGCAACTTTATGTGAGTGTCTTTATTTGTGGAAAAGGGTGTTTGTCTTACAAGTGGGTCCAACATTACACACACCAAATCCATCTGTGCTTGTATGAGACGCCCTCTGCAGCGCTTACAGCGACACTTGTTGAGAAGCTGCCATCTGTCGCCATCGTGTGGCATTACTGTCTTCAGACATCTCTTGATCTCTTTGACTACTTCACGAAAATAGTAATACGCCAGTGGCGGATTTAAAGGCGAGGAGACATGCTTATGTGATTGGTGAAAACAGGTCTCGGCTGTGTTAAACCCACTCCATGCCCTCTCTCCCCCCTCCCTACGACTTACGCCACTGGGAGGAGCTGAGTTCGGGAGGGGGGAATTCTTACGCCGGGCTGCGCTGCTCACCAAAATACCAAATTGTGCTTGGGAACGCTTGTGGGCGTGGCGGACCTGACTTATGCCAGGCATGCGCCACGTCGCCGGCGAGGCATGAAAATAGAGCCCTTTGGGTACGCGGCGAAAAGCATTCAAATGATGTCACTGGGGCGACAGGCAACTGGTAGGGAGACTTAACCTGAGCCCAGATTTCATCGATTGCACATGCCCAATGATGGCTGACAATGGAAACGCAGCACTCTGACTTGGTAAAGGTCAAGTAAACAACATGGTATTTTATCAACATTTCAGTGTTACTTTGATTACACTTCATAATAATATACATTTTTTAAACACATACAAGTTATAGCATCAGTCCACTGAGGCTAATAACAGCTAATGAGATTGGAGGAAGCTGGCCAGGAATCTTACTCAGATCATGCTTGTAAATAAAGATTTTTATATTCATCAATCAGCATGAGAAGTAATTTGGTTGTTATTGTGGTTATGATTATTTTGCTGATTACAGAAAATTATAAGGGGCCATTGGTTGGTCTGCCATTTTAATACTGTACAAATATTAAAGTAAGAGTGTGACCTGGAATTTCTAGCTAGGATTTATACAGAACTGTGATGGAGCTGTGTTGACCCCTACCTCTATGAGAGGGTGCCAATGTGCAATGGGTTTCCGTGGGTATGTCAGCATCTCATTCCAGTGATCCCTCCCTAGAGTTTCAGCCTCACTCCCCACTTTGCAAACTCCAATTACTTCATTATGCCCGACCCTGCAGATAGAAAGACTGGTTGATGGAGATTCAAAATGTTGCTGTATATGTCTATGAGATGAATAAATCAGTGTAGCTTACTCACCGATCATAGTCCATGACAGCTATGAGCAGGCTGATCTGGTCAATGTTCTCAGGAGGTACATCAAACACAATGGCCTCATTGTACACTGGGTTCAGAGTGTTTCGTTTGGTTGACGTCTTCCTTTTTTTTAACCTCCGACCATCACACATTAGGGACACTTTAACATATGGATCTGGGGAAGGGTAAATTGTAGCAAAAAGAATGTCAAAATCACTAAAGCACCAAATTCCTGCAAATTTATGTTGTGAGAAGTTGTTCTTAAACTGTTGGACTATTTGCTAATGAAGTTGTTAATGAAGTAGTGAACCTCATCCCATCCTTACTTGTAAACAACTGAGCCTTTTAAGGATGCTCCTTTTATACTATGCCAGGCGATATGGGAAAAAGTTGATCACGATATACAGTACAGGCCAAAAGTTTGGACACACCTTCTCATTCAATGTCTTTACTTTATTTTTTTATATGACTATTTACATTGTAGATTATCACTGAAGGCATTAAAACTATGAATGAACACATGTAGAATTTTGTACTTATAAAAAAAGTGTGAAATAACCGAAAACATGTTTTATATTCTAGTTTCTTTAAAATAGCCACCCTTTGCTCTTGATGACAGAAGTACCTTGTCAGGGTTACTTCAGGCACTCCTGTGAAGTAAAAACCATTTCAGGTGACTACCTCATGAAGCTCATTGAGAGAACAGCTAAAGTTTGCATAGCTATCAAAAAAGCAAAGGGTGACTACTTTGAGAAATCTAAAATATAAAACATGTTTTCAGTTATTTCACACTTTTTTCTTAAGCACATGATTCCACATGTGTTCATTCATAGTTTTGAGAATCTACAATTTAAATAGTAATGAAAACAAAGAAAATGCATTGAATGAGAAGGTGTGTCCAAACTTTTGGCCTGTACTGTATATTTTTTCATATCAGCCGATATCGATATACAGTTGTGCTCATAAGTTTACATACCCTTGGCAGAACCTATGGTTATTTGACCATTTTTCAGAGAATATGACTGGTAACACAAAATCTTTTTTTCCACCCATGCTCAGTGGTTGGGTGAAACCATTTATTGTAAAACGACTGTGCTTTACTGCAAATACTGGAGGAAAATTTGCACTCATCAGCCCGGAAGCTGCGCATTGGGACGTACTTTGACATTCCAACATGACAATGATCCAAAACACAATGCAAAGTCGACCTGTCATTGGTTAAAGCAGAACAGAGTGAAGGTTCTGGAGTGGCCATTTCGGTCTCCTGATCTCAATATCATTGAGTCACCCTGGGGAGATCTGAAGTGCGCAGTTCATGCAGGACAGCCCAGGAATTTACAGGAACTGGAGGCTTGAATGGGTAGCTTTACCATCTGAGAAAATGAAGAGCCTCATCCACAACTACCACAAAAGACTTCAAGTTGTCATTGATGTTAGACGGGGCAATACACGGTATTAAGAACTGGGGTATGTAAAGTTTTGATCAGGGTCATTTGGGTGTCTTTAGTTGTCATAATGATTTAAAAATAGAAAACACAGTTGTTTATCGATAAATGGTTTCACCCAACCACTGACCATGAGTGGAAAAAAAGACTTTGCGTTATCATTCATATTTTTTGAAAAATGAAATTTAAGAGTGCTTATTGGTGGCATGTCTTTTGCAATACAATAAGCTACTGCATCTGTGAGGTCTTTGTGTCTCTTCAACGTTTTGTCGTAAGACGTTGCGCTAGATAAAGCAGACTGAATGGTCGGCTGTTTTGGCTGCACAGGCGCCATGGACTCCTTGCTCCGCTCGGGGTTTGTAACCTTCTGCACTGCACGTACTCTGCCGCATGGCACTGCTTCAGGTGGTGAAAAAGATTTGAGGTATTCCCCAACTTTGCGAGAATATGTAGGCTTGACATAATTCCCAGTGCACATGACTGGTTCATGTCCGACCTCAAAAAAACAAAATACCTCCACACCACCGACGTTTTTGTGCTAGTGTTGTCAACGATGTTATCATCTGTTGAGCCTTTATCTGCATTATCAGCAAGTGTTATGGTTGCATGTAGCTGCAGCCTGCTACTACACAGTTGTTTGCTACTTGCTGCTAATTCAGCACATGATTGGTTCAGCGTGAAGCTGACCTGGAGCAACTCCCTGTTTCATTTGCTATTTGTACAGTCTACCAAAACATGGCAGAATGCCAGCTATCGAAAGGCATATTGACCATGTTTTATATTGATATTGAGGGAAATAATATCGATATATATATGCTGTTATCGTTTTATCGCCCAGCCCTATTTCATACCCAATAATGACCCCAACTGTTCCCAAATAACATTTTCACCTGTGGAAGGATCCAAAAAGGTGTTTTTGAAACATTCCTCAATTTTTAGTCCTTTGTTACCCCTGTCACAACTTTTTTTGGAATGTGCTGCCAGCATCAAATTTAACCCTTTGATGCGCAACATGGGTCAAAAAAGACCCGGCTGAGTTTAAATTTTATATATCTTCTCAATAAATTAATTCCATCAGTCGGTAGTCAAGGAATTCCTCAATTAACTTGTTTTTGACGACCCTACATCCTTATGTTAATTTTTCTTTTTTTACTTTTAGAATAAAAACCGTTTTTGTATCACTACCCCTCTAATGCACAACATGGGTCTAAAATGACCCGTATCCATTTTCAATGTTATTTCATGTATGGCTGAGTGTTTCTATGGTATATCTTTGAAATAAATTAATTTTATCATTTACTATTCCAAGTATGCATTAAAGATCTTGTTTTAGTTGAGCACAAATAATCATTTTTATTTTTCCTTTCTTATGTTATGAGGAAGCACAGATTTTGTATTTCTACATCAAGTTTACATACATGGGTCAGAAACAACCCACATATAGTGACTGTAGCATTTAGCATGAAAAGACCGTCTAATACATGTAAGTATGGTTTTTCAATTGTTCTGACATTATCTTTGTCTCTATCTTTGCCAATTATGAAAGATAATTGTACATAGATTTGATTTGATTAGGTTTAGGTTACCTTGAGAGTGAGGACATTACATGTTGGAAAGTTACAAAGTTACAGGTAAAACAGCTAGCGTTATTTCAGCTAGCTATAATCAGACGCATGTGTATGTGACAAAATGACAAATAAACATGTTGCTGATACAAAATACATGAGTGTTTGGCCCATAGACTGTATATAGTATGGACAGAGTCTGCCTCCTTGCTGGGTGAAGCCACTCCGAGAACAACACCCCCTGTTTAGAGGCTGCAGTATAGGTCATAAATCCCGCCTGTGGAACTGTGGACAAACCCTGCTTGTGATGTTGACATGTAGTTATTGTAAGACTGGTTTGTGCTCAAGTCGTCTTTTTTCTGTACAGCTCCGTTTTTAAAAGTTATTAGGGGTTCATGTTTTCTATGATTGACACCTGCTATAGACTGTATATAGAATGGACAGAGTCTGCCTCCTCGCTGGATGAAGCCACTCCAAGAACAGCACCCTCTGTTGATGGGCTGCAGTATAGGTCATAAATCCCGCCTCCGCCAGCAAAGCTTATGGGGCTGTGGACAAACTTTAGAAATTTATTACACAGAACATAAATTTTTCTCCCTCCTACTTGCGATGTTGACATGTAGTTACAGTAAGACTGGTTTGTGCTCAAGTCCTCTTTTTTTTCTGTGAAGCTCCATTTTTAAAAGTTATTAGGGGGTTCATGTTTGCTATGATTGACACCTGATACAGCCTATGGGCGTTCAGGGATTGCGTAGCTCTCCCGGGGGATACGCTGTTTGAGCTGAGCGTCATCACAGCAACTCTCTTCAACTGCGAGGCCGAATGTGCGCATTGCTACTGCACAGCGCTGGTTTCAGGAAATGAAGAAAAATCCTGGAAATATCAAGAGCTATTTGGCTTCAAATCCGTATACAGGCGGTAGGCGGAACGAAGTTGTCCATAGTATATACAGTCTATGGATACAGCCTGTGGGCGTCCAGGGATTGCGTAGCTCTCCCGGGGGGATACACTGTTTGAGCCGAGCATCATCACAGCGACTCTCGGCGACTGCGCGGCCAAATGCGTGCATCGCTACTGCGCAGTGCTGGTTTCAGAAATGTAGAAAAATCCTGGAAATATCGAGAGCTTTTTGGCTCCAAATCCGTATACAGGCGGTAGGCAGAACCAAGTTGTCCATAGTATATACAGTCTATGGTTTGGCCCCACTCACTGCTAATTTCATTACTTGAAACAAATTATTATTATAGTGTTAGGTAATTTAATATTAAATCACACTTGGATGAATGGGTCATTTTTGACCCATGTGTGTAAACTTGATGTAATAATGTAGAAACTATATTATTTCATAAAGTATGAAAAGAAAAAAAGAAATAATGATCAGTAGTGAACAAAAACAAGATATTTAAAGAATACTTGGAATATTCCATCAGAAAATAAACTGATTTCAAAAGATAGAACAAAGAAAAACTCAGCCAGCATGAAATACCATTGGAAATGAATGCGGGTCTTTTTAGACCCATGTTGCGCATTAGAGGGGGTGTGCATATGTTGCGCATCAAAGGGTTAAAATGAGTGAATATTTGCAAAACAACAATAAAGATGTTCCCTTTGAACACTATATATCTTGTCTATGTAATGTATAAGGTTGAAATATACATTAAAAAGGATTTGCAAATCATTGTATTCTGTTTTTATTCACGTTTGATACATCCTGATTATGTAGAATCGGGGTTGTAAGAGAGATATTGGGTGAACAAATGTAGCATAACTTCATTACTTATCTAAAATAGTTATTTGCTTACAGTATTGGACATGAATCAATGATGAATAACATATCACATGTATTAGATCGGAGGAGGGTAAGACAAACATTTGATTGGTAATTTTGTCCCCCTTCTGCAATTGTTGAGTTTGACAGTGTAGCTGTTTCTAAAGCAAATGCACAAGGGAGTCAGGTGTGTAATGCACTAGAGTGCTTGATTGTTAGACTGTCTTAGCTTCAGCGTTTTATCATAAAAACAAAGTTTGCTTTCCCCGATAACTTTGAAAAGAAATTCTTGTGAATTCACCGGTCCAAAGCCAGCATGTAGTTTTCACACAAAGATTTTATTGACTAGCTTTAATAAAGATCTTGAGTAACTTATGTGTACAAGAATATTTCTCTCTATGGAAACACTGAATCATCATTCAGCACATACCTGAAGCTCCAGTGATGTCCATGGCTTTGAGATTTCTTGCTTTGATCATGGTGATGGTGAGCCTGCCAGCCGTTGGTAAATAGCACAATGAAAACATCAGCTCCCCAAGGTCAACATTATCCTGTAAGATAAAATATAACATGAGTAAAGTTCTCGATTCTTTACAAGGACACCATTAAAGAAAAAGAAGAACTACAGTTTCACTCAAATACAAAGCACTGAACCATAAAAATACCCAGGACCAAAAACAACCCCAATTCCCAAATTGTTGGGACTCTGTCGGAAACGTTAGTTGACAGATTTTAATGGATGGTAGATCAATAATGCAAATACAATCTGTCAAATATTTAAACAAAAATATAGTATGGAAAATGGACTATGTTTACATTGTGCTTTGTCTAGTCGGACCATTCAAAGTACTTTTACATTAAGTGTCACCTACACTGACGGAAGTTACTTTTCCCAGTCAGTGCCTTCATATAGCCTGCCCTTTCATGCAGGGATACGCTCGTGCATTTTGAGAGGCGATGGCAAAACAATAAGGAGGTCACCAGCTGTGTGATATGGGGAAGCAGTCCACAGAGAGTTGTGATCTGAAGTATACTGCTCAAAAAGTAAAGGGGACACTTAAATCATACATCCCAGAACCTGATAAATGAAATATTTTGAAAAATCTTTATTGCTTACATAGTGTAATTAACTTAGAACAAAATAACATAAAAACAATCAATGGTAAGGTGTACCATAACCAAATTCATGGCTTTTGAAAAAATGTGGTTATAATATCAACAAGCTTTCCATTGTGGGAAATGTGAACATCCCTCCATCTTTAACAGACCCAGTCAGGCCTGGAGTGGCTAATATGGGAGATTCCCTTGCCAGGCTGGTTGCAGGGCTACCAGGGATGGTCACCAATGATGGTATTATACTGGCTTTACTTGCTTGGGGAGGGTACGAGTAACCAGCGCATAATCTAAATAGAGTTTTACTTGACAATAACTTACTCTCACAGCCAAACTGTAGGCCCTTACTAAGTTGGGGTTAGCCCATAGACTGTATATATTATGGACGACTTGGTTCCGCCTTCTGTCATTATATGAATTTAAAGCCAAATTGCTCTTGGTATTTCCACTGAGTTTCTCCACCTCCTGGAACCACTAATTGCGCAGTAGCATTGTACGCATTCAGTGGAATAGTCGCTGTGATGATGCTCGGCTCAAACAATGTATCCCACGGGTGAGCTACGCAATCTTCATTCGACCATAGGCTGTATCAAGTGTCAATCATAGAAAACATGAGACCCTTAATACTGTAACTTTCAAAAATTGAGCTGCACAGAAAAAAGAGGACTTGAGCACAAACCAGTCTTATATCAACTACATGTCAACATTGCAACCAAGGGGGATAAAAATTTATATTCTGTTTAATAAATTTCTTAAGTTTGTCCACAGCTCCATTAAGTTTGCTGGGGCAGGCGGGATTTATGACCTATCATGCAGCCTGTCACCAGAGGGTGCTGTTCTCGTGGGGGCTTCACCCAGCGAGGAAGCAGACGATGTCTCTTCTCTATCCAGTCTCTGGGTTAGCAACGGAGCAAGGGTTCTAAATAAAATAACACAGAGAATGTAGGCCTACTTCATTTTCATCACACAGCCTGGAGCAGCACCAGAAGTTAGATTTTAGTCAGTCCATGATCATTATATCATTCCGGCTACTTTCAAAGAGCTTGCATGCCATATCTCTCTGAAACATTCACAACACTGAGAAAACTTCTTGTTCACTCACTGACTTGATTTTCTGATTAACACTCTTGTAAAGCAGCTGCTGGTCTTCAAACATTGTTTTGTTTATATTTTGGTGATGAAAAATACAATTCAGGTGACTATCATTCTGATTACATTGTTGAATTTTGGAGGGGTTTAACCCCTGAAAGCATCCCATGTTATTTTAAAACACTAAAACTAACACTTTCAACTGCTCATAAGAATTAAAAATATATACGTACATGTATATAGACAATAGGCTTCTTTGATTATTTATAGTAAAAATAATCAGTTTAGACTTTAATTTTGTTGAACACTGCAAAAGATGGTTGTAGATAAAGCCGAGCTGCTTCTGATGGAGGGAAAGTGCTAATATTACTATTGGAGTAGATTCCCACACTCCCTCTCTGCTATATTGGAGCACTTAAAAGAACAGATCTAATTTCATTGGCTGAGCACAAGTGACCATAATACTGACCACAGGCTTGATTTGAGAGCTCATGAGAGTGTTAAGTGGCACTCTCAAGTCTGAAAATGTTGGTGTACTGCACAAGTGTATGCGTGGGATGAGAGTGATAACATCTCAGAATAGTATTGACCCTTTGTTTTTCTAAGTGCCTGCCTGTTTTTGTTAGTTTGTGATTTCCTGTAGTTGTACTTAAACTCTCCAGTTTGTTTCAGTTCAGCATTATTATAAGTAGGGTGTGTGGCCACTTTCAATGGATTCATCTGATTTATCATGTTGGATCAGGTTGTCCCTGGAAAAACTGATAGCAAAAAAACGCACCATTACTGTGGGGTATTGACCAATCAGAATCAAGTATTTCACACAGCCAGGTAATCAGCTACCTCATCACCTGGCTGTCTTAATCTTTAAATGTTTGATTACTATCAGTCAGAATATAGTAGTTTCTAAAAACCTTTGTCAACAACACAGTGATTATTTTTCAATGTAACTTTCAAGTCGTTTGGAGTTCATAAAACTTTAGATTTGTGGTGAATAGCTGACCAGTCAACAGCAAAGCAAAGAAGATCTGATACAGTAAAAACAGTGGAACAGGGGCTGATAGATACAGACACTGATTAAACTGAAAAAGTGCGCTGAAAGCTCGCCAATTCAAACCTGGTCAGCTTTCAGCGCAGGCGGAATGCAGCTGGTCTAGTGGTATTTTGGTAGACCTGCGGCATATCGGCATAAGTCACCGATGCCTCACCGGCAGGTTTGCACAGTGTCAGGCATATTTACGTGCAATAAATAATCAACAACAACTAATAATCTGAGTCAGCACATACATTTAGATCTACATAGATATATTCTGATCTATATCTGATCTAGTGAGCGCGTGTGGCACGCGTTTGGACACACAACCTGACCGAATCAACACAGCTGAATCCCCATTAAATCAAATTAAATATCTAGTAAATAAACACACATGATGAAGTTAACAAGATATGTAATTCGTCTCCCTCCTTTTCTTTCTTCTTCTTCCTCTTATTTCTCGTGCAGCTCGACCTGGACATGTCTCCGTGTCCTCTCCCCGTCCTGCTGCAGCTGCAGCTGCGGCGGCTGAACAGATGATTTGTTTCAGTGATCAGATGAGTTATTTACTTTTACTTTGAGTTATTTACAATTAAGCCAAATTGCGCTTGAGAACGCCTTGTCGGCGCGGCGGACCTGACTTATACCGCGCCTGCGCCACGTCTCCGGCAAAGCACGAAAATAGAGTCCTTTAAGTTTGGGACTGCTGAAGGCCTGTCTAGGCATCCTACGGGCCCAAGGCAAACACAAGCTTCTTTGGTACAGCTAAGGTCAAAGCCTGAAGTCCCAATCTTGGTGCCAGGGGTTCTAAGATCCAAGCTAGAAGCCTTTCGCAGGGGTAGTAATCACCAGCAGGGAAAAGACAGGGCTGGCCTGCTCAGGGACAGAAGTCCTGGATCCCAGGAATGCAGTGGTCCACAATTGACACCATCTTCTGGGGCAGGTGCGGAAGAGCTCCTCCTAAAGTCCAGTGTCACCTCTGGAGTCTTGAGTGGGTTCAGCTCCAGGTGGTTCTTAAGGACCAGCTGATCCACTTCCCATCTGTATGCAGACTCAACTGACCTATGACTGTGCTGTTGTCCACAAACCTAGAGAGGGGGTATTGTGCTTTTTTTCCAGACTCTATACTTCCTTTCTGATACCTCTATAATAGCTTTACATGGTTTGAGTTTCTCACTCTGGTGTATTAAGATATCATTATTTCAGCCTCCATCTAAAATGCTTTGATTTTGCTGCCATCTCTTTAACCCATTAGGGTGATGGGCCTATAGTCATTTAACTCTGTGATGAAGGATTTCTTGGGGACTGGGATTATAATGGAGTGTTTGAAGCAGAAGAGGAATGCAAATAGCTCCAGAGATCTGTGAAAGATCTGAGTGAAGATGGGGGCCAGCTAGTCAGCACAGACTCTCAGGCAGGAGGAGGACACCTGGGTGGCAGGCAGTGCATGTAAAGTTGAACTGTAATGGTTTAGTGAACGGGTCTGGTAATGGCTTTAAAAACCTTCAGTCAAAGCCCATTGTCAGCTACAGGGTGGGGGAATGGTCTCCTGTAATTGGTGGTGTCCTGCAGGCCTTTCCACTCTGATGCAGAGTTGTTGGCTGAAAAGCATTTTTTTTTTCAGCTTTTAGATGTTGCTCCTTTTCGCTGCCCTAAACTTCTTTTTCAATGTGTTTCTGGCCTGCTTGTGTTCAAAAGTGACATCTTTCATATAACACCCTAAAACTGAGTCCATGATATTAAAACTTTTACTCAGTAGACTAACCATATATGATCATGTTCGTAATGTCATGTGACTCTGTTGAAAAAAAAATATATATATATGGAAAAAAATGTTTTCTACCTTAGACTGAGCCCTACCAGACTGTTGTCTTCTTCTAAATTCCCAAACTGGGTGACCTAACTTCCTGACTAAGTAACTCAATGTACCAACACAGCAGATTCATCCAAGTGAATAATGTGATACAGATGGTGTCGCTGTATCTCTGTCAAACCAATCCCAGTCTAATGTCAGTGTAGATCTGGGTCACTACCCCCCAGTGTCTCCTGCTGCTTTCATTAAACATTAACTGTGTCTAAGTATATTTCTGTGTCTCTGCCTTGTGAAAACCTCAAATGAGTTTTACTTGGCATGTCTTTTTTTCAGTTGCAACAGTTTTTTTTTTAGTGCATCTAATTGTTTGTACAGATTTTAAAAAAAAGAACAAAGTAACTTTCATAAAAAGTCAGTTATCAAAAGGAGCTACTTTTAAGTACCCCCAAAAGTACCTGGAATTTACAAAGGACTGGGAAAGTTTGAAAATGCTAAATGGGATGGGAAGGCGGAGAGGAACTAAAAAAAAGGGAAAAGTCAAATTCATGTACTCACCGAGGTTACATACTGTATGTCCCGACATAGTTTTGTTTCTCTGGGAAAGTCTGCAAGGTCCAGGAAGTTGTCCACCACCACTTGGCCGATCAAATCATGGCGAGAGAATCTGTCAAAGTCATAGACGCTGAAATGCAGTTTGCGGCTTGAAAGCTCAGCATATGCTACAGGAAAGAGGAACACTTCATCAAACACTGGGTTGAGTGTTTTGCGATGCACCTTGGTCTGGTGCTTGTTTTTACGGTCAGGCAGCAGATAGATCTTAACATAAGGATCTGAGGTTCCTGTGAAGTCCTTGGCAGGGAGATCCTGGGCCTTATAGATTTTAACTATCAGCTGCTCCAGGTCAAAGTCAAACTTCAGAACAAAGTGCAAACGCCCACAGCTGTCAGCATGACGACCATCTTCAGCATCAACAGAGCGCTGTTTGTAAAGTTCAGGTTTTATTCGGCCCAAACCAGACAGAGAGTCCTGCCGCTGGAACTGAGCAGGGTTGAAGTCTGGATTGGACAAATTCATCTGGCGACGGATGGAGTTGTGCCTGCAATAAATAAGAATTTAGACATACATTTATTTTAAATACATTTTAATATGCAATGTTTTCTTAAAGCTGATGTTCCCAATCAGCACAGATGTGTGCCTCTTTAGTGTCCATGTGAGGGCACAAGAGTGCAGTGTGCACACAAAAATCCCCTAAGACTAAAAGGAGAAGTAGGGGGACATTGGGTATTATTTGCAAATTAGTCTAAAGCAATTCCACATTGGACTCCAAATAAAATGATAATGAAGTTCTTCTGAAATAGAGGTACTGCTGCAGAAAGTGAAAACACAAATGAGCTACTTTATTTTTTAATGATATTACTTGTTTACAGAAGGCCATTATCAGTATTGCTGCCCTGTGACCAGAATAGCATGCACACCAGATACTTTTTTCCTGTTATTAAAGCGACTTTTTTCTTTAATAAATCCGATTCGACAGCAGTGTTTTTCTGAAAGCTGCTGAGAGAGTTTGTGATGGATCAGTCACTAAATAACTGTATAAGACCACTTCATTCTTGGTGAGGAAAAGTTTTCCTTTCAACCTGAATTATTGTTTTATCTGAATCTGAATATTTATTTAAGTTATGGTCAAACACACCGTAACACTGAGTTAGACACCCTCTCCAGAGATGAATGTTGCCAACAGCTTGCTTCTCTAGTTATACCAACTTAAGTAAGTAGCAATACACAGCGGTTTATGTCTCCATGCGCAAACCTCAACCAAAAAGCCACTCTATAGCCACAAATAATGCTCAGAACAGCTCCTAACTTCATCAACAGTACATATAGGGTCCCAGCCATAGTACTAGCCATCAAACATCTTTTTAGCTTTGCCTGATTTCTTTAGCAAAGAGACTAAACACAACTCACCCACTCTCCTCCAGCAGCCGCTTGTTTGTGGGGGAGCCCTGATGGGTCGATCACCGAGTGCGGCAGATCATTACCATGAAGTAATAATCATCATAATAATCATTTTGCACTGCAGACAAAGTAGATCATGGTTCTGTAAGTGTTCTGAGAGCTGGTTAAAGACTGTGCGCTCCAGTATTTTTGATAGAAACGGAAGGAGTGAGAAGAGCTTGACGAGTTGATCACTGAGTGCAGCGGAGTTTCGCAGGTCAAGACGCTAAGGCAGAAGAACTACCGCGTCTGACATTAGCATTGAGAAACAATAATCATTGAAATTTGTGGACAATTTTTTTTCCTATTTTGACTCCACAAATTATGGAAATCCCTACAGAAAGAAAAAATGGTTACAATTGTTTTGGACAAGCTGCAATCACTTTTAAATTTCATGACATGGAATTTGCAGGAAACATTTAATGGCTTCAAAAGGACTGTTGTCTAGTTCTCCCCCCTCTAAAAGTGTAGATATAATAACAATGATATCAAGTAATAGTCCTGCCCATACAATAACTCTTTAGACAGCATCTTTTTTACTCAGTAAAGTGGGAATTATTTGTTTATTCTCCTTTATTCCAGAGGGGTAATGACACAGGTATTTGTACCAAACTGTTTCAGCACAGCACCTCAACCTCAGTGCAAATGTGTACCAATACAACACTTCTGGTTAGGTGAACAAACGTCAATTCTAAATCAAAATCCCCACATAAACTGATATAAAGCATGCACCACACACACTGCATGCATATTCTGTCATGTAGAGCACTGAAACACTGGCCAAAGAACAGTGACTTTCCCAAACAAAAAATATAATATAATATAATATAATATATGATCTCATATCATATCGTATCATATCATATAAGTTGGCCTACAACTCTAAATTGCCAATGTTTTTCTGTTGTGTAAGTTATCTGAACAACAAGCTCTTCCTCCTCACCTCTATAAGGACTGGCAGTTGGTCTCCCCCCAGGAAGTGAGCCCCCTTGTGGACATCTGGGAGGAAGCGGCCACTCAGTGGTACCCAGCACAATTTCCATGATACAAAGAGTGAGACACTGAAGAGTGCCAGACCACAGGTGGTCACAAGCAGTGACAGCAGGCTGACGGACACATCTAAAGATGGGGGAATAGCAAGGAAGTCTTTGGTGAACATAGATTTAATGACAAACTGTGGCACGTACACACCTGGTTCCCTTGGGAAGCAGCCCATTTTATGTCAAATGCTGTATAAGAGGGAAACAGTTACAGTTACTGTAGGCACAGACTTAGATTACATTAAAGCTGGTGCACCTGATGAAACTGGTAGAGAGAAATATTCTCTACCCTTTCTTTTTGTATCTTCATCTAACCTGGAGAGACAAACTGGGAGAACTAGGAAATGTCCCGGCCAGGGCTGTATAACTGTGACAGTGTCCTACAGGCTGCACTTCCCATGCGAGGGTACAGAAAGTCTTTTCATTGTTTGAGGAGAGTTTTAACAGGCAGTTATTATTTATCCAACAGCCAAACAGTAGGCTACATTTAGTTGGGACACAAGGGGTCAGACCAAGCATTGTGGTGCAAGGTTATTATCATGGATGAAAAATAACAAAATTATGAGAACGTCTATGTTTAGATAGCTCTTTTGCGCAAAGAACTTTTGAGATACATGTTACACTCACTCAGACACTAATGGTAGAGGTTGATATTTATAAAGGCTGTTTGTTTTTTCAACTAACCCCATTCACACACCACTGGGTATGCCAAGTGATCAAGTGTCCCAAAGTATCCAGAAACCAAAGCTAAGGTTAAACGTGCAACAAGTTAAGTGAAACCAAGCAATTTAAAAAACTTAAAAACAAAAAGCCTTTGTGGAGAAAGAGTGTACGCCGATTTAGAGTAGGGGTGGGAATCTCTTGTGGCCCCACGATACGATTATATCGCGATACTTGGGCCACAATATATTATTGCGATTTTTAACATTCTGCAATACAGCGAGTATTGCGATACAATATATTGCGATTGATACAATTTTTTCAACTGTTTAGCTAATTCAGCATTTGTCTTTCCTTTATGTTTGTCTTATTTACATTGTATTTTATTTTCATGTAGCACATATTGCAAACCTATATTTATTTGTTGTACTATCTTTCTCCTGCTCCATGGTGCCACCTCTGCCAATCTCACTGGACAAACAGTTGATTTTATTTTTCCTTTATTGAGTTCATATTAGCAATTAATACTACTTGGTAAATACTTGGTAAATGAGACCAAGTATTGATATTAAATATATAACCAGACAAAATATCGCCATACTATGCTGTATGGATTTTTTCTCCCAATCCTAATTTAGAATAACAGTGTCTGAGAAATTCACACCCATGATGGTAAAGAAAGTCAAGGCACCGCCAGAAGTTACGTCATATCATCACAGACTATACTGCCAATAAAAAAAATGCATGGTTCTGCCACAATGGCAGTCTGATGAGTGTAAGAGTGTGGAGGAATATCTTGATGGTTAGCACATTTTTGAGGACATTCATTTAGTGGAGGACACAGAGCTGCCAGGCAGCTGAACTTCTTTCCTGCCTTGCTAACTCCCTGCAGCTGGTTGTGAACATCGACATGTCGAATGTTACAGCCACCTCCTGCATCATAGCCAAAACACCACACTTCTCAACTCTGTTTCACAGCAGCTCACAGCTCAAAGACATGTTTGAGGCTATTTTAGATTCTAATAAGTCTACTTAAGCAGCAAACAGCTCTTGTCAGAACAGCACTTTCTAACAAGTACAGGCCCTCACAGCTATGCTCCATAAAACTGGGCTGCTAGGAAGGATGCGGAAGTGGTGTTTGGGACTCATAAGCAATTCTCAGAGGCAGTAGCTCTTACAGAGGGAGGGAAATCAGTTCCTATGATTGTGTGAGTTGTAACTATCTTGGGCCTGAGAGAGCAATGTAGAGGGTTGTTGTGAATGACATTCTTTACAGATGGCTATAAAAATTTAAAAGGACTGAATACAGCAAAAGTGATTGGGTGCCAATTAAGGTTCTACATTCAGTAACCAGGCTCATACTCACTCAAGTAAAATATGTGGCAATGAGGATATTTTGCCATATTTAGCTATCAGATTCCAGATTGAAACAGTCCCCTGCTCATTCCTCCTCTTTGTGAAGTTGCAGTTTCAAGGGCAACAAATTCCGGTGAGGCATGATGTAAACGGTAATGGACTACAATGGTAATGGACTGTATTAATAAAGCACATTTTCCAGCCTTCTAACCACTCTGAACACTTTTATGTCACTTGTCACATCCACACCACTTTCATGCACTGATTGCAGAGGCTGTTATGTAAAACACCCATTAGTATTTACAAATCCTTGTCACACACTTCTGGAAAAGCCACTAAGGGTAGTTTGGGATCAAGTATCTCAACCAAGGACGCTTCGCATGTGGACAGCAGAGCCTGGGATTGAACCTCCAACCATGAGATAGTGGTTGGAGGTTGTCATACTACCAGTGTGCCATGTCTGTTTCCATAGTCTTTTTTTTCTGATTAAATATGTCTACCAGTAAAATGTTTTGTGCACAACAATCTCTTCCTTCTTCTTCTTTGTCCTCTAGTTGGTGCATTTCATGTGGCCAAGTACAAAAATGTCTTACTGAGTTGGTGAAGTAAAGGCAACAGTCTCCCCGCCATCCAGACCTTCAAGAATCCTGCTCTCTGATAGGTTCTCATGTATGTGTATGTGTGTGCGTGTGGGGAAGGGCTACTCTTTTGTTATTACCCTCCTAAATACTATACCCAGTTGGGGAATAAGTACAGTTTCTTTGACCTTAAAGACTTCCCTCCCTTGGCATCTGAATCCCAGTCGCTTATCTGGTCCCCATTGCAGGTTCCTCCATTGACAAGACCCCCACTACACTGCCTAGCACCACACTTCACACTGGCGCCGCGGCGAGGCGATATTTTGCCTTTATCGATGGGACAGACTGGAAATATGGGGAGCTAGAAAGACATAGGGGAGGACTTGCAGCACATGGTCGGGGCTGGACTTGAACCCGTGACCACTGCGGGGACTGTGATGCCCATATGTGGGGCGTGCTAACCCACTCAGCCATTCAACTGTACAATCATTTGCCACTTATTTATGTATTTAGATTTATAGACCTCCTAAATCTGTTACTGGATTTCTGGATCAATTCTGAGATCGACTCTTTATTGTAATGATTACAAGATTTTGACTGTGATTTTAATACAACCATTTGTTTTGGGAGTTTTTTTAATATTGTTGATTCTTTTAATCTAAGCAGACTTATAAACGCACTCGTACCCTGAGGTCCTCAGCTAAGGGTCTACTGACTGTTCAAGAGTCCAGGCTGAGGATCAAGGGGGACTGTGCTTTTTTGGTCAGGGTCCCTTCTCTCTTGTACATACTGCCCAAAGAGATCAAACTGTCAAGTTCCCTCTCCTCTTAAACAGGCTTTTAAAGTTTTATTTTTGTAACTGCAAAAAAATAAAATAAAATTGCAAAAAAAAATCAGCATATTTTGGTGATTCTACATAAATTCATCTGGACTTAGAAATATGACCATTTCTACTGAGTCTGTTCTGTTTAATGCCACTTCATACTACGCACTGCACCTTTGTAAAAATGTAACAGACTTATATTAAAGCTGGGTATTTACTTTTATTCTTTTGGTCTGTTTGGGCAAGTGGACAATCATTGACAATAATTTCTAATGACTTACATTTTGCAAGCTCTTCAGCAGGATGAGGGAAAGAGTTAGGATTAATCTAAAAAAAAGGGCTCTTGTAGGAACTAAGATCTGAAAACTTAATGACTTCAGAATAAAGCTCCTTGCATGCAGATGTTGACTACAACCTAAAGAGATCACATTGCATGTTAAACTGGATTCACTTGACTTTGCTTTTAACCACTTTCATAAACAATTTAGTGTCTGCCATTAAAGTGGTCACTACCTCCCTTTTCTTTCATAACAACTACATTTAACTCTACTCCAGTCTGCTGCACACCTGCCAGTTTCTGACTCTGGCTCTGTTATCCCAAGATTGGTACAGCAGCAGCATAATGCTTCAAGCCCTCTTTGGTGATTTCAGTGATTTGTCTTTGTAATTTGATTGTTTGGTGCCTATTTGAGTTGAATTGTTGTTATTTCATTCCATCTTTTTCAATATCAACTCTCTTCAGACTGACCGCAAGCCTGCATGTTTACCCATCCACCAGCTTACGGCTGGATGATGACATAATAATGAAATAAAACAGCATGTTTTAGGTGACTTGTAGAAAAGTCGAGAAGAATATTGGAAAGAGGACAGCGCAGGAGACAGTAAGAAGTGGGCAGGCTGGTCTGTGTTAGTAGGGAGGATAGATTTAAGAAGGTAATGAGTTATAATCAGGCTTTACTTGATCTACAATAGATGCAATTTTGCTTTAAATTTAGCTCTGACCTCTTCTTAATGTTTGCAGTCATAATAATATCTTGTTACCTTGATGAAAAAATGCTAGATTTAGCATGCTGTGTGTGCATGCAGACGGCTAAAAAATAAATAAATAAAGGGAGCACTTACATCACAACATCCCAGACCTTGATCAATGAAATGCTCACTAAAAAATCATGAGCCCATTGAGGGCTGAATCAAACCCAAAATCAAAGTGGGGAAATTGAATCTCAGGTTGATCCAACTTCTGTTGATTTCCTCAAGACAACCCATGACGTGGCTCAGGATTGTGTATGGCCTCTCTGCACCTGTGTGCACTCCTACAACATTTGGGTTAGTGGTTTGGGGTAACTCCTCCCAGACTTGGACCAGCTCCTGAACAGTCCATGGTGAATTGAATTGATATATTTAAAACAGGGACAATGCACAAAAAAGCATTAATCTTGTAAGACAAGAAGAGATGCTTTGAGCCAGGTTATAGCAACAATTGCTTATTTGCGCCTGTAGTCCTATGTGCCATGTGGTGGTGGTGAATGCAAGGACACATGGGGACCTAGTCCTTTTTAGTTAGGATGTTTTTTAACTGAGTGAAAGGACACAGAAATCTGTCAGTGCCAGCCATAGTAAGAACTGATCAAATTCTTCAAATGATACAAGGAGCTTCATTGCTTACACTAGACCATCTTTTACGAAAGGAGAGAAGATAAATGATTCATAATTCTTGGTTTTTACTGAATCTTAAGTCATACCTCTTTAGCCTGCATGTCAAAAAATAATCAGCATGACAGTAGCTGATCTGAAACCTCATCACTGATTTAAAGAACTTTGTAAAATTAATCAAACTTATAATTCAGGTGGATGAATATAAAAGAAGAGAAAACTGAGCCATTATCAACTTGACATTTTACTTAACCTATGGTCACTTCTGTCCTGTTGTTGTTAAATCACAGCTGCCAACCAACCCATTTATCTATTCATGAAATTAGAGCAGTCAAGTTGAACCACTGTTAAGATAAAGTGTGATATCTGCTGTTTTAATGATGTTAATGACACAACCCCATCCATGGCCTTTCGTTATCTAATTAATTAGTTAAATGTATGTAGTAGTGTACTATTTTTATTTGCAGCTTAGTGTGCTTCACACATTATTTATGAGCTGATAGACAGCACCAGTGGTGATTTAAGTATACACATGAGAAGATAGGAGTTAAAATAAGAAAACTGTCTACAGTATTTAGAGGTTGTGGGGTAAAATGTAATTTATTCAACAGAACAAGAACTAGTTTCATTATATTAATACAGCAAATTAAGTAATTGATCCCGAGACATAAAAATTTACTGATGTTTTCTCAGATCTTTTGACTGTCTCAGCTGCTGACAGCTGTCTGAATCTCAGCAGAGATTCTGCCACATTACCTGTGCAAACCTGTTGGTGCCACATTTATCATTAAATTGTCTCTAAATGTGCCTGTGTGAATCAACACAGTTGGAGTGCACAGTGCTTTTGTAGTCCATCTGCAGAAAGCTGTAGTTTTCTACAGCAGATTCACGTGACATTGGTAGCATCCACCAAGTGTACGAGCAGTCAGATTCTCAAACACTGTGGTTGTCTTTTCTAACTCCTCCTTTTCTAACAAAAGGACTTGGGAGATCAATTTTGGATTTTTTAGATTTACCCATGATGTCTCAGAGGTGCTTCAATGGATTCAGGTCTGGGGAACAGGCAGGCCAGCCAATAGCATGCCCTCTTTATCCAGAAACACACTCAAGTCACATGTGGCCAGCCACTGATAAATGTCACTATAAACGACAAAACACACCAACCTCTCCCAGACTTGTCTTGTCAAGGAGGTGTTCTTCAAGGAGATCTTACTGATAAACCAGCCGTCTCTCACTGTGCCGAGCAAGTGTCACCTGCGCCATTGTGCAGTGTCACTGTTGAGTGCCACATCAGGCCACAGTCCCAGCACTGAGTAATCAATACTACGATTATCACTGAACTCAAAAGAAACAACCAATTTAACATTTTTAACCTTAATTGATACTTAAATCTGCTTACTGCAAAATAATTTTGCTAAATGTTTTGAATTGATTTTTTAAAATCATATTTAAATGAAGTATTTCAAAGGTATCTGCCTACTGTGATCATAACAGATCACAATATGAATTAAAGTAGTAAATTCTGATCATGAAAAGGTTTACTTTAGGGGTGTGCAGTTAGCCAAGTGGAATAGCGTACCCCACTGTCCCCACACAGGTCGCAGGTTCAAGTCTGGCCTGGATCATGTGCTGCATGTCATCCCCCTCTCTCTCCCTATCTGCCACATTTCACTCTGTCCTATCTAATAAAGTCAAGAATGGCCAAAAAAAAAAAAAAATGCAAAAAGGCAATATTTCTGTGTTTTCTTCACTGACATAAACTCTGTAAACCTGAACAAGTTGAGAAACTCAAAAATTTTCGTCGTAACCGATTACATAAGAACTTTTAAGTTATGCTGATACATTTTTTGAGTTACACTATACTTTAGAAACATGTGTTCAGTTGACTTAATCTTTATTCTAAGTTCAATCTTTTTCTTTTTTTAAATTCCCTTAACTTAATATTTATGTCTTCTTCATACTTAAATGATTTGATTGAATGATAATTTTAAAAACTTAATTACATGGACTTGAAAAATTAACTGTACAAAATGTTTTACATCAATAGTATCTACTCAAAATGTAACACCTTAATGAACTCAAAGTATTTATCACTTGCCAACTTAAAATGTACAAGACGCCCTGTTTTCAGTTTGTTATGCTCAAGCAGGGTCAGGAGCAGGTGTAGCTACTTCAGCATTGATGAATGCTGGTTTGTTCACAGATAGTAATTAAAACAATTGGAGCCTCAAAAGAAGTGATGGATGAGGATACACAGCAGGGCAGGATGTGCCTCTCATCATTTAGGGCCTCGATGGATACATGACACCCGGTCCTGTCCATGTACAAAAGGTTACAAGACAGATTTAGACTCGCAAATGGATTAAAACATTGATACCAAAGGTGGAAAGGCTTGAAAGATGAATCTGTAAATATAAACTGCTAAACTAAGTCTGCAGTGAGCCAAACAAACAGTAGTAATAAGGTAGAAGGGCAAGAGAGTACATTTTACCTGAGGCATAGGATCTTTAACAGCGTGAAGAGAAAAAGGGGAGATAGCTGAGCTTTGACACATGTGGGTAAATGTATGCAGTGATGGCATCTTAGAATTAGAGCAGAGCAGGGGAGACTAGAGCTACTAACATAATTGAGCTAATTCAAGAATATTACCTGCTCAAGAAGTAGTTTAACCAAATACCAAATACCAAATGTGTTGTTGCCTGGCAACAGTGCCTCAAAATTGCAACTAGGGGAGCAATAAACTCTCACCTATTTCCCTGAGTATTTAATCAATCTCTACTCAAGAATAAGGGGCTTTAAGCTTTTGAACTTTCTCATTTGTTCACATGAGAGGACCCATATTAGTCTCCTCGACTTCACAGTTTCAAGAACACTCATGTTTCTTCACAAGAGTTGAGTTAACATAAAACACTTAAAGCTCTAAAAAATTAGGAGACTTTAATTATCGTAATCAATTGCAATTTGACCACACTCAGTGTGAAGTTGATTGCACTTGATATTTTCAGGAAACGACATTGGTGTTTACTTTACTGAAACAATTCGGCGCTTTTAGTTAGTATGAACTATTTTTGTTTACAAGTACTAGATAAGTAAACTGAACACACAGCTGGACCCTATTCACAGCTGTACAAAGCTTTGACTTGGGAGGTAAAAAACTTGGTCTAAGGTTAAATTGTTCAATAAGAAAGAGAAATGGACTGTGTTTATGTTGTACATTCTTTCCTTATTACCTTACCTGATAACTACTCATATCACTATTCTTTGACAGTATGTGTGAGCACGGCCCTCTCATGAAGCTGAGAGAGCTCTTGCTTCACTGACTGTATTTCGAGACACAGTTTATGGCCACAAAACGTCTGCAGGTGCTCTTGGCTACAAATCTGATGACAAGAAGGTGAGGTGGACTGAAAAGTTGTGTTGTTTTGGCTTTGGCCCTCAACATTATGAGAGGTGTTGCCATTTTTTTCTAAGGCTTTAGGGTAAATTTCAGAGAAATGCTCACAACATACTGTTGGCAAGGTTGTTAAGGTTGTCCTGCTGCATGTCCGTGTCCCAGTTGTGACCTTTAAGTCTGCTATTAATTCTCTGTATGCTTCATAATTGCTTTTATTTAATGAAATTTTACAAAAACTGACTATAGTTAAACGTTAAACAATAGATAGATTTCATGTTGGTATCAACATCAGTTACATGAGGAGTTTACACACTGCCACTTTAAAGGGGTTATTTACGCTCCTGGGCATTGTGCCGTGACAAAGTCATTCTGACTTTCTGAGCTGACATCAAGGGTGGTCTACTGAGCACCGACAACACTAAACTGCACTGATGTTATACATTTTTACACTGCTTGTTCAAGGTTTTGATCCTTCTCCTGTCTTTCTCTTCTACTTGGCTTGTAAACTGGCTAGGTTTTGTTCTCCTTCCTTACCACTGTTCCAAAGTGCCAGGTTAAGGGGATATTCTGGTGTAAATTTGAGTTATGGTCAAACACACTGTAGAGATGAACGTTGCCAACTGCTTGCTTCTCTAGTTATCCCAACTTCAGCAACGACCGCACGATAGCAATACACAGCGATCTACCTCTCCCACGCACGGGAACCCTGATGAGTCGATCACAGAGTGCAGCGGATCAATTCTCTGAAGGAATAATCATAATGATCATTCTGCACTGCAGACATGGTAGTTCTTCTGCCTTCGCATTTCCATAAAGTAATAATCATACATTTTCTGAAACAGTATTATCTCCTTATCAACAGATTATTTGACACATGTAACAAACCTTTATTGTCAGTCTGAAAAAAACATTCACAGTCCCATGTTCACCTGAGCTGTTAAAGTGCACAACCCATTTTTTAAAGTTCTCAACTCGGTGACCAAAGGTCAACTTCTGGGTCTCTGCTATACATCTCACATTTGTCTGGCAAACATTTTCCTACACACACTAAAAGAATGATAACATAATAAAAAGATCGAAATAAAAATCAGATGGCAAGGCTTGATTTCTTGTACATCCACCTGATTGGCTGATATGACTACCTACAAAGTATACTTTTTAGAGTCTTTGAGGAAACCTGATTCCCCTCTGACATGGCAGCAGCTGCAGCAAGAGTTCATGAAAGTGGTTTATGACATTCTTCTATGCTACTCATATTTCTGAAGCTGAGGTACCACTCTTTATTCCATACACAGAATCATGACAAAGCTATGTAGACACTAACCTTGTTACTCTCAGCTTTGTTTGACCTCATTTTAATGATGGTAACAAAGATGCTAGCACCACCATCCACATTAGGGGCATCTTCCGGTGGTTGAGATCAAACCACACTAGAAACATTAAAGTAGCCTCTTAATCACAGAGCATGTGATCCGTTTTTTAAACAGACTTCAAAGATTAAACACAGCAACAGTATGCCAAATTTCATACATTTATTCAGTCATTCATTTCTCAACTGGAGCAAGCCCCTTGGCCTTGCATCTGTGTATTTAGATTAAAAGGAAACAAATGCTGTTTGTCAGTAACTTTCACGCCTCTCAGAGTTTGTAGGACATAAAAAGGGCTCAACTGCACTCTTGATGCAAAATGAATCTGTGCCAGCTGAAACTGCAAATGATCAAGAGCTGTCCTGCACACATGGACCAAAATAAACATGTAAGAATCTTGTGCCATCCTGCATCATCATTTTTTCAATTCCTTCTGCTCTCATGAAAAATCATCTGTAAAGAGGTCTTGGCTGGACCTTTTTGAACTTTAGCTAAAGTTGAACCCTCAAACCTTGATAGATAATAGCCTGGCTCAAGTCTCTGCCTTCCTGACTTAGAGAGATAGATAGTTGTTGTGGATCAGATTGAGCGTGTGCATTCCTGCATGTGTGTGTGTGCGTGCGCGCGCGTGTGTGTGTGCATTTAGAGCAGTCTGAGGAAGTGGGTCATAGCTCCTCAGGGGAACCACTCTGGTAGCTTGAACTTCCTCTTCATCATACATGTTTAATAATGGATTGTTACATGTTTAAAGGCAGCAGCCAAGCCTCAGCTTCTATGAACAAAAACCAACATACGTGTACATTTACACACTCACAGACACAAACTCACACATACACACAGAAAGGATATGATGCTCGCTATATAATAGCAATGGAAATATTATCCTCTTGCTTCCACGGTCTGATATGTATCCATGTAGCCCTACAACTCAAATAGACATGCACATGAATTCACTGTATTAAACATTTTATGACAGTAGGGGAGTGATTGTGGATTATACCCCATCATCTCCTGCCCGAGAAGAATTGTTCCTTTTCTCTTTGAATTCTAGCGGCAAAATATCTCTGATGCTGTCAAAAATGTTTAAAATTTTTCAACTTACAGAGGGCTGCCACTTTAGAGTCTAAACTGTGATCAAATGTTTTCAGACTCAGATGTGTTTCAAAAGCCAGTATTGATAAAATTGCACTCAACAACTCTAGACAGGGAGTGGATCACTGATCCTCTTTGCTGTGCTGGGTCCATGTTTACAAAGTGCTGTGATCTATGGGGGAAAACGGGTGGGGCATTTTCTCTCTCTGCCGCCAACCTTAGTACAAAAAAAGAAAAAAAAAAAAAAATCAGTCAACATATCCAGAAGGAATATGGATATGTAGCAGTGAAAAAAAAAATACAAATATGTAATCTATTGGGTAAAAGCAACAAGTTTATAAATCACTTTTCTCCTATCTACACAGAGAACACACCGTTGTGTTTATGTATATCACTTTTACAGAAAGGAAAGCTTCTTTTATTATCAATAAACAGAAGGGTGAAAACCCTTTTTCTGTATCTACATAATAATGAGTGGAAGGTATTTAGTGCTGGTGCTTTTTCAGTGGATTTTCACGTTATTCTATGAACCTTCCATAAATATCTTTAATTTTAGTTTTGGATGTTAAAAACAATATTTATATGCTGGAATTTAATATTAATGTAATTTTGTTTTACTTTATCTTAAAACTGACAGTACAATGTGATTCCTTCTCACTGTTAAATGTGTAATTCAGAAGAAAACAAAGGTACAGGTTCGTAAATGTTCGTAGGTATGCCTATGATGCAACTACTCTACTTTAAACTTTCCGTTATAAGAGGCTGAAACCTAACCTGAGTCCGTGTAACGCGGTCTGGCCAGGTCTCTGAAGTAATAAATGAAATCCAGGCAGTTGTCATCCTGCACTTCCCCTTTGGAGCACAGGTCAGACAGGAGTTCCAGCGCCTTCTGACAAATCTCATCCTCTCTTTCTGCAGGCATTGCCTTCCAGCATCCTTCTAAATGGTCGGCCACTCCGGCTGATCTTCTCCCAGCTATCACTTACACGCTCAAGCACTCACCCCAGCCCCGTGCAGTGCAAAGCCGCACGTGAAGCACAACACTACTGCGCCTTCCACTGATCCGCAAAAATCTGCTGAAGTTATTGAAGTTCAGGCGGATTTTGAGTAGAACCAGAGTTTTTTCATCAGATCAAGGAGAGGTTTTTAAAAAGTGATCTCTCGCGTGTTTTGGTTGTTTGGCAAGGAGATATCCGCTTTCCTTCTCTTCTCCTCTGAATTTCCCTTTGGTAGCCTATGCTATTGTTTCTTCCCTTGACTTCCGTCCACTGCTCCGTGATGCTGCTGAATCACTACAGAGCCCCCAGGCATCGGCAGCGCTAGTCAAGGTTTTTGTTTGAATGAATGGACAGCTTTCACTTCGCTCAATTATTCCTCAGTATACTGGGAAGCAGAAAGGCAGACAGGAAGCCCTGCCCCCACCAGCCCTGCTCCACCTCCACCACCACCGCCCTGCTGGCAGCATCCTCCTAGGTCTTCTGAGGAAAAGACAGTGGAGATCTCTGTGTGGTTCATCTCCTCCTGATCACTGTGCAAATGTCAAGAAACCCCTTGCTGTTTCATGCTCTTTACTAAGTTTCATCTAATGAGTTTGTCAGTGATGTTATACCTCTTACCATCCGCTTATATAAAGAGAAGTAATGAAGGACTGAGAAACTGATATTAATAAGTAAAAGGAGAGTGAAACACCCACAAGGCACACATGCACAAGCCTGACAAATGGAAGTAGGCTTATTAAGGGCAAACACGTGAGACGAAGGTTCGCCTGGGTTCTTTCTGTTTTGTTTTTGTTCCCTTAAGTTTGATTTTTCTTCAGCAACATTAGGAGTAGACTTTAAAAAGCATCATCAAAAAAAAAAAAAAAATAAGAAGCCATTTTTTGAAGCTTTTGCTGCATCTCTAGGCCGTATTTCAGCTACATTCTATTGGGTGTCAAAAATGACAACCTTTTGCTGCTTTCCAGTTGTACTCGGAGGTCAGGATTTCCAAGCTCTGAGTTGGAAACTCATCTGGAACGCACCCCTTAAGCCCCTTAAGCTCGGAAAGTCGGACGATTCTCACCAACCCCAACTTGACCATTTTCCATAATCCAAGATGGCAGCGCAGTGCATCAACATTAAAGAGTAACAGTGAAAGCTCTTGTAATGTATTATTTAGAAGCACTTCTGTTTTGTTTTTTGTAAAATCAAAGAAGTGGTATATTTTCTACTGCTAAACATCTAACTGTGAACATGGTGCTATGGTGTTTTTAAGAGTAAAATATGTTATGTGTTACTGTTTTATGCGTTGTTTACAACTGGTATCGTGAACAACAACTACCAACCGCTGACAATGGCTAACAACAGCTGACAATTGTTAACAACAGCTAACAGTAGGTGTCCATCTTGGTTTTCCAACTTGTTTACTGGAATTTCGTCAACTCCTGTGTGACGTCATTCCCAGTTCCGACATTTGACTTCCAAGGTAACTGGAACACAGCGTTAGTCATCCATATAACCAGTATGGAATAAGGTCCAGTTTGTACGCTGGTCATAACAGTACTACAGGAATAATCCTAACTATGAATCACGAGTTTGCTAGTGTCTCATTAGAGCAGTTGGATTTCAGAAATTTTGTTTATAATATGTATGTGTCTTGTTCTCTTGACCAGAACCCAATCAAGCATGTCTGGTGCATAGTACCACATGGCATCACGCACCATCCAGGAGCACACTCATGCCCTTATCCAAGTCTGGGAGGAGATCCCTTAGGAGACTGTTGGTCACCTATCAGGAGCATGCCCAGATGTTCCAGGGAGTGCATTACTGGCATATAGTGGCCATACACACTACTGAGTCACATTATGAGTTATCCTGAGGATATTCACATAAATTGGATCAGCCTGTGATTTCATTTTTCACTTTGAGGACTGGATTTTTAATCCAGTCCTCTGTGAGATAAAGATTTTGGTCACCATCAATTGTCCTGATGTTTTTTGTTCTCAATGAATAACACCATGTAATCAATGAAGATTTCCCAAATGAAAGTGTCCCCTTTATCTTTTTAAGGTATGTAGATTCTCACATGTGCACCTACATGGTCTTGGTAAGCACACAGAGCGGTCAATTCAAACTTGATCAACAACATCAATATCAAACTCAGGTCAACCAAAAGGGTTTTTTTGTCTCTTCGTCAATGATCTTAAAAAGGAAACCATCAACTACTGTATAAGAGGGCAACAATATACCACATCATATATTATATATTGCCCAGAACTGGTAAAAACAATTACCTTTGAATCATGCATACCATTTAATTTCCAGAAGCATGAAAAAAAATTAAGGCTGAAAGCTTTTGTTTGCTCAAGGTTACCTGTTTGTCGGATTCCTTGTCTGTTGTGTCAGTTGTACCAATAAGCCTTACAAATATTTTGATACCATTACTTTAGGGTGGCTGCGGCACAGTGGTGGAGTCAGTTTTTACTCAGTAAGAGGTCCTGCCAATTGTTCGCTGAAGTGTTCTTTGGTAAAGTAGTGCTGGGTGCAACCTGCAGTGTGTAAATGGGGTTTGTTGATACTGATGAGTGCTTTACACAGTAGCCTCTATCATCATTGTATGGTGGTAATAAGGTTGGAGAAAGGGCAATATAAACACAGTCCATTTTACTTCAAACCTGAAGCTAATGCTAAATCCTATTAACAGCCAGCAGTTTAATTGACATGACTAGCCTTAATGTAGAGGACTTGTAAAAAGTCTGTACAGCGTATATTAAATGATCTACTACTGTTGACCTCACTTTTGAAGACCTTGGTTTACACAGGCAACAGCAGCTGTCAACTATCAGTGAATTCCTGTTTCCATAGTAACATGGTTCCATAGTCGATAAGACCATACTTTTTTCACTTCGAGCAGACGCTGAGCAGCTTTATTATTTATTGCATGTGTTTTTAGCTGACGGATGTATTCCAATCCAAATTTTGGATTTCCAAATGATGATCAGGGAAATATCTTAAGTTGCTGAATCATTGATGCTAATTCATTGTCAGATCTATGTCCGCAGTTGGGTCGATGTAATATCAAGATCAGATATCATTGCCCCGTGTGTGTGTGTGTGTGTGTGTGTGTGTGTGTGTGTGTGTGTGTGTGTGTGTGTGTGTGCATGTGTGTGTATGCATGTGTGTGTGTGTGCAGCCAGCCCAGCTGCCTTCTAAGAACAGAGGGCATCTATTTGGCTGCACACTGATCCCTCTGTTTTTTAAGTGCCCCACAGGAAGCATGATTCAGGAACTTATGAGGTTTAAGGGCTAGCAGCTATGTTTTTAAATTTTCCATGGCCTTAGTGTGAATAACTCGGCAATCTCTGGTGTTGAGATATTAATCTGATGCAAAAGTACACCCAGTTAACACCCCTGTGAAAATGGCCATGAAATGGGCAGAAATACACATGTTTAAGACCTGTTATTTATAACAGTTTTGATGTAGAGAGCCTTTTTTCTGACTGCACACACTGTATAGGTGAAAAGTTTTGCCCTTAAAGGGTTATTCCGGCGTAAATTAAAGTTAGGGTCAAACAAGACGCAACGCCGAGTTAGACATCCCCTCGAGAGACGAAAGTTGCAGACTGCTTGCTTCTCAAATTATTCCAACTTTAGCAATGACCGCACGTAGTGGTCTACGTCTCCACGTGCAATTCTCAACCAAAAAGCCACTCTATAGCCACAAATAATGCTCAGAACAGCACCTAACTTCATATAGGGTCCAAGCCATAGCACTAGCCATCAAACATCTTTTTAGCTTTGCCTGGTTTCTTTAGCAAAGAGACTAAACACAACTCACCCACTCTCTTCCAGCAGCCACTTGTTTGTGGGGGAGCCCTGATGAGTCAATCAGCAGAGTTTTGCAGCGCAAGGTTACGAACTGCGAAACTGTGATCATGATTATTACTTCATGGAAATGCAATCAGACTGAGACGCTAAAGCAGAAGAACTACTGCTTCTGCAGTACAAGATACACAAGAACAAGAACTCTTGTTTCTTCCCTAGCTCCAGTGTTGTCCACACACTGTTCATCCACTCTACGCGTTTATGCTCCTCCTGTTATTACGTTTAGCTGCGCTTTGTTCCGTAGATTGTCACAGGAGTCTCACCTCTTCAGCCCTCATTGGTCACTGCACCTACTGCCTGTGTCTGCCATTGGGTCATTTCAATGTCTGTTCAAAGAGAGCAGAGAGCTTCACAGGTGCATTTTATTTAGCAATTACTATACAATATAATAATAAAAACACAATAACTTTATTTATCCCCAAAGGGAAAGTCATTTGTTTGGAATCTCATGAAAAGTTTTCTTTGGTAGGACAGTAAACAAACTCTTTAAATCCAGTCAGGTGAGAGAAGAGGGTGACATGGTTGAAGTCTCCAGATAGTATTATTAGTGCCTCAGGATCAGTGTTGAGCTAGTTACTGAAAAATAGTAAGTAGTTACAGTTATTAGTTACTTTGTAAAAAAAGTAACTCAGTTAGTAACTCAGTTACTGAAACCGAAAAGTAACATGTTACTGAGAAAGTAATTATTTAGTTACTGTAAAATGTTCCAATGCTCCCAATACATAAAGGTGGATTGACTGAGTTCCCCTTTAGTCGTCATTTCAGTTCTGTACTGATAGTGAATAAAACAGACTGCTGATTAAAACAACCATTTCACTTCATTTACATCCACATCACTGAATCTATTCTGAATATGATCCGTTGTGCACCAACACCAACACAAACCTTGACACTAACGCCAAAATTTTACCCTTGGACTCTTGGAATAAAAGCCTGATAGCACTAAAAGGGATCTAAATAGACAATTAAACATACTGTGCTATTGTTTTATCAAGTTGTGTCTGGCTATGCGTCCGTCTTTTGAACTCCAACCGCTGCTGCTTGGGTCGAGTGGGTGTGTGCTCACTGCTGTGACTCTCGGTCGCAACTGCTGCATTACCTTAGCTGCTAACTTTGTCGAAGCATGCCGCTTCTCTAGGTGCTTCAGTAGATTGCTGTTGCTGTTGTTTACCCAGATTTTTGGGCCGGGACACAGTTAACATGTTACCAAAATGTGTTTTTCCCTTTGCTCTCGAGTTGAAAATGTGAGTATCTCCATGAGGAGAAACTTATCTTCCCCTTCTCGCTTGCCATCATGCCATTCCATGGCCTGTCCAGTCCTATTCATGGTGCATGTTTGATTATGTGTGTAATGCCAGAGGGTGACAAGTGCTTTGTTTTTCCAATTCAATTAAACTTTTTGGATCGCTAAAATGTTATGGGAACTGTGTGCCGTTGTAAAACTTCACCAAAAGGAACGGAGTAATGCAGCGTTTGGTAACTGAACCAGAGTTACAGAATTTA